ACTTCTACCGGATGTTTATTAAGAAGTTTGGACGGATAGCAGCTCCTTTAACGAACCTCACAAAGGGAGATCAAAAGTTCTCGTGGACCGCAGAGTACCAGCGCGCCTTCGAAACGTTAAAGAAGATATTCACGACCGCGCCTATTCTAATCCACTTCGACCCCGATGTAGAGACCTAGGTGGAAGTGGACGCGTCTGACCTCGTCGTGGCCGGCATCCTCTCTTAGATGAGGGATAGGAAACTTCGACCTATAGCATTCTTCTCAAAGAAGATATCACCCGCCGAGTGTAACTATAAGATTTATAATAAGAAGTTGCTCGCAATTATGAAAGCATTCGAGAAATAGCGTCCTAAACTCGCCGGGACTAACCCGTCGAAACCAATCAAGGTCCTATCGGACCACCGGGCTCTAGAGTATTTCATAACGACTAAGCAGCTTAACCGCCGACAAGCCCGTTAGAGCGAATTTCTCTCGGAGTTCCACTTCGTCATCCAATATCGGCTAGGGAAGCAGGGGACGAAGCTAGATAGTCTGACTAGGAGACCTGGTTACAAGCCCGCAGATGATGCGGACGAAAGGGTTCAATATCAGCGTCAAATACTCCTCAAACCGCAGAATCTAGCTTAAGGAGTTCTACCCCCTCAGTCTCTTGATCGTATAGGTAGGCTTACGGAACTCTACTTGATCGAGGAAAATACAGAAACAATAAATATTCCCGAAATGATTAAACGCCTTTACTCTCAGGATCCTTCGTTATAAAAGCTACTTAAGACAATCGGGAACCACGAGAGAACCGTTCCTCTCGATGTTCCTAAACCTATCCGTAGTAGCGTATCTATATCTGACTACGCGGAACAAGATAGAAGGGTATTTTATCGAGGGAAACTCTAGGTTCCTAACGACGCTACGTTGAAGGTGGCGATACTATAGGCTTATCATGACCATCCTACAGCAGGGCACCCTGGGAGAACGAAAACCTACGCGTTAGTGAAGCAGTCGTATTATTAGCCTAAGATATACGACTATATTCGACGCTACGTCGCCAACTGTTATACCTGTCGAAAAACAAAGGCTAGCCGTCAAAGCTATCCGGGGACGTTACTCTAGCTACCCGTTCCCCATCGCCCTTAGCTAGAAGTAGCCGTTGACTTCGTGATGGACCTTCCAGAAAGTAGAAGTCACGAGGGAGTCTCATATAAGAATATTATAGTGGTAACAGATCGACTCACGAAATATCGCTACTATATCCCATACCGAAAAATAGACGCGATCAATACTACTCGCTTATTCCTAAGATACATCTTCTCCCGTCATGACTTGCCGGACTTTATCACTTCCGATAGAGGAACTCAGTTTATATTAATCTTCTAGAAATATCTCTATAAGCGGCTGAAGATCGGTAAACGTATGTCGTTAACGTACCACCCTAAGACCGATAGGCAGTCGGAGAACTCGAACTAGGGTATGGAACAGTACCTGAGAGCCTATTGCAATTATACGCAATCGGATTAGGTAGACTAGCTTCTGTTGGTAGAATTCGCTACTAATACTCATGTTTCCGAGACTACTAAGGTATCACCGTTCTTTACCAACTACGGAATAGAGCTACGACTAGGTATTGAAGCCACTCCGGAGAGGCAGGTGGCCACGAGGGTCGTTTATGAAGCCGAAGTCGCGGACAACTTCGCGAATCGAATATCCGAGCTACATAAGTTTCTTCGGAACAGTATGACTAAGACCTAGGATCGACACAAGAAGTATACAACGGGAAGGTCTCCGACACCGACTTATAAGGTGGGAGATTCCGTCTAGCTTAACACAAAGAACCTCCGAACCGACCGCCCCTCAAAGAAACTTAACTTCAAAAATATCGGGCCGTTTAAAGTTATCGAAGTGGTGAATCCTCGAGCTTATCGTTTAGATTTATCAAAGTTAATAAAGGTTCATAACGTCTTCCACACCTCTCTACTTCAGCCCGCGTCCCTTACCGATCCTATCCCAGAACAATCTCAAGACTCTAGAGCGACACCCGTAGTTACGAAGGAACATAAAGAGGTAGAGGATCTACAGAAAGGATAGGAAGTTGAGAAGATTCTAGATTCCGAATAGTTCGGAACTAATAAATCTCGCTTGAGGTACGTTGTGAAATGGAAAGGATTCGAAGCCGATCACCGTTACTAGGAAGAACTATTGCCTAGCTACGACAAGGCGATCCTTAACTTCCACAAAGAATATCCCGAGAGACCCGGACCTCTAGAAGGCTACGATTTCACAATATAGGAGAAAACACCTTCAGGGAATGTGCGATATAAACGACGAGTAAGGAAGAAACGGTTTTTTGACGAAGAAGTCGACTCTCTCAAGTTACGCTCTGCTTCGTCCCAAGTAGGTATCTGACGCTGTGTTCCCTTCGGAGATGACTTCAAACTTGGGAATCAACGCCGTGCCTCTCGGCTAGGGACAGTACATCGCCATGATAAGGACGGAGTCAATGATAGAGCCACTACACAGATGGTGGCAACATCGAAGTCCCTCTTTCATGCCTGATGTTGCTACGGGCCGAGATGCGTTACTGAACGGGCAGTAATCGGATTGAGAGGTTGGCCAAACGAAAGCGAATCGGGCTGGTTAGGCGTTCGGACGACTGAAATGGTTTGACGGAACTTGGCAGATAGATCAAGCACAAAAGCAACTCGGTTGATTGTTTTATTGGGAGTCTCTTGGATCAAAAGCATAAAAGCAAGTTGGTTAATTGGTTTACTGGGGTCTCTTAGTTGAGATGGTTACTCTAGGATATGGAGGACTATATGCGCACGTTTTGAGGGGGGGTAATGTCACGGTCCTGCCAAGACCTGTTTGGCACGTGACCATTTGGCGCGCTGCCTACGACCTTCACCTCGTCGCAGGCTGGCGACACTCAGATAGACTTCCTCTCCTCGAGTTCGAATTCATGTTATCAGTGCTGTAACACTTTGTGCTGTGCTGGCGCCGTGACACCATGGGCCTCAACTCGTACGGCGGTAGGCACAGTCTCTCACACAACAACCAACACACCAAAGGGCAGAACATCTAAGTAACAAGTTGATTGATTGATTGTCTAAGTTAAGTGCCAGCACTGTTCAAAGAAGAAGAAGGTGTGAGGGCTCCCTAGGGGCCACCGGTAGATATAGCAATATAGGCTGCGAACCAGCCGATAGATTGCAGCTATAGGAGGTAGGCTTTGACATGGGTCGGGTTTTGGGTCGAACCTTTTGGCCCCTTTGACCCAATTCCCTTAATTCTGTACTTTTGTTACTATATGTTACTATAAATAGTATATTAGTATACTATTTATAGTAAAAATAGGTCTTGACGCGTCAAAATTTAAAGGATTCTGACCCGGAACCCGACTCATGTGTTACGAACAGGCCAAAGGATGGCCGTAGGAGGGAACTTGGGAAGAAGGTTTACCGAGGGAGTAACGATAGAAGTCAGATACGTAACCTACTCTATTATACTCCTAAGGCTAAATAGAGATATATAGAGCTAGATACGTAATCTACTCTATTATACTCCTAAGATTAAATAGAGCTAGATAGAGCTATACGAGTTTCCTACGCTTATATAAGTCCGTAGTCTTTTATAGTTTCTCTTCGTAGTTAACCTTAGTTATAAACAATCGAGTTATTCTCGGTTAATCGCTTTATATATAGCTATATACTATACACTTAGTTTCCGTCTCTACTATATCGAGCCCTACTACTATATTACTAAGTAAACCACTTCGAGTTTGCTCGTTGACACCTCACGTGTTGTGAAGCGACTCGTAACACCATGTCAAAGCCTATTCTCAGTATTCTTGCGCGATCCTGGAGAGTGACGCCTTCCTCGGATATAGCCAGTAGTGCGTCTTAAAAGGGGCAGAAACTTAAATTAAACTCGCCTAGAGTGCCGTCAGATCCATATACAGCCAAGAGGCTAAACTAAGATTGGTTACTCAATTTTGAAAAGGTACTTACTATACTTTAGCACCAGTCCGTAAAGGGGGTTAATGCCACACCATAGACATACTTGTTATGAAAGAGTTCGTTGCAGCGTCCTCGGATGAGAAATTAAAGACGAGTCTCATCATCTACTCGTGCGTGTATAGTGACAGCCCCTTCGCGTGAACTTGGTGACACGAGCATAACTGTACTTGTAAGCTTTTGGAAACCCACGACTTGGCTCTAGATTCCAAGTTTGTGGGTTCCGACTGTTCTGGAAGGGCCAAGTTTCGCTGCCTGGAGGGGGTGCAGGATCTGGACCTGCCGTATTTGCCCCCGTTGTTTAGCCACGGCAGTGTCTTCGCGCAAAACTACCGAGTAAATATTACTCAGTCAGACCACCTTCATTACCTACCGCCTCACGCGCCGCTTCCGCACCAATCGGCACCAGCATATTGGGCCATCCAAGGTTGCTAGATTTCTGATCGGACAGACTGGCTGAAAGGAGATCGTCTTGCTTTATGTGAGTTGCTTGAAACCCCAGCTGACGGCGTTACGACCTACTTGTATCCAAGCTCAAAATCCATATTATTAACCACCATCAGCCTGAACTTGCTCTATCAATGAGAACAGTCCACCCACATGCGATCCGAGTTCTGCCCGAAGTCTGCTGCTCTCGCGAACATTCTGGCCATCCTGTGGTTGCCATTTCTGCAGGTATTCGATGAAGAGTGACGAGATCAATGGCGCTAGCACTCGACTAACACACCCGGCGAGCTTCTGCACGTCTCCCATCTTGCGGTGTGAGTTGAAATGGGGCGCGTGGAAGTCTAGATGATATCCAGGCTGCTGGCTGTAATCGACTCACCAAGAACTAAGTATGAGCAAACGCATTGTCCCAATAGCCAGATTGTCTACAGGGGCTGCTGAATTACAACCATTAGACAACTTCCAGAGTATCGTGCTTTGATGGTTAGTTGAAGGCTATATTCCATTGGTCTCTTATCTTTGGGCATCCCTCTTTTTGCCCTAGTCTTCAAGTTATATTCCACCTTTGCTGTTGTCTTTGCTGTGATCTCCTCGCACCGACAAAATACTCAGTCACCTTTTCAAGGTTCGCCGACAACTGTGGAAGATCTGCTGCCACCGAGTGGACGAAGAAATCGGGACGTATCAAAACATATTTCGCAGACTTGGAAAAACGGTCTTGTACCGCAGTTTCACGATATCCTTGGATTGGATGAATCCTCTGTTTCAACAAATGCTCGGTCGTGCAGGGATAGTAGCAGTTATCCTTCTGCATCTGCAGCCCAGGTGAGCATTCTCTCTCCGAATTCGCGAAGCGGACGAATGTGACGTCCTCGAGTGTCAGGACCTGCTTGGGGACTGCGGCACGCTGCAACACGGTTTCAAGGTCGTGTATGTTGCCATCGTCCTGTCCTCTGACGAACACCAGTAGCGAAAGGTGGGAAATATTGCGTATGAACACTTCGTCAGAGAGCTTCGGTTTCTCTCCAAGTCTCTGAACCCAGATCTGAGCAATCTTCCGACCCACTCCAATTCCTTGGAGGAAGAAGCCCTCCGGACATGTCTGGGTATTGTATACCAGTTTGTCGCGGAATGCTCGCTGAGTCCGAAATCGAGAAATGTTGGGGAACCACCACAGGACGCGCATGCAGGCTCGATATATCAGCCCACCAAAGAAAGATCTCTGATTGACGATACTCCCATTCAGCTTGGTCGCCTGTGCTGCCGCATTCCAGGCGTGGCGGCGCTCCTGGCTCCATCCTGCCATTATCCTTTCTTGAATCTCTGGGTCGACATCAAGCTTTGACATGATCGACAATCGCCATGCGAGTCCTTGGGCGTCCCGGATTCCGGTCGCTATGCCCTGGCCTCCGAAAGGAGGAAACACATGGGCTGCGTCACCAATCAGCATAGTCTTGCGGCAGTACCATCGATTGACTATTTTAGCGGCAAATCTGAGGTCCAGGTCAGTAAACCATGGCCCTATATCCAGCTTGAGGGACACTCAACGTAAAAGGTCTGCAGCGAATCAACCTGACGCAATCGTGAGGATACTCAATCGTGGCTCCTTTGAGCTTCTCCGAGAAAAAGGACCCTGGTATACTCAACCAGGGCCGGAAATGCGCCCAAAAGTCCTGCTCGACGTCTTCCAAGGTATCCTCGGGCTCCACCGAATATTCATGTCTTGAAAATGTAAGTGCGCGTGCATCGTGAGCTTGAAGCAACTGGTCTTACCTCCAGAATCCGGAATCGTGTGGCCCAAACCTGCCACTTACGGCTGGCCGTCTCGAGTCGTTGCAGAAACTGTGTGCTCCCCGTCAGCCACCAACGCGTTGAAACAACCAACCATACGTACTGGAACCCGCTTGGCCAAAAAATGCTCTGTACCTGTTCTGCCTTGTATCCTAGCCTCCACAGCGGAAAATCGGGGTGTGATTCTGGCGTCGGCGTCGTGACGTGGAGGTTAGCCGCAACCCAGGTGCCCATGTAGCTATATTCGCCATCTTCTTGCCTGATCCCTTCGGACTCCAAAAACACCTTCCTCACCACACCTCTTTTCCCATCAGCACCGACAAGCCACGATGTACGAATGAGGTGTAGAGCACCATCTCCGGTCTTGTACTCAACCACCGTTTCATGTGGCCCCTCTTCCCTCCCTATCACTTCGCATCCGCCACGAAAGTCGCAATTGGGGTTCTGTGAAAGCTGTTTTCGGATCTCGCGCTCTTCACTCGAAGTTACAAAATCAGTCATACTTCTGCCGGTATTTGAGGATCCCGCTTACCGTAGTTTGGTTGGAACTGTGTTATATTGTTCGAAACTGCCTGTTCTGCCCAGTCCACCTTTAGGTCGAAAGACATGAACGGGCGCGTTCTGAAATTGCCGCGATGAAAGTTGAGGACTCCAATATCTGGTTAGAAATGTGAGATTGTCTGTACGAGACTAGACACTGCCGTAAACTAACCTTTGCCAATTCTTTTGGTCAAGCCCTCACCAATACCAATCTGGTACGAGATCCTCACGGCGTCGCCGTTGACCACAATTCCACGTGGATCTTCACAGACTTCGACGTCTTTTTCGAAGATTGTAACCTTTGATAATTAGCTTGCATGTGACGCAGGGTGCTATTCTTGCAGATCTTGGACACATGCCTTGACATTCATACGCGCGAGTAGGGCTGCGAGGGCCAGCCCGCTTGGGCCAGCTCCCACAATTAGGACGGTTGTCTCCTCCATTTGCGCCTCGTCGAAAATTTATAATAGTGACCGAGCTAATGCAAATTATCAAAAAGGTAGGCTCAGGTGAACGCTGCCGCAGTCGACACCCATGGGGTGAAGTCTTTTGAGTATGTTATATGCAAAAGACAACTACAGAATACGTGCTGAGCCTCGGCTGGCGTGCGAATAACATGCAGGCACCGATAAACTATCGGAAATCGTAAAAGAGTGGCAAAGCAGGCTGATTTCCGTCAATCGCCTCCGTAGGCGATCTGTGCTCACATTTTTGGTCGGCTGCAACACTCCGGACCAGAGGTCCATTTCGGCACCCCGACAGTGCTGGAAGACCATACTCATTTTTGGGTCATCAAGCGGCTCCAAGCTGGAACTCGGCCGGGAACGCACCACAGCCTTCCGTTGGTACGCAAAAATGAAGTTCTAGTTGGGATTCATCCTGTAGCTGGACTGCTAAATGCTTTACGCTACCCCGGCCTCCGGTCTGACCGGTCCCCAGATGTACATTGAAGCTGCGCCTTCGTTCTGCCATCGGCATGTCTTATTGTCCACATTAACAAGATCGCCGTCAGCATAGTGCTCGATAGCAAAGCCACTTGGATCCCTCCAATAGTCAAAGATCTGAGAGCCAAGAATATGTCGTCCTACTCCCCAGATCGGAACATACGATTTGCTCAAAAGATACTGGTGCCCCAAGAGCTGCGTGTCGAAGTCTTCCACCTCAAATGAACAGTGATGCATTTGGTGCTTGCCCTCGAAATTAGGGGGTGCTCGAGACAAGAAAAGAGTGTGATGGTCGCTGTATTCCATGCCTTGGTCTAAATGCATGAAGGTAAGGGAATCGACCTCCTCACCGTTGATTTCGTCCCATAGGATGTCTGAAGGCACGAAGTTGAAATTCTCGGTGTAAAACGCCACGTCCTCATCAAACATGGCCGTGACATAACCATAGTGCCCCAGCTTATGAATCATGGCGGGACCGATTTTGAATCGCTGCCACTCTCCTGTTTTGGAGCTGATTAGCTTGATAAGATCTCGAGGTATGACATTGCAAAGGGTGTATTGTCACCTTTCCTGTTCTTCGTCAAGGCAGTGTTATAGGCACCTTTGTGAACCTCTGTTTCTGACACGGCTGACGAAGGCACTGGTTTTTCTTGCAGCCCCCAAACGACATGAATCTGGGTGCCTGAAGGAGATGTGATCGTGACGATTGAACCTCCACCAGGCCCTTCATTGGGAGAAACTGGTGACGCCTCATTCAACTTGGAAGCTTTGATGAAATCCTCCTCTGTTTGGGCCACAAAGGCTGCTCCTCCAAAAGATTCCTGTGTGCCTTTGCTTCTTCTTGCCACGTAAATGCACATGTCTCGGCCGTAGCCACTATAGTAGATTGTGTCTTGCTCCCGGGCGACTTCGGTAAAGCCAAAGTCTCTTGCAAATTGATCAAACTTGTCGAGGTCGAGATGATAGAGATATACATGGCTGATACGGTTCAGTTGGACCTTGTGTTGCGCATTGACAACCACGGGAATACGGCCGCGTGATGAATGATGCATGTTCCCAAATTTTTCGCGGTTCAACGAAATCTGTGCCGTGGTGTACCTGAGTAAGAGATTGACTTAATACGACAGATGAAGGCCGAATGTTGACCAAAACGTATGACTCGACTCTGCTCCCAATTTCGAAAGGTTCCGACATCAGCAAACCGTAAAGACGTGACATTTTCCGTCGAAGTGCCGCACAAGGTATTTCCAACGGGCCAAGATTGTTGGGCATCGTGTTTCTTCCGCCGAAGAGACGCATCGGCAGTTTAATGCCGAAGCTTCAAAGTGGAAGAAGCTTTGCGATATTCCCACGGAGACTGTAACAATGTGGAGGATCGTTGGGCGGCACTTCAACGGAGGGGTGACTAGTCGGCTGGATACATCCGAATGGTGTGCAACTCCGCATTCTTACGACTTCATCCACCATGGATTCTCACAGCATATAGACCGTGGTCGCGAAGCTCGCGGCACTTCCAGCCTACCTAGATACTAGTTAGATAATGCATAGCCATCATGGGTTCCATCGACATTCCGAAACAATACACCGTCAAAGACCAGCATCTAGGCATAGCCAGACCTGTTAGAATCGTTGTCATCGGGGCTGGAATATCAGGAATAGCGTTTGCGTACAAGGCCAAAGCACTCGAGAAGGTTGAGTATGTCATATATGAAAAGAACGCAGATGTGGGTGGAACTTGGCTGGAGTCGCGTTATCCAGGTTGCTCCTGTGACATCCCGGCCCACTCATACAGCTATCCTTGGATAGGAAACCCATCCTGGTCCAAATTGTGAGTGATTTGAATGAAGATCCAGGACTAAACTTGCTGACACTTACTCATAGTTATGCTGGCGCAGAAGAAATCTGGAAGTTCTACCGTGAGAGAGCCGAAGAATATGGGGTTTATGACCATGCAAAGTTCAATCACCTAGTGGTTGGGGCGGATTGGAATGAAGACTATGGGAGGTGGACAGTGAGGGTGGAAGACCTCGAGAGCGGGAAGATAATCGAGGACTCAGCAGATGTTGTCATCAACTGTGGTGGAGCGTTGAAGTAAATTCTACACACGGCTCTCTCCCGTGTTCCAGATCCAGCTAACTTGCGAACAGTAAGTGGAAGTGGCCCGACATTCCCGGACTTCACTCGTTCAAGGGAACCCTGGTTCACACCGCGCGGTATCCCCAGGACCTCGATCTCAAGGACAAGAGGGTTGCAGTTATTGGCGCCGGTTCGTCCGCTATCCAGGTGGTTCCTACCATTCAACCAGGTGAATACAAGACTCGGGCTCTTAACACATGAATAATGTACTGACGCTAGATGATTTAGTTGTGAAGACTCTCATCAGCTTCGCTAGGTCTCCGACCTGGATTGCACCACAGTTTGCAGGGCAACTGGCCCCAAATGGACGTGCAACAACATATACTGAGGAACAGAAACAAAGGTTCCTCAACGACCCAGAACATCTACTAAAGTATCGCCAAGAAATCGACCATCTCATCAATGCTAGGTTTCCCAATTTTTACAAAGGTTCTCCTGCCCAGAAAGCTGCGCGAGAGATTGTGGAACAGGGAATGAGAGACAGACTCACCAAACTTGATCCGGAACTTCGTGAGAAACTTATTCCAGATTTCGAGGTTGGATGCAGACGGTAAGTACTAGCCACTTCCCTTATCGAAGGCTGTATTCTTATGACTATCTTTACAGTGTGACGCCTGGAGAAGGATACTTGGAAGCCTTACAAGAGGACAATGTCGAAGTCGTCACAACGATGATCCGGGAGATCAACCCGGAGGGTATAGTAACTCTCGATGGTAAGGGATATGAAGTCGATGTGATTATTGCTGCCACAGGATATGACACGTCCTATGTTCCTCCATTCCCACTTATTGGACGAAATGGGGTGGATCTCAGAGAGCGATGGTCTAAGACAGGAGCTGAGGCGTACTTTACTTGTGCTGTACCAGACATGCCGAACTATTTCAGTGAGCTGATATCTTTCTTCCCGCATTACTATCTCTGCTGACTCTACTATTAGTGGTAGTTGGTCCAAACACGCCGATCTCGAACGGCTCCTTGATGCCAGCGATCGAGGCCCAACTCGAATTTGCGTTGAGGTTTGTGAAGCGGATCCAATGCCAAGGGGTGAAATCCGTGGTGGTGAGCCGGCAAGCCACTACCGAATTCAACGAGCACAAGGACGCTGTGATGGAGCTTTTGACGTTTTCTGGAAATTGCAACAGCTGGTAAGAGTCCTGATGCTCCGTTGCCTGTCACGGTCTAGTACAAAAGACGCTAACTAGACTCTTTCCTATGTGCAGGTATAAAGGCGGAACGAGCAATGGCAGGATCATTGGACCGTGGCCAGGCTCGGTAAATCACTTCATGGAATCTCTAAAAGAACCGCGGTTGCAGGACTTCGAATTCACGTATGATACTCCCAACCGCTTCGAGTATCTTGGAAATGGCCTCTCCTCACGCGAGCTCAGGAATGAACCACTCGGATGGTACATTCGGGCTTAGCTTTAACGTCAAGAGTGCATGACTTCGTCTGACTCCCAGCAGCATCAGTGCATATTGAGCAAGGCTCCAAATATTCTCTAAAGGCAAATACGTCAATGAAGAACAGTCCTTTGTCCATGATTTTTGGTAGTTATTAGATTCACTCCCTAGATTTACATACCTATATCATAATGCTTGCCTTGGTAGCGAATCGGCTGGCTGGATTATTTTGAGACAGGCGAACTTGACTTCCATGGGAGTGCGAGATACCGATAGGTCAAAAAGTTGGCCCTAGCGCAAAAACTGAAAACGTCCTTCACCCCGATGCCCTGCTATACTATTTGAGGCATTTCCTTCGGGGTATGTGTGAAGATATTTTAGTTGTAGAGAAAATACTAATCCCAATCCCAGAGCGCAGTTGCGAATCCTGCAGGTGTCGTAATTTATTTTTTCTACCTTTCTTATATTTTTATCATTTATCTCTTTTTGTGAGCAGCGATTCTTGAGGCTTCCAGGCGCGGAGTACAGAGCCACCTTACGCTATTCGCAGGTGCCTCAACTGTGGACGAAGGCTTCGGCTTGTTGGATCCGAAAACCAGTCATCATGATTCTAAAGGCGTCTTCTGATACAACACATTTCTACTGTCCCTTGCATTGACACTGCCGGTGCCCTTCCGAGACACACAACCTCTAGACCGGAAGCGAACAGGGAGAACGAAAATCTCTGGTCCCTGGGCGCAGGTGGATCAACTTCCAGCAAGACCCAACAGATTAGGTGACAGGCATTCTTCGGCATTGTAGATTTCGTCCCAGGCTCTACCCAGCAATGTCAAGCGCGGTGTCGACTGTAGAAGCAGTTCCGAGTCTTCCGACGTCATTTACATTCTGTCGTCTGCATATATGTGGTGAGTATAGCGAGATACCCACAGCGTGCCAGGCGATCTCTGAGCGAAGTTACTGTCTTCGATCTTGTAACAAACCATCTTCGACGCAAACCCCAGATTCCATGGCGCACATTTTCGAGTTGGCCCAGACCCTTTCGTCCTCCCCAAACTATAGCAATGGATTGAAAGCCAGCGACCAGATCAAGTTTCCAGCGACTGAAGTGTTTGGCGGATTCAACAATGCTTCCCGCATAGAAGGAGACGTGGAGAATCTCGAAGTCACCGGGCAGATTCCCCGAGACATCGACGGCACTTTTTTTCGAATCCAACCCGACCATCGACACCCCCCTATTTACGAGTCAGATATCCACTTCAATGGCGACGGCAACGTCACAGCGGTACGTATCAGTCAAGGCCGCGCGCACTTCAAACAGCGCTACGTGCATACGGATCGATTCAAACACGAAAGCCATCATGGAAAGGCTCTATTCGGCAAATACCGCAACCCGTACACAGACAACGAGGCGGTAAAGGGAGTGATTCGGACCGCAGCCAACACCAATGTCTTTTTCTGGAGGGGAATGCTACTGGCCACCAAAGAGGATGGCCCGCCTTATGCGATGGAGCCATCCACGTTGGAGACCATTGGAAGATACGATTTCGAAGGCCAGGTGTTGAGCCCAACCTTCACTGCGCATCCGAAGTTCGATCCAAAGACGGGTGAAATGGTTTGTTATGGATATGAGGTAAGGGAGAACCATTACGTCTTTTGAAACGAGCATCTTTTAAGTGGTATATTACACAGGCTGGCGGAGATGGAAATGATGGATCATGCGACATTGTCGTGTACACTATCAATGCCGAGGGCGTTAAGACGGAGGAATGCTGGTACAAAGCTCCATTCTGTGGCATCATTCATGACTGTGGGATCAGTGACAATTGGATCGTGCTGCCAATGACGCCACTTAAATGCGATCCAGAGCAGTTGAAGAAGGGGGGCAATCATTGGGCGTGGGATCCGAACGAGGACCAGTGGTATGGCCTGGCGCCGCGGAGAGGTGCCCGGCCAACAGATATAAGATGGTTCCGATCGAAGAATGGTAAGTGATACCAAAAAGCTCGTTCTGAGGAGACTTGTCCCTTACGCAATTAATCGTGCAGCTTTTCAAGGCCATACCGTAGGCTGCTACGAGACTTCAGATGGCAAAGTCGTGTTCGACCTCACAGTCGCTGATGGCAATGTCTTCTTTTTCTTCCCGCCTGTCGATACGCCAGCTGGAACCGTGGCTCGGCGCAACAAAGTACGAAACAAAACAACACGCTGGATATTTGATCCGGAAATGAAAGGTTCAGGCTGCTGGGTTGAGCCGGTTGAAGAGGTTGACACGTACTCGGGAGAGTTCTCTCGGATCGATGATCGCTTTGTGACAATGGAGTACAACCACTACTGGCAAGCAGTGATTGACCACACCAAGCCCTACGAATTTGAAAAGTGCGGCTCCCCAGCGGGTGGGCTCTTCAATTGCCTTGGACATTTCACCTGGGATAAGTCCATCACCGAGACATTCTGGGCTGGTCCCTGTGCAACGTTCCAAGAACCAGCTTTCATCCCCAAACCCAACTCGACACAAGAAGGGGACGGCTACCTTATCGCGCTGCTGAATCATCTTGACGTTCTCCGAAATGATATCTGCATCTTCGATGCACAGAATATAAAGCAGGGTCCAGTGGCGGTGATACATCTGCCGTTCAAGCTTCGTCTGGGGTTGCACGGAAACTTTGTGGAGGAGAAAGAGATCAAGGCGTGGAGAGAAGCAAGGGAGCAGAAATTAGGTGCGGTGAAGCCAGCTCAATCGTCATTGGCGTGGCAACGGGATAGGATAGTTCAAAATGGTGTCAGTGAACCGAACCGCGGCGACTGACGTACATTCTCATGAGAGCAAGCCACCTCTGAGACTGCATAGATGGAGGGACGCTGATGAATGTTCTCCAGGTGTGGAATGTGGTTTGGGTTTTGTAGGTCCTTTTGACACAGCCTGTACGGAATTCCTCCAGCAAAACGTGTATTTCGTTGTTTGCCTTGTCTGCAGCATATGAGGTTCGCAAAAGAACAACTCTAGTGACGAAATATACTGCATTTGTCCGGTAGTTCTCCATGGGTGCCCCCCACCGCCTGACAATGAATCAATTACACCTGGGGCAAACTGAACATCGATAATGGGTGCGTTAAAGTCGAATCATCGAATACTCCCAACAACTCCGAATGAAAATCGAGTTCGAAAGTCTCGAAAGAATCAAATTGAGAGCTGCTGAGATCACTAGGCGGCAATTGTGAGATCAGAATTGCCGATGGAAATGAGAAAATCATCAGAGCATTGGCATAACTTACAAGTCAGGGAAATCGAATGAGTCTTCTAAGGCTTGAGAAGGTTCGGAAAGAGGTGCCTGCGTCATCACGCTGTCGTCAAGCCTGGTGCCTGCGTTTGTTTGTGGAGGTATTCGTTCGGGAAGCGTTTGACGTGAGCTTCCGACCGGGCCTGCTGGATCCAAGGCACCACTTTCTTGAACTCTTGCTTCGAGATCAGGCAAGACCTTCTCACACCAACCTACTTGATCCATACTCTTGAGGGTGTCCAGGCAGAACCTGATAAGCTGTCGATATTCGTCGTTGCTGTGCTTCTGAAATGCAAGTATCAGGATCCACATCACCTCTCCAATTGAGTGACAATCAAAGAGGGTCATGCTCGACAGTATTTCCGCCTCTCTCATATGCTTCACAACCTCCACCGCCCTCTCGGCCGCTTGGATACACCTGGTACTTAATTCCTCATAACATTTCTGTTTTGCTGGAACAGTGAACCGGGAAGGCTTCGTGACCGAGAAGAGGAGGAAAGGCCGTGTGATGAAGATGATGGAGACCCAGTATCGCAAGTGGAGCACTGCAACTGCTCGTCGATGTTGAGGCGGAAGAGAAGACTTCCAGTGGAGGTACGAAGGCACGCTCTCCAGCCACCTATACTGACAGGTTAAACTATTGAACACTCTTTTTATCGGCAACCGACCGCCTGATTGTGCCGGTTCAAGGAAGCAGTCATAGCTGATCTTCTTTCTGAGCTTTACCAGACTCAGTGACAGAGCCTGATAGCCTAGAGGCATAAAGGTCCCAGGGTCTAACATCTATTGCAAACGTGAGCAATCGGTTGTTAAATCGAGGGCTCTGAAACTTGCCTGTTCGCACGCTGGTGGGATATTCATGAAGATAGCATCATCAACGATCGCGCAGGGATATCCTAGCCGAATCGCGATTTCATGGTCCATCGTGTAGATCGTCCACCATAACCGCCTGCATCTCTCTCTTTCGATTAGATCCTGAGTCCTTGAGCACATGTCTCGATGTAGTCCAAGTGAAAAAGCAATCTTGACTGCTGTTCCCACATTGAGGTAGGCAGCCATACTGTAACAGGAGCCATGCATTGCTAAGGCCTATATACGAGTTAGAACATACACAAAACACTTTCAAAAGAGGGAGTACTCACTAAGAGCCCGAAAGCTTTGATTGTCTCTATATCGGCCTCATCTGCGGCGGCCGATGATTGCTCCTTTGCCAAGGCAAGATAGTCGGCTGTATTCTTGCAATCCTGAGGCACATCTGTGCTAGATCGTGCAGTATGAGATCCTGGTCGCATGCTTCCCAAAGAAAATATCGAATAGAGCGAACACAGCCATGAAGCGGTTGCTGTTGCACCTCGATCATGCAAGGTGCTCTCGAGGCGTGTGAAAAATTGTTCTGTCGAATAGAACCAGTAAAGGCAATGGATATGCTCAAAAAATCTCGTCACATATTGCGTACAGAGCTGACGACATGGCAAGTAAACATCTGCAGTTTGGGTGGTACTTGGGCTGTCTGGCGTGAGGGGAGGCAACAAACCGGTCTTCAAGGGTGATACGACTTTTGGATCCAGATAGACTGAGCTCGTGCATGCCATTCGAGCAGCATGGTTCCAGCGAATGGAAGACTCTGCTCCGACATAACCTTCAAACGTCAGCGACATATCTCTTCGGGGCTGACAGGAGCTACACACGATACTTTCCCAGAGAATCCAATACCATGCAACCCAAGTCTTCTTGCAAGAGTGGGTGTTCATCACTTTCCACGACCTCTTGAGTCTCATCAGGGGCAGGGTGAGTATCGTCGACGCCAATGTCGGCACCGCTGCTTTCGATTTCCCTGGATGGCGTTTCCACTACAGCGCGGCTACTAGAGCGCATTTCCAACTTGGTGAGGACTTTCTGAATATTGTCGACCGTCAAGTCAGGCAGCTCTTCTTCTGATACGAACTGGCGGAGCAGCTTGATGGAATGGTCAAAGACATCGCCGGAAACCCTATAGAATGGTCGCTTCCTGCCGTTCAGGTTGAATTCACACGGTACACCCTGTGTCTTGCAGTATTGGCAACTCTCGCCGGCTGCGGTTCACAAAATATCGTTAGCTGATAACATTGCTTAAGCGCCGCGTATCGACATACCGCGACCCACACACTTGTTTCGATGTCAGTATAGTGTCTAAGCATACGTGTCTCCATATCCAGGAGGATTCTCACCCTAGTTTTACGCGCTTTGCAGGTATCGCAGCTCTGGCGTGCACGCTTCCTGGGTCGTCCATTTGGGAATCCCGTCCCTGGCTGCTCCATTACTTCGGCTCCTCCGCGACGCATATCGAATTGTTGCTGACGATTTAATCTGTTCAATAAGGATTAATATGCCCAAGGAGTATTTGTGTGAAGTCTAGCAGCATAAAAAAGAACAACAAAATTGATGTGAGCGATATCAGCTCCCCTGTCGTATTTCCCCTCTTCCTCCCACTTCGGCACCATGCATCCGATGATTTCGCCACCCATCCAAACACGAACCTCGGTCTCAATTGGAGGCTGTTTTCGTGCCAATGTCGCCAGCGCCCGATCCTGAGACCTTCTCCTCGAAAATCAGACGTAGTGGCTGCACGCCCACAGTAAAGTGATCGCGAGTTTCTTCCAGCAGCGCCCTGCCATCCTCACCCGGCGCAAACTTGACGCTCCCGAAAGCGTGAATGAAGTGGGTGATCAAATCGCGCATCTCCATAATAGCTAAGGCTCTCCCAATACATCCGTTCATTCCTGTTATTCTTCAGCCACAGTTGCATGTTGTCGTGGAGTGAGTATCCTTACCGATGTTCCATGTTAGGAAAGCTTCGGGGTTTTTGATCAACTCCGGTTTTGAGTACCACCGTTCCGGTATGAACTCCTCCGCCAAGGTATAGTTCGCATCGTCGTGTTGCATAGCATATGGCGGAATAACGACTGTAGTTCCTCCGGGAATGAAGACGTCGTTGATGGTAATGCCTTCGGGTGGAGTCACTCGCGGAAAGCCAGAGGGGATAGCCGGATGCAATCGAAGGGCTTCCTGTATCACGCCGTTGAGATGCTGGGCTTTGGACACATCCTTTGGATCCAACCGAGGCTTGCCTCTGAGCAACGGCTCTAGCTCACTACGCAGCTTCTCGACTTGAACTGGATCTTTGGCCAGGTAATGAAAGAGGAAAGTCAGCGTTGCTGCTGTTGTGTCAGAGCCGCCGACTATTGTAAGCCTGGTATCACCGCGTAACCATTGATAGTCGATGTCTTGCTTCTGGGTACGTTCATACGCTTCCACAAGATGAGACAAAATCTGGGCAACAAGATCAGCATTTCATTGTTGAAGATCGAGGAAGTCTCACATCATGCCTGTCCGACGTTTTCCGCGTCCTCTCCTGAACTTGCAGCCCAACGAAATCCAACCATGCTCTGGCACCATGCCCTGCACGAGGCAGTCTGTGTAGGATCGGCGCAAGCCATGGGATAGGAGTGGTTGGACCAACATCTGCCATGCTCGTCTCCAGAAGATCGGGAATCCAGCGATTGATCTGAGAAGTCATCATGTGGAACTCTTTTCCAAGGCCCAGATCACCCATGACATCAAATGCTTTGAGTGGTTAGCAACAGACGGGTTGTTCGACACACACAGACATATACACTTACCAAAGTATTTAAACCATTGAGAAGCATCGAACGGTCTGCCTGTCATACGCTTCATCTGCCGTATAAACTCCTCGCAGTGCACTGCGACTCTTTCTTCGTAGTCTCGCAACGCCGAAGGAGAGAAAGCCTTGGAGAACACTCTCCTCCGAGCATCATGTATTGTTTTGTCTCGCACGGTATGTAAGTTCACCAGTGGCAGGGATCGATCGTACCACGGACTCTTGATACACTTGGATTCGTTGCTAAGAACGACGTGAATTGCCGCTGGATCGTTGATGGATAAGTTACTGGGACCTTCAGTGTTCCCATGAGCATGATATTCCAGTACTGCAGCTCTTCACTCACCTGTCCTGACAATGGGCCCATATTGTGCATGTAACTTCTGTATTAATAAGTAATTGTCGGACTTGCGAATCAGATATGAGTGATAGAGATTGGACAGTCGTGCCCAATACGGGCCCGGGAACTTTCTCAGTGGATGGAAAAGGGTCCGGTACAATGTTATGCTCGTATAAAGGCCGGCCAGATAAGACGAGCTGAGGGAAACCGTCGCAACGATCGTGAGCAATGGTCGATAATGTGTTAAATGAAGAACCACCAGAGCGAGCAGACAAATCCCTGTGAGTGCTCGGGTAATCCATAGATGTGCATTTCTGTGATGCTCGCCGCGGATGAAATACAAAAGGTGAGTTAGAATGCCAGCACCTGCAGCGAATGCGCAAGAAGCTAAAAGGCTTATCATTCTGCTTGGTAGTTGTTGTCTCCTGTGTTGCAGGATAATTAGCACGATGTCTCCCTTCTGCGAGAAATGAAAGATCTATCTTCTTGACATCTGGCGATTATGGGTCAGACCTTTCGGGATGTGAGGTCAGTTCTCCAGCTTCCGCAGCATGCCTTGGACGGCGACAAGACTCCGATGCACGACCGGAAGACCGGGTCTATACATCCACGCCAGTCGTGGTGGCGGTCTATAAGTTGATACGGCTGGATAGATCCGAAATGTGGTAAAATGGGAACCTTGCATAAACAATCCAAGGACATTCCGTGCTACACAAGAAAGAAACAAGCAAGGTTCGGCAGCAGTGATCGCTAAATGACCACCGGGATGCAAACGTGAGAGGGGACGTCTTGCCTCGGAGAGTCCCTCAAACAGAACAGCAGAATCGAGACCACCCAGCGATATGTCCACTAACCCCCAAAATGGGAATGATCGTCTTTTATTTATGAGACAGCCATATTCATTTATTCAGTTGAAAGACAATAGCATAAGCAGTAACGAGAGATTCGAAGCTGTTATCTCTCAAATTCCTAACTAGGCTGTGTCTTATGTTACTCACTGGTAGCAGGTACAAAAACTTATCAGACAAATAAGTTGCAACCTCAGATGGACTTCGCAAAAGGACATATTTTCAGATCGACTACATTCTAATATAGCTTCTTCTATGCATAGCTTAGCATGGGAGGGCTTAATCCCTTAGACAGTCCGCAGATTGCCTTCTCTTTCACCGCAATGGTAACATCTCCACTATTCTTCATGCTCTTAATGGCCTTAACATCATCGGCAATGTTGATGTCCTTCTTCTCTCTGTAATTTTCTGGCCAGATACCCTGCTTTCCAGGGCTCAATATACCGTTGGGATCTAATGCGTCCTTGATTCGCTCATTTAACTTCATCAGACTCCCACCATTGAAGTCATACTGTTTGGCAACGAGGTCCATGTAGTCAATATGAGCCCTATACTCACTAAACCCTTGCTGTCGAGCGAGGTGGACCAATTCGATGAACAGCTTCTGCGCGCTCTGTCGCTCGGCGCGTGACTGTCTGTCAAAATAGATCATGTCAATCATTGTCAGATGGCGAGGGTACAGGTGCAGACCCCCGAAATAGTCAAAACCGTATTTCGCACAAAGTGCCTTGGCGGCATAGTAGAAGGTAAGGGCAGTTTTGCCATCCGGTGGTAGGACAGGGGAGAAAGAGATGTGTCCACTGGTGGTGTTAGCAGGAATTCAATTGCTCAGGAGATGCAAAGGCAAGCAGGGTGTTAGTGAGTGATCGGAAGGTGCATACCCATCTTTTCCGCGATATTCAACGGCCTTCAGAGCCATAAGACTCGGAGTTCCTGTCTCAACAGACCGATCTTCAAGTGGAAGGTCCTCGGGGCTTAAGAATGACTTCCCTTTGGGAGGATAGAATGCACTTCCGCTGACTTTCGCGCCTGGGACCTGGTCGAGAATCTCTCGACATCTTTTGTAGTTTAGTTCAATCATCTCTTTCGGGCCGTAGAGTGCAAATCTTGCAGACCAAAATCCGATCCCCAATTCGTGCTGTATCTCTTTCAACCTTGCATCCGGTATCGCGTCTTTGCCTTGGTAAAACTTTTCCCGCGTTCCTCGTTTCACAATTTCTCTCGGAACATTTCCTATCAAAGGGTGGTTCTGGATCGCGTCGCGAAGCAACAGCTCGCGGAAAGCGTCGATCAATGGTGCAAGACCTTCCTCGTCCGCAATATCTACTCGGCATGACATGAAACCCTGTGGGCTGGGTGACGCCCAGAGACTGAGCTTTGTGACTATACCAAAGTTGCTTTGACTAAACATTGATTCGTACGTGGGTCCATAGCCACCGCGGAAAAGAGCCCAGCAAGGTGATTCATTCAATGCCCCCGCTCCTGTTCGGACAAGTGTTCCGTCTGCAAGAAGGACCTCGATTCCACAAATTTGATTCGAGTGGTCACCTAATGTTCGTGAGTATCCCGTCAACTACAATCATCCAGGTATCTACTTACCTGCTGGGGTATATCCCCATCCTCTGTCCAAAGCGTTGCCCACAATCGAGCCCCAGCCAAGCGCAGGAACGGAACACCAAATGTTTTTCTTCTGCTCTTGGATGGCCCTGTAAATATCAAAAAAGGTGACGCCTGGCTCAACGGTGTAGTATGAATATTTGTCATTGATCTCGATGATCTTGCGCATCCGCTGGAGGTCGAGTATTATCGAGCCCTATGAAGTTCTATTAGTCCGACGTCTTGGCCCTCTGTGGACACAAGTGGCTTACTTTGACTCTGGCCGCAGGACCCCCGTAACCCAAGTTCTTCCCTCTGGAGACCGTCCATAGAGGAATGCGATGGTTGTTACAGAGTCTCAGAATATCCTGAATTTCTTCGACCGTCACAGGAAGCAGAGTGGCCGAGCTCCCTCGCCTCTCCTGCTCATCATGCTCTTGTGCGTATGGGTCAACGTAGCGGACGTGTTGCTCATGGCCCACTAAGACTCCATCGTTACCAAGGATTGTCCTGAACTCACCGAGGACGGACATCCACGTTGTACGATCTATAGAGGGAGGCAGAATCTCAAGTGTTGGCGTTCGTTCCGCGGTTCTTTTCCAAGTGTCCAAAACCTCGTTAGCCATGCCATTTTCTTTTTCGTTCAAGGCGAGCGTAAATGGCTGCTGGGCTGTCATGGTGAAATGGCCCGGCAAAGAATTCGGGGAGTATGCAACGAGTGCTCCCATGGCTCGATTCTCAACGAGCGATGTCGTGCATATAGATGGAACCTTACCATTCTCCGACCCCTCATGGAGCATCGGAATATTGCAGCCTGGACACCAACTGGGTTCCGATGATTTGGCCTCGATTTTTGGTCTGAAAGATCGTATCCGACACAAACAAGTGAAAAGCTTTGGTCGCTTCGCTGTCTCCGATGTCCGATCAGATCCTCCGGCTATCTCTGCCACAATAACTGTCTCCGGCATGGTGGATCCGATCCGATAGTGCGAGGCGAATTTCGATCCTCCCCCGTTTGTGGGGAATACACCCCGTGGAGATTTTGACCTCCTTCCCCCGGGTTCTGGAGTTACGCTACATAAAGAAGCACAGCGCCGTGGTTCTCAGACAATGGATAGCAAGTTGCCACTCGAATTCTTTTGCCAAATTCAAGCGACAGCAAACAGTATCTTCCCGCCATGCCTCCAGCATCAGTGACCGATGTCCAGGCCAGTGTCGAGCTACAAGCCACACGAGAGGGCGTGCGTGACCACAGCATTCGAGCCAACTGGCGTATCATGGCCGTGACATTGTACATGGGCATCTCACTCTTTGAGTATGGCTTTGACAAAGGCGCTATTGCAGGCTTTCAGGCAATGCCGGGATTCCTCCAGGTCTTTGGTTACCAGACACCAGCAGGACAATGGGCGATTCATGTACGTGGCTCTATCCCCTCCTGTTTCCTCTCTTACAAATGTCCAGACCGGCCCTCAACAAATCATCTCCTCATTCATGATCCTGGGCGCATTTGTCGGGTCCCTCATTACTGGTCCCATCGGTGCTCATCTCTGCCGCCGCTACTCGCTGATGATGGGTTGTCTGCTCATGATCGTGTGTGTTGTCATCATGATTGTCACCACCTCGCTCGGTGCATTATACTTCTCTCGCTTTTTGATTGGTGTCGCCAATGGCTTCTTGCTCAATTTTTCCATGGTCTATCTTCAAGAATGCGCCCCCGCGCACCTCCGCGGCGTCTGTTTCGGTGTTGTGACGAGCTGGATCGCCATCGGAACTACCATCGGAATGGTTCGTATCTTTCTAACCAGGGATTTTCGAAGTGAATCTGCTAAACAGCTCATTCAGGTCATTAACAACTCTACCGCCGAGATGCTGAGCCGAGGGGCTTATCAAATCCCCCTCTATGCGTGCTTTGCACCTCCCGTGATCCTCCTCTTCACCCTACCTTTTCTCCCCGAGTCACCACGTTGGCTGCTTCACCATCACCGACCAGACGAGGCGCTGCGCAGCCTACGCTTTTTCCGCGCAGGAGCTTACGATGAGTTGGCCTTGAACCAGGAGTTCGAGGCGATGAAGGAGATTGCGGAGCGAGAGGCTGAAACCCAGAAAGACTGGCGCCTCATTTTCGAGCTCTTCCGTCATCATAACCTCCGAAGGACGGTTATCTGCGTCGGCGTTGGAACGGCCAATGCTGGTGTTGGAGCCATGTTTATTCTGGCTTTCGGCACTTACTTCTTTCAGATTGTGAGTCACGAGCGTGAACACTTCTCGACGTCGCTGACAGAGTAATCAGGCGGAAGTGGGTGATCCCTTCAAATGGATCATTACCACAAATTGCGTGGGTCTTGCTGGACTCTTTCTCACCTGGTTCGTCGTCACCAGGATCGGACGACGTGCCATCGTCCTCACAGGCTGCATTATTTGTACACTGTGCATGCTCATTATGGCGGCCGTATACTCTGTCCCGGGAGTCTCTCAGACAGGTTCAGGCATTGCCCTCGTGATCCTCGTCAGCATCTACGTTTTCGGCTTCAACTTCGGTCTAGAGCCGTACGTCTACCTGATCGCAGGGGAGCTCCCTGCGCAGAACTTGCGCGCGTACACTATGGGTCTTTCCTCCGCAATTAGCTTTGCCTTTGCCTGGCTGTGTGCTTTCACGACGCCTTATTACATCAACCCAACCGCCTTGAACTGGGGTCCCAAATATGGATACATCTGGTTTGGGAGCGGCGTCGTTGTGTGTATATTTATCTATTTCATGCTGCCAGAGATCCGAGGCAGGACGCTGGAAGAGATTGATGAAATGTTTAGGAATAAGGTCCCTACCAAGGATTTCCCAAACTATGTCTGCGTGGAAACCGAAGAGGCCAAGAGAAGAGGCTTGAGGAATGTTATGGGGGCAGAGAAGCCAGACGTGGCCCAGGTTGAAGTGGTGGCGGTGGAATCACACTATTGACGAGGAGAACGACAAGGTGGGTGAACCAAGACTCCCAGGGTATCGAGCAAGCTTCGACTTTTGGAAGCCTCGAATTCACAGTCCTGCAGGAGCCTGTACTGTTTTCTATGCTGTAGAAGACCCTGGAGATATTCTGCCCACCATGTATCGTATACTGCGCACTTCTGGCGGGAGGAAGATGCTGTGATAATTTTTGGTATGTAACTTGTTAGGCGTGCCGTGCTCTCTGCCCGTCTTCGCTTCGAGGCACCTGTGCCTATGAAGCTGCCGAGTACATGGTCGAGGGATGCAGGGAAAGCCCCATTTTGATTCGGGCCAGTGATGGATGGTATGGTGATGCAGACAGTTACAGAACATCCTCCAAAGGGGCGTTTGCAGAAGGATTCATCGAGGAGAAGCACAGGCACATGCTCTGCTTGTCCTTCCAGGAATACACAGACCTGAAGACGATACTTCGTAGTCGAAGGGATTGCCCCTCTTTCCGAAGTGGTAAACCATCGAGCCAGTGATTGACTTGAAGCGAGCTTTCTCGAGCTTATTCTCGATCATTTGCGTCCTGTAAGCGTCGCACTTGTGTCCCTCTGAGTCTGCCACGTTGTAAGCTTCTCGTGCCCACGGAGATCGAGCTGCTCAGTCTCGGAGGCTTGAACATTCTTGTCGACCAGTCGCTTGCTTAAGCGCCTCGTAGGTAACCAATCATCTGGCATCGGACGATTTCGTGACTTCGGGGACATTCCTTGTTCCAAGATGAAGTCCAACGTGGCCGAAGGTTGGGGCAAGTTGAGCCGTCTGATGTTAATCGCGGCATGTTTCACTCTCGGGTTCGACAGAGCCCCGCATCGACTACACAGTATGACCTCTTCAGCCTCTTCAGTTGAATTACCATCTGTTCTGGAGTCTGCTCGGACATCAAACTTGGTCTTCTGAATAGAACGCCCTGCTGACATGAAGGCCATCTCAGTACGAAAGTCCAATGGTCATCTCTGCAATGTCCGAGAACCTGATTGGAGTTATGGTCAAAGAGCTCGCCTTTTGCGTTCGGTCGATAGTTTGGTTTGAACGCGAATTGGTTCGCCTCAGCAATCGTATAATTCCGCGTTGCAGATGCATATAGTCCTCCTGGATATATCAAAATAATGCAAACTCAGAAGGCTCTAGCGCTTTTGACCAATTTCAAAGTCGGGTAAAGGTGGGCTACTCAGCGAACGCCAGGCCCAGCGTTGAGACAGCCGCCTGAACAGGGTAAGCTTCCAGTCTACCAGTAACTGGCTCCCATTCATAACGAAACATATACAGCAGTAATGGAGCTCTCCATGGCGCAGACTGTAGTATACCATTGACTTCTCAGCCATGCTTCGCCTAACCTTTGAATTGTTTCCTCGTACACGGCGAAAGCTTGTACCACATCCAGCGAATCTTGAGGTTGAGCATCGAGAACGAACACAAAACACCCTAACTCTTGATCCAGAAGATTGTGCCAAGCTGTTATTTGGAGAGGTGTCAGGCGGAGAGGTCCAAAGGAGCAATAGTTCGTTCAGCCTATCGGAAAGTGTTGGAAACGAAGCAAGTGAGATACTCTCAAGAATTGCCTGGGTGCTTTTAATGCCGGCTTGGCAACGACAGCCTCAGTAATGTCTTTCAGTATCGTTCAGATGTTTCCAGTACACCAAAATGAGTACGCAAAGTGCTGGACGTCAAGCGGTACTGCAGGCGAACTGACAGAACAAGGGAGGGTCATGATGCAAGGACGAAATATGTATGTGCATATTACATGTTTGCTGCTTGCCCCGAAAAGGACGTTTTGAAACTCTCCATGAACTACGCAGTCAAGATTCACTAGCATCTTGGCATTGGCATTTGATCTCTGGGTAGCTTTTGAGTACCTGATGGAAGCAGGCACTGAAAGTATACGTCAGTCGAGCAGAACGTTCTGCAGCTCGTAACAAAAACACTCACGTCGAAGCAAAAGCAGGGTTGCAAGAAGAGCTGCTGATCGGCAAAGCAGTGCAGTGTGAAAGTCAATCGTCGTTTCTCGTTTGCCTCAATAACACTATATTCAATCAAAATGCTCTTGATCGAGGGCAAGCGCTATGATGTTGTACTTGGCCAAGCTACACAGACGATTGACCTTTTACGCACTTCCGTCGAATAGAACGTTCGTCTCTTCCATATCAACGAGAAAAGACAAAGCTCATTCCCTCAATTTCCAGCTTAGTTGGACTCGTTCGCATCTCTCTCCATCCATATGAACATGATCAAATCTGTTTGTTCAGTACTGTATAAGTGTGAAGCTTTATCAGACAGCATGCCAACTCTGTTGTTGGAAAATTTTGTTTGCGAAGCTTTCGCTATGTTGAGCAAGAGAAGTAAAAACCAGTGTTGGTCGTGGAGGCTCGAGATGCCTGTTTTCATTTGGTGTGTCGACTGACACGAACGTTTTCATGATTGACTTGAGATCGAAAAGGTATGGCGGTCGTTCGACCCGCTTCCGTGAAATGTCGTAAAGTTGCGCAATCGGCAAGATAAGTCCCAACAAGGCCAAGCCACGTAATTCATCAGGCCTTCCAACGCCTAGGCACTGTTCATAAAGCCATAAATGGATAGTTTCCACGTTCAATCATTTCTCTCCCTTCTCTTTCGATCGCCAGAAAAGCATGAGCTTGCTTAGCCTGTTCGTTTTCTTCCTACTCTGTTCGTCCGCAGCGTTGTTGTCTGGGATGCTTTCAAACTTGAGTTTGCTGCCGTGGGAAGAGCCAGGAATGAGCCGATTGAGACTAGCCAGGCTCGAACGCTTCCACGCCTGCTGAGTGCTCGATCTGGAAGTAGATGGGTCGATCATGGATGCCGAACGTTGCTCGACAGAAGATCTTGTACCTGCACTACTGGAGAATCTTGGCACGGCACCGGTGGAGATACTGTCGCTCAATGACGGAAGATCATCGTTGGATGCACGAAGGATGAGGTCCGGGCTTGGTTCTCCTAGCAACCTCGCCGGGCGGGAGAGGGCATCGAAAGAGATATGGTCAGCGTCAGGTGAAGACATCATTGAAGCTGAAGTTGTGCGACCGTCCGTGGAGGAGGCGTAATATGACTGGGGTGCCGGATATGCGAAAGCCATTGGGGAAGACATTGGTCGCTTTCGAGGTTCGAAATCCTGGAATACTGGAGCCTCGATGGTTGAGTTGGAGGATCTCGCATCGACCCGGGCAAGGTCCTCATCCGAGTCAACGATAATGACACCGTCGCTTGAGTTGTCCCGAATGAACAGACCGAGGCCTTCGGCAACTTTGGCATTGGGAGACCCCAGGGAAGGCGAGGCTGAAGATTCTTCTTTACTTCGACCTACCACAGAGGTGCTTTGTGCGGCATTTTCTTCGGCCAGAAAATTGTCTTCTTCCTCCTCATCAAAGACATCTTCGGAAAGAGAAGCATTGCTGCCAATATGATGTAAGCCGAAGATGTTGCGATTGACAGCGGGCATAATTGGTGCTGACTCGGTCCTCCTATGAACCGTACCGAAAGCGTCCATTGGTCCCCTGCGTTCACTGCTGTGAAGTTTTGCCAACTTTGAAGCTTGTTTGGCATTAGCATCTTGTCCGAACTTCTCTTCGCTTCCAAAAGGGCCCAGGGCGGCATCCAGATCGATGGCCGGACTGGTAGTCAGTTCTTCGTGATGACCTGACCTCCAGTCCCTCAAGGTTGCTAATGTTTCCTCCGCAGCCCGAACCCTAGTTGCCACAGGTGAGGGATTGCGAATCACGATTGTATCATCTGCATCAAAAATGTCATTCAATCGATCACTTGGAGTCCTTGTGAGAGGTGGTGGAACTGGCCGATCTTGTGTTTTGGTCTTGGTGGATCGCTTCTCTGATTTTCTGGAGAAAATTCCTGATGTCCAAGTGTGATATTTTCGCTTCTTTGTGATGGACTCGCCTGAGGAGGTTCGAGGTCTGAGTGCGTTGCCCGGGTCGTGCAAACTGGCAGTGGGAGGCGCAAAAACATCCATGGGATCACTCCGCTCAATTTTGGGGGTGATCGATGGTGAGCTACTGCCGGAGTGATTGAACCAAAAGTACTTTTTCTTATTTGGAGGACTGCATGAGCTCAGCGTGCCAGGTGATCCTGAAGCGGATAGAGGACGTTTTGGCAGACTGATCAGAGACAGGTTCTTCGATTTTTCGGACGCCATTCCTGGAGACAGTGTAGAAAGCGCATCTGCTGTTTGCGGTCTCTCCGGCGAACTCGTCGTGTCATGTGACGGGCTGACAACGAATGTCGGACGCGGTACAGGACTGGCGATCGAATTGATGCTGCCAGACAAGGAATGCCCTCCCCGAACAGTTGAGTTACTACCTTCGGTCTCGGAAGATATCATGGACAATGGTCTGGGTATGACATCGACATGGTCAGAAAAGCCCACGCGAGGTCTGACTCCTGGGAGGCTGCCTCTGCGGCGAGGAGAAGAAGGAGGTGTCTTGACCACACTTGACATTGACTGTCGTGTCATCGGACTAGCACGAGAGAATGTAAATGTCTGTGCACTGTCGGATGGAGTGGTTGGTGTCGAACCCGCACGCGCCTTGGCCACAGCATTTGCTTTGATCAGCTCAGACGTATCGATGTCAGATATTGAGACGGCCTGCGAGCGACGATGGGCGTGCCCCCTCACTCCAGACATCGGAGGGTGCGGACGATACTCCGGCTTCTCAGGACTTGTGCTGACCAGCTGGGGTCCATCAGTCCCACCTCCACCTACAAACTCACTTCCACCTCTTCGATGACCACCACGAGAAGGTTGTTGCGTGTCAATAAAGCTTGCTTTCGTTGGACTGGGAGATGTTTGCGAAGGTGTCGAGTTCGGAGCAAACGTAAAAGCGGGCAAGGGGGCGGGTTTAGCCGAACGAACAGCACGCTGCTTGTTCAGGGCCATCTCTTGAAGAACGGGATGAGTGGGACTTGGACCTCTTTCGGGCGGTAGATTGGCGCCTGGGTTGAACCTGAAGTCAGGGAGCGGAGGCGGCTTAGCACAGCGACGGCCGACATCACCCGCCATGCCGCTAGCACGCTGGGTAGGCGAATCCATCCCTTCTAAACCTGCAATGTTCTCATCCGCGCCGGGGTTGAAGGAGAAGATCGGTAGAGGAGAAAGCGCATTTGGGTTTCGAGAAGGTCGTCGTCTGTGAGCTTGAGGCGATCGCGGAGGAGAACCGGGCGTCGAATCGAATGGTGACAACGCTGGCACCGGGGCAGGAAGGGAGATGGAAGCCATAGTTCAATCTTGACAGGGCAACCACCCAACAATGCTAAGATGCGTGTTCTGGCCAGCAGGAAAGTGCGAGGTAGAGAAAGTCAAAGGCGTCCGGACACCTGCGGGGGTTGTGGATGCGGCCTGGTTGCAAAAAGGAAGGACTGCCACCATCAGAGGCTATTACCGCAGCAAGAGTATGTCCGTAAAATGAATGGCCTGTACAAAGGTATCTGAGAGAGTCAGAAAGTCTCGGTTCAAGTTGTTTGCCAGTCATTGGTGGTACCTGGAAAACAAGTCTCGAGCACAGATTCAAGGGTCGCGGTTGAAGTGAAATTGGAGATCGGTCGACTGAAGGGATGGGAAATTGGTGCGTTGTTCAGATGAAGGAGTGGACGGCTACCTGGAAGAAAGATCGGTGAAAGATCTTTCTTCGATCAGGAGCCACGAGGCTGATGAGGCCCTTTGAGGGAGCGGGAGGGCGAAGTGTGAGGAGGAAGTAAGTGGTGAGGTACGAGTGCGAAAAGAGGACGGGAAATGGGAGATGGGAGGTAGTGGAATTGAAGGGGATGCAGGTGAGTTGCGTGTGGCCAGCTGCTCACGTTGGACTGCGGGCGGTGGTCCACCGGGAAACTGGGTCGCTAGGCCAGTCAGGCAAAGTGCCTAGCTGGGCTGCTGGGTGAACTGGTCAAGCGAGCTTTTGGTGGCTTCAGTGGCCGTGGCTGCAGGTTCACCAGTCCCTTTTCAGGCTTGGCTCGTTTCTTACTTACAGGGATACCTAGGTAGTGCACAGTGTGTACTCGGTATTGTGGACGAACGCTTCTACCAACAAGCCGGGTGAGAGGGAACAAGGAGAACGAGCACTTGATGAAGCTGCAATACGCGTATACGTTTGCAAGCAATCTAGCATATCCATTATCATGGTGGAGAAACCTCTACCTCGTACCTTGTACTCTACAAGGGCTTCATATGGAGGTGGCGGCTGCGCCCGTCAATTTGATGATACAGCAAAGCCCCTTGCGCCCACCATTTTCTAGACGCAAGCACGATGCACACCACATAATTCATATTTCTAGGTACCTTGCCCGTCAACCGGAAGGCTCATGACGAACTGTCAGCTTGATTGCCTGGCTGGAATGTCGACCACCGCATGAGTTGGCAGGCAAGAATGGAATGAAGTTCATGACAGGAGAAATTCCCAGCCCATGCGGCCCGTCAAATGAGCCCAATCTTTACGAGATTGCCTACCCTTACAGCTGCGTTTTCACCATCGGCCTTTGCTGTCTCGGTTTGTCCAACTTGCCGTTCTTCTTACATGTTCACTATGTCTTGGGTGCATAGAATTCATATGTACCGCCAACTGCGAGTTGTCGCTTGGTTCAAAGGCGATACGTATTTAGCCCTTCGCGTTTTGAGCGCTGAAAAGATCTTCCAGGATCGGCGCAAAACCCGAGCAGCGTGGCCCCTGCTCCTGCCACTACTACGAGCACTAGTACGAGGTACTGCGTACCTAGGTAGGTACCTACCTGTTCTTAAGCGGTAGTGGCGGAGTCCAAGCTCTTGCGCTTATGCAGGAACTCCCAACCCCGGATCCAGGTCACTGGCCAACAACAGAAAAGAGGCATCCCAACCAGACAAGTCCTTCGATGCGCCATCGTCGTATCCCACGAGCCAAATCATCGCGTACCTCAATTGTGTTCTTCACCGGGTATAGCCGTCGAATCGGCTCGACCGGCGCATGATCCTGCAACGCCCCCAGAAAGTCTCTGTGTGGCGGAAATCTCGCGAAAAGATGCAAAACCCGAGGGATGCACACTGAAACTCGCTTCATGCCGTCTCCTGGACAACATTCAGCATCTCGGTTGCTGGAGGATAATAGATAAGGCAACACTTGATCATAATGAAACCCCACACAGATGCCATTGTGCTTCACCGACATGAGAGTGTGGTGAGTGGGAGCTCGGGCCTAGCAAGAGGCTGACCGCCAAAGCTGAAATTTTGACAACCAATGAATACTAGAAAATGGGTCTTGAGCCACATCTTCCTTTGAGCGAACCCGAACCACTCGGCAAAAGCCTGGGCAGAAGCGTCTGGTCGAGATCCGCCGTCGGTGGACCTACGCAGTAGCAGCCTCAGTGTTCATGCATACCTCTACTGACGAAACGGAAGCATCCTGCATGGACACAATGCGAGATGAGAAAGGGGGGATAGCGAAAGGAGGAAAATTCACTCCAATGCATATGCTGCAGGCCTGCATCTGCTGCACTGCTCGTATTTACCACTCGCACAGCGCACACCGGACCAGATTCGCCCCATCCTGTTCGCCTCGTACCTAACCCGATCTGTACGTCCAAAAAATGCGGCACCTGCTTCCCGATGCCACCTCAAAGTCGGCGCTATCGAGGCAGGCCCTTCTTCTTTACGTGAATACAAAATACCCAATATCAGTCAGGAGCCAGTCCGCTCGCGCATGCCAACATATCTGGCAGCTCCCTTGGAAACACAAGAGGCCATTCAATCTCGGATTTTTCTCCGAAGTCCCACCCAAACCGTGCAACGAAGTGCATGATTTTTTGGTAACACTGCATTTCTGGAAAATCCGGCTGAGAAGAAGAAGGCTCTGACCTTTCCAGCCTCGTTATCCCCTGCCACACGAGCCGATACAATGGCGCCTGCAAGGAAGCAGAAAGGCGCAGACAGCCGGACTCGTCAGGTCTCTCAGCCACGCGGTCGCGGCGGGGCGAGGAGTGGTATAACAACGCAACAACGTCCCGAACCCCGTGGCTTGGTTTTGCCGGCCGATTTACAACAGCTGATTCTAGACGCGTTTTGTCGGGCATTTTCATTCAAACACAACCAGATTGAGTTGGACGCCACCATCCAGGAGGTCAAAGGCCACCTGTTCCGGCGTGACTTTGCTCGTGCATTCGCCAAGCCAGAGTACCTCGATGCTTATGCACTCAGATGGAGTGCCAGCCGTGCACTAGGGTACACGAGCATTTTCCTGCACGACGATTTACAACGAGTTTGGAATGGACTCGCCGAAACTACGACCACCACTCCGAACGCGAATGCGAGTCCATCGTCAAGAGGAGCACATCTTCCACGTGCGGCCGGCGCTTGTAGCGTAGTTTGCATTGGAGGTGGCGGCGGCGCGGAGGTGGCTGCATGTGCGGCTACAGCACGAACACTCCAACTAACATCATGCAGACTTGCTGTTCATGTCATCGATATTGCAGACTGGTCGGCCTGCCTCTCAAAATTAGGGCACGCACTGAGCACGCCTCCGACCTTGGCCCCTTTTGCAGCCGAGAGCGGCGCCAAAGCGGCGAATAAGTCTTTCACAACAAGTGATGAAGTCTCCGTCCGGTTTTCTCAACATGACATCCTCGCCATCGGTGAGGCTGACTTTCAGAGCATTATGATCGGGGCCCATCTCTGTACAATCATGTTCACACTAAACGAGCTCTTCACAGCCTCCATCGGGCGCACCACAGCATTTCTCCTGGCGCTTACCGATACCATGTCACCGGGCTCGTGGCTTCTAGTCGTGGATAGCCCTGGGAGCTACTCTGAAGTGAAAGTGGGATCTGAATCCAGTGCTACTGAGGGACAAGGAGAAGAAAGCGAGGATGCGAACACCAAGGCAAGGCGCTACCCCATGAAGTGGTTACTGGATCATACGCTCTTAGAAGTTGCTGGGAAGACGCCAGAGGGGAAAAGCAAATGGAGGAAAAGTGTCTCTGACGATTCAAGGTGGTTCAGATTAAGCCAGCAACAGCCACTCAAGTACCCCATGGAGCTTGAGAATATGAGGTATCAGATTCATCTATATCAACGGACACGGCCAGGGGAAGAGGAGGGCTAGGAGCTAGTGCTGAATTGCGTACGGACGAGGTACATTCAAGGAACGCGACTTGCAATCTTCTATTGTGCCGTCATTGGGCTATGGCAAGAAGATTTCTATCACTGTATGTGGACAGGAGAAAAACCACTGTTCTTGTCGGTATGATTCTTGACCTGTCCGCTGAAATCACGCCGAACCGGAAGCCATCGCCCCCTCTTTACCGTCTGGACAAGGCCGTTCGCACAGATGCAATATCAGGATCCGTTTTGCATTGATTCCAGGCCAGCGGGACAGCTCTACACCCACTACTGATCTGTCACAGATAGCAGTGGGTGACGTGTCCACTTCAGATGTCAGAACTTTGGCCACGAGATGATATCCTGCGAATCGACGCCCTATGCATCGGATCACAAGATTTAATCCTCATCCTCATCGCCCTCGTCATTGACAACGTTGAAGAAGCGCAGCTCGTAGACGCCCCTAGATGTTGAGACCACGCGTAGCCAATCGCGGAGTTGTTGCTTCTTGAGGAACTTCTTGGTCCTAATTGAGCATCACACATTTATTGTTAGCGCTGACCTTTCCAAAAGCACAGGTTTCTCCATGGTCGCCAGAAGCACTCCGAGAAATCAAATTGCCCTCTTTAGCGCAGCATCGCATACTTCGAGGCAATGGGTTGATGTGGCTTTCCTTTGTCGGTGATGGGAGAATCAAGAGATGGGAAACATGTTGGTGGGGATTGTGTTGGGCAGTATGGGTATAGGTTTCCCTCTCTTTTGCTTACAGGTATTTCAAATAGCGGCCGGAGAAAGGGATATGGGTGACGACCTCGATCTTGCCATCGCCGATCTGGCTGATAGCAACGTTGTCGCCCAAGTTCCCCGTGCGGCCCTCGACCTTGATGCGTTCGTGCAGGAACTTTTCAAAAGCCGAGAGGTCAAAGATCTTATCGGAGACCGGTTGCGAGCAGTTGATGGTGTACTGTTGGTGTCGCAGATGTTAGCCGGGAGTTTTGCACATCCTGGTTAGACAGAGGGATAAGGGTTTTGTTCGCACGACGATTGAAATTCAATGCGCATGCGCATACGAATGATCATGTATGTGTGCGGAATGTGTATGTTTATTCTTGTTCATGCAGAGACTGCGCTGCGTACCTTGTTCGTGACCTTTCCACCTTTCGTGCCGGTTTTCCCCTTCATTGCGACCTTTTGCGCAGTACCACGAGCCTATATTGTAACGATCCTTCCCCCAGAGGAAGGGGGAAAGAGATAAACCTTAGCCTACTGCACCCCATCGTGTATAACATGAGGACCAGCAAAGCGGTTCGGTTGAATCTGTCTGATCGACTGACCGCGCGCGCGCGATCCGACGGTATAGGGACTTACTTTCACGGATGGTGCCATTTTTGAGTCGTGAGGTCGCAAAGAGATCAATATCCTGCGCCTTTGGAATTGATGCTGTGGTTGACGGGAGAGGAAAATTGGGTGCGGACCACGCTCAAGAAATCCGGCCCGCAAGCGAAATTTCGGGTGTGTGGATTGAAAATTCGCATTACCTTCCCCTTTGGGTCTATAGTCTTGGCAACACACAGGGCTCTGAAATAATTTCCCACAATGAGTCTCACAGCTTGCAGGCGACGAGGCTGCGAGCTAGGCCGTCGTGGGCAGCCTCGTTTAGCCGCAGCAGGAGGAGTACACCATCTGTACGAGGCACCTTCTTCACAGTTTCGGTCACAATATAAATATCATTTGCATAACGATTCCGAGTTGGATCACGAAGTACAAGTTTCGACGGTCGCAAAAAATGCGTACCAATCACACAGTATCAACCGGCCAATCGTTGCTAGCCAGAAACCACCCGACTTTGAGTCCTTGTTGCTCCTATCTGCTCCATTGCCATGTCATGCCGAGTCCAATTCATGCGGTCCAGAAAATACACAACATTTTCATGAACGTCAAGATTCATGCTGTCCTGGAGGTTGCACCATAACCACGCCATTCGTAGCTGTCAGATGTCAATGTACATGTCTCCCGTTGGAATGAGTGAGTCCATAATTCGCCGATGCTCCTCGTTTGTGGCTGCTGCCAGCCTCTGGGTGAGAACGGGACTATTCCCGATCACGTCGTTGCGATTTGGTCATAATGAAGTGCTCAACTGGTCGTGAAATTCGCAACACTACCGCTTCACACCAACTGGTCCGTGACTGGCACTGCCAACACGTCCACTTGTCTTCCTGACCTTCATCTTCTCCTCGACCCCGCTGCGGCGTGGTGACTCCCTAAGCGATCGAGTCTTTGAAACACTCATGGCACCCATTCCACTAGCAGATCGTGGAGTCTTTGGTCGAGCAGCGCCATTTTGACCCTTCTCACTCATTGTACTGAGCTTGAGATTCTCTTGTTCTTGGGCGAGCTCGTCCCAGATGGCGTTTGTGTCCTCTATCTGGAAATTGATATCACCGTCGTCCTCGTAGATGCCCATTGTATCGCCCACGTCGAAGGTCTTGGTCATAGTTGTGGTGGTGGTAGTGTACGAAACGCTGCGAGCTTTGCCTTTACTACCAGGACTCTTGCTTTGGCTTCGGCGAGATGCTGCTCGTTGCAGGATGAGCTCCTCTTCGCTTTCCGCACCATTGGTACTGAGTCGACGTGTTTCCACCGTGGCGACCTCGCTCTCAGACTTGTTTCCATTAATGCGCATGGTGCCGGAAGTAGATCGAGCATAGGGGTGAGTTCGAGGATCCATGCGGGCATACTTTCGAGGCTGGCCTGGTGTTGGTGCTGGAAGATTTTCATCTTGATAAGCTCCGGCATTCGAGACGTCATTACCGTCGATTTCTCCCAGAGCAGCTCTTTGGGCGCTGGAACGATCTGGAGTCGCAGTTTGTGCCCCGCTAGGGACGCGCATGGGTGTCTTCGCCGACATGATGCGCGGCGTCGAGGGCTTGCTCATCTCCATCTTTGCCTTCCACTGATCTTCTAAATACCATTCTCGGAATTGTCCCTGGTTCAGATGAAGCCAATGTTGTTGTGGCCCGACCACCATTCCAGGGCGCATGAATCGCATGAAAGAGATAACCTCGTTCGCAGTGAAGCCATGGCGATAGATCAAATAGGCACCGATCAAACACCCAGTCCTACCAAGACCGGCTTTGCAATGGACAGCGATGGCTTTGCTCTTTGCAATGGTGTTGTGGGCTAGCTTGATGAACTTGCGAACAATGGGAAGCGCGGGACAGGTGCCGTCTTCAAAAATCATATCAATATGTTGAATACCGAGGGCAGTGAAATATGTTGGACAGTAGAGCTCCGAGTTCAGTCGGACTACCAGACCAACGTCACGTTGGACGAAATGAGCGAGGACGTTCTTGAAGGGCTGGGGTATTCTGGCATGTTGAATTTCCGGGATGCAAGATGGCAGTGTCGCATAGGCTGGAGATGAGATGGGAATGGGCACTGTTGGCTCAGATTGAGGAGATGCAAAGGCAACAAATTGGGGGCAGATCCAGTTGAAATCCCCTTGATCGACTCGTTCGAATCGCTCGTACCTATGCATGTTAACGTTGTCCCACAGCTATTCATTGGCCGACTTACTCTTCGAGATTGAATTCCTTCAGCTGACACAAACTTTCTTCTTTGGCCTTCCAAACGCCGTACACTACATCCTGGATGTTAAGGATGAAATCTGCCTGACTGTAGCCTGCATCTCTGAAGGGCATGTATGGAGGATCAGCTTGAGCGATGGGCGCAAGAGCAAGGTGAGGAGGCCACGCTTGGATCAGGACCATGTAACATGCGACGAGACACGCAGCGTTCGCTCGACTCCTCGCATCGGCTCTGCTCCAAAACACGACGGCTTTGTCGTTGTTTGCGGGGTCACCCAGGATTTCATGGAACTGGACGGCGAACCTGTAGAGGTGACCGATGTGCAAAGGACCAAAGTCGGCGTGAAAAGCGTTATACAGAAGAGTGTCATCGATGGTGAAGTAGACTGGGGGAGGTCGCAGAACGGCAGGAACGGGGCCTGACTGCGCTTTAGAGGACTTCTTCTGCGGCGATTTCTTTGCCTGAGTGGGATACGGGAACGGAGTATGCTCGTTGGGAGGGTGAGTGTAAGACGCGAGGTAGAGGCGATCTGTGGGTGAGAGGAATGTCAGTGATGCGCATCGCAGTGAGGGGCATTGTTTTGTTTCAGGTCTATTTACCTTGGATGTATTCAATGACCTGGCCGTAGCTGGCAGGATGCACCAGCGAGGGCGCCATCACTGCTCGCAGCTGATGAGGGATCGACTGTCAACGGAATGACTGGATCTTGCACAGGTATTCAATGTCGCAGAAGGCAAGCTTAGGCAAGCTTAGGCGCTCGATGCTGGATAGAGGAGACGCTGTCAACAGTTCGATGGAGATAGGAATGTCTCTAACGTTGCAGCATCTCACGAGGCAAAGGTATTAGCGAAGATACAGCTAAGCAGCGCGAGAATGCGACGAGGCGCAGACGAAGAGGGCAATCGAGGGTAAAGATGTGGTGCTTCGGTAGAGGAAGCAATGGTCATGTATTTGAAAGATGCGAAATCCGGGCATGTAATGGGTAAATGAATGAAACGGGGAAGGGGTGCCAGCCCCAAAGGTCCCAAGGCCCCGATCGTCATGTTTACTTTTCGCCCCTGCATCATGGTTTCCCAGCAACCGCTTATCGGGTTTCAAAGAATCTTCCTTTACTGCACCCTACCATCACAGCTACGCAGCCAGAACAGCAGCCATTGCTCCATAGGTATGTATCCACATTCGATTCAATATTTCTCTGGGTGGTGTCTGATTTCTGATTTTCAGCCTCGTCTCAAACCGGCGTTACTGTTTAGGACTGCTCAGCCTCGCCGAATGCGTCGTGGTGCTCTTTTTCCATCTCAGTCGACATGGCAATCGGCACTTCGCAGTCCGACTTTCCATGCTCACTGTGTGTGACGATTTCCCTCCCTGGTTGCTTGCGCAAGGACTGACCCTCATGGCAGAGTCATCCATATCCCTCTCCTAAACCATCGCCTAGCCTCCATCGCCATGCGCGCCCTACAAGTCGATGCTGAGTTGTCCCCACTCGTTCGTCGAGAGTTCACTTTAGTCACTCCAGGTGCTGTCAATGGTCATACAGTAGAGGGTGATGCTGGATTACAAGATGTCCACAAGACCATTCTTCGCACTCAGTACAATGCAACGACCAACCGCATGCTCCGAGTCGCTGTAAATGGCTTCATGGAATCTCTAGGGGTCGTCCTGCAGGTCATGGGGGAACTGGACGTGGATATTCTTGAGTCAAAGTCAGACGCAGATGGATGAAAGCCCCGATTCGTCTTTGGTCTTTGCAAATGGGTTGCTTGTAAAATGATGGCCCCAAACATGGTTGACTTCGGCCGGCGAGTTGGTGACCGGAGTCCATCGCATCCATGCGCGTACTTTGACCAGTATAGATATCAGCTGAGCCATGTCTCGGTTCCCCCCTGGGGCTGCGTGGGGACTTCGAATCACAGTAAAGCAAGCTCAATGACGCTCGTCCCGGGGGGCCAAGTCAAGCCTTGATCACGTAGAGGATCATCGTTGAGAATGCGACTGACTGGCTCCTTGGTGCAGTTGAGACATAGCCTTCTCCTCTTCCGTCTTCAACCTCTACTCGGTTTCTTTAGGACGGGCCTGTGGAATACTTCCCACGCCGCGAATGATGAAGCGAGCATCTGGCACATCACAACGTGTCCGCGAAACCAATGATGGATTTTGCGTAGTTGACATTTTGCCCTCGGTGCCGAGACCTGCACCTCCGTAAGAGACCATGCCGAAGTAATCCGGTAAGAAGACTACCCCTGTGTTGGTGACATCTGAGTGCCCTGCCAGATAGTCCTGGGAATCAGGGTCGGTGGCAGTTCCCAGTACGACTGTCGTGCCGTCGACGGGCGCAAGGAAAGACGCGGGTTTCGTGAGAAATGCTCTTGAGCTACCTTTGCATGTAAGATCCCCGGAACAAACTAGGAACTCGACCGTGCTGCCCGTTGGGACTATCCCACGCGAGTCCAGTTCATGCAGAACGCTTTGATCGCAATCCAGATCGGGAAACGCGATCGATGGTGCAACTTCACTGGTCTCGAAATCCATGGCTGGCTCCAGTGATAGGAGGCCTTGTCTCTTTCCCCAACCTCCTCCGCCACCTGACACTTTGAAGAGCTTCGCGCCGTGCCATAGAGACTTTAAGGTGCCCGGTTCCTGAGTCTCCTTGTACCCGTTCACGCCCTCTTCAAACGATAATGTCCCTGGAGAACGGATCAGAGCAAACACAAGTAGAGGGCCTCGAGCGATGCTGGCGGGGTTCGACTTGATATATGCCGAAACCGCTTTCTCGAGCTCTTGCGAGGCGGGGACAGCCTCGCCATCGGCCTCAATTTGACGAAGCACATTTCCCATTGATCGTACTACCTTTCTCGACTTCGTTAGTGCGTGAAGCGGAGCAGATCCGCCGTTCACGAAACTGTAATCAGAGCACTGAAGACTTAACTGGAACGATTCGAGATTCTTTCTGCCAAGATAACTGATGGCTGGTTCATCGGAATTAGTGAGTTCAATTCTCCACGAATCTTGGAGAAGCGTTGTTCGTTGTCCATTTACAAAAATGGTGTTGGCCGCAGGCAATGTGACCTGGCGCACGAAGGGCGTCTGATCTGATGTCTGAGCCGGCGAGCTCACTTCAGTGGCGGAGCAGAACTTCAATGTTGCGGTGGTATTGCTCTCTGTGTCGTCACGCACTTCAGATGGGGCATACACAGGTCGCACGTCGGACGCCTCAGAGGTCATAAAGAGTGCAAGTCCTTCGGTGCTAGCTGCGCCTGCGGAATCGCCGTCTGAGCCGCTGGTGGTTCTTGGAGGAACGGGAAGAGCATCAACCACAGCAGTGATGCATTGTATAGTTTCCTCGATGTGCTTTCCCCTTGCAAAGTTTCGACGGCCAGCGTACAACGAAGGCAGGACATGCCGAAGGAAGGCGCCTGGCTCGATCAGAGAAGCCAAGGACGGCGTAACGAACAGGACCAAGATCTTGACCAGAGATTTGTTGTCACAATATCTGGGTAGCTCTGAACGTAACCTTTCCGGATCCTGTCTCCATCAGACAGAGTTTCGGACGCTTCAAGATGAAATCTCCAATGTATACTCACCACAAGGGCCGGGTCTCGAGTCAACCAAGTCACACCTGCTCGGACGGAGCTGAGAGAAGGAAATTGAGCAGTAATATTTGTACCAGAGGAAGACGTGAGGGTTCCAGCTAATGACTTTGATAGCCGGATTCTTCGAAGCACATAATCGTTCAATTTTATTCTTCGCGATAAAGTAGGTTGTGTGTTCCTTTCAGTCAAACAACGTTTGAAGTTGAGCAGACCGGGAAAGTTGGTACGTACTACCAATCTGTGTCGAGAGGCATGGACCAGTACATTGAGCATGACTGGCAGGCCAGAGCGGGTGCCTTTTGGAGGGGTGTGAAAAAGGCTCTGGATCACTCGCGATGATACCCAAAATGAATGATTCGGGTGGTAGTGAAGCCTATCTCAAAAGCATAGAGCTTCTCGGAAGTGCCTGGCAGTCATGCAGTTCATGAAGCTGTTTTTGGGGCCACTAAATGCTGTGTCTGACAATCAGCTGCTTGAGAGGAGATGCAGTAAAACTTTCTGCCAGACGCACACTTTTCTTAGTGCTCCGGCCCCATTCAAGAAAGGGGCTGAGCGCGTACCTGTAGATCGAAATGCTGAGGCAGTCATACGCGGGTGTTTGCCAGCAGGAATGGCCATGAGGAGACATTTGTAAATGATTAAATGATATTTCTGTACTGTCGAGCTTTACTCGTACCACTTTGGCCTGCTCATAATATACATAAAGTAGATGCCAAGGACATGCACTAGCGTCCTCCCATGTCCCGGACGAGAATACCTAGAAAATACATTTCCTGAATGATAACCCTTACCGTCCACGTTTCATATTTCAACAGTCAAATACAAATCACCGCTGCTGGATTTGCTTGGCGTCAATCGGGCCTTCGAGGATGGCGACCGTTGCGGAACGATGAAATTGACTGACCTAGTACTAGAGTTCATGACTTCGTTTAAAGGTGGAGGGACTTGGAGAGGAAAGCTCTTATTACCTCTTGAAGGATTGCTCCCGAGTTCGGTCAGGCTCGGCCTGTGAAGCTTTGATGTGGGAGGAAAGGGAAACTCGATCATCTCATCGGATAAGTATCCATCTGAGGAGGTGGTATCCGTTTGCATAAAGCTCAGCTCGGCGCGGACAAGCTGATCCCTAGTCGGTCGAACAGCCGATGCCGATGCTGGTACGAAAGTTGAGACAGTCGACAGGTTGAGGCTTGCTCGAAGTTGAGCAGGTCTTTCTGCTTGTCTGGATATGGCTGCCGAGCGAGGAACCCGAGGATACCTCAAATCCTTGATGGGGCTCTCTTGCGCAGGTGAGACGCCACGAATGTCGAGAGGAACGAGGGAGGTTGTCGTTGGGTGTGTTTTCATCCCAAGTTGCTTGTGTGATTCTTCAGGCGTTGTATCTTCCTCAATCTCGGTGTAAACGGAGCTGGCGGAACTTTGTCTATCCAGACTACGGCTGACAGGTATAGTTCTTCTGCTCATAGGAGGCAGCGGCACGACTTGTGGTGGCATTGGAGGATTCCGTGGCTGCATAAGAGGCTCCACAGGCGGAGTGTTGATGACCTGAAGAGGGAGTCTTGCTGGGGGCTTCTTCCTCACGACACTTCTGTTTGCATACATTGACGACGCGGGCAGCTTGTGTTCAAGTATTGGAAGGGCAAACTGCGAGGTGGCAGGCGATCGGATCTTAATGGGCGGCGATGATAAGTCAACATTGCCATTGTCGTAAGTTGGGGTCAAGGGAATCCTTGCTGTCTGTCCTGCAGACTTAGCAGGGCTTTCAGGTAACGCAGGCAATCTCAGATTCGGAGGCCGGCCCTGTGGCCGTTTTGACAGTGGTGGTTTCTCTAATACGAAAGGCTGATTGTCGACAAAAACTCGCTCAGGTTCTTGTGGTTTCGTTTCCGACTCGTCCTCAAACTCGGTGACGTTACTGACGGGTCTCTGCGCAGATCTCCTTCGTTCCCTACTAGCTTCGATGTCAAGTGGTGCCGGCCAAAGCATTGCAGAAGGGACCTTGGGTAGTAGCCGAGAGAAGCTCTGCTGAGAAGATGCGCTTACAGGAGAGCGTTCGCCAGGCATCTTTGGAGAGACCGCTATACCTATTTCTTCTGGTCTGATGCTCTTCCGCCAGAAGCTTCTCCTTTTTTCTTCCGCCGGCTGCTGTGGAGCATAGAAGCGACCCAGAGTCTTCGGTACCGTAGGTCCAGTCTCCACATTCTCGAGAGTGGGCGGAGTCTTTTTCTCAGAACCCTGGTTGTTCATGGGCGGTGATGATTCGACCAACCGTGAGCGTCTTTGGCTTCGCCGGCGTTCTTGGCGTCGCTTTCGTATCCAGCACTGAAGAATGAGTAGTCCAATAACAATAACAACGGTGGCAGCACCACCAATGGCTATTCCTGCAATTTGAGGTGTATTGAGACCAGATCTAGTGGGAATCTGTTGCGGTACAGCAACGGCTCCTGATGTCCCGCCGGTTCCAGCAGAGGCACCGGTGGGTTGGCCTAGCCTAGTGTCTGTCGGAGCATCTGTTGCTGCAGGCAGACCTGTGGATGTCAGGGAAGCTGCTGATGTGGCTATAGACGGTGTTGGCATATCTGTTGCCCTCACAATGCTGCTGACATCCTCGGTCGACGTTGGATTACCTATAGTCGCTGGCAGGTTCTCCATGGTGGAAGATATGGTGGTAGAAGATCCGATGATTGTAGCTGTGATGGTTCGAGCGGTCCTCGGTTGAGCCCCTGCTACAGATGTGCAAACCCCGTACACATCCACGTCCTCCTGATCCTGCCCCGTACAGACGGAGACCACGCACTGTACAGATCCCTCGCCGATTGTAAGTCCTGAAAGGTTAGGCTGTGTGCAAAGATATTCAATGTCTGAGGTATTTGCGCATGTGGCATCTGGGTAATTGTGGCTCGCGAACTGTTGAATGCAGTCGATGGCGCAGGGAGGAATAATAGAGAGGAGGGACGGAGGAAGGCAGGTGTTTGTCGACGCCTGTCGGGTATGGAGCTGGCCACCATCGTGAAGATTCGACAACACACTGGACGAGATCCGCATATGGTTACCCATGTCGACGGATCCGCCTTTGTCATCGTTGAGGCGACATGGCTGTCGATGTGGCCGCTTGCGGAAATATTTCTGTGAACGGTCGCTGCACAACACGCGAGCAGGTAAGTAGAATTCAGAGAGAAATGGGTATCAGTATTCAATGACAACGGAGGACCCGTGATCCTCGCGAGAAACACGCGGCGCGAACGAGGAACTGGGCTTCTTTTATTGTTGAGTTTGCCCTTTGGTCTTACCGCACCCCTCGAATAGGGCGAACGTAGAATTTTTGTCCCTGAAAAGGACATACCGACAGAAGCATGACGATGGCGGCTGGAAAATTGATCTGTCATAGGCCGTGTAGCCTGAAACCCCCAGAGCATCATGGTGGACGTGGTCGAATGTGAAGCATTGGATGAAGCATAGTCGCTGAGCCAGCGGTTAGGGATTCTTCTAACCGACGACAAGGGCCGTCACGTGACGGAATCCTCCCCTGGCGAACCCGGATGGGGGAATGGTCGTAGGGTTCGGATATGAGCGGCGGCTACAGGGCGCTTCAAGGCAGTTGGGATGATTGGCATTGTACGAGGAGATTGCTGCGTAATGATGTCGAACCTTTTGGGAATATATCACCATTGAGTATCCTTTTTCTCGCTGCGAACCCCTTTCTGTTCGACGTGAAGTCTCCTTATTCTCTGGACTCGCAGCCAGCACTCTCCGTCGGGAAGATTCTTTCTCACCAGCTCTGCTCACGCTACCACAACAGCCCTCTGCGAACAGGATTTTGTCATCCTGCTACGGGACAGCAAGGGTATTCCCCTAATCATGTCGAGGTTAGATTGCTAGTCACTTAATCCAGCCCTAGATGACGCACATGAACCATTGAAACGTTTCTCAAAACGGGTTATCAGGCTTCCGCAGTCTCTAGATTGACATTTAGGAGGCTCGGATAGGGCAGTTCCGAGGGTTGTCCTCAGTCTCACCATCTCCTGCCGTGCTGTTAGACTAGTAGAAGCGACCTCATCCACAGATGGTCAAAGAATTAAGGGTGGGAAGTTGATGAATGGAGCAGGATGTAAAATGTGTCTCATTATGCTGAATTAAGGCCTCTGCGTCCAAACCACGTACAGCAAAAGCGACCTCTGTGCGCCGAAGTGGGACGAAAAGGCTCCCATCCGTCCAGCAAACAAGTCGGTGCAATGGCCCAGGTCACACCATCCTATCCAGTCTCCATACCCGGTTCATGCCGGCTGAATCTTTGTGCTTTCCTTGTGAGATCGATCTCGTGCCGAAATGAGATGGCGGGCAGAACGACGAATGTCTTTTGTATCGTGCTCTGAGAATGAAAAGCAGGTGCGGGGATATCAAGATACGCCGAGGTGGTGTCGGTCCTCGACAGATATGCAAGGGTGTCGACGGTTGATGGTACGAAAATTAGGTTCTCATGGCTCAGTACTTCAGGATAATGTAGCTGTTGCAGGGTCAGTAACTTCGGCTCAGGGTGAGGTTGAGCTGGCGCGTCCTTAACGTACAGAGCATGGATGATACCCGGGATATAACCCAGGATCGTCAACAGGATGTTGATGAAAAAGTCGGCATTGCAACCTCGCTCGAGGAAGACACCGAGGGGAGGGAGGATGATGGCAAGAATGATCTTGCAAATGTCGCTGGAACCAGATGGTCAGCTCTGCGGGCGCAATGCGCGGAAGGGGACGGAAGTTGGATCAAGAGACTTACGATGCTGTGAAAGGCATGTTGACTCGATTAGAGAGGTCTGGATAAGACTTGTTTGAGTAGATTTAATGGGCGTGAAATGCAAAGCTTGCGAGCAAAAAGCGACAGTCTTGAGGGACAAGGGAGGTGGTAAGAAAGGAAGATTGTGTGATGGCGGAGATACAAGACACTTTTAGATGAGTCCTGCGGATGGCTGGGGAGGCGGAGGCAATCACTTACGAGTAGTAACTGGGCAGCAGGCACAGTGACTCGGATTACGAACAGGGCACGCCTGGCGCCGGGCAAGCATCATCCTGCCCACCTACTGCCTGCCATTTCGGCTGAAGCAAGCCTCCTAACCTTGTTTAACCTGGGGCCCTTCTAGGCACTGTCCATGGCAATTCAGGTCCTTGATTGCAGCCACCCATGACGTCTGTTTCAGCGCCAATCATTCCTTGGCGAGCCTTTTTCCTTTCATTCTCTCTCCACTCCGGCCTCGTATTACCCAATCAGCACCTGAACCAGGAGATTGCCTCTTCGTAGGTACCCCAGCATTGGTCTATCATCGTCCATGCACCGCCACAGACTGTGGCTTGAGAATCCCGTGATCTCCGTCGCCCTGCCACTCTTTTCCCCTTCCATTCCGCCATTCCGTCATCTTGCAATCACTTTGACGTGGAATGTTGTGGCTCATGCAACGAAGACTTCGGCGTGAAACCCTCACGAGACTCATTTCAACGTGGTAAGCTCAATCTTCAGGCACCGGGCATCAGGATGCGCCAAAGCTGATCATTCGCCCAGACTTACTCAGATCTGTTCCCGCTCACGCGATGCCGAGGAAGGGCGAAATGCTATACGAGGATGGAGAGGACATCAATGAAGACGCATTTCGTCATCATGGAAGATGATAGTTGTTCTATATCGAGTAACAAGCAACCCACTGAAAACAAATCAGCCTTCACGTGAACCATCTGTCTGATTTCATCACTTGTCCGGGCCGATCGGGTCGCTAATGGAGTTTTCGGGGTACTATTGCAATACTTGCAATTGGGATGGTATCAACCGCAGTCACGAGTTAATTAATACGGAATCTAAAAACGCTCACCAATCCGTACGATGGCTGTTACGCCCACTATCTCGAATGTCTTTTCGGCGGGTTTGGGCCGGACCAACAATGGTTTAGCCGAGGGAGAAGCAAGCGAGCCAACTGTCTCCCTCGCTTCTTCGATCCATCTTTCGGTTCCAGCCCACCAAAAAGGATGCCATTGTGCCTGTGGTGCCTACGGTACGGTTCCCCAAGATCGTTGCTAGGGCAGGCTGCGGGCTAATTATTATGTCTTCCACTTCGGATCTCCCCCTCTTCTCCCTTGATTGAGGATAATTGACTTTGACCCAGTGTGAGTTGCTGGAGCAATGAGTCCATCCTCGACGAAGCCCCAGTTCCTTCGAACTCTCCCGTCCACCTCCTCACTCAAGCCGACAAAAGACAAGCCTCGACTCTATATCGTCCTCTATCCGCGGAGTGCCTCATCCACGAATTCTTCCTTTCGCAACGCCCTTAGCTGCGACTCTTATCACTGGTCTATCGTTGTCGGTCCTCAGACTGCTCGGCGAACTGACCAGGGAATTCGCTATCATGTAGCTCACCTCGACCACAACACACACAGACACTTTTACGAGGAACAGGACATCCCTTCGAATCCCATTGCCAAAAGCGCTCTGGTTCGTGTAGCCGTGTGCAAGGTCACAGACGAAGAGCGGCTTCAGTCTATTCTTCGAGATCTCCCAATCCCAGCGGACGATTCGGCGTTCAATTGTCTCACCTGGGTCCGCGAAGCATTCTGCAAACTCCACGAAGATGGGAAATCTGTGAAGAGTTATCTTAATGCAGAGGATTGGCAAGCCGTGGAGACGTGCGCCCGGAAGTACTGCAAGCGGAAGAGAGATGCGGGTAGGTTCCAAGAAGGCAACGCTCTTCTCAACAACAATGGCGGCGACGCTGCGTGGAGCGTGGACAAGATCAGTACCTTCAATTTTTGGGAAAATCGTGAGACTACGGCCTAGGCGCGAGGAAGACCATTCAAATTTTTGCGGAACCAGATGTCCGAGATAGGTGTTACCGATCGGAAGACGATGCTGAGCGGACCTTGGGCTTGTGCCGCTACTCGAGGAGACTGCCCTATAACCTGACACGAGTCTCTCGAGACACAGCTGCCTACCAATACTGCGATGGAGCAACTACCACATTTTGGGATTCTGTGAGTTTCACAACCGGAGCGGCGCATGACTGCTTACCAATGGTCGCATCAACGAGGAAATCCAAAGCATCAAAAGATCCGCCGTGGCCATGACGAACCGGCAGACAACCGATTATGGTATCCCAGAAAAGAGGTGAGCTTGGAGGAGAAGGAGGGGATTTAAGGAGCGCACCCGCTTTGTGCTTTCCTCTTCTTAAACCGACTACCCCCAGCCTGCACATCCTACATATACATTATGATATATATGAAAATTAGCGTTATCCAAGTAGCTTTGTGCCATTCTACCTGCGCACGAAGGTGTAGTTTGCAAATTACCAGACTTCCTACACATATAGAACGCAGAAGGCAGAAATAGCCGTTGCACATGCACATTGCCAATTACCTACTCAGGTAGCCATCTGCCGGTTTGCAAAGTTGTGGGGGCAGGGTGGTGTCGTACAGGGAGTAGACACACACTTGCCGACATAACATGACTGTATGCGAACGAAGCACAAATCCCCCACAGCCAAAAGGGTAGTTAGCAGAACACATACGGCATTTACATTGGCCCATTGAGCTTGGTATCGAGCAGCCAGATACCTGCACTGGCACTATCCTGTCCACAACTTCGAGCCTGCAGCGCTTATCTTTGACACTCAAGGGCTACCAAGATGTCATGTTGACTGGACGGGCACCGATATTCGCATGAAACCGCCCTGCCAACTGGCTAGGTCGCGGGAGTCGTCTACCAGGATAACTTGTACTCTGGATGAGCGCGGCAATCCGTCCTTCCTATGGTATTCTTGTAAAAGGACCTTTCCGTATTGAATTCTCTCAATTGCAATTGTAACGGTGACTGTTCGTCTACTTCTGTATATGCAGATGTCCCACGAGTATTCCCAATGCTATTTGTGCTGACAATATCGAAAAGAGAGCCCAGCTTGAGCCGGACAAACGAGGGCAGCACGGGATCGAGACTTCAAAGGCCAAAAATATCCCCATTCAAAAACACATTGACAGTTTCCATGTTCATGGCCCGTGACGAGATTCCCCGGTCCCAGATCCCTCAAGCCCAAGCCCATGACCAGACCCAGACCCAGACCCAACCCCGAGACAGGTGATGAATTCCCTACCCATTCCCCTCCCAGGAGCAAATCCAGTATACCGCCATATGCAGGCCGTGAAAACGCCGCGTAGCAACGCTACCATTCCGTTGCAGACAAACGAAGAAATCGCAGTTCCCTCAGGCATGTCAGTCTCCTCCGAGATTTGGATGCCACTCCAAATCTTCTAGACTCATCATTCCTCCTTTAAAGACCACGAAGCATGACAGTCCGCTCTCCTTCCAACTTGGCCGCATTGCGATCCTTGTCTGCTTTTCTGGCGTTCTCAAGCCCTTCGCAGTTATGAGACTCTAACATACGGTGCTTTCCGCAGAAACGCTTCTGACAAAAGCCGCAGTCTCCCACGATCGGTTGCGCCGGCGCTTTGCATCCATCTTTGGAACACCGGGGTTTGTTCGACTTCCTTTTTGTGGGTGTAGCCGCGCCCGAAGGTATTGGTGTTGACGACGTGGATGATGATGTAGACGTTGAGGGTTGAGCGGTATTTATATCCGTTGCTAGCGGTTGTGATTGAGGTTGTGATGCATCTGTGGGAGTGCTACTTCGTGACGGCGAAGACAGCTTGAGTGTTGATGATTCTTGTAGCTTGAGCTCTCCCACCGTGGTTGATGGTTCTAGAGGCATCCCGTCAAACATCAGCTGAACGTCGGCTGGCAGGTTCGTGGAGGCAGAGAGGAACTCCAGCACGTTGGAGACGGTGTGAACCGGCCGGACATTCAGTTTGATTGCTGCCAAGGGACTTGGTTAGTTTTCATCGTGAAACAGATCGGGTAGCCCGCGAGAGCATGCTTACTCTTTTCGCCGCTGATTTGCACCTGGATGGCCATGTTATCAGCTGGGAGCTCTTTGCTGGTGTTGGAGGTTGCAGAGCCGGATCGTGAGCGATTCATGTTGAATATAGGATTTGGTGTGAAAGAGGATGGGTTGAGGATCAGAGGATTTTTATCTGGAGGAGACTTGGAAGTTGGGGATGGAGACCTCGAAGATCAAGCGCAGGTAACCAGGCTCGTGACCGATGACGAATGGAGAACGGGCTAGGATTGAGTGTGATTTTAGTGTAAGAGATAGCGTGATGGTGGTTAGAGGTGGAGAGGATAGGCTGCAGAGGATGGTCTGGCTGTGTTTGTGGTTTCAACGGCAGTTGGATTGAGGGTGGTGGTAGTAGTGAAGATAGAAGGAAGAAACAAGATAGTGATTTTGGTGCAGATGAGGCGTGGTAATGTACTGCCTGGGTAGTAGCGAGTTTGCTAGTCAGATGGACAATCAACCAGGGGACAAGGCCACAAGATGAGGCGTGGCTACTCGCAGTTAGTCGTCTGTTGAACTAGTGACAAAGGTGGCTGCTTGGGATTTGAGGCAATGGCCACGGTCCACGGAGGGGTCCTCAGATTGTGGGCGTGCAGGTGGATACAGGGATGGGATGACGGGATCCAGTGGCTCGGAGTTTGACAACGAGCGGATGGCGGATGGCGGATGGCGGATGGGAAGTACGGAGAAAGGGACTTGACCCAAGTTTGAGCCACCGGGTACCCAGCAACCTAGCAGCGCAAAGCGAAGGACCTCCTGGCCCTGGGGGACCCTCTGAGGAGATCAAATCACAGCCAAATAAGTGGAACCCGTAGAAGACAGTCGCAGCTCCAAGAAACAAGAGGCCGAAGAAGAGCGAGATAAGTCCAAGGTACGGACGAGGGAAGACTGCGCTGCGCAGGGCCGGAAGGGGCGAGAGGCAAAGAGCACAGCGGGAAAGGCGCAACCGAAAGACAAGAGATGTGGATGGAGATGCGGCAAAAGTTTCAGCAAGACGCTCAGTCCGAGCTGATGGGCGACGATGATCGTGCATATAATAATGTTAATAAGCTCCAGTCGTTCCTCAATCCGTTGTCGTTGCGATGTTTGTTGCGCTCGGAGCGACGAAGCCACGGAGCCAACCACGGACAAGTCACCTGTAGCGACTGGTGCGTAGGTACATACCTAGTAGCTTCGTGAATCTTGAATCGTTCATGTAAAAGGCACTGAGGTAGCTATGGCGTCTCCTGTTTGCAGATGCACATCCTCCTCTCGCTCTGCTGTATACAACCCAAAGTCCTCCTGGTCTCTCTTTCTCAAGCCGGTTCGTTCTGCCCTTCAAGCCGCCAGACCCGGACGGTGGTGACGGAATCAGTCAACTCAATTTGTTCAGCGGCCTTTCCCCTTGGAGGTCCAGATCGCCGGTCTCAACGCTTGGGTGTCTGACCTGTCCGTGCGCTTGTCGCTGTGTCTCAGCAATTTCCACGCAACCAGCAAAACGGCCTCGCACATGGACAACAAAAACTTTGAGGAGTCTGACCAACCACCAGCATGCCTCGACACAATTGCATTGTTGGCACCTGTAGCTGGCTGCGACGCAGCCTTCCTCACTTGGTATGCAGCTTTCATTAGTCTGGATCTCTTCAAAGCAGTTTGGTTGGCTTCCTCCGAAAGCGGCATGCGACCTCGCTTCTGCCTCTCATTCGGATTCGGTCTGTTTCGCTGCAGAAGAGACAAAAGTCGTATCTGTGGCGGCCACACTTTTGCTCCAGGTCTCTTATGCGAACGGTATCTACCGTTATCGTGAAATAACCTTTTCAACAGTCAAGCTGACCTTCCTGCCACCTAATAATTTTCGGGTCATGTGCTGGGAGGGACAGTCCGCAAGTTCCTGGCGAGCGCTGGCCATGCTCGATCTGCACTTGAACCTGGACCCTGCATGTTCCCAATCCCCTGGCAGCGGGCTCTTTGCTTGGTTGGTCCTATCCCAGAAAGTCGAAGGGAATTGTCCGCCCAAGAGCGTAAGCTGGAGTCTGGCTCACCCAACGACCCAAATATGCGACATCGGCCCACCACGCTACTCCGCTGCACAAGAAACATCCCGGTCAAACATGCTTCAAACATCACTACATGCCTTCAGAAAGCTCGTTCCAAGTATCCGTTCCACATGCTGCCATCATTCCAGTGGGTAATCGTGGTCGTCGTATATGCCAACTCTTCGCCCTCGTGCCATCATTAACCCTAAGACTTTTGATCCGGATCTCGGCCTATAGTTACCATCTTAGGCACCATCAGCTTTCTTTTCTCCGGCGTCTGGGTCAAGGTAATCGTCCTTCTCCGCTGCCTCATATTCACCAATCAAACCCATCACAACCTCTTTGGCTTCATCGAATTCGGCCAGCCCTTCAGCAAACGGGGCTTCCTTCTTATACTGCTCCAAATAGGCATTTCGTTTCCGCATTTTCTCATACTGCACCACTATTCTCCGGAAAAGAGTAGCAACGCTGGTGTGGTTCGCGAGCATGAGACCCGAGACTCGGTGCGTATTTGGTAGGTACGGGGATTTCTTGGTCAGAGCCACCTGAATTGAGGCCGGACCCCAGGGTATGAAATTTGCCATTCGCCGTTCTCGAATTCGCAGAAGAGACTTGTGGACGTCGGTCGGGTCGGCTTCGCCTTGAATGATGTTGAGGATTGAAATGTAGCAAGAAGATTTTGAGGGTGTAATGGATACCATTCGATTCTTGGGTTGGAGAAGGCGTCGCATTACATCAAGCACTGTTGTCTTGCGCACGGTTTTGGCCTGGTCCACATTGTCCCCGGTGAAAGGAGTGTAGGCGGTCATCAGGAAGTGGCATCGCGGCGTAGGTATCAGAGATGCAATGATTCCCACCAGATCATTGTGCATGTATCCAGGGTATCTCAGTGTCGTTGTAGAAGCCGACATGACCGTTGACACCAATTGATTCGTCTGCTGAAAGGAGGGTTCTTGGACGTGCAGTCTTTCGGATGCAATGCTCGATAGAGCACCGTTATCCAGAACCACAACGCAGTCAGCGTTCTGAGTCAACCGTCGCATGGTGAGCAGGCTGTTGTAGGGATTTACCACCACATCGCCAGTCGCAGTATCCGGGAACACTGAGTATGTCTGGATGATCTTCTTGGGAAACCGATCATTCATGCGCTCAAGGAGGTATGACCCAAGGCCTGACCCAGTGCCACCGGCAATGGAATGGAGGAGCATGAATCCCTCAAGAGAGTCACTGCCGTCGGCCTCTCGATCAATCATATCAAAAATCTCTTCTTGGACCCTCTCGCCAGCCGCGTATCCCGCTGCCCAGTTGTTTCCTGCGCCCATTCCATGTTCGCCGATGAAGAAATTCTCCGGGTTGTAAATGTTTTTGTAAGGGCCGCTTTGGATGCTGTTAATGACTCGCGGTTCGAGATCGATGAGGATGGCTCGGGGAATGTAACGTGTGTCGTCGCTCTGGTAGAAGAAAACGTCTTTGCGGTCACCACCTTCGGTAGCGAAGTCTTCGAGGTTTCCGTCGCGGGAAATCCCATGTTCTTGACATAATTGCTGCCAGAACCGAGAGCCGATGGCGTTCCCGCACTGGCCTGCCTGGATAGTGATGATCTCGCGAGGCATTATTACAGGACTTGGTCAACAGGCAGGTAGAGGGATGGCAGTGACCAACGGTAAACAGAAACTGAAGGTCGACGCGTGAAATCTACGCGTCACCAGAAGTGGGGGTTTTGGGTTTGGCAGGCACCGGATCGCTAAGAGTGCCGAGTACAGCTTCCACTCAGCGCTTCGCACGTAGTACCAACGCACAATATCCCGAATCTATAGTGAATTGAAGTCCCACCTGAGTTTTGTATTCTATCGCCCTAACATGAACCTGGCGCATTTTGTCACCTTCCCGGTTTCCCTCGACAGCTGTTCAAACCATACCGGAGTGATCACTCCTCAATGGCATCTACAGTCTTCGCTCTGAGATTATTCTGTTGTATAAAATGCTCAACAGTCTCTGGGAATCTGCGCCTGAACCGCCTAGAGAAAATCGCGATCATGATCCATAACCACAACGTGTGAAGACATTGGTACCAAGTGATTTTGACGTCTGGTTCTCTTTCCCCGTCCCATTCATCGCAAATCCTCTTGAATGTTTTAGGGTCATCTGTAATGACACCCTCTAGTTTGTGTTGAATGCACCATTTCATGAGATTCGAGTCATTGACACTACCATCACCTTCACGTTAGCGTCGCAGTTCAATGTGCATCCAAGTAAGGGGATTTCGGACCCGGGACTGTTACCCACGAGGAAGACCTTGGATAAAGGAGAAGAGAATTTCCGGAACAGGATGACTTACGTCCAAGCAAAGAGTGGGCGGTTGGCTTTGCGTACGTCCCTTATGAACCGAGCGCCCAAAGGGCCGAACAGGCTCTTTTGCAGCATATTGAACGACACATTCGGCACCTTCAGGAACTGCCTAGCGTAGATGGTCGAGAAACCGATATGTGATATCGGATAGCCAGGACAATATTTCATGCACAAAGGCAGGAATTTGGCTGCCCAGATTCCTAACACAACTCGTTCCTTCCAGGCGCGTCGACCGGGATCCACCGAAGCCAGCGTCTTCGCTATCAGTCTCATCACGTCGTCCGAGTTGTTGTCCAATTTGATATCGAGGAATAACCAGACATGTTCCAGGCCCGGTTGTGCAACGTATTCAAGCAGGTCTTGGAGACGTGGCATGGGCACGTGAGGAGCCTTGGTTGTGCGAAGGGTACTCAAATAGTCCCAATCACAATCGATGATCTTTTCTTTCTTGCCAAAGCACCGTTTCAGGTCTAGGTCATGAGAGAGTACGACCACATCATCTTTGGACAAGTGAATGTCAGTCTCGAGGGCATGGGCTCCAACCTCGACAGCACCTCTGAAAGCGTTCATCGTGTTCTCGGGGTTTTCCGCTTTGAATCCTCTGTGTGCAATGGTTTGAGGCAGGGCCCGCTTGCCACTGTATGGTTTTGCCCACGTCCAGCTCGCTGTTGTCTATCAGAAGTCATCCTGACGGGGAGGACGGAAGGACGAACCCATGGGGAAATCCAAGGCTATATTATGATTTGATTCCTGAGTTCCATGTTCGGATCCCCCATTCATCGGCTGGGCCAGTTCTTTGCTCAACAACGGCGTCGTGAGCTGACGGTCAGGATCATGACGCATCTTGAAGGAGCGCCTCTGCTGGAAGGCTGACAATGTTCTAAAATTAGATGAGGGTTCAAGGAGACAACGAGGCTTTGAGAAAGCGACGGCTAGTCAAAAGCTTGGTGACATTGACAGTCTCGAAACGATGACCTAGGACCGAAACAATGACTTTAGGGGCAGTTGAATACTATTGAGCCATGTCAATGATAGCAAGAGGGTGACAGTCGAGCGGTAGACAGTAGCTCGAAAGGCAGGCACTGAGGGTGTTACGCTGAGCCTAATGAAACCTCAATAGCGCGAAAACCAAAGAACTATAGAGTACAGGTAGAGGGTGCGACAATCAACAGGACTTCATTTCAAGCTTTAAGAGCTCATGCACGTTCGTTCAAGGGGTCAGCTGCATTGAATGGCCACCATATGGCCATGGTTCAGGCCAGCCATTCGGCATGACCATGCTCCGGTCTTAACGCAACCCCCTCAACTAGCAAGCCCACTAGCCTCCCTTGCTGGGCGTCCTGCTCCCTTAAATCTCAAGCCACTGCGCCTGGAACGGCCAATGTTGAGGGAACTTGACATCTCGTGGCGTCAACACCCTGTCACTCAAAAGCTGGTCGGGAAGATCTGCCTCGTGTACCTCGTTCACGGTGCCAAGCACCTAGGTAGTAGGTGAGATAGTAGTACACTTACAGCAGTCTGGGTCTGTGTTCTTCTTGTTTGCACAGCAGCGAGATATCGAGCGGTCAAGATTATTATTCTTTGGGAGAAAGATGCAGAGGGCGCCTCCTCGTTGAGCACCAGAAAGAGCGCTGACCTCGGAGATGGGACTAGCTGGGTTCTGTGCTTGTTCGATCTGCCGTCCAGACAATTGCCGAAGTGCAGGCCTAAGATGCAGCAGGCGGCGGGCCTTGCGTGGCATTCAACAAGCCGCGTCGGAAATGGGAACTCTTGCGTGTTGCTTGGGATCACTTTGGCTGGCTACCTAGGTACCTATCTTATGTCCGAGAGGTGTAGGTAGAAATCATCCTTCATTTTTGGCAGGCAGAATGCGCGGGGGAAATCAAAATGGACAGGAAGGGCTTGTCCCTATCCATTACTGACTCGGGCGGTGGCTCATAGTGAGGGCAGAAGCAGCAGTGCTAGGCTTTTGATTCTCCTTAAAAGAGGGCGGTTTGATAGGTATGTTCGATCCTCAAGATACATAGAAAGGTATTTTCTTTTCCCCGGCGCCATCAGTACTTATCGTCTTCTTTTCCGCCATCGACACTGCGTCGCGGGGTACAGATTGTGAGATTTTCATCACGGTTCAAAGTTTGCTTTCCCCCGAGTGTAGTCACCCTTGTTTCGCGCCCATGTCGACCACGCATCGGATACAGTCGCCGGCATGCATGTCATGGAATGCTTCGTTGATCTTGTCAAGGGGCTGGCGATGTGTAATGAACTCACTGTGCAAATGGTCAGAACGAACATAGGTGTGGGGACTAATAAGAGCGGAGACTTACTTGACCTTGAGTTTACCATCCATGTAATCCTGGACGAGTCCTGGGAGCTGAGTGCGGCCTTTGACACCGCCAAAAGCACAGCCACGCCATACACGGCCCTGCAAAGGGTTAGTCGGTCTATTTAACGCTGAACTCGTGGCGTTTGAGCACGAGGGGTCGACTGCAGATTGTATGGCTTTTGAGCATGCACAAGAGAGAGAACACTTACAGTCACCAGTTGGAAGGGTCTCGTGGAGATTTCAGCGCCGGCAGGGGCAACACCAATGATAATAGACTGGCCCCAGCCCTTGTGACATGCCTCGAGAGCAGCCCTCATGACCTGGACGTTACCAGTGCAGTCAAATGTGTAGTCGCATCCGCCATCTGTCATTTCAATCAACTTCTCTTGAATAGTCTGGCCGTTGAGCTTGGTAGGATTGACAAAGTCTGTGCCTCCAAACTTTTCGGCCCATTCTTTCTTCTTGTCATTGACGTCCACCACGATAATCTTGCCAGCTTTGTTCTTCACTGCACCCTGAATGACCGAAAGACCAACACAGCCTGCGCCAAAAACAGCAATGTTGGAGCCCTCCTCCACGTTGGCTGTGATCACCGCTGCTCCGTAGCCGGTGGTGATGCCGCAACCAAGTAAGCATGTGCGGTCCATTGGAGCCTTATCGGTGATAGCCACAACGGAAATGTCGGCGACGACGGTGTACTGAGAGAAAGTCGACGTGCCCATGAAATGCAGCAGGTCCTTGCCTTTGCATTTGAACCTTGAGGTGCCATCCGGCATCACACCCCTGCCCTGGGTAGCTCGAATCTTCCCGCACAAGTTGGTCTTGCCAGATATGCAAAACTTGCATTCCTTGCATTCCGGGGTGCTTCCAACGTAAGTTTTGGCAGACATGGGCAGGAGACGAGCCAGACATACTAGAGTGCAACAACATTATCCCCGGGCTTCACGGATGTGACACCCTCACCAACGGATTCGACGATACCAGCGCCCTCGTGTCCCAGAATGATGGGGAATGCGCCCTCGGGGTCCTTCCCGGAAAGAGTATATGCATCTAGCTCGTCTTTCAGTTCCCGATTCTTACCCGCAGCGCGTTCAGCGTACCCGTGTGACAGACTCCCGTGTAATAGATCTGGATGCGGACCTCGTGGGCTTTGGGGGGAGCAACCTCGACGTCCTCGACGGAAAGGTCCTTGCCGGCCTCCCAGGCAACGGCAGCCTAGGCAGAGTCAGGTGTTGTTTGGCGTTTGAGAACAATGGAAGTCAGCGTCTACCTTGCAAGTAATGGTCTGGCAATTCGTAGAGTCAGCACATCAACTCCGCGTCCAGGGGGCATTGCATGTCACCTTTCCAACAGTATCAGCAGGCATTTTGATGGTTTGATTTTGAGGGATCGGATGTCAAGAAGGTTTACAGCTAACAGTGAGAATATAGAAAAGGAACGGAAACGTCAGGAAGTAGAAGACATCAACAATGCCGGTGTGGGGAGGCTGTTGTTTTTCAAGTGAGCAGACTCTAAGGTGGGGTTCACGTAGCTATGATGATATTGCTGAGGAGGGGCCGCGAGAAGCCATCGGATATGCAGAGGAATGTGCTGCAGAGCAGCATCCGGGATCACACCCGGCCACTTTTCGCATCGACACGGCGATTTGCCCAAGCCAGGGACTTTGATATGCTCTGGCGAAGTGTATTGGATTCTCCGGGTCGTCCATGTCCTCGTCGTCATGGCGGTATGTAATATGCGGATCAAACTCGGTGAACTAATGTGGAAACCCAGTAGTAGCAGTGGCAGGCTGCAGAAGGAGCCACACCCTCCCTAGCTCTCTCTGTGCCCGCCTCCATCTCCCCGAAGCCCGTCAGCGAGCTCACTTACTGCCCTCGGAGAGAATTGCCCAAATGGGTTAATTAAGGCTAGCCCGCTAGCTATCGGAGTCACTGCTTTTACTGCCGGAAAAAAGTTAGAGAATCTGAACACCACCAAACTTTACGTGTCTGCCACTCCACACAAGGCTGATGAAAGTTGGCCATGCGAGATGAACACACTGAGCCCGCAGGGGTCGTCGCATCCTGCAGGCGATGGCTCCTCGTCCACCGTACCGCCGTATCCTTCCATGGCCCAGAAACCTCCTGTCGCCCCAGATGGCACAGACCCGGCGGTGTTTGATGGTTGTGTCCCTAGCCTTGCAAGCCCTCTTCGAGGGTTGCCTCCCCGTCCACCCTCGCAAGCATCTCTGCCAAGCTCAACATCACTGCACCAGACCTTATCTGCGAGACAAGTGGTATTCCACGACCATACATCGTCCATACAGCCTCCATTATCGCCAACGAACCACAACTTTGTATTCTCTCAACCACTCCTTGCCTCTGAATCATATGTGCTAAACCCTCCCTCTTACCCTCAACTGCCTTTGAGTCAACCACAGCATACGCCCCCGTTCTTGCTCGGCGTTTCTCAGGATGACCCTACCGGGTATATTCCATTCCCCCCCGAGAAATTACACCATCTCGGCATCGCTCGTGATGAGGGGTCGAGTCAGCGCGGAAAGCAACTTTCGCGGCCGGGGCAGACTCCTGTTGAGGACGACAGTGACATGTCCGTTGACGATCGTGAAGTCCCAGAATTGTCCTTAGAACCCACCCGAGACGGAGGGAATATCGCAACCACCGTCCGGAAGAGAGGCCGTCCAAAGCTGCCACTGTCAGATGGCCAACCTAGGAAGCGACGCAAGAAGGGAACAGGGCCTCGGGGTGGTTGGAGCAAAGGCATGAAAATTGGCCCTCGACCAGCCCTTGACCCAGGGCCGGAATTCAATAACCTCTACAGTCAAGCTACGAATGCATTCATTGACGATCGAGACACCGAGAAAGCCCTTGACCTCGTTTTGCAAGCTATCGCAGTTAATCCAGAAATCTATTCTGCTCATGCGCTGCTCTCTGAGATATACTTCTCCCGAGACGAAGATGAAAAGGCTATCGCTGCACTTTTTAGCGGTGCTCACACCATACCAACAGATCCGGAAGTATGGATTCAAGCCGCCAATGCGTGTCTTACAAGGTCAAAGGGAAACCGAGAGACTGCTTTGCAACAAGCCAATTACTGCTATGCTCGAATTATCCACACGGACAAGGAGCATTTGGAAGCTCGCTTTCAACGAGCTGCGATCAGCAGAGAGCTTTCAAACTACACAAAAGCCATGAAAGACTTGGAGGCTATTCTCGAACGTATGCCTCGAAATTCTAGCGTCTTGAGGCAGATTGCGGAGATATGTATTGAAACGAGGGATCTGGAAAGGGCAAAACAAGTCTATGAGGATACGTTGAGTTACTACCGAGAGAATGGGTTCGAGGGCGAAGAGTCTTTCACGTGGGCTGACATCCTGGTCTATGTGCAAATCCTTGCTCTGGAGGAGCCTCTTGATCTAGCTGTCATGAACGCGCTGAAAACTTTGAAACAATTGTCGAGGTGGCTTTTGGGACGAGAAGGAGAAGACTACTGGGATCGCTTTACTGACGATGACCGAGAATTCGACTCAGAAGATGAACCTCGACGAGTACTGGTGCATGAATTTGTGCCTGGCAAATACCCACCAGATGCCTATGGCCCTGGACTTCCCTTGGAACTGAGAGTCAGACTAGGGATACTTCGCCTGAGGCAAGGTCGAGATATGTTGGACGAGGCACTGGCACATTTTGAATGGCTTGAACCAGATGCCAGGGATCAAGGTGCCAGTGTCTATGACTACCCAGATTTGTTCCTCGAGGTTGCCCAAGCTCTGCAGGAAGCTAGAGAACACAACCAGGCACTGCGTTTCTATGAAGCTCTAAAGGACACCAACGCATATTCTCATACAGAATTTTGGTTGGGGATCGCAGCCAACTCTTATATCTGCAGCGACAAGCTCCAAGCAATCGAGTGTTACGAGGAGGCCAAGGCCGGAGATGAAAAATGCGTTGAGGCACGGACTCAGCTTTCGAGGCTGTACGCCGAATTTGGAGACAAAGAAAAGGCCATGGAGAATGCTCGGGAAGCAGTTCGTGTCGCCGACAGCTTACTCCCCAAGACTGACCGACGCAAATATGAGCGCAAAGAACAGCGTTTAGCTCGTGAGGAAGCAGAGAAAGCTCTCAAGGAAGCGTTTTACCTCCCTGGCGAAGCTGTCGGCGGTACCCCCATTGACCGGATCGAGAGCAAGCTCAGAAGGACGAAGAAGACATACAGGACCCGCAGGACAGCGTTGAGGCGCCCGGAAGAGCTTGCCCAAAGAGAAGAAGAGGCAGAAGGGGAACTGGACGATGATTACGGGGAGACCCTAGACAATCAATCAGATGAGGAATTCCAACTTGGTCAAGCCGGGCACGGGACACTGGATCGCGAAATCGCCAGACAGACAGCCCAGAACGTGGCACGGAATAGAAAGGATCGGCAACCACCCCGTTCGCGAGCGCAAGCCAAAACGAGAACGAAACGAATGACTGCAGAAGAAAGAGAAACTCACCGCACGGAAACTATCAACAGACTCTACAACGACCTGGTCTACAACACACAAGCCATGAGATCTGGCGATGAAATTGCAAGGAATACCTGGATGGACTGTGCTGACTCCCTCATCACGGATTTCCGAAGCAACCGCTTGTTTTACTCGAAAGAGCGAAATCAATCCTTCGACGGCTTTTACCGGGCCGCTGCCAACGCCGGCTCGCGCCAGAGATGGGAGAGAGATCAAGAAAACGGCCAAGACGGCCTCGGAGTGGATCAAGACTTTCCCATCCCTACTGTGGAATCGTCCATGCCTACTGAATACCGCGAAATCGCCTTCTCAAACTGGCTGGACATTTTTCTCGAGTATGCTCTTCTCCTCGCCCAGTCTCCTGAGGTAGATGCACAGCATCGTTGCTACACTACTGTCAACGCTGCCTTGGACTGTGTGGTTTGGAACCAAGACCCGCGGGCTCTCCTGCACATCTATGTCACATATCTTGCCTGCACTCTTGCCTTACAGGATGAGAGAACCCTTTCCACCGTGGTTTTGCGATGGTTTCTACGAACATTTCGATTCAACTCCGATGCCTATCGTCTCTTCGCTGCCATGAACTTGCTCTTCGCTCGTCCCGGTACGGTGTTTCGCAATCGCGCCACCCATCAAACTCTCTTCAAGCAGATTGTGCAGATGGATGCAGAACTACCGATGGACTATGCACCAGAAGGCTATGGAGCAGTACCGAACTTCATGCGCCAAGGCGGGACGGAAAACAACTCCCGCAACAGAGACAACGATGAAGAGACGCCTGTTCATCGCCAGAAGGACGTGCAAGGCCAACAACATCAGCACCAAGATATCACAAAATCGAAGGAAATGAATGTGGACCTTCTAACGCTCTATGGGCACGTCCTGTATGCAGGTGGTGGGTTCGCCAGTGCCCTGTCGTACTTTTATCGAGCGCTCTCTCTCAGTCCCCAAAACCCCGGTTTGCAGCTCAGTATTTCACTGAGCTACATGCATGAGACCCTCAGAAAGAACTGCGAAAACCGTCACATGTGTTTGTTGGAGGGCTGGGCATTCTTCGAGGAGTATGCCGATGCAAGGAGGCGGTGGATGCGTAAGCTGCTACAAGATCAGCCGAACCGTACGGATGATGCAGATATGGCCAGAGGGGATTCAGAGGACCGGAATGAGCTGGAACTGGTGGTTGAGCGGGAGATCGCGTTCAATCGTGCAAGATGCTGGCACATGCTAGGCCTGTCGGATCTGGCTGTGCGGGCATATGAGAAAATGCTTTCGCTCCCGCTCCCTTCTTCTCCCCATCTCTCGGCTCCTGCCCCTGCTGGATTTGCAGTGAGCGGAAAGGATGTGGACGCCAGCTCCGCGGACTTTACAATGGAAGCAGCATATGCGATTCAGACGATGTATGCTTTGAGCGGGAATCCAGAGATGGCCAGAGAAGTCACGGAGAAGTATCTGGTGGTTTGACGTTGTCCGGTGCTGGAAGGTGAAGGTTTGCTCTTGGGTCCAATGGCCAATATAGATGGGTGGAAATCGACGTCCTCTTTTCCTCGAGACTTCTAAAGAGAGGTATTTATGTACAACATTGAATGCCATTCCACCCGCGTCCCCGTTCCAAGGCCCTTCTGACAATGTCCACAACTTAGCCCTTCCTCATGCTGCTCCTCTTCGGCCACCTGGCCTCCCCCGCGGGTGAACCGATGGGCCTCCTTCCTTCGTCTACTGGCTCTTGCTAGCCACCAACTTCTCAATATCGGCCACTGACTGGGTCAAAATCTGCTGCAAGACCTTCGGATTCTCGAGCTCTTTAGTGACCTTAGCGATGATGCTGTCGGCCAGTTCCTTCTGCTGCCGCTGTTTGACCTGGCCCTCGTAACGGACCCAACTGTCTAGGACGTTCTTGGCTTCGGCAGCCAGGGCGGTTTTCTGCTCCAGTTCGAAAGCCTGGGCTTCGAGCTTGGCGGTTTCCTAGAAACAAACCATCAATAACTACATTTGAGAGATGTGCTCAACGCTTTACCTTTGAAACATCAAACAGCTGCTTGGTAATTTCAACCACGTTGCTCAAGGGCTTGACATCCTCAATTCGTTCTTTAATAGCACTGGCATGATTCGTCCTTGCCTCATACAACAAATCCTTGATTTTCTGCACCTGACCATCGGCCCAGTCCTTGTACATGGGGCCGGTATATCTGAAGATGCCGTAGAAGACTGAGAGCAGACAGAAAGCGATGACACTCTCCTCGTTCACCACGTAGAGCTCATTGCTGATTGCCCAGATGGAGATTCCAGCGCCGGCGGAGAGAATGGCAGTTTTGCTGGCGAGCGAAGACCCGGGAAGGGCATCGACGATGGATTGAGCTGTCTTTTTGGGATCTTGCGAGGGCACATTTGAGGAGGACTGATGACGGATGGAGGTCAAGGGCGTGCTGGCAGCGAGGGATGGGAGACCGCGGATTGGGAGAGAAGTTGATGCGCGGAGTTTGCTGGCTCCTAGAATTCCATTGTCAGATCTGCTCTGTGTCCACGATGAGCTCCAGCACACATGAGTGACTCACCAGCAGCACTCCTTGCCAGTCTAGACGCCATTGTTGTGGTGTTTGTAGCCTGAACCAGTCGACCTGAAGCTCCTGACGTTAGAAGTTTGGTGGTCCGGCGACGAGAGCTTGCAATTGAGGTCTGGGCGGCGCTATTCTTCATATGGACTAGTGCTTGGCATGCATTGGCACTATCAAAAAATGTTTCGAGGCGAGGGGTCGGGGAGCCGCAAATCCGCATGTTGTTAGACAGATTAGGAGAGGGAGGACAAAGGCCACATTGAGCACGGAGGGGTTGATTTCGTTATCTCTGATTTTGAGGGCGATTGCTCTCCATCGCTCTCCCTCACCTTTTCTTCGCTTCTGTTCCGCAGCTTGCCCATCATGCCCTCCTCAACCGCCATGGACTCATACGCTGCTCAAATTGCTGCTCCCATGACCGCACCGCAGCGTAAGCAACTGCTCAAGCAGCTTCAGTCGCCCGAAGCCATCGACAGCCTCCGCCGTCCAGAAATTCTCATGGACTTCTTCACCGACAGTCTCGACACGAGGGACTTGGGCCTTGCAGTGCCGGCCCTCACTGGCCTCTTCCATCTCATTACCACGAAGAATCTCGACTATCCCTCCTTCTACCCTCGACTGTACGCACTTCTCGACAGAGACCTTCTACACAGCAAATACCGCAGCCGGGTGCTGCGGCATCTCGATGTTTTTCTGTCGCCGACGAACCACCTGCCGGCAGCAACAATTGCCAGTTTTATCAAGCGCCTCTCACGCCTGTGCCTCTTCGCTCCTCCATCCGCCATCGTGGCCATAATCCCCTTCATCTACAACCTTCTCAAACAGCACCCCACCACGACTTTCATGATCCACCGCAACCCGTATCCTCCTTACACCAAGTTCAAACATAACCTGGGGAACGACCCTTTCGACCCGAACGAACCCAATCCACAACTCACCAACGCCATCGATTCCTCACTGTGGGAGCTGGAGACCTGTCAGTCGCATTACCACCCTACCGTGGCGAGCATTGCGCGGATCATTTCCGAGCAATTCACGAAACAGCAATACAATCTCGAGGATTTCCTTGATCACGGATATGCCACTCTCCTTGAGAGTGAATTCAAGAAGAAGGAGAAGAAGCCACCTGTGGTGGAGTACAAGATCCCCAAGAAGATTTTTGCTGCCACAGAGGACAGTGAAGATGATGCCACCGGGCAAGAGGATGGTATGGACGAACTGTTAGATATGTGGGATTTTGAGTGATAGGATTTGTTCGGTTACGATTCATGGCAAAGACGAAAATAGACATAGAATATAAAGATATAGACCAAATAGACGGGCGGCTCTCTGGGATGCGTTCAAGCGATTGAGGTTTCCATTACGGTGATTCATGAAGAGGGTCAGATCACAGTCACGAATGAGGAGCGTTTCTTGCACAATGAAAGGGAAATCCGACAGACTTCAATTCATGAAAGGCTTGCCAATTCTGCGAGACTACATGAGTATGACTTGGTGGACTTGTCTAGTTAAAGCTCGGTCCAGTCTGAGATGAGAGAAAGTTGGCCGGGCAAGAACCCCCTCACTATTAGAATAGAGCTTCAATACAACAATTTTCAGTGATGTTCTTAGCCCCTAGCTTGATGTCGCTTTCTCGAACTGCTCCACGTTCTTTGGATAGGCGCACTTGAACAGCTCAAGCTGCTTCCGTGGCCGTGCGCTGTCTTTGTCGTCTCCAGATCTCGCCCCACACCCTACCAACGACAACACATACGCCGGCGACACCTCCAGTAACTAATGCGATCACGGTGTAGCACCAGCCCGGACCGACAGCGTCGATGAGCGGCTGCAACGCAGCAAGTTCAGCCGCGGCAAATGCACAGCGGAGCAGGTTCAGGGCTGCCTGAGCGGTCGATGGACGCGTTGGGTGGAGGTCGACGAGGAGCGTCCCGCATGCGTTGAACACGATGGTCATGGCGCCGCCTGTAAAGAATTGCAGAATTAGGGGAATAGAAGGGTGCAAGTGGTACTGGAGAGCCCAGCCATATGCGAGGAGAGTCAGAATGGAAAGAGGAAGAACGTAAGCCATGCTTCGTAGACGGGCATGGAAGATGGGAAACGAAAGTCTCTGGGACTCAGACGTTTCGGCGCTGGAGGTTGGAAGACCATGGCGAACAGCAAGCCGTCGATAGTCTTGCGTGAGAATATTTCCTTGGGAAGGAGAATAAGTTAAATACATGATACATGGACAGCATGATTATTAAAGAGTGGACGCGCAACTTACTCGACAACAACGATGCAAGGAAGCAACCAACGCCAAATGGCAGATAGATCAAGCCGGCCTCAAGCTCCTTATAACCGTATGTTGCAATGAATAGAGACGACAGGGATGCTTGCAGGCAGCAGTATGCGCTGTAGAAGACTCCATTAATGAGGATGATGGGTACGCTTTCTTTCTGCAGAAATATATGCACGCTTCCCAGAGGATTTGGTATCCTCAGACTTGCGATGTGGGAAACAGCTTCCGGCGCAGCGGTGCCATATCCTACAGGTGTCATGTTGACCTCCTTTCGCCTGCTTTCACGCCAAAGAAGCAGAAGGCTTTTGTTCAAAACAGGGACAAGGCGGGAACCGTTGCCGCTAATGTTGCGCGCAGTTTCTGGCAGCAGAATGGCAATAAGCACCAAGCTGAGAGCGCCTGAAACTGCTAAGAACCAGAAAATCCAGCGCCACCCTGCTCTCTCAGCAAGGACGCCACCGAGCACTGGTCCAAGGCTGGGTGCGACGTTTGGGCCACACCCGAGGATGCCCATGTATGATCCACGCTCAGAAGACTCGGTAATCTGAGATTCACTGTCAGATTCCTCATCCTTACAGAGATCGAACGAGTAGCTTGCACAGTGGTGAGACGGGCCTTTCAGAGGAAAGCGGCACTCACATCGCCAACAACGCCATATCCAAGACCGATTGTGGCAGAACCGCCCGCACTCTGGAGCATCCGCAGCAGCAGTAGAGCAGGATAGCTATCCTGCAAAGCAAGTCCGATATTGGCGACGACATAGAGTGTAAACGTGAGTAGATAGACAGGCCGTCTTCCCACCTGGTCCGCCATGCAGCCAAACAGCGTAGGTGCAACGCCGGAGACAATCATGTAGGAAGTTATGGTCAAATTGACCTTGGATAGAGTGGTATGCATATCCTTCGCGATCGCCGTAAGAGCAGGATAATAGATGAAGCTGCTGAGTGGAGAGAGGCAAGAGGCAAATGCCACAAGCAACACGATACGCCGCTTTTGCGACCTCGTCCAGATCGAGTACTGCTCGTCGCATCCAGATAGACCGTCATCATTGGTCGGTTGGGGGTTTGCATTTGGTGTGCTTGAGGGCTCATCAGTTTGCAGACCCGAGAGTTGTATTGCTTTATCCGACATATATCCGTTGAGGGTCGGGTGCGGCGCCAGCAGTGGGCGGAAAGATATAGGTACTTATGTATAAGCCACAACAGGACCTAGGCTCAAAAATGTATCAGTGGGTCGATGAAGCTCGAAAGACGGGGACATCTGGGACATTCGAAGCTGCTCTCGCTTGCCAAATTTGCGTGCCCATATCTGGAGAGCTGACTAGGGAGATTTTATAGTTTCAAGGATGCTTGACGAGGCTGGGTTTATTTTGTGGTAAACACCTTCCTGCAAGGGGGAAGGGTAAAAGGCATGTGGATACTGCCCACATTCTTCAGTGACTGGCGAGCCTCAAGCAGGTGTACCTACCTTGGCACTGAGATTCTGCATCTACCGTTGCTATCCAACCACCCACAATAGAACACTCTTCATTGCTGTCACGAATACTTGTCGATCAAATAGTGCATGTCACTCAATATCCTGAGGCAGTGTCAGCACCCGAAAGTCGGGATCTTCAGTAAAGCGACTTACTGCTGGCGGTGGCTAGGTGCGGAATGTGGCCAACCTAAGCAATGGGCAATCTTGAATTTGATGCTATACAATCGGTTGCGGTCGTCAAATTGTTCGCTCGGCTCGCTCGGAGGCATGTTCCTCAGATACTCATGATAGAACGGCTTCCCGAAACGGATGATGTCGGCTCGCCACATGCCCAGCTCCATTTCATTATGGGCGTACATCGCACTGGCATCAAACACGACAGGTAGAGCAGTATCTAGGTTGATGCCAGTATTCTCTTCCCACAAATCTCCGTGGATGAGACATGGTCTCAAGACACGGCCGTCGGATTGAAGAGGCTCAAGAAGCTGTGGCACTACGTCAGAAACAAGTTTCTGGTAGGCAGCCTCATATTCTGGTTGTGACCCGTTTTGGGCGATTTCCCGGTCGTAGAATTGAGTCAACAGCCTCGTGAAGTAGACGCACCAATTGCTCTCCCAAGCTGTGTTCTGCGGGTTGGGGCCATGGTAGGTGGTTTGAAAGAAGCCAAACTTTCCCGTCGGAGATGTACTATTCTGATGAAGCTGGGCGATGAGGCGACAGAAATCTCCAGGCTCAGCCATTTCACAGCTCAAGTTGATGAAATCCATGAGGAAAAAGTAGGTGTCAAGGGAGGCTCGCTTGATTTTGCCGCACCCTATCGGCCTGGGAACGAGATCGGGCATAGAGGAATAGATCTCCATCATTGAGCGATACTCGCCTTCAATCATCTCCTTGCCCTGGTTACCTTTTGCTCGCTGAGATAGCTTCTTGTAAGCGGAAAATAGTATCTAGTCCGGAAAAAGGTCTGACCTTGAGAAAAAATGACTTCCTCTCCCCATTCAGCAGCGCAACATTAATTCGTGATGCACTCGTCCAAGCCGCTGTTCCGTAGCTGATCACCTCTTTCACCACGGCACCCCAAGGTAATACTAGTATTCATCAGCAAAGGGCTCGACTTTCCGTGTAGACATTGATGGTTTACGAACGGTTGACAACATTCTCATCGAGGATGAGTTCTCTTTCCATGCTTGGATGGTTTCTTGCGCTTCGGTGTGTGCTTTTATTCGCCTGAGATGGATGAAGTGGCATGGCTGGGGAATTCACATGCCTTATCTCAATATATTCTCTCGCGCCTTCAGAATGATAATACGCGCAAAGACTCTGTAGAGGAAATTTAACTCCACATTCCTGTCTTGTGCGGTTGCAGCGGCAACCTAGATTTCTCTGTCATACACCAGCGAGGCGGTCGGAGATACTCATCTTAGCGACTTCGCATCTGTCAGAGTACGCGGTCAGGGGGCGATGGGTTTGGCAAGCCTCAGCAATAAATACTTAATGATCTGGGATTTCCTGGTGGCCACTATACCTGGGCGAGGGCTGTTGTCACTGGCATGTGTCCATTTTGTTTGGGAGTCTTTGTAACTGCTTGAAACCCCTTCCATTAGAACCATGCCGGTGTATCTCGACAGCAGTAGAGGCCCCGAGATGAATACCGCATTCATCTCTTGTATTGGATTTGTGGAGGCGTGCTGCTTATCCGGAGGAAGTATTATCATTCCGGACCTCTCAATATACCTCTGGCCACAGTTCTTTTTTGATCTTGAAAAAAGGATCTCCATCAAGGTCTCCATCGCCTAGGCCATCTTCCAACTGCGGTATGACATTGAATTCTTCTGCAGTATCTGAGTTGGCGAGGACGATGTCAGGCTCGGAAACAGATGGGGGAAAGGAGCTGAAAGTCGCTGGAGATGGGATTCGCTTGGTGATCTTGGCCCCTCACGGCAGAAACGGCGCGTAGTTGCTGAGCCGCGGCGCGTCCAATCTGTTCTATCAATAACTCCTCTTTGCCTCAGTAGCTCTGTGCATGCTAGAGTCATTTGAGAGAAATGATTAGCGATGGCCCGAGCTTTGATAACGACTTTCTTGCCGTAAGGATCTAGTTGCCAAGCAGCTGTGCAATTGAAAGTTTGACGCTTCTGAAGAGCCTCATCCTGGGTGCAAACATGGCTGGTGGTCGGGTTGTCGGACGGGGCATATCCTCTCTTCAGGACTCTCTTGCCTGGGTGATCGTTGGCTTTGACAGAAACCAGAGTCTTTGGACGAATCGGTGAGAGGTGAGAGGTGAGGGTTCGCTAAACAAAAACCTCATCGAGGTGAAAGACACTTGGACCCGACAAGACATTGATCCGGAGGTCCCTCATTCACTGCTGAGTGGGAGCTTCAGGTGAATGGACGCAGGCTACGAAAGTGCACACCTACTCCTTCTGAGGGACGTCTCGCTGAACATTTCCAATTCTTCACTTCGTGTGGTCATCAGCCAGAAATTTCACAGGAGACAAGAATTAGCAAAATATCTGTTTCTCTCATACACTCGCTCACGCACCTGCTCACGTATTCATTCCTGCACCCACTTACTCAATCTTCCACAATCTCTCACTCAAGCTTGCTTCCACACTCTCTCACTCAGTCTTCCACACGCGGACACGGCTGAATCACCCTTTCAGGTCCCGACATGTCGAAGGAATTTCGTCGTCGCAGCAGCCTTCCGACCTCACCTTCGCCATGGCTGTCCGCGGACATCCCAGTCCAAGAGCTGTGCCGAAAGCCTCACCAGTCTACATCATTCCTCAGTTTGCCTTCCGAAATCCGATTGAAAATATACGGATTCGTCTGTCCAGAGATCGAAATAGATTGCCGCACCCTCTTCAGACCTTCCGCTAATCCAACCACGGAGCGTTTTATCTGCAAAACCACGCATCGAATTCATCTCTTGTTGACTTCACGGAAAGTGTATGCTGAGGCAAAACCAGTCTTCGATTCGGCCCCTGTCGCTGTTGCCTGCCGTTTGTATATCTATCCACCACAACCATTAATCCCGCTCGACTTCCCACAATCTGCTCTTCCTCGCGTTTACAAACTCAACGTCGCAGCAGCGCCCCAACCTTACTTTGGCGGACTTGGCCTGGCATTCGGCCACAACTGGCTGGACCGCAACATCTGCCCAAATGTGCGCGTCATATGCAGGGCCTGGCCAAAAATAGAGCCTCTCTCGTACAAGAGCCACAGATTCTCAATTGAAAAGGAGAGCCCACTTCATTTTATACCTCTGCTACTGCCTGGATCACCAATCGACCCTCGAGATTACGGCATCACAAATGGAAACATACATAACCTCTTTGAGGTGTGCAAATCAAGAGGTGCTAATGATTGTTGGCGGAACTTCGTGGTCAGGGAGAACGCCTGGATCACGCACCACGATCTGACTGTGAAAACGACTTACAGGATCGGACTCAGGGCACGAACCCAAGAAGTGACCAATTGCATGGGACCGTGGATTGTCTTCGAAAGTTGGCTGGACGTCGTCGTTATTCGGGACAAGAATGGGATCAGGATTGACGGGCTGCCAGATCTGCGCGCGTCCGCATGGTGGAAGGAATGGACCGACAGTTTTCAACTCCCTCCTTCGCAGCAACTCGTCATACTCGAGACCTGCACCGAGTTCCCTGAGCGGGCCATTGACAGTGACAGGCCTTGGAACATCGTGCGCTCCAGCTTAGAGAGTGTTGAAGAGAATTGAGTCAAGGGACACGTCGAAATCACGACAACACGGCGCTCGGACACGAGCAGATGAGATCACCCTCTTGAAGCTGGACGCACTATGACCTTTCTCAGACCATATTTCACAACAAGTCCCACAGACAAAACGCCACCCCTGCGCTACATTTATCGAGCTCTTGCTGCCGGCGATAGCAGCACATAACAACAAAATCAGACTGAGACATGAATGACCCAAAAAAGTTGAATGGCAGGCTGGGCTAGTGCTACTGACACGGATCTGCTGCTGCTGCTGCTGCTTCAAACCGTGCAGCACAGGTCGCTTAGACCGTAAGTCTGCATTCTCAATATGTAAAGGAAAGAAGAAAAACCAAAAAAGAGAGGAAGAGGACCAATGATACCATCACAATAGCTGCAGAAATCCACACAACGACACAACATACAGCTTTCCTTTCCCTTGCCATCATCTAAAACTGCTTCTTATGCGCCCTCTTTTTCTCCCTGTGTCTCTGCAACTGCCTCTCCACCCCAGCCTCCAGGTCTAGCAAATCCTTGCCTCCGAACCCCTTGGCCGTGGCTTTATTGTCTTGACCTCCCCCAGCAGACCCCATGTTGTGCAGCTGCTTCTTCTCCAGCGCCCGGACCTTCTTCCGTCCCGCCACGGGCGCCGAGCTGTTCATGACCTGCGCAATCAGGTACCCATTGATGGTGTTTCCCGAGTTCTCCAGCGCGTAGAGTGGGCATTTGCCGTCATCGGCCTGGCAGCGCACCGTCGGCGGACAGCAGACTCCGACCGTGTTGGGGCACGTCTGGCACAGCGGGTTGGTCCCGGTGGAGTTATTCGCAAGTAGGGTTGTATTCGAGGAGGAGGACGACGGCGAGGAGTAGTAGGGCAAGGTAGTGTTGGAGGATGTTGGGGGGGACGTCATGTTGGAGCCGCCGGCAAGCCGGAGTATGTCATTCGCGCCCATGGGCTCTGGGCAGTAGGAGAGATACACGCTGACGGTCTTGATCGGTCTAGAACTCGGAGTCGGAGTCGTCGAGGGCGAGACCAAGATGGGTGAACCTGTCGTAGCGACGAATGTGCCGGAACCGGTCTGCAAGAGAACACCAGAAAGTTAGCTTCAGGGGACGTGCGTGTATATAATGCCCAATCCAAGCGTAGTCCGGCGTGATAACATTATCTCGTATGGGAGGATACGTACCAAGGTGCCGCAGCCGCTGAAGTTGCCACTGCCGGAGACCGTGCCCGAGGTGACCAGCGAGATCAGTCCTCCCATATATGCCGGCCAGACGGTTCCTGTGCCGGTTAAAGTCCCAGTGCCCGAGCCCGAACCACCTGTTTCAGTGTCAGCTATTGATCCTTGCTTCTATCGCGGTCAGCCAAATCGAGGGAGTATACGCACAGCCCGTGATTGTAGCGGATCCAGTGAACGTTCCGGACGTAGCAATGATCGTTCCGCAGCCAGAGACATTGTTTGCGAAGCCTGGATGGGGAAAGAATCAGTACCTGAGACTTCATTGTAGAGTAGACAACGGGAAGGAATGCTGAAAACAGTCGGGTTTCCAAATCCGTACCACTTGCAGTTCCTGAGGTGACTATCGGTGTTCCTTCCAGGTATACCGTGCCTGTGCCAACTGTGATGGAGTCAGCTATAGAACTTGGCTATGAGAGAGGGATTGGAAGCACTTACTGATGATACCACTACCGGAAGCTTGCCCACATCCTATGATGGTATCTGGCACTGTTGTTGTGATGAGCGAGGCCGAGGCCGAAGTCGACATCGTGCTGGACGCAGAGCCAGTGATGACCGTCAACGTAGACAAGGAAGATGATGTTCCACTTCCAGCTGTTGAAATGGCGGTCGCAGAATTTGTGATTGTAATCGTCGTGCTTGAAATGACGATGATTGACAAGCTGGTGTTGCTAGTCGAGGGCCTTGAGGTTGAAGGAGATGTATAAGGCTGACCAGAAACCATGAAAGAGCTTGACTTGCTTGTGGTAGTTGTCAACTTTGGAGTCGAGGTGGACGTAGCTGTGACGACGACGGTGACTGTGGTGCTTGTAGATGTCGAGGAGCTGCCACTGTTGAGTATGGGGCCTTGAGATTGAGAGGAGGTTCCACTGGTGCTGGTTGGGATGGTCAGGGAAGACCTAGAACTTGCTGCTGAGGAGCTGAACGCTGTTGTCGTAGATGTGGTTGTCGGTCTAAAGACTCCGGTCGATGCCATGAACGAGGTGCTGGTGGTGCTATTCAATAGACACGACGCGGGTATCGTGAAACAACAAGGCAGGCCAGTGGTTGACGAGGTACTTGATTGGAAGACGCCACTGTAGTTCGTGTCGTAACAGGACGCACCTGTCGTAGTTGGGGGAAAGTCGAAGACGCCCTGAAGAAAGCCGTCAGTCTCGCAGTTTGAAGAGACGATTCCCAGCACCGAGAACTCACATGATATGTAATGGTCGTGCATGTCAGAGTAGACGTGGATGTGATAGAAAAGGTAGAAGAAACACCCGGCCCTTCACATGGAGTGCATGTTGCAATGGGCGGGTCGCTTGCAAACACTCCACGCTTGTCGAAGACTCCTCTGCCCTGCCGTGTCTTGCTAAAGTAGTGATGATAATGGACGCTGTACATCGTCTGGCGGGTTCCATTGGCCGCGATCGTGACTGAAGGTGCAACAGCCGTGATCATCGAAGGAAGAACCTCATAGCGGAGATCAAAGCCACCCTGCAACTGGTTGGGTCTTGGAGTAGGTTGGTAAATGGGTTCAACAGGGAGGGTCAAGGATCCGAAATCAACAAAACCGTATGTGGTGTGAAATAGAACGCCCGCAAACATGAGAAATGAGTGGAACAGAGACATCGTGAAAGATGCTCACAGCCAACGGACACGATGAAGAACAAGACATGCTTCGAGTGTGTGCTTGAAATTTCATCCTTGGAGCCGCGTTGTGATGCGCACAGGCCACGAAGTGATGGAATGGAATGTTGGCTTGGCCATGGTCCATAAGAGGCCAATGCGGGACCGAAAGAAGTGTTGTTCCTTTCTCCCTGACAGGAGCACGAAGGGGGAAGAAGTTAAATGATAATATACAAATGTCAAAGTCCACGCTCTTGGTGACTGTGCCAGCCCTAGGGCAATACTCTCAATCCCTCTAACGGTGGTCATTCCCAGCACGAAATGATCCATGCTCAGCTGTCCACTTCATCTTCTTCCTCAACCCAGCACCCCTTGAAATGCTTCAAGCCCGTAGGGATGGAGCCAGCGGCAGTGACAGTGACCGTCACACTGACGGTCACAGTTTCAGGGGTTCCGTCAGACGGACCAACCCAGCTCATGCTGCTAGAAGACAGTGGAGCAACGGGAACCGAGGCAGCGTCGCTTGTTGTCGAGACCGGCTTCACCACTGTCGCCAAGGTCGTCCACGATGGGGAAAGTGACAAGCTTGAAGTGGGAAGGGTCATGGATGGCGTTCCAGAGCTTGAGGTAACTGTAACAGCAGTGCTAGTCACCCACGAGGATCGCACTTGTGATTCCGTAGGCGCGGTAGCAGAGGTGAAGGGTGAACTGGAAGAAGTCGTGGAGGAGGATTGCACTTGTATTTCTGCAGGAGCGGTAGTAGAGGTGAAAGGCGAACTGGAAGAAGTTGTAGAAGAGGATGCCGGTCCTTCAGGTGCAGAGGGAGCGCCTTCAAAGATATCTTCCTGCGGACCTGGCGTGAACCCGTTACGTGTATTGTAAGCTGGCGTCTGTGAGCCGCTTGTCACGACATTGTTCCCTGTCAACTGGTTCCAGACGATCATTTGCTTTGCTCCTGTAACGCATTGGGAAGGGTCGGTGTCACACATCAAGGGTGCTTGGGCTTTTGCTAGAGGAGTTGTTGACGTGGCACCAGTAACCATGCATTTGAAGCCTTGCATATAGATGTTGGGTTGACCACATCCTTTCGGCACCCAGAGCCAAGCACAAGTCTAGAAAGCCTTTGTTAGCCTGTATTCATGCTGATGCAGTAAACGAGGCATGCCCCGAGATATCAAACGGCATCACAGCGACAAGGGCGACTTACGCATCCGCCTTCGGGGCATGCAGGCATGGCCGCTGGAACTTGGTAGGTTGCTGCCCGTTTCCAGGGAGTGTGCTCAAGCACACTAAACACGACCAAGTCCTCCAACGTGATGGTGGAGAGATCGCTTTCATACGCAATGGCGAAGGCAGTTCCCTGAGTCATGCTCTGGTTCTGCACATGCATGTAACCACCGTCTTGAATACAACCTTCACCAACTCCGCCACCATTCCAGTCTTCTGGATGAGTTCCACCATCCGGCCATTCTGAAGTCTTCGAGCCGCCGTAGGATAGGTTTGAGAATGCCTGGTTGTTTGCCAGGTCAACATCGAAGGAGCCGCCGGCAGGTAACTCGAGGAAGACTCCAGGAGGAGGAGGAACAGCATCACATCCTCGATCGTGTTGAAACCACCATTGGTCCTGGGTAAGGTTGTACAACGGCGACACGGGTGCGTTGGAGTTGAAGTTCGGGTTGGAAGGGTCTGTACCATTCTCGCAGTACATGCCCTTCGCGAAGGCCGCAATGTGGGCTTGGACCACGCCAGCCAGGGTCAACCCTGAAAGGATCAATGCTGCAGCCATGTCGTTGCAAAAGAATTTGTGTCAGGAAGCCTGGACGAATAACTCGAAACAGTATCTGTAGCAGCAGTAGATCTCAATGGCTTCGGCTATCGAAACTCAGATCCGAAGCCTGGACGAAACGAATGACTGAATAGATTGGGAACGAATGGACGTGCGCACTGCGCCGCTTAGAGAACGAACGAAAGGACTCTTTGAGTGCCTATTATGAGTAAAACAACGTGCTCGAGGGGAATAGAACAGCACGGAAGGGTAGGAGCAAGGTCCATTTTGTACCCAAAGACCTAGGGTCCTCCATCCCCTTCGAGATAGACATGGCTCACTGGAGTAGATGCCGCTGTGCGAAATGAAGGATAGAATAAGCAGCCCACGAGTCTGCCAGCGTCTCAGGTAGTGATGACCCCGGTACAAACGACCGAAGTGCCAGGATGCCTCAGCCTCTGCTCTATCCACGCAAGTTCTCGCAGCGAATAACGAGGCTGTCAAAGCGGGGCCAAAGGATGGCGATTCTCCCGTGAATTTCAGTGTTGAGTTTCAGATTTGCACTAGGCTAGAGATTTCGGGACATTATCCCATACGCCACCGATTTGGCCCCGAATATGACGGAACACGAAGGGGGCAGCGGCCAACCCCAGGGGACAAGCTTCTCCTTTCTCGAAACCTTGTATGCTGGGGACGCTCCGCCCGGTCCTCGGTTGATTTGATGCATTGGCGACGTCGTATCTAAAAGACAGCCTTGCAGGCGGCTTGCATTGCCTATTCGATTAGGCCCGCACCGACAGTTTCGCCATTTGCTCTGAGAACAATCCTTGAAGGCGATTCCAACGGCACAACCTGGTCTAGCTGCACAGTGACTCGCACAACACATCCTGGTTGGACAATTTTGGGCTTTTTCTTCGTGATTGTGCCTGATGATTTGTCCAAGACACCGACGAGCTGACTGATTCGACCGGGTACATGCAAGCGTCCTTTGTGCACATCGACGTTCATTGGAGTCAAGTGATCGAATGCAAGTATCTTCGCTTTGAACTCACCGATGTTCTGGATGGGCGATAGGGGGCTGCAGAGAACATCTCCTGATTTCAGGTGTATGGGGTCAATGTCGGTCAGATTGAGGACCACATTCTGTCCTGCCACTGCCCACTCTCGGGGTTCATCGTCGACCTCCAAGCTCCGAATCTGGGCCTTTTCACCACTTGGCATGATAATCACTTGTTCCCCAACCTGAATAGTGCCCGTGTCCAATCGCCCTGACACAGACAGGGGATTTTGCACGCCACCTCTGAAAACATCGTTAATAGTCATCCGCAAAGGTTTGTCTAGGGCGTGGGTTGATGGCTCCGCCTTGTCCAGCTCCTCAACCAACGTCGAGCCGGCATACCATGACGACCTCGGATCTGAGGGTCTAGTCAGAATGTTCTCACCTCCGAGGCCAGAGCAAGGGACGAATGCTACGTTCTTTGCCTGAAACCCCGCGCTGCTCAGGAATGCGGCCATCTGTTGACGGATTTCGTTGAATCGTTCTTCGGACCATTCCGCAACATCCATCTTGTTCACGGCCACTATTATTCGCTGGACGCCAATGGATCGTACTAGGAGAGCGTGTTCTTTGGTCTGTCCCTTCAACCCAGACTCAAAATTCCCTGTCGAGGCGTCGATGACGAGGACCGCAAAGTCTGCCTGACTAGCTCCTGCAATCATGTTCGGCACAAAGTCCCGGTGACCGGGGGCATCCAGGATAGTAAAGCAGGTCTTGTCGGTCTCGAACTTGTTGGTGGCTATGTCGATAGTCACGCCTCTAGCCCTCTCTTCCGAGCCTTGATCTAAGACCCAGGCGAAGGCAAAGGAACCTTTGCCGATACGTTCTGCTTCTTGTCGATACTTGTCTAGGGTTCTTTGATCGACCGCTTTCAAGTCAAAAAGTAGCCTTCCCATGAGAGTGCTTTTTCCTGCATCGACATGGCCTTGGAGAATTAGTGCACTCTAGAAATCCACCGAGCTGGAATTGCTTACCGATGACTACAAAATTTGCCGCATTTTTTCGTTCATTTTTCCGGTATTCTGCAAGCACATCGATGTTTTTACTCTTGATTTTGGGAGCATCTTGGACGGATAGCTCATGCACGCCACCAGCTAAACCTGACTTTGCTCGGTTTGTATCCTTGGCTTTAGAAGTGGCCGGTGTCGTGGCTACATTACGAGCATGTTAGCTCCTCTTCATCTCGATCAGCCTTATCCCCGACCTTTTCCAGTCTGTGCCTTGGTCACAATATCGTCCGGACTCGGCTCTGCAAAGTTGAAAGATTTAGCATTTACTCCAATGGAGAAAAGGTCGCTTGATGATGGAAGATATGTGTCAGCGTCGCGGCTGGTCATGATACTGGCAAATGCCGAGGGACCGGCTCGAAGACGCTGGTCGACCTCAAGCGAGGCGTCTGGCGCTCCCTGCGAAGATTTGTGCTTGCTATCTATTTGCACGGAATCGCCGTGCCTGTGATCATTCTTTTGTGATTGAAGCTGAGATTCTGCTAGCGGGGAGGCTGACGCATCTGATGATTCGGACTTCACTCTTGATGGCTGGCTGATCCGCAATTTATTCAAGCTGGAGAGGTAGTCCTGCTGTGATCCAGTATCGTCTGTGGTTTGAGCGTCGAGTCTCTCGCTCTCTTTCTGCCTTCGCTTAGCGGCAAGAGCCGCTAGTTTGGATGTCTTGCCGTTGTTTGACGCACCGCCCAGAAGACGGAAGCGGGGATAGAGCGGAGTGATGATGATCTGTGCCCTCCGATGCTCAGGAATCTGCAACCATGGACTATCCTTGAAGAAATCCGCCGCAGAAAATGGGTTGGAGCAAGTGGCGATTGTGGCGAGATCTTGATGCTTATCAGCATCCTCTTCGAAACGGCGCGGTCGCAAGCTATCATGACCACCACGACGTGAAAGGGATGCAGGCGAGGAACATAGAAGAGCAAGCTTACTCTTTGAGCCATTCGTCTGTTTCTTTATAGAGGCAAGGGCAGGTTTCTGTTTGTCTGGCACAGTGAGTTTTCAACCAAGCTCGAGGAGGGAGCGTGATCCTGTACTTCTCAGGTAGGCGACAGATTTTCCAACGTCATAATAATAGTGCCACAGCGCCTCTTGAATTTCACTGTCTGTAGCAGGAAACGCTGGCCCTAAAGCCGCACGCACTTTGCTGGTTCCTTGCTGCATTTGTTCCTTGTCCTCTGCAGAAAGCTCGTTGTCACCGCCACCATCTCCATAGTCGTCGTCATAGTCCTCGTAATCCTCGTAATCATCTTCATCCAGGGCCAAAGACTTTACCCGACGATTTGACATGACGACGCTTGACAGAAAGAATGTGGCTGATTATCGAGACGGGAACAAAAGGACGATGGTGCAGTTTGGGCTTCAAGTCAGACTAGAACTTGCTTCCTAGACAATGAATTGACAAAGTGATTGACGAGGGCTCTAGTTCGACGAAGTCGAGCGAGAGTTTTCGTCGTGCGGGGCGTTCCAACAGCCTATCTTCACACTTTCGTTCCTCTTCTAGTTTTATCTCCTTGTTAAAGAGACATGGAGATCAAAGGAAAGACTTAGGTGCGATCAGGTGGATGTGAGTTATGGTTGTAGCCGTTGTGTACGCAGTGCATTGGCAAAAGGCTATCAGGTGGCAGCCGGCTGCAGATGTCACTGCAAGCGCTGCTTTATAGGCACCATCAGTCCTGTCGCCCAGTGTCTAGCACGAGCGGGGTTCAGTACAGGGCGGCATCACCCTCATCCTATTTCGGGCTTGGCTGTGAGGACCTCAAAATCCCCCGTCCCTTTATCACGCCGCAATTTCCAGGTGAACCGCAGTTACATGCAGCCGCCCTCTACGCGCGACCAAAGTCACTGCTCGACACAGAGCCTCCTGGCACCATCGAATTCCTTCATCTATTGCCTGCTGCATGCCTACTAGGAAATGTGAAACTACTATCTATCCTACGCGATATGGTTCATCTCTGCTTCATCGTGATGCTTCGGTAGCGCGTACAATCCTTCAACAATGTCGACTGCTAGCATCCATGCCGCGCCAATTGGACTTGGTCTCTCCCCGACCAAGTCGAATCTTACACAACAAATCGAACAGAGTGAGGGCGAACGCACTCCGCGATGCTCGAGAACATCCACCAAGGGCTCTCCAAAGCCACGGTCTTTCTCTGACGCTCCCAAGCCTGTTCTCTCTCCTTCGCCAGCCTTTCGAGAACCTCTGCGACGAATCTCGAAGGATGACTCGGCGATCACAATCCCAACAACACCCTCTCGTCCTCCGATCCATACTCGAGGTCTTTCCCTTCATATGCCGTCAAAGGACGCCGCTGGAACAAGCACAGGTCCCACAATCCCTCGAATTCCGTTATCACCAAAACTAGATTCGTCCTATGTCTATGGATCGCCCTCGTCCATGCTCCCAAGGAGATCACGAGGGCTGGATTATACAAGGGCATGCACCAATTTGCACCATTCTACGCTGGCAGAAGCGTCTCCAGATGCATCGCCGATCACAGGGAGAGGAATACAAATACCCCAAAGGAGAAGTCTGGGGAATACCGTGCTTGATTCACCAAGCAATCAATCAAATGCTTTGTGGTCCTTGTCAAACGATAGAACAAACCTGTCAAGCTCCGTCAGCTCCGTGAATATGATGGGCTCTGATTCTGACTCTGAGTCTGATACTTCTTCAGACGACATGGCAATTGATCGCGAAGTGGATGAAGCGATATTGAGCACACCTGCGGCGTCAAGGTTGAACCCGGGGCCCATGCCGGGCTGGGTGAACAGTCCTGGAATGGAATGGATGAACAATCAACCATCTCCGGCACAAGCAAGCCTGATGAGTTTTCAGCCCAGCCTGATGAGTTTTAGGAGAGCTCGCACGCGGAAGGGCAAAAGTCAACATAGCTCCAGTAGCGTGAGCATGAACAGCTCCAAGCCTTCACCGGGGCCTTTGTCACCTGGCGTATTGAAAAGTGTTGAAAACGCAGGGGGCAGTTACTTTGGAACGGGGCTAACCAAGCAACAAGTCCAGTCTCGGCGTGAAAGTTTAAGTCTGGGCACCAACGATCTGCATCTTTCAGACAGCGAAGACAATACCACTGCCAGGACCAACGGGGCCCAGTCTCTTTCAGACATGGACGGTGCAAATGGCGACGACCCTAGAAAGGTCATTCGCAGAGCTGTCACCCGCAGAGGCAACTTGCTTCCCAAGACAAAAGGCTTTGCTCGAATCCGTGCACAGCTGATGGAAGAAGCCGCCCCGATCGAAAGTGAAGCGCGACGTGAGGCAGAAGTCATTCGCCAAGTCCAAGAGAATGAGCCGACCGTTTCACAGCCAAAGTCCCCGATAATGCCCACCCATCAGAACAACAATTTTGCAGCTGAGCCCATAGAGGAGTCGATCGAAGATATGATGATGGACAACAGAGGTCTGCTTCCTCCTGATAGCTTTAGTCGACAGGCCGAGAGGAACTCGGCAGGAATTGGGTTTTGGAACGGATTCGACGAGCGCTATCGAACTCCTCCCCCGTCTTTACGACCTCGCGAAAGCTCTTCCGCCATCAGCGACGACATGATGGATACTCCCGGCTCCTCACTTGTCGACAACCCTGCTCTCAAGCATTTCAACCGATCCAGATCGAGGTCGACCACTCCCTTGGCCTCCAACCCGCCTACCGCGGCAGATGTCGCCCGACGAGTCAACAACAAGCGACGCCGCGAGGAGGATTTTGACCCATCATACACCAAACGGCGAGCGGTGTCTCCTGGCATGAGTGTCCAAAGTAGTCCTGTCCTGCCGCAAAGCCCAGTCCTGACGAGCGACAAGGCGTGGTCCAAGCTGCCACCAAAGGGATCCGGACATGGCCATGGTGATCGCAGCAATAGCGGGAGCAGTCATAATGGAACGAAGAAAATTGGGTTGCAAGGCATGACTGAAACGAATGAAGGTATCATGAGCATGAGCATCGACTAGCCTTCCCCATTGTCCTTTTTCACGAGTTGATCTCTGGCTAGCAAGGCGTCTGGAGCGGACTGGCATGGCATGGGCTGGAAGGAGACATGGTTGCTTTTTCATCTCGAGCTATGTACTATGCCACTCGAGTTCAATTGCTCTTGCTTTGAATCCTTGCTGCACACGAAGCAATGAGATTCTCTGATGCTACAGATCTCAAAATTCAAAAGCTGGTAGCATGTCCGATACAGTCTAGTCCCGCCCTCAGGCTACTCGTATGGACCGAGTACCTCGTACTTGGCTGCGCCTCTAAAGGATTTCCCGCCGGTGTCTGACACACCGAGTTTGTTCGCGCTGCGGCACGAGCCTCAAAGCTGGCCGCCCCTCCACCAGGCTAACATTACCATTGCTCCAAACGTAGCGGAAACTCGTCCTTTCTCCGATCTGTCTTGTAGCATTCCTTCTATTCCACAGGTCATGGGCTCGACGGTAGACATCACCTCATCGTTCATAGAGGGTGCGCCCTCTGGGGAACTCCAAGATGTGATCAAGGACATCAAGGCCCTCACCTCCGACGACGACCCGGCACTGATCGCAAAGCTGAAGCCTGCGTTCGAGAAGTACAACGAAGAGCAGATGGTGGCTGTGAAGCTCCCGGGAGCGAGCGATTATGTACGAATACTGCTTCCCTCATCCTGCGGACAAGAGAAGAAGTTCTCTTAATTGCAGCGAGAAAAGAGCCCGTCCATTGGGGGAATTGGCGGCAACGTCCAGCTGACAGCGAGGCTGACTTGAACAGGTCCTAATATCTTCCTACAACAAGCTCTCCTCGGGCCAGTACTACGACACGCAATCTTCCACGTCCTTCTCCTTCGACCACACCACCTCCAAGCCCTCGGCACCGCAGTCCTACACCCACGACACCAAGCACAGCGACCTCGTGTCGTCAATCGTAAAACACCTCTCGGGCCACTTCGCCGAACATTACCCTCCGACGTCCTCGCCGTCGGCGTTCACCGTCTGTGCCACCCCCGACGACTCCCAGGTGGCAATCCTGATATCCTCGCTGAAGTCCTCGCCCAAGAATTTTCTCAGCGGCCGCTGGAGAACCGCCGTCCTCTACAACCCGTCCTCCAACACCCTGTCCGGCAGCATCAAGGTCGACGTGCACTACTACGAAGACGGCAACGTCGCGCTGTCGACGAAGAAGGACTTTTCAAACGTGTCGGTCGACGGCGGAGGCAGTGGTGAGAGTGTGGTGAGGAAGATTGCCGCAATCGAGAAACAGTACCAGGAAGAGGTGAACAGGACCATCGTCGGCATGAACGAGACTAGCTTCAAGGCCCTCCGACGGCAGTTGCCCGTCACGAGGCAGAAGGTCGAGTGGGAGAAGATTAGAGGCTACGGGCTGGGTGGGGATCTGAGAGGGGAGGGCAAGAGATAGACAGGGACCCGGACGTGCCGGTGACGCCGTGAACGAATTCGGGGCAGGCTTTAAGACGCATATGCATGGACCTCGGGAGGAGTTGTGCTACATTTGCAAACGAGAAGGTCTCAAATACGAAACAACGAACGAGAGACGGATTCCTGGTCTAAAACTCTGGACTGGAAGAAAAGCCATTGACCATTTATTTCGATACCCTCCCAACCTTGTCCTAGGGTCTATGGCAAGCCTCTTCCCGACCTCGTGGCCTTCGCAACCTCGCTCTGCGTGGTATCCTCCGCATATCTCCGGTACGCATCGACGTATTGATCCTTTTCACTCAAGGTATCTAACACGCTCTCCCTTGCACCCACTGCTTTTGCCCATTTCCTCCATCTCTGCCACACTTCTTCGTCATCGCCTCCCTTCCCTTCCTCAGGCACACCCACTCCGCCTTTGTAAACATCAAAAAGAAACATCCTGCATAGCCAAGGCGCGAGCATGATGTCCACAAGGCTGAATCTCTCCCCCAAAAAGAATGGTCCCTGCGAATCGCATTCTTTGATGAAGGTCTTGATATGGTTGAGGAATTCCGTTCGCGCTTCATCGAGGGTATATGATTTTGAATCTGAATGTTGCATGAAACGGTAGAAGGCGGGAACAATCCTCGTTGAGATGTGATCGATCCAAATCCGGCATTTTGCACGCAAATAGGCGTCTTCTCTGGGCAGCAGATCAGGTCCGTTCTTAGAAGGGTCGTTGTATACTTCGTCCAGGTACTCGCAGATCACATAACTTTCGTAGAGGGGCTTTTGGTCCTTGCCATCCTTGTCAAGAGGAACGGCGAGGGTCGGGACCAAACCACGAGGGTTTAATTTGAGAAACTCGGGATCTTTGTGGTACGGGTTGATCTCGAAATATTGGTGCGGGATGTTCTTCTCATGGATGGTAATCCAGCTGCGCTGGACGAAGGGACAAAACCAACCGCCGTAGAGGATCAGTGGGTTTGGAGAGGAATGTGCTTCCGCGAAGCGAGCAGCGCGGCCCGACGTATGGGGGTGCAGGGAGGTATCGACGGAGCCCATGGCGCGACGCGAGATTGAGAAGGCTCTGGACGAGCTTACTGACGGAATGCGAAGTAGAAAGGGGAGACAGCGACTGCTAAGACGGAGGGGTTGAGTCGGAATGGAAAGGAAATTCATGCCATGTAGTAATGTAACAGAGAAGTGTATAAAGAATTGATGCTCGCCGCGCTCGGCGAGAATGTGGTAATGTCAATGCGATGCGGGGGATAATGCGGCATAGCGAAGAATGACGTACGAGGTACGAGGTACTAGTCCTTCTGATGATGCTGCTGCCGCCACTGCGACTTTGGAGCTTACCTGAGTGGCCGTTGAATGGGTGGAAGCTGGCGGCATGTCGCGAGATGATGTTCCTGTTTATTGTAGGAAAGGGTAGGCATTGTGTATGCGGACAGATGGGATTCGAACAATGTATCCCTGACGCGGAAACCGGCACTGCATACCCGGTGCCAAAGGAACCTTGATTAGGTAGACTAAAGAATGCTCGCGTGTGCATTGTGACTTGGTGGTGCCCTTGTCCGAGTCATGATGGGCTGGCTCAGTAGGAAAAAATAGAAGCACAATCAAAATGCCCCAGTGGGATGGAACAGAATGGTACTTGTTGGATCTGCAAAGAACAGAATAGAGGCCAGGCTGGCATTGATTCAGGGGCAAGACAGCGTGTTCAGAGCCTCCCCTTGACCGCCAAGGCTGGGGCAAGTGGCTCGGTGGCTCGTAGCTCCAGGATGGCCATGATGGGGGCGCTTTTGGGTGACTGCGGCGAACAAAGTGTCCTCGCGCCGCCTTCCGCCAGTGAAGATGGTGGAAAAGGACAGCGTATCGATAACTGCGGCCCTAGAATAAATATTTCCCTCCACCGCCAGCCTCAATACTCCTCGACCTTTCTCCCAAGAACCATACTCTATTCGTTTTTCTTTACCTCTCTTTCCTTCCTCTCCTCACCGACAAGATGGCGTCCGGTAACGTCCAGCGTCGACCGCACAGACACTCTTCTGCTGCTTTGCAGTGGACAACTCTCTTCTACCTCCTCCTCATCTTTGTCTGCCCCTTGGCTTTGATCGGCAGAGTGAATGCTGAAGATCAAGCACCCTTAAACGACTCTGACAGCAACTATGGCACCGTCATTGGTATCGATCTGGGCACAACATATTCCTGCGTCGGTGTCATGCAGAACGGCAAGGTCGAGATCATTGTGAACGACCAAGGAAATCGGATAACACCTTCATACGTGGCATTTACCGATGAAGAGCGGTTAGTGGGAGACGCCGCAAAGAATCAATATGCGTCGAATCCTACCAGGACAATTTTCGACATCAAGTGAGTGTTCTCTAGCCTTTTGCCTCGTACCGTGACTTTACTAACATGATTCCTTAGGCGTTTGATCGGCCGCAAATTCGAGGACAAGGACGTTCAGCGAGATCTGAAACACTTCCCTTTCAAGGTCGCCAGCAAAGACGGCAAGCCGGTGGTCAATGTCGAAGTTTCTGGCAAACCCAAGACCTTTACGCCTGAAGAAATCTCCGCCATGGTTCTGGGCAAGATGAAGGAGGTTGCAGAGGCATACCTGGGCAAGAAAGTCACCCACGCAGTCGTCACGGTCCCGGCATACTTCAACGACGCTCAGCGACAAGCCACCAAGGACGCTGGCACTATCGCTGGCCTGACTGTTCTGCGTGTTGTTAACGAGCCAACTGCCGCAGCCATCGCTTACGGTCTTGACAAGAAAGGCAAGGAGAGCCAGATCATTGTCTACGATCTTGGTGGTGGTACTTTCGATGTCTCTCTTCTTTCAATTGAGGACGGCGTTTTCGAGGTCTTGGCCACTGCTGGTGACACCCATCTTGGTGGCGAAGATTTCGATCAACGAGTGATTGACTACTTTGTGAAGAAATACAACAAGGAGAACGATGTTGATATTCGCAAGGATTTGAAGACCATGGGTAAGCTCAAGCGTGAAGTCGAACGAGCCAAGAGAACCCTTTCTTCCCAAATGTCTACCCGAATCGAAATCGAAGCTTTCCACAATGGTAATGACTTCTCTGAGACCTTGACGCGAGCCAAGTTCGAGGAGTTGAACATGGACTTGTTCAAGAAGACACTTAAGCCGGTCGAACAAGTTTTGAAAGACGCCAAGGTCAAGAAATCCGAGATTGACGACATTGTCCTGATTGGTGGTTCAACTCGTATCCCCAAGGTCCAGTCAATGATCGAGGAATTCTTTGGTGGCAAGAAGGCAAGCAAGGGTATCAACCCAGACGAAGCTGTCGCATATGGCGCAGCTGTTCAAGGTGGCGTCCTTTCTGGCGAAACCGGAACCGAAGACCTCATTCTCATGGATGTCAATCCCCTCACCCTCGGTATCGAGACCACTGGTGGAGTCATGACCAAGCTCATTCCTCGAAACACTCTGGTACCGACCAAGAAATCTCAAATCTTCTCTACGGCCGCGGACAACCAGCCCGTAGTGCTTATTCAGGTTTTCGAAGGCGAACGGGCAATGACCAAGGACAACAACCTCCTGGGTAAATTTGAACTCACTGGCATTCCTCCCGCCCCTCGTGGTGTCCCTCAGATCGAAGTCTCGTTTGAACTTGACGCAAACGGTATCCTCAAGGTCTCGGCTGGCGACAAAGGCACTGGCAAGTCTGAGTCGATCACCATCACGAACGACAAGGGACGTCTTACCCAGGATGAAATCGACCGAATGGTGGCAGAGGCCGAAGAGTTTGCTGAGGCAGATCGCGCCGTCAAGGACAAGATCGACGCCCGCAACAAGTTGGAGAACTATGCCTCGTCATTGAAGAACCAGGTCAACGACGAGGACGGGCTCGGTGGCAAGATCGATGACGAAGATAAAGAGACTCTTCTGGATGCCATCAAGGAGACGCAAGACTGGCTCAGTGACAACGCTGATTCCGCGGACAAGGATGACTTTGAGGAGCAATTCGAGAAGTTGTCTCAAGTCGCATATCCGATTAGCAGCAAGCTGTACGCTGGTGGTGCAGGAGGCATGCCAGACTATGGAGATGATGATGACGAGCCTTCGGGACACGATGAGCTGTGAGGAGGTCGCGGACTTTGGCATGAATTTTGTACCAGCGTTATGAATTGAGGACTCGATAACAAGCATCTAGATGTGCTCGGTCTAGGGAAGAAACAGGCCGGACATGCAAAAGGGCGTTGGTCTTTCTCCTTTTTCTCTCTTGTATTCCGGAAGGCAAAGTTGTGACAACTAGATACCAAAAGAAACCAAATTGAACATTCCTCGACTTCTCTGTGATTCGAGTTCCGCCGTTCGCCATCTCCTCCCTTTCTTGGATTCTATATAGATTCAGAAATCCTCACACTTGACCACGAACAAAGCGACGACCTCGTACGGATGGGCGCGTCTCAGTTCACGCACGGCATCCTTACACCTCTGCGTGCCCACGACCACCATCTCGACCCTCTCTTCCTCGACGTACTCGACCTTCCCGGGCGTGCCGATGTGCGGGTTCGCCGCGGCTGAGGGCTTGAACTGCCCCGTCCCTCGACTGATGAAGGCTGTGTCCGTGTACTTCGCAGGCTCAATAGGCTCACCTCCAGAAGCGGAGGAGGAGGAGGGGAACTCAGGCCCATTAGGCCATGTCCCTGCCCCGGTGGCCCAGAGCGCTGAAAGGCATGCGTGTGTGTTCTCCGGCGGCACGTAGAAGGTCAGTTTGTATATGGTCTGGTCGTCGGCGATGCCACTGGGAGCAGTAGTAGAGTCGCTGGAGGCTGTGGCGCCGGCTGTGTGGCTTGACATGCTGTGTCGACACGGTGCACAAACGGGGAACCTCACCGACGGCGAGATCGGCTTTGCTGTATAGTTTTGGGGTTGGAGCTGGCGGCGGTGGGGATGGATGTCGTGGAGAAAGACTCGATCTGCTGTTTTCAATGGGCGGAAGCGCCTTCGGAAGCTGTAGACCGCTGCTTGCCGGACGGGGACTTGAAGGGCGGACATGTGAATACACAGACATGTATCTAAAGTTATTATTGTGGGAGGTCAATGTGCCAAAGAGGTGGAGAAATACACAAGTCCTGGAAAGGTTCAATAAGTAACCAGCTTCCCTTGTGAAGGGTTCCATTATGGTCTATTTCCTAGAGCATTACTATGCTAGGTGAAAATTTGACAATCAAAGACAAGAGCCTCCCAGATATTATTCCCCTTGTTGTCTCAGTAGTCAAAGTTCTCGTAAATGATGGTCGTCCCAGGCATCCACTCCTGCACAATCTTCCTGAACGCCGGCGCCGTGCATAGATACCAGTTGTCCACTTCTGATTCCCAAGCTACCAAGTCCTCCTTCGTCACTCTCCTCCTCAGGACTTTCACGCCGGTTTCGATCAATTCCTGGAGCTTGGCCTTGGCCTTTGCATCCAACAGTGACTCGTCGCCAGTTATGCATATTGTCAGCGAGTCTTTCAAACTGGGATACTGGGTGAGGACGTCCAGAGGCAATCCAACATCGCGGATCCCAACGCTCCACATGACCTTTAGTTTGTCGAGATCCAAGCTTTCCATCTGGCCCAGCAAAGGCGTGATCCCAATCCCAGCTGCAATAAAAGCATTCCTGGCGTGTGGTTCGAATGCAAATTCTCCGCCAAACCCTCGAATACCGATCTCACACATGCCCTCGCGCTGCCACTCGAGCCATTTCGTGACGTGGCCGACTGCACGAACGGTGACTTCAAACTCTTCCCCGTGCAGGCCAAGCGAGTTCGGGATGGATGAGACAGTGAAAGTCCGAATATAGTCATCATTCAGACTGGTCGGGTCGTCGTCTCGCATGTGCGAGTAGCCCATGTCCAGCTCGGCTGCCATGTCCATCGCCACGTATTGCCCTGGTGTCCAGGGGCCAAACACGCCAGGATCTGCAAGCGCGAACCTATATCTTGTGACAGTAGGAGTGATCTTTGTCTTCTTGATGAGTTTTGCTGTCGTTGGTGGTGCGTCCCCCGGGGTCTTCCCAAACGCGTCTGTTTTCTCGGAGGCCAGGTATCGCACTCGCGGATTGTAGGGCGAACGGCCTTGGGACGCATCGTCCATCAGCTTGCCCCGGAAGGGTAACCCGTCTTCAACAAGGCGCGCTCCTGTCACTTTCAAGCGAACGGCGAGATTGCTTTTTGCAATGACTTTGCTCGCCTCCGCCCCCACAAGTGTCTCCGTATCCCCGGTCACATAGAGAACATTACCGGTCTCGAAGTCCGGGATCACCAGGCCTGCATGAGGAGTGCTTTCAAGATTTCCAAGTGTTTGGTAGAGATTGTTGCCACTGTATTCGGGCCACACAATGGTGCTGCCTTGCTCTAAATCGGCAGACTGCTCCACGCGAATAAAGCCTGGAGGTCCGCCACGGTGATTACAGTCCATGTCCTCGTGTTTGTGGGCGGAGGCGATGAAAAATAAGTCCGCGTTATGCACCAAATCAATCGCTTTTTGAGGGAGGTGTGGTGACGAAGACAATAGTCTCGGCTTGGGTTGGGCGGCCGTGATGCGCTTCTTATTAAGGTATTTTGGGCAATTTCCGATACTTTGATCGATCTTGACGACGAGCTGTACTTCACCTGACTTGCCGGTTTGCGCGTCGTCCTTGGGCTCGTTGCCATCCGTGACGGGCTCATTCGCGGTCAGTGCCCCGGCAACGACTTGACCAGCCAACTTGACTCTCCCTCTCTCCTCCAGATGAATGCTTAGTCCGGACATTAGTCTCCCTTTGCCCTCTTCCCGTATCACTTCGCCGTCGTCCTTGCCTTTATAAATTGCTTGAATAACGGGGTCGAAGCTCGCGTCGACGGTGGTGCGGACGCCCATAACACTTTGAGCCACCGGCTGTGCAATTGGTAGTTGATCGGAACCCCAGACTGTGCACCAGGGTCTGTCGTGATCATCCAACGTCCCTATTGCTATCATGGGGTACCGTTGGATCATGTTGGCCGCCCGAGGGGTGAGGAATGGTGACGTCGGATTGTCATAGCTGCCGACACGCGTGCGTTTATGGATCGCGACTTCACCCTCGTGCCAGGGAGCAGCTTGAAAGAACGCCATTTTCCTTTTCCTGTTGACCATCAAAGTTGTCGACCTAGTTGGTGATATGAGAGACGAACGTTGAGAGACGAAGCGCATCAAAGATGCTACGACCTCCTTTATACCATGGCCAGCGTCGATTCTTTCCGTTTCAGCCAGAGTAAAATCCTCAACAGATGGAGCCTATGGTTTCGACACAGGCAGAGAACTTGACAAATATATGGCCACCTCCACCACCATGACGAGCTCAGGTTGTATAGAACAGCATGGGACTAAGAGGTTTACTAAAGCAACGACTGTCAGCATGCATTTCCATCTTTGGCCGCTCCAGAGCCTGCGGCATCTTCATCAAGCGGCGAGAAGCGTCCAGCGGTTTCATTGGTTCAGGCATACGACGGGACGAGCGATCCAGAGGGATGAGCGTCATCCGGGCCGTGGAAAGCAAATCATGCCCATGGGCGCGGCGGATGGGTGGGGAGGATGAGAACCTTGGGGAGAGGTTGAAGGGGGGCCTCGAGAGGCTATTTGTGGCACCTCCAAGGACACTGGCAGTTTCAACGCCTGCCGAGGCGCCTTTGTCACGACTGGTGGGCTCAGCTGGGCCTTGAAAGCAGCAACAGTGACAAGTTCACCCCTTTGCGGGCTTAGGCAGGCAAGGCAGGTAATGAATTCTCAAATGGGTGAAGTGGGTGAAGTGGTAAAGTGGGATGGTGTTTAGTCAACGAGTTTGGCACGTAAAACAGCGAATTGCGTCTCAAGGCCACGCTGTCAATCTGTCAATCTGATCTTTGCCTGCGACGCGATTCGCATCCCCATCCACCACCATCAACTTTTACTCCGAGTATTCCAGCAAACCAGACCACAGCTAATTAATTCCACGCGGAAATTCACCAGCTCAACGCCCCAATGACGAGTCGCGAGATACCCGCTTCCATCTTCACTCCTCCGGCCACGAGACCCCCCTTGCGCGCCAGACTGACTCCAGTTCTTGCAGAAAGCGCAATTCCTCCCCTGAATACAGCTGCTGAAACCGTTGTCTCAAGTCATGTCGGATCAGTGCAATGTCCGCGGGCTTATCGACTGCATAGCCAAATATCAAGGTTGGCCACGATCCCAGGTAACACCTCGACCATTCCTCATTAGCTTGCGGACACTGCATGATCTCCAGTCCTCTGCGAACCTGCCATGTATCACCTGCGGGCGGAAGGGGAGATTCAGTCTCGCCCACCTCATGCGATCTGGATACCCAGTCCAGAAGAAGGGATGCTGCTAGAATATGCAAGCTCGTCGAGTGTTGGTGGAAGCTGCGAGCTCGTTCAGCTGATGTTTTGATCCACCACGAGTCCTCTTCCTTGATGCAGTGTCCCTCTTCTAGGATCGTCTTCTCCCAATATGCCATTTTATGCCCGAGAACCCCCAATAATTCAGGCTCAGGTTTCGCCGGACTTTTGCAAAGTTGCACAATCTCGATAATGAGTTTTTGAAGTGCCAAAGGGAATCCTATCACGGGACTGTTGTCGGCTGGCGAGGCATCTGGGAACGTCAAAGACTGCAGCGTCTCTTCTGCCCGCGCACAGAACTCAAAGTCAGGCTGAAAGTCCACTGCAAAGGGCCGATTGACTGTCTGGCGAAAGACTTGATAAAGGATGCTTTCCCACATAATACGATGGATCGGCCGTGGCATGGGTGGTCTCCGCGAATGCGTCCATCGAAGTTTCATGAGTTGGATCGCTCCCATTACGTGTTTCCCAATGTCTTCATTGGTCCCAATATCAAACACCTGTTCGGATGAAAAGTTGGCTAGTCAGCTTCGCCACCTGCAGAGCTTCATACCGACTTGGGCTGAAATCAGGAACTCACTCCATGGATGTAAAGAAAGATGATGGCCACTAGAAGAGCGTCATTAAAATCATCCCGCCCCCAGTCGATCGTGCTGAGAGAGCGATTGACCTCAGAGACCGCACGAGTATAATACCTGATTCCAGCCTCGTTCATTTGAGCACTTCCGGTAAGAAGATGCATGCGCGACGCACCACAAGCTAGTGCAACGTCTTTCATACCCTCAAATTGCAGAAGCATTTCCACCACCTCTGGGATGAATTGGGATGAGAATCCTGGGTGTGTATTCGAGAGGATGAGGAGCGGCAGAAATCCATCCAGAAAGTGCCGGAAACAGTCAACTTCAAGGTCGGATTTGAACACTGGCGAATTAAAGAGGTCTGAGTTGAAGGAGATTTCACGGCAAACGAAGAATGGTGACACATCAACATCCTTGCTGTCTTTGCTGCTGCTTGAAATGCGTCTTGTGACCTTGATGGTTTTCGGCGACTGAGCAGGCGACGACAATGCAGGAGATCTGGAAGCTCGACTATGTCGCCGGTCGAACAGATCATCTTCGGCAGGCCAGGTACAGACTCGGTCGGATTTGACGCACTTTTCGCACCGCGGCCTTGCTTCGTTGCACTTCTTCCTTCGCATACGACCCGAAGTCCTGTTAGCTGCAGACGGCTCCATCAAATATAACTGCACTTACAGGTTAAGCATCCAGTCTTGGTTCGCAGACTCGCACTGGATGGACGTGCCATATCACCCATAAATATGCTTGCCAGCTTCTGTGCAGATCAACATCTCATGGTGGGCGGTCCGACCTTCGCCAAACATCCATTGAAATGCGACAAGAGGAACACCGCCTGGGAAGGGCTAGGTTTTGGTACAATCAAGGGCTGAAGCGGAAGTCTGCAGTCCTTATCGATCGAGGTCGAATCAGTCTGAGTTCTAGGCCCCAAGCAATGTGGGCTTTCACCCCGCATGAACAAGATTAGTCTAGCGGTCGCAACCGACCTGCTGGGAGAAGCGGAATTTGTTGCGAAGCTACGGAAATACTTCTACTCACCCATACTGCCATGAAACCCTCTTGGTAAAACATGGGCACACACTAAGCAGCTAAATTCATTGGTCGATTTGCTGGACGGACATGATGAGCAATGGACTGAACCAGGTACTTCGGCGATATAAAGGCTCTTGTCCCACATCGTTTCGCCGGGAGAGGGTTGCCAAAGCGACATTTGAGACTTTGGCGATATGTGCTTCCTCAAGCCAAGATACCGCTTCAAACCCCTCTACTCACATCTTGGTCCTTATCTGCGCCCGGACTTTCCTGGTCTTACCTCCACGGTATCAAGGATCGCCCAGAGCCCTCGATATCAGCTCCACGGCAGACATTAGCTCTTCGTCGTGCTCAGATCTGGCGATGACCTGAATGTGACAAGGCGCCTTATCAACTGCTTCCGGTAGATCTGCAATCTGTCAGACACTTGCTTCGCAACCTGCTCTCAAGGAGCGACTCACAATCTGGAATTCGGTGGTCGGGAAGGTCCAGATTTTTGTCCGCTTTGAGATATGGGATGATGCAGGCAGGATACTGTTCGAGATGATCAGCCTTCATTCTCATACCGGCACGTAGGCCAGCTTTTCACTTACCGCCAGGAGATTCCACATGACTGTATACGGTGGCATTCTGAAAGTGTCATGGGGTACAGCAGTCTTATGCGAGCCTGGTGCTACAATAACATCCAACTTGTTCTCTACAAAGAGCTTCAACCAGTCAGATCGGAATTTGAGCCGCTGCTCATTCATGTCGAACAAATCACCCAGAGACTTGTCGGGACGGCCTCCAGGAGGCGGTGTATACATGTCCTTGACGGAGGTGACCAGTGGCTCTCCTGAGGCTTCAATGTGCTTGAATCCGGTGCGCTCATTGTCGATATCAAACATTTTGAAGGACAGATGATTGGCTTCTTTGAAGGATGGAAATTTCTCGAGCATTACGATGCTGTGCCCGGCTTGCCTCAGTTTTTCCGTTGCCGTCTTCAATGCTCGCAGGATTGGTGGTTGGACCGGCCAAGTGGGACACTCGAGGATGACACCAATAGTCAGACTCTTTTTCTCTTCAACAGGATGCCATGGCATAGCGAGGGCCGTGCAGTCAAAGTCCCAAGGCTTTGAGTTGATGACGGTTTCGAGAAACAGACGCAAGTCGCGGGGGCTCGTGGCCAAAGGCCCTGCTACTGGCATTATGCCTGTCCAGCCATCCAGCACCGGATTTGTTTGGCCACCAAAAGGAATGCGATCAACAGACGGCTTGAAGCCATATGTTCCACAGCAAAAGGCAGGTATTCGGATCGATCCTCCAATGTCTGTCCCGACACCCAGAAGTGAGCCTCTCATACAGACTAGGGCCCCTTCCCCACCACTGCTACCCCCAGCAGTGAGTTTGAGCTTATGAGGATTCTAAAGAAGAGATGAGCCACGGGGTTACAACAAAAAGCCATGACTCTTACCAAGACGCGGCCAAAGACATTGTTTTCGGAATCGGCCGTCATTAATGTTTGCGGAAGATTAGTCTTGACATAAAGAACGGCGCCATTTTGAAGAAGAATGTCAACCAAAGGTGAGTTGAAGTCCGCTGCCGGTCGTTTGATGAACGAGACGTAGCCGATGGTCGAATATGTACCCTTCAAGTTGAAGGAATCCTGCGGACGACAACGTTGAGCAATGGGACCTCGCGGGAGACCTCTAGCCATACCTTCAAACTTATTGGCATTCCATGCAACGGGCCCATGGGCTTACCTTCTCTCTCCAGATATTCATCGAGATATTTGGCTCTTTCGAGTGCCTTATCGAAGAAAATCTCTGTCAAGCAGTTCGTCTTGGAACTTCAGCGACGACTGTCTCGAGATGCAGGGTTGTTACTAACCACTTGATGGGCGATAGCAGCTCTTTTGCAGAATGCTTCAGTGACCTCAACAGCAGAAAGCTCTTTCGCAGCAATCTTGGTTGTCAAATCAACAGCGTCATAGGTTTCGGTGATCTCGAGCTCCTTTGGTGTTAGAATCCCACACTTTCCAGGCACGTCAAGGACGCTGATATCGGCATCGGCATTGACAGATTCAAGGATGCTTGGAGACAGCCGCCATTCTTTCGGAATGGCTTTGGCTCCCTCGGCACGTTTCCTCTCGACCAGAGTTCTCCATTCCTCGCGCATTTTGGGATCGATCAAATGATCAGGACGAAACTAACCACATGTAAAGATCTCCATACTTGCCGATGAAAGCTGTACAGCTTATATACATTTTATCTCTTGTTTGCCCGAGGCGGACCAGAGAGAGGGGAAGCTTGAATGGAGGCCCCGGGTGTTCACTGGTATCGAAAGTTTGTCGGGTCAGGTAGAGGAAACCTCGCTTCAGTATCATTTGTTTGCTCATCCGTCTGTTGGTGCCTGCTGATATCTACCCTAGGTCTGTCTTGGTGCGCTGAAACAGGATCATTTCTTCCGCCGGTACATAGCAACGCTCAATCACACGGAATTCCGCGATGCTTGTTTCAGGCTAAGAATCCTGGAATGGAAAGGCCGCTTCTCAACTATAACTTGCTAATTTTTTTTGGATTTTTGCACGCGACTGTATCGTCTGAACCAAGCACCAATCAGACATTATAGCGCCGCAAAGCGTACGGACGGTCGCCGGACACTGGCCACAGCGAGATATGTGGCAATCTAGCGCTCTCAAACCCACGCGCCGCTGGAACAGGCAGGAGAGTTTCTGATCATGTTCTTGATTACTGGCCTCAAGTAATGAGAGACTGGAAGCAATTGTGTCTCCACGAACAAAGCCACCACATGCCAAAGTGGGGTGAGGTTTCTACGACACAAATTTCAACGTCTTCAGTCCTTACATTCTGAAAAGAACATGGTCAACCCGGACCATTCTGTATCACGACCAGCTTGCCGCATACGTACTGCTAAGGCGCGCTTGTTCCCACGAATGCAAATAACTGCATGGTTTATCCCCAGTGGCAACCCGCTTTATCTCGTTGCCAGCTCCATCCTGCATCCAGATATGATCGTCGTACCCCTGCCTCACCGTTTACCATGTGGTACATCCGTGTGGTACAACCGACGACATGCGGAGATCCCAGTATTCTTATCTATCTGCCGCGCGTTTTCATAGGCTTTATCATTTCGGTCCATGCTGAGTATTGGCCGTCTGGGCGCATCGCGAATGCCATTCTGCTCTTATCAGAGAGATTGTGCATCAAATCTTCTATCTCTGGTGCACGCAGATGCGGTGGCAGGCAATTTCTCGCGCGGACATTTGCGGTGGTGGGAGCACGGACACATAAATCACTGTTACGCTCATGATGGCGATCCTATGAAGATCACCAACTCGAATCTCTTCTTCTACTCTCCTCACTTCTTCATCTCCATCTCTTCCCTTTCAAATTCGGAACTCTACAATCTGGGCCAAGATGGCGCATTACAACTTGCCAGTTGACACAGTCCCGGGGACAGTCCACCTCGTGGACATCGAGCATACCATGCATACCCGACACGCTGGATCCGGGAACAAGGACATTGTTCTAGTACCCACTCCGTCGAACGATCCCGATGATCCCCTGAACTGGTCGCCTAAGCGAAAGCTCATGTCGACTGTCACAGTCAATATGTACAACTCACAACGAGCTTTCTCTCTTGTGCCCAGTCACTGACTGCTACCAGTTACACCTTGGTGGTTGGCATTGCCAACTCTGTGGTCTATTCGGTGCTTGTTCCGCTTTCTGATGCTTCGGGAGTCTCCATCAGTACCCTGAACCAAGGCACGGGGTATCTGTTTCTGCTTGCTGGCTGGGGTTTGCTTTTCTGGCAACCTTTCGCCTTGCGTTATGGCAAGCGACTGACGTACCTCCTCTCCATCTGCGGCACCATCGGTTGCACAATGTGGGGGCCGTACGCCCGTGGCAACGGGGTGTGGATTGCAAAGAACGTATTGGGAGGTCTGTTGTATGAATCGGGGAGCAAGGTATCTGATTTGGCTGACGATCCAAAACAGGATTTTTTGCTGCCCCCATCGAGGCCCTTCCTGAGATTTCCGTGACAGATGTGTACTTCCAGCACCAGCGAGGAACATACATGGGCATCTATGCGTTCTTTCTCGCCGGGAGCAACTATTTCGCCCCGGTGATCTGTGGCTTCATCGCTGATGACCAAGGCTGGAAATGGGTTTTTTACTGGCCGACCATCTTCCTTGGCGTGGCTCTGATCTTTTGCTTCTTCTTCATGGAAGAGACGAACTACACAAGATCAACAGTCGGTATCGTCGAGACCTTGAGTGGCAGTCAGACGCCCGTCTCTGGCACGAAAGACGAGAAAGCGACAGAAAAGACACCAGACGTTGTCAACGAACCTACCATCAATGTTGAGAGCGGCGCCGTGGTATACGGCAGCAATAAAACCTACCTACAAAGGATGTCGCTTTGGCAACCCTCTCCTGGGGAACCGATGTGGACAAGAGCCTTTAGATCGTTGAAATACCTGGGCTGGCCTGTGATATTCTATGCTGGGTTTAGCTATGGCAGTTATCTTGTGAGTTTCACACCAATCAGCCTGTGTTGAAACGACTCGATGTCTTACTGACAACGTATCCCAACAGATCTGGTTCAACGTTCTGAATGCAACTGCAAGCATCATTCTAGGTGGTCCACCCTACAATTTCAAAGCCTCCATGGTTGGACTTTCATACGTCAGCACATGCTTGGGCGTCATCGTCGGATGTTTCTTTACTGGCCGGTTCAGCGACTGGCTCACTATCAGACTTGCGCGTCGCAACAATGGCATCATGGAACCGGAACAGCGTCTCTGGCCTTTTGCAGCTTGCATCATCGTTGTCCCTGCATCCCTTATTCTCTGGGGCGTCGGTGCTGCTCATCACGTCCATTGGTTTGGGTTGATTTTCGCCATGGGCACTCTTGCCGCTTCGACTTGCTTCGGGATCACGCTCAGCGTCAACTATCTTATCGACACGTACCATGAAATCAGCGCAGATGCGATGACGACGGTGATCTTGGTTCGTAACACCATGTCTTTTGCCATCGGCTACGGAATTACCCCTTGGCTGGACAATCTCGGTCTGCAAAATTGCTTTATCTCAGCTGCGTTCATTGGCATGGCAGCTTCGTCAGTGTTTCTGTTCATGATTTTCTTTGGCAAGAGCTTCCGGGAGCGGAGCCGGGTCAAGTACTGGAACTTGGTTGCGGAATTGATGGCAAAGAGCAACGTGACCCTTTGAGAGGCCGGTGGATCGGTTTATGGAAAGAGTGGCAGGACAGTAGCTCGGACTCTATCAAGGCGTCCCATTCCACAAGTTGGAAGCGGGGAGAGTAGTAGGTGGATAGACAAGAGACCATTAGAACATATTGCAGCAGCTGAATGACAAGGCTACGATATAGGCGCAAGGCTGTGCACGTGATACGAAAACCCGCTCGACCTCATCCCGAGTTTTTGCCTTCGACATTTTTTCTCCCTCTTAACGTCTTTCTTATCTTGCCTGTTTTCGCCAGACACTGTATATGTTCGCATATTCTGAGATGCTGGAACGCGGAATGGCGCAGGTGAACTGATTTTCGCGGCTGTACTGCGGATCGTTGATACGAAGCCTTCGAGCCGGCGCGTGTATTGGATCAATATGCTCAGCCTTGCTGATCTTCCGCTTGTCTTGAATATACGCTATTGTCGGCGTCAGAGCATCTCATATTGGTGGCAGCCTGGGTGATAAATCTTGATGAGCCCTCTCTTACGATCACATCTCCACTCCAAATTTGCATTGCAATATTTCTTAGCCACTTCCAGAACGACATCGAGCGCCGCTATGAAGAGTGTCATCAACAACCGCTCTCACCTGGCCTCCATGCCCTACACACACTGCCGAACACGTATAATTGACCTCCAGGACCTCAACATCCCTGAACACGCAACTGATGAAGAATACCGCGCCATGTACGTCAAATACACCCTCCGGCCACAGCACAGCAAAATCGAGAATGCGACTTTGCTCCGGGATGCTGTCGAATCCATAAAACACGGAATTGCGCCCCCAGTAGCCTTTCCCACGGAAACAGTGTACGGCCTAGGCGCAGACGCGACCAATGAACCCGCTGTTTCAGGAATCTTTGCCGCCAAAGGCCGCCCAAGCGATAACCCCTTGATTGTTCATGTCTCGAGTATCGAACATTTGGAGCGGATTACGGGGGTGCCATTACCGGAAATCTACGTGCCAGTGGCGGAGAGATTTTGGCCTGGACCTCTGACGATTCTCCTCCCGGTGCCATCATCTGGAATCTTTGCGAGAAACGTGCACCCCTTCCAGTCGACCATTGGATTCCGCATCCCATCGTCAAAATACGCCCGCTTCTTCATCGCGGCCACGGGCAGACCGATTGCAGGACCAAGTGCGAATTCTTCCGGGAAGCCAAGTCCCACGACAGCGCAACATGTCTTGGACGATTTGAAGGGCAAAATCAATTTCATCTTGGATGGAGGAGGTTGCGAGGTGGGTGTGGAGAGTACAGTCGTGGATGGGTTACATGATCCGCCGCTGATCTTGAGACCGGGAGGCGTCAGCTTGGAGGAGCTGAGAAGTCTTGGAGGAGAAATGGGTAACAAATGGGCGAGGACGGCGATCGGGTACAAAAGACATTCTGGAGGGACGACGGACGGCCAAGGGAAGGATGGCTTAAACACGACCACGGGCGTCTCGACGCCATCCTCCATGGACGAATCTGCTGTTGGAGTCTCGGTATCTTCGGGAAACGCGAGCGTGGCTCATTTTGACGGCACCGTTAGCTACGAGGACGATGTCAACGGTGCACCTCGCGCTCCCGGTATGAAGTACAGGCACTACTCTCCAGTGGGGCGGTTGGTCCTGTTCTCCGAGGAGGCCGTGCGGAATGGTCGCGTGCCAGACAAGCTGGATGAGTTGGTTGGCAATTGGCAGTCGGGCCCCGACATGGATGGACGAGACAAGCCCCATGGGGTCAAGGGTGGAGTTATTTCCTGCCACTGGCCACCCTTTGCCGGACTGCCAGTCAAGGGGATCTCGTCGACCACCTCACCCCTGAACAACGCCAGGGGTACCGCGCCGCCCTCTGGATTACCTCATGTCCCAGACGCAATCTCCAACTCTGCTTATGCGCCAATCACCTCGATTGCGACAATAACTGCTGCCAAAACCACCAGCGTCACGTTGTACAACGTCCAACTTGGACCCGACGTTTCCACCCTGGCACACTCGCTCTTCGGCGTCTTGAGGCTATTTGACGAGTTGGGCTGCGCCTTCATCTTCGCAGAGACGGTGCAGCGAACCGCGGCCCTGACAAACGGTCAAGAATCGACCGGAAACCAAGAACCCAGCCACACGCGCCGGGATCTTGAAGACGCGGTGGTTGATCGGATCGAAAAGGCCGCTGCCGAGAGGGTGGATTGAACTTCACCCTGCAAAACGACCTAAATTATCTTCTCCATCTGTTGCTGCGTCGATAATACCCGTCCTTCTCTCGACAATGCGCAAACACTAATTCTGGAATTTGTCGTGTCATACCTAATTAGATGATCCCAATATCAGACGGAATCTTCGCCGATGTAGAATAAAGAGGATACATTATAGACGGATCCAGAGCCACAACTCGTATACGAAGGCAGGAGACGTATGAAGCACACAGCCAGGAAGAAAAGCATCGGAGGAGTTGGTCAAAGCCACGCCAGTAACCAGGGGAATTAGGGAAACTGTGTCCAGTGTGGGCTATAAATACGAGGCACATGCATGTCATGAAAAGGCGGAAGAGGTCGCTGATACTTTGTTGATTGGCAGTATATCCCAAATGCTCGAAAAGAGGCGCTGGGGCCATTTCAAAAACGCTGTTATGAGTGAGAACCGAGCACCGGCAAAGTGATGTCTAACACGGTGAAAAAAGGACGGGGCAGAATTCACCGCTAAAAAGAAACCAATTTGGACCACAGTTCGAAATATTTGTCCCCATCTACTCAACCCTAGCCAGGATGAAAGGGAAGAGACTGTCCTCATTTTCCCTATTTACCCTCAATGCTGCGGCCAGTGGCCGACTCCAGCTGTCGTTGGGATCGTCCGCGTCTGCACCGTCCACAGCAACCTGATCTTCTACAGAACACGATAATTTCGCCTTTGCCGGGCGGCCTAGATAATTTCACAGCTCAATCAAACTTTCTTCCACGGCCACTGGCTGCTGCTGTGCAGGATGTGCGGCCGGCATATGTTGCGGCGCAGAAGGAAATTGGTCCTGCGTATAGGTGGGATAGGTTGTTCCATAGGATCCACCTGTGGACATTGGGGGTTGTTGTTGCACAGGGGGCGGTTGCTGCTGCTGAGGTTGCTGATATTGCGGAGCAAATTGCTGCTGCTGTGATTGCTGTTGTGAGTAGCCTTGCGGTGGAGCCTGTGCCTGCTCCGGAGGGGGTGGTTGTCGTTGTTGGTAAGATTGTTGTACCGCTTGCTGAGGCGGGGGTTGGTGATACTGGGGCTGGGTCTGGGGAGTGGGCGCTTCATGTGGCATTGGCGGCATTTGGGCGTAGGGCGTGGGAGTCTGCTGAGGATCTGGGGGAGGCATCTGAGGATACATGGATGGAGGTTGAGAGGATTGAGATGGGTACGGTTGTTGCGGTGCGGGTTGATGTTGGTACATCTGCGGCGAAGGTGGCTGATTGAATTGTGCAGGTTGCGGCATAGGTTGATGCTGTTGTGGTGGCAACTGAGATGGATACTGATAAGGCGAGGCAGGAGTATCTTGTTTCTGGCTCGAATATGAATATGAACGCTGAGGCTGAGGAACCGGCGTGGGTTGAGCAGGTGGAGCATAAGTCTCGACTGGTGCATTGTTGAAATAGTAATTCTCCGCGCCACCAGCACCAGCATTCATCGACGGAGGGGGGCCCGATGATATTGAGGGATACATGCCCTGAGGCGCCGCAGGGGAAGGCATTCCGTAGGCTGCATATCCTGGATTCCTCTGGTTATAAGTATTGTTTAACCGCTCTTCAAGCATTCGATCGTAGTACCGCACGACCGTAGATAGTTTTGCATGCAGATCGAGTAGCACATCATTTTTTGACATTGTTTCACCGAGTGTCCGCGCCAACTTCGGTCGAAGCTTTCCAATGCTCTCGTAGAGCTCTTGAATCTGCGGCTCGCGCAGAATTGTGCCCGGTGGTTGGTGCTGTAAGCGGTCGACCAAAGTGGCAAACAGATTGATATTCTCGGACTCCATGACGGACAACTCGTAATCGTTCTTTGGCATGACAAAAGGCTGAGCAGAGGTTGCTCCATCGGTGGTGGTTTTCTTGAGAGAAGCAGCATGCTTCTTGGCTTGTTCTTCGGCCTCCTTCAAAGACAGTGCTATAGCGGCTTTCAGATCTGGGTCGTCTTCTTCCTCGTTCGACACAGCATTTGTCTTTGGCGGCTCTTGCTTTGGCTGCGACTGCGGAACATAACCCGAGCTTGAAATTCCCTTGGCTTCTTCTAGACTCATTTCCAACGCTCTTTTCAAGTCCTCGTCAAAGCTGCTATTGTTCTCTATCCGGGCACTTCGGGGTTGCATCGAGCTCGGTTTGGGTGCGAAGGAGACACGGCGATCAGAGCCACCACCCGACTTTTTGGTCAACTTGTCGTAACAGCCGTCGTCGACCCGCACTGGCTGCATAATGCCCAGATGCGGGAGTGGAATCGACTTTGATGAGCACTGTTGGTCAAAGACATTGCCACAATTCCTGCAATGGTGTTTCCTATTTGTCAGGGTGAATGAGGTCCTGCACCGCATGCAGACGTCGCTGTCTGTCCACTCGGGCGGGGCACTGCTGTCGAGCATGGTGCTGGAGATCTCAACTTTGGGAGGAAACTTGAAGCCTTCCGTCTGCAAGCTCTGGTATACCTGATTGATATATGACAAATCGTATCTTCCCTGAGTAGCACTAGCCCAGCTCTGGATCAGCTCCAAGATCTTCTGTTTGACCTCTTCATTGACGGCGGCGGCTCCGTAGGCTTTGAGTAACGAGACCAGATTGTCCATGAATTCACGGGAAGCAATCTCGGTGAGGAAATGGGAGCCGCCATTCTTGACGCAAGTGTCTGTGAGCTTCAGAGCCGAGAGTTGGACATTGGGATTCTTGTTGCCTATCCGCCTCTTCAACGATCGCATGGCCTCTTTAGGCTGCACTGTCTTTGATCGAATGAGGTCCGTGATCTCGAGGGAGGTTGCAATATCCTCCAAGCTAGAAGAGGTAGCTTTTTCGATTTGCTCATCGAGCACAGACGTGCCTGACGAGAACCACCCGGCCATTGTGTAGGGTGGACAAATACAAGGCAGCGATGCTCGGGTTGGGAGGAATGGGGAGGACTGAGGAGGACTTGTCGGCTTGCGAATGACGCTGCTGTAGGAATTGACGGATCCCTGCTCGCCAGATAATTCAAGTGACCGCCTGTAGAACGTTCAAAGGTGGAAGATCAAGTTGGAAGGACGGCGTAGTAGGGACGAGTTGATGGTTTGGAGACAGCGAGGCAGCGAGCGTCTGGGGAAGTTCTGGATAAACGTGCACCATCCGCCTCGCCGCCTCGCCGCCACATGCGCATTCACCAGCCACTGAGAGCCTAGAAGTAAGCCCACCAATAAGGCTCCATCCCTGATAACTAACCCATTATTGACCTACCTAGGCAGCCTTACCGGTGGCCTGCCCTCCCTTGCCTCCGTACCGACTCGCCGAGTAGCTTCGTACTCAGCCTTGCGTGCTGTGTCATCGGTGGGCATTGGTGGCACTTCGGTGGCCAGAACGTTTCCCCAGCTATCTCGTTCCCGGCCTGCGGCCCCAGGCACTTCCAGGTCGTCATGCATCTTGCTCGAAACGCTGTCTCCCACAAGTCACAAGTCTTCAAGTGACCTTTCGACCGTCAAAGACCTTGTTACCCTCGCATTGACTCATGTCACTCCCCTATCACCCTCTCCGGAATTCCCAGAGCCCCTCTGCGGTCTCCTACAATCTGTCCTGACTCTCACATGCGCTGGTCCATTAATTATTAAACGCCCACGGTGAAAGAATTAATTTTAGGAATCTGCCACTCAGACGAAAGGTCTTGCCACGGATCCAGCGCGCAATGATACTGCGGTAGGAGCGACAATCACATCGCCATGGCGGCGTATGCATCCTCGTCCTCCGTTTCCTCCCACACCACCTCCACTTCGGCCAGCGCTCGAAGCAGCTGGACCGATCCACGAGACTCGACACCGGGCTCGGGCTCGGGCTCGGGCGCTCCAAAAGTCTACCCTCATATCAGGGACATCATTCAAGATGCCACCACTTCCTTCCAAGTAGACAGCTCGCTCCCCCAGATCCTGCACGAGGTCGAGGAATCAACCACTGTGGCGAAAAGCTCGGTCGACTTTGGCCGCCACGACGTTGCTTACAAGAGTTATCTGCGGGCCTATGAAATAGCAGTGAATCACATTCCAAGACACAAGGACTTCGGATTCTGGGATAATAACCCACCGTGGCGAGCAAGGTACAAGGCTGCTCGTCAGAGACTGCTGGACATGGAGGGAGAGATGACCCAAATCAAAGCGCTAATTGAGGACAACAATGCTCGTTATGGAACTCAACCCCAGTCTCGCGCCATGCCCAGAAAAGCAGTCTACTCTACAGGCTTTGGCATCCCTCAAAATTTGGTTCCAGGGCGACCTACCTCCTCAGGAAGCAACGATGCCCCTTTACGTCCGGTCTCGCCCAATTCATCTGCAGAGTTACCTGATTCCCTCCGAATCCCTCGGGCACGTCCGTCAAGCAAACCCAAACCCGAGAATTTGCAAGGTCGACCTCTGACAGACGCGGCTAACGACCTGACCCAAAGATTCGCGAAGCTTAGGGGACCGGGAAATGCGACGGACCACTCAAACTTACTATTCATGCCCAAAGCGGGAGATTTTCAGCATGGAGCAGGATACAACTCACAGTCGTATGCCAGTGATGGGTCGACTTCGCGACCCGGCGTGGCTCGAGCGATGCCTGCTTTCAGCAACGGACCTATCATCCCACCAAAGGTGCCGACTGCACCGCCCAAAGTCCCCATTGAGACGTCCATGGCCTTGCCAAAGCCTCCTAGTCCTACATACAGCCCGATAACTACCACACCGGCCAGCTTTCATGCAACCAACCATCGACTTTCTGCAGAAGTAGGCCGTCCGCCGTCAGAGAGGAGACAGACTTACTACAATCAATCGCAAAATTCGTCCACAGCTTCGTTGCACCTGCAGAGGACTCGTGAGGAGCTCTCTGCACCTTACCGACCGACCACTCCGAATGGAGTCAATTCCGCCATTGTCCCTAAGAATAGCTCGAGTGATCTGCCTCATCAAACTTCGATCGATGCTGCCACTCTTCAGGCCTACATGAAGAGATACAATGTTTTACTGATTGACATCAGAGAGAGGGCTTTGTTCGATGATGGACACATTATGTCTACTTCGATTATATGTATAGAACCGATCTCCTTGAAAGAGGGTGTCTCGGCAGAGGAACTTGAAGACCGGCTTGTGCTGGCGCCGGATAATGAACAGTCACATTTCTCTCGCAGAGACGAATTTGATCTGGTGGTTTATTATGACCAGTACACGAGCGACGTTTCCTATCTCAAAGGTCCACCCACAATGACAAAAGCTCCGGCGTTAAGAGCACTGTATGATACATTGTACGAATTCAACGACACGAAGCCCCTCAAGGATGGCCGACCGCCTGCATTACTGACTGGTGGACTTGATGCTTGGGTGGACTATATGGGAATCCAATCGCTTGCACGGTCACGAACTGCTGCGACGTTGGGAATCACGCGACAAAGACCTGTCGGTCCTGGTCGACCTATCGCGCGACAGCGTATGGTTTCTGCCAATTCTCGCTATGAGGTCCGGAACAGGCGTCTTCGTGACCACAAATTTCTGGACGAGAGCGAGCAAGAGGCATGGCGTCAGCAGGCTTTGCAGGAGGAAGTGACGCCAGTTGAGAAACACGAGAACGCAAGCGACGAGGAATACTCGGTGGTAGAAGAAGAGCCTGAACCTCCGTCGCCATTCATACCCGATTATGAGACATTTTTGCGGCGGTTTCCATCGATCCAACAGCAAGAGTCTATGGTCATGCCCTCTCGACGACCTGTTCCCTCTCGCCACGCCGCATTTGTTCCTCAAGCTGCACCACCTCCCATTCCCCAAGTACCGGCAAGACCTGCGCCCGCTATACCGAGACCGAGCTATTCGGGCCATGCCGATATCAATGCGCCCCAACCGGCGCTGGCTAGGGTGACGTCCGCGACTAGGCCGCCTCTGTATTCAACCGTAACATCCCTTCGCAGAAGGCTGCCTAAGACCGGCCTGACGAATTTCGGCGTCACTTGTTACATGAACTCGACTCTGCAATGTCTATCTGCGACTATTCCCTTGTCGAATTTCTTCAATGATCGACTCTATGAGGGGTATGTACAGCGCAACTGGAAGGGCAGTAATGGTATCATGCCCAAGCTGTACGCCAACTTGGTCCAGGCTGTTTGGCAGGGAGATAACGAAGTGATTAAACCATCGACATTCCGAAACTTCTGCGGCCGAATGAATCGAGAATGGGTGATTGACCGTCAGCAAGACGCAAAGGAGTTCTTCGATTTCTTGGTCGACTGCCTCCACGAAGACTTAAATGTCAACTGGGAACGGACGCCGCTCCGTCCCTTGACAACTGCAGAGGAAATGCAGAGAGAGAGAATGGAGATTGCTCGGGCCAGTCCAATCGAGTGGAAGCGCTACGAACACAGAGACCATAGTTATATGTCTTCCTTATTTGCCGGTCAACATGCCTCACGCCTGCGGTGCCTCACCTGCAAACGCACTTCGACCACATATGAAGCATTCTACAGCATTAGCGTGGAAATCCCCCGAGATCGTCCAGGCCACATCTATGACTGTCTTTCCTCATATTGTCGGGAAGAAAAGCTGTCGGAGCTTTGGCGATGTCCATACTGCAAGTGTGAGCGTGAAGCCACCAAGCAGATCATACTTACCCGCTTGCCGCAGTTTTTGGTAATTCACTTCAAACGATTCGCCGCCTCAAAGCATGAAAAAGCCAAGAAAATCCACACGCCCATTGAATTTCCGTTGCACAATCTAAGCATGGACGATTTTGTTATCCCGCGACCACCTTCACCTCCGGATCAGGATGGGCGTATGAACATGGAGCTTGCCACGACACCACCCTACACGTATGATGCATACGGGGTTCTAAGACACTTAGGAAACAGTGGAGATGGAGGACATTACATCTCCATTGTAAAGGATCAGGGGCGGGGCGTCTGGAGGAAGTTCGATGACGAGAGGCATGTTGATTTGGACCCAATGAAACTAAGCCCAAGAGACAGGTTGCAGAATGGGGAGGCGTATATCGTGTTTTATCAGAGGGCACAGGGCCGATGATTGTCGTCCATCTGCCAATAGCTGAGAAGAGATACCGGTGGGACTGGCTCCTTATTCTTGTGGCACGTTCGAGCAAGCGAAGATTTTCTCCATGAGTATTGTGGATTGGTATCTGGCTGTCTCCGGCTTGACTGGGAGGGCCCAACGGACCTTTGGAGGAGCGCCTTCTTCTGGATGACCCTTCATTCTGAGGTTTGTGACAGTTTGACGAAGACCATGAAACGAATCCAACATGACAATGATAAGTAAGATTTTGGTAGCGATCCGGTGTCCTCTTCTCATCGACCATTTGACTCTTCGTTCCTTGACCCGTAGGCCTCGTGTTTGTGACGTCTCCAACCAGAAAGCTGCGAGGACAATAGCCTCATGCTTTCCCCACCAGCATGTTTGCTCAGTCGGCCCAGTCTCTAGCCTTGTATTTGACTTGACTTAGGGCATGTTCTTACAGGCTCGATGACTGGCAACTGTTTCATTGCGATCTCTGGAATGCTTCCCGCATCTCCTGAATCTCAGCCTCGCATCGTAAGCCCACATTGGACGTTCGTTCGACTGCCGACCAGCGCAAAATAGTTGGGGATCCAGACTATCGTAGTCTGCGCCGGAGAATTTGGCGCGCATCGTCGAGCTTCACCAATTTAACACGCTCAGTGCTGATAGCTGCTTTTGTTTGATGCAGAAAGTGAGCTGTCCAGCGTATACCCGTCCGTTTGTTATGGGGTCGGTCCTGATGATGATTTGTTCTTTCATTTGTGTTTCGTCTTCCCAAACATCCCTCCCTCGATCCGCCGCTTTTCGATCGCCAACTTGTAGGGGGGTGCTGTTGGAGGCTGCACCGGATCCAGCGATACATGACCCTCCGGAAGCTTGTAGGTCGCGTCGCTGTCCCATGCTGACAGGTCGCCGCAGGCCAGGAAGGGAGCAATATACCGACGAGGGTCGGCGTCTTCGATCGACGGTATCCGGAGTTCCACTATGCCATCGGGACGGAGGTGGCGGGTTTGCATGTGTATTTGTGGTTGGACCTTCACGCCTCCCGTCGATGACTGTGATTCCAACCCCGATGTGTTGTCGGTCTGACTTATACTTTTGGGAATAGAATCCAGCGGACCCTGCTCTTGGTGTTGTTCGCACGCGGCTGGTGGAGGTACCGATACATATTCAGTCTCCGGAATTCGCAGCCCATCCTCCACCTCTATTTCTGGTGTCCATAACACCTCCGTCCCGTCCTCTCGTCTCACCGTTACAGGTTTGTAGCCCTCACAGACCACAAATGCCTCAATGCTACTCGCCCTACTGGCCCTCGGTTTCGCCACACTCACCTTTTCAAAAAGGATTCTCAACTGGGCGTAGATGAGGTCGACGTCTCTACCCCAAAAGATCTTGGCCACAAATTTGCCCCCTGGACGCAGGACCTTTGTGGCAAGCGTGAGGGCGGAGTAGAGCAGTTGAGATTGGACGTAGATGTCAAGGGAATGGAGACCCGTGACGTCGGGAGCACCGTCGCTGATGACGAGGTCGATTAGGTGGGTTGTGTTCTGAGGGGAAAAGTCCGGGTCGATGGCCCTGAGCAGGAGTGGAACGGTGGAAGGGTGAGTGATGTCGGCTTTGAGTTGGGTTATGCCTTCGAGGGGCGCCATGGGTTGCAGGTCTATGGCGACAATCTTGACGTTGGCCCTTGGCTTCAGTTCTCCACCACTTGTTGAGCTGATTTCGAGAGACGACATATCCTCAGCGAGACTACCATCCTTCTGTGTCTGTGCGCGTCGCTCAAATCGTTCCATCTTCTCAACCCAGGCCCTCCGTCCAAAACTCTCACCTTTGATTAACACTCTCGAGAGAACTTGGCTCCACGAGCCCGGGGCAGCACAGAGATCCACCACCCTCGTGCATTTCTCGGGCTCACTGTAGGAAAAAAGATCGAACTGTTCGTCGATTTGGATGAGTTTGAAGGCAGACCGGGCACGCCAATTTTGTTCCTTGGCCAGGCGGTAGTAGGCATCTCTTTTGTCTTTGGAGGATTTGCCCATTTTGATTGTAGATGATTGCTGATTACTTGACCGCCTCACGGCCTGCCTTTCTTTCTGGATCCTTGGGCTTGTTGGAGGAAAACTGAAAGGGGACAGACTGAAAATTGTCTGCTGGGCGAGGCTGAATTGTGCTACGCACAGCGACTCTATGGTTCACCGGTTTATCTGATACGGTCATGCTTTTGCTCTTGAGGTGCAGCTTGTATTGGCTCCGCTGTCTCCTGCGCAATTGAGGCCAGATCCATGAATTAGCACACCGAGACTGTTTCTCGACCTTGCTGCCTAAGCTCCTGGCTCTGAGGTCTACGTTTGTCAACCGCTGTAAGAAGCCGCCCATCCATCATGGCGCCTGGCATGTCCCTCCACAGCGTCGTTGCCATACTCATATTATCCACCGACTCGTCGCCCGATGCCTCCAGACTGTTCGCCAAATACTATAATCCTCCGCATGCCGCAACCGCACAACAACAACACCCTCCGCAATCCCAACCATACCCTCATTTGAAAGAACAGAAGGCCTTTGAAAAGGGATTACTGGAGAAGACCTCAAAGCAGACCTCCGACGTGATCCTGTACGACAACAAAGTCGTGGTATTCAAGATGGAAAGCGATGTTATGCTCTACGTGGTGGGCGGCGCAGAGGAGAATGAGATTCTGTTGTATAATGTCGTATTGGCTCTGAGGGATACGTTGAGCATATTGTTAAAGTTGGTTCAGCCATCGTCTTTCCCCGCAACAACAGCAACTGACAAGGATGACTTGTAGGAACTCGACAGACAAGCGCACAATCATGGAAAACTACGATCTGGTAACATTGGCCATTGATGAAATTGTCGACGATGGCATAGTGTTGGAGACGGACCCCGTGATGGTGGCATCGAGAGTGTCCAAAGCCCCCGCACAGGACGCGCCGAACATGAAGAACATCGACCTCAGTGAACAAGGGATACAGAATCTCTGGGAATTTGGGAAGAAGCAGGGAATGGAGTTCGTCCGGAGAAACTTGTGATTTTCACAAATGGTGGAATGGTACGGCGACCCGGCTGAAGGTATGGACATTGGCCTGCACCAGAGATGGTTAACAGGGATGTTTATCGCACGGCGTTATGAAACGAAGCGGAAAAGGAGCAATGAGCATTATGACCATAAAAGTCAAGACACCTGGGATCTGGTGGTCGTTTTGAAGACTTTTGGGGGCGCGAAATGGCAGCCTCGTGGGAGGGATCAGCCTTGCTGCAGGGGATTAAACAGAGCAAATCGACGTCATTTGGACGCTGAAATATTTCCAAATTCAAAGAGCCACCCCGTCAATTTTCCTCAGTTCTTGGTCGCGTGTCGTGTTGAGCCTCTTCCTTTCCTCCTACCTTCCATTATACTTCCCCCTGGATTTCTAAAGAGGCTTTCCATAATGAAACAACGCTTCTCATCCCTCGACGTCAAGGTCTGTTTGTCTCTCCCGTGCCCCGCATGCACCGGCAAGCAGCAATTGACTCCGTTGCTGCATTGTAGGTCATTGCGAATGAACTATCGACTTCCCTCACTGGCCTCCGTCTCTCAAACGTCTATGATCTTTCCAGTCGAATTTTCTTGTTCAAATTCGCCAAACCGGGCAAGCGGGAACAACTCCTCCTTGACTCGGGCTTTCGCTGCCACTTGACCTCCTTCTCGAGAACCGCAGCCACTCAGCCATCCGCCTTCGTTAGCAGACTACGCCATTACCTCAAGAGCAAACGTGTCACCGGCGTCGCCCAGGTCGGCACCGACCGAGTAATAGAGATCCTCTTCAGCGACGGGCTGTATCGCTTGTTCTTAGAATTCTTTGCTGCGGGAAACATCGTCGTCACAGATGCGGATCTCAACGTCCTCGCGCTTCAGCGACAGGTCAATGAGGGAGATGCAGATGTGGACGTTAAATTGGGTGGGAAGTACACCCTTGAGCCGAAACAGAACTTCCATGGCGTTCCTCCCATATCAGAAGAAAGAGTCAAGGAAGTTCTTCAGAAGGCAGTCGAACGTTCGAAAGCGGCAAAAGAGGTGGGTGGCAAGAAGGCGAAACGAGCAAAGGGAGTCGACGATCTGGGAAAGGCTCTGAGTGCCGGCTTTCCTGAGTTTCCTCAACACTTGCTCGAGCATGCGTTTAGACAGGCCGGCGTCGATACAACATTGAAGGCGGATGATGTATTGGGCGACCAGGAGTCCCTGCGGTCAGTCATGTCTGCATTGGCGATCGCAGATCAAATTTTCAAGTCCCTGGAAGCTGGACAATCAAAAGGTTATATTATTGCGAAGCAGAAATCCCCCCCATCGGGCGACGCAGAGTCTCCAGGCGCACAAGAACCAACGAGAGAGTCCTTTCTCTATGACGATTTTCATCCATTTCGGCCAAGCCAATTCGAGAACAGGCCCGGCATTCACATTCTCGAATTCGACGGCTTCAACCGTACGGTTGACGAGTTTTATTCGTCCATCGAATCACAGAAGCTGGAATCTCGATTGACGGAGCGGGAGGAGATGGCGAAACGGAAATTGCAAGTTGCGAAAGATGAGCACGAAAAGAGGTTGATGGGCCTCCAACAGGTGCAGGAATTGCATGTCCGGAAGGCTCAAGCCATCGAGGCGAACACTCACCGCGTGGAAGAAGCTTGCGCTGCTGTCAACGGTCTGATCGCGCAAGGCATGGACTGGGTAGATATTGGGAAGCTGATCGAAAATGAACAGCAGAGAGGTAATGTTGTGGCTCAAATGGTCAAGCTGCCCCTCAAGTTGGAGGAGAATACGGTGACTCTCCTGCTTGACGAGCCGGGCTTCGACGAAGGCTACGAGAGTGACGAAGACGATGAAACTGATGAGGAGGTTGAGTCTGACGAGGAGGCTGAGGAGACTCCAGGTAGAGGAGGAACGTCAACAGATAAAAGGCTGGCCATTGATATCGACCTTGCACTGTCACCTTGGGCAAACGCACGCCAGTACTACGACCAGAAAAAGTCTGCAGCAGTCAAAGAGAAAAAGACCGTGGAGGCATCCGCAAAGGCTCTCAAGTCTGCTGAGCAGAAGATAGATGCAGATCTCAAGAAAGGCTTGAAGCAAGAGAAGGCTGTCTTGAGACCGGCAAGGAAACAATTCTGGTTCGAAAAATTCTTATATTTCATCTCGAGTGACGGATATCTCGTTATTGGGGGCAAGGATGCCCAACAGAACGAGCTTCTCTACAGGAGATATTTGAAGAAAGGCGATGTCTACGTGCATGCCGACTTGCAAGGAGCGTCAAGTGTGATTGTGAAGAACAATCCACGAACGCCGGATGCACCAATTCCACCTTCCACTCTTTCTCAAGCCGGGACCTTGACGGTCTGCACGAGCAGTGCCTGGGACTCGAAAGCGTTGATGGGGGCCTGGTGGGTCAATGCAGACCAGGTCAGCAAGACGGCTCCAACTGGTGAATACCTCGTTACTGGTGGATTCGTTATCCGAGGACATAAGAATCAATTAGCGCCGAGTCAATTGCTCCTTGGGTTTGGGGTTCTCTGGTTGATTAGCGAGGAGAGCAGAGTCAATCATGGCAAGCATCGCTTAGAAAGGACGGAGAGCATGCTTCCAGGTGAGGCAGAAGCCTTAGCTAACGATGTGAGAGGTTTGTCTATTGAAAATGAAGATGTTTCAGAAGAGGCGGGTTCAGATCACGGACAAGCAGTACCGGATGTCGAAGATGCTGCTGACGCTGCTGTGGAAGAAGAGGAGGACGACGACCATGGAGCAGCCTTGGATCAGGCAGTCGAACAACCAGGCCACGGCGATGGCGACGGTGACGGTGACGAGCATGACTCTGAAGAGGCAGAAGAGGCAGAGGAGGCAGAGGAAGAAAGGTCGAATCCCCTACAAGTCAATCCAGCTCCCTCTCATCAAGGTACAAAGGAGGACGACTTCGACATGCCCTCAATTGAAATCGAAGAAGACGGGACAAAAGAGCAGCCTTCAGATGAAGCCTCGCACGGAGAAGAAGAGTCCGAAGACATTCCACCAACGCAGCCATCTACAGGGGCCTCGACGCCGGCATCCTCGTCACAGCAGGCCACCGCGAAGTCCAAATCTACACAGCTCGCCCGTGGGAAACGCAGCAAACTCAAACGCGCCCAAAAGAAATACGCCGACCAAGACGAGGAAGACCGTGCCCTGGCGATGCAGCTCCTCGGATCGAACCGCACACAACAACGCAAAGAAGAAGCTGAAGCGGAAAGGGCCGCCCGTGAAGCCAAGGCTCAAGCAGACAAGGAACGACGAAGGGCACAACATGCGAAAGCGGCGGAGAAGGAACGCCTACGTCGGGAAAGGCTCGAAAAGGCGGCCGCCAATGGCGGAGCAGGTGCGGCCGACTTGGACGAGGACGACGAATTGAGCAAGGAGCAATTGGAGCAGGAGCGGCGCGAATTGTTGGACATTGACCGGCTCGTCCCCATGCCGGAACCGGGCGACGAGCTCCTCGCAGCCATCCCCGTCGTGGCGCCTTGGACGGCCCTAACCCGCCAGAAGTACAAGATCAAATTACAGCCCGGCAACGTCAAAAAGGGCAAAGTGGTTCGAGAGATTCTGGGTTTCTGGACCTCTCTCGCCGCGAGGGGGCCCAAGGTCGTCGACGAGCAGAGTCGCGAAAAGGAAAAAGTCTGGCGTCGTGAGCTGGACTTACTCAAAGAGTGGAGGGTCGAAGAAATCGTCGGGGCCCTGCCCGTCAAGGGATGTCGGATTGTCCAGAGTGGTGGACTGGGAGGCGGGCTGGGAGGTGGGAGTGCTGGTGGTGGTGGCGGAGGTAAAGGCGGTGGTGGGAAGGGCAAGGGAAAGGCAGGGGGAGGTGGGAAGAAGGGAAGATAGCAAGACTGGGAGATAGTGAGAGTCTGATGCTAGTTCCCTTGCTTGGGATAGTGAGCAAGACTCATAAGTTGGACCGAAATCCATCTTGATCTCTCAACTGCCATACGTATATGCATGGACTTCGAGTGGGTAGAAGTAGGTACACATGAATGAGTGTATTTTAGCTCGTCCGGTTCCCGCCACGGTCGACAACACTGGAGATTCCACTTATCCCATCAGCGGCAAAGCCACCATAGTCTCTGACAATCGCTCGGACTCAACCCCACGCCCAAGTCATCGTTGAGCACCTAAGGTCCATGTGACATGCTCGGCAGCATCCTCAAAGACTGGCTGTTCCCTCCTCCACTTCTCATCTCATCAAGAATGCTCACATCACTGTCACAACGGCGATACTCCATCTCGATGTCTCGACCGTCCGAGCCGGTAGTCTCCTTCGCCTCCACCTTCCTCCAAACCATCTCGTCCCACTTTGTGAAGTTCTTCGCTTGATCGAGATACTGGGCCACTTCGTCTCGCCCAGTATCAGCTTCGCCGGCGTCTAGAGAGTACTCGCGATGTCTCCAATTTTTGGTGTTCATTCCGAGCCTTTCACGTCGACGGTTCTCCTCATTCTGTTTCTGCTGCTGTAATGCCAGGCGCTTCGCCACCTCGTTGGCATCATGGAGTGCCACCAGTTTACGCTTCGCTGGATATTTGGCCATAAGAGAGTGAATGAGGCGATACATGCGCCATTGGCTGCTGCGTCCAGCAGTGTCCGCGATTTCGTCTTTGCTCGAATCAGACTCGCGGCCCTCCACAAATTCAAGCGCAGGAACATGTTGGATGCTTCGCTCACTGGTATGGTCCAGTTCTGGTGGATGGTCGATTCGATGTTGCAGATACGTGGTGGTCACCACATCACACACAGTCATTCCTGTGGCGTTCTCCCAGTACAGTAATCCTGGTCTGTACTCCACGATGAATTTTACCAGTTCTTGATGGCCTCGTCGCACGACCGCATGCAACGGGTAGTCTCCTGCCCCATCAGGCTTTTCGAGATCCTTACCGCCTGAGAGAGATAGGATAAGCTTGAGACTTTCTTCCCATCCTGTAGCGGCGTTGATGTGACTGAGAAACACTGCCAGAGGTGTGTTACCCGTGGACTCAACGCTGCTACAACGCTCATGGAGCAACGGCGCGACTAATTCCTGGTCCAGCATTCTCAAAACCGAATCAAGTAAGGCAGGCCTGTCAGCTGGGATGGTGTCGAGGACGGTATGGAGGATGTTATGTCCTACACTGTCCTTAGTGACTTGGCTTGCGCCTGCTGCGATCAATTTCTTCGCGGCATAGTATCTTCCGACTTCAAAAGCAAGATGGAGCGGTGTTTTCCCTTCGGCAGAGCGGACATCGACTGCATGGGGCATCTTCTCAAGCAGGAAGTCAAAGCATGGCTGAGTTCCGTCTTTCTTGGCAGGCGATAATACCCCAATATGTAGTGCGAGGTAATTTCGTGTCGACAGCCATGCATTCAGAGTCCCTCGGATGCCTCCTTTTGCCAGGGCTAGTGCTTGGATACGTTTGTCCTCCTTGAGGGTTTCGGCGAACTCGAGGTAGTGGCGTAACGGCGCATCTGACATGAAGTATTCAGTAGTTTTCAGGTTGCCTTCAACTGCGGCAGCCAGCAGAGGAACTCCCACATCTGACTCAACCTGTCTGGCGCGATAACCCGTACGACCGGCTTCAGCCCAATCTTTACGCTTTTTGCCGTAAACACTGAGTCCCTGGTAGTACTTGGGCTTCTCCTCGAGCTGAATTCCTGATTTCTGGAACACTTTCTGAAGAGGAAATCCAAAGCCAGTAGACTTGATCATTTCGCCTATCATATCGACCCTACCGAGGCGAACTGCTAGGTCGAAATCGGCTTTGGAGATGGCGATCACTTGCAGACCGTCTTCATCTTTCTGGCCTGCGAGATTGTTGCCAACTTTGATGATGAACTTCAGAAGAGCAATGTTGTTGGCGAAAATGGCATACCGCACCAGAGAAGAACGATTCATCTGGCTCGTTGATTCAAACGCCGCATTGAACCATGCCCAAGATTGGTTCGACTGGTCATTGACATAGATATTCTGTGCATGCACGCCGCCAAAGACATGCCTGACTTGTCGCTCATCCGTGGCACCTTCGAGAGCACGCGCGATCTGGCACGTCCAAGAGGTCATAACGGCCGGCGAGACTCTCGACTTGACATTGTCGGCCACCGCAGCAATGTCGTTCACCGTAAAGGTCTCATCAACAAGTTCAGCGAGGACTCTCACACGCGCACTGTGCTCTGTACCATCACTATCGTCACTGAAGTCACTGTCTCCATCATTGTACTCGTCAGTCCCGAGGACGTAGTGGTACCTCTTTGACTCATCGTCTGGCTGATACTGTACTTTGGCAATCTCGACGATCAACTGCGCCAGCTCGTAATGACCACGGAAGGCTGCAATAGAGAACGGAGTGAATCCGCGAAGATCCATTACCGCCACTTGCAGTGGGTCGTCGCCAGCCAGACAGATCGATTTGACAGTATCAAAGTCGCCCTTCCAGACAGCTTCGAACAACTCAATGTATTTGGCCTTCTTCTGAGGAGTCAAATCCGGCACTTTGAAAGATATCTTCGTTTCGTACGGGTCACTGTTGATCTTCGAACCGAAGTAGTAGTTGCCAGCTTGCTGTGTCTTTTCCTGACGAGTTTCCTTCGGATACAACTCGAAAAATGATTTGGCACCCTCCTCGTCAAGCTTGGATTCAAGACCACGCAGCTTGGCAATGATGGCGTTAATGGCGGCAACCTTCTCCTCCTTCCCAACCTCCGAGCTTCGTTTCTTGGCTTGATGTACCTTCTCGTACTGCCTCAACTGATACTGATGAATCAATTTTGCATCCTGCAGATCATGAAGAGCTGTCCAATAACAATAGGATCCTTCTTCAAAGCCGCGGAGGTATTCGTCATCTTCCTTTAGTGCAGCTGGCGGCTCCGACTTCTGAGCTTTTGGGGACAGGAATTCTTCAAGCGACGAGATGCGGTCTCGAACGAGATCCAACAAGGACTGGGGAGATGGGGCCCAGGAGCGATGTGAAGCTTCCAGGTATTGATACGCACCGGTAGTCAGCGTATTGACATCTTCACCCTTCTCAATGAGCTGAATGACAAAGTCGACCAATTCGTGCTTGAGGGCGAGAATGATCGGTTGCTCGACACATTTCTGGAAAACTTTCTTGACTTCTAGCGGATCATTCGAGGCTCTGTCGAAGCTGCGTTTGTATGCTTGCGCAAAGGCTTCAAAATCGATGTGGGTTTTGGCTCCCATACGCATCAGATCCTCAACAACGTCCAGTTTGCCAGTGCGGATAGCTGTCAGCAGGGGTGTATCGACAGTTGGTTGAGTCCAGTACCCGGACATAGCAATGAAATTGACAGCCCTAGCAAAGTTCGATGGTTCAGCAGAGTGCATGGTCTGCAGTATCAATGTCTTTGCCTCATTAACCGCATAGTGAAGTGCAGAGATGTGCTTCATATCACTGCCAACATCCGTTAGTCTGTACCGATGATGGCGAATACAAGACATAGTGTATGTGCCGTTGCAGAAAAAGAGAGAGCCGGGAGACTTACGCCTGCGTGTATGACGCCCCGAGGGCGAGAAGACCTTTGACTGTTTCATTCGCCTGCTGTAACGGGAGCTCTAAGGCTAGACTAATGGTCAGTATTGCAGCTTTTGCGTGCTTTCGGTTGTATTCATCGACAATCTTGACGGGAAGCAGGACGTCCGCGCCGTAACTGTCAACGAGAACTTCCACCACGTCCATGTGCCCCCCAAGGATAGCTAAGTGGAGAGGCGAAAGGGGACTGTCCCAAGCGAGAACGTCGACATCATAGACATCCGGTCCCTCTTTGTCTTCGGGGTCTTGAACTTCGGAGATGTGGTCCACTTTCACAAAAGACCCTTCGGTCATGTCATCTTCTCCGTCTTCATCGTCGGCCTCGTCCTCCAAGTCTTCAGAGTCGATCGATTCACCTTCGCTGCGATCGTCCTTGTCATTGTTAGCTGCTTGCGAACTGTTGGCAGCATTCCTTCGGGCTTCTTTTCGCGCGTCTTCTTTGAGTGCTTCCTGTTCCTCATTTGCGTTGCTCTTGTCAAGGATGTCCTTGACCATCTGGAGCTCGCCACGGTGAGCAGCAAGATGTAGAGCGGTCATACCGTTATACAGCCTGGCCACAAGACGAGCGCCGTGTTCGATTAAACATTGGACAATTTCGGGAGTGGAACACATGACCGCGAGATGTAGAGGTGTGCGACCGGCAGGATCTCGACGATTGACGTCAACCATTTCTGACGCAGAGAACCAGTCTCTGACGGCATCTAGGTCAAGGTCGACTATTGCTTGACACAACATCGTAGTATTTCCGATATATGCCATTTCCGTCCAGTCGCTGTCAGTGATGGGATTGAAGCTGCCAATGGCCTGTCTGCCTGGGTCATCTTTGAGGAAGGTGACATCTCCCGATATGTAAATCTTGCCTTCCTCCTCAAGTGCAGCGAAGTCTGCGTCGGTTGTTGGCTCCGGGCAATACCCGCAGCAGTCATGAAGGACATCATTGACAGATCCAAAGAAGGCCGGATGTCGATGCAACTTGGTGTCTCTGTCCTTGGGTTTATTCCACTCAGCATTGAGGAGCAAGTCCTTGGTGAACAGAAGCTTCTCAACCCTTTTGGCATTGTATTTGGGCCCATATGGTATAGTGACAGTGTGGTAGTTCGAAACTTCGTCCTCTTCTACCCATTCGGCCACGTCATCCGGTTGGGCATCTTTGACGTTTCCTGGAAGTTCATGACGAAATCGAGCATTCCATGGCAATGGGGGCCGGCCCCGTTCTGCTCGGCGCTTTGCAAGGTAGGTGTCTCTGTCATTGGGGTGTGGCAGCTTTTCGAGGACCAGCAATCTCGCGAGACCTTGTACTCTTGAGAAGGATCTCTCAAAGATGGTTGGGTCGATTCGAGCCCGGTCAATGCCTGGGAATACCACCTCAAAGCCGCGATGAGAGTACTTGGAGAGCCGATTTTCATAAGATGGAGATCTTCTTGTGAGATCGATCGTGTTCACTTGAGTCATGAAGGCTGCCAGAGCTCTAGGAGACGCCCAAACTTGCTGACCGTCGTAGGCTACACATGAGCAATCAACATCGAAGCCGGTGAGGATCTCAGAAATGCTCTTGTACAAGCGGAGCACAATTTGAACATGGCGGGTGGGGTATTCCGACACAATGGTGATAGCATTCTTCGTGCGCTGTCTTTTCGTTAGCATCGTCGAGCACACGAGAGCGCTCGATAACGTCGCAAAAAGTATTCAGAGGTCCTTACAATGGTCGTCGTCTCGGCCAGGATGCTATCCCGTATCTTGGTCTCGACCTGTCTGATTTTCTCGATGGCTTGTTCCTCATTCAGACCGTAGAGGAATAGATCGACATCAGATGCAGGTGCGAGTTTCTCATGGTAATAGGCTCGAAGTGCACGCTAGAATTATGTTAGAACGTGACCAGCAAGATGACTTGAGACTAGGTGGTTACCTTGGACTCGTTGTGAGGAGCGTCGACGGGCAGCAAAGAGGTGGCCACGGCACTTCCCGCACATACCACATTATTCCAGTCTAGGTCCACCAGTGATGACTCGGAGAAAAGGTTGAAGTTGGTCCTGAACTCTTTCAAGGTCGGGGTGGTGGCTGGTGAACCGTGGTTCCTGCGAGCGTCCTGTGGGAGTGCCAGCAGATACCTGTCTTTCTCGGCATCAGACTCCTTTGTGAGGTCTCTTGCTCGAATGGTGACAGGATTATCCTTGAAGACAGGTACCAGGTGGTTTGTGAGTGCAGCTGGGTGATCAGGTTGCTGGGCGTAGATCTCTCTCAGCTTACTTTCATAAGACTTGAAAGGTTCAGCCGCTTCAGCAACACCAGCTTGGCTTCTGGGTTTTTTGTCGACATAGCTCACGAAGTCAGAAATCGGGACTGGGAGAGGCGGAAGCTGCATAGACATTGCGATCGTGGTAGTCGAGAAATGACGAGGTGGATTGGAATGGAGAGGAGAGCGAAAGACAAATGAAGGGAACACAGGGGAGCTCAATGGATGAGAACAACGCGGACAGATACAATTGCCAGACAACGTTGTACGCAGTTGATTTGTGAAAGCAATGGAACGAACAGAAGGACGGCTGACGGAGGGAGTTCGTATCCATGAGATGAGGGTGATGGTCATATATGTCTTGAAAGCGCGGTGTGAGTTCGAGGTCAATGGAAGTCGCGATGAGGCAACGCGTCTCTACACGAACCCACGTGAACGACCAAGGCGCAGGCACCAGCAGCAGCCTGAACAGGTTTCACTTCTACAGGCACCAGATCCGCATCGACTCACACGGCCATCGCAGGGCTGTTCATCGCCCCTGCGCGACGTTAAGATGGAAACCTTTCGGTGTCCAGAAGTGGAGCTGAACGGGGCCGGGTGCCTAGCTGCGCCTGGCTGATCGAGCGATATAGGGAGATGAACTTCACCGTAGCCTGATGGACATCCAGTCCGGCAGAGCGATTCTCCATCAAGTGCACTTTGATATTGGCAAAATTTTCGGCGATGAGTCGCGTCACGCGAGCTGATAATTCTCCAGTGTACGGTTGAGGCAGATGCTTCCCATATTGAGCGGAGCAAGGCTTGCAAGTCGGAGACTGATAGTACAACCATCCTCGCTGGTACGGTCTGCGCCAGAGAAATCCAAATCCCTGCCATTAGCCAGGCTTCTATTTTCCACCGCTGCGATTCAGGACTCCGCCAGCCTCGCAAAGATGGCCAACGACCACATTCTAACCCTGTCATGTCCGGATAAACCGGGCATAATTCACGCTGTCACCGGAATCTTTGCTAGGAACAACCTCAACATCCTCGATTTGCAACAATTTAGTGACCGGGCTTCAGAGAAATTCTTCATGAGAGTCCATTTTGGCCCAGTCGACGAAACAAAATTCTTGATACCTTCGTTCGATGAGCTAGCGAACGATATAAAAATGAACTATGACCTAAGACCCGTGGCGGACAAGCCAAAGGTTTTGATCATGGTCTCCAAGATCGGCCACTGCTTGAACGATCTCCTTTTTCGTCAAAAGACTGTAAGCCTCCCTCCTTCTGCAAAGAGAATGTTGCCCCTCTTTGGAGATGTCGATGTTATCGGGTTCCGCAACACTAGTCCAAGACTGACCAATATTTGTAGGGACAATTGGCTATCGACGTGCCATTGATTGTGTCGAATCACCAGGACTTCGAGCCGCTAGCCAACAGTTACAACATTGCTTTCCATCATCTGCCTGTCACCAAGGACACCAAGGCGGAACAGGAAGCTCGCATTTTGGAGCTCATTAAAGAACACCACATCGACTTGATAGTGCTGGCGCGGTATATGCAGGTACTCTCACCAACACTCTGTGAAGCCATGTCTGGCAAAATCATCAATATCCATCACAGCTTCTTGCCTTCGTTCAAAGGTGCCAAGCCATACCACCAGGCCTTTGACAGAGGCGTCAAGATCATCGGAGCCACGGCTCATTTTGTCACCGCCGACCTAGACGAAGGCCCGATCATTGAGCAGAGGGTCACGAGGGTGGATCACAGCATGACACCCAAAGAACTCGTCGACGAAGGGAGTAATGTGGAGAGTCAGGTTTTAGCTGCGGCAGTCAAATGGTGGTCAGAAAAAAGAGTGTTTTTGAACGGGCATAAAACGGTGGTATTCAACTGAAGTCATGGCTCAGTCCTTCCTGAACTCCTTTCTCGGACCTAGACGGCGTTTCCGGCACATGAGAGAGAATGGCTCCGGACGGTTCAAGAATGTAGATCGGGCATGTGCTATCACGGTTCAGCCACAATGTTCGACACGGTAAGACAAAAGTTAAACGTTGGATAAACAGCTACTCTGCTGTCTCTGCCCCGGAGCTCCTTGGACCGGAATTAATCGGACTTGTCCACCACCATATACTACCTTTCTCCCTCCATACCCAATTGCCCTCCACACATACTTAGTATCTACAACACTTTGCAACTGGCGTGCAGCAACACTAGCAACGGCCAGCTTCTTCCGATCCAGCTAAAACGACTGTTCTCCATACAGCAACGTCGCAGCTCCACAGGGATCCTCGCCTGGCGCGCGTCAACGTGGGGAACGGAGATGCCAGCTGCATGTCTGTGGCGCGTGGCCGATTCGTATCAAGGACTTGTCCGTCTATGTGAGAGTACATGCTTGCTTCTTGTACCGGGACGGACAGGTGATTGACACAGTTTTCCCGCGGGAGCGATGTGTGTTGAATATAAAGCTGGGCCTGGTGTGTTGTGGCGCGTGGGAGGAGCTTGTTCGACTTATATAGGGAAGTATTCCCAAGGTCCAGAGTATGCCGCAAGCAGTTATCTTTCAACAGCACAGGTGGTCCAGGACGGTGTTATCCCGATAGGAAGAAACAATAGCCCTGATTGCATACGGGGCGCACTCAGGAAGTTTGAAGTGGCCGTGAAGGCCAACAAACCAACGACACTGACCACCCACAGGCGACTACAATGGCGAGAAGAACCGGCCTCACTCTGACGCACTTCGTGCTTCTCACCTCCCTTGCATTTAACTCTCACGCTCATTCTCACGATGATGCCTCAGAAGCGCCACTCTCCTTCTCAGTTGGGCCCAACTACCCCTATCCCCTCGAGGACCTCGACAAGGACCTCCCTTTCTCTCAGCCCGTCACCTTCGCCCACTTGCCGTGGGAGCGGTGTTTTTCCTCCCGCCACGGAACTGACCTGGACATTGCCATCGTAGGTTTCCCCTACGACACATCTACATCGTATCGCCCCGGCGCACGCTTTGGGCCCAGAGGGATTCGTGCCGCGAGCTCCAGGGAGAAGAAAGGCAGGAGTTACAACACAGTATGGGGCATCGACCCATTGACGGAAGGAGGGCTGAACATCGTCGACTGCGGAGACATTCCTCTCACGCCCTTTGACGCCCAGCATGCTTTCCGCCAGATGGAGCAGGGTTACCGGCAGATCTTGTTCCACAACACTTCCTCCTCCTCAGCATCGACCAAACCACTTCAGGGCAGAACATGGCAGCATCCTCGGGTCCTGTCTCTCGGGGGCGATCACTCGATCGTCCTCCCAATCCTGCGCTCGCTCAAAGAGGTCTACGGCCCGATCTCGGTCATCCACCTCGACTCCCACCTGGACACATGGGACCCCTACGCGGGGTACACGGGGATCGTGTCGGAGCAGAGCGCCATCACGCACGGGACTTTCTTCTGGCACGCCGCGCGGGAAGGGTGCATCGCTAAGGGAAGCAGCGTGCACGGCGGGCTGCGCACGAAACTGTTCTCGCCCAAGGACTACGTCACGGACAAGGAGGTGGTGGGCTTTGAGATGATCGAGGCGCACGAGATTGACGAGGACCCCCGGGGCATGCAAGGGATCACCGACCGGGTGCGCCGCATCGTCGGCACGGACAAGCCCGTCTACCTCAGCATCGACATCGACGTCTTGGACCCGAGCATCGCGCCCGCCACGGGCACGCCCGAGTCAGGAGGCTGGACGACCCGCGAGGTCAAGAGGTTCATCAAAGGCCTGGAAGGCGTGAGGTTGGTCGGCGCCGATGTCGTCGAGGTCAGCCCGCCATATGATACGGCCGCAGAGGTGACCAGTGTCGCGGCTAGTGATCTCCTGGTCGACATACTGGCGTTGATGGTCAAGGACTCGGTAGGAAAGCCGGACAAGGCGCAGACAAGTCAAGGGGTCAAGGATGAGTTGTAAGAATGGTCCTGATGTTTATGTGGTTTTCGAAATACAACTGTACAGAGTACATTCGAGTCGAAATGTGTCTCATGGAATCACTCCTCGCTTTGCCCAGTAAGGATTGCTTGAACAAAGGGCAAAAAAGCGGAAAGCTGGAGTTTGAATGGGTCGGTCCTCATAAACATATGTAGTCACTTTGGAACTTATCAAACTGCTCGGAGACAGCCAATCTTTCGTCCTAGGCGTAATAGACGTGAAGTCGTTCTTCATTCCTTTTCTCGAATCCTGCTTTCTCAGTGGCAGCCAGTTCGCCGGGGGGTATCATGAAATTTCGTCCCCATCATTCCCAATCCCATTTCCATTGCCCTTCCAGTCCGTTTGGCAGTAGTGGACCAAGGGCATTTTCGCCACGGCTAGAACACCAGAGCATAACGCCGTGCGGTCGCAGTCCCGTCCTCGAATCACGACTTGATATCCCCAAAGCATCGTTGTTAACGTCACAAGACTCTTTGATGAGCCTGCCACCGCTCTGCCTGACCTGGTCGGCTCCAGGTATAGGACCTGTCGCATGACCTTGGGTGGCATAACTTCACATCTCAGAATGGCGGTTCTTCTTTGCTTTCCTCTTGCGAGACGTGGCCAGGAATTGTTTGACTCTTTGAACCGCGGCCCTTAGACGTCCATGGCGTTCACCGGCCAAACCTTGTGTAGTGTTGACCTGTGGCACTTCACTCTCCCTGGGCTCGTCATCGTCGCTCACATCCACCGTCTTTGGTTTCTCTTGCTCCTGCTCTTGAGGTTGCTGTGTCTCCTACACACGAATGGCCAGACAATCAGCAAGGACAGAATCCAGACCCGTTCTGTCCTGTGGCCCAGCACCTTCCCAGCCATAGTTGTCGGTACTGTCGACATCCATATTATCCTCGGCTGAAGTAACATGTCCATTTGTCGTCGCAGCTGCAGCCGCAGCCGCTTGCTCTTGCTCCATGAGCCATTGATCATGATCATAACCGGCGGAAGCGTTGCTCACGGTATATCCAATAGAAGGCATTGCATTCCAAGGTAAGGGACCGACCTGAGCGGTAAGTTGTAGATCCGCCATGCCGAGGGGACGCCTCGCATATGCGGCCTGAGCTTCAGCCGGTAACAGGTCGTCATCACGAGTCCTTCGTAGCTTTCCGGCCTTGATCTCCTCTTCCTCTCGGTCTATTTTCTTCTTGTATGAGCTCGTCAAGATGGTTCCGCCCGCGCTGTGTTCATACCTTGGGCCATTGGACCGTGTTCGATTCATGACCTCGGCCAGCACACCTTTTAGATATGTCTCCGCTGCGATCCCGACCAGCTCAGCGCACTGTATTGAGCAACCTTGCGCAATGGACTCTTCATAACAAATGGGCACAATCCGAGAATGTATCGTCGCTGTATCTGGAAACTCGAGCGTCTCTGCGAAAAGTGGTTGCAAATATCTTTTCCTAATCTCCAAATCCCAGTTGGTCTTGGTCAGTCCTCCTGCACCTGCATTTGCAGTGGTCTCTGGTGCCTTGATCCTGCCAGCCAGATAAAGGTCTTCATATGGGTTCCTCCGAGCTGCGGCCTCCTCGTCTGCCTTGTCGTTCGCAACTGCTTTAATGCGTCGTCGGTCCCGGGCGGGTAGGGCCATCACTTCGGCCTTGAGTCGCTGTTCGCTCGCATCGCTGGTAGCTGCGGGTTTTGTGCCGGACGTCAGTGCCGACTTGTCTGTTGTTGCACTGACCCATGCTGCAAGCCCAGGCTCAGGGGGATCTTTGCCTGTGTTACATAGTATGGCTAATATTAGAGAGTTGTGGGCATGTTCGGTCTGAGGGGTCGCGTAGATAAAAACATCGCAAAGGTCGCCGAATTCTCGTGCATTGAGTTCACCTGCGAATGGGAGGTCAGCCTCCGTGATCCATTGCCTAAAGACCACTACGAGTAAGGACACCTGGAGCCCATCTCACCTCTTATAAACCTGGTTATAGCGTCGAAATATGTGTCCCAGTTGTGACCGATTAGCGACTTGAGTTCAGTGTACAGAGGTTCCAGGTCAATCCGAGGATAGCTTTGGGCCGCTCTCGGTTGCTTCGACGCAGAGCCCGGAGGAGGCTTTGCTGTACTGGTTGTAGAAGTGATCGTATCCGACCGTGTAAGAGCGGCGGGGTTGAATGTCTCGTCGAACGAAGCCATGCTGGGCCAAAGAGCGCTGGTGGTTTAAGGAGCGCGCATGCGCAGCGCGGCACGGAACAGGACTTTGTTCATACAGAGAACCAGTGCATTGCACGTCTCGGCAAAAAGTTTCTTTTGTGATGGCGTGAAGATGAAGGAATTTATTATTTATTGGATACCTGGCATTTGTAGTCCGAGTCGCAGTTTGATGAGGTGGTGAGGGAAAGTTTGCGGAGCAGTGACACCGGCGAGGCTTGTGGTTGTACCGACCTCCCACCCTGAAAGTCAAGTCTGGGGTCCGAACCACATCCACTGGAGGAATGTCTTGTCTGAGTTGCTACAAGTCAGACATAAAGAATCTTTCAGGATAAGTGCATGCTATTGATGTTATCACTTCGCTCTCTGGCCTCGTCGGCGTGAAGTCGCCGCAGCCTCGTCCTCGCTGCATCAGGCTGTCTCATCCAGGAGACATGCTGAGTCCTCATCAACTCGTAACGCCATGTGCCTCGTAACGTCTATGCATCCATCTAAGCTATCTTGATCTTCCATTTCTTGACCGTGGCATCTGCTCCTGTACTGTACACGGTGTCTCCGAGCCAGACAAGACCATTCACCCCTTCTTTATGTACGTTCGTCTCCTTTACCCTTTTTCCAGGTTCCTTCAGACTCCAGGCAAAGATATTAGTATCTAAGCTGCCAGAAGCCGCTCCTGTACCTTCCGGATTCCAGGCGATACAGGTGATCTTCGCCGTATGGGCACTCCACCGATCGGTCACAAGCTCGAGCGAGGAGGTCCCGGTAACCAGACCTGTGATTCCAGTGCTGATCTTGTAGACGTAGATTTTCCCTGCAGCGGAACCGGCTGCCACCATCGACCCATCATGTGAAAATGATATAGCCGTGAGTGGATGAGCAGAAACCTGTTCGACAAACGCGATCTGCTTGGGCGCTTTTCCTGGCACAACTGAGAATAGGCGAAGGCTGGAATCCTGAGAACCGATCGCGACAGTGCTACCATGAGATGCAAGAGATGTGGGCGTTGATTTCAAGGGCAGCTCGCCGTCTTCTTCTCCATCTCTGTAGACAATGACACTTTCTAGTTGAGCTACCACAACCAGAGAATCCGTCGTGCAAGTCAAAGCCTTTGGCTGCGACGACAATTTGGTCGATTTCCCCGTGAATGTCTTTGCTCCGGCATCGACGGTTCTCAAGGTGTCATCCCAGCTGACACTAAAGACTTGAGGGTGCTTCCCAGAGGGCGCAGCAGCAAGTCCCGAAATGATGTTGGTTGGTCCATCCCCTTCGATTGTCTCCGCCGTACCTTTTGCAGCATCCCAAGAGCACAATCGGCCCTCGTAACTGCCAGTCCACAAGGTTGCATTCTCACCATCTCCGGAAGACGTAAGCGCAGTGATGTTCTTCTGATGACCTGAAACAATTTTGGTAGGTTTGCCTGAGCCGCTGTTTAAGTAGTTGAGGTCGCCGCTGAGGGATAGAGATATAATCAGTCCATCTGACCTGCCCCCCGGCCATACGACGCCGACTTGCTGATCTGAAACAGCCATAGCATCGCCAAAACTCCAGGTATGGGTGACTTTCCCAGCTTCCACATCCCAGGTCTTGACAGTCCGGTCTCCGGAACTTGTCACAAAGTGCGTCGAATCTTTGGACCAGGAGACTCCAAAAATGCTGCCATTGTGGCCTTCTGCGCTGTCCGCAATCTCAGTCTTCACCTCCCCAGTTTTACCGTCATATAGATAGATCTTCTTGTCCCCGCCGACACTGAGCAAGTGATTGCCGTCGGGTGAGAAGGCCACTCCGTAGATGAAATTTGTGTGGTTTCCTCGACCAGGGATGCCATTGAATTTGAATGGAGCCCCATGATAGAAGACCAAGTTCTTATCATCACCTCCTGTCGCTGCTCGCAGGGGTCTTTGTTGTCTTATGCTGACAGCATTGACCTGTGCAGAGTGTCCGCTTATCTCCCCTACTGTGTTGCCTGAGTCCGCCGTCACGCAGTGTCCATAACGTTGTTTTCCATCTCCTACTGCTATAATGCGCTGGCTGTCACCATCCCACGCGATGTCGTTGATCCGGCCTGATATGATGGCGTACTCCCCCTTCGTCGCTCCTGATCCATTGGGTGAGCAGTCCCAGACCCGAACAACTCCTGAGGCATCGCCAGAGGCACAATAAAAGCCAGAAGGGGCAAATCTCGCAACGGTGGTGGTGGTTGTGTGTTGGGTATACTGAGTGGAAATAGCAGGATTGTCGATGGATCGAAGAAATATGGACTTGTTCGCAGCGTACGCAATGCGCTCGCCCTTGGAGTCTGAGCTTAGAGGGGTTGGCAAGCCTCTGGATGTGGACGGAAGTGCGGCATAGATGCCTTCGGCGCTTATGGACATCTTATTTCATGTAGAGGTGTCGCAGAAACGGACCCGAGTACTTTGGATAGCTTTATTTGAGTTGGGATGTGGGGAGGTAACAATAGGTACTGCAGGTCGAGGCACACAAATAGACTTCTGGTTTGGGCGAGGCTGGCGAGGCTGCAAGGCTGCGAGGCCACAAGCTGCAAGGATTTCCGATCCTGGCGTTGAGACAATACGCATGGAAGATCAAATACGATGATAGAACACTTGCTTTTTCAGTTCCCGATCCCACATCCTGCGTCACTGAGCATGTACAACGCTCACAAGATGTGGAACCGTTGAAGATACTGAATCTCAATGGATTTGATATTTAGACAAATAAGTACAGAGAGGACGTCCATCTCCTCATCTCGAACTCCAGCTCTTTTTCTGCCACACCGCATCCACTTTGATCCAAATCACTCGCATATCAATTGAATCGTTGGATTTTTATTCAGAATTGCCAAGCTAGACTGACAATTGTCGAAAAGTGCTAGTCCAGGTCCCACCAACGCACCCTTCGAGGGAGATGGATAAAAGGCGTAAGACCGATTAAGTTGCGGCACCCGTTGGAATATTAGAGACTTTCCGCCATCTCGCCCAGTATGCCACTCAATCCCACGGCATATCTGGAGAGTAAATCATGGCACGATGGAGCAAGTTGGCTGCGGAAAAAATGCCCGATCCCTGGGAAGGTGACGGTGTTTCTCCTCCTCGTACCTCTTTTCCTAGTACCGGCTAGGGTGGCGTGCGGGATCAGGTTTTTGGTTTTCTGGACAGATCGCAGGCCATCATTTGGATCCTTGATGTTGGAGTCTCTTGACCAACATACATTAAGGGCCAGACTCTCTGTAAAGTTGGCGTATGCAGAATCTCTTTCCCAGGTGAGTCCACAGGTCTTCGAGGTGATAGGTTCAACCCGCACTGGTATTTCGAACTTTTTGCTAACGGCCGTGGCATCAGTATTGTTAAAATCCTGGACCTTTTGGCATTCCTTGGCAAATCACGAGAGCCTCCTTCACCGCACTCGCCCAGTGTTCAGCATTCTTCCCTGCATTTCTTCCTTTATGATTTCCGGATGCTTGTGGATACTTGGCATCAGACCCAATGCTATCGCCCTTCGGATGGCCTTTGCAATCTTCCGTTGATTGACCGGTCGGAGGCCCGTGGAGTTCGAATGTCGGATCCGACCCATTTCGGTCATATACTCAGACATTACCGAGAAGTTCTAGAGGAGGATTAGCATGCGTATAAGACGTTCTTGAGGTTTGAGCTCACTTTGTACAGGCTAAGGGGGTTGACAGACAGTGCGTCAAAGGCGTCGGTCGTAGGTCGATGTTTGACCCTCCACTTGCGAGCTTCAGCACCACTTAGATCGTGAGGGGCGTACACATCGCCTGCTTTCCAAGGTCGCGTAAGCTGTCGTGCGATGGCTTGATTTTCCTGTGCCACTGCTGCTCTCCGTTCTGCTTCCCTGACTGTCATTCCGGCTGCGCGTTTGAAGGTCTCTGCGCAACGTTAGTGAATGGGCCTTTCCGTCATTGTCGAAGAGAAGACATACGGTCCAGGGGAGACGACGCTATAGATCTGCTTGCGCGACCCAGCTGCAGCCCCAGGCTGGAGCTGAGCTGAGCCGACATGTTTCAATCGACTTTGACGGAGAAATCTACTGGCGCGAATGAACCTGCTGAGATCAGGACGAGGATGAAGCATTGGAAGATTGCATTTTCCGTAGCTCAGCGTGTAAAGGAAAACGTAAGGAAGGTGCGCCGATTCTCCGCATTTCAGTTGCGGCAAACCATCGAGCCACCTGCATACAATGACAGAGTAACACATCATGCCATCATGCCACCACGATTTTCTCTAGCTGGCATCTGCACCTTTCTCCCTTCTTTCTCCCTGTCAACCATGTTTCTCGCATGTTCCAACATCTAAAGCACCATCGCAACGGGTCTACGAAGCATTTGCCATGAAGTTTTCACATTTGACCCGGAGCGTGTTTCGCGCAATTCTCGCCAATAAACCATATGCCATTCGAGACTGTCAAAGGGTCGTTGGAAGGAGAACACTTTCTCAGTACACCCGCACCTCCTACCAACTCCACCAAAGGCGTCATCTCTTCGGTCTGAACTTTGGTGGTGCTCGACAAGGCTTCCAGGATGCTAGAGCCACGCCCGCCAACATCGAACTTGCGCTGAGCAAGTTGGTTGATCTCGTTAGGGCGAGAAGGAGCCAGTCTCGATTTCCTCCAGATAGCGAGATCGCCGATGCTCTCAGGTTCCTCTTCACTTCACGAATTGAGACGCCCCGTCGCCTAACGAGAAATGAGGTATTCCTGGCCACTGAGGCTTTCAAGCATTTACAAGAGCGCGGGCACATTTTGAAAGAGGATACCAAGACAAGCCTGTCAGAAGAGGATCTTGACAATATCTTGCTGGCATTAGCATCTGCTACAGGTCATGATCGATTTCGGACGGATGCCCGTATTCTAGCAACATTGGTCTTCGATGCACTCAAAGATCGGCCGGGGGCTGCAGAGGATCTCAAGATCCCTGTCCAACCGCATGGACATCACCGGGCTCAAGGTTCACTATTGTTGACCTACATTACCGTGCTTTCCAAAACAGGATCAGCTCAGGACGCTCTGGAACTCCTTCGCAAATCTCCCAACAGCTCCGAGACAGCCAGCTTCCCACTGTGGATTGCTGTTTTGCGAGGTTTGGCGAATGAAGGGCGAATGCCAGAGTTTTGGAAGCTCATTCAAGAGGTGCAGAAAACCGTCGGGCCTCTAGATGCTGTCTCTCAAGAAATATTGATTACTTATTTTGCGCAGCATGACGAGATCTCTACTTTGAAAAAGGTCTTCTCCTTGCCTTTAGCGGAAGGCCAGGTGCCGACAACGCCGACATTAGTCAAAGTTGTGGACTGTGCGATGCAGAATGGAGAACTGGAATGGGGCGCAAAAGCGGTGCACCAACTGCAGCAGCGGACCGATTCAGGCGATATGGCAGGGACTTTACTTCTCTGGCATGCCACGCACGATCCAGATGTCAATCACATACGGCAAATGATTCAACAGCTCTTGGAACGGGGGGTCACTGACGCAGTATCTATGAAAAGCTTGAATCGTGTTATCGAGTACGCCTATTCGCAAAATAACCCTGAGACGGCCACACGCTACCTGGACCTGGCCGAATCTCTTGGCCTTCATCCGGATGCTCGAACTCGAGCCTTGCAGTTAAATTACGAACTGAAGCGCGGAGATCGTGCAGCTGCAGCCCAGGCATACGAGCTCCTCTCCAGAGAAGATATACCAGTCGACAGGTCGGACGTACCCATTTTGAACCACTACATTGCTGCGTTGTCCTTTTCTGCGGATCCTGAATACATCCACCTCATGCAAGTCGTCGACCATCTCCTCGAAAGTGGGGCCGAGCTGGAGGCTGAAGCTATCGCGGGTCTGTGCCACGTCTTCCTTCAAAAAGACGAATTAGAAGAAGCGACGGGTCTGCTCCGCCATAGGGTCGACTCCTACCCCATGGATGACCGAGCTCGAATAGCAGCGGTCTTCCGTCAATTCATCATCGACTCGACTGTTAAGGATCAACGCGCCTACAATGCCTATGAACTGTTCCGTCATGCGTTCCCTGAAGCACCGGTACGAGACCGCATTACCTTGATGCAGTCGTTCTTCGATCGAAGTCGTCCTGACTTGGCTTGCCTCGTTTTTGGCCATATGCGGCAGCGTGAAGATGTCGAAGCTCGTCCCACGCCTGAGGCATACGCAAAATGCTTTGAGGGTATTGCCAAATGTAAAGATATCGATGGCTTGCAGATGGTCTACAACATGCTCAAATTGGATTTGGAAGTCGAGCAGACTACACGCATCCACAATGGTCTCATGGCAGCATACACGGAGTGTCAACAACCATTCGTCGCGATCATCGACCATTTTTGGAAAATCATGGAATCGCGCGAGGGGCCTACATTGAGTTCTTTTATCCTTGCTCTGCGGGCGTGTGAGAGGTGGATACCACAGGGCGGACACGAGGCAAGACGCATTATGGCGTTGATGCAGAGCTTCGACCTCGTCATCACAAAAGAAGTCTATGATGCCTATATTGGCGCCCTTGCTGGACAGTCCGAATTCGAAAATGTCGTGGAATTGATTGAGGTGATGGAACGCGATATAGGCGAGCCGCCTGACGCAGTCACCATTGGCACATTTTATAACGCAATACCTTGGCAGTATCGCAAGGATGAGGTGGAGAAGTGGGCAAAGAAGGCTTATCCAGACCTCTGGGCCGAGTTGGAAAGTTTTGGCGATGTCATTGATGAAGAGTGGGAGATCAGGTATTTCAAGATTGATCGCTCGGTCGATGTGGACGACGATCTGTTGTTTCAGAAGGGCGAGTACCATCCTGTCATTGCACAAGAGAGTCAAGCGATGTTGGAACATCCATTGAACTGAGGAGTGGAGGGTCCAGTGTCTAGACAGACTTGTTCTTGACATGAGCTTGTCGGATGAGTGCTAGGATCCGTTATATGGTTGGACAGCGACGGGTATGAGACCGATTTTCTTTTCCAGAAATACAGTGGAGTACCGCGCCAAACAGAGGATCTATGACTCGCCTGGCTTCATACGATGTATCCAAGCCCTCGTCCCCGTATATCACAACTTTCCAGTTATTATCTAGGTTTCTCAACAAATGCAGCCAATCTCCATTCACGATGGTCCATTGCTTAGGCCCTTGTCTTGGGCATCACAACCTCGCTCGAGGACTTCTTCTCCTCCTCGCCGTCCTCCTTGGGCGACGCGTCTTTCAACTGCGTGCTCGGGTGCTTGTCGGCGTCGGCGGGTTTGATCAATTTGCCCAGACTGACCCATAGATCCGGATAATTTGCCTAGAGTTGAAAAGAAAGAAAGAGCACTGGTCAGTCCTTCTGGTGTCGGAAAAAGGGGTCCCCAAAGGGGAAAGGAAGTGGAATATGCGCGTGTGATAGGAAATGCCAAAGACTCACCTCCGCCTCGGCCGTGACCTCCTTGTACTTCTTCCACAGATCATCCACCTTTGTATCCACGTCGATGTCCGGCTTGCCGCTCAACATCTCGGCGTCAACCTGCCACAGATCCTCGTACACGCCTCGCAGGCCGTTTCGGAACTGCAACGCCCTGTTCGGCTGGTTGCGGCTCTTGAGGAATGTCAAAAAGCCTGCGATCACGGTGTTGATGGCGCCGAGGAGGGTGATGGCGATTCTCGCGGCATTCGAATCTTGTGGTGAAATCGGCGATTAGCGTCTGTGAAGATCCATAGGGGGAGGAATAGCACTCCGCAAGCATAAATTCTGTATTTAAGCAAGAGGGGTGAACGTACTTGTTGTCCCAAGGGCGGTGACGGTGGCGCCAATGCCGATCTGGAGCCAGAGCATTGCCGTGCGAGACGCACATGACGATGTAGTAAAATCGAGTTTGGTCCTTGTATGCTTTTTCGATTCGGTTGCGGAAGAGGAATTGTTTGGGTAAATCGCCTTTTTTGTAACCAACTCAATTGTCAGTATTCTCTTTCCCAGCCTGTTGGGCTTTATCATTGCTGTGGTTCGATGCGGAAGTTTGTTTATCCACGTTCTGCGTCTTTGCTGCAGGGTTTTTCTCAAGATGAAGGACAGCATCGGGGGAAGACGCACCGGTTTCTGGCTTGATTCCTACTCGTTGACGGAACAGCGAGCGCTTGTCCATACTCCCGTTTGACTGGCTGGAGCCAGGAGAGCTCCCTCCGTTATCTGCGTTGGCGTAACTCGAACGTGCTGAGGAATCAATCTGAGCGTTGGTTGCCGTTGCGATGGACTTCATGTCTCCGACCAAGGGACTGTGACTGTCCTGGGACATTTTGGGCGGATAAGGCGTGGTTGAGGCTGAGACCAGTATAATCTTTCCGGTAGAAGTATGTCTGCTTAGTTTTTCCAACACAAACCTGCAGATATGGGATAGGAAACACAAATGGACGCAGCCTGCCTCGCTGGGGAGGGCAGGGCCTCTTCATAAGGCGCAGAGTTGGTCTCCATAAACAGACAACCATTCAGCAGCGGCTGACCGGTTTTTCTGAAGGGTGCACCGCTTACAGCAAAAGAGCATTGAATGGATGATTCTGTATGCATTGTGATGCGATGTAGATGGTCCAGATTGATGCACACGCCCAACATCTGCTATAAGCGAGGACGGTCGACTCACATGGTCGATTGCCAAGCACGAGCGAGAAAGACGGGAGGCAGAGGAGAACGAAGCTGACAGGAAGAGAGAGCCCATAGCCTGGCAGAGCTGGTGACACCAGGTCCAGCAGAGGCGACAACGGTTTCCTTTTCGGGGCAGGCGGCGTCAAACCTCGCTGCATTCTCATTGATAACTTCGCGAGAGATCACCATGGTGAAAGCGAAGGCGTGCAGACAACTTATTGCGGCCTTGCCAGCTAAGGCAGTCCCTGCAGTCAGTCTCTTTCTTCGGGAGGATTTTCTTCAGCCAGCCTCCTCAACGGCTGGAGGTCTATCATGGTCCAGAAAGTCGACAATGCGGTGCTAACGTACCTATGCAAGGTGTATGCAGAGAGGATGGAAATGTGTTCAGCTCGTGAACTGTGTCCAGTCAGCCGCAGTCGCTTCTGCTCAGTAGTGCTGGCCCAACCCAGGCGGGTCAACCCGGCCCGAGTCAAGGCCTACACATGACACTACGCCTTCCCCCGCCCGGCCTCCGTCTTTTAAAAACGCCCGAGCCAATCAAAAGCTTACCGAGATGTTGCTCTAACCTTATCAGGAAGGTTAGCTTGTCCGAGTGACAGACCGCATCCTGCATTAGGCAGGTTAGGCGAGTGGCACTGCGGCACTTATTGCCCCCCTGGCTTTTCCACCAGCGAGAGTAGCTAGTTACTAGGTAGATAACTCAATCAACATTCTTGGTTTGGTGCTACACCTAGGGCATAGAAACAAGTGATGGCTAGCTCGAACCAAGTCAACAGTCCTGTCTGGGAACTCGTTCCTTATGAGCTGGGCACCATTAAGGTCCTGATGCCAAGCTGAACTCAGGTCATATGCAGATGGTTTTAGAGGAATACATGAATGTAGGTGGGAAATCCTGCTCTTATCTCCCACAACCTATCTCGTTCAATTTCAATATATGAACAAACCTGTCATTGCTTTTGCTCAGATACCAATGTTCTCCTGAAACGTCTCCATCAACATGAGCAAGATGTCTTCCATCGGAAGCTTTCCCAGTGCCGAGGTGAGAATTTTATACGACTTCCTCATGACTAAGTTGAGCCTTCTTTACCTCTTGACTTCGGGGCGAGAGTTCGGACGACCAGCTTTCCACATGCCCAAGACTACCAAGAGCCTTCTTCATTTCCTGACCCACAGTTTCGCCGTCAGCCAGATCAGCGTGGAGCAGTCTCCCCTTCCGGGTGGCTTCTTTGTCGAGGAAAACAAAGACTGTGCGATCTGGGGTGAAAAGCAAATCAATCTCCTCACTGAACCTGTTAACGATCTGGAAGTTTCTCTTTTCGCGTGGCAATACTCACAGTGTGCGCAGGGCCGTCTCCGGGAAGAACACATAGCAAAGGATCGTATTCATATAGTTGAAACCGGCGAAGACGAAGTACAGTTTCCATGAAGCCTGGTTCAGAGCATAAGGGATGTACAGCCCGAGCCAGAAATTGACGAGCCAGTTCATGGATGCCCCCAGAGCAGTGCCACGACCGCGGGCTCTAAGAGAAAACACCTCGTTGGGGTATGTTTGTCCCACCGCACAATAAATTGCTCCGAAGGAAGCCATGTACAAGTACATGAATGCAATAGCAGCCTTGGAAGCAGCCTTATTGACAAATGAGAATTGGACACTTTGTGTTGTAGAATCCCAATGCGGGGACCCATAGCCACGCATGATGGCGCCGACAACCACAAAGCAGGTGCCCATGCATATTGGGCCAAAGATCTGTACCGTGTAAGCACCTGAAAAGCACGAAAGACCTCTTCTATAATTACCATCTGATTTCGCCGACCGTACTTGTCCGCCATCCACATCAGAGTCAGAGATGTAACAACCAGAAGTGCTCCATTGATGCCATTAGCCAACAGTGAAGCCTGTGTTCCGCTGACGCCGACTTGGGTGAAGACTTTAGGTGCGTAGTACAAACAGATGTTGGGGCCACTGATCTCGTGCAAGAACTGAATGCCTGCTCCGAGTATAGTGCGGCGTCGGTATTCCTTCTTAAAGAACAAAGCATACAAAGATGGTGCCGGCATGGTCTTCTCATAGTCGTTAATGATCCGGATCTCCTCGTATTCGGCCCGGACAGTCTCGTCATTCTGATTTCCCATGCCGTGGAGCTTGGCCAGTACCATCAGGGCCTCGTCTCCTCGGTCCTGCATAAATAGCCAGCGAGGAGACTCTGGTCGTGGGATCATGAGACCGATGAGGATGAGGATTGGAACGAATTGGAGGGAAAGAGGCATTCTCCATGATCCATTGTTATGGATATTTTGACTCCCGTATTGAACCCAATATGTGGCGAACAAGCCCAATGCTGTGCCTGCGTTCAAGTTGTAGCCCAGTCGGCCACGAATCCAGACTGGTGCGATTTCTGCCGTGTAAAGCGGAACTGTTTGGATCAAGCCGCCAGCTCCAAAACCATTGAGGACACGTCCTACCTGGAAAATTGTGAGCCATGAGAAGAGGTTGGATGCTTGACCGTTGACCGCGAGGCACCATGAGGTGGGGGTCAGACACGTACGATGAACATTCCCTGAGCGACAGATGCGACCACAATGATCTGTCCGATCAGATATATTGCTGCAGCCACGTAGATGGTGCGTTTTCTTCCCAGGCGGTCTGCCAGAAAAAAGCCCATGAAAAGAGAGCCGCCGAATTCGCCTGCAATTAGGCAAGCTGTCATAGATCCTTGACGAAAAGCGCTCGGGTAGTTGAAGTAGCTAAGGAACTGAGGCATTGCCAAGATGCCTCCGATAGAGCCCGTCTCCCAGCCGGCAGTAAAACCTTCGAGAAAGATGGGCGTGGCATACCAAAGGTAATCCCACAACGAAAAGCTCTTCTTCATCTTGATATGAGAGAATCTAGCGATCCAAAGACTTGGATGAAGGTGTGTTCCAAATAAATAAAAGAAACAAGTATATCGATACACAAGGAGAATTGTGGGGTAGGGAGGGCTATGATATCTGGGGAAGACCGCTACACATGCAAGCCTGGGGTATTTAAAAAGTCCGGAAAGCAGGAACACCAATCGGTAGTATTCCGTGTGATATTTCTATAGCCGTGAACGGATAAGAAAACCATAAACTTATATTTCCTCTCTGCTAGAGCCGACAGGGGTATCTAAGGAATAGGACAAGTGTTTTTCCATGTTTACTCCGAGGTCATCTGGGAGGAGACCAACTGCAGAACCGTTTTCTGTCCTATCCATCGGGCACGATCTACCTCCGAAGTGAAGGACCTGCTCATCTTTTCCACGAACGCTGAAAACTACGGTCTGCCGCAAACTGCGCTCGAGACTTGCGATCTAAAGTTCCTCGGATAAGAATTGGATGTTTTACTGGCTGTGCCACATTATACTTCGAAGATACTCTTCCAGCATTATCCTAAGAAATTTTGAACATGGGGAGCTATGTGGACCTGTCTTTCGTGGCTGATACTAAGAAATTGTTTTATATCTAGTTTACCGATGATCAGAAATATTCTCTCGTATAATAAGTGATAAGGGAGATCAGGTTCCTGTAGAATATGCGTAGTGGGCGGGGAATTCATGGAATCGCCTAGTCCAAGTTATGGGTTGGAGAAAAGAGAATTTGCAGGACTTCAGAGCGGGCGAGGACTTATCCATACACTCATGTCGGGCACATTGTACGATTCCGTCGAAAAGAACTCGATTATACCGTTAGCCGGTACCGGCTTTTTCTGGGCATCTTCTGTTCAGACCCTCCATCTGAGATATGTTTCTCGAGGAGACGTGTATTTCCTGAAGTTCTCCATCTGGCAACAATGCTAGATCTCCACTCCCTCCCTGAGGGGTCTCGCCCACGGAATGTCGTTCGTAATAATGGGCCGAACAGTCTAGCATTGGAGCGATGGAAGCTGCGGGAGCTGGCAGAAGGCTGGCCATGCTACCGGTAAGCCTCTTTACATCACCATCGTCTGCCCGCTGACACTCGTCGACAGCGACGCCTGCGAATGGCAGAACCTTGAATCGATATTCCATCCGGAAGCCCACATCTACACGACCTGGAGTGGTAAGGTGCATCATCTGGATTTTATTGCAGCCTCACAACGAGGGATGGATAATGGCGCTTTCATCATGCACCAGTGTCACGGTACCAGCACAGATATCACTCCCGATGCCACTCGAGCGGTCACCAAGATGAAAGCGACCATTACTCAGCGCTTTGTGCTGGATGGCTGTGAGGTTGACGCCGAGTCCGACTGTCGGTTCTGCTTCTTCTGGATTAAGAATGCAGAGACGCATGACTGGCAGGCCGTTTTTGTTAGGCATTGGTACGAGAAGGACAAGTTGATTCCGGTAGATCCAAGGAAGGTTCCTACTCTGGACGATACGCTACTAGACTCATTCCCCAGTGGTTATCGGTACCTAGGCTACTGTCAAGAGAAGATCATGGGTGTCAACGTGGCCAAGGACTTGCCAGGGCACCGCAGGGAGAGTGACGTGCCTGGTGGAAGTAAAGTATCAGGCGAGAAACATGATCTGCTCTATTGGCAGGCAAAGCGATGGTTAGATGACGCAGAAATTCCCAGTTGAGATTCGAGATGCAACAAATCTTCAATGATTGTACTGGTGGCTCCTGTATAATGAACGCTCCGTCATCGCATTGTAAAACCATGGGGACGGAAGATTGTTCTCACGGCCAACAACTTGAAGTCCCAAACCCTCATGTGGACAGCGTTTCGGAACCTCGAGGGCACTTATTGACCAATTCAGAATAATGGCATTACTGTCAGTGGATACAGGTTTAGAACTCGTTGTCCTTATGACCAAGCTCGAAAGTCCCCAAAAACGTTGCTGGATTGTTCGGTGCGGAGATCTAGTGTGCTGCAGCTGTTGTGTCCTCTATATAGCCCCTACTCTATGGTCAAGGTCTGTGTACATGCGTTCCAAGTTTCCAAGTCCAATCCGTCCAAGTCCGTTGGCCTTGGACTACACCGGCGTCAAGAATGTCAACCATTGATGTATGCGCTGCTCTCCGCAGCTTGGTGCAACACCTTCCATGCTCCATCTAAAGGCAACCTCTGCACCGCCTCTGGTCCACACCACAACCTATACTGCTCCTCCAGCTGGTGGCCTATTATCGAGGTCCCATCTATAGTTGTCCATCCGTAACGCTCTGCAAGCTTCAACATCCTGGTACGACGAGGCTTGTAGCACATGTCCAACACGACACCCTTACGTATCGCCTGGTAGAGGAAGAGTTCAAGGGATTTGTAGACTTCGATTTCCTTTTCGGACGCTGGCTCTGTGTTTGGAATGGTGCCGACGACGTAGTACGGCGATTTGAGGGCTTTTGCGTGCTCTGCGGATCGCACATGCACGAGTTTCAAATCACTATACTTCATCTCGAGCTCTTTAGTCAACTCGCGGACCTCTTGGTCATCCCGGTTAACGATGTATACGGTCTTGCATTTTAAAACAGTCGAGAGAGCGTGAAGAGCTGCTTTGGCTGCACCACCGGCACCGACGAGGAGGGCAGGCGGATCTTCCCCCGGGGGAGTTGGAACCGTGTCGAGCAGACAACCAGCAACTCCAAGCCAATCCGTATTTGTGCCACGAAGCGTCCCATCTCGCGCGATGTAGACGACATTGCAAGCGCCCAGTTGCACAACCACTTTATCGACCCCTTCTAGGTAGTTAATGATTGCTTTCTTGTACGGCATCGTGACTATCGCTCCGGCAAAACCTGGCTGTCGAAGTAGAGCCGCGGCATCTTTGATGGAGGGACATTCGCGGGCCTCGAACTTCCAGGGACAACCCACAGTGGCAGCGATATAGTTATGGACTGGAGGTGCAATCGAGTGGCCTACACCGGCCCCCAACAGATATACAAAGGAAGGCTCGATATAACTTCCCATCTTTGAGCGGGACAAAAGATCATACACTTTGCGTGGACGGAGTGAAGGTAGCCCTATTGTTGTACAAACGGTATCTATGGCGCAATTGAACTTTCCATTCTTGCCAAGCGGATGAGATGGACAAGTAATCTGCCCCGATCTTCTTCTACATTACGGATAAAAGAAGGAAATGTGTTTAGCCACTTTCCCAAGACCGCTTGATGTGAAACTCTTCGAGCTGAAGTGAGGTAGACTTCTCTCACTGGGGGTTACATACTCTGTGAATATAAGGTGTGCCGATCTCCGATACTATCACTTCTCTACCAACTCATGACTATGGTACAGCACTTAGTTTCATGTATCATCTGGCTTGTTGACTTCTAGCTGGGTCTCGACGTTCCTTATGCTCTTAATAAGGCTTCTCGGGAGCTGTACTTTTTCTTTACCGCCTCTAGCTATATGAAGACGATCTTGTGTCGCTTAGGCTTTTCCCGGGGATGGCGAGTGGTGGCTCAGGGGTTGACGATAGCTCTCTAGACGTATGGAATTATGGATCCACGATGGGCTAATGATCCTCAAACTGAAAGAGAAGGATATCAATCATGCTCACCAAGGGTTGCCAGACGGGATTGCTTACCCATCGTCAGGAGCAATAGTCCCGTGCATTCGACATCTCACAAGCACAAAAAGACATGGGAAATTGTAGCCATAATGATGAGCGACTTTTATGTCAACACGGCAAGTGGACAAGGTGTTGTGTCTTTGTGATTGATGTGATCGCCTCAGCAATCTCCTGCTGCACATCCCTTTTCGTTGCGCAAGTCCGCTCGTATTTTGGTATAGCAACCTCCCCCCTCTGGTCTCTCTCTCTCCGAGCACTTCTGAGGCCCTGACGGGTCTGCGCGTCGGCTTCAATGGCCCATGGCGGTTTCTTCAATCTCCACTACTTGTCCATGATCTGCAACTGACTTGATTTCGGTGATATGGATCTGCTTTGGGCCAACCTCGTCCTCATACCCGAACACTGTCGCCATGTGTTCCAGGGGCACACCCCGAGTTTCTGGGATCCAGAAATAAATTGCAATCGCACCCAGAAAGCTGCAGGAGCCGAAGAAATAAAACACTCCATAACGAATGTTGGTGATCATGTAAGGGGTAGCCTTGGTAATGGCGATGGCAGTCAGCCATAGCGTACCAGCCCCCAATGCGCTGCTGATGGCCCGCACGTTTAGCGGTACAGCTTCAGAAGACAAGATGTAGGGTACACCGCCGTACGCAGTCACGTAGCCAATGACGTAAATGTAGATGAAGGCGCAGGCAGCTATGCCGCCTCCAGAGATGGATTTGGCGGCACCGTCAGCCGGGGCGACAGGGTCGGCGATTTTCACGTACGAGCCGACGAAGAACAGTGAAAAGACGAGGACCGCCGTGCCGGAGAGTAGGAGGAAGCGGCGCCCCAAGCGGTCAACCAGCCAAAAAAGGCTGATGATGGACGTGATGAACTTGACGCAGCCATAGACGCCAGTGGCAAACAGGCCGGTGTTGGTTCCGACGACGCCCAGTGTCTTGAAGATTGTCGGTGCTGCCGGTATGGTCAGTGAGAGAGGTTCTCAGGAATGTGTCACAACAGAAGAGCGCTTGAGCCTGAACGTACAGTAGTAATTGATCCCATTGATGCCAGAGAGATTCGCCACCAGCTGACACAGCATTCCACAGGAGATCCGGCGCATGATTTGCGGTCGAACACATTCCGCGAGCCGTCGCCGTGTATTCTGCCACCTTGACAGGGTTGGGTCGATTCCAAGCAAGTGACGCTCTAGCTGGAGTTCAGCCTGGATATCGTGCATCTCGCGAGTAATGTATTCGTCATCAGGGCGCAAACGCCGAAGTCGTGTGAGCACCTTTCTCGCCTCCTCTTGGGCGTCTTGCTTGATCAGAAACCGAGGTGATTCGCACAAAAGGACACTTCCGCAAAGGAACAGACCAACAAGGACAAGTTGGATGGCCACAGGTATGCGCCACTGTGCGTCAGACTCTGGAGACATGTGTAGCCCCACCCCGTAATTGATCCAAAAGCCCAGCATTCCCGCCAGTTGATACGCGATTTCAAAGAAGCCCACGCATCGACCACGTATGGGGGCAGGAGACACCTCAGACAAGTACAAAGGGCCCACAACCGTCAGTGGACCTACTCCAACACCGGCGATGAACCGTCCAAAGTAGAAGCTGCCGATGTTTGGCACCAGTTGGATTGAGGCTCCAATGGCGAACAGGAGAGCAGATAGAATGAGGGACCTCTTTCGCCCGAGCATTTCGGCAAATGGCAATGAAAGAAAACAAGCCAGAAAGCCGCCGGCTTGGTAGGTGAGAACCATGTTGCTCGAGAGGTTGTTGATCTCGTTGGCGCTCTTATCTGTCAGACCAAAGCGATGCTTGAACGATGGCAAAGCCAGCGTGCCACCGAAAAACGAGTTGTCATATCTAGATGGAGATGAAGCCGAATGAGCATGGAAAGTTTCTCGGATATCTGGCGTATGAAGGATTTACTGACCCAAATACTGCTCCGGCAAACCCTACCACCACGCATGCGTAATAGAGCCTCCAGTTGTACACAGCTGGCGGCGTTCTGCCGTCATCCTTTATTTTCCAATGCATCACCGCAAAAATGTCGACTAAAGGGGGGCGGGATGCCCACGAAAGAAATGAGGCAGACAGTGGTCTTCGGATGTCTTGTGGGGATTTGCTAGAGCCTAGCACCCTATCGAGCAGAAATCGTCCGGACAACTTGGGGTACCTGGGGATCTGGGGATCTGGAGGCAATAGCGTCGAATAAATACACGTCTGTTCGACGGACATGTCGACTGAGTGAGTAGTTGGCTGACCTTGGAAGGCAATATTCTCCACGGAGAAATCCAACTCCGTGGTGAATTTTTCCTCTCGTACCCAAAAATCTGCTCTATGTCTGAGCCATGTGCCGGTGGTGAGATCACTCAAAAGACTCCTAAAGCTGGTGAAAGGTGGTTCTCGCAAAATGCCTTTCATCGCCACTGTCAACAATCATACACTTCACTATACCGATATCAAAGCCAGCCCAGGGCACGCAAATTCATGTGCTCCGGTGATTCTTATGATTCACGGATTGGGATCGACGCAAAATTGCTTCATTCCTCTTCTCCCCTGGCTTGCAGCATTCCGCTGCATTCTTTTCGACCTTTATGGTTCAGGGCGTTCGGGATTTGACCTTGAGCCCCAACCCGAGCCTTCGGTCGCGTGCCTTAGCGCAGATGCTTTCGACCTCTTAGATAAGCTTGGTGTCCAACAGCAAGCAATCCTTGTCGCACACTCGATGGGAGGGATCATTGCTTCACACATGGCGTCGACATCACCTACCAGGATCTTGGCGGTGGTGTCTGTGAGCCAGATTCACCCTGATGAGGCCTTGGCAACCATGTGTCGAGAGCGGGCTCAACTGCTTCGTAACAGTTCGTGATTCTCTTCTCACCCCCATCAGCTACTACTCCTGCAGTCGAAACCTATATAGTAACTTGCATGCGTCAGCTAGGGGATGACGGCTTAGAGGACTTGGCAAACCGACTGCCTACAACGAGCACCGGCGGTCACAGCAATAATGTGCAAAAGGCATTTATCCGGGAGTTGCTTCTTGCGCAACGAAAGGAAGCGTACATTTATTATTGCAACCTCATCCAAGGTGCCAGTGCTCCGGACTACGAGAGTCTAGCCCAGCCGTTTCTTATGATAGTCGGCGAAAGCGACAATCCTCGGACGCTGGCTGGGTGCAAATCCGTGTTTGAGAGGATAAGGAGTGTAGTCAAGGACATGGCGATTCTGCAAAATGTTGGCCACTGGCCTACGATCGAGGCGTCCGACCAAGTTGGTGAACTGATCCGTGACTTTTGCACCCAGAGACTCCCGCCCGTCGACAACCGAGACTAGAAAGCATTGTGTTTATGTGCAACTTCTGTATCTGGAGCATCGTCGCTGATGCTTGGAGCTCTTTCTGCAGTGCCATTTTGATCTCTCAGAGGAGGACACTCTGGTTATGATATATTTAAGCGTGGGTGGTCTTGGATGCGAATTCTGTATCACGTCCATGGAGGGATACCACATACCGTATGGCAGACAAACAGAATCTTTCCCCTACTGTCGTCGTAGTGGCGTGTTCGCCGGGAGACAGGAGAGCGTGAGACGTCGCTGATGGTGGAGACCCATTACGGATTGAGAGAAGCTCAGGAGATACCTGGATGGATGGAAAAACACACATCCGCAGCATGGTGACCTACGGGACGACATTCCCAACGTTGCGGAAACCTCATCGCCTGCTGTGCTTTGCCAGCAGAACGGAAGAACAATTATCATCGTGCGCAAAATTTCTGGGTATTTCTTCACCATAGAAGGTTCATTTTACGGCATGATTCCGCCAGCCCTCTAACGAGCGACTTTCCCTTCCGTTAACACTCATCATGTCCGTCGGATCAAATAACCCTATGCCGTCGAAACCTTACTCCAGATGGATGGTTGAAAGCGTCATTTGCAGAAAGCAGGGCATTGTATCCACCGAGAACAATGAGTCGGGCATCTGGCTAGAGGTCGGCTTCTTTCAGATCGCCTTGCTCAGGGTCTTAAACCAAGGCGGTCTAGATGTATGCCGGGCCCTCAGTACACCGCTGGAACTCCCAAATTTCCAAGAACTTGCGTACGACCATCTTGAGAGGGGTTCAGCCAGCGTTGTTTCTTCTTTACTTGATCCGGCGAATGATGCGAGACTACCCTTGGATCGGTTCACCCTTGGTGAGGGTTTACTCGCATTATCGGTGTGTGCTTGCTACCAGTTTCTGATGTTTTACCCGGGACATGGAGCAACATATACCTGCTGACACAAGAGGATGGTTGGTGGGCCATCAAGCAGTGTGCGAAATACCGCCTTTCAGGCAACTCGTTGTTTGTGGATGCATTGTCCGCGCTCTGGAAGTCGATACCGATGCAAAGTCGAAACCAGCTTGGTATTTCCCTCTTCTTTCGTTGGGCTCTCTGTATCGTGACCTATCATCATTCCACTGTCAAACTGCTCACTCTATCCTCTTTAGGGGGCTACTGGTTTTTCCACTACCCAAATTGGAGCTACCTCGACGGGATGTACATGATTGTCCCTTTCCAAATCAAATACGCCAGAGCCATCACTCCCGCTGACACCGATACAACAAACGCAGACATTCTTTACCAACTGAATCTACTGTGGTCCCATTGTTACGACTCACGGACCGGTCTTCTGACTCACGGTTATGATGCAACAAAGACAGCCACATGGGCTGATCAGACTTCCGGTCGCAGTCCAGTTGTCTGGGGAAGGGCCCTGGGATGGTACTCCATGGCGCTCGTGGATGCGCTAGAAACGATCTCACTTGACCACGAGTCATCGGAGTGGCTTTCTTTGCTTCAACGCTTTCAAGACTTGATGGATTCGGTTGTAAAGCACATTGATCCAGATTCTGGGTGCTGGTGTCAGGTTGTGAGTGACCCCGGGAGGGAGGGAAACTACGTTGAGTCCAGCTGTTCGGCCATGTTCGTCTATTGCCTTCTTAAAGGTGTCAGGCTTGGGCTGTTCAAGAGTAAGGACATCGGGCCAAGTGGAAATACCTACGCTGGGCTCGCAAGAAGAGCCTACACGTATATTGTCGACAACTTTGTGATTCGAAACGACGACGGGTCCTTGAGCTATGACGGAACAGTTGCAGTGTGCAGCTTGAACTCGGCGGCTAATTATGAGGTTCGTATCGCTCGTTAGTTCCGTCCAATCCACAGTCAGCAGATATTTTTTCTGGCTGGAGCTGATCTGCGAGTCACTGTAGTATTACATCAACCAACCAAAAAGGTATGATAGTGTTCTCGGAACAGCAGCTTTCATCCTCGCGAGTGTCGAGGCAGAGAACTAGGATGAAGAACAAAAGTAGACGAGGTGAATACTTGGCCACGATAACCTACAGGTCCATCTCCCCAGACGTGGTGGCTGACTCTGTTGAAAACCTAAAGACCTAAGCTCAATGTTGTGCGGCATTAAATGCCAAGTGCCTTCCAAAGTAATGCACTAAATTGGGCTTCACATGGACTGAAATCACGAATGTATTAGGAAGCAAGCGTCCAGAAATCTCCCCAGATAGCTCCATGGATAAATGCTTCCTCGGGATCAGGAGCAGATTTCGAGAGACGGGGTGAACTTTTCCGTCCACGGCAATGCAACATCACGGTTGGTAAACATAGAATAGTAGAAAAGGTATTGCCATGTCGCTTACCCATATACTACTTGGATACGTCCAGAAATTTGTTGCCCGACATGTTAGCAAAGTATCTATTGTATCTCCTGGCAGCTTGCGGCGGGACGGCGTTGACTCTGGCACTGGATTGCCAACCATCTGCCTTTACGTCGCTCCTCCCGGCCAATGCCTCTGTCCTTTTTGCTGCTTCCCACGGTCCCAATTCCACGTTCGGTCAGCATACGATCCGAGTTTCCCAACCGGTGCCGAATACGCGACGAACCTGCCCGCGTTTTGTGCTGTTCGTGTCAACGTCACCTCATCCTCTTCTTCGTCATTCACGCTCGGTCTCTTCCTCCCTACGGCACAAGCTTGGAACGGCCGGTTCCTTGCTGTCGGTAACAGCGGCTTTGCAGGAGGCATCAACTGGGTCGACATGGGCGCGGGCTTGCAGTATGGTTTTGCGGTCGTGTCGACCGACACGGGACACAATGCCAGTTTCCTTGACGGGAGCTGGGCTTTCCACGCGCCGGAGAAAGTCATCGATTATGGGTATCGCGCTTTGCACGAGACCGTCGTGCTCGCAAAAGACCTCGTCAAAGGTTACTACTCGGGCCCGATTGCCTACTCCTACTATTCCGGTTGTTCAACAGGAGGTCGCCAGGGGCTGGTCGAGGTCCAGAGGTATCCTGCCGACTTTGACGGCGTACTCGTCGGTGCTCCTGTATGGTGGGTTTCGCACACGCAGGCCTGGTCGGTCAAAGTGGGAACGTACAATCTGCCCGTCAACAGCTCGAAGCACATCCCCCCGTCCTTGTTTCCGGTCATCAGCGCCGAGGTCTTTCGACAGTGCGATGCTGTTGACGGATTGGCCGACGGGATCATCACCAACCCAAGAGCTTGCGACTTTCATCCTGAAACTCTGCTCTGCAGTCCTTCCTCCAATAAGTCGGCATGTCTGACTTCGGATCAACTGTCGACATTGGATCAGATATACTCTGATTATGTTGATGTCAACCAGACATTTGTTTTCCCGCACTTGGAAATGGGCTCCGAGGCTCAATGGTCGGTGTATCTGTCGGGAGATTCTCCCGGAGAATCGGGCCTGGACTACATGCGGTACTGGGTGCTCAATGATTCGACTTGGGCCTGGCAGGATTACTCATACGAAGATGCCGTCCTGGCAGAGAAGATCGACCCGGGAGCTTGCGATGCCGACAACTTTGACATGTCAGCATTTCAGGCTCGAAAGGCCAAGATTCTCCACTACCACGGCCTAGCAGATGGGTTCCTCCCCACGGGGTCAAGTGAATACTTCTACAATCATGTCCTTCGGGCGCTCGTCCCCAAGGGTGTCGAGCTTGACGACTGGTACCACTACTTCCCGGTGCCAGGTATGCAGCACTGTGCCTTGAGCGTCAACGATGCCCCCTGGTACTTCGCCGGGCCCAACCAGGCGTCAGTCCTGGGAACTGGGGTGCATTCAACCCCGGGCTTTCAAGATCCGAAGCATGACGCTATTCTGGCGCTCATGCAATGGGTGGAAAAGGGTCAGAGAGTCGACGAGTTGGTCGCGACCAAGTTCGTGAATGATACCGTGTCTGCGGGGGTCCAACGTCAGAGAAAGCTATGTCCGTACCCGAAAACGGCGAAGTACACAGGCAATGGTAGTGTGGATGATGCGGCAAGCTTTGTGTGTATGTAGGAAGACGGTTCTCTCATCTTTAGAGGTATGGTACCACCAGACAGAGAGTTCATTCTCCTGGGTCACGTAAGAGCCTCGAGCTCATCGACGTGCTGTTGGTCTCTGGATCGGGAAAGAAGCTCAACAGAAAGAGTCACGGTTTCCTATCCCTGATAATCCAAATCTCACCCCAGAGGCGGTGATGTCAACAGCGTGAGCAATGCAAGAGTCCAAAGCAAAATGGAGTGAATGAGCCGGGCAGGTGGGCAATATACCCTCCAGTGCGCCGTGATCTGCCTTTGAATCGACCGGACCGGCATCGAGAAAGCTTGTCGCTGGCTTGGTGGTACACACAGTGTGGTCTTGAGAGGAGCGAGGCTATAACAGCAGCGCGAGAGAGGCAGACCCATCATTTGGAATCTGGATAGTCTAATACCTGGTGCTGTTGTCCTGATTACGCTGGAATTGCGGTGGAGTGGGTAGTGAGTGACGCAGAGAAAGACGACGAGCGGAGTGCCCTTGGAACGAGCACGGCGAATCACACAGATGAACTCAATCGTGGTACGTACAAAGAGTGGTAAGACGCGATGGCGACGATACAAGGTGTGACGGTAGATATTCAGACGGCTACGAATGGGAATCTCATCATGAGTCGGAACTGCTGTACAGCGGATGCGGTCCTCATTCATGCCAGCGACGCGCTCCCAGTGACCTTGTTGATGAATGTCGCGATCTTTGGGCTCACAATCTCATATGCTTCCTCCGGCAAATAGTGTCCGCGGCCTTCGCCGACGCCGTAGCCTTCCAGATCAACACCATCGGCGATCCAATCCTTCCAGACGCCTGCCACGTCAACGCTTGACCCCAAACGAGCCTCGGAGAAAATGACAAGCAGTGGCACGCCGACTTTTCGACCGGCCTTTTGGTCTTCCTTTTGCTCGTCGGCTTCAGGGGCAGCGCCGGCGGCATAATCGAGGGCGGTGTAATATATGGTCTCACGCTCCCTGAAGAGCTCGGCGTAGATGTCCAAGGCGTTATTCGCAGAAACACGGCCGATAGACTCCGGGTTCGGGCCTGCAAGGCGCGTGTGCGCGGTTTTGCACCAGCGATCGCCGCCGTAGGCGAGGATGAGGTCGGTCGCGACGTCGGGGTTGGCCAGGAGCGGCCAGTGGAAGGCTCCTGAGCAGACGACCGGGTCGGAGAAAGCTTGCCATTGTTGTAAGGTAGGGATAATGTCGAGCAGCACAGTTCCCACCACCACGAGGTTGAGCGTCGAATAAAAGGACGGAGTCTCAGTCGGGAACGTGAAGTCGACGGTCAGGCGGTGAGAGATGCGGGCGCCACGGTCGTGTCCCGCTAGAACGACTTTGCGGGGGGTCTGGGAAGCTGTCGTGTCGAAGACGACGGAAAGTGCTTCCAAAAGGGCGCGTCCTACGGAACGTTTGGTGTTTGCGGTTATGTGCCTTATTGGCGTGGAGATGCCGTACCCAGGAAGCTGCTGGGCTCAGTGTACGGGAACGAAACGATCTGGGTGTTTGGAACGGGTTACCTCTGGGACAAAGAGAGATGCTTCACCTCTCAGAGCCGGGACAACCTGGTACCATTGGTATCAATACGGACGGCGACGTACGCAAGGCTGAGCAAGAAAGGGGGATGATTGAAGAGTACGGACTTGACGCCATCTGCGGTAATTATGGGTTAGACCAAACTCCCCTCATGAATGCAGCACTCACTCATAAGCAGATTGAGGGTAGCCATGTATCAAAGCCAAGATAGGAGCGTCTGGACCTAGATCCGAGATGTAGCAGTGCACATCGGAACCTGAGGACGTCTGCACGACTTTGTGGGTGAGTTGAAGAGAACTGTAAAGAGATTGAGTTTGAGAGGCAGCCATCATGAGAATTGTTGCCATTCAGAGAGGCCTGTCTTCTTCACGGCCAAGATGCTCTGGTTTTGTATGACCCTATGCCTGAGCCAGGCATGTTTGGTGAAGTGCAATTTTCTGCAACCCCGTCCAGAAGCGAGATTCTGCTTGGAGTTCTTTGTCAAATGACTGGGTTCAGCCCTGGATGCTGTCAGCTTGCAAAGAAGCTGCCATCAACGACCCTGAAAGTCGGAAAATTAGTCCGATATCAACGGGACTAGGGTGCTGGACTTTTTCCGTTGCTTGCGGAGAAGATCTTTTCCGTGTGGATTGTCACTTTCTTCATTCAGGCTACAGGGTCAAAGCGACGGCAGGGATTTCTGGAAATGGAGTAGAATTTCTCCGCAAAAAATTCGGGGGTGGCTCGATAGCACCCCAAACTGCTGTCGGACTTGCTCCATCTGACCGCCGGATGCTCGCCCTAGACATGATTGAGGAGCTCTTCGTAGTGATAGGCTCGAAGTGCCTCAGTCCGCATGGTCTGTCGCGGAGCCCGCCGGCCCGTGAGCAGTTCGAACTGTACACTGCCTTGCTCGGTCAACATCTCCAGCCCGTTGACAGTGATCCAAGGTCGTCCAAGTCTGGTGCACAGGTCTTGTACCTGTCGCAGGAGTGGTGTCATGAGAGGGTTGTAGGTCATCTCGAGTACCACCCCACCTGTCTCGCTTTGCAGCCATTGCACAGGCACGCCCTGATTCGAGGCATCAAGTGTGGTCGCTGCTCTGGATCCGGGACAGGAAACGATGATTGTAGGATGCTCCGTATCAGGTGGCCACTGGTCTTGCGCATGATTTAGAGGCAAGACCTTTTGAGTATCTCGGCCTTGCGATTCCAGCCACGCGTTGAAATGCTTTGGTAGAAGGCCTGGATTTTCTGCCGTTGGATTGAAGACAAGAACCTTGCTCACTTCAAGCCTGAGCATGGTGTATATTGCAGCACGCGCCATGCCGCCGCCGCCGATCACAAGGCCAGAGGTTTTATTAGGCCGGACGGCATTCCTGGGAGACAGGTTACGTTGGATAGAAACCGTCATACCAATCCAGTCTGTGTTGTCTCCGTACCAATTGTGGATCGGACCAGCCATGGCGCGGTCCACAAGCAGTCCTTGTACAGGCAGAGTGGTGGGATGAATTGTCCGTAGAGGCATCAACGTGTTGACTGCGCCGATTGCCGTCGCATGTTCGCTCCTCCGGTCCACATATGGCGCAACGATTGTTTTGAAGCCATATGTAACACTCGCGCCACCGAAGAGGTTGTCTTTGGCGAGCTCATCGAGACCTTGGGCGTCAATATTGTCTTGAGCAATGTACTCGAACTTCAGTCCAGTCGCATCCAGAGCTGCCTTGAACATTGCTGGGGCGACCCTGAGTGGCACACTTCCGATGAGATACAAACGGAGAGGTTCGAGCATATGTCGCTGGAAGCGGGTCTGCATTGCTTCTTTGGTAGTCAGTCGACAGCTGGGCTCTGCAATGCAGTCGTTAAGCTGGGGATGATACACCGGTGTAAGTATCGTGTTCGAGAGCTGACCGCTTAGGCAGCCGGTGAATCCCGCACCGTATGTGATCAGTGCTGGCCCAGACTTGAACGAAGCAGAGACCAAGCTTCTGGTTGTTGTCAGGCACTCGTCGAGCAATTTCGTGTTCATCCCATGAACGCTCTGAATGTAGATCACGCGGGCGACATCACATCCCAGGTTGGCAGCTCGTATGTACATTTCCATGGCCCTCTCAATTGACTTGCCATCTAAGGATATTTCACAGTGGCCTATGATCTGAGTAGATCGCCTTTCAGACATGATGTCTTCAATTTTGGTGTCCGAGAGAGATAAATCGACTGTCAGGTAATCCACTGCAAGGCGGAGGCCTTGTCTGATGATTTGACTCGGGATGTGAGGGCCTTTCTGGGTTGGTTCATCCACTGGCTCTGGAGAAGCCACATTGTAGATGATGGGCACGCCGAAACTTCGTCGGATCGCTGCCACTTTCTCGCTGATGTCTTGCATTTTATGGGGCGAACCCGTGTCGATAGTCAGTTCTACGGCATCTTCAATGAAGTCGATGTTGGCGAACTGCGGATCCCTCGCGAGAAGGTCCGAGAAAAGGACGGGTACAACGTGGGTGAATTTTCTTTCGAGGAGGGAAACTGTGGAAAGAGGTCGATTGATCTGTGAGCTGAGGGCCCTTAGCCTGTCCTTGCTGATCGAGTCGAGAAACGAACAGAACTGAGCTTTTGCCTCTCTCAATCGAAAGACTGAGAACTGAGGCGGCTCTTGCCCATCGGTGGTGGTGGATTGGTCGCTCGAGTCTTGAATGTTGTAAAACTCATAGTTCGAGCAATCTCGGTGGTACTCGTCAGCACGGCGAAAGAGAAACGTCTGTTGCTGGTCAAGTTGCAGGAGACTTTGAATCTGCTTCAGTGAACGCGTGATGTGAATGACAGGGTGTGTTGCGCAGAGAGTTTGAAGTAGTTGATGAATTTCCAACGTCAAGCTGCCCCAGCCGCATTCGATAACACATCTCTGACGATGGGTCAAGAGCATACTGCTGATGACCTCGACGTTCTTCCGGTACAATGCATGGCTTCCATGAGCTTCCATGTAGGCAGCTCTGGTTTTTGTGGTGGACTTTTCGAAGTAGAGGTCCTCGGTGATGAATCTCCAGTTCAGAGCAGTTGCGGCAATCAAGCCCAATGTTCGTTTCCCTGAGCCCCGAACTCCTACCAGGATAATGGATGCATCTGGCTCCATTTGGCGCGATCCCTGCTCAGTGCATGCGACCTAGCTTTGCGTACTTCTGTTATTGACAACGTGAAACAGTCGCATGCGAATAAAGAGGTATCCTTTTGGACAACGGGGAACAGTGTTTTGTAAAGATCTAGAGAGTGGTTGAAGTGACGGTACAGGTCACCAACCTAGAAGGCGGGGCTCATTGCGCAAGCGATCCTCGCAAGTATTAATAATACCTCCCTACCTACCTAGGTAGGTATATACCTAGGTACTTAGGTAGGTAACCCTAAGCGTCCCTAAAGAACCCCGAGGCCCTGAGCAACTTATGCCCCCCGTCACCACTCTTCAAGTCCTTCCCAATAAAGGCTTCTGGCCGCTCACAATTTCTGGCATTTAGCATGTGATGAAAAGTTCCAGCATCCATCAGCACATTGAATGAAGACAATATGTCGCTTTGGCAAGAAGCGAAGATAACAGCCTGACCAGTAACAACATGACCACCAGAGTGTCGCAGGCGTGTCAGCGCTGTCAACGACGGAAGCTCAAATGCGACGGTCAGCTTCAGTGCTCTGCCTGCAGAACAGCAAATCAATCTTGCCTATACGGCAATGCGAACAGGAAAAGGGGCCTGGCGGAAGGTTATGTCCGTGGTCTTGAGCGGCTCTTGGGCTTTGCCATCAAGCGTGACTCCAGCTTGACCACCGACATCCAAAAACATCTCCGCCTCAACGAGTGCAAGCGACCAGAGACTCCTTCTGTCAGCCAAGAGACCATGCTGGAATCCTGGAAACACAGCACTGTTGCAAAGGATGTCGAATCGCTCTTACCAGCCCTAGAGAGAAACGAGGCGAGACATTGGCAGTCTCTGTTCGTGGACACCGCTACAGTGGAATCGCACTCAGTCACCGACGCCAACCCGCCCATACTCATTGACCGGGACTTGTCTCACTCAGTTGACCCGGCTCTTGATGCAGCCCAACCGAATCATTCTCCTGACTCTACCAACGTTCATGTCGCCTCCTTTGGGGACTCTGGAGAAGAAGATGTCGCCCATGTCAGCGGACCGGCATTAGCTGAGGTGCACGCACATCCTCCATTCTCAGGAATTCAGCATCAACTTCCGATGAAACTTCCCGACAACTCCAAAAAGATCATTGACGCGTATTTGGCTTACACGAATTGCTGGTTTCCGATATTAGAGCCGCACGAGCTTCTACGAACATTCCACCAGTATCGACTTTCAGGTGACGAGCGTTACCGCTCGAGTGATGAACTCGGCCAAGTGGCTGTGCTGTGGGCAGTCCTTGCATATGAGACTTGTAAGGGTGGAGGTTTTGCGGTACCGTTTGACGGCGACTTGCATGGACACCCTACGTACAAGACAGCGCGACAGCTGATTCCTGTTGAAGAAGAGGACCACCAGCTCGGTCATACACAAGCACTTCTCATTCTTGCATTGATCAACCTTGGCCGCGGTCATTGGAAGGCGTGCTGGCTTCTTGTTGGCTATGCTCTACGTCTGATGCAGTACCACGACAATAAGCATGAAACGCAAGATCAGAACGGGGGTGCTAGACCCCAAATACGCGGCTCTAGGCAAGCCCATACCTTAGCAGGATGTTTTATCTTTGAGAAACTGCTTGCAATGAGGATGAGGAAAACTTTGCTGGGAAGTCACACATCTCCGCCCCCCGCGCTGCCCGAGGACGGTTTGGAAGAGTGGGAGACACCCAGATTACCGGATCTGATCATTCAGTCGCAATATAAGCCATCAGCAGAGGTCCCGGGGAGGATTCTCAGCACGTTCAACAGGCTTACTTCTACCATCGACTATCTCGGTAACCTGCCCCTGACTGTTCAGCGAGCAGATCATCTTAATATGTCTGATTTGCGACATGAACAGGCTTTAGAAACCCTGCAATCGACCGGCCCCCCAAAAGACCACGAGTCGGATCCTGATTCTTATCCTCAATTCTTGTTAAGCTACCTAGTGAACCAGTGTGTTCTTTTGACAGTAAACCGCCAAAAGATATGGGTACCCCAAACCGATCAGCCAGGGTCCGTGACACCCGATGCGGACTGTCTTGAACCGCTTATACGCTTTTCTTGTGCTATGCGAGACTTTGAACGCACACACGGAGCAGGCCGAGTACCGGTCATGTTGGTCGCGATTTGCAGTCGAATGATTGAGGATCTCGTGATCCTTGCCAAAATCCCGCAGTTGTGGACGAAATCTGCCACGATTTCGGCGGTCGATGCCGTCGTCAGTTCGATGCAGAAATTTGGCAGAATCTGGCCAGCTTTTAGGCACCTTGGAAAAACCGTCTCTTCCATCAAAGCGGCTTCGAATCTTGGACGGCAACATCCTGCCGTCCTAAATCCGAATCTGCTACAACATCGGTCTCATTTGGCTAGTGACACGGGCTGTATACACGCAGGAAGTATGGACAGTCCGTCACTCGTTGCGTCTTGTGCCGCCATCGGTTCAAGCTCAACCAGCGGTGCATTTGCGGGTGGTACTGAGTCTCAAGCACAGAATCCCGCCTTGGCCGGTCCCGGCGGCGTATCAGCCATGGAAAGCCAGCCACAAGCTGCAAACATCTTCGAAGATGACATGCTGGCTGGTGGTGTCAACGACGTCTACTTTCAACTTGCTCAAACCGACATGATGGAGTGGTCGGGAAATTGGCAGCAAGAGGGGCTCCAAACACTTGGATTCGACAACAGCTCATTTGAACGACTCTACAGTATCGGGCAATGAAGGGAATCTCATGGACCTATCCCGCCTACCAAAGCTGCATTGTTCTGAAACGGTCCATCGCAGTTTGGCAAAACTAGAATGCTTCCTGGGGAGCTGCTTTCGGGATATATCGTGAACCGAGTGCTCCAAATCCGAGGAAGGAACCAAATACCCGGAAAAGCTTTGTGATTTAAATTGGATAGTACGACGAGCAGAGTGGTTCTGAATGCCGCACATTCCAGGCCGATGCTCATCATGTCTAGGCTACACGGGCTCTGACCCTTTGCGCAGCATCATCTGCAGCCGAATGTCCTACTTCCATCTCGAATCGCCCTGCTTGTTGAGCCTGATATAGTATTGGCCCTTGGCCAGTTAACACTATCCACCATTTGCAAGGCCGCAACGCAGCTCCTCACACTCCTGCTTTGACTTGGCATATTCGAGGAGCAAGTACCGATGTCTTAACTGTTGTATCCTCAAGTTGACAGCACTTGTGCATTTTCCGTATGACTTTCTCTCTACCAAAAATGAAGACCTCCCCCGGGATGGTCACGTTCGACTTTGAAGGTGTGCAGAACAAGCTTGGACTTGGGCGAGACCACGGATTGCAGCCGCCGAGTCCACACAACCCTATGTTACCTGCTGGAAGCTTCGGGGACTCAATATCTGTATCGAGGGCTGCGTCGGTTGACATGAGAAAAAGCCTTTGTACAAATCTACCGAGTACGTGTGTTTACCATTGGCTTCACAAACCGCCCTGAGGACGTCTAGACTCTCCGCATTGTACTTTATCCCTAACTCTCCGGGCAGCTTCTTCTACTGGCAGATGATCTATTTCCATTTCCAGCCACAGGACCTGCTGTGCAATGCCCTGGTATATCAAGGGTTCGATACCGGTTATCACGCTCCAGCCATTCTCCAGCCCTGCTCGAAGTAAGTGCGTCACTGGCTTCGGAGTGTAGCACATGTCCATCAGGTACCCTTTCGTTGGTTTGTGGAGAATCTCCATCACAATCTGGTCTACGACGGCCTCAGCAGCCGTCTTTGGAGGGATGTCTGGTATCGTCCCGATGACTGATGCAACTCCCAAGCAGCAGGCTTTGGCTTGCTCGACCGTCTGCACGTGTGTGATCTTTGCCGTTACACCGGCGGCACGGAAGGAAGATATAACATTCTCGGCCTCATCTTCCGCTCTGTTCACCAAATACAGCTCCTGGATGTTGAAAAATTTCCACAAAGCATAGAGAGCACTCCTGCAGGCGCCGCCGCCTCCGATGACTAGGCCAGGCCGAGATCCAATCTCCTCCGAGGCGTTCGGAAAATTCCTCTCCAAGGCCTCGTATATACCGATGCAGTCGGTATTGGCACCGATACGTTGTCTTCTTCCCGACTTATCGCACCGGACAATGATCGTATTTATGGCTCCGATCATACGCGCGTCCTCCATTGTATCGTCCACCACGTCTAGCACTGAGACCTTGTGCGGCATTGTCACTGCAGATCCGACAAACTGTGTCGAGTTCAACTTGGGAAGAAAGTCTCTCATATCAAGGGATTCAACAAGTGAATAGGTCCATGGCACCTGTAATCTCTCCCAAATGGTCGAGTGCAATGTTGGGGCCAACGAGTGCGATATTGGGTAGCCGAACAGGAAGGTTTTCAGCTGCTCTTTCCTAGAGGAACTATTATGTGGTGAGTCGCCGTACTCATATGACTCTCGCAACACCTGGGAGGTGATACTGATTGCCATGGCCGCGAAGCAGGAGCTTGGAGAAGAGGGTCCCGGTGTCTAGGTTTCTGAGCCCGCAGTGAAAACAAAATGTGCAATAATGAAAGAAAATGTTCAGCGTTCTCGCCTCTGCCACCGACTGATTTTGTGCGAGTTCCTTGTCATCAACATTCTGCTCGTTGTCAAGTCATACCTTTTCCCCTAGCTTGATCCTGCCCCTGGAGCTAGAGATACTCGCTGGCCGCTAAACACAGATCTGCAATCCCTAAAGTCGCTGCGGCTATGGATTTTTCCGCTCTGCGTCCCCACGTACCCTGCTTCGCAATGTATTGGGAATACGAGACCGTCTTCGACTTCATTCGAGTCCCGAGCACCCCGACAGACTCTCCTGGGGAACAACCAAACACGCACATGCCGATGGTACTGCAGTATCCTCTGAATGCTTCCCGTACGAGTCGGTTCAAAGTCCAGGCACGTTGCGAATCGTCGAATATATATAATACATACCCTTGTTGCACTTATCTCCTGTCACTACCGGCCGCTGCAGGATGTCGTACAAGCCGGCGATCACCTCCATGTCCCTTGGACGGGCATGGGTCCATCAGCTAGCGCCCAAAATTGCAGCAGCGAGAGGTTTTGCCGGGATTGAGGTGTTTTACGAAGACCTCGAATACCACGCGCGCTCGTTACCTGGTGGTCTGTCGGACCAGACTCTTCTAGAAACTGCACGAGAATTCAGAACGCTTTGCGATGAGCAAGGCCTCACAATCATCGCTCTCCAACCGTTCCTACACTATGAAGGACTCTTAGACCGCGAGGAACATGGACGGCGCATTGAAAAGTTGCACCTTTGGTTTCAGATCGCGCGAATCCTAGGCACAGATACAATCCAGGTGCCATCCAACTTTCTGCCCGCAGATGTCATCACGGACGATTTGGAGACCGTTGTTTCCGACCTCCGTAAAATCGCAGACCTAGGTCTTCAACAGACACCGACGCCAATACGCTTCGCATACGAGAACATATGTTGGGGCACGTTCGTCAACAAATGGGAGCAACTATGGCAGATCGTGGCCACGGTCGATCGGCCCAATTTCGGAATGTGCCTGGACACATTTCATATCGCAGGTGGAGAGTGGGCTGACCCGGCCAGAGAAGACGGGAGAGTCAATGACCATGCAGACAAGCTTCTGCAGAGAAGTCTGGACAAGATGGTCCGTACTATTGATTCCAGTAAGATATTTTATGTTCAGTTGGTCGACGGAGAAAGATTAGAATCTCCACTCACACCCGGTCATCCTTTCTGGGTCGATGGGCAACCGGCAAGAATGAGCTGGTCGAGGAATGCTCGAGTCTTTGCTTTCGAGGAACGAGGATATATGCCCGTCCTCAAGGTTTTGAGGGCTCTTGTCGATCCGCCTCCTCGAGGGTTAGGATACAAGGGCTGGATCAGTCTCGAGTTGTTCTCACGCACAATGGCCGAGAGTGGAGATCAAGTCCCGTTCGAACATGCGCAACGAGGACTCAACTCGTGGAATCGAGTGGTGCAAGCCATGGGCTGGGAACAGGAGGTGTAGGGGCTAAACCGATCCGGATTGAGTCAAAGCGGATAAGAATTTTGCTACCCAGACGAGAGCCTGTGAAACAATTACCTCCGCATCCAGTAGTCATGTACTCGCTATTAGTCATGTAATCGGGAGAAACGACTGTGCAGGGTCATAGAACTATCGAACCGACTCCCATGGAATGGTAGAGCTTGTGGCGGAGATTGGCTGAAGTCGCTGGTGTGAGCTTACTCTTCTCACTGGGACTTGTTCAACGTGATTTGTTTTCATCAATATTAGCCCTAGCAGAAGGATTCAAATTCCTCCCGCTGACTAGGTGACATCAACAATAACAACGATCATAGTAGATCTACATACTTCCTGAGGGTTCGCGCCCAGTAGATGCTGTCCGCAACAATGAACCCGACAACCCCGAACCCTTCACAGGCAACAGAAGTTATGCTCGACCAAAAATCCCTCCACTTCCGCAGCAAACCGCTCCGGATCTTCCATAAACAAAAAATGGCCATGGTCTTCCCAGACCGAAATCTTCAGTTCCGGCATATGATGCAGCCAATGTGGATCAATGTTTGCTCTTTCCGGCGTTGCGATCAAGAGCGCCGGGACGCGATATATCTCGTCAAATCGAAAGGCATGGGGCAATGAATCCGTAGTCACCGCGTTGACCCTGACGTACAGCCTGGTCGCCATCATTGTCTCTGTAATTTTGGTTCGAGACTCTTGGTTTGTCCGCTCCGTCCAGAACCTGTTGTTGATCATCGCTTCGAAGTCACTGTCTCTCTGAAGTTTCTTTGCCAGTTCTCGTCGTTCGGTTCCGGACATGTATGTCTCTGGGCTGTGGAAGAACGAGTCCACATAAATAATCCCCTGCACAACAGGGGTGAATAATCGAAGCACCATCGTCGACACCGGACCGCCCATGCTGTGGCCAACCAATACCGCTCTCGTGACGCCAGCATTGTCGAGGACTGCTTTCACCGATCGTGCAAACACCTCTTGGCCGTACTCGGTCTTCTCCAGATGGTCAGGCTTGTCGGCGTAACTCTCTCCGTGGCCCGGTAAGTCGATCAGAAGTGACCGGTGGTGTCGGCGCAAAAGAGAGTCGCCTGCCTGCCTCCAGAGTATGCTGCTGCATGTCCAGCCGTGGATGAAAACGAGTGCCTCTGGTCCAACTCCAAAACTGTAGTAAGCAACATCATGTCCGTTAAAACAAGTTGTCCTTCTTGTCGGTCCAACATTACTATTACTAGCCCGGTCCATGACGGTACTGACGGTAGAAACTGCCGTAGGGAACACTCTGCCGATGCCAGTGATCCTCCTTCATGCATCATTCTTTTCCTCGTCTTTTGTTTCGTTTGGGGTGACTCGTCTCTGCCCTGGGGGGTATAGAACAAGCCTTCATTGAAGTTGCATTTTTTGACCTGGACGGATAAGACAAATTCCATCCATAAGCCGAGCGTGATCACGCGACCTTCGGTAATTGACTGGTCACCAGCCATCCCGACAAATTACCACACCTCTAGTTCCATGTGGCAGCGTCGTTCGGCCGATATGCTGTACACGAAAGGCGGACTGTCAGAAGTTCAGAAGGGAAAAGATAGTCAAGGGTGGGTGCAGAATCGATATTACAAATGCGAATCGCACTGGCGCAGCAAAATCTTTCCCGGTCTGATGAGTGGCTTTTGAGTGTGTCTGATCCAAAATCTCCTGAACATCTAGTATCGAGAGATGCCATGTCGGGGTCCAATATCCAACACGCCCCCGTTTCAGGACATATTTGACATTCTTGCATGCTCAATGACTTAGCTCTTCGACCACTGCCACTTCGTCATCCGCTTAGTTATCAGCTGCTGTTTTGTTGATAAAAGCAGACCCCTTCATCTTGGACATCTCTCAAGGCCTCTGCTCCGCTAGGACAGAGTCTTGGTGTTTTGAACATGCTATCACTTTGGTGGTCTTCAGATTCAAACAGCTTGACTGATGGATGGAAGAAAGGAGAGCACGGCCTTATATTTGCTGAGTTCGGTCTAGTGTTCTTCAAGCTCGCTTTGCGATCTGCATACCCCTTCCCAACTTGCAGGTAAAGTATACTAACTCACGACTGGTGAAGTATATATTATCGATCGAGAGCAAACAATAATCCCACCTGGAAGCACCTTATTGACGCAACTTCATGTGCTTTGGTCCTTGCACGGATGCCTGCTGTGGGACCTAGTTCCCACAGCCAGAGGTGGGTCATTTTACCATCTTCTTCGTCACTGTGTCTTCTACGTGGTCGCCATTTCCCTTCGCCTGAAAGCTTGTGGAGCGTCTGATACCACGACAATGGTTGTATTTATGGGATGCAGGGCGTCTATCGAAGGTAGGTGTATTAAGTCCAAAGCTGGAAAGCCAGAATTTGCGCAAAGGCTGAATTCCAAACCAATCCCAATACTGCCATAAGTTGTCGATCTTCATGCCAATGAAAATGTTCTTCTATGGCCATGGCCAAGGCAGATGTGAAGCAGCGGAAGGGAATTACAGGATGTGGTCCATATGCCTCGCCGCATTTTACGTGAAGATTGTCCACTCGCAAGGCTTATCCATTGCGCACAGACCATGTCGATCTCAGCGTGCAGCAACCGCTTGTGGTTAATGAGCATCTCCACTCTCCAGTCTTCGTTTCTTGTTGGTGGATCGTTGGTCGATCTCTCGCAACCGTTGCAAGGCTTATGCCTCCATCTGGAGAATGCCGACTGTGTCTTGTTTTACACGTTGCACACTTTCTTTTGGCATGAAGCCTGAAATCGGGGGCCTTTGGTCCTTGGCTGCTTTCGGAAGGAAGGAAGAAAGCGGACAGATTGAGGGTATAAGAACGTTGCCATCTTCTCAGAGGAGTCTGGGCAAGGACCACATTTCCTCACTCTCCCTCATCCTCCCAGAATCTGTTTCGATTTGTTCGAACCATTCAAGTGCCCGCCATGTCACTTTCCGGCAAGACGACTCTCATCACAGGCGGCGGCAAGAATCTTGGTGCGCTGATTGCCACCCTCTTCGCCGCCGAAGGGTCGAATCTGGCCTTGCACTACAACTCTGCCGCGACACAAAAGGCGGCCGAAGCTCTGGCCGCCGACCTCTCGTCCAAGCACAAAGACATCAAGGTCAAGGTCTACCAAGGGGACCTTACAACGGCGACGAGTGTGGAGAAGCTATTCAATAGTGTTGCCGCAGACTTTGGCCCGAAGCTCGACGTCGTCATCAACACGGTGGGTATGGTCCTGAAGAAACCGCTGGTCGAAATCTCCGAGAAGGAGTACGACACGATGTTCGCCATCAACTCTAAGGCGGCTTTCTTTATCACCCAAGAAGCTGCCAAACGAGTTAGCGACGGCGGCAAGATCATCAATACCGTGACTAGCCTCCTAGCAGCGTATGCACCGTCCTACACTTCCTACCAAGGGAGTAAGAGTCCTGTTGAGTGGTTCACCAAGGGCTTGAGCAAGGAGTTGATGTCGAGAGGGATCAGTGTCAATGCAGTTGCCCCGGGGCCTATGGTATGTCTACCTCTGTGCTGGTGTGCCGATGCGATGAATAAGTATAAGCTGACGGGTTGATCCATTAGGACACTCGTAAGCTAGTTTTCCCAAAGTTGCCAGTGGCGCCTCTTCCCATCTCCAACAGACAGGTCTAATTTCACGACGATCTCACCACTTTGATATGAGGCCAGACTAACCGTCGGATAGCATTCTTCTACGGCCAGGAAACCCCGGAAGCAGTTGCCTTTCATAAGTCAAACGCCATTGGTGGTCGGCTCACAGACATCACCGACATCGCACCGATATATAAATTCTTGTGCACGGAGGGGGCTTGGATCAATGGTTCGTTGTATTTTGTTCTCTCTAGTTCTTTACGACGACGCGGCAAATGGCTGACATGATTTTAATCCAAACAGGCCAGACAATCTTCGCCAATGGAGGATACACGAGTCGCTAGGAGAGTAGACCCTGTGAGTGCGATGCTCGTAAGACTGAAGAATATATCCCGGGTTGGATTTCCAGCCTGTAGATGGTCAGCATAAAGGTCTTGCTTGGTACTCGTACCAGGTAGCGTTGAGCGAAGGCAGTATGAAACGAGGCTGAAGAGACGAAGGAGATACTACTGTGGGTTTTCGGCAACTTGAAGCGAGTCTTAAAGATCTGAGATGCAGCTATTAATAATGACGGGGTCTTGCCGGCTTGGCACGTCTATTGCTTGGTATCGGGATGCATATTCGCCAAAGCAGTAAGTAGCTACTAACTGCTCTCTCACTTCCCAACAATCCCTAGGTACTCGTTGCACCCGACATTGCGCAGCTCGCTTGTTTCTCCTAATGCGGCAAGGGGAACATGTCTCAACGTTCCTCACGTTCATCGACGCTGGCCCATTAGAAGAGGCCCGGGCGCAGCAGATGCGGAGAGAGATCAGGTCGCATGTTGCCCGTGTTGTTGTATCGCGCCATTTGTCGTCCCGCCCAACTCAACAGCCATCGCACAAAAAGCGCCGCCAGGCAAATCCCTCCTGGAATCTTCGCGTCGGTCCACGCGCCCGCCCGGCCACGAGCCCCAAGGAACAACCTGAAGAGCCAGTGCTTATAGAAGAAAGACCGCCGACTCCACCGCCTGCCCGGGCTGCAACGAGCAATATTCGGCTCCTGACTGCACCCTCTGCCGCGAGCATGATCCCAGCCTCAAAGAGCCCGATTTACCATCATCCTCTTGTTCCCGCAGCGCTGGATAATTGTAAGTTATCGGTCGCATGGCCCCCTTCGTTCTAGATTCTGGCCTTTCGGCTGTCTCATTTTCCTTTTTCCCACGGTCAGTCTGTGCTGATATTGACTTAGACCTAAAGCACCTCGCCGTGGCCGTGCCTGAGCTCGATGGCGAGAGCCAGTCGGCACTTCTGCCGACCCTCTGGTTCCCCATGGTTCTCAGCTCGCCAATCGTCTTCCAAGTCATTGTGTTGTTCTCGGCGTCTCATTATGCGGCGAGGCAGAATGATACGACGTTGGCTGAGACGCTACTGCGGTTCAAGCAATGTGCCATTTCCGGCATTACACAGGCCCTTTCTCCAGCGTCCAAAGGTATGGCGCTGCGGGACGAGATTATCGCCGCTGTCGCCAAAATGGCGAGCTACGAAGCCATCTTCGGGGACGAGAGCGCGTACCACTGTCACATGGAAGCCGTGGAAAAGATGTTGGAAGGAAGAGGTGGACTGGCTGCTCTGGGGCTGGAAGGCTTCCTGTCACGGCTGCTGGTATTCATTGATACCAACTCGGCATTTCTCCTCAACACCCCGTTGCATCTGAGTGGTTCGTCCCTACCAAAACCGGCAAATCAGTTCATTGTGCCGCCGAACCCCAGCCGCTTCATCGGTGAGGTCTAGAGAGGTGTTTGATCGACGCAACTCGGGTCTTGAAAGCACTGACCCGTGTACAATGAACTAGGGACAGGGATCGATAAGCAAGGGATGTGTCTATGAGCACGATGATTGTATGTACTCTATGGGCGGTACAGGTGTTTGGGAGGAGTTACCTAGGTAGATGAGATAGATTAGATAGATGTCTTGTGCTGATCTCAAATTCATTCTATACTACTCATGTTCGCCGTGGTTGCTAACCTGCATAAGGTCGCCCTGATTCCCTGTTGTTGAGGTGCTAGACACTCAAGTGGCACCAGTGGGTTCCAGGGTTGCTAGTGCTGCCAAATGGAGGGGTTGCAGGCGCCCATCAGGCCCAGACTGTCAATCGATAAGCCTGTGGGAAGCCTGTTGGAAGCCCGACGCCGCCACACGGAGCCAGACGGAGCCAGACGGATCTCCCTGTCTTCCCCCACCTTGGTTCCCTTCATCCCCTTCATCCACTCCATCCACCTCATTCACCGTCATTGACTCGATGGTTCTTCAATTGCCCACCTGCGCCCTGGCAAGCTTTCACACCACCTCCGAGGTTTGTCATCGCCGAAACCGAACCACATGTCTGACGCTGAGCCTTCTCCTCATTCTTACAGCGAGCCATGGGCTGACTTGTCGCCGTCAGACACCACCTCCTTTCCGTTCGACATCCGAGTGATCACGCGGGCCTGAATGGGGAAAGTACAGGTGACTTGGATACAGCGAAAGAGAAGGCTGATGGATCCAGCATGATCGACTTACCGCATCTCCCTTACTCCCGCCTTCACTAGACCCGACAGTCATTCATTTCGAGCTCGTCCTCACTCCCTTACTCTCTCCTCCCATAGGGGTGGCTGGTCCACAGGATATCATCTCTCACCTATACACCTACTGCGTATCGTGAGCTGCTACTCTATATCTTCACAATGTACATTGCATCCGCAAAGTGACGCCAGGCAGCCGACGTCATCTGGTCTCCGGTTCAGGCCAATTCCATTACTGGTCCACATCCGCCATTCCGTACGCTCGGGGTCATACGTCCGTGCGAGTTATGAAAGACCACAGCTGCTCAGTTTGCTGACTGCGGTGTCTTCCTCTGTTCTCTAAACACCCTGCGCAAGCTATCTACATCCCGCTGCAAGCCCAGCAACAATGTCCTTCCTTCGCAAGACCTCGGAAACCCCAACTTCCTTCCCCATCTTCCCGACATATCTTCTCCCCTCGATTCCTTTTCGCCGTAAGTCGCGGCAGTCGAGCACTGACAGCAACGGTTCAGCGGACACAGCCGTGTCCTCCGCCTCCGCTGCTTCGTCCTCTTCGAATCCGTTCACCAGAAGCCCTACCCCGACCCCCATTCCCGTGTCATCCGCATCGTCTATTGTGGTGCCGCCAGAAGACAAGTTCCTCAATGGCCACAGCTCTCACATTCAATGCGCCAAATGCTCCACCGATTTGTGCCTCACTTCGCAGATCATAAGCAAAGGCTTTATGGGCAGACACGGTCGAGCGTACTTGGTTCAAGGGACAACAAGCCACATCCACACCACCACCCCCTCCTTGCCCAATACGTTTCAGAACAAGTCCATCTCCCGAAATCTAGTGACGGGGCAGCATGTTGTGAGCGACATCAGCTGCGCAATCTGCGGGAGCATACTGGGATGGAAATACGTTGAAGCAAGTGAAGAGAGCCAGAAATACAAGGTTGGCAAGTTCATCCTCGAAACAAAACGTATCCGCATCAATGTCTCGTGGGAGAATGAGGAGGACGATACCGGTCCCTACGCATACGATGAAGTCCTACCACTTCCACCGAGAGAACTGAGAAAGCTGGTCGACGGCACGGCCAATCCAACGGACGATCTCGAATTCGACTCGCAAGACGAGGATGAATGTGAGGATCTCTTTGCCGGCGTTTGGAGCCCTCAACTTGCTGCCAAAAGGCGGCAGAGGAAGAGGGAGCGGTTTGGCAGACGACCTGTTGGTAGTCTGATCAACTTTGGCGCTACGAGCAGTACCGATACTCTCTCTTAATCTCCTCCTATTACGACTACTATGTCTGCACTCCATCTTGATCTCGACGCTCGACTCTCCCCTCCGACCAGTTCAGGCTAGGGCCAAGTCGACCAACTCGCTGGAAACAAAACAAACTCCTTCCGCTCGACCTGGGGTGAACATCAGCTGACCAATTCTGACCCGGTATATGGATGCCATCTACCGATATCTCCTGGTCCAAGGCCGACGGCAACTCTATCACCCACGTTTTGAACGTTATGCATGGCGGCATCTTATGACTTTTCTCATTTTGAAAATACCCCTCGTCGCAATAATACCCCCTTTTTGCTCAACTAAGATTATCTTCCACAATTTCCACACATTCATGATACCCAACACAGGAGGTCAGCTATGCTGGGGCGTTTCTTGGAACACTGGATTGGTATTTGGGTCTGTTGCTGCTCTTTGAGGAGCAGGGATGGCCGGTTTTTATCTGCTCTTTGCCTGTGTGCTGAAGGGATGCTGAAGATGCACTTCAGGATATGTTCGCGGGGGAAGGAAGAAGCCCCTAATGCGCGACATTGGAGGTGTCTAGAGAGCAGGGAAGGACGATGGAACGGCGGCAGACAGATAGGCATGCCGATTCTATGAACTGGCGGACGATACATCTACGATGGTAATGAGGTTGATGAATGTGGATGATAATGTTGATGATAACACTGGGGATTTTAGAGCCCTAAGTGAATATAGCTGAGCCTTCAAAATATTTACCTAGGTATCCATACACAGGCTCAGTATAATCATATCTGGGCTTTCAAGTCCCTTAGAACCTACCTACCCTCCTACGTACCTAGGTAGAAATCTCATCCGTCCCGCAGACCCGTGCATACGCAGGAGTGCAATAAAATCCAAGGGTCTTGGAGAAAAACCTCGGTGTCCAGTCCATGATAATTCCGTCCCCTGGCTCCCTACCTAGGTATTATGGCTTGATGATAACCCCCCGTACGGAATGTTGTACCTCGCAGACTTAAAAAAGTCCTGGGTACCGAAATCTCGCGCCCTCCATCTTGATCCCTCCTAGGCAGATTGGGGGAGGGGTAACATGTTCTCTTTTTTTTTGTGACCTGTTGTATGTTATGTAAAGCGACAAAGGATGACAAAAATCAAGGAACGTACGATGATACCAAACAAAAAGAAATTACTTGGATAATGGCATTTTGACTTGATAAAATATATGTAGGTAGATGCCCTAGCCCATCCAAGCGAGACAACTGTACAAAAGTTCATTCAGCGGTATGTTTCCTGGGTATGGGGGTGACTGACTCTATGAATGACCTCTGAGTCTTCAAATGTCGGCTGTCCGACTTATATGAATTCGTAAAACACTGCATACACTGTCAAGCTCTATAGCTGTACAGCTAGACTAATATATCGACCGTAACCCGTGCCGTGATCCTCCCAAAGACCATTCAGCCAGCCATGACGACGATGACTGCGTTTGGGTTTCCTCTCTCTCTCTCAACTGCGAGAGTGATGATGGTGGCTATGGTGGTGGTGCTGCTGCTGTGTTTCGACGGCACTTTTGGAGTCCTTTGCGCCTTTCAGGCCCTTGCCAAACTTGCAGCACGCCTCGTGTCTGCGCAGGTTGTCCAGCCGGGGGAAGCGCCTCTTGCAGCCCAAACCGTGGTACTTGCACAGCGTGTGTTGGTGTTTTGGTCTGTGCGTGGCCATGTGTCGCTTGAAGTTGGACCCTTCGCCGTTGAGGAACGTGTGGCAGATGTGGCAGTACATCTTGTTGCCGTTGTGGTGGGTCGCGACGTGCTCATCCCGGACTTGTTTGTACATGAACGACTTCGGGCAGGACGGGAATGTGCATTTAAAGGGGCCTTCGGATTTGTGCAGGTGTTGGTGTCGGTGGCCCCCGGGGTTGCCGGACGATGAAGACACGGCGGTGGTGAGGAAGGATGCTAGATGTTTTTTGGATATGTGGCCTGTCAAGGCGGCTTCGGAACCAAAGTCTGGAGAGTCACAATCTTGCCATTGGCATTTTGTTACACCCTTGACCAAGTGGACCGTTTTAAGGTGCTTCTTGAGGTCGGTGCCCGTGGCGAAGGAGGCACCACATACAGTGCCGCAAGGCATTAGCCACTGGCAGGCTCGAGAGGTTTCTGGGGCAGTAACGGCACTGAGGAGATCTTGTGCGGTGGTCTTCAATGGATCCTTGGGAGGAGGTGCAGTGGGAAGGAGCTGTGCTTGGGGGTGAAGATTTGAAGTGCTGGTGAGATTCATGGGGTCAGGTCCTAGAAACCCGGACAGAGAAGCCCGCTGGTGGGCGGCGGCTGGATGGCAACCGAATTCCAACCTAAACGGTGGTAACGGAAGTTGCTGGTTTAGCCCCGGGTTGCCGGGACAGATCTGCTCTTGGGCTATGCTGTTCCAATAGGGGACAGCGTTGTCGAAGCACTGATGGTGCATAGGGACATCGAGCGGAGGCGCGATCATGTCGGCCTGGGCATTAGGTATATCAAACCCTCGAAAGCCGGCAGGATTCGTTTCATCGAATTGGAGGCTCGGGGCCGTCAAGGCACTTTCGTCCAGTAGGGGAACCGAGAATGAGAGACCCAGAGCCTTATCTCGTTCAAATTGACTCCAATCAATGCAATCAAAGCAAGAGAAGTCACATTCGTCGCACGTGCCTTGACATGCTGCGCCGTTGAGGCATTTGATGTCCTTTTCTTCGTTGCATTCCTCGCAGTCGTCGACGTAGTTGCTGGTTCGGTGGTTCGCTTTCAGGTGCTCTTCGACACAGTCATCGCAGTCATCAACGCAGTCCTCACAGTCCATCGGACTGGGGGAGCTGTGGTGCGGTTCATCACAGCAGCCTGTAAAGTCATCGGCAGCCTCACCGAAATCGACCACGGCGGTGCTGCCATGGTCGTAATCGACACAGCAGTTGAGAGCGCTCGATGGACGGAAGGAAGAGTCTTCCTCCTCGCCGCAACAAGCGAACTTGTGTGTCTCTGTGGCAAATCGCGACGGGCTTCTGGATGGGACCTGGCCCCTTATCGGTGACCTGTAGTTCTGGGCCCTGGTTGCGAGGCGGGACTTGGGCGGGAAGACGTCGACGGGGTTGACATAAGGCTGGTGATGGAAGTCTTGGGCCCTCAGACCTTGAGGAGACGTTCTACCCATGGCGATGCAACATCAAGTAGCGAAGAAGCTCTACTGGCCGGGGCAAGATGGTTTTGCTCGGTTCGTCTCGGCTGAATGAGGGTGTCCAAGGTGAAATGATTTCCAAGGCTGCGGTTAGTATAACGTGGGGAATTCGGAAAACGGGAAAATTCGAGGCGACGGGGTGTCGTGACAGTCGAGTGGGATGTTGCGGGTTTATAATCCGGCCAAGCCTTTACTAGCCATATATGGAATAGTCTGCTTCTAGCGGGTGCACTATCTCTTGGCATGCCACCCTGCTGTTTAAAGCAGTCCTAGTACGAGGTACGGGATAGACACGCTGGAGTGGCTTCACTTCAAGTTGCCTGGACATTATTACCTACTACTTAATGCTTGGGTCTCGACTCTTAGAACCGTCCAAGCCCTCCTCTTCTCAAACTCATCCATCCGTCTTCTTCACTCTCTTGACCTCTTCGCGCTGCGTGAACTCCAGGAACTCCCTCTTCTTCGCCTCCATTTTTTTGTCGTCCATACCATCCTCCCATTTCACCAGAACATTCCCCTCGTCGTCTAACAAATCACTCGAGTTGTCCAGCCCTTTCCATTTCACGATCCCATCGCCCTTGAAGCTTGCTACTCGCTGCGGATAGAACATGTGACAGGTTGGTCTGAATGCCTCTCGGCCCTCGGGGGTGTTGATCTTCTTGATGAGCGGGGGAAACAAGAGAATCATATTCCGCCCTTCGTCCATGATAGGAGAACGGCAATAGGCGCAAGAGACCTTGCACGGGAGGTGGTGGGTGGTAGACTTGTTGGTGGGATCGTACCAGCCCAGGTCATGGTGGCCATTTGTGAAGTTGATGTCGGATTTGTGGAAGATGGCGGCCCATTGGAAGGGTGCCTGGGAGAATCATCAGTGACAATGCTCACAGACAGTTCACCCCGAAATACTCACTCCATGTAATCTCTGACACGTTGTGCAATGGCAATATTTGGCCGCCAACGGCTTGTCCCGACTCAATTGATATGTGACTTTGCCGCAGTGGCACTGTCCTTCCCACTTGACGTCAAACTCTTCTCCATCGTGAACACGATACGGCTCGCGATGTTTCCACTCATCCTCTGGGCGGTCGGTCGTGGAACCCGCCTGGTACTGGTGAGCCTCTGGGCTTTCGCCATCTTGTTTGGAGGGGATGTGATCCTGCTCTTTGCTCATTTTGCTAGTACTGAATGAACGACTGGGTTGACGGGAGATGTTGTGATTATGAGCTGCTTCGAAACTGCACCGGGGCGAGAAGGAGGATAGTGGAAGTAGAGTGCGTGCAGATGAAGCGGAAGAGGGAGCAAGCTGTGAGAAAAGTCTCGTCGAGGCGATCTGTCGTGCAGGGTGCGATTGGATCCCGAGACGAAGGAGTAATCTGGGACTCATTAGGACGAAGAAGTGAAGAGTAGAGAGCCGAGGTCTATACCTAGCTATCTGAGCAAACAAAGGTGAAGCCACACACCAAGCAGATCATTATGGCCTTTCAGAGTTTCAGGCACGCGACCTTTTCGTCCACTCGCCTTTCTACTTGGAATGGGCACGATGGATGCATTTATTGCAGCGGATTCGAGACCCGCGACGGAGGATCAGCCGGCAACGTCACTAGAGTGAATGGTGATGGCGTGACAGGAGGAGACCAGGATGATGGGGAGTTTCGCGTCAGAATGATGACACGCTCAAAGAAACCCTCTAGGCAGAGGATGGAATTGTAGGAGTTTCGCATTGCTCAATGACACCATGACTCTGCCTCCATTATACATCGAGATAACATGGCAAACTCAGCACATCCATCACAGATTCACGTTGTGGGGGATGCAATGGGAAAGTCAATCTGGCAATGACATCATCGACCCCGGCAGTCCGAGCACCCACCGGGATCTGCTCCTGACCAATCAGGAACACCGACAGCCTTGCCCACAACCACCTCCATAGAAGACACCAAACTCCCTCCCAGAGCCTGTGGTGTCAAGGTGTATACCTAGGTAGGTAGGTACCGAAAATCCTCAGCTGCACGCCCGCTCAGTTAATGACCTCCTTCGCTTCCAACTGCTTCATCACCTCCATCAACACCTCCTTGGTGCTCAGAGACGCGTTCTTAGGGTCTTTTCTCACTCTCTGCCACACCTCGCCGTGCTTTGGTTCATTCGCAACACACTTTGCAATAACATCTTCCCGTTTCTCTTCAGTACCGTGCTGCATCAGAAACTTGAGGTACCAAGCCCAGCTGTCTCCCAGGTCAGGATCCACTACAAGCGCCTTCTCAAACCAGTTCATCGCTTTGTCCAGTTTTCGCTCGCTCCAGAAGATCCGGGCCACCGTCCCGAACAGCACAGGATCGTTATCCACAGCCTTGATGGCTTCAAGACTCAACGGTTTCCGTTGCGTCCTCGGTTGCAATTTCCAGATGTTCTCAGACCAGAGAAGCCCTGACTTGGGACACTCTTGCAATCCCTTGGACAAGAGAATCTTGGCTTGTTGCACATTGGGTGGGTTGGCCTGTAGCTCGACTCTGACACTCTCGACCCACAGTTCCGCATTCTTGGGGTTCTGGAGGCGTGCACGGTCCAGCACAGATCGGGCTTTGATAATGACGCCCTGCTTCTGTTCGAGTCTCGCTGCGAGAAGCCACAACGGAACAGATTTGGGACACGCTCTGGTCCCTTGCGCATACGCTTCCCGTGCCTGTGGTATCATCCCCTTGTCCTCGTAAATCTGCCCCTTCATCATCCACAGCTTGGGACTTCGGGGAAAGCGTGTCTCTTTCTTGTCTATCACTCTCGATGTGAGGCCCTGGAGGACCAAGTCGAGGGCGACATCAGTGTTGCCCAGCTGTCTTTCGTATGCCGCGCTCTTGTACCACACTCGCTCAGTTGGCGCCTCTTGCCTTGCCGTCGCCAGAAGTTCTCGTGCTTGACTGACCTGCCCGGCGTCGGCCTCCAATCTGACCGCGGCAAGCCAGATCTCCTCATTGTTGGGATTTTGATTGAATGCTTTGCCGAGCACCCGGCGGGCATCGTCAACTTCGCCCGCATGCCATTTCTCCCTTGCGAGCTGGAGCCACAGTTCTTCTGATTGCGGACAGGCCTCGACAGCCTTTTCCAGGACTTGCCACAAGGCGTCCTTGGTGCCGTAATTCCTCTCCAGATCAGCTGCGGCCAGCCACAGGGATCTGCTGGTGGGGAAGACCCGTAAGGCGTAGGCATAGATGGCTCGGGCAGTCTCAAACTTCTCTCGCCCAATACTTGCCTTGGCGTCGTCCTTGAAGATCTCCTTTCGGTCGTCGTCCTCATCCAGAGACCAGCCCAGAGTCTCCCGGATGATAGCACCGCATGTCAAGACAGCGCCTTCCTCTTCGCACTTTTCGGCCTCCGTAATCCATTCCTCGCGCTTGAGCATGGCCCCTTCCTTCACTAATGCTTTCACAGCACGATTCATGATGTTGACTTTGTTGGCGTTGCCCATTTGTTCTTGTAGTCTGGCTGCAGCGATCCAAATTTCGTGGCTGGTGGGCACGGCTTTTCGGGCCTTGTTGAGGACAGCCTGAGCGTTTTCCGGCGTCTCCAGACGGGCCAGAGCAAGCCAGAGCTCAACCGACAACGGAATAATCTCCGTGGCCTTCGCCAGTAACAGTTTCGCATCTTCAGGATCCTCTTCCAGATTCACTGCTTCTTTCCAGATCGCCACTGATTGTGGAATATGGTCGATCGCTTGCCGGAGAACCCGTTTCTTGGCTCGAGGGTCCGTCTCCAGTCTCATGGCTTCAATCCACAATCTCGTCGACCGCTCATTGTTCTTGATGGCGTTTGCGGCGATGATCTTAGCGTTCTGCCCTTCGTTGAGTCGGATATTTTCCAACCAGGCATCTTCACTCTTCGGGCACATCTCACAGCCCTGTGCCATCTTTTTCCTTGCCGCAACAATCTTGCCAGCGTACTCCTCCAGGCGGGCCGCGGCAATCCATGCTGGCGCGTGCTTGGGATTTGTCTTGATCACGGAGTCGAGCAAGGTCCTAACTCGTTGGATCTCGCCGAGCTGTACCTTGGAGGGATCGAATTCTGACGTCTCCAGACTGGTGAGATATCCCTTTGGATCAATTGTCGTTGCTGTGCCCGTGCCGGCGTCCGCCTTTGCCGCCCTGTCCAACCTAGTTTGTAACACTCTGTCTCTTGCGGCACCAATATCGGCAAAGTTTGTCATCGTCCCGTCTTTGTGATCTGCACTGGTGACGGCGCCGTCCGCAGCATCATCTTGCACGCTGGTCGAAAACTCGGCAGAATCCCGAGCCCTCGCAAGGACGCTGTCAGGGACGACATAAGAGCGCTGGTTTAATCGATTCTGTTTCGCCCGCCGATTCTTGCCTGTTAGGTCACCGGGATCTGGGATGTTGGCCCAGTCTTCGTCGGATAATGTAACGAGGCCTCGTTTCAGATCGGCAAACTGATCAGAGATTTTGGGGTTCTTGCGATTATATTCTTCGAGTTCTTCTCGTTCTCGTTCTTCCCTAGAGGACGGCGAAGGAATCACGTCGGTAATCTGTTCATTCCCATGTGGAAAAGATAAACCACGTGTCTTTGTGCAGGGAGGAAGGGCAACTAGGAAGGGTGGTGGTACTAACCTCAGTCTTTTCCGACGCTTGCCCATTCTTTCGTCCACATCCTGATAGATTCTGTCTGCCTCGTCGTCGTCTTGTGTGAAATTGCCGGAGGCGAACAAGCCGGTCTCATTATCTGGGTCCTGAAACCGATCATCATCCTCTTCTTCCTGCTCCTGCTTCTTGGCCGCGGCGCCGTATGCGGTCGGGGGCGCTGCACCGAGTTGCTGAGCTCGTTTCGCAAGAGCTTCTTGGATTTGTTCAGCGCTAGGTCCGTCTCGAGCAGGGCCCAAGTCGGACCGAGTAGTGAAGCCGGTGGCGCCTCGGCCGAGACCAGCGACGTAGTTTTCGGGGGCTTGTTGGTTGAGAAAGTCGCGCCGCGACATGGTGATCGGCGACTGACGGCAACCTAGAAGCCGCAGGGGAGGACGGAGAGTGTCGCAAGAAGTAAGAAGGATGCCCTGCCAGGGAAGAAGGGGTGCGTAGTGGGAAGGATGTGGCTGAAGAGCAGCTTTTCAGAAGTTGTTTGGCAGAACTTTAGAAAGGCTGCGATGGATTTCCCCACACATCGAGAACATCAAAATTCTGCCGCCTCTCACCGCCAAAAAGTTCGACCAAAAAAAGTTCCGGGGCAGTCTTCAACCTCAATTCCTACAGACTCCAGCCCTTGCGAGGCTGCTATCGTCGTCCCCGTCTACCCGAGAACATACATTAGGGACCCTAATATCATCTTGCTACCAACATGCCAAAGGTCAACGCAAGGAGACGCCCTGGTGGCGGCGCGTCCTCCTCTTCGCCCTACTCCAAGCCCTCGTCCGCAGCCTCGAATGTCATCTTCAAAATGAACACGGACATCGGCCAACACGTCCTCAAAAACCCCGGCGTCGCCCAAGCAATCGTCGACAAGGCAGACCTTAAACAATCTGATATAGTCCTCGAAGTCGGTCCCGGTAGCGGGAACCTCACGGTGAAGATCCTGGAGAAGGCGAAAAAATGTGTCGCGGTGGAACTGGACCCGCGCATGGCGGCCGAAGTCACGAAACGAGTCCAAGGCACGCCCCAGCAGAAGAGACTCGATGTGCTACTGGGGGACGTGATCAAGACGGAACTCCCTTACTTTGACGTCTGCATCTCAAATACACCCTACCAAATCTCCTCGCCCTTGGTCTTCAAACTTCTCGCCACAAACCCCGCGCCCAGGGTGTGCATATTAATGTTCCAGCGCGAGTTCGCCATGCGCCTGTTCGCCAAGCCGGGAGACAAACTGTACTCGCGCCTCAGCGTCAACGCGCAGATGTGGGCCAAGATCGACCACATCATGAAAGTCGGCAAGAACAACTTCAAGCCGCCTCCGCAGGTTGAGTCGAGTGTCGTGAGACTGGTCCCGAAGGTGCCAAGACCGAACATCAGTTATGAGGAGTGGGATGGCCTGTTGAGGGTGTGTTTCGTGCGGAAGAACAAGACGCTCCGGGCAAACTTTCTAGGCACGAGCAGCGTGCTGAGCATGCTGGAGCAGAGCTACCGGACATGGTGTGCGCAGAACGACATTCCGCTCGACGAAGGCCCGGCCGACGAGGCGATGATGCTAATGGAAGTCGAAAACGTGCAAGACGGCGTCAACCTCAACGGCGAAGGCGACGTGGAGGAAGAAGAATGGTCCGGGTTCATGGACGTCGACGTCGACGACCAGGACGAAGACAACCTCCCCAGCCTGCTGCCCAACAAGCCCCGAGCGACCCCCGCGGAGCGCTCCGTCTCCCGCAAAAAGCGCGACAAAGTCTTCCACCTGGTCCGCGAGAAAGTCCGCTCTGTCCTCGAGGACAAGACCGCCCTGGCTGACAAGCGGGCGCGTATGTGCGACGAGGCCGACTTTCTGAAGCTCTTGTACCATTTCAACCTCGAGGGAATCCATTTTCTGGGCATCAAGCATGGCGAGTAAACGGGCGACCAACTGAGCACGGAACAAATAAATTACGAATCACGATTACAGAAACTTGGCGACAGAGAAGGGGGATTCCTTGCCCGAGAGCGAGCAGAAATTATCACCTCAAAGGTCGACAGTTATCCCCAAGACCTGTTCCTTCAAAATGGATACCCCTAGATCTTGATGACCTGCTGGTCCGCACGGTCTCTTCTTTAGACCAAGCATGAGGTGTTTAAGGCGCCGCGAAGAAATCCGTTTTTTTTCTAGTTAACGAATCACGAAAGAAACTCGAGTTGATGAAGATACCCCCACAACATGTAGCTGGAAAACGAACAATTGGAAAGAAAGGCAGAGAGGTCCAAAAAGTACTTGAATACGCGGGGTTCCTTGAGCCGATGAACGTTTTCGCATTATTATTATGGCTCTGCCATGATTATGCTTTGCTATATGCTCAGGAAAGTCGAGCTTCCCAGGTCCGTTAAGAGGGCTGAGTGGGTGCTCAACGAGAGCATAAAACCTGCAGAACCTCCCACAGCCCAGCAGGAGGAGTGGGCGCTTGGTTGGACGGGCGTCCAGGCTGCGTGAGGCGAGCTCATAGTCGAGCCCAGAAAGACGCGCCCATTCCACTTCGATTGGGTATCTGTGCAGCGTCGTGCCAGTTCATTCACATCATCCCATCGTATATATTCGTAACATCGTCGTCGCAAAACTTGGACCGCGCACAGTTCGATCTCTGGAACTATCTCCAACCCCAATGTGACAGTCTTGTGAGGGTGCCCCATGGGCATCCTATCTCAGGTCTTCCAATCACCAGAATTCTAGGTTGACACGGCCAGCCAGATCAACCCCAAGGACCAGATCCTTCGAAAAAGACAAAAGGATATTTTCTCAAAAAGAAAAGTAAAGTCAGAACATTGTGTAAACACATCATCCCAAAGAAAATGTGCCGCTCGCTGCTTTTCATGTGGCACCCGAGTGCCACCATGGTTCCATCGCTCTTTGTATAAGCTGATGGAAACAGAAATCCTGCCTTGTTTTGCTTTTCGGGTCGTAAACACACACAAAGCGTGACCTAGGGTATCAAACAACTTTTGTGTTGGACTTTTTGGAGATCTGCTTTTTCGACAGAGGAAAGGTCGGCAATTGTGCCAACCCAGCAGAGGAGCAGCGGCAGCGGCGCAAGTATAGCAGGCCTCTTTCCGAAGCACAGCATGTCTGAAGAAGATAATAAAAAGATCAAGGGGTCAAATAGTCCCCGCCATCGAGTCTGAATAACCGAACGCTTCGAGAAAAAAGACACGTGAGAATCGCCAACCCAGAACCAAAAAAAAGGCTATGGACAAAGAACCAATTCCGCTCCGAATATTGGCGCTAGAAACATGGTCCATGAGGCAGAACGCTTCATAGATCGGGGTAGCTGTAGTCGACACTCTGACGGGCCGAAAAGTCCTGGCTGCGTCGATTCGTGCTGGGGGCACGGCTGGGCTGACGACTTGATCTCAGACTTGGACCTCGTTCTTCCAAATATGAAGGTCGTCTGGACGTGGGCATGTCTCGATCCCTTTCTCGCGCCGAGGTGACACTGCTGGAGACACTCTTCTTGGAGTTTCGACTGGCAACACTTGGTGCACGTTCAATCCTCTTTTGCTCCTTGGGTCGCTCGTTCTCTTTGCCTTCGGCACCCACTGACACGACGACCCCTCCGACATTGATACTGAGAGGTCGTCCATCTTTGTTGATGTAGTCGGCGGGAATCGTCATGTTCAAGCCGCCAGGAAGGGTGATGCTAGTTTTTGTGCCACTGGTCTGACTTCTTCCGCGGCCGGAAGAATCCTTGGAGGACGATTGCCGACTGAAATTACTTCCCGTTTCAGACCTCGAACTTGAATTGCGCTGTTCCAAATCACGAAGAGCTGCAAGAGCTTCAGCGGTCAACTCATTGGAGGTCTTGTTTCGCCTGGATTGATATTCTTCGATCTGGGCTTCTTTTTCCTCCAAAGGAACCGTCATACGGCGAGGGATGTTGTGCGGCGCCGAGCTTGCGATTTTGGTAACGGTTGTCCCCGCTGAATAAGAAACGGATTTTCTGGGCATCGGCCGATCGCGCGTCTCAGCAAGTGGAGGGGCGCGATATGACGAGGGCGGACGGGATGACGATTCTCTGCGCTCACGAAAAGCTGAAGGGGGAGGTCGCGACCGCCTGTAGTCATGGTCGTCATCGCTGTCGTAGCGTTCAGGCTCATACACTACCCTTTCGCGAAGTACTGGCTCTTGCGGATGATACGTCTTCGCCCTTCGGTTGCTGGGTCGACGCGTGAGGACGACCTCAGGCTGGGGCGGTCGTGGCGGCGGTGGCATGATTGCTCGATCATCATCTTCAAGGTTGCGAATAGATTTTTGAGACAGTGGCGGCGGCCGAGTCTCTTTCGAAGGGATTCGTTCGAGAGTCATCATTCCGGATTCGGGATACCCTTGTCGGATAACAGGTTCACCATAGGCACTCGACCGCCGGACCGGGCTTGGATGTCGACTTGGCCTGGCTGAGCGTGGTTCAGGGATAGTTGGTGGATCAAAATAAGAGGGTTGTGGCTGGTAAACCGCATATGACGGTGTCGGCAACGGCGCAGGAACAATATATGAATATGGCATGGGACTGTAGGGTATATTTGGCGTGACCGGCGTCGCGTAACCTGATGTTGCAACAGAAGGTGGCCCATACATTGGGGGATTCATGTACTGTACTGGAACAGGAGCGTTGGAAAACATGCTCATCGGTCTAGGTTGCTGGTTCGAGGATGACCTGCGGACTTTGACAGGTACCGCCTGGTCATCCTTTGTGCCTTTTGGGACCCAGGTTTTGACTCCTCCTGCAGATGGAGGCGGCGGGGCTGCTTTAGAGGCTCGAGATGGGTCTTGCCTTGTCTCGACATGCTTGACGTGGTCGTGGCTCCCGCCAGGCCCTCGCTCATGCGCGTCATGCCTGGCTTTATAAGGTCGTGCCTCTGAAGGCGTTTCATTCAGCTGGGAGGATGACTGGCGTCGACTTGTTGGTTGGGAATGACCGTTCTGAGAGATAAGGTAAGGCTTGCGTTCTCTTTCACGGACTGCAGCGGTATCGATCTTCAGATCTGGCATTTTGCGCCGACCTGAGGTGGATTCTCCAGCCACGGTGCCAGCCCGACTGACGTAGCCCGAGTCGCCTCCATCGGCGTCAAATTCACTATTCGAGCGTTGTCGCAGAGCGAGGTCGTGCTGAGAGCGTTTGGCGGAGACATTTGCGCTGGTTTGAGAGCCGGGAAGCGCCGACTGGGTGTCCTCGTCCCAGTCTTCGCAGGTAGCTGCCCGGGGACGATGACGGTCAGATTCGTGCATGGAAGCGGCGACAATATAGGCCTGAGACAAGGTGGTGAAGGTTGTTGATAATGTTGAGCGTACCGGCCTATGTCCAGACGTAGATGAGGAATGAGTTTATGTGATGGAGGCGGTGGGCACGTTCGGGGGGATGTGGTGGTGTCGGCTTGTGAGGAGAGTGGAGTGACAGGGCCCCCGGACCAAAAGATGATGCGCTAAAATTCACGGCAAGGTACTTATTGTGCAGGGGTCCCAGTCCCAGTCCCGGCCCGTAAGGCTGCTCGGAGTCGCGGGGCGGCCAAAGGCTGGCCAAATGACCGAAACGATGCGCTGATATCCTCCGTGATCCTCCCTGAGGGGTTGAAGCCAGTGGCCGCGGCTCGTGGCGTTCCGGGGCCTTTGTTGCTGAAATAGCAATGGTGATTATTGTCTGCGCTCCCAGTGGCCCCAAGAATCTTGTAGATGGATTGGCCCTACGACCTAATCGCTTTCCAACCCGGTGATTCTTGATTTTTGGTGATGGCAAATAATAACAATTTCAGCCCAGTTGGTGTGGTTGCGGGTCCATTTCGGGATCAGTTTTATTTTCCGTCTCAATCACCTCGTAGTATTCTGCGCTCCACTCGCTCTTGAACCGCAGGTTACAGGTGGCCGCAGGCGCGTTCCACATTCGAGTGTTGTAACAACGACTTTGTAGATGGCAAATGCAGGAATCCGGTCGTACAGGACAGCGTTTCCTGCGTGTGAGGATGGGTGAACCAACACAAAGTTTTCCGTCGCCTCGACGACGATCTCAGATGACGGTTGTATTCGTGTGCGATGGTGGTTGGCCGGGGGAATGTGCGCGCCTGTCAATGCAAAGGCGGGCTGCAGAGATCAGCCACAGCACAATGAGCCCTTGCACTGGGGAGCTCGTTTCTGATCGTCGACAGGTCGACAGGTCGACAGATTCTCTCGGAGGGAAAGAGGAGATGGAGGAGTTAATGGCGCTTTGTGCTCAGGATATTCTTCTGCAAGGGAGTCATTCTTGTCTCGACCCCACTACGCGTGGCTCTAGGCAGGCAACGCGGAGGAGGAACGAGGGGCATCCATAAGGTGTGTAAGAGCGGGAGTGCGTGTCTGTGCGTGCATGTAGGAGGGTGAGTGATTGAAAGACCGAGAGAAGAATTAGAGGACGAGGTGTGCCAAAATTGCAGCAACTAAGGTGGGATGGCAGTGGATGGGGTGGAGGAATGGCTGGTGACCAGCTGCAGGATGACGAACAGGAGTCGGAGGCAGCAGGAGAGGCAGCAGGAGAGGCAGCAGGAGAGGCAGCACTGGAGCACTGTTGGTTCGGTTTTGGATTTCTTTGCCAGAGCCAGGGTCCGCGAGAATGAGAGAAGAGAAAAAATGGCGCGGCAAAGCCAAACGAACAGAGAGTGGCAGCTGGTGGCAGCTGGTGGCAGCGAGGGTGCATCCGCCGACCGGCGTTGAAGATTCTTCAGATTCCAGTTCCTCAAATTCCTCGCATCCTCGCAGTCTCTCATAAGCGGGAGCCTCTAGGAGTCTTGAGGAGCCTTTAGTTGCGTGATGGGCGTTGGTCGTGAGGATTGCTGCCTTCTGAATGGAAGATCCTCCCCAATGAGCTGCCCAACCTACCCAACCCCGGCAACCCTTGGAGCCATTCACTGACAGTCAATCAACAAGTCGCTTTGCTAGTTGCAGGCTACAACCGCACACTCCCAGAACTCAATACCCACTCGATGGATGGTGAGTGCCACCGTCTGCCACTACTCCCTGTCCTCCGTTCATCCCACCCTTGATCCCCTCGAGCGTCTCGCCTCGCTTGCTACTCCACGCTCCTCGAGGGACTTGTGTCGATGATAACATCAACGACGAGCAGGTGTCGACTGTCGAGCAGCTGACAGCCAAAAAGAAAAGAGGTCGGTAAAATCAAATCAAACAACCCACCTCGCTGCATACCTATGCAGCCCATTAATCCACGGTGGTGTGTCTGCCTGAATTCTTCCAGCCTGCCACCGTCCTCCAAGTGTCAGACCAAAACGTGGTGTTCACTCACATAGGGGATGGCATTGTGATACAAGACCCTGACAATGGTCGGTGGCACAGCAGCCTGTGGGTGAGCAAGAGAAAACGCGGGGAGCCTACACGCAGATGATGCTCGCAAAGAGATTCGCTCGCCCATTAGAGCTGAACGGCTGATGCTGATTCTGATGGCAGGGTATTGTGAGTGTTGGCCATTGGTCTTGGTGTCGGTCCTCGTGCGCGCGTGCCTCAGGCTCTCTGCCGCTTATTCTCCTCCCCTCTTCTCTATCAAACAATTTGCTTACCCCTCCATCCATGCATCAATTGATCTCTTCTGCCTGCAAATCCAGCAAACCTGCTCCTATCAAGGCACAGCACCGAGAACACCTGTCCTCAAGTCAGAGAGACGTGTTTCGTGGCGAAGTGATCAACCGCTATCAGCCTGAATCACCTTGCCACCAACTTTTCATCGCTGCCTTCGGCTTCAAGCCGATGCCAGAAGAGGGAGAAGCAACTTTACCCCTCCAGATGCGGTCCGGGTGGTGGTAGGGGGTGGTGGCGACATGATGAACAGGGTACGTTGGTGTGGCTGCCCAACGCACTGTGACGCTGGCACACAGGCCTTGCCCTGACTAAACCCTACTCTGTCTACGTTGGCATGCACCTCTCCCTTCACCTCAGCCTTGAAAAAGGGAGGGATTGCACCATCCTCATCGAAAAGTCGACCTACTAGTACATGGAGCTCCGAGCCCCCGGACACCGGAAATGCCGCCCTGTGAGGCTAGTTGCTGCAGCCGCTCTAACGTCCTTCATCAGCCTGATCCCTTGTTTGAACTCCCCCTGTCAGCCGGCGTTCCCTGCTTGCAGTTGTCTTGTTGCATGAACTCAACAGCCGAACTTCCTGATAGTCAAACGCGACCGTCGAAATCCTTCGATCCATTTCCCGCTATGCCAGCCCGGGTTCTCCCGCCGAGATGCGAGGCCATCCCTGTCCGAACACCCGTTCACGGACGGAACTTCTGAGAGCTTCCAAGTCACTCCATCTTACATCCTCTCCACCGGGGATAACCCCAATAGAGTCATGCCATTCCATAGCACCTGTCGGGCAGCCTCGTACAGTGCCAATCGAGCCTTCTGCAGCTCAGGTTCGCTGCCCACCACTTGTAAATGGTCGTAGCTTGAACTCAGCGCATGCGCCATCTTGAACAGATAAGTGAGGACAGTGGCGGGTTCTCGAGTCTTGAGCGTATTGAGCACCACATCCGGCCACTGTGCCAGCGACCGAGCCAGATTGATGGCGTGGGTTTCTTTCAACAAGGAAAGGTCCGCAGAGCTCAAAGCACTCAGGTCTGCATTGGCCTTTCGTTCAATCGAACACAATCGCGCATGCGCGTACTGCAAGTACGGACCTGTGTCTCCCTCGAACGCCGTCATCTGGTTGATGTTGAATTCATACCCATTCCGAACCTTGCCCTGCAAATCCTGCACCATGATTGCAGTAATGGCCAGCACATCGGCAACTGCTTCGGGGTCATCCAGCTGGGCATATTTCTGATCGTTCTTCTTCATCACTTCGAGCATGGTGTCCTTGACCGTCTGGATGATGTCGTCCAGAAACTTGACCGTACCTTTCCGGGTACTCATGCCCTTCACCATGCCGAAGGAGATATGCTCGCACTTTTCTGCCACTTCTTTATGCCCGCTGATCTCGGTGGTCTTGAACAGTTGTGCAAGATGTTCGTTCTGCTGGTCCGCGACCACGTATATCATCTTGTCAAAATGGTACTCGTCGTATCGCTCCAAAATCGCTGCCAGGTCTCGGGTAAGGTACAGCGGTGTGCCGTCCTTTCGCACGATTATTGCTTTGTTGAGCTTCTTGGCGCCATGTTTGGCAAAATCAATCAGGATCGCACCATCCGAATACTCTGCGATCTTCTGTGCCAGAAGGCTATCCAGGACTCGCTTGATTGTCTCAGCCTTCACCTGCGACTCACCAGAATATACATCAAACTCAATGTTCAACCGGGCATATGTGTTCTGGTATTTTTTGATGCTCATATCCCGAAACTTCTGCCACAGTGCCAAAGCCTCGGGGTCTCCTTCCTCCATGCTCTTGAAATATTTCCGGGCCTTCTCATCCTCGCTTTCTTCCACAAGAGGTGCAAGCTTTGCTTCCAGTGCTGACACATCTTCTCCCTTGTCCTTTTTCTCCTTGATCTCCTTCTTCAACTCATTAATGGGCTCGTCCTGGGCGGATTTTATCTTGTTTATTTCAACGTAGACGTAAAACAAGTGCGCAATTGAGTTTTTGTCCAATTCCTCTTGGCTGCCAAATTGCTTGAACCCGTTGGCTAGCAGGCCGTACTGTTTGCCCCAGTCTCCCAGGTAATTCATTTTGAGGACGTCCCAGCCCATGCGTTGATACAGTTTTGCCAGGAAACCACCGATGATGGTACTCCGGAGGTGGCCCGCGTGGAATTCTTTGGCAATGTTGGGTGATGAGAACTCGACAATGATTTTCTTTCGGCCCTTCGACGGATCTGACGGGTCTTTCAGGCCAGGGGCCGGGTTGCAGCCATATGCCCTCGTGTTGGTTAGGATTTCGGGGATTGTCAAGTTGATCAGATGTTGAGGTTTGGCAAAAAACTGTACAAAGGGACCAGCCTGGGACACCGTGACAAAAGTGTCTTCTGTCGAGGGAAATGCTTCGACAATCTCCTTTGCCAGGTCTTGCGGAGGTTTGCCCTTGACCCTCAATGCAGGCACAGCCAGAGTGAAATCTCCCTTGTCTAAAGTTATCGTCCATTGGATTAAAGGTACGATTTCGGCTGCTGGTCGGTTGACTATAGGAGCAAGCTTCTCGGCGATGTGTTGTCGATAGAAGTCCATCGGGTTCTTGCTCTTCCCCAGATCCTCCAGCGTCAGTGAAGAGACTTTCCCACTGATTTCTCCGGCCATCGTGGGTTCTGCCGCTGGAGTGCCGCAATGAAATTGACCTTGTTGATTTGGGAGCCTGTGAAGAGCTGCACGGATTGGGCTTTTGTTGCTCAGCCGGTCGACCTGACGCGTTAGTGGACGCGTGCAAAGTGTTTGGTGATGGTGAATTGCTCTTATTTCGGAGGATGTGACTTTAGAGATGCTGGAAAATTTTTGGTTGCGCCAGAGACGAGAACACCACATCCTCCCTTGAGGGGAGTCATGATATTCTCCACTGCCACTGAGAGTCTCAATTTTGAGTCAATCATTTGATATCTTGGCATGGACTTGCGGATCGGATCAACTTTATTGCGAACAGCCTTACGCTCTGGACCCCAACTGCGCCACAAACTCGACTTTGAATTCATGATCACAGCGTGCCGCTCTACTCATACTCGGGAGAGTGAATGAAGTTGTTTGAGCATGTCTGAGGCTCCAGGTCTCCCGTCGCATGCGGAGACAACGGCACAAAATACTCGCGATGGAGAGCGATCGAAGCGCTTTCGGTTCAAGTCCAAAAGGAATGAACATCGCGGCGACGACGAATCAAGGGGTCACAAGCGACGGAAGGACGACGATTCTTCACACAGGTACAGGAAACGTCGCAGGTCGTCACGGCATCCCAAAGATAGGTCGCGCTCACAAGAACGCCCCTCGAATTATCTGTCGCCGGACCAAGCCTTTCGAGAGTCGCTGTTCGACGCGCTCGGAGACGACGAAGGGGCGGCGTTCTGGGAGGGTGTCTACGGACAGCCTATTCACAAATATCCTGACACTTATAAAGACGAAGAGACTGGGGAGTTGGAACGTATGACTGACGAGGAATACGCACAATTCGTCCGACGGAAGATGTGGGAAAAGAGTTGGGAAGGAATGGAAGCTGCAAAGGAAGAGCAGAGGAGAGAAAGGGAACGGGAGAAACAAAGGATACGCGACGAAGAGAACCGAACAGAGAGTGAGAGGCAGGCACGGCAGGATGATCACATCTTCAACAAACAGATCGAAGCAAGTCTCCAACGGGGTGAGAAACGCAAAGAGCGCAAGCGGTGGCAGGGCCTGTGGGAGGACTACTTGCGCCGCTGGGCGGACCTACAACTTCTTGCTCAAAATCGACAAAAATCCGAAGACGATGGCGAGCAGCTGTTCCTCCGCAACAAAATCGCGTGGCCTGTCGAGTCTGGAAAACGTAAAGACGTGAAGAGGGAGGAAATCGAACGGTTCATCAGAAAAGGCACAGCAGCCGCCTATGAGGCGTCGGAGGGGAGAGATCCGTTCTCGAGTGCTGTCAAGGCCGAGCGTGTCCGATGGCACCCAGACAAAATCCAGCAGCGATATGGATTCATGGAAATCGATGAGGATATCCTGAAGGCCGTCACAGCAGTCTTTCAGGTGCTTGATGCTCTTTGGAACGAGATTCGAGACAAACCTGCATGACGAAACCACTCGGAGGAGTCGAGGCAACAGCCACTTCTAATTTCCCGTTGTTCTATCTATCATACTTGACCTGCGCCTCGGTGGATGTTGCACAGTCTAATTGTTTATAGGTTGATCTCCGCCTGTCCAGTCTCGAATGATATCGTCTGGGACGTCTCTTACCAACACGTGGACATGCTCCATTCCCGGCACAGATTGCAATGCAGTCCAGTTCTTGAACCACATGACTTTTTCCTGCTCACCTGGCAATTCCTTGACTCGGTCGACAAAGGTAGACTGGATGAAATCCTCCACTTGCTGTCTTGATTTGGGTGTCATGTCGCCTCTAGTAGGCTCCGACTCCAATCGAGTCTTCAGCCACACAATCATGTGCCTAATACCAGGCGCCAGACCGTACGGCCAGTCGTTAACCAGAATCTTATAATCTGCCTCATCTGCAAATGGGACCGGATTCTTGACGGCGAATCTTGGTCCCGTTTCCGGAGTCGATGAAGGTAACGGGGTCCATTTCAGTCGTTCCCTCATGACAAAATTGGGGATGGTGCCATAGGTTACCTTTGTTTGGCTGGACCACTTGATGTAGCGTCTCAAGTCGGAGGGCCACCTTTTGAGGACGCTGAGGTTATGCTCAGCTGTCGAAATCGGTCAGACCGGATTGACACCATGTGCGGCGGAGCACACACCAATGATCTGTTTCAATTCTTCCCATGTATGTGGATGGAATTGGTCATCTGTCATAGCCAGGACAGACTGATCCACCGCTGTGAGAGGAAATGGGGACGGGGTATTGTCGGGCTCTGAAGCCATGGTTTTTTCTTTTTGGCTTGCTTCAAATTCTCGTTCTGCAGAAGGGGAAAGGTCTTACTCGGCAAGGCGATGGGGTTCCGTAGAGGGTAGTCTTTCGCCGGGATCAGTTGACCCAAGATGGAGAGTGCCGGGTGTTGAGTGCGCTGATGGAGCTACGAACAAACCCGAAGACTTTCCGCAGTCGCAGGGGAAATTGCCGTGGTCTGACGGGACATCGGCCCCTCACTGACCTAAGCTGTGGGTTGGGAGGAGATGTGATTGAATTCCCAGTTTTTGTCAGACACTCACAATTAATATTCTCATGGCTTCTTCGTCGGAAACGCCCCGCACTTGATCACCATATACAGTCAAAGGCACCTGGGCGGCAGCTGGCACTTGAGAACAGCCTCACTAGCCTAGCGAAAGCCCCCGGGGACACTTACTCTACGGGCCACTTCATCCCGCGAACGAGCCCCACGCCCGCCGCTGCTCACCGCAGTGCCTGCCGAAAGATCCCAAGTCCAGAACTTCCCCAAACTCCGATAATATTATTATATTTTTGACCCCGACCACAAATATTCTCCTACGATTCAGAATTTCCTCTTTGTCGTCGTTTGCTCTCTGCGGTGGCTTTTGCCTAGGGAGTCAGGAAGAGAAAAAGCACCATCGCATCTCTTGAAGCCATGGGGTAAGTTCCTCTGGGCATCCTTCTCAACCGTTTCTTCAACGCTCACCTCATGTGTCAGGAACTCAGCCTTTTCGCAGGCCAATATCAATGGGGTGTATATCCCCTCAGTGCTTCTGATCGTTGGAGTCGCCATTGTCAAGAGAGAATATGTCCCCTACGCAGTTGCCCTCGCTGCAATCGTGGGAGGCTACAAGATCTTCACTGGCTTGAGCCGTAAGTCATGCTGGGGTTCACGCCAGACACGATTTTGACTGACGCTTCTCAATTGCAGCTTCGTCAAGAAAGGTCCTGAAGCCCGACGTCTTCCAAGAATTCCCATTGACCAAAATCACCAAAACCTCCCACAATGTTGCCATCTACCGATTTGACCTCCCTCGGCCCACGGACATTCTCGGTCTCCCCATTGGCCAGCACATGTCGTTGGCAGCAACACCTAAGGGCGCAGACAAAGAGGTGGTCCGCTCATACACACCTATCTCTTCCGACGAGGACAAGGGTTTCTTTGAACTCATGATCAAAGCCTACCCCCAGGGCAACATCAGCGCTCACATGACTACCTTGAAGATTGGGGATACCATGAAGGTCCGCGGGCCCAAGGGAGCCATGGTGTACACCCCGAACATGTGCAAACGCATTGGCATGATTGCAGGTGGAACAGGCATCACTCCCATGCTGCAGATCATCCGTGCCATCAACCGCGGTCGACCTCGAAATGGAGGCAAAGACACCACCAAGGTGGATCTGATTTTTGCCAACGTCAACCCCGACGATATTCTGTTGAAAGAGCAGCTCGATGCGTTGGACAAGGAAGATGCCGACTTCAGCATCTACTACGTCCTGAACAACCCGCCTGAGAAATGGGACGGCGGAGTAGGTTTTGTGACTGCGGATATGATCAAGGCCAAACTCCCTGCTCCGGGACCTGATATGAAAATCTTGATCTGTGGTCCTCCGCCTATGGTCAGTGCCTTGAAGAAGGCCACAGAAAGTCTCGGCTACCAAAAGGCTAGACCGGTCAGTAAACTGGAAGACCAGGTGTTTTGCTTCTAGAGAAGATCAGCGTGGTGGGTCTGTAGACCGTTTATGGATCTTGCAGGGAATGCGTCAAGTTGCAAAGCCCATTGTGTCCTCGCATTTCGGAGTTTTATCTGACAGCGAAACATGGAGGGAGACATGGGTTGAAGCTAGGTGTTGAGTTGCTATGGGCGGCGGGCTTTGCAGCTTGTCAATAGACGGCCATATCCTGGAATGGAAAAGCACTTGAAGAGCATCCGCCGTAACGACGGTATAGAGGGTTGTGGCTTTGTGGCTGTGCAGATTGTCGTTGTTCCTCTGTCACTGTGTGCCCATGATATCAGCCGATGACGTCAATCTTGTATATCCCCTGATCAGGATTTCAAGGAACTTATTCTTCTATCCATATGCTACTACCATGGTGATCGCTTGTCCTGGGGCGAGCTCAGAGATTCGACAAAGCAGCTTCCAATCCCCCTTTGGGCCTCGAGCTGGGGTGTGCCACGTAACGACAACCGTGGCGCAAGCTCTGGACGATCGACCCTGGATCCAATCAAGCAGCTTCTTCGTCGCTCATCACGCGAACGTCCATGCCATCAGCACTGTCAGCTAAGTGTCCGTCGATGCAGGCTCGCCAAAGCTCGTCTGAAGCCGGATTCGACTGCTCGTCACGAGGTAGATGTACCTTCTCGGGGCTGATACGTTGATTGATATATTCACATGTCACCTTCTTCTTCCTCCCTCCTTGCAACCTGCTGTGTATATCCCTGAGTAATCCTCAGGCCTTGTGTCTGTCCCTTTTTGAGCGCTACTCATCAGTTGCTGCTTGTCGACCATTTGACCTGCTTGCTTTACAAGATACATGCATAGAAGATACCCCGTTGAGCGAGTTTCGTGTTTGCTACCCTTCCCCCTCCACCGAGACGATAAGGGAGACGACAAAATCCATATCTACGTCTGTACCATATATACGGACGTCGAATCATTGCCATCGAAGGCGTCACTGGGTACATGAGACGACACCACTCAGGACAAGAGCCCGGAACTCAGTGCGCAGTACTTTCGCTACTACGACGAAACAGTCCCCCTTTCCATCCCAGCCTCGTCCACACACGGGGCCGGACACGTCCTCACAGCGTTCCAACATGAGGCCTTCAAATCAGCTAGCAACAATCTCTGCCCTCCTAGTATCCCTCCTTACGACGTCTCACGCATCATCCACAAACTCAACCACCCCCAAACGCGGCCTCTGCTACATCGCGACGTCCCACTCATCCTCAGACTCTTACATCTTCACGACGCCCCGATCGCCCTTGACGTGGTACTACAACTACAGTCCGTGGCCCGGGCCCTCGCCATCTTTGGAGCAATGGAGCACGGAATTCGTGCCCATGGTGCACTCGGCCAGCGACGCGGCGGCGTCCGTCGACACCATCAAGGCCGTGTTAAACGACAGCGCGGGGATCCCCATCTCTGGGAGAGGTGGTGGTGGCGGCAGGAACAGAATCGCCCACGTTTTGACATTCAACGAACCCGACGGCGACACCTCTTCGGGCGGGACCGACTCGACGCCCCAAACCGCCGCGCAGGTCTACATCGACACGATCCTACCCTTGCGCTCCGCACCCTGGAATCTCCAGATCTCTCTGCCCGCGACGACGGGCTCTCCCAGGGGTCTGGAGTGGCTCCGCTCCTTCAACGCGAGTTGCTTCAAGCTCCGACCCCAGGGAGGCTGCGAGGCCGACTTCCTCGCCGCGCACTGGTACGGCGATTTCCCCGGCCTCACCTCCTGGCTGGGCACCTTGCACGGCCTCTACCCAGCGACACCGATCTGGGTCACCGAGTTCGCCATCCCCTCTGCCCCCGCGGCCACGACGGAGTCGTTTCTCACCCAATCCCTCCCTTATCTCGACGGGTCCCGGTACGTGGCGCGATACGCCTGGTTCGGCGCGTTTCGGAGCAGCGGCGGAGACGCAAACGAGTGGACCGGCGATGCGGTGAGCTTGCTCGACGGCAAGGGGAAGCTGACGGATCTGGGCGCCGAGTATTTGGGCGGCGAGGAGGATGGGTTCCATCAGGGAGAGAGCGCCAGTAGTGGCGCTGCTGGGAAAGGAATGCCCCGGAGTATGATGCTGACGATGATGATGTGCCTGGTACTGACCTGTACATTCGCCACGACGGTCGGGTCGGTTGCTCTGATCTGAGAATTACTATATATGAACAAATATGACTGGCAAAGCTATCGCAGGATCTTTCCTACCCTCTCTATTTACTCATTTCTTCAATCCCCCGCCCCTTTTGCCTTTCATAGAAATGTGGATGTCCCGATGTCCCCTCTGACGTCCCAGGAACCCATGTATTTCCAAAGGAGCCTCTTTCCAACGTTGATATCTCACCAGCCCCCCCTTTTAATCCTCGTAAAGGTTCGAGAAAGGACCATTTACTTGGGCAGCGACTCTTAGGTCTGTGTTTGACCGGACGATTTGCAGAATCTGGAACTATAGCTATTTCGTCGTGGTTGACGATCCTTCTTCTACATCAAATGGTGTCTTTCCATTTATTCTGAGACTCTCCTCTAACCCCCGAAGAGCTTGACTGCTTGACATTACATTATACATCAACGACAATGACAATGACGATCGCGAAGATAGGGATCGGATATATGCAAGTGGTAGTATTAATATAGTGTAATCTAAGTAATCATCATGGCAGTTCATTGCCTATCGATTCGTGTCGTGCCCAATATTGACCAACGCTATGCTTTTAGAAATCGGAAATGTACCATGCCACCAACGAGATATACAACAAAGCAACATATCAAAGTGCTGAATTGTAGTGCACACCCCTCCCCTCCTATTTATGACGATATTGCTCAAAGGCCAAGTCAGGCAGTCTTGGTTCCCTCGAGAATGGAGGAGGACTTGCGGAGCGCTCGCTTCGCCCCTGGCTCAAGCTACGGTAACTGCTTGCGCCCATGCCTGCAGCACCCTTGACCAAAGTCTCTTCGCTTTCGTCCCCTCGAGGCCCGAAACGTGAGTAAGCCTGAGCGCGCATCGGTTCGTAGCTTTGTCCAAACTCGGACATGTTGCGGGCGTGACGGGGTGGCGACGCAGAGTAAGGCTTTGGTTGTAAAAGGAAAGCATCGCCCTCGAGGTCCTGAGAGAGGTTCTTCTGCGCGGCCTTACGACGCTTTCGGTGAGGATTCTCTCTGCAGCAAGTGATGATGCTGTTGATGACGATCAGGAGCGAAAGGATGGCGGTCAAAGCAGATTGGACCACAATCAAGACAACGCCGGTGATGGTCTTTGTGGTTTGCGCAATTCCAAGCTCTTCCACAAAAATCAGGATACAAACGACCGACATGACGCGGACGATTTGAATGATGATGTTGATCCAGTTGCCCGACTTGCGCTGGTACGGCCGACTCCACAGAAGCAGAATGAGCATAAGAGCTTCAATGATCAGCTGACCGACGGTCTGGACCAGGCCATGACCATCGCCTGCCGCCAGAACGCACCCTTTGGCGAACATGTAGACAATGGAAGGGATAAATAGCCACCAGTAACCCTTCTTGTAGTTCTCGTAGAAGAGCTTGTACTTCTTCCAAGTCTCCTTGTTTTCGAACAGAGAACTTGCGTCGCCTTCAATCTTCTTCACTTTTCGGACCACGCTCCAGATCTTGAAGGTGTAGAAGGCCAAGATCGCCGTGAACGTGCCGAGAGTGAGACCCGCAAGGAGCTTAGCCGCCCAAGAGTCGCCGTGGGTGAACTGATAGATGCAGTACAGCGTCCACACGCCGTACAGCAGGAAAATCAAATTGGTGATGGTTTGAGCCAGGATGCGCCAATATTCCTTGCGGAAAGTGGTCAGAGACTTGGGGAATCGGCCGAAAAGCGACCAAGCCTCGAGAATGACCTTGAAAAGAAGGATACCGACCACAATAGCCGCAACCACAACTGCGAAGATCAGGAGGACGGTCATGAAGGTGTTGGCCTGGGGAATCGTGAGCTGCTCAACGTAGCCCTGAATCCCTTGGACCAGGTGTGACTCCTTGGAATTGCTTTGGCCGGAATCTGCGCTGGTATTGTTACTGACGGAAGTGGTGATCTGACGAATCATCAACGAGAGTGATCGCTTTGCAATGCCGGTCGTTGTTGAGGTGGTAGTTCCGTCGGGGAAAACCAGAGTGGCGTTTCTGAGGTAGTCATAGCTGTCATCGGTCAAATTGCCTCCCGTATGTGCTCGAAAGGAGTCAATTGACGTCTGGAGCCCACTCCAGGAGATAAGACCAGTGCTGAAAGCGAAGTTTTTCGCAAAGCTGCGGTACACCCCGGGATACGAGACTGAGTGCATCCCGTTCATTGCCATTCCTTGGAACCACCACATGACCTCGAAAAAGCCAGGGCTAGAAGAAGTTGAGCCGGGATGTGCTCCAGTGGCAGCGGCGCCAACCAGTGACACAGCCAAGGCACCAGCAGCAATGGCCGCCGCAACGTATGATACCGCTGGCACATCCGTGGTCTTGCCATTAGAAACACCAGAAGAAACACAAGCGACTTCTTGTCCGTCTTTGGCCTTGAGAATCATCTGAGCGGTTCCATCGAGATCGGGGAGGGAGTAGGCTATTGAAGGAATAAGAGAAGTATACTGTGAGGGGATGACTTGTGATCCGTTGGCCGAAAATGATGATGCGGGTACTGGGCGTCGTTAGTATCGGACCAGGTGGCATTCAAAAGCAGCAGTCGACTTACCGGGACACAACTGTTCGACTTTGGTGGAATCAGCACAGGGATCAAAAGTGTTATTGTACACTTTGATGCCATATGCCGTCACAATCAGTTCGGCCGTGACAAACTGCTGCTGTTTGCTGGAGCCGGAAACATCGAAGTCGATCTTGTTCGTCGACCGGTCAAAAGAAATGTCGACATTGTTGACCTTGATTGTCGATGTCCCATTGTTGCAATTGGAGAAGCCATTTGTTTTTAAGATATCTGTTCCCAGCACAGATGGAAGGAGAGCCAGAGAAGCCAGTGCCACTGTTGATAGCCTCCACATGACGATGGCCGTTTGTGGTGTGTCCAAATGACAGTATAGTCGCCGCGAAACGGCCCTGGTACGAGTCTTCCTCCTATATCTCTTCCCAAAAAGGTATACTCAATATCTTGAAGTAGTCTCGGAATCGGAGGTATTGGTCTCAACGGGCGTCAATTGCTTGGGGAAAGGAAGAGAAGGGTTTGTTTCCGCTAGAAGCGTGAATGCGGGAGAATAAAAGCGAACGACGGACGGAACGAAAATAACAGGGGAAGAGCGAACGGTATAGAAGAAGCGAGTGTTGTGGTGCAGGAACGATTGAACAGTTGTATGCCAGTGGGAAAAAGGACCGAAGAAATGGATTTTCAGCTGCATGCATGGAAACATGCGATGCGAGGGAAAGATATGGCTCATGATCGGTCTGGTTGGCCTACGAGCCAGGATCCAGGGTTTGGTCCGCATGGAGACGCCCGTTTCAAGATGTGGGCTCTGGGCTAGTCGGAGGACGACGACAGGCACTGCAGGCATTGCAGGCACCAGAAAAAGGTGAAATGGTTGAATCGATATTAGCCCTTGGCCGGCGACCGAGCAGGGGTATGTTTGGGTGTCCCAGGTGGTGTTTGGGTCAGTGGCGTTTTTGGGAAAAACTTTGATGGGGTTTGACTGGCTGTCACCCAGTTTCTCGATCGATGGAGTCAGCTTCTGCCATGAGTTATTGGTACCGCAGCAATGGCTAGGGTTTGGTGAGGCCCAGGGCCAGGGCTTGTGGCGCGAGGGGGTGGCGCCGCCGCCAGAATCCTACCCACCTAGGTACCTGGTACCTGCAAAGAAAGCTTGGGGAACAATACTCGGTACCCATGTTAGTTAAAGCTCATGTGGTGGCTTGGGCGTCTTGGGCGTCTTGGGTATCCTCGGCGCAACCCACAGGGACGTTACGTCGCCCTCGGCTAACCTGTTGGTGGTAGTACTAGGTACCTCGTATGTAGAGTGCCTTTGCGCAGCATGGTACAGACACACCTGCAATGCACCTCAGTCCTCAGCCCTCATGACCATCCGTCGACCTGTGAGTCTCATGCCACTCACGGCCCTCATTCTCTTACTCCTGCTGCGCGTGCTGTGTTGACCGCGACGGAAGCCGACTACCGAAAACGACAGCTTCAACACATCAGTGGAGCCATGGGACGCTTGGAGCATTCGATGAGGCGCAGCATGTGTGGTTCCCCTCTGCGAAAAAACTCTTCTGGACACCGAATCCCAACGCCCATTCGTCATTTCCCACTATTGACCCTAGCCGGGCGCTGCGCCTCGCCGAAATCCTTCTGGGTGTCTCTGTACCTGCATTGCCGGTTGACGACGGTGTCAGCATCTTATTCGAATGCAAGGCACAGAAGAGGCTTTGGCTAGTTTCATAATTACCGGGTGACATATAATCAAAAGGGGTATCCCACTGTCGCAAAGCGTGATCGAGTCACTCCGTATAGCGTCAGAGTGTTCAAAAACATGGGATGGCTACACGGGCTCGACGGGTCTCTTCTCCCCATATGGAGACAAGAAGCTTGTGATGGGCCATGGCTAGTGAAGCGCCCATTTGGTATTAATAGACAAAGCCACTAACTTAGGTAATTCACAGCCTCGTCTAGCCTGGAGACTTTCGACAACCTCAACTTGAACTTGTAGGTTTGGTTAAGCAGAAACCCTGTGGAGTGCAATGGTCACGCAAAGTGGATTGACCGCGCATTGAACTTTCGTTGTACTGTCTCTCGAGTCGTGTCCACGATCATTCCGGTGCAAACTGCATCGGGTTCCTCTGTTTTCTTCTGGTATATCACACATGCCCCAGCTTCCCCCAAACCGCCAGCGAGAGACCTAAGACACATGAACCCATCAAGCTGTCCCCTGCAGAGTGAGAGCGCGTAACCTCCATCGCTACCTAGCTGCCTCCGTCGCGCCAATGTTTTGGTCACACCCTCATTGTGGTGTCGAAGCACAGTATCTGATTGCCAGCTGGCCCCGTGGGTTGTTGAGATCGAGGTCAAAATGTAAAGCAGTACTCCGCACCCCATCCACATCCACCCCTTTTCCAGATGAGGCTGCCCATTGCTGAAGATTCCTCACCTCCCATAAGGATGATATCGACCCCTGCCTCCCCGAAAATTTGCTCCTGGCTTGCCCGCATTCTTGGGACCAGTGGGTGCATTGGCCGGAGCTGCGCTCGGCTGAGATGGGCCGCCGGGACCTTTGGGTGGTTTCGGTGTATGTTGGCGGACTGGCCCTGCCGAACCTCTACCACCGACATTGCCTTCTGGCTGGGGAACGTCGTCGTACATGCCTTCCCACGACTGTGGTCCGCCTCCGTGGCTGTGGCCTTGGTTCTGAAAGCCGCCGCCTCGGGGACCCTGCGGAAACCCTCCCTGACGACGGACCTGTTGCTGTTGTTCATACTTCTGCTGTTCAAATGCCAACTGCTCTTGAGCCGAGAAGCCACCACGCTGGCCGCCCATATTGCCGGGGCCGATGGGCGATCGATTGGACCCCATGTTCATCCCTCCCTGTTGCATCTGCATCATTTGCTGCATCATTTGGGGCGTCATGCCTTGCATGTTACCCATGCCGCCAGCGTTTTGCGCATTGGGGCTGTTTGCTCCTTGCATCTTCTGCATTTGTTGCTGCATTTGCATTTGCGCCATCATCTGCGGATTCATGCCCATACTGCCCATCCCTCCCATATTGCCCATCATGTTGGCGGCCATCTGCTGCTGCATCATTGCGAAGTATTGCTGCATTCTTTGCCAGTACTGTGCCATCATTTGTGGCGTCATCCCAGCGGTGCCGCCCATCATGTTGGGAGTTTGAGCTTGCGGGTTTTGGGGAGCTGGGGTATTGTCATTGTTGTAGCGGTCGTCGCGTGCGAACTTGCCTCTGCCTCGCCCACGACCGTAATCGTCGTCTTCGCCCATTTTGCCTCTGGGTTGGGCGCGCTTGACTTCGATCGGCTTTCCTAGGATCTCGAGGGGATGGTATTGAAGGCATTTCTCTACGGCGGCATCACTGTCAAAGGTCACGAAACCGAAGCCTCGCGGTCGGCCGGTGTCCTTGTCCATCATAAGGGTGGCATCGATGACCCGCCCAAATTGGGCAAAAAAGCTTTCAAAATCTTCTTCAGTTGCATCTTGACTGACTCCACCCACGAAGATTTTGGCCGTCTTTTCCTGTTCGTCTCGGGGGATGGCTCGCTTGGGGTCGATCTGGGAACACCACAGTAAGTCTTCGTTCTTTCGACGCGACGCATTGTTTCGAGAAAGGGAACCCAATCTTTCCTGTCTCGCCCGGGACGTATCGAAATGGGTGGGTCTTACAATTTTGCCATCCAAGAAATGCTCTTTGACCATCACGGTATTGACTGTCTTGGGGTCCTTGAACGTCAAAAAACCAAAGCCTCGTGAACGGCCCGTGGCGCTGTCTCGCATGACAGTGCATTCTTGAACTTCGCCAAATTGGGAGAAGTAATCATGAAGCGATTCTATCCACAAGAGTCAGTATGCTGGCGGCAAGTCTCAGTTGGCGATGCATAAGTCTTGTGGTGGATGCAGAGGCGCTGGGACGAGTCTTACGATCCGTTGTTTCCCAATTAAGTCCCCCTATGAACATTTTTCTGTACACATCGCTATGTTAGCTATGAAAGACAATTGAACGACGAGAACGACGCTGACGATGAGGAACGGGGCGTGAAAAACAAAAGCAATGACTGTTAGATGGTAGCGTGTAAAGTCAGTCCGCAGGGCGAGTTCCCCCAGTTCCCGTGATTATCAGCCTCGTCTCCATGTCAAGGGTTCGCGGGCCGGCTCCGCAAGATCGTGAACAAGTGACCTTCGACCGCATAAGGGATGCTCTAGATGTACAGTCCATGGCGTGTGGGTCTTGTTTGCTGTGTGGGCAATCGTGTTGGCGGCTTGTTGCAGGAAAGCCATATGAGCGTGGCCTCCACCGTCAACTTGCCAGTGACATACAGACCGGGGTGGGACGAGGCCAAGACTATGGCTATGAATATTGACCGCCTGCAGGATGCATACACAGTCCAATATGCTTCTGATCACACGTCCCCAGCGCCCATCTTCAGTTTCTGGTACTTGAGCGACTTGCAGCCCTGCAGCTTTGCGGGGGCCAAATCTTTCGGTAAACGCGGCCATTTCTCATACACAATGTAACAGCATGTCGATCCTCGGGATGGCTCGTTCTGTTCTTCCTCCAATATGCGCACAGAGTCGACTTCTTCTAGCGGACAGACGCAAAGGTAAGGTTTGTTGGCTCTTTTGAGATTCAGCAGATACTCCATAGCATCTATCTCCTGCCTGGTTTTGGACTTTGTTACTCTGCTCTGCCTGGAAAAGTATCTTGGTGTATGGTAGTAGTTTCTTGCCCACTATTCTGGCTTCGCTGAATGACCACTTTTCGGCAATGAGATCGACTCGGCTAGTTTGATGCAACCTGTAACCAGCCACTGACGCACGGCTCAATTGGAGAGGCTTTCCAATTCCCTAATCAGTCCGAGCGACCTCGGACTGCAGCTGTCCAAGCACGAGTTGATAGCCAACTGAGGGTGGAGAGATGCTAACAACTCATCCGCGCCTGTCCTGAAAATCGCAAGGCTTGTAGCCAGTTGTAGCAGACTGCTTGACCAATCGCAGACCTGATCTGTTGTTCGTAGTATAGATGAACGAGTGCATCCATTCCCACCACGATCGGCCCCATTGTTGTGTTTGACCCACGAACAGCATCGCACCTTCATCTCGCGCGTTTGCAGATTTTGCAGACCATGCTCGCTTCCGCGGAACCCGCTGCTGGAGGCTGCCACGGCCAGCTGCGCCATGAAACGTCCAGAATCCTCTTCTTCACATTATCGTCCAGTTGATCCACCTCTTTCCTGACTCCTCACAAAAGGGTATGCAAAACGGGATCGACGTGGAAAATAAAGGGGAACAGGGAAGGGTATGGGATGCGGACAAAATCGACAAGCACGTATACTCACCCATCCTCTTTCATGTTGACATTGAAAACCTCTGGCTGTGACGGCTTCTCGTGCGTTTCTTGGACTTGCTTTGGACTATGACTGCCATTGATGGGTCCATCTTGGCCCTGAGGTTCCGTATCAAAGGAAGTGGGGTCGTAGGCGATCTCTGGTTCTTCACCATAGCCTGGAGTCTCGCTGGTTTTCATTACTGTGTCGCTAGAGGTAGGTTGTGCAACGGCGGGGACGGCACCCTTGCCAGAAGCATGGTTCTCATCCGCATCGTAGCTGGAAAGGCCATGTTAAACTCTGCGCCAATCTGAATACGAGGTAGAGCCCAAAACAGAGGTCGAGACAACGAAAGGAAAACACTTACAGGTCTGCGAAGAGATCTTCCTCGACATCGTCGGGTTCTGCCATCTTTATCGTGCACCAAGAAAGGAAAGAGTGATCAGAGGTGGCACGTTTCCGCTCACAAGATCTCGCTTCGAGGACGCGCCTCACGATCTAGCAGAGTAATCACCAGTAGCAGCAGACGGAGAAAGAGCGAAAGGAAACGGTGGCTTTGACTGAGATGAGACAAATGTGAAAAACTTTAGAAAAGGAGATGAGGTGAAAACAACATTGTCGAGAGAGGAGAGAGGGTGGTGCGAAGGCGGGTTTGAACTTAACCAGAGGTGTAAGCCCCCGAATTTGTTTGGCACCCGCAGACGAGCACGCAACGAGTTCTAGGCGCAATTATTAGACTTGGCGGCCTAGTAGTGAGCCTCGACTGGAGTCACCCAGGAGTGGAGTGGCACAGAAGTGGTTCTGGAAGGGGCTTGCTACTGCGACTCGGTGCTTGTGACATGCCGCCTTGCACCACCATCACCACTCATACAACCTCCATGGGTGGCTCATGTAAACATGTTGTCCCCATTGACTACACCTCTCAACAACAGACGCTAAGCATGTTCTCGCCGCCTCATGCAGAAGTGCTTAGGAGAAAATCTCTATAGCAGTTCTCTAGGGGCGGGCTGATCCGCAGACAGGGCCATCATGGCTCACAAGAAGGCCCAACAGCAGGTACATCCCTCGATTCAAGGTGGCATCGAGTCCCTACTAACGTATAGCAGGAGATGGTCCAGGTTGGTTCGTGTCTCCCGCGTTTCGGTGGTCCCTCTTGTGTTCTTCGGGTCAAGAGTGCTGGCTAACGCCGAGATGCGCCTCAGATAGATCAGAGTATGAATGTTGTGTGAGTTGAAATGTTGTGTGGAACCTTGCTAATGCTCTGAAGACGACCATCTTCGCCGTTCTGGCGAGGACGGCCATCGACGCCTCGTCAGACCTCGGGACAGTCGACAAAGGTGTTCGGCGCCTCGTACTCCCACGCCGATATGCTGAAGTTCGAGTCATTGTAAGGCATTCATGGACAACGAAACCGCGATGCTGATCGAACGGGCAGAAACCTGGGACCACATTCGAGGCCAAAGACACCCCCTGCCACATCGGCCCGACCGTCGCAGACTCCTCCATCAGAAAGGCCACACTTTCAGTCCCCAGAAAGAAAACCTTACTCAGGCTATACCTCATCCGCGTTGGGCGAGAGCTGGGACTTGGCCGGTGGAGGAGACCTTGAAGGAGACGACGACGACCTTGTCTATGAGGATGATGAAGATGAGTTTGGGTTGCCTAGCATTGCAAGCATGCGGCGAAAGAGGAGTATAAAGAACAAGGCGCTGAAGGCCGAGCAAATTGCGTATCCGAGTTTGTCGCAGACTACGTCTGCTCCGGCGCTGGCACCATCCCCGTTCCCACGCTCCGCCAGATCCAACAGTTTCGATATCGCCGAAGAGCGGAACCCGCTGTCGTACCCAAGCACAAAGAAGGGAGAAGGCAAGATCCTTAGGCCTCAATACAAAGACATTCTAAAGGATCCAGCAAACTCGCTGCACCTCATCAATTTCCCGTCTCTGCCAGTAAATGCGAACCCGAAAGAAGCAGAGGCTCATAGCACACGGATATCCCGTATCAACAAATTCAAGCGGATATTACAAGCGAGTTCTGTGTCTTTACCAGAGTTGCGAGCTGCCGCTTGGTCAGGAATACCCGAAGAGGTACGTGCTATTACATGGCAGCTTCTTCTTGGCCATCTGCCTACCAACAGCGAACGACGTGTCGCAACTCTGGAGCGGAAGCGCAAGGAATATGTTGATGCTGTGCAACAAGCTTTCAATTCGGGGACGATGGCTAGCAGGAATGCATCGAGCACAGGACTAGCGGGGCTTGCTTCGCAGCCACCCGTCAGCACCGGTCGCGGGAGAGGATTGGACGAGGCGATTTGGCATCAGATCAGCATTGATGTGCCTCGGACAAACCCTCATATACCGCTGTATGGGTTCGAAGCCACACAACGATCCCTCGAACGCATTCTCTATGTTTGGGCTATCCGCCATCCAGCAAGCGGATATGTGCAAGGAATCAATGACCTAGCGACACCCTTCTGGCAAGTCTTTCTAGGCACTTACATCACAGACCTGAACATTGAAAGCGGGATGGATCCCGGTCAGTTACCGAGGCCGGTTCTCGACGCCGTTGAAGCAGACACGTTTTGGTGCCTGACGAAGCTGCTGGACGGTATCCAGGACAACTACATCGTCGCGCAGCCGGGCATTCATCGTCAAGTTGCTGCTCTGCGAGATCTGACGACCAGAATCGATTCGGGCTTAGCTAAGCATTTTGAAGATGAGCACGTGGAATACATGCAGTTCAGTTTCAGGTGGATGAATTGCCTCTTGATGCGAGAATTGAGTATCAAGAGCGTCATTCGGATGTGGGATACGTACATGGTAAGACTGTCTCGCCTCGTAGGACCAAATTTATGCTGATCCAGAAACCCCAGGCCGAAGAGAATGGCTTTTCCCAGTTTCACCTCTATGTGTGCGCAGCATTCCTCGTCAAATGGTCTGACAAATTGATGAAGATGAATTTCCAAGAGATCTTGATGTTCTTGCAAGCCTTGCCGACTCGCGAATGGACAGAAAAAGATATTGAGCTCCTGTTAAGCGAAGCTTTTATTTGGCAGAGCCTGTTTCGCGGCTCAAGGGCGCATCTGCGGACTCAGAATAGCACCGTTCCAATGGGTTCACTTGGCCCTTCCACCTAATCATCTACCTTGCGATCGGCTGTTCATCCTTTCCCTTCGACTTCGAAGATCCGGCCGTCACACTTATTTATCTTCAAATTGTTTGTCTAGAAGAGATGGCATCCTCATATAGTCGTTTCGGTCCTCCCAAATACCGACCTTTCATGACCACAAGTGAAGGCTCGGCGTCTCCATAGCGCAAACCCTTGTGAATGAAGTCGCGACGGCACGGCCAATGGACTGTCACTCGGTTGACGCCACCAGCATTTTGGTCCCGCTTTGTCTACGCGGTGGGCAGGGGATACAGCGCTGATAGCAGTGTGACTAAAGACGGGTGCTCATCATCACCACATCTGTCCCCATTGGCGTTCTCGTCAGGGCATGGGCGCTCGACGCGAGGTCCAGTCCACATACATGAGGACTCTTTCGCGCCACGCGGTGTCAGTCGCCGGTGGACAGTCCATTTATGGCCAGGATCAGTGCGAATCCCGATGGTGTTGCTCGCTGTGTCAGGGCTTCAAAAATTGAGGGGCCACTTGGCCTAAGCAAAGAAGGCTCTACAGCTATCCAGTGCATCTGGAGTATAAGCCGCATGCTCTAGGGTAGCCCAGATGGAGCTCTACAGTGAATCTCCCTCATCACTTGGCCATCGTGCAGGAAATGATGGAGCTGCTCAACAATAAGGCTGCTTGATTCCTGTCACAAAGTCATGGTGAAAGCGCGAAGCTGGTATCCCAGTCAATTCAGCATCCATTGAATGGTTGGTGTTGGACTCGTCGTCAACCATTCCTTGTGCGAACTCTGGCTGAAGGAATCTGTAGCTGACGTATTCTTTGTCAATTAAGAAACCACAGAGCCTTGCTTCCAGGGTCCTCGGAGGCTGACTTGATGTCTTGGAGCTCAAATGTCACCTGAAGATGTGTAGATTTTGAAGCCTTGCCTTAGCTGGAGGACCTGTCGTCAGCCATACGATGACTCGAGTTGTTTGATCATGACGGTGATATGGTTTTGATCGGGTAATCGGCGAGGCGGCGAACCCCGGATCAACGGGGAGGTCAGGCGTTCAGGCTGGGGTATGGAGTATTTGGTAAACGAGACGTATCACGGGTTGATTGTGTGGCGTGCAAGGTTCAAGGCGGGTATAATATGCCTTAGGTTACATATACTAATAGGTAGTAGTAGCTGTAGGAGTGATGAGCCCCGTGGCCCCAGAACGCGGGGTTTTTCCTTGCACCGTTTTTCGCTCACCTGGGCAGCTCCTTGCGTTCTAGACACCAACACCAAACCAACTTGCCCACCCATTCACTCACTTGCTGGCACCTCGGGATCCGGCTTCTTGCAGCACTCCTTCATCCTGTGTTATCTCTTGTCTGTGCTTTCGCCACGGTCTCCACTGCTCATTTTTGCGTTTTGGATGTCGCGACAACCCCCTCGGTGGACCTCTAGAGCCTGGCGCCAATGACCACTTACACAGCGGTCCAAACCTCTCCTACCGTCGCCTCCGAAGAGAGAAATTCCTCTGTCTCAGGGAGCGATGCTGAGAACGAGGACGGCAATGCCGATAATACGCCGGAGGATGGCATCACCTCGAGCAAAAAGAGAAAGAGGCTCTTGAAAATCTCGTAAGAACTGACCTTGTCCCTGTTCGAGCTCTCACCGGCCCACGGTGACACTAATTCGTGCTCCTTAGCTGTGAACTCTGCAAGGTTCGTAGGGATAAGACCTGAGGCTGTTTTGATCGCAGGATATTTACTCAGTGGGAGCAGGCCCGGAAAGTCAAGTGTGACAGAGCAGAGCCTGCTTGTGGCTGGTGCGCCCGCAACAATCGAACATGTGTTTACAAAGAGCGACAAAAGCCCGGTCTTCGGGTCGGCTACGGCCGCGAACTCGAGGAGAAGATCAATCGCCTCGAAGCCCTTCTCCAAGTCATGGGGCGCCGACTCGAAGAGCACATCGCTGAACATGGCGACTTCTCAACCCATCGACCGGGGTCCCTTCACATGTCTCATCCACCCCGATCCGCTTCATTCAACGCTTACCCCCAGAACGACCCTCGCCCGTCGACTGCCAGTATTGTTTCCCAAGACACTCCCGGTTCCGATCCTAGATGGCCTGTCGCTAATGCCTATGAACGAATGCAATACCCCCGGCCACAAGATGCCATGTCCATCCGATCAGTTGTGGACAATGGCGGTCACGAGCTGGTGTCCCAAAGCGAGAGACCCCATTCAGCAGCTTGGTTTCCAACAGCTACACCTGCGCCATCGATGCCGGACTCGGAACTACCGCCATACGACCTGCTGTATACCTTGGTTGATCTCTATTTCAAGCATGTCAACCCGTGGTCTCCCATCTTGGATCGTAAGGCCACGTTTGATGCCTTCTTCGGCTCACAGTCGATGGACGATTCGGACAAGGTGCTCATGCACGCTATTGTGGCCACCACGATGCGCTTCTCCAAAGATTCACGCCTGACCCCTGAGTCGAGAAATCAGTTCCATGAGATCTCCAGGCAAAAGATCATGATGTATGCTCTTGACCACCCGAACGTACGCGCCCTCCAAGCGCTGGTGATCCTCGCCGTCGATGTGCTCGGAACGTCAAACGGCCAACAGGGCTGGAATTTACTTGCTCTGATCACGCGCAATATCGTCCAACTGGGGCTAGATGTTGAGAAGAGCGCATACCTTGAATCCAGCACTTATCCGTCGGCGACGCTTCTTCAGGCCGCGCAACCTCAATCATGGATTGAGAGTGAAGAGCGCCGACGTCTGTGTTGGATGACATTCATTCTTGACAGATACGCGACAGTCGCTACCGCAGACGCCTTTACCCTGGACGAAAGGGAGATGGACCGATGTCTGCCTTGTCGTTACGATCTCTTCTCCCGAAACGAACCTGTTGAGACGAGGTGGCGTCGGCGGGGCGCACCTTCGGAATTGATTGTCAACAAACCAGAAAACTTGGGGAGTTTCTCCTACCACTGTGAAGTTCTCGGGATCTTAAGTCGCATCCATCGATTCCTCCATCAACCTCTCGATATCACGCGCCATTCCGACATACAACGCTGGCGTGAGACTTACCGTGGCCTAGATGGCGAATTGAATGATTGGCTGCAGAACTTGCCGGGCGAATACGGGAAGATCTCTCAACTCTGCCATTCAGACCCTGGAAGCAGGATCTCTAACTGGATCATGCTTCATGCGGCGTTTGTCACGTCCGTTATCCGTCTGCATTCTTCCGCCGCTTATCCGACCATTAAATCTCCCGTTTTCACACCTTCATACCATGCAATCCAACGCTGTCTAGGCGCCGTGGAGAGCTTAAGAGAGATCGCCCAAGACGTTATGAATACCGGCATGCTAGCACTTCTAGGCCATCCATTTGCGTTTGCGCTGTGGGTCTCTGCAAGGCTGCTACTCGTCCATGCAGCGACAATGGAGTGTGAGGTGGACCCAAAAATCATGTTCTTCATCTCCACTCTCGAGCAGATGGGGCGGCATTGGCAGGTTGCTGGGGACTACGCTAGGATATTGAACGATGTGGTGCAAGAGGGAAGCAATGGTTCGGGCAGGACATTCACCGCGATGAGAAGGTAAGGATCTTGGGACTGCTAAGCACTCGTTGACCCAGCGAAACTGACGCCTCGTCTTCAGATGTGCTTACGAATTAAACCTCCTAACCTCGCAACGTCCTCATTCCGTCCTTGACACTGTTACAACGCACAACTCATCGCAGAGCGAACTCGAATTTCTGGAGGTCTTTGACTTTTTCAACTACCCTCGATTGGATTCCATCGCATGGAACAACGCTTTTGATGCATCTGTGTCAATCGCGAATCAAAACCAAACGACGCCGACACAAGGCCAGCCGCCGAACTATCGAGCCACGCCGGCTTTTGTCATCCCGAACCCGGAGAGCGATTGGTTGATATTTAAGCCGCCGTATGAGTAGATGCGCTTTCATCAGGGTGGGTGCTTCATCTGCACAATCGCCCTACTGTTGTTATTCGGCTGTCGGCATAACGTCGGGATACCCATGTTGTAATATAATATAGGTCCTGGGAGCCTTTGACTTTGAGCACGCTCGGACGCTACGTTGAAACGCCGACGCGCTCCTCAATGCGGTCACTTATTGGATGATTACCAAATGTGCTTTCCATTTGAAGATGCAGCTCGAGAACGAGGCTAGAGCTGGTTCCTTGACAAAATCGAAAGGAAATACGTCACCGTCGGCCTCCCGCCGGAAATTGAAATCGAGAATTACTTCCTTTGAAGTGTCTGACGGCAGTGAGGAGCAAGATCACATTTCCAGTGCAACATTTCACTCCACCCATTCCGAGAATGATCCCACGGACAACCTCACCGAAGAATTTCAGTCAAAGGCCAAGACTGAAGATGTTGATGTCGATTTGCGACAACTTTACAGACAAGAGATGGCGCATCCTCACAGAAGAAAATCATGGTTTATGTCGCATTGTCTCCTGGATGGGACGTCACAAGTCAGATACATGCTACAACAGTACAAGGAGGACAGAATTGGAAACGAAATTGAGGCCCCCCAGCCCTCCACCGAAAGCCTTTGTCGGGTATCCATATCATGATCACTGCTCCTAGCTTCAAGCCTCTCAATACAGAGCTTTTCGACCGACGAGATCCACATAGCTATGACGATAGTGTCTTTGCGGTCAAGGATGGGTTGATCGTGGAGTTTTTGCCCAGACACGGGGATCCAAAAGCACAGTTTGAGCTGGAGTTCAACTTCAAGCTCGCAAGAAAGGAGGATGAACCCTAGGGATGGGCTAGGTCCGAAAGCGAGTTTGAGGTCGAGGTCAAGCTTACAGGAAAGGAGGATAAATGGTCGATAGCTCTCCAATAAAACTTTTCCTTCAAGGAAATTGAATCGAGGTGAAGGGCCTTTGAAAGGGGTACTTTGGATACCCCCCTTGCCGGACCAAAGGACCTAACGAGTACAAGGACACGAGATCAGATGAATCTGGGCCTGGCTAATGTTCCCCAGGGCCAAGTCTGCATCGAAACAAGCCCCGCGGACCGATTGCTTGTCTTCTTTCATCCAGGGGCATCTGATTGGCACAGAGCAGCAGCCCGTCGTGCGCCTGGAGAGTCCAAAAAGTTCGTCTCGCGAAGAAAGGGTTTATCGAGCCGAGGGGCCATCCCAAGCTGTTGAAGTCCTTGCATCGTTGCTAGTAGCAATCACGCGCATGAATGCCAGAGTGCATTGGGACGATCATCAGATGTTTGAGCAACGAATTGTTGCTATCTCCCAAGTTAAAAGGGCGTTTCTTCCAGCAAAAGGCACTCGGGAGGTGCTTCCAGTGAAACCCGCCTGAACCATCGGCCATCCTCATTAACTCAAACTGTTGGCGCAAGCGGCTGAAAAGTTTGATTCTAAGAATAACAGGCTTGCTGGCTACGCGCTCTCGGCTTCGTTGTTTGATCATGACCGTGGGGCTCGGGAGTCTGAACCAGTGTGCAATCGCCTGGCCCCAACTTGGTCAGTATAGAACGGATCCATCTTCATGTTTGAGACTCCGAACTTTGATGCGGCCTGCCTGAGCACACGCTGTAGACCCTCCACATGGCATCCACAACCTACACGATTTTGCCCAAGGACGATGGGACGGCCGTGATCCGACAACAGGAGAAAGACGACCTGGGATCCGAGGCCGTCAGCCATCAGCAACCCGCTCGATGGAAATTGACCCTGCAGCTTGCCACACTCGCCACAGCAACTGTACTGCTTGTCAACGTGATCATCACGGTGTACTTCGCCGTCTCAAACGGCCTGCATGGCGGAAACTCGATTCTTTATCATGGCGACTGTGCGGAAACTGCCCGGCTGTCGACTTGGTCTCATATCGGCATCAATATTCTCAGCACGATTTTGCTGAGTGGAAGCAACAATGCGCAGCAATATCTTTCTGCGCCGACGAGAGCGGAACTGGATCGGGCTCACGCCGCTAAAGAGTGGCTCGACATCGGTATACCAAGCATCCGCAACCTGTTTTCGTCCAAGATAGGACCCTACAGACGCATCCTGTGGGGATTTCTGGCATTGGGTTCGATTCCTCTGCACTGGGTGTAAGATTTCCCCCTATAGTTTCCTCCCCTGTTTCGTTTCAAGAGCTGATGGCGGATTCTTTCACAGGTACAACTCGGCCATGTTTGCCAGTTTGTCTGCAAAAGAGTACTCGGTTCTGGTAGTGTCTCCCGATTTCATCGACGGTACTAACACTGGCTTCGTCGATCCTGTCGCCCATGTCTGGAATACCGATGACGTTAGGGCCACCAACGAATCGGTTGCCATCATACGCAAGGTCATGAACACCTTCGAGAGGCTTGATGTTTCCGAGTGTGTTACTGCGTACGCTCAGCAGGTCGTCTCGTCAAGGCGAGATTTGATCGTCGTCGTGGATGCGCCCAGCTACGACGTCAAATATTGCCCCTCTGCCTACACTTCGCTCACCTGCTTTTACGCCAACCCCAATGTGACGAATTCGATAATCCAAATCTATAGCAGCGAATACGGAAACTGGATATATGCCTCTACCTCATACGCCTGGATGTGTGCCGACTATGTTTCTGGCTGCGGCGACCCGGCAGTTACCAAATCAATGAAGACATCATGGACATTGTACGACTATCCGGTGGATTACTGCTTGAGCGAACGCGTTCAAGAGGACTGCACTTTTCGCATGAGCGTTCCAATCATGCTGATTGTGTGCGTGTGCAATATCACGAAGCTGGTTTGTCTTGTCCTTGCGCTCCTCTTGATAAAAGAAGCCCCACTCCTCACCATTGGTGATGCTGTTGCTTCCTTCATGCGGAACAAAGATCCCAATACCACCAATATGGCGTTGGTTCCAAGGTCAGAATTTGATCAGAAGAGCAATTGGAAACCCAAATCTCTACCATATGACAACCCTCGCCGGCGCTACTTCTCCTCTGCTTCTTCCTGGAAATGGTGGATATGCAATCTTCTGTAAGTCCTCGCTGCACTTCACCGACGTTGGAGCATTTGAATCACTGACTCGGTGACAGTTACACTATTGGTATAGGTCTCATTGCCGGGCTCATGGGCCGAGCAATTCACTCGATAGCCCTCGTAACAACGCAAACGTCGACCGGGCAACTGATACTCACAGATGGTTTTGGCAAGATTGTATCTCGGAATCTGCTGACCTTAACGTCGTCCTTCGTCCCGTCCGTGCTGCTGGCTAATTTCCCACAACTGGTTTTGTCGGCAATTTACCTCACATACAATGCTCTGGCGACAAGCATGTCTGTAACTCGAGAATACGTCTCATACTCGATCTTTAATATCACTAAGAAAGGAAACGCCCCAGCTTCTCTTCGAGTTTCCAATCCGACCGAAGAATCCTCTCAACGCCGAGCGTATTATCTCCAGCTGCCGTTTCGCTTCGCCATTCCCCTCATGGCGGGATCAACAGTTCTGCACTGGCTCACATCGCAGTCTCTATTTCTCGCCAAGGTCGACATTTATCATTCTCTGAATACTCATACCCCAGCCGAAACCGAAGTCATTGACGCTGAAGCCAGCCTTGATACCACTGGCTTCTCGGTTCTGCCAATGATCTGCGCCCTCATCATCGCAGTCATCATGACATTGATTCTGAATGGAATTGCGTTGAGGAGAATTACCGGCGCCATGCCCATTGCCGGAAGCTGCAGCGCCGCTATTGCTGCATCATGCCATGGTCGTGGCTGCGGGCTTGGACCTGTGACATGGGGTGTCGTGGACGAAGCAGGAGAGCATCTCATGAGATCCACGCCGCCCGATGCTGATGCTGACGATTTTTCAAACAGCAGCAGCAGTGGAAAATTAGGATTTGTTGACGGCACCGCAGGGTGTCCTGTGCAGGGTCAATTTTACTTTTGATCAATCCCAAGGCGAGGTAGATTTAGGTAGAGTCCGCTTTGCCGAATGTCACTATCCTGGTCTGTTAACAGCAACCTGTGCTGAACATGTGGGCGGCCAGAGAACTTTTTGCTACTTGTAAGTTGCCCCCTGCTCTAGAAAGAACGTGGTAAAGACCAGTTTTTGTAAATATCTCAGGCCATTTTGCTCAAGATGAGTAAAGAGGTAGTAGGGGCGGCCAGGTGGCGGCCCAGTAGTGAGACGCTGCTGTTATGTGGCCATGGTTGGCCATGGTCGGGCTTTTCAGCACTTCCCACCATCCTTCCCCATTCTTAACCGGTTGATTCTTTCCTTCGCCCTTGCAACCGGCTATGTAAGAACCCTAGCGTGACTGTGTGTGCCAAAGCTTCCGCCCATCTTCCTCGGGCAGCTGCAAAAACTACGCAAAGGCCCCCCTCGAGGCCTTGCAGACAGCAACCCCGCCGAACTGGAGCACGCTGGCGCCCACAAACATATCCTCAAAGACGTGGGCCGCGGTCATGAAACTGAGATTCGACCCGTCGTCAAAGTAGACCAGCTCCGGGTGGGTATAGTTAGTTTCGCGACGCAGGCGCAACGCTGCGGCCGGCACCAGGAAGTCCTTGCCCAGCGAGCGGACGTTGGCCAGGTACGCGGGCAGGTCTTCCAGCGTGGGGAAGACAGCGACGAGCAGGTCGCCTGTGCTGGGAACGACGTTGATGTTGTCCGCGGCAGCTCCGAGATCCTGGTGGTGGTGAGTGAAATTGAATGAGCGAACCTGATGTCTTCAGGAGATTGATAGAAAGATACTCACCACCGTCTGCAAATAAGCCAGGCTCTTGTCCTCGTGGATCTCGAATACCGTGACGGTGCCGTTCTTCGAGTCGCCGACAAACAGTCGATCTCTCCACAGGCTGAGCCCGTTGGCGCCTGGGAAGGTGCCCGATACCTGTCTGCAGAGGACGATGTTCTGTTTGAATTTGTGAGAACTTGATTGCCACAATAGTGCCCCAGGCGGGTCAAGTTAGATGGAAACCTACGTCTTCTGCGTTGCAGTATTGGACATTGGTCGCCCAGCTCCAGGGGCCCAACATCTCCTCCATAGCTCGCAGGGGACCACCGGCGAAGTAGTGGTCGTTGGTCACAAAGAAGGCCCTGCAAAGCATAAGCAGTCAGCTTGCTGCGATCTCCATCCCAGGGGGTGTGACGCCAGTCAGAGGTTCAGCTGGGGCTGGGGCTGGGGCAGGGGCGGGGGTTTACAAAGGCCCCGTTGCGGCGACGCCGTTGGCAGTCTTGATATTGGGATGCTTGACGTTCTTGACCAGCTCGACCACGTCGGAGCCGAGCGTGTGCGCGAAGACGGCAATCGAGTCGCCACTGCGAGCATGGTTGACTGCAAAGATATGGATCTGACACATAGTCAGCTCCATTTTCTTGAACATCGCCCAGTCAGTGTTCAGAAAAAGTGCCTGACCTGAGAAGGATCTCCCGGGAGCGGAAATATGTCGATGCCGTGCGTGATAAAGTCGCCTTCTAGGCCCTTGATCTGCAACTCGGTGGTGGTGCCGGTGTCCAGGTCATGCTTGAACAGCTGCTCGCGAAACGAGGACTCGGCGCGACGCGACACGGTCCGCACGCCGGCGCAGGGGTACCAATGGGTCCTCTCGACGGGATCTCCGCACGACAGGAAGGCCGTGCGGGACGGGAAATGGATCTTGACGTCTTCACACGCATTGGCGGCCCGGATGATCTGGCAGTCGTGGTTGTTGAGCGCCGAGCTGTTCTCCCAGCGCACGAGTCGGGTCTTGTCGATCTCGACGCGCCCGGCCAGTTTGAGGAGCTGGGGCGACTGGTTGTACAGCAGGACCGAGAGCAGCGGGATGAACAGGGACAAGCGGAGTAGGCTTGACATGATGGGTTTTCGAACTCAGTTTCAGACAGATAAGGCATTAATAGGATGGCTTGGGAATATAAGATTCCCCCCGAAGGATCTTTGATGCCAGGGATCAGTAGCCAGCCGACCGAAGTCGTTGCGGAGAAGAACGACCCGCCGACGCACGATACGGTTCCTTGCCGAAGTCGATAGCCTATGACAGCTTGCGAGAGTCGCCGTTCGACCTACCTTTCGCATCATTTCTGACTTCCTGACATATTGTGAAGCTATCAAATGGGAAGGAACTGAAAGCCCACTCTCTGCAGGTCAGAATCCTTTCATATTTCCCCAGACCACGTATGGACCGCGGTGCCGGGTCCTTTGCTCATTCACGTCGCATATCCCAGGCTGAACGCGACATTAGGCTGAGCGAGCAATGCACCCGTTTTTCCCATAATGACTGATCGCGGGCTTTCTCACTCAAAAGATCACGGCAATGCATCGTTCGCAACACGAGTTGGCACAGCTCAGGTCAGATCAGGGTCATTGAAAAACTAGCTCATAGCAGGATGAAACAGCTTGCCAGTTCAATCCCTCTGGACCATACTGTCAGCGTATATCACTTTTCAGCGACCACCTTGATACATCAGACATGAACTAAGAAAACAATGGAGCATTGCATATGACTTGTTGTACTCGCTAAGGCCAACAGCATCTGTGCCAAGTGGTGGTGGTGGTGCTGTTCCTTCAAGCAACCAGATAGGAAATGTGGGGCCCTCCACATCGTGGGGTCGATATACACACTGCCAACCTTGAAGGAAGTATTATGGATTGGGGTAAAGTATACCAATATCCGACTGCTGACAAGGCTGATAGCAAAGAAAGTCTGTTTGGCTTTTGAACAGGGAGGTCGAACTTGGACTAACTAGGAATTTCAGGAATCTTGCCCACTGCCCAGCTCTATCAACATGTCGACCGTCACAGTAGACCACCCTTCAATAGGATCGGTCAAGGGCCTTGAGGGCGATGGCGTATATCAATTCCTAGGGGTCCAATATGCCACCCTCGACGACAGACTTGCTGAAGCTCAAGTCAAATCAACATATGAAAGTCCAGTTGATGCCACAAGCCACGGGTAATTGAGCCTCTCCCTCGCCGACATCCTGGAGATATTAACAATCATATCCAAGACCCTCTTCGTTCTCTCCCCCAAATGGATACGACAACGAGATGCTGTTCATTCAGCGATCAATGCCCAAGCCACCCATTGTCCACTCGGACTTGGAGTGCTTAAATCTAAACATCACAGTGCCGAAAGGCCAGAGTGGTGTCGATCTCACAAAGCAGAAGCTCCCCGTCTTCATTTGGATGCACGGAGGAGGCTTCGTTGTCGGAGCGAACTCCTGGCCGCATTATGACCACGCCAAACTCGTCAAGCTGGCCAGTGACAATGGAGTGCCTGTGATTGGTGTGGGCATCAAGTACGTCTACCCGCCTTCCAACAGAGATTCTAGAGGGGCTGAGACCTACGTTTGGACCCTGCTGAGACGAAAACTAGCTTCCGTCTAGGTCTTCCCGGCATGTTGACTTCGTCGGAATTGCGCCAACGGGGCTACCAACCCAACAACGGACTTCGAGATCAGAGGGCGGCTTTCCGCTGGGTCAAGCAGCACATTGCCGGGTTTGGGGGTGATCCAGACAACATCACCGTTATTGGCGAGAGTGCCGGAGCAGGTATGGGAAAGGCTACTGTTTCCAAAGACCTTTGGATTTGGAGCTGATACAGAAGATCTTCAGTTGCGACCACGTTCCATCTGTACTCCAAAGAGCCGCTGTTCAACCGCGCAATAGCGACAGGTGGTACCTGCCTCCTTGTCCCAGCGTTCGCTCCCGAACAGCAAGAACATACTTACCAGCAGGTACTGTCCATCCTGGGCCTTGAGAAGCTCGATGCCGAACAACGGATCCAAAAGCTTTTGACACTACCCATGGACGAGGTCATTGCGAAACTGCCGCCGTCTGTCGCGTTCTTGCCCACAGTGGACGGCGAGATTATCCCTGTACAGCCGACGTTTGCGGGAGTGGCCGATAAATCGGATCAAAGCATGCCTGGTAAGCAGTGGGCGGAGGCTTTGATGATCGGACACAGCGAGTTTGATGTAAGTTCCAACCAGCGATGTCCGATTGACCTAAATGGTCATAAACTGTTGCTCACACAATATGTACCCATGTGTAGGCCTCGGTACTTGGATTCATGCTGGGACACCTGAAGTCAGGCATTCGGGAAAAGTTCGCAGCATCAGTGAGGTCTTCTCTCTCGGCGACACCCGAGATTGCAGAGTCCCTCCTCGACGCCTACGGCTTCAACGACTCGACGCTCGACGACGAAGCTGCGTTCATCAAATTCCTCGAGTTCGTCAACGACGTCAGCTTCTTCGGCGCAACCACCTGCTTCGCCCGCGGCTGGCCACTGTCAACCGCCTCCGAGCCCAAGATCTTCACTTTCTTCTTCAACGAGCCCAACCCCTGGCCCGGCGCGTACCAGGGTCGAGCAACCCACGTCCTCGACGTCGTGTTTCTGTTCCAGAACCACAACCAGAACTTGCCGCCCGCGCAGAGGGCCGCCGCTGAGGCCTTCGGAATGGACTTGGTCAGGTTCGTGGCTGGGCAAAGGCCGTGGCAGGGGTACACGCCGGAGAAGAGGGCGGCGAAGATATTCGGCCCGTCCAGGGGGGAAGAAGCAAAGGCGAATGCCAAGGTTATTGAGGATGCGGAATCGTTGGAGACGGGAAGAGGCAAGGCCATCCTGGACATTGGGGACAAGGTGGGGTTTTATAAATTGAACGAGACGATTGCGAGGTTCAGACTGGGTCTTTGAGGGGCTCGGTATGGCGTGGAAATAACCGCTGCACGTATGTGCGTATATACGGGGCTCGCTGAGAACACGCCTTGCCCCCTTTGTTGCTCCCGAGTCTCAGCCTTGCGGGTACTTGGGGAAGTTGGGGCCACACACACGGACATAATCATATATACACGGACATACAAATATGCCCACGTGGATTTCTCCCACTGGTTCTCCGACTCTAGACAGAGTACTGTACCTGCCTCGCCAGGTAGCTCCACCGCAGGGGGAACCTAGTCAACCACATGGCTAAGTGGCCTTTGCGGTGGCACAGTGTGGTGGTGGCGGCAGACCACGTGGCAGACTATGCTCTGCCCCCTGCTGCCAGCGCTTTGTGGGATAGGAGCCCTTTTCGTTTGGGGAAGGTGAGTCAATCGGTGGGCATTTGGGGGAGATGGGACTCTTTGGGTGAGTTGAGAATGAGATTATGTTAGGTCTATGTTGTGGAACCATCAAATGCTCGCTAAATACTATTCTGTAGATAGATAACGGAGTATTACATGCACCGCCAAACTCGCCTGTAAGGTCGATGATGGACGGGGGCACGAGAGTTGGATGGCTTGGATTGTCCCTGTCTTCTTCCCTGCGTCGATCTCGACAAGTCACATATCGAGAGCATGTCGGTCTCATCGTGGATTTGGGTTCCGTAATGAACTAGACGGGTCTGTCGCAAATGCAAATCCCATCATGGAGATAAGAGTAACTACTCCTCATGGGTCCGGATATGCATCTTCTCGAGCAGGTTATTCCTAGCCCAGTAGCTGCGGTATTTCTTGCCGAGGAAGAACATGAAGGGCAAAGTGGCGATCAGGGCGAAGGCGACGCCGCCCCAGACGTAGAAGGCGTGCTGGGGCCCGACGTCGGCGGTCCAGTTGTTGACAAAGTAGCTGAAGCCGTAGAGGATGAGGTTCTTGACGGCCATGCTGGCGATGAAGATCTCGTTGGCCATGCCGCGGTAGGCGTCAAGCGCGTAGTTGGAGGTGCCGATGCACAGGAACATGACGCCGAACAGCATCAGGCCGTGCACGGTCGCGCACGCGTAGACGGATTTCCCCTCGGACACGAAGTGGCCGAACAGCATCAGGCCCACGCCCGAGCACACGCCCAGCGCGCAGGGGATCAGGCGGTACTCGGGCTCGTAGACGCCGCGGTTGCGGCGTGCGCACCACTTGATGAACGGGTCCGAGAGCGTGCCCATGATCACGGACCCGAGGATGCCGCCCACAAACGGGCCCAGCGAGAGGTAGCCGATGCTGGCTGGGCTCAGGAGATACGGCGGCGGCGCGAACAGCTGCGCCAGCACAAACGCAATCACCACGTACAGCACCACGAACATGGAGTTGATGAGCAGGATCCACAGCACCGCCAGGTTGAGCACCACCGCGAACGGCGCGATCAGGAGCTGGAAGAAGTTCTCGTTCGAGTACGTCCCGCTGAAGATGGCCAGCTCCTGCGCAAACGTCTTCTTCTTGTGCTGGTAGCCGTGCGCCGCCGCCGCCGCTGCCACTGCCGATTCTTCTTCCGAGTGTGGTGTCGAAGGCATTGCGCCCGTCGTCTCCTCGGTGTGCGTGGCCACGACGCCGGGTTTCTCCATGTTCAGTTTCTCCTGGTACTCGAGCGCCGCCAGGTCCTGGAGGTTGTCGTTCTTGATCTCGTCGATCTCGTACCGCCGGTCGCGCACGTAGCTGGTCTCGGGGACGAAAAAGAACTGGAGAATCGTCTGGATCCCTCCGAACAGCACCAGGAGGTAATAGCTGCGAAAAGTATTGATCAGCATGACTGGCCTCAATGTTCAAAATGGGGTGTTTCCCTTAAGGAAAAGACGCAAAAAAACTTACAGCCATCGCCATCCGATATTCGATGCGATTGGGCCAGCAACCACACCCGTCAGATTGGAGATTCCCGCCAAGATGAAATTGATGCAGGACGCGTAGATGCCACGCTCATGGACGTAAAACATGTCGCTGATCAGAGTAAAGACCAGAGACTCGTAGGGCGCAATCGCAAAGCCTTGCAGGATCCGCGAGGCGAGCACTCCTTCGTAGGTGTTGACGCACGAGCCCACAATGTCGGCGATGAGGCAGAAGACGGACGCGAACAGGAAAATGGGCCTCGTGCCCCATTTCCTCGACAGGGCCGAGAACAACGGGCCCGTCACGCCGATGACCAGCGTCTGGTAGCCCGAGCTCAGCACGAGCTTGGGGATGGTGGTGTGGATCTCGATGGACATCTCGTAAAAGGCCGAGTTGAGCATGGCGCTCACCACGGCGGCGTAGAGGATCGATCCCCAGCAGGTGATGCCCAAGGCTGTGAGTTTCTTGGTGTAGGGCCAGTTGAGTGGGTCGTTGGGATCGTTGGACGGCTGCGGCACCAGCACAATGTGCGCGTTGCGCCCCGTGCCATGTTTGAGCCCGCCCGTCACGTCCTGCGAGTGCGCGGCGTCTTCTTCGAGGATGACGGTGCCGGGGACGTGCGGGAGCTTCGTGTCGTCGAGGATTCCGAGAAACGGCATCTTGAATGGCTGGATATGCTGATCCGGTCGGCGCCCTGGAAGGATGGAAGGATGCCGCGAAGGTAAAAACGAGATGGAGCTTGAGAGCGGAGGGATGGCGCGGAGTTCGGCCGCCTCTTATAAACTTGGATTCTCTCTGAGCATGTCGGTGAACAAAAACTCGCAGCAGAGACTCATGACCCAACAGAGGTGATTCCACCCCCAGGTCGCAGGTGGGTTGCAAGCCTTGGGAGAAACTAGACGAGGTTCCCCGACATCAGATGCTCCGCGGTTGATCATGCGCCGCCCGTGATTGGCTGGATGCCTCCACCCGCCCCATGCGCCCCACGTTCTCCAACCGCCCGCCGCTTTTCCCTTTACGGACAAACCTGGAGAGTACCTGGGCACCCACTGGGCACTCAAGCACTCTGGGGTCACCATGAATACGCGGAGTACCTATGTAGGTACTTACTGAATACGCAGAAGCCAGGGCCCCTTCTCGAGAGCAAAGGTACGTGGGGTTCCCCAACTCCCATAGGCGGCTAGGCACTCCGTGTTCGTTTTGGCCTTTGCCATGTGCTTCTTTGCCTTGCCCGGGACTGTCGAAATGTATCTATTCTTGGTAAGATCGCCATGCTTCAGTTCCAGGGCAAGGTGCTCCCTAGAATGTCGATAGTACCATTCTCCGAATTGCTGCAGGTACCGTCGACTAGCTCAAAGTTTCATTGTCAACGAGGCTGATCACGAGGTGGCACAAGGACGATGCGACAAGAAGCATTTGTATCATACAAAATGTACGTGGGCAAGGGAATAAACCACATGTTCCCAGATCATCCGATGCTCTGATTAGATGTAGCCTTTTCCAAAATATACACAGATTGCTAGATCCAGCAGCAAGCCAAATGAGAACTCCAAAGCGCCTTGCTTTTGTCCTCCGGGTATCAATCTCAATCTGTTCCCACTTTTGTTATTTTCACAATTGTCTGGCCTCCACATCGTCCCGTGCTATGCAAAAACCATTCATGGCAGAGGCCCGTGTGCCTGCGAGACTGGCTCAAGTGTCGGCCTCAGAGGGAAGCCGCCCTCGGAGTTGGCTTTCACTGGTGCAAGGATTGCCGAAGATACTTCTCCCTTTAACACCTGCTCGCGCGTAATTTGAAGCAGGTCGCTTGGCAGACCCATGCTGGCCAGGAATGTAACAGTGTCTTTCCATTCTGCTTGCTTTCTCTTCTCACTCCATTTCAGCTCTTCCGCCATGATATCAATCACCTTGGGCAAAGCATGCAGCGCAGCCTGTGCATTCAGGAAGCTCAGCCTGGTACGCCTCGCGAGGACGTCCACCGCGGTCTGCGCATATTCACTGCGTACTGCGTAGCGGACCTCACCGTCGATGAATGGATATAGTGATGACAGTCGCTGACCACGCAGGGGATAGTGTTCGGTGTTGTCGGTGGGAGAGGCCAGCGCCGCAACATCCCAAGCCCGGTCGCCGTAGTCGCTAGCCAAATGCTTTGCAACATCTGGATCGAGGCCAAAGTGCTGGATAAGGTTGATGAAAAGAGTTGTCGAGTACCCGTGGGCTCCAATCAGGCGGATATGATGCGTTTGACAGGTTCCATTGAGAAGACTCACCGAGGGATCGATCCCATTGACACCACTGATGTCAGGAACATAGCTGGTGGGTTTCGGTTGTAGCTTGAATGCTTCGATCGCCTTATCGACGGCGTCTTCAGCCATTTGTCGGTATGTTGTCCATTTGCCGCCGGCACAGGTCAGCAGCCCGGAGTCTGAGACAGTAACGAGATGGTTCCGGACAAGTGATTCCGTATTTTTCGAGTTGGGGTCACGGACGAGGGGGCGTATTCCTAGATCGTCAGAGTCAGTATTTGAGATACTCTGGTGCAGAAGAAAAGACAACACTCACCAGACCAAGCGGCAAGGATATCCGACCTCCGCACATCGATATCTGGAGTAAGATACGTCCGGATCTCGTTCAATATCCATTCAATGTCTTTCTCTCCAGCGACTGGGTTCTGGGAGATGGCACAAGGCGCGTCTGTCGTCCCAGCGATGGTATTACCTTGCCACGGGAGGAAGAAGATGACACGTCCATCGGATGTAGAGGGGTCAATGAGACCCATGTTTTCAGGACTGAGGTATCCAGGAAGAACAACGTGCACTCCCAAACTCGGTGCAACAATCTCCTTGTCGCTAGGAGAGTCCATTTGGCGGATAGCGTCGCAAAATGGGCCGGTCGCGTTGATGATGCCTTTCGCTTTGACAACGAACTCTTCAGTGCTGCCTTTTCCATCCTTTTCCGCAATCAAATCTCGTACTCGGGCACCTGTAAGTTTGCCGCTTGCATCCTTCTCCAAGCCTGTCACTTCCAAATGGTTGACCGATGTGGCTCCGTACAGTGTCGCGGTCATGGCCAGGGAAATGTTCATCCTTGAATCGTTATGCTGTCCATCGTAGTACACAAGAGCACCAATAAGATTTTCCTTCTGCAACATGGGGAATGCTTCTAGAGCCTTACTTCGAGGCAAAAAGTAAGAGCTTTCGATTCCCTCGGACCCAGCTAGGAAATCATAGAATTTGGTTCCCGCCCAGAAGTATGGTGCCTGCCACCACGCCTGCAGAGGCAGCATGATCGGTAGCCAGGACGACAAATGCGGTGCCGTGTACAAGAAACTCTTCCGTTCTCTCAAAGCCTCTCTGACCAGCTGGTACTGATTGTAGTCAAGATTCCACACGGCTTTTTCAAGATATCGAACTCCGCCATGGACCAGCTTTGTGGATTTGCTGCTTGTGCCGCTGCTGAAGTCGTCTCTTTCCACGATTGCTACCTTCAAACCTCTTGTAGCCGCGTCCAGGGCGATCCCTGTGCCTGTAGCTCCGCCGCCAATAACAAGAAGGTCGTAGATTTCGGAGGATGGCGTTGAGGACGATTTCTTGAGGTCGGCAATCTGTTCGGCTCTCGTCTTGATGTAGGGAAATTTGGGTGGGATGATGTTTCCGTGCTCGTCTCTTTTGGGCGGTTTCGGGGCGAGTGTCTCTGCTCCTGGGACGTTCCGAGGACGGTAGATGATGTACATGCCTGCGGTGCCTGCCACAGCCAGACCCGTACCGTATGCCAAAGGCTTCAGCAGCCGGCGCATGGAGAATCGGGAGGCCATTGTAGAGGGAGTTCACCGAGGAGCGGTCGGGCAAGAAAGTCGTCTGGTAAAGATCGAGGAGCTTTGAGCATGCACCGGTAGCACCTCGAATACAAAGTATGAGGAAGTTGGAGTCTCTGGCTGGAAACAGAGTGATGAAGCTATGTCAAGAAGGATGCCAGCTGCGATATTTGAAGGCGTCGTAAATGGCTCTGCACCGACAATCAATTGACAAGAAACGCAGCATGGCGGAGAAACACCTCTGCCAGAGACTGCACTCGGGGGATTTGCATGGCCGAGCTTGAGAGGCAAGCCATGCCCAGGCCACAACACGAGCTTTAGCGACCCCGGATCTGCTAGGCATCTCGCGTGATGCTGAGTATTGGCCTTTGTGATTCTTACGCAGGGAACCTCCGGTTCGTTCTTGCGGAGAAACTAGAGGGCAGAAAGTGGCTCGGGTTGATTGGTCCGACCGAGTTCCGGAAATTGATGCTTCGGGGGTGAATTCCCGAGGCGCAGCTGCCACTGATTGACCCTGGATCGTGGTTTCCCGATCGGGCATCTGTGCCGTCTTCCTTTTCCCCAGTGTCGTATTGCGGATGGATCTCGGAAACCGTCGCAAAAACTTTTCTTCCTGAAGAACTAAATGTCGGCCGTATCTTGCCACCACCGACGTACCGAGAGATCGGTCCATGGAAATCAACGCCTGGAGGCTCAGCTGACTCGGTCTGATTCGCCCAGGCTGGACGACTTCATTCTCAATGCTCTTGCATGTGAAATTTCGGTCTTCTCCGGCCTGGACGACGGGATTTTTCTCAGGAGATGGTTACGTACGGCTTTCCCAGCTTTATGCAGTTTGATCATGCCACTGGTACCACCGTGCTATTACTCGAGATCTTCCAGTGATACGGCATCCGCCCAGAAGAACTTTACTCGGCCTCCAAAGACAGCATCGTAGCCTGGGAGTGACAGTTTAGACTTGGTAGCTGTAAAGACGCATTATAGAATCACAATAATCAAGGTTTTGACGAAGTCCATCACGAGTTGAATCATGAAGTTATAGCTTGCAGCCATGAAGACTCACACGTCAATTACGAGATCTGGAGCGAACTCAGCGAAGGTCGCACTTGGAACCTGAGAAAAAAGAATTATGATAGAGAATTTTTTTCATTTCCTCAATGTCTGTGGTTTTTCTGCCATAATTTATCCTCGATATCTGGTTACAACAATGGTAAACACCTGTGCCCGTGATACGCCCAAGGCCCAACAGATACAGCCGTCCCAGTATCTCCGGAAGCACCGAACTAACAATCATCTCATGGCTCACACCTGGCTCTCAGTGTTCGCAGTATACGTGTTGGACCAGACTGATCGCTTAGGCTGCACAAAACGTTTCAAGCCCATATAAGGAGTGTTGATCGGGCTCTCGCCAGTGAAGAGGAACATGTCATAGAGCCAACCACCGAAGGTGCATCCGCAGAAAGGCGCAACCATTGGGACCTTTTCACATATTGTTAGCTTCAAATCTTCCACACTCTGGTGGATGGACTTACCCAGAAATAGTAGCCGCCCGCACTCCAAACCTCGTGACCGTATCCAATCATGTAGCTGACCAGACGAGGACCGAAATCTCGAGCAAGGTTGATGGCATAGCCCGTTTCCCAGCCAAAACAGGCACCAATGCCGAAGATAACAAAGAAGAGGCCAAGAGGCGTGAGATTACCTGCGCCGATGTTCCCATCGTCCTTCAAAGCGTAGATCAAGAACATCAGGATAGAACTGGCGATGAACTCCGAGAAGAATTGACCGGTCTTTGTCATGAATGCTGCAGGATAGGTGCAAAAGATGCCTGCGGTCGAGGTCTCGCCGCCCACGGTGCGGATATTGGCGCCTCCTTCGAAAACATCGATTGCAGACTTGTAGTTGGCATAGACGATCGCAGACGCTACCATGGCGCCGAGGGTCTGGGCAAGCATATAGATGGGAAATTTTCTCCAGGGAAACTTGCGATACACGCAGTTGGCGAACGTTACTGCAGGATTTAAATGGGCTCCTGAGATGCCAGCGGTGTACACTCCCAGCATGACACCAAGACTACATAACTGTTAGCCACCTGGGCAGTTCAAAATGTATGTTTTCGGGATAAACGTACCCCCAGCCCCAAGAAATCGATTGGTAGTCACCCTTTGTGCCTCCACTGAGGACAACCTGGGCGACGACACCATCGCCGAAGAGGATGAGGATGAAGACCCCAAAGAATTCCGACAGAGGTTCTCGAAGGAAGTGGCGGATTCGACTCCAAGCCAGATCAGGTTCTTGCTGCACCGCATCCGCTTGAGGAATCTTGTGGTCGACAAGTGGGCCATGCTCAGCGAAAGCAGGCATATCTTGAACAGAGGTTCGTCGCCTCTGCTCCTGAGGGACATTGAGGTGTTCTTGGTGCGTGATGTTTCCCATTGCGACTGGTTGTTTCTCCAAAGATAGAGAAGAAGAGGACTGGGACATGTAAGAGAGGAAGGTGCTGGTGGCAAGACGGCCAAAGAGACGTTGAATGGCTTTGTGGAGATGGGGAGGAATCACAGGTTGCCCATGGGGGAGAGGACTTGGATTATATAGACGGATACCACCTGGTATAACTCCATGATCCCGCGTTCTATCCCTCGGACTCCACTGTGTGTAATCTCGAGCGCAATTGCAAGTGATACCGAAAACGTGGTAACAGAGTTAGCCTAGAGTTAGTCCCAGCAAACACTGCTGTGGCCGATACGAGCCCCTGTATCAAGTCTAGAACCAGACTGTGCAAGGGGCCGGACACCCGCACGTTGTCCCTGCATGACACACCCGCTTGTGGCCTGTACAAGAGCCAATTATGCAGTAATGACGGCCAAGAAAATCCTTCCACTCATCTGTTTTTCCTTCAGCTAAATCGCCGAACTTCGCACGACCGGAGCCGGATGTCCTCGAAATGCTCTCGGAGACTACATACCGACCTGCATAGAGTTGCGCCTTGGAAAAGAGTCTTTCTAGAAGGTCTTTCAGCAGTATTGACATGCGCGAGCCTGATTCCAACAGGGATACATTGGAAATTGCATGAGCTCTCAAAAGGATCATCGAGCAGTGGTGCTTTACAGCTGGTTGTCAAATCGTTGTAAGACAGGTGCAACCGCACAAATGTCAGCATCTGCCCCTCGATCACGCTTCCTTAGGATTCTCAGGGTTACACAAATTTACCTCTCGGTGGACACGACTTCTTGCCAAACAAATGTGACGTTGTGGAGGTAGAGAAACTGTATGCACATCGGCTGACGGCGGAATTATTGCCGACCGGAAAAACAGTTTGGCCGCTGGCGAAGATTGCGGGGCACGCGGGGAGCCTCGGCAAATGCACGTCGGTCGCGCTTCCCCGAACTTCTGTCCTGCACCTCCCAAGTTCTGGGCATCTCCGTCATCCCTCCTCCTCCTCTTCCCTGCTTCCGCTCACCCCCGCAAACTCCTGTTTTCAGTACCACGTCGCAAGGTGTTTCCTATGCTGGTTCAGCTGCAGTCCACCGCAGCTATGCCATTCCCGACTCCTCCCCCGCCACGCGCTGTACCCCTGATCTTTCCCGCATCTGCTTGGAATCCGCCCGCCCTTCCCCATGCCCGTCGCATGTCCCTACACCGAGCTTTGCCAGTCGCATAGAATGGAAGAGGGATTCCGGCTGTGGAGTTCGGGGTTGTGTTGTCCGGAAGAGCTCGCAAAAACCAATGCTGAACACCGAGCAAAAGCCAACTGGGGACTCCATCTAGTTGTTGCCATGAGCTCGCGTAAGATTCACGTTGTACGAGGACCACGACCCGCTCCAAGTGATACAGCTCTCAAGCCTAAAGGTCATGCGACCGTGGGCCTCGACACGTCTTCTTCAAAGTCCACATGCTTCGGTGTTTCCCCGCGGTAGATCTATATAATATTCCCGCCTCCCCTCCACAGAATGTCTCCAGGCCTCCAGTGCTCCGGTCCGTCTCCAGATCCAGACACTTCTCCCAAGACCTTTTCATATTGTTGTGAGACCTTTTCATGAATTTCTTGCGAAACCTCACCATGGGCAGTACTCAAGAAGTCTTTGTCGGCTCCATCGACCAAGGAACCACCAGTTCGAGGTTCCTGATCTTCAACAAGCGAGGCGAACCTGTTGCCTCACATCAGCTTGAGTTCAAGCAGATTTATCCACATCCTGGGTTAGTTGAGCTGGTTTTCTTAGAAAAAGATCAGTCCTGCTGACCGCAAGATCCAGCTGGCATGAACATGATCCTCTGGAGATCGTTTCCTCTGTAGAGAAGTGCATCGATGGCGCAGTCCAACAGTTCCAAGACCAAGGTCATAACATCAACACCATCAAGGCCGTCGGCATCACCAACCAGCGTGAGACCACTGTCCTGTGGAACAAGGAGACCGGGGAGCCATTGTACAATGCCATTGTTTGGACCGATACCCGAACACAGGCTCTGATACGAAAGCTAAAGCACCGGCTCGGGGCTGACAAGCTCACTGACATTTGCGGACTTCCGCTTTCCACCTATCCTTCAGTGGGCAAGTTGCTGTGGCTGCTAGAGAACGAGCCCAAGGTGAAGGATGCTCATGATAAGGGTGTCCTCGCATTTGGCACAATCGATGCCTGGCTCGTGTACAAACTCAATGGAGGTGAGCTCTCACTTCTTAACTTCTGGAACTACCACAGACTAACGTTGGGAATCAAAGGCCCAAAGAGAAATATCTTCGTCTCGGACCCTTCGAACGCATCACGAACGATGTTCATGAATCTCAAGACCCTCGAGTACGACGACTCCCTCCTCGACTTCTTCCGCATCGATACCTCAAAGATCCACCTCCCCAAGATCGTTCATTCCTCCGACTCCTCAGCCTATGGCTCCCTCACCACCACCGTCCTCAAAGGTGTCCCGATCACTGGCTGTTTGGGAGACCAGTCGGCTGCTCTAGTCGGTCAAAAGGGCTTCACGCCAGGCCTCGGCAAGAACACGTATGGGACTGGTAGCTTTATTCTCTATAACGTGGGCGACAAGCCCGTTATATCCACCCACGGACTTTTGACCACCGTGGCGTTCGACTTCGGCGGCAAATCTAAGCCCATGTACGCCCTCGAAGGATCCATCGCCGTTGCCGGGTCAAGTGTCAAGTTCCTTGTTGAAAACTTCGGTTTCATCGACAAATCCTCCGAGATCAGCCAACTTGCAGAGACAGTCGAGGATAACGGTGGCGTCACGTTCGTGACTGCATTCAGCGGCCTCTTTGCACCTTACTGGATCGATGACGCCCGTGGAACCATCTTCGGTATCACGGCTTACACGAAGCGAGGCCACATCGCTCGCGCAACGTTGGAAGCGACGTGCTTCCAGACCAAAGCCATCTTGGTGGCCATGGAAAAGGACTCGGGCCACAAGCTCAGCGAATTGGCCGTCGACGGCGGGATGTGCAACTCAGATCTGTGCATGCAGACGCAGTCCAACCTCATTAGCATCCCGGTCAAAAGACCTGCTATGCGCGAGACCACAGCTCTGGGCGCGGCGATCGCGGCCGGTTTGGCGGTCGGCGTCTGGGACAGCATTGATGAGTTGAAGGACGTCAATATCGAGGGTTCTACCATCTTCAAGCCTGCAATTAGCAAGGACGAGAGTGATCAGCAGTTTGCACGATGGGAGAAGGCTGTGGAGATGAGCAAAGGCTGGGCCAACTGAGCAGGCTCTGGGGAGCTTTGAAGCTCTGGGGCTTGTAGCATGGTGTCCATGGCGTAATCTGTTAGTCGTGATGCTGTTATTGTGGTCAACCACCAGTCTCTTCCGATGCCATGGGTCTGGGGAATGAGTGGCTTTGGATTGAATGGCTTCTCGTACTCCAAAAGGAAAAGGTTCAGCAAATCCAATGTACTCCTACCAATCATGCCCAGCAGATTCGTATTTTGCAATGTTTCCAAAATTGTGTAAGGTGGACACACCCTCTCTGTCCAACACATGGGGGACGCCTGGCATGAATGATATGGATCCGTGAGCATCGCTACAATCGCGATAGAAAGCTGAATGGGCAAGCCGTAAGCTCCAGAAACCTTGATCGAAGTCGTGGAACTTTCCATGTGTCGGGACCCGACGAACCAGCCATCCCTCTTCACAGTACTTACATATCCAATGAAACCTCCCTCCATCTTTGTAGCGCAGCATCACACTCGACGATGAAGATCATCATCGTCGGCGCAGGCATCGGCGGCCTCTCGGCGGCATTGGCTCTCGCGCTCCAAAAGCACCGCGTGACGGTTCTCGAATCCGCACCGCAACTGGCGGAGATCGGGGCGGGCGTGCAACTGACCCCGGACGCGATCAAGTTCTTCTTCCGCTGGGGGTTGCGGGACGACATCGTGGCCAAGGCCGCGTTTCCCGGCACGTTCTTCATCCATCATTGGAAGGACGGGAGGGTTCTGGGCAGCGTGGACGTGCGGGGACTGGAGGGGCAATATGGCGCGCCGTATGTCGTCGTGCACAGGGGCGTGCTGCATGAGATCCTACACCGGCATGCCGTCCGGGCTGGGGCGGAGGTGAGGGTCGATTCGAGGGTGGAAGAGTATGATTTTGAGGGTGGCGCCGTGGTGGTGAAAGGTGGAGAGAGGATCGAGGCCGATTTGGTCGTTGCTTGTGACGGGATCAATTCCTTTGCGAGAAGGCAGTTCCTGGGTGACGAGCAAGACCGCGGCGCGCGGAGGACCGGCTGGGCTGCGTACCGCACCATGGTCGACGTCTCGAGCATCCAGGCGAACCCTGCCACGGCCGATCTGGTCGAGAAGCATAACAACCATTTATGGTATGCCCCTCTCACCATTTACAACTTTCAAGTGGCGGATTCTAACGAGAGGTGATACTGCTCGATAGGATCGGCAAGGACTGCTCGGCCATGACCTATATGATCTACCAGTCGACCAAGCTCAACATGGTCCTCTCACACCGCGACGACGTCGACACTACGGGGTGGACGCCCTCGCAATACCACAGCACCATCACATCCATGTTCCGGGGATGGGACGACAAACTCACCAGCCTCGTCGACATGGTGCGCCCGGCCACTATCCAGAACTGGCCTGTATATCAGGTCGAGCCGCTTCCTCGATGGGTGTCGCGGTCGGGCAAGTTCGTGCTCATGGGGGATGCGGCACACGCGATGGCCTTCTATCTCTCGATGGGCATTTCCATGGCCGTGGAAGACGCCGCTGCATTGGCAGAGTGTCTCTCGCTGCTGGAAGATTCGGCAACCAAGGCCCACACGAACGGTGACGGTGCAACCAGAGAGAAACCAAAGCCATCCCTCTCCTCCGCCCTGGCGCTCTTCGAATCAATCCGCAAGCCTCGCGCCGAGGCCGTCCAATCCGCCAGTCTTCGCGCGGGGGATATCCTGCACCTCCCTCCCGGCGAGTCACAGGAGAAGAGGGACGCCGCCATGTTGCGACAACAAGTCAACGACGGAACGACGGAAAGCAGAGAAGATGATAGGCAGTACGTGTATGGGATCGCGGACCGAGAGACGAGGGATTGGTGTTATGGGTATGATGCCGCCTTGGAGATGCGGAGGGCTTGGAGGGAGCTTTTTGGGTAGCGAACAGGGGGACGGGATCCACGTTTCATGGGATGAATGATCGAGTCTCATAATGATGTTGACGATGGCTGGCGGATCTTGGAAACCAAAGAACTAGGGAAATAGAAGGGTTTGCACGGTAATCCGCAGGGCATCAAAGCGAAATGGATCTGGGAAACAGAGCAGAATAGGTGGAAATGGACAAGGACAAGGTAAAAGCAAGTCTGAAATGTTTGATGGGAATTTCTTATCGACATAGTCTCGCCTCTTTGCCCTGGGAAAAAAGGCAAGGCTGATCAGCGACCATATGCCACTGATACTAGGTACACTCCGTCAAAAACGGTGACTTCACACAAGAACGACACGCGACACATTGACCATCGCTTGTGCCGCGCAACTGGACCATTTCCCCTCAGGTCATCAGTTCATCAGGCGTCCTTTATGATATTGGACATATTCTGTGCAGTTCGGTCCCCAGTTGCATACACTCCTTGAAACCTTCTTAGCTCATTCCAATTCCCTTCTTCACAGTTCCCTATAGTCAGCCTGTCGTGGCTTGCGATTCCGGTTGATATGCCGGTGGGGATTGACAGGCTGCCGCATATACGCATTGTCTTCCTCATTCCCTACGTGCCGTTGTTGGTTTGAGAATCTATTTCCTGCTGGGCCAGACGGTGGATAGAAACCTTGATTCTGATTCTGGTTCATCAGCGCTTTGGGCCCGGTCGGGACTCCTGTCATTCCAGCTGGCTGTTGGGGCGGTGACGGTTTGGGCTGCTGATGGAAGTTTTGGGGGCGATTGGGGCGACTGTTGTTGTGGTTGAAGTTGTTAGGTTGGTTCTGGTTCATATTGGGATTGGGAGTGTGATTCTGGTTCATGTTCATGTTCATATTCATGTTGTTCCAATTCGGCATTGAACCTGGATTCCCAAAGTTCATACCCATGCCCATGCCCATGTTCATGTTACCCATGTTTCCCGGATTCACGCCATTCATCATGGGGTTCATGAAACCCATTGGGTTCATTGCATTCATCCCGTTCATTCCATTCATGCCCGGCATGCCCATACCCATCATCATCGGATTCATCATCATGGGGTTGAAGCCAGGCATCATAGGCATAGTCATGTTATTGCCTGATTGCATTTGTGACAAGTCAGGTGGCATCATGTTTGCAGGCAGCACATTATTACTCTCAGGAGTCGCAGTCTTCTCTTTGGAACCGTTCAGCTCTGCATCGGCCGCTTTTGGTGTTGACGGCACCGCGTCTCCAGACTTCTGTCGCTTCATGGCCGGGGCGGCGAGGCTATCCGAAGATGTTGCTCCGTCGACTTCACTCGCACCGCGCTTTCTCGCTGATCCGCTCGCCGATTGAGGCGTGGCAGAGCCACCTCGAGAGCCCGAACGTGAGCGTGGAGGAGAGTCTTTGGCCTTTGGTGATTCGGCGGCCACCGTAGGACTTCTAGACCGTTGCTTCTCGGCAGCCTTTTCTGCTTCATACTCTTTGATTTTGTTCTTCATGTCCTCATCAGGCTCAAGACGCTCGAGACTGATATTCTCCGTCTCACAGCCAGGGCATGTGAGATCGTTTTCAAGTAATGCATTTTCGATACAAACGTGACAATATGTCTTCCCACAACAAGGTGTCTTCATTGGGTCTACAAACAAGCGCTTGTCAATCGAGCATTCCAAGCCTCGATCTTGCAGCTCCTTGTCGCCAATTTGCTCTTTTCTCTGCGCCGCTTCGGCAGCCTGGACCTGTTCCAGGTGTTTTCTCCATGCCTTTTCATCCGCTTGCGCAAAGACGTACTCTCCCTCGGCGTTTACCATCAGATTTTGTCTTTGAGAATCGTCGAGCTTGTCAATATCTGCTTGATCGATCTTCTTCAGCATCGACCGAGGAATACCAGTCGTCCGTTTGATCCGGTTCTTATTGTCGTAGGAAGCGTCATCATTGGTGGGACACGCTTGGATCCAGTGCCCTGGGAATGTTAGCGACTGACGGTTATGAGGACTCCAGGTGAAATCTTACCTTTCTTGCCACAACGATAACAGATATAGCCGTGGGGAGGCTCGCCCTCTGGGATATTCACTTTTTTGTTAAAGGGCTTTCCCTGCATAGGAACGCGGGTCTCGTGTGACATTTCCTCTTGCTTTTGTTGCCATTGTGCGTCGGTGGCTTGAAGCATAGCTTGCAACTTCTCTTGTTCTGTCATTGCCTTGGCCATGTCCACCACCTTACGTGGCTTGCTAGCCATGCTCGTAACCGTGGGCTTTGCACTGACAGGCGGTTTACCAGAGACATAGCGAGCAGCACGCCCTTTCCCAGGCGCCGAGGCAGGTAATCTTCGAGCAAGGACAGTCGAATCTTTGGGAATGATTTCTGTGTCATCGGTATATTCTGGACTGAGGTTAGTGACAACTCGGACTTGGAAAAAGGAAGTGAGAGATGCGAACTTACCTTCATTGCTGTTCTCTTTGTAGATCTTCAGGTCAAAGTCTGTACCATCGCCTAGCCGAGAAATGTTGATGATTTCACGTTTCAGGTTCCAGACATCGGTATGAGGACCATCGATCGTTACGCGCTGCGGTTCTTTTTGTGATTTGAACTTGAAATACACGTAAGAGGCCATGGTGGTAACGCCTGACAGCAGCTCAGGACCAGCAGAGAAGTGTATGCGTTTGTCGTGTTAATCTGAAGGAGGGCAAAAGGTTGAGGTTGCGGTGACTTTTGGCGTAGACAGATTCCAAGGGATACAGAGTCAAAAGACGACAGGGGGCAAAAGGGAGATGTTATTGTAGGTAAACGAATAATAAGTCCAGCTTGAGAGAACCGAGATCCAACTCAGGCGAGCCTGTTCCCTTCACCAGTCGTTCTTGCACTGCACTGCCAACGCAGATCTGCCACTCGCAACAACACTGACACTGGCAACAAGTCCCACTTTCCTGAATATGATGCAAGCTCTTGACCAGGGAAAATCCCTTTTGTTCACTTTACAACAAAAGCTGATTGCAGGCAGAAAGTTTCCGTCACGATGATTTTAAAACCTTCCCAGGACTCCTGTCAGATGCGCCGGCACGTGGAAGCGTCCGTTTGCAGAGAGCGATGAGACAGCGAAACAATGAAATACCCTGTCAACCCCAATTCGAACCTATGGCAAACGCATGAAACTGGTGGATGCGCAAAGCAAAGATGAAGAGGAGGTGAATGAGTTGATGAAAAAGATGTGCCTGGCGGATGGAGAGCGATGATGACAGAAGAAGATGTCGGAAGCAGAAGGAGGCGCAGGCAGCCTTTTTATTCGGTTCGGCAGAAAATGCCCGCAGCAAGAGATCACATGACCAGGTCTTCCGTCACGTGACAATGCCAGAATTACTCAGCCTGGTGCAGCCTTGCTGACAGTACGAGCACGTACGAGGTACCGAGTTCACCCTGTCAGCCTCAGCAGGGGGGTGGCAAGTGCGGAAATACGAGGTACAATACGCCTCAGACAGCACACGGAGAATCCCGTGAACCAGTGGGGTAACACGATATGGCTGGAATTTACATTCCCACTCACTTGGTATACCCGAGGGAACCTATAGGTATAGGTAGGTACCTAGCATCCCGACCAGCAATTCTTCTCTGTTTCCCCCTTGATAAAGCCACCGTTCCAAGCTTCCTGCATTACCATTCCCAGTCTCCACCCATCAGTAATCACCCACCCACCTACTCAAAGATGTCAATCCAACTGATCAACCCGCCCGACGTGCCCCCTCCGCGCCCAACATACTCGCACGTCCAACTTACGCCCATCTCGTCGACAAGCACGCTGGTCACAATAGCGGGTCAGATCGGAGTCGATATGGAGACCAAGACGGCGCCCGACTCCTTCATCGCGCAGGTCGAGATCGCGCTGGCGAACTTGGGCAAATGTCTGGCCGCCGTGGGGGCCACGCCCGCCGACATCGTCAAGATGACCCAGTTCGTCGTCAACCTGGATCCCGCCGACACGTCGCGGTCCGAGGCCTATTCCAGGTTCATGGGCGGCCATCGTCCGCCGAGCACACTGGTGGGAGTCGCGGCGCTGGCGGCACCGAATTGGTTGTATGAGGTCGAGGCTATGGCTATTGTACATCAGAAGTGATAAATGGCAAATGAGAGATCTGGTCATTGAGATCTTGAGGGTTGTCCGAGGGAAGGACCAAGTTGTGGCCGTGCTCCCTGTGCTGCCCAGCAGTAACAGCAGCATCACCCCCACCATTGACGCACCATCTTCTTGCAGGTCCATCAATGTCCAGAGTCCTCGGCATCCTCTACCTTCGCCTTTTTCCCATTGTCAGTATCCTCCACTTCGTCCATAAATTCCACCTTGCGTTTGCCCAAGTTTGATCCTTCCGCAGTGGTCGGCAATGCAGCCGGAGTTGAAGCAGAGGATCCAAAGCCACTGTCCCCACCGTCGGCTTGTGCGTTCTTTGGCTTCTTTCGTTTGACCAGCCCCGATACATCAGTCGCCGTCTCCGCCGCTTGAGCCAGTTTCTTTTTCTTCTCTTCTTCGGATGCGCCGCTTCCCAACAGACTGCCCAATATGCCAGAAATCTGTTCTTTCATCTGATTTTCCGACTCCGCTTTGACACTGACGGGTGGATTGCGGAGCTCTGCCAGCCGCCCTTCCATTTCGGCAACCATGTCCTGAACGTCCTCAATCTGAGCCATGGCCTTGTCTTTTTGAGGGCCAGCTTCAAGCTTCTCCATCGCAGATGTTTCTTTGGAGATGCGCAATTTGCAGCTGTCAATTGCTTTCTCCTGCTGGGCAATAGCTTCATTCCGGACGTCCCAATCAACCTGCCAGTCGCCGGTTGGGTTCCCTTGTTCATCGTGCTGTTGTGTCTGGGAACTGAACTCAAGGGCCAAACTAAGCTTGTAGTGACATTCGGCCAGAATACTCGACTCCGGAGGTTCAAGCTCCTCCCTCAGGGCAAGACATGCCTTGAGATCTGTGACGGCATTCGAGTACTTCTCTCCTTCCAGAGACACTTCTGATTGCAGATCGTAGATGTCTGCAGCACGGTTCTTTAGTGCCTTGACCTCTGGTGTGAGGTCAATTGATGCCACATATTTCCCTTTCTCAGAGTCTTCCAATGCGTGTTCTTGACTTTGTTCTAATTTCTTGAGATATAGGATGCGCGCCAAGTCCAGAAGCTCGTAGGACGTGGCGAAGTCATCCTCCTCCTCCTCATCAGCCTCTTCGTCCTGGTCTGCCTCATCCTCATCCGAATCGTCCCAGCCTTCGGCATCGCCAGAGATTTGGAAATAGGGCTTGTCTGAAGTGGACTCCTGAGGTTGTACATCTTCTTTGGGGACGACATCACCGACACTAGGCACCGGCTCCTCTGGGACCGCGACCAACGACTTGGAGCTGTCGCCGGCGGCGCCTCCATTTGTAGACCCTCCTGCTTTCGCTGCGCCGTTCGCTTTCCTCTTCTTTCCAGACTTTTGAGATTTGCTCGAGGATAATTGTGCTGATGCCGCGGTACCGCCTAAGACATTGCTTGTTTGCTGCGCTAGAAAGAACAGGCATTTTCCATAGGAATACAACAGGTCGGCATTCTCGAGCGCCATCTCTCCATTGAGCTCGGCTTGCAGCTCCGTCGCCTGGGAGTAGAGCTCCGCCGCCTCCGAGTAGTGTTTGACGGCATATTCGGCTGTCGCCTTTGCGATAAGGTCCGCCAACTGCTCTTGCTTCGTGGGCTCCGAGTCGGGCTTGGGAGTTTCGTCAGCAGGGGTCGCCATGGCTCGCAATAGATAGAAAGTGGTTGAATACGAGAATCGCGATGATGCTGTAATGAAAAAGTAGCGAAGAGTGAAGGAAATATGGTAGAGAGTTGAAGGAGAAGTGATGGTGGTGAAAGGTGTGCGGGATCATGTCACGTCACAAACTCATCGCAAACGCGGCACGCGTAAAGTGATTTGTTTACGCGTCGAGGCCTCAACTTTCTCCTGCTTTCACTCCCATCTTACTGCGCATTTTACACATTGCTCATTGAGTCCAACCATGGAAGAACCCATTTCGACTCCAGGACTGCCTACCCGGACATACAAAGCACGGTCTGACCTACGTGCCGAAGAACAGTTACTCTCCTCATCGCCGGGCTTCGGTACGCCAGCATACCCAATCAAGCCCCGACAGACAGAAGTTGCAAAGCCCTTTGCAGCGCAATTGAACACCAGTACAACTACACATAGCGCTCCCACAGTCTTGCCCATCCTCCTTCCCCCTCAAACTCTCAGACCTGTCGCTTTCCGGACCCTCACGAAGAAACACAACCTGACCCTGACCTCGTCGGGTCTCGGATTGCTCTCTACGTTCATCGGCAAATTCTGTGGCAGCGGCTGGCGAGAAGAAGGTCTTGCAGAACGTGTGTTAGATGAGATAGCAAAAGCATGGAAGAAATGTGGAGGCGGCCTCCTTGTCGAGGATGGGCCCGAGAAAAAGCTGTCTAGCATCTTGAAGAGTTTGGAACCGTGCATGTCAGGCGGGCGTCTGGACACGGGGAAACTCTCTCGGAGCAACAGTTCAGTACCGAGTCCTAATCTGTCCCGAGCGTCTTCCTTCACCACGGGGCGACCAGATGCGAACACGGATGTTAGCCAGTCGAGCCTAGGACCCTCGGCCGTTAATGTGGAAGATGGAGAATCGCGAGATCGAGCGGAGGAAGAAGAGCAATCTCTGCTGGATGTCCGGTCGTACTTGAAGGTTATCCCAGCGTTTGACCAGCCCCGACTAATGTACTCGACTTCGTCAAAAAGTCTGGAGCCTGTAAAAGGCGCAGCCAGCCTGCTCCCTCCCATTCAACACAAGATCTCAATGTTCCGAAATCACTACCACCTCGTCCACCAGCGACTGATGCGAAATGAATCATTCCAAACTCCATCATTCGCGACCACTGCGAGACCACCTAGGCTGATGCATTCAGCAAGTGGCATGACAACAATGCAACAAGCCTACAAAATTACTCCCATAGCAAACCTCCTTGGCAGATCAGGAACCTCTCATCTTTTACTGGGTATGCTGGTACACTCTCCAGCTGGAGATGTCGCACTGACAGACCTATCCGGGAGTGTGATACTTGAGCTGTCAATAGCCCGGCCTGTGCCGGAAGATGGTGTATGGTTTTGTCCTGGCATGCTCATTCTTGTGGAAGGAACTTATGAAGAAGACGGCTCTCACAACTCAAATCTGGGCTCGGCTGCTGGTGTAGGTGGACAGATCAAAGGCGTCTTCGTGGCCCACACATTGGCCGGTCCACCAGCCGAACGACGAGCCTTATCTCTAGGTATTTCCAATGGTTTGGACTCAGGAGGTAACACGCATGCAAGCATGGGTGCAGGATTCGGCTGGATCGATTTCCTCGGCGTAGGGAGTGAGAAAGCGCTTGGGAACCAGATGCGTCGCATTCAACGACGTATTTTCAGACCACCCACTCCCTCCCAGACCCTCGACGTCCCAGATGAGGACGAGATCGAAAGTGAACCGCCTCGTCGTCAAATTGCCCTGTTGGGGGAGTGCAACCTCGACAGTCCCCGAACGCTAGAAGCAATCCGCGCCATCCTCTCCTCCTACAACGCCTCCAGCGCTGGACATATAAGTGACCTACCTTTCACCATTGTCATGATGGGCAACTTCATCTCGGCGGCAGCCATGTCAGGATCCAGCAAAGGCGGCGGTAGCATCGAATACAAAGAACATTTCGACGCCCTAGCTTCGATCCTGTCAGAATTTCCTCTGTTGTTGGCAACCACAACGTTCGTCTTCGTGCCAGGGGACAACGACCCGTGGGTGAGTTCATTCTCTGCGGGTGCGAGCTGTTTGCTCCCGAGACAAGGGATCCCAGAGGTGTTCACCAGTAGAGTCCGACGGGCGTTTACCGCCGCCAACGCTGAGGTTCATGGTGGATTGAAAGAGAAAGACGGGCTAAGAGGGGAGAGTATATGGGCAACGAACCCAGCGAGGATGAGCCTATTTGGGCCGTTGGAAGAGATTGTGATGTTTCGGGACGACATCACAAGCCGGTTTCGGCGGACTGCCCTCACGTTCCCGAAGCTCGATACGGACGAAGAGGAGAGTGGAGGAGGAGCAGCAGCTGCCAACGTCCAGGATCAGGACCAAGATCCTCCGCAGTCTGATGTCGAGGAGATGGACCTTGACGATCATCCTAGGAAGAATCTCGACAGAGCCGTCCACAGCGCCACCTCGCACGTCCCTTCATCGGGTCCCGCCCGTCCATCCCTCCAAGCAGCGCGGAAACTCGTCAAAACCATCCTCGACCAATCTCACCTCTCTCCCTTCCCATTGTCCATCCGTCCCCAGCTCTGGGACCACAGCGGCGCATTGTCGCTGTACCCGCTGCCCACGGCGCTGGTGCTCTGCGACGCCGAAATGCCGGCCTTTGCGATAAGCTACGAGGGATGCCACGTCATGAATGTCGGCAGGCTCGTGGACGAATTCTCGCTGCGCAGAGGAGGCCAAGCGGGCGTCGCCAGGGGCAGTGGGTTCGCGAGATGGATTGAATATGATTGTCGAAGTAGGAAAGGGGAGGAGAGGACGTTGAGGTTTTGAGGTATAAAAAAGGGTGGGGAATGGGAAACCACGAAGGTATGAGTTGACATGATAATGTTGAGGTGGTATATAGCGTAGAGCATACAGGGTATATACGCTTTCAGAGACTGGGTCTTTATGGTAAACTTAAAAATGCACTACTATGTGGTATATAACGCGCGGAAAAACGTTAGCATGACTACCTAGGTACAGAGCAGCTAAACAACACCGAAACGACAAGCCACTCCGAATGTGTACGTACCTACATAGGTATCTAAGGTAGATACCTGGGTTTCTTTCGGTACGCTGATATATACCTCGCCATTCCACGCACGAACAGATGCACCACCTAGTGGGCTTGTTTTAAAGCCCAAAAAAAAGGTATTCTAATTGATGCACACTGTCTCTAGTTGCAGTACAATTTACAGTGATGGGTAGAAGTTGGGCGCTCAGCCAAGAATGGACTGCCTCATTCTTTTCGTCAGGCGCCTGTGAGGTGCACTTCAGCCTGATCGAATATTCTTTACCATGTACCCTCCTGCCTTCTTCTACACGGCTGCCTCTACGGCTCGATCATCGCTTCTTGCAGATGCCATCATGAAACTACCTCTGATCCGTTGCGCAATCACAGAGGCTCCTTCACCTACACTTTCGCCGACCTGGAACCTATTCTGAAGCAACAGCGATACCATTTTCTCCCATGAGATTACTCCCTATAGCCCCCTTCCTCCCTTCCCGGCGTGAAGTTTACAGAACGCCGGCATCCAAACGGATCGGTCCAGCAATCTTCTTCCACTCTACTTCGCACCCCCTCTCCATCGCTGCCCAGAATCTGACACGATGCGCCTATTGAAAGTCGATGGTCAGGGTGAGCTGAGCCTGACTCAAGACTTGACCGAAGACATCCCGAGCTACGCGATCTTATCGCACACTTGGGCGACAGATAAGGGGCACGAAGTTACCTTTGACGACATGAAAGGCAATAAGTCGAGAAATCGACAGCGAAAACAGGGGTATACTAAGATTCAGCTCTGTGGTATACAAGCCCAAAAGGATGGTCAACAATATGTCTGGGTGGACACATGCTGTATCGACAAAAAGGCCTCCTCTGAGCTCAACGAAGCTCTAATTTCGATGTTTCGCTGGTACCAAAATGCAGAAGAGTGCTATGTGTATCTGCCGGACGTATCACTGGATATGAACAACGGAAATCATCCGACCGAGGAGATATGGCAATCAAATTTTCGGAATAGTAGATGGTTCACCCGCGGCTGGACGCTTCAAGAACTTCTTGCTCCGAAATCAGTTCACTTCTTTTCACGTGAATGGAAATTGCTGGGTAACAAGCGTACACTCGAAAAACTAATTCACGAGATTACCCAGATTCCTATACCCGCTCTCCGCCGTGAGAACCTAAACAGTTTTAGTGTCTGCGAGCGGTTGAAATGGACGGTCAACCGGAACACAACAAGGGAAGAGGATAAGGCATACTGCCTACTGGGCATATTTGACGTGTACATGCCCATCATGTATGGCGAAGGAACGAATGCGTTTCATCTACTCAAAAGCGAGATCCATAACCGATGGAGGCAGAGCACAGATGGAGAGGAGTTGCCTCTCGCCCTAGATACTAGCCGGTAAGTCATCTCTGATATTCCGAAGAATTTCTCACGTTTTTGATAGCAGGGTGGTAGAAGAAGCAAATGTCTCGATTCGAGAACCTATCGAGAGAAGCCGGAGAGGGATTGATAGATCAAACAGGGCCGTACAAAGCAGCCAGCAAGAGAGTCAAACTGACCGCAGCGAGATGAGCACACTCGAAATTGGGGTTGCGCACCATCTCAGTGCCTTGCACGGGATAACATTCGAAACCTTCGCCTTCAGCGTCATTGTGGCCGTATTCGACAACTGTGTTCAGGCTTTACGAAGAGCTAGATGGAGCATGGTTCAGATGATAGGTAGGACAGACCAGTCCATGCAAGCGCTCAGGGAGACGCAGAGTGAGATGGAGGCTGCCAGGCGGGTTGTTATCTCGGAGTGTGAACACGTGGAAAAAGCGCAAACGGAACTGAAGCAACGAGGCTCCGTGGAGAGGGCTGATGATTACAGCTTAAGCTTGCTCTTCGGGGAAGGCCAAGATGATCCTGAAGATACGACAGTCTACGACACTGAAACCCATATTGGCCGAGGCGAGAGTAGAGCAGCCTATACCCCAGTTGAAACCATATCATCTCAAACTGAACAGACCGAGACTCAATCAGATCAGAGCCCCCCACACTCCAACCACGAAGCCATAGACGACGAAGCAACCGAAAAGGAGTTACTTCGATATCGGATCAACGCCCTTCGAAGTGCAAACAAACAACTTAAGAGGAGCATAAAGCAGAACCGGCTCGAGCTTCGAGAAAGGGAGAATCAAAGGAGATTACAACAACAGCGGATCAAAGAGATGGCGAGAGAATCTGAGAGACTCAGACGGGAGGAGAAAGAGAAACGTCAAAGCTGGGGGTTTTGTACAATTCTCTAGGTGTCTACTAAATTCTGTTTGACGTTGAAAAGATTGCTTATGATTTTGTCTTTAGATCCGGTGAAGTCAGGATGATACAGTTATAATGGGAGACGTGATCTTGATCCTTACTGCCGTTGGACTCCTCAACAAAACAGATCCCGACTTAAATTTCTGGTGATCCGACGGCCGCGTACTATTTCTATACATCTTTGTCAGTGAACCAGACTTGTCGAAAGTGGTGACGAGTTGGTTAAACTCTTTCGTCCGCGCCTCCGAGGGCTGGTGCACCCGCGATAGGATTGCATTGAGAGAATCGGCAGGTTTGGCACATGATGGAAGATGGAGATCCTTCTATCGCCAAGTTGGGCCGGCTACTAATTGCAACTTCAATACAGAAGCCATCAGTGGAAATTTTTCGTGTACATTACTCGCTAGTTGCACTCACTCCCAGCCCAGTCACAATCAGCCACACAAGAGTGCAGCTCGTGCTAATGTATTTCGAGTGATTGGTGTGGGTGGTCCTTTTCTCCTTCTCTCCGGGATTTCCAAAGCGACTGTCTTCCCATGGTACTTGTACATCGTTGGCGCCCTCTACCAACTCCCCTGGCATAGGCCAGACGCTCCCCAGAACCAGGACGCGTCCACAAGTACTCCTAATACTCCATTTTCAATCTCTCGAGTCGTTTCATAGCCGCCTCAATCACAGCACCTTCCCTCTCAACCGTGGCCATGATATCCGCGATGCTTTCTTTTTGCAATCGACTAGAAATACCCAGTCCGCCGAAATTGGAACTTCTGGGGGATGCGGCGGCTCCGCTGGACCGGGACGTAAGGGTGATTTGCGACGCTGACATGGATGGCGTAATTGATGATGCCGAGATTGAGGACATGGAGGCGTCCAGACCTGGAGGCCCTTTCGGCGACGCCGGAGATTGTTGCTGTTGTTTTTCGATACTGTGAGCCTCTTCCACAAGGGAGCGAGTGAGTTGTTTGACCTATAGTCTCTTGTCAGCCGTGATTCAGGTAAGAGCGGATACAAAGCAAGGTTACATACCGTCTCAAATCGCTTGTCGAGAGTTGTGTCGCTTCGGCCTGCCTCTTGCTCGCCGTCCTCTTTACCCACAATGCCAACATTCTGGCCGAGGCTGTCGATCTCATGCATCCAGGCCAGTTCCTTAGAGCTCAGTTCTCGGTTCGCCGATCCGACATGACCCACCTTCCTTCGTAGAGCCTCATATCTCGCTACCAGCTTGCTCTGCCGCTCTCGTGCCTCGTTGATCCTGGTCTCGGGTGTTTTCCTCTCCTTGACATTGCCATTCTCATCCTCCTCCGTGGTAGCGGTAAGACGCTGCAGCTGTTGAGCTAGTTCCGTCATCTGCTTGACCTGACCAGCAAGTTCGATTCTCAGACGTTCACACCGCCGGAAGAGTTCTGCAGCTGCATTCTCGAGTCCAGCTGACTGGACGCCAACCGTGCGATGGGTGAAAGTCATGATCTCTAACATGGCTGGGCTCAAACGCATAGGCCGTTCGGAGATGACCTTTTTGAGATGTGGCGGCAGACGTTGGCGCATCGAGTCGATGGGAATATGCTGGTTGAAGTAGAAGATTTTGGGAGGACAATATGGCTCTCGCGCAGGAATCGTTTCGATGGGTGACCCCGGCATATTCACAAATTGAGCTTCTAGATGACTAGAAGACATAGTGAAGTCCGTAGTTGAAGGGCCAACAATTGAGGTGCCTATGGGCGCCTGATCGAAGACCACTCCATATGGAGCGTTCGACGTTGCGGTCAAGAGAAAATATCCCAATGATGTGTCGTCAATGGTCGTCGGAGCCGAGAGGGCCTCAGAAGGCTCACGCACCTCGATTAATTTGTCGGTCAGACAAACTTGATTCTGACATCGGGTTTCCAGCCTGGTTTTCAGACCGAGATCGACAGGTTCAGTTCCAGATAATTCAGCACCTAGCTGGGTGACCCAGTCATCCAAGGACACTGCGTACACATGCTTTTGAGTGGTCACAAAAATTGAACAATTGTAGGCAATGTCAGGAGTGAAAACAGGCCAATTAGTCGCAGGGTCCGTGGTCGTTCCGTCAAGCGTAACGACATCAATCAATGTCAGGGGTGTGGCGTCAGATGAAGGCACACCAAATGCACTTTTCCCTTTCTTGGGCAGCCACTGTCCTGTCACGCCATCAAGGTCAATGGCAAACCAAACTTGATTCTCAGGCGTGGCAACACAGATAGTTGTGAAGGAGATAGGCTGGACAAGCCCCGGGTCGATTTCATCGTAGTCTTCACCGTCGAAAAGGTCTTGTTCATCGAGCTTCGCAGGAAACACATGGATATCAGAAACCTCAATCTCTGAAGCATCCTCCTCGGGGACGATCGTGAAAGGCCCTTGAAGACGTGGAATGGCACTCGGGTTTTGCGGTCTGTACCGTATCTCGAATTCACCAAGGCTATCGATCGATTGATGAATCTGGGGCTCCTCATTGTCGATTTCTTGGACCCACTCGTATTGCTGGTCGGCGGCCCGTCTTTCGTCCATGTCCGTCTCGTCGTCATTAATTGATGCCATTCGTGAGACAGCGGTGGTGGTCAGCGAGGGAATAGTTGTTGACGTCGGCTTCCACCTCGATGGTAACAGCGGGCACAGAGCGTACAGATCCCCGTTCCTCATGGCAACCCAAAGCGTCATACTCGCCCAGGCATCTTCGTCCTCCCTACCTCGACCACCAAAACACGCAGCAGAAGCTTCCATGTCAAAATCGTCGACAGAAAATCCACGAGTTTTGCCAAAGCCGGACGGCTCAAAATCTTGGTCGCACGAGACGCCATCGGCGAGTTTTCGGAGGTCTATGGACAGTTTTGGACGGTCGAGGGACCAGCTGTTGGCCTTGTCAAATTCCCAAACTCGAACCGCTGCTTCGGCAGTCACTGTGACCAGACAATCAGTGGAAGCAGTAGCGCAGGCCAGGGGATGCCATAGCACGGATGCGAGCGGAGATTCTGGAATGACATGGACCGTTGGACCAAGCTGATATGTTTTCACTTTTAAAGGTGAACGGGCATGCTCCTTCAGCCGCGATGAGTCCGGAAGCACTGCGATGTGGACAGTATGTTCTGTGCAGATGGCTAGAAAAAGGCCTGAAGGGGAAATCGAAATCTGGCGAATCTGGTAGTAGACAGGAACAGCTAACGTCTACATTTGTCAATATTATCTCTCCGTATGATGAATTGCCCCACGTACTCTGTAGACACTGTCTCCGGTGGTCTCCGTTGCGTCAGAGCGAGACTGACCAAATCGACTGGCGCCAGACTGGGTGTTGTCCTCCCATTCGTCTCGAACAGCGCTGAGATCTGCCCATCTCACTTTATTCCCCACGACCGTGAATATTTCGGTGCCCCTGCTGGCGACCAATCTTCTCGGTCCTTGATATTGTGTCGACGGGAGGGCGCCAAGGTAAGAGGAGCGTTTAGAGGGAGAGGCGGGCGACTGAGGCTCTGGGTCTGTGAAGATTCTAGAGCCTGGCGACGGTCGCGACAGGAATGGGGGAGTATATCCAATAACCTTAGGCATTTTGGCTCTTGGAATGAAAGTTATCGTGAGACTAAACGTGCATTGGAAGAACAAGTCTCTAGACCTTGCTGCACAAGGGCCAGGACAAAAGCGCAGTCTCACAGAAAGTCGTGAACATTAAAGAAAGTGAAATTGGGCGCGTTTTGCGGAGAAACAGTTTTCCCGATATAGCAGCTTCATGGCGCTGCTTTTAGGACCTTCTTTTATCGCATCCACGTGATCTTCACTTCAGTAATGACCATGGGGCCCTTTTCGGATAGAGACGACTGTATATGTGCGTAGCAAACAGAAAACCTGGGGATCGCCTACGAATATGCTTCTCTGTAAGAAAAGAGGACAAGAACTGGAACTATCCACCCACTATATGGAACAGTCCACGAGGAGCACACCACGAACGCTCACCACGACATACGGTATACCTGTTACTGATCAGACCTCAACGCATCTACAATGTTTTCCAAACCAAATCTTCGGCGGGCGTCCGGTTATTCTCTCTCGAGGCGCAATGGCTAGTAAGGATTTCCCTGAACCGGAAAACCACAACCTGTTCCCGAGTTGGACCATACCTTTGCCTTCCGATAAAACAGCCCCGTTGATTGCCTCGTGCTTCAGAGCTCGACTGCTTCCACACCGAGCGATGGCTTTTTCTCGTTTACCTCTAGAGTGGGGGGTGTAGGAAGGTCACTTGATGGTGAGTTGAGTTCGAGTTGACCGCTCCTCTTCTTTTGTCTCTTCTCCCGATGAGCGAGCACAGCGATGAGCGCAAACACGATCACGTTGAGTCCCGCAACCACGGCTGCTGCTCTGTTTCCCGGTGTGACTGAGGATCGGCAGGTATTAGTCGAATAAGTCTGTTGATTAGAGAGAAGACATAGACGAACCATTAGGTTGATGAATCTGTTGGAACCAAACCAATGGTATCCATGCCGTGAAAGTATCTTCAAACAAACCAAATCTGTCAGTATATGATCTAACTAGAGAATAGAAAGAGAGGGAGGGAGGAAATGAAACTTACACTGGAGAGTGTTCATGGCGGCCGCAGTGAAAGCTCTTTGCTCAGCATTGTCGGAAATCAACTCAGCCATCCATCTTTGACAGTGAAGATCATTAGTCATAGCACTCGGCCAAGGAGAGAGCAAACGCATGAATAACTTACGCCATGGTAAGCGGAACACAGGCTCCTCCAATCGAGGACACAATATAGAGTGGTGCTCGATGAGAGAAGGGACCAAAAACAGGAGTTACGGCAAGCAAGACAAAGATGACGATGGCGACCAGATTTGAAAAGATGATGATCGGCCAGCGGTGGCCTCTGAATGGCCCGTCAGAGATCCAGACAGCAAGAAGAGAGTATGCCGCAGTAAAGGCGTTTCCGATGGTCGGATATTCGTTCTAACAACCCGAGAACATCGTGATCAGTCCAATCCCTTTCCTGCGGATGAGATGCGGAGGACACTTACAATCTGGGCAACACTGTAGACGGGTGGCTTGCCCTTGATGTTGTGTGCTTTGAGCCAGAAAACGAAGGAGGTCAATGGCTGGCTTCCAAAGGGTTGCATTGCTGTCGGAGGTTAACAAGTTTTAGCGACTTCTGGTACCCCAGCTGAACGAAGTATGCTTACTGAAAATAAGGGTGAAGAGAACCGTCTTCCAGCTAGTGAAGTAGCCCATGATAACCTTGACGGTGTAGGGTTTGCCTTCAGGAACTCGACCAGCCCTTGACATGCGCTCTCGCGCGAGTTCGATATCCTAAATGTCAAAAATGGCCGGTCAATCATCTGGCCTTATCGACTTTGACGAATTCAGTACATACCCGTTCGGTCAGCAACCAGCTTGGTTTTGCGGTTCCCGGAGTGTCAGGCAAGCAGAAGTAAGCCAGAAGGGCGACTGGGAAAGAAATCACGCCGTTGATGACTGTAGTGCGGAAAGAGCTACGTTAGAATTGAAAGGGCACAGGACCAGGACTGATCAGAGACCTACCAAAAAGCCATCTCCATCCAGCAAGCCCGGCATGTCCATTGAGGGAATTATAGATCCCCGCTTGCAAGAAACCACTGAAAATCGGCGCAATGGATACTGCAGATTGAAGAATGCCATTGCGTTTTCCAAGCTCGCCTGTTAGCCAGAGAAAGATTAGTGGCGTCCAGAATCAGCATCCCAGTGTACCAGTAAGCCAACCTACGTTTATTGTACCAGCTTCCAAGGATGTAGTAAAGTGCTGGCCAATACCCAGCCTCAAAGAGACCGACGACAAACCGAAGACCGAGCATTGCATGGTAGCTCTTTGCCCCTGCAAGGGTAAAGGTGAAGATGGTCCAACCTAGTTCGAGGAACGGAATCCAGACTAGGGATTCAGAGTCAGTAACGCTCAGTACTTTGGGAAATGGTGCTATTGGGAAGGTGCTTACTATGAGCACGGACTCGTGTCAAGATGAAGTTCGAAGGCTGCATTGAGCTGCTGTCAATGTTTGATCTAAAGTCAGATTTGCGCCCGCCAAAGCACATACCCATTGCCCAATGATGTAGCCAACAGTCCATGCAACGATAATGTAGTTGTACTGATTTTGATATAGGTTGAGGTCTTCCTTCATCCCGGAGACAAATGCATTGGTGATGTTTGAGGTATCGATCTGTGTACATAATGTTAGACTGGCTTGTGGAGGAAAGAAAAGAAGGTACTTGCCCATTTCGTCAACATCCCCAGGGTACCGAACGTCAGGAGCGTGGAATCCAACTGCAGTAAGAGCATCGACTTAGAACAGATGCACTCTGGTAAGTGGTAGCCTTGGAAGCTGACCAACCTTTAGAAGAAGCCTCCGTTCCTCTTTGGGTACATCAGCCGAATCCCACAGCCATCCTTTCCAACTCCCGGATCGCGTGGACGAAGTCACTGAGGCAGCCTTTTCTGTCATTTCGGGGGCAATCGAAATGGATGAAAGCGAAAGAGCAAGAAGCAGGCCAGGTGGGCATAGGTGAACTGGGAATAGAAAGGTGCTGGATATATGTAACGCACGGCGGACGAAAAATCACGCCAAAGCCTACCCAAGGTCACGGCTCGGTCTCGCCCTCAACGGCTTCTTCATCGTTGAATGCAAGTCGATGCGAGCAACTTGTGAGAGGATGTCTTGGTCTTGCCAGTGGTTACATATCCGACAAGCACGATTTTCTCGATGCCTCGGATAAGAATCTTTGCTGTTGTCATTTCGACTACGGACGACGACATCGACGCGCCTCGATTGGTCGATAAGGAGTCTCTGGTAAAGCTCTTATTGACTGTGTGTACAATATGCAGATTCTGACAATGCCAACAGAGACGATGATGAGGAACTGGCAATCAAGATGGCAAATGGCGTGACTGATACTCTCATGAAGATGAGGGTCTAGACTTCCTCCCACCCGACGGCGAGTCCTAATGTGGTAGAGTATCAGTAGATTGGGGGGAGAAAAAGAGAGAGGAATTGGAAGAACAAACAGACATTCGAGATGTGGCAATCATGATGGTAAATGGCGTGCCTTGAGCCACATTCGCCAAATGGTCGGAACTATGCAACTTCTCGTCGAAACAGCAACGAGGCTAAGGCACCGCTAGACGGCGGCCCGCCAATTAGTCTCTGACGCAGTCAATTCCGTGGCTCTTTGTAGAATAGACTTGCATACCTTGTTGCATCAGCCACTATAGGAAGCAAGCACCACGGTTTTCTGGGAACGGAGTCATTGTTGGTTCTGGAACGTTCACGTGGAGAAGAGAGTATTGCTCGGCGCCCCCGGAGCGACTTTCAAGGAGATCACTCCCGTCATTGGCACGGAGGTTCGCGGTCTTCAATGAGCGCGCTGACAAAGAAGCAAAGAGAGGAGCTGGCGCTGTTATCAGCAAAGCGAGGCGTGGTTATTTTCTTCGATCAAGACTTTGTAGACATTGGTCCAGATCGGCAGTCCGAGTTTGGTGCATATTTTGGCAAGCTCCATGTTCACCTGGTGTGAGGGCACATCCAGGACTACCCTGAGTTACTCCCTGTTTATCGAGATCGCGTGTAAGAGACAGAAGTCAGCCTGAATCGCGTAAAGCTTTGCAATCTTAATGACGGGTGATATTGAACTGGAACAGAGAAATCAAGAACAACGTCAGCAGCATCAAGTGGCATTCCGATATGAGCTATGAAGTGTGAGCATTCTCATGCCGTAAACCTCGCTTGGGAAAGACTGGGCGCATCGGAGGAACCGGGCATAGCTGATGGGCACCTCTTGTCCGCGAGACTCCCAGTGCCACGAGACACTGAGCTTTCAACGTTGGACTTTGTGAGAGATGGTAGTCTTCAGGGCGGAGTTGGAAAGAAGCTGAGGCGATTTCGAGTCGTAACGTGGAGGAATAAAGCGGCGAAGAGCACTTCTGCATGTGATTGGCGTAGAAATGCTGGTCTCCTAAAACAGCGGAGGTCCTCCGATTGCGCGACGAGGAGGAGACGCGGCGCAACTTGGTTTCATTTCCCCATCACTCATTCTCCCACTGCGGCCCGACAAGTGCGAACATCATGTCTACGGTCGAGAGACTAGACAAGCCTAGTACATACTATTCTGCAAGGGTTGGTATCTGCCTCGTATGACGATTGAAGCGAGATCTGAACTGACGCGCTTTGAAGAAGAAGCGCAAATACGGTCGTGATCTCCCTGAAGATGTCGACAAGCAAGCAGCAGAACAGGATGACCTGCTGAAAGATGCCACCACCCTCTACGTGGGCAACCTGTTCGTCTTCCGTGACCAACATTTGCTGGGCATCAGGCTGAATCTCGCGCAGGTCATTCTACACTACCGAAGAACAGATCCACGAACTGTTCTCCAAATGCGGCGAAATCAAACGTCTCATCATGGGTCTGGACCGTTTCCAGAAGACGCCGTGCGGCTTTTGCTTTGTGGAATATTACACACATCAGGAGGCACTGGATTGCATGAAGTACATTGGCGGCACCAAGCTCGACGAACGCGTCATCAGAACCGACCTCGATGCGGGATTCCAAGAGGGTAGACAGTACGGCCGCGGCAAGTCGGGTGGCCAGGTCAGAGACGAATACCGAGACGAGTTCGACCCCGGTAGAGGAGGCTATGGTCGGGCGATTGACGCAGAGCGGAAGAAAGAGGAAGAAGAATATGGTGGGGGCAGATGATGAAACATCCTCAATATGTGCATTGCAGCATCTCTATCCAACGTGCTGGCCTCATGAAACTCCATTCGCCGTACCGACCACATCCAAAACTTGCCTTAACCACCACACATGGATTCGGATGTCCGAGGTCAATTCAGGATGGAAGCTGGTACCGAAGACATTGCCTTGCTTGACGGCAATGATATCCCCCACATCCTCCACAGTGTGTACGTCAGCGCCCATGCCAGCTGCTTTCTTCAAGCGACCGGGCAATTTGCCCATGATGTCAACATGAGAACTCATGGCCTGCCGGGCGTGCTCGTCTTTGGCAGACTTGTGTGGGGCGACGACGGTCTCTGCAAGCTGTTGTTCGCCTTCCTGAATTCCTTCCACATTGGGAAGGATCTTTTCGACAACGGGAGCGCGAATGAAAACGCCGGGGAAGGGCGTGTTGTCGACTGCGCCATTGGTTTGCAAGAAGGGCAAGTCAAGATCGGCTTGGAAGCTTTCTACTTGTCGTCCAAAATGGTTACGGTTCACCCGTACGTCCAGGCCCCCAATTAGTTCCTGGCCGCCCTTTTTAGTAGCGTTAGCCGCCTCGGCAAGCAGGATCAAGCCGGCGCAAGTTCCCCAAGTTGGTTTCCGGTTGACTCTGGCGGGATATGAGTCAGTCATCATAACGAGATCTGGGGAGATAAGGGGTGGTGTCTTACTTGACGAACTCCCGGAGCGGTTCCAGCAGACCCGACTGAGCGGCGACGAGGGAAATGGTTGTACTTTCGCCGCCAGGAATGATCAAGGCATCACAACGAGCCAAGTCTTTTGCGTTCCTGACTTCTGTAAACTCGAACGAGGCGGCAGCGCCCTCGTGCCGCAAGTAATCAGCCGCTTTCTGCAGCAGTATCAGATGTTCCAAGAAGGCGCCTTGTAGGGCCAACACGCCGACGGTGATTGTCATCGACACCTGCTCCCTCTTATCGAAGTGGTAGGCGATATGGGAGATACGGGAAGGGTGGAAGAGGCGTCTGGATGATAGTAGTACTAGGTAGCGAATAAAGGATGGGCTTCTCGCCGTTGTCCGTGGCTAGCCGTTAATTATCTGTTTGGTTCGTACTGGGGAAAAATTCAATATGATTCACCTGGAAAATGGCGGCCGGTCTGACAAATAGTTTCAGCGTATTTTGTACATTTACTGGTGTTTGAACACCCGTCAGACAAATTCCCATTTTTCATGACTGGCCTGGTCCGCCCTTTGATTGGGCATTTTTCCTTCGTTCGCCGACTTCTTACTCGGTATTCAGTTACTAAGTAACAAGAAGTAAGTACCTACCTACAGACCTGATCAGCATCTCGGCATCATCCATCATGCTTCCATCGCCCCTTTCGACCTCATGCCTCCGATCCAATAACACATTCATCTCATCTCCATCTGGCTCCTTCTTAGGCCTGAGACCTGTCAGCCTTGTGGAACCCTCTGATCTGGACACTTCTACCGATAAACCCGACACCCCAACGCGCTGTTGATCAGCCCCTTCGGCCAATTGCTAAATTAAGACTTTGTCTCCTGAAAGACTGTCAAATATCTATTCTGTCATTCATTCTTTTATTCTTCTTTCTTTGATATAGACTCATAGACTCAGTGATCCACTAATCAGCTCCTGATAGACCTTCATGTCCAACTCTACCCTCGCATTCTATTTTCACCTCCAGCAGGCCACCGCAAGATAACTGCTAGTTCGGCAATTGAGTGAATGTCTAGCGAGACCTGTCTTCGGCGAATGGACATCCCGTCACGGGTAGTATATCCTTGAGCATCTACTTTCTCGCGCCTTTGTGTTTGTCGGAGGCGATACACGGGATTCGCAGTTTACAGCATTGAGCACACCGCCATTGTTCGTCCCTGTTATGCTACACGAGCCAACGCCTGCTTGACACCGCCGACATCCGGAGCAACCTTGCACTATGTCGCCTCAAGGTCCCGCGACCTTCGTCACCACCGTAAACCGTTGGTATATCGACACACGGCCATATGTGCCCCAACCGCACAATCCCAAATCGCTCCACGAACTCCCGTTGCTCTCGACCGTACAGCGTTCCGATCAAGAAGCCATCACCCGATTTATTCGCCCCGCTGACCGCTTCATGTCCCTGGCAAGCGCATTGCTCAAGTACACATTCATCCACCGCCGCGCAAAGATCCCCTGGTCCGAAGTTCAAATATCCCGGACACCAGCTCCTCATCGACGTCCGTACTGGGAACCGCCCGAGAACTGGTCTACCACGGACATTTACGACGACAGCGACCCTGCCGACGATGAGTCATGCCGGATAAAAGGTCTCGAATTCAATGTCTCTCATCAAGCCGGTCTCGTTGTCATCATCGGCTGCTCCACGCCCACCCCCCAGCTTCCTTCATCCATCACTCCGAATCCTGGCCCGCTTTCCCCCACAGTTCTGGATTCCCTGGCGGAAATAGATCTCGCCCGTCACCCAACATGCACAGCTTTCGACCATCCCGATCTAGTCCGCCTGGGAGTGGATATAGCATGCACAAACGAGGACAAGCGCACCCCGAAAGACCTGACGACACAGTCCAAATTCGACGAGTGGATTGAAATTTTCGCCGAGATGTTCTCCGACCGCGAAAGACGCCACATGCGTCAAATGCCGATCCACGTCCCCATCAAAGAGCGCGAGGAAGGCGAGTGGGGGAGCGATTCGAGCTCGTCGTCGGCTGCATCCTCGCCCACGGACGGGCCTGGTGGCGGAAACACCAAGTTCTTCCAGAACCATGAGGCCAGGATCATCAACATGAAGTTGCGCCGGTTTTACGCGTATTGGAGTCTCAAGGAGGCGTATATCAAGATGGTGGGCGAAGGATTGCTGGCGAGTTGGCTGAGAGAACTGGAATTCCTCGACGTCCATGCTCCTCCTTCCCCACCGCTGCCCAAGCATGACGGGCGCCCATCCACAGCCTCGAACAGCCAGCCAAGGAACAGCAGTAATACACACAGCATTATAGAATCACAAGGCATGCCTCTTCCTGCATCCGCCGATATCTATGCGCACAGGAAATCCCTGGCGAACATCCCTTCCGTACCTCCTCCAGTCGACACATCCAATGCGAGTGGTGGTCTCGCGGCACCAGCAACGGATATGTTCGCTAAGCGCGAATCCGTCGGGAACATTCTCACCCCACCTGGCGCATCATCCGACACGCACCGTCGAAGATCCTCGATCCCTGCCGCCGACATGTACGCGCAGAGAAGACCATCCGTCGCCTCCCCGATAGAGGGCAACAAGCCCCGAAAGCTCTCCATACCCGCCTCCGCCGCGATAGCCCCGGGATCTTCCCAAGGTTCTCACGCGCGCAACCGTTCGCGCGACTACCTCTCTCCCTTTCCCGACTCCCCCAGCACCACACCTTCGCTCCTCGAACCGCCCCTCCCAGCAGCGCGCCCTTCCTCGCCCAACGGCCGTGGCCACCACCCCTCCCCCGTCGAGACCGCGAAATGGACACCCCCCAACCAAGCCGAGAGGGGCATGACCACCCTGCTCCGCGGCAACCGGGTGGAAGACGTGCAGATCGAGCTCGTGGCGTATGACCAGGACTTTATGATCGCGACTGCCATGAGGGGCGTCAAGGAAAGGCCCATCTCCGGCGGTGACGGCGGTGCAGGCTGGGGCGAAGGCAGTGGGTGGTGGTTGAGGTTGGATATTGAGGAGGACATCAGACCCTGCGCTGAGGGCTGGTGTAGCTGTTTAGAAGAGTAGAATTCATACCTAGGTATTCAAGGGTTTCACTTGCCGCCGCCCTGCTCCCAAGAAGGGCAAGTCAAAGCTGAAAACGAAAGAATCAACGAAAGCACATGATAACGACAATGACTTTATTCTTTTCTATCCATCCATCCATCCATTTCCATCCCCCATCATCAGTCAGCTCCCCTTCTTTTTTTCCCCCCTCCCCAATCACGAAATCATCTCGACCTTGACCAGGCTCGCAAAATAGCCGGGCTGCCCAATGCCGACTTCCCCTTGCATATCCCGGCCCAGCTGATACAGCGCGTCCAGAAAACCCGGGATAAACGACCCGGGACCGCGACAAAACTCGGCTGCGTCTTCGGCTGCGAGTTCAAAGTGCAGAATCCCGGCGAGGGCGGCGAGGAATTTGTCGTCCGGGTGGACGACCATGTAGCTCGCGATGACGGCGCCCAGGGCGCACCCACTGCCAGTAATCTTACCTAGCCAGGAAGTGCCGTTGTGGATGGCGACGGTGCGCGTGCCGTCGGATAGGTAGTCGGTTTTGCCGGTCATGAGCACGATGCAGTGCTCGCGTTGTGCGAGTTGCTGGACTAGCTGGGCTTTCTGCGCGGCGCTCGAGTCCGAAGGGCCCGAGTCGACGCCGCGCTGTTGGATGGTGGATGTTCCCGCGACGGCGGAGATCTCGCCCTCGTTGCCTTTGATGACGCTGAAGAAGCCCGCGGCGAGGAGTGTCTCGATCGCGGCCCGCCGGACCGCCGTCGCGCCGCCGCCAACGGGATCAAACAGGACTGGTTGCCCCGCGGCGTTGTACGCTCTCAGGCCCGCGATGTATGCCTCCAGCTTGTCCGGCGTGACGGTGCCCATGTTGACGACGAGGCAACCGCCCAGTTTCGCCAGGTCTGCGGCCTCGCCCGCATTCTCGGACATGATGGGCGACGAGCCCGTGCCGAGACAGACGTTGGCCACAAAGTTCTGCACCACCGTGTTGGTCATGTTGTGGCAGATGACGCCCGAGGAGGCGTGGGCTCGGATGATGTTGGGGGCGGCACCGATGAGTGTTTTCAGATCGGTGACCACCGGATGCTTATGTGGCGGGACGGCAGAGTAGAACTTTTCAGGCGCCGATTTGATCAAGTCGACAAGGGTGCGGGCCGAGTGTTGCGGGACGGTTGACGCCATGATGGCGCTGACCACGGCAATCCCGTTCAGGCGGTTAGACCCAGATGCCGATTGATGTAGCACTCGCTGGACATTGGAGGCGTTGATGCTGCCGATGGCGACGCACGGGATCGACTTTGCCGTCCCCGTGTCGCAGGTCTCCAGAATCTGCTGCAGGCCCCGCGTGCCGATAATGTGTTTTGTGTCTGTCTTGGTGGGCGTGGCGAACGTCGTGCCGATACCCAGGTAGTCGGCGCCGTCTCGGATCGCCTTGCCGGCCTCTTCGGGCGACGAGGCTGTGACCCCTATGATGGCCTCGGGGCCTAGGAGTTGCCTGGCAAGAGCAACGTCCATGTCATCCTGGCCGATGTGGACACCCTCAGCGCCGACAGCCAAGCACACGTCAACGCGGTCGTTGATCAAGAGCGGCACGCCGTGTTTCTGCGTGATGGCGTGGAGTTTCGAGGCGACCTCGACCATGGCGCCGGTGTCGGCGTGTTTCTCTCGATACTGCACCACGCCCACGCCGCCCTGAATCGCTTCATCGACAATCTTCAGGAGATCCTTGTCGCCCAGGATGGCCGGCGTCGAGTCTGTGACCAGGTACAGAGACCAGTCTATGGAGGAGGCGGCATGGTTGGAATTTGCTTTTCGTGACATTCTCGTAACAGTATATCGTCTGTAGTCGGATCTGATGGAGAAAGGGTGTAATGTTCACCGGGCTCAAACCATTTCCAACCGAGCGGTGGGGTGTCGTCCGTCGTCGAGGCTTTAGATGAGGATCTGAACCCGTGCAAAAAAGGACACTGCAAATTTTCTCGAGATTGTGTTTTTAAAGAGCGGGAGGTTGTCGGGAAATTCAGAATATTCCGAGGACAAAAGACGTGACAGATTAGCTTGGGTCCTTTTTTTTTTTGATTTGTTTTCTCCCTCTCTCTTCGTCCGATTATCACCATTTGCTTGCCCTGCGACTGCTTGGAAAGACACGGAGGGCAAATTCAAGACGAGCAAGTCAGCAAGCAGGCGGTCTGGTGGATGGATTCACCATATCGTCATCAGATGGTCTGATATTTCATGAGCTAACGGGCACCCGAGCCTTCTGGGCAAGGCGACCTGGCTAACGGGGGAATGAAGGTAGCCACGGTCCAGGGAAGGGCGCTGTATGAGCTGGGAGAGTATGCAGGTCGAAAGGAGGTACTACAAGCATTGACAGTGAGTGAACAGGGTAATAAACAGAAATGAGGGCATAAAATATTCGTTGTAGGCGTCCAACACAGTCCCTGTGCTCAGCCTTACGGATGATCCTGGAGTGCTCTACGGGTGAGTTTGCGGGTAAACCTGCCCCGGCTGCAGTGGTCCTAGGTAAGACGCCCGCTATATCCAAAGGGGTCAAGGCCTATTACTTCCGTACTTTAGGGGTGGACGCCTTAACCCCCAGGTACCCCGGGTGCCTACAGGCCATTGTTCCCGGCAGCCACAATGGATTTTTATGCATGCATCTCGGCTTTACTCGCTCTTCTCGAGATCCTCTTGCCCTCAGTCTGGCCATTCAGATTATCCACCTCGTCCACTCACTCAGGCACCCAACCAACTCAGCCCCCGTTCCGTTTGCCTTGCCCACCGAGTCATCACACCGAAAGTGAACAAAGTTACTGGGTAAGCAGTCCTCCTGGTGCTTCGTGGTGCCGTGGGTGCTTCTCGGTGACTCTCTGGTTGACGAATATCCTCGTTCTAGCGCAGCCGAAGGTCCTCCCGTCTAGTCCCTAGACAGCAGTAGCGCCTAGTCCCGCAACAAGAAGATATTTCTCTTCGCCTCCTTCCGCCAGACTTTTCTCTTTTTCTTTCTCACCATCATTACTTCACTCTGTCCAGCGGCCGAGAATCTCTCGCTCTCGCCCAGATATCCCCATCGTCACAGACTCCTCCAAAGTCCCAGTATTTCCATCGCCCTCAAAGACCAGTTCGCTCTCTCGTCCTGCTCGGCTCGTCCGATCCGCTGTGTCCTCAGCCCATTCACCGCAGAAGCAAACGCCTCAGCAGTCACAAGCGCAGGCCCATCGATTTGTTCATGTATCGGACAGCCTTTCACACCTCCAAAACCAAAACCAAGCAAAAGCTGGACATATTTCCGGCTAAAAGACATCTTTGTCGCGTCGCAAGGTCCTCCTATGGTTGATACGCTGCCGGTGACCGTTTTCTTCATGTTATATTCCATTATTCAGTGGTGAAGTCCACGCATGTCTGGTCAATTTGAAAGATTCGCAAACATCCTCACCCACGCCAAACACCACCCGCTGCTCCTTGTGTCCGCCTGAGATATCAAGACCTTGGTTCTTCCCATCCCACCAGTTTTCCTCCAGAGAAATCCCCGGGAAAAAGATCATCAACCATCCCTCAAAATGGCTACCATCAATATTCGTCGGGATGTTACCGATCCCTTTTACCGCTACAAGATGGAGCGCTTGCAGTCCAAGATTGAAGGAAAAGGCAATGGTATCAAGTAAGTCCCCGGAGCTATTCTTTTCCATCACGCTACCCATTACAAATACTAATTGTTATTTTGTCAGGACTGTTGTTGCCAACCTTCCTAGCGTCTCGGCCTCCCTGGCCCGTCCTCCTGCCTACATAATCAAGTACTTTGGTTTCGAGCTCGGTGCCCAGACCAACACCAACCCAAAGGATGATCGTTGGATCATCAACGGGGCCCACGAGGCCGGCAAGTTGCAAGACTCGTTGGACGGCTTCATATCCAGGTTCGTCCTCTGCAAGTCGTGCAAAAACCCCGAGACCGAGATCAACATCAAGGACGGACGCATTCTGTTGGACTGCAAAGCCTGTGGGCAACGCACTCAGGTTGACATTCGCCACAAATTGAGCGGATTCATTCTCAAGAACGAACCAAAGGGTGGAAAGAAAGGCGCAAAGAAGGAGAAGATGTCCCGTCGCGATCGAGCCAAGGCCGGGGCACAGGAAAATGGCTCTATGAACGGTGGCAGCCCCAACGACTCCAACTCTGACAAGGGCGACGTCGATGAAGGAGACGTGGAACTTGCAGCTGGCAGCGACGACGAGTTCACTAAACAGATCAATGCTGATGCCAAGGTTATCGAGGCCAACACCAACGGAGAGCCCAAGGAAGAGCAGTGGGCCGTCGACACCTCCGCCGAAGCCGTGGCTGCACGTGCCAAAGAGCTTCCAACCGAGTTAAAGCGTTCCCTTGCCTTTGATGAGGAGGAGGACGGCGAGGAAAATGGCGTCAATGCATACGACCAACTCGGATCCTGGATGATCGATGAAGCAAAAGCCTTGGGCTCCGTCAGCAAAGTCGATGATCTCGAGATCTACAAGAAGGCCAAAGAACTGGGCATCGAGAACAAGCACAAGACCCTCACCGTTCTGGCTCAGACTGTCTTTGACGAGAACATTGTGAAACAGATCCCACAACGGGCCAGCATGCTCAAGACCATGATCGGCGATTCTGAGAAGCATATGAAGGCTTTCCTTGGCGGCACTGAGCGTTTCGTCGGCAATGACCACCCAGCTTTGATTCCTCAAGTGCCGGCTATCCTGCTTGGTTATTATCAAAATGACCTCCTGACCGAAGAGGTGGCCAAAGCCTGGGGCCAGAAGGCGAGCAAGAAATATGTCGACATCAGCACCAGCCGCAAGGTCCGTAAAGCTGCCGAGAAGTTCTTGCAATGGCTCGATGAAGCCGAGAGCGACGAAGAGAGCGGCGAGGAGTGAGATTGTGGCCAATCCATGATCTCCTCCCCCTCGATGTGTCTCATCCTCAAGTCTATTGTTATCTCTCAATAGGCCAACACACTCTCTCCTCTCCGGCGAAACGGGGTCTGATGCTTGAGATTTGTTTTCCGGTCACTCCTTTCCGTCTTTTCGTGGTGATGGTGGTAAACAGAAGTGCTCCGTCAAGTCGGGTGTATGCTCGTCTTGCGGAGCCGATGCCTGTTCCTAGAATCTTGCCTAAAAATTGAATCCAGCTTCTATAAACTCTGAGTTCTATCGGTTCTTGTTTCTGTAGTGGCGTTGCTCGACGCTAGTCCATTATTCACCGTCTACCGCAGAACTCCCAGCTTGTCCTTCCAATCCGGGAAGATCATTGGTAATTTCTCTGGCAGTTGATCCGGGAGCTGGTGTTGGATTAGCTGAACCAATTCCTGATACATCAGCTCGTAGCCCTGCGGAGTGAAATGCAATCCGTCGTTCAACAATTTCCCCAAGACCTCATTCCTGGGCGCGTCTTTGCTCCCTATCAGGGCGCCCGTCGAACCTTCCTGCCAGCCAGCCTCGGTCATAAATATCGTCCAGAGGTCCAGGACGGGGATTCCCATTTCTATCCCTACCTCTCGACACGCGGAGGCATATGTCGCCGTGTGTTCTGCCGTCCGCTCTTCCGATCCGAGTTGCCACTCATCGACAGGTGGGGGAGTGACAAGGAGACATTTCGTCTGGTGCGACTCGATGCCCGGAGAGGTGATTATGGATCTGAGAGCTTGTTGATAGTCGGCCAGAGGGACATGTTGCGGGTGGCCAGGTAGGCAGGCGTCGTTGGCACCAAAGAAGATGGTCATCAACTGTACTCTCGGAGTGGTGGTTGACGATGATGGAGCAGCTTCTGATGACGGGAAAAATTGCCGGAGAATGTCATAGCCCATAGGGGCAGTGTAGCCGCTGAAGCCGCGGTTGAGGACATCGAGACGGCGAGAGTACCATTCGGCCAAGGAGGCAAAGAGGACCTGGGAGGAACCTTGGGTGATGCTGTCGCCGAAGAGGATGAATTGCGGGTATGTGGTTGGGTGCGGATTGGGTGGTGTGCTGGACGCACCTGGATGTTGATCGGGAGCAGGAGAACGAGACATTGTTACCGATTAGCCGTGAGCAGCCTGTACTGGTACCTAAGGTAAAGAAGAAGGCAAGGCACAGAAGGGATGGGCCTCTGTTAGAGATCGCCCAGTGTGTTCACTTTGAGCGTGGGGCAATTCTCGGAGATGCAGTATGACAGGATGGTGCATTCTGATGCATCCAGGTGCATCCAGGTGCATCCAAGAATGATCACCAGGACGAATCATCTGCTGGTCACTAAAGAGTAGCTGCAGATGCACAAGGGCTGGCAGCTGCCGGGGCCAGTCGCCGCCCATCTGCAAGTCATCGTCAGTGACTAGTTGTCGAATCAAAGCAGTAGAGGACCAAGTAGAATGTTTCCATGCACCGAGGTTGCCGACGAGTGACGGCAGGATTCTCTAGGCGTGTTGGACGTCCAATTGCCGCCCAACTCGGACAGCATTGGGCGTTGGTAAGAGAAGATCCTTAACTATGAAGTAACGACAATACTCGACTGGGAACCGCACGGGGGGCGTCCTTAGGTATGTCTGCGTATGCCCAGCCGGTTCACCGCTGCGAGCGTAGCCGCCGCCGCCCCAGACTGCGCCTTTGACTCGTCCTCGTAAACCTCGTGGGGCAGAAACGATAGACCATCCCGACCTCGACGCGTTCGGCCACCAAAAGTTTGTCAGATGATGGGACGCCCACGACACCCTCTGCCACTCTCCTGTGTCTCCTCCGGCTATCTACTGAATCCAGTACTCTCTTCACCAAACCGTGTCGTCCACCTGATCAAGACGCCGATGCCTGGCGACTGAAGACACTGTCACTGTCACCCTTTTCATCTGGTCACCCCCTTGTCGAGGCTTGGTCGGCCCATACCACCTCATCTCTACGAGCCCCCATCCCCCTCCCCAATTGATGAAGGTCATACTCTCTGCACTGCCGCTGACATCTGATGTCTCTTGACTCATAGAAGTTGGATTGTTCCTGTTTGCACACCCCTCCTGCGACTATTCTGCCTCTCACCTTCCCCCTTCAATGGCCAGCTGACGACTCCTGGAAGGCGGCGTCTGCCTGTGAGGGACGTCGTTCGTGACACCTTTTTTACCAGTCAACTTACCCTTTCCCGGTGCTTCTAGAACTTTTAGGAGGAGGAAAATCAGAAGGAGCTGCTGGCATTCACCATGCCCAAGTCTTTTGTCTCTTTTCAGGACCCCGATGAGGCCGACCACTATTCCTCCCGCCCTGCAACCACGCCGTCCTCCCCTGAAACCCTGCGCAGGACGAATACTTCCATGTCTGCGAGCGAAATAAGAGGCCGTTTACCACCTTCCCTCATCATGACTCCAAGATCAACAGAGCAGAGCGCCCTTTTGGAGGGAGACCACCGCTCTGCCCGCAAGTATACCGAGAGCATGCCCGAGTCACCAAAGTCAAGACAGCTGTCGAGGGTAAACAGTACAAGTGACAGTCTACGCAGGCGGAGATATTACAGTGCTCGACCCTCTGGAAATACCAGTCCTGTCTGGATGCGGAACTCTGGTCTCCGTACGCCGAAGCTATCCTCGTCCATGCTGGCAGGCTCCTTGTCCAAAGATGATCGGCTGTGGTATGATCAATTCACTTCGACCGACTGGGTGCACGACAGTATTGCAGATGGATACCGTGTCCTGGACATGAAAAAGCGAAGAGGTTGGCGAGGACGCCTGGCGTTGCTTCTCGACTCAGCTCAGGGTTGGGTTCTCGTGGCTCTGATCGGCGTGGCTACGGCGGGGATTGCTTACTTTGTCGACGTGACCGAGTCGGCCATTTTTGATATCAAGCGTGGCTTCTGTCGAGGCGCCTGGTATCTGGGTCGGACAAACTGCTGTGCTGGCAAAAAAAACTGTGACAGATGGAGGACCTGGTCCAAACTCATTCACCCCTCCGGTATGGACGACATCTACATCGACTACGTGGCATTCGTCATCGGATCCATGGTTCTCGCCGCGCTGGCATGCTTCATCACTCTCTATTCCAAGACAGTCGTACCTTCACACATTGCCTCTACTTTTGACGAGAATCTGGGAGCGGTCAAGCAGAACGTGAATGATGATGCCGATGAGGACAAGTCAGGAGGTGCTCAGCTGCTGCCAACACAAGATCCCCCGCCTCCAAACGTGTACTACTCGGCCGCTGGAAGTGGTGTTGCCGAAGTCAAGGTCATTTTGAGTGGCTTTGTTCTCCACGGATATCTTGGCCTGCGAGTTTTGGTCCTGAAGACCATCGCTCTGATTCTGAGCGTGGCGTCAGGGATGAGCCTGGGCAAAGAAGGTCCTTATGTCCATATTGCAACATGCGTGGGCAATATTGCTTGCAGGTTGTTCTCCAAGTACAACCTCAATGACGGTAAGAGAAGGGAGGTCTTATCCGCCAGCGCTGCCGCTGGGGTGGCCGTCGCTTTTGGTTCACCCCTGGGTGGAGTCCTTTTCAGCCTGGAGGAAGTCAGCTATTATTTTCCGTCCAAGACACTGTTCCGAACATTCTTTTGTTGCATCGTGGCCGCATTGTCCCTCAAGTTTCTCAATCCCTACGGGACGTCCAAAATTGTCTTGTTTGAAGTCCGTTACACCACCGACTGGCGTTTCTTCGAGCTTTTCATATTCATCTTGCTCGGCGTTGCAGGCGGGCTGGCTGGTGCGCTCTTTATCAAAGCGTCTAGATTCTGGGCTACCACATTCCGGCGCATCAAAATCATCAAGACATATCCAATGCTGGAAGTTCTTCTTGTGGCACTTGTCACTGGCCTCATCAGCTTCTGGAACCGGTACACCCGACTAGCAGTCACAGAGCTGCTTTTCGAGCTGGCGAGTCCATGCCAGAAGCATTCGTCGACGGGTCTCTGTCCTAAAACAGAGGATGAAATGCTCAGGGTTATTGGCTACCTGAGCATGGCATTCGTCGTCAAGGCCTTTCTGACGACCATTACCTTTGGGATCAAGGTGCCGGCCGGCATTTACGTACCGTCAATGGTGGTTGGTGGTCTGATGGGGCGCATAGTCGGCCACTTGACCCAGTATGTTGTTGTCAAGCTGCCAAATTTCTTCTTGTGGTCGCACTGTCGGGATGCCGGCAACATCGAAGCATGTGTCACGCCTGGAGTATATGCCTTGGTGGCGGCGGGTGCTACCATGTGCGGCGTCACACGTCTCTCTGTCACCTTGGCGGTCATCCTGTTTGAACTGACAGGAAGCCTTGACCATGTGCTACCCTTCTCTCTGGGCGTCCTCTGTGCCAAATGGACCGCCGACGCCGTCGAGCCCCTGAGCATATATGACCTTCTCACCGACATGAATTCGTATCCATTTCTAGATAACAGGAGCACGCCGGTCTTCGACTCGGAACTCGGAGACATCACGCCCCGGTTCCGAAGGGACAAAGTGATTGACATCACAATATCCCCTCTTGTCAAGGCCAGTGATTTGCGAGCCAAACTCCGCCGCCTACAAAATCTGGGCGAACTCGACGGCGGTCTGCCTATCCTCCGAGACAAGAAGTTGGTCGGGCTGATCCCGGCCCCAGACTTGGAGTTCGCTCTGGACAGGGTAGAGGATGAGGATAACGCCTTTTGCTTACTCTCCACCGGGGATCATGCGCACAATACGCATCGCCGTTACTGGGAAGCGTTTGAGGAGGCTGGCTACGATTCCGGAAGGGACGACTCTGACGATCAGGACTCGCCGGCCAGCAATCCGACCGATTTGACTCCTTATATCGACCCTGCACCGGTGGCGTTGGACATGCATTCGCCAATGGATCTTGTGTATCAATGCTTTGTCAAGTTGGGTTTGAGGTACATTTGCGTGTTGAATGAGGGTGAATACAGAGGAATGGTGCATAAGAAGGCGTTTGTGAGGTATATCAAGACCCTGGAGCACGCGGGAGGTCGTCATTGATGGGATCACCGCATCAAGCCCAGCCGTCCGCCAGAGACGAAGCAGGGTCTAGCCAGCCAGGGCAGAAGACCATCGTCGTTTGTTCAGCTTCCGTATTTTCTTATTTCACTCTTGCCTTTGATGTGGCGCATCCTGTGGAGCTACAGCCTCTCACAGCGCAGGGATCCAGTTATACTTGCATGGCGGGACGCAGGGAGCAGGGTTAAGTGTCCACTTTCGGAGAGACTTCACTCATAAAATGACAGTCACATAGCATCGCAAGGCGTCACGCTTAGGGGTACAGTGGTTGTTAGGCATTAGGATCAGGAAAATACCAAACTGTTCTTATCGCCTTTTGTGTGTGTTTCCGGTCCTTCTCTTCTTCCCCAGCCTTGCTTCTTTTGTTTTGAGTTTCTGCACAGAATGGCTCTTCACGATTCTTCCACTGGCAAGACCGCGGCTATCGAAGTATCAAGTACTAGGTGCAAGAATGGCAGAGACAGGATTCACAGCTCCCCACCCATCCCTGAAGAGTTCTTGTTTTGGTTGTAATCCCCCCTAGCTAGCTGGGTCTGGAGGATCTAGATCCAGGTTATGTACTGGATCGTCCGCCAGGAGATCGCGATCGCCAAGGAGAGTGTTCTGCTTGGGAGGTGCGCTGCGGACAAGAAAAGTCTCTTTCGAGATTCCGTGAGGCTCGTTCCCTTCCCTTTTGCGTCTTTCGTGACCGGTAGCGTACGGCGGTTGGGAAATGCTGGGTTACCGGACAGAGACTCAGGTTCTAGACCTGGTCTCGTGATGATATTCCAGGTACAGGCTGCTGCTCCGGCCCACGGTTGCCGAGAACATAACGTTTATATTGGACTCTTGTACTCCGTATCCTTGTTGTCGGATTCTCTTTCTCTCCAGTACTTTCGTCCTCCTTCACTCATCAATTCTTGCTTTCTGCAGTCAACAATCGTTCCTGGCGTTCTGTTGATACATCCTATACCTTCCTTTAGCAGTCAGATTTCACAACGTCAACGGTGCAGCGCAGTTAAACCACACTAAATTCCTTCGATCACAACTGTCGCAAACGACGACGATGACAGGTCAAACAACTGCAACTATCGCTGAGCAACCTACTGGCACCGCCCAACATATCGAATATGCCGACGAAAACGATAGCCCTTTCCACGTTACCCTAGCGCAACAGCAAGAAACCGACTCTGACCGGCAAGGTTATGTCGGGCCATGGCCGTTGAGACGTCGGAGTATCTCCAGCTGGTACGTCCTCAGCGACAGGAGCGACGCCACCAGGAGCTCAATTCCGGAATACACGGGCAACTCTGCTGTGCTGAACAGTGCCACCAAACCCATATTTTGCAGGCTTCAGTTTGAAAGATCCTTTCAGTGACAAATTTCGGTCCGAGGCCTCAAGTTCTACCATGACGTCAAGAATTGGAAGTGTTTTTGATGTAGCGTGTTCCCAGCCATCAAGCGAGAAGTCCGAGTTTAGTTGAGGAATATTGGCTAACTATACCATTTTTCTTTAGCATCGCCGGCCTATTTTTCTACAAGACGGACCAAGCGCCCGGATATAAACTAGGCATTTAGAGCATGATTATCAGGTATGTATGCAATACACGATCCTAATTATCTCCTTCGTTCATTTACGACCTATACCCCCGAGTTGGAGACTAAGTACTAATATTGTATATGATATGACAGTCACTTCCTCGAAGTTTACGTTATCATCACCTTCTAGATGCTGATGAAGTACGAAAACGCGCGCCGCGACAAGATCTAAGGCCACTACGAACGAGATGTCGATACTACGGCGTTCGAAGACCTAACGGACCGGGAGAATCTGAACTTTCGGTACATCTACTGAGATGGGCTGGCAGACGCGGTGAGTAGGCAAGCAGGTAGTGGACAAATAAGTAAGAAACTGACACTTTACCACTGCCTAGCAAGTTTACCTGACTATCACGAACCTTTGTGCAACCGACAGAAGCTACCTCAATAAGACGACTGTTCCCAATATACCTTGTTAGTCCCGTGTGGACAGAGTCCAGGTAATGCGTGTCTCGTGATATGTTCCTTTTCCTTCTCCAAACCGGAACCCTCAATACCAATGAAATCGAAAGAGCTGTCTGGGAGTAATGATGCGTCGAGAACTTGTATAACCTCAAGTACCCAATACCCATCTCATTGGCGGTATTGATCCAAGAATCCCAATGCTCCTATCAGCTCGCGTTCGATGACTTCCTGGTGCTGCTCGCTCCGAGGGGTAACCTTGACCTGAAATTCCAGAGGTCTGACCAGATTCGAGGAGGTATATGCGTTCACATCTAATGGGTGGTCTGGCAGCTCTTCAAATTCAAAAGCCCATAGAAGCTTCGCAGTCACTCTCCACATGCTTCTCTCTGCGAGGTGGATCCCGGGACACATTCTTCGACCGGCGCCGTATCCGTAATGATGTATCCCGGGAAAATGTTAGCTTCAACAGCCTATCAAGATTAGAAAGAGCAACTTATCTCGGTTTTGCCAGTCAGCTCCGACCGCGTATTCGTTGGCCAGCTTGTCATGGTTCAAGAATCGATCCGGATTGAAGCGTTCATGGTCCGGGTAGATGTCGTCATTGTGGTGGATGGCCCAGGCGGCTAACCAGACCGTACAGTCCTTGGGAAAGTACATACCATTATACCAGTCATCTGGAGAAATGTCCCAGCGTATTAGATGTGGTCCTCCAGACAGGAAGAGTCGTGTAATAAATAAGAAAAGCTGCAACTGACCTCGTGCTACTCGGTGGGGAATGCCTAGATCTGAGCTGTTTCTCAATCAGAAGACAGTTCGGCGGCCCATCAGGTTCGAAATATCAAGGACTCGGAAGGAGACATACGTTGGGCGCCATCGTAAAGCTTCCTTAATGATACAGTTGATATACGGAAGTCGTTGGAAGTCCGAGAATAGCGGGGTCCGCTCAGTACCGCACACAGCATCGAGTTCTTTCCTAGCTTTGGCTTGCACTTCTGGGAATTTGGTAATGGCAAGGATGATTGTGAGGATCATGTTCGCCGTTGCTGCATCACCGACTTATCAGCACCCTGATAGTCGCAGGGTGTTATAGTTCCATGATATAGAACTTACTGTCTGCGCCTGCCTCCAGCAGCTCTCCGAAAAGATTGTTGAATGCATGTTGGGACATATCCCAGCCTGACTTGTCGTATTCGGCAATTTTCATGTCTATGATAGAGTCTCGGATGTCCCCCGAGGCTCGACGATCGTCGACCATCTTCCGCGCCTTGCTCCACGTCGAGTCCATCATGTCACGCACATGATTAGCCCTCTTCTTCCAAGATCCGGGAAGGTACCAAAGCGCAGGAACGACTTCGACAGGTGGATTTGCTCCTGGCTCGATGGCTTCAAGAAACTGAATAACCCAAACTCAGCCGATATTGATCAGTCTCAACTATAGCAGCCTCATACCTGATCGACAAAATTGTAAAAGTCCTTGTAGAAGAACGAGTCCAAGTCTGCCGCTCGGAATCCCCAGGCCAGAATGGCAGCGACAGAAGCTGCGTACAAACGGGCATAGTCGAATGCGCGATCCGGATTCTTGACGAGATTGTTCATGAAAACAATCGACCGACAAAGACGTCAGCTTAGATATAAAGCGCGAGCCGGGGAGAAAATATTTACTCGGCCTCCTGAATCCGAAAATGCTTCGTGTCCAGTGATTTGGGGTTCAGATTGCGAGTGACAACAGTGCGTTTTTCTCTCCACATGGGAGTCGCCTGCTCAAATGTCATATGGTGACCACGACTGACATACGTCGGGATGGCAAGAAAAGGTCTTTCCGAATAAATGCTCCCTTTCTTGTCGAGGAGCTCGTAAGTGGCTTTGCGATCCGCAATCACAATCATCGTGGAATTGAACACCTTCAGCGAATAGATTGGACCATATTCTTTGGCCCATTGTTCGAACCTGTGTAGATATTGTCAGCTCTCACGTATTGATGCGTTCCTTCCAGGACTGCAGCCATTACTTTTTCCCAAGTCCCGTCAGTGGGATCTGGTGCGCATTTCCCAGTATCGGCACCGTTGGAGGGCCAGGAGGGAGCTTCTGGTCCCGTCGGCCAATGCGCAATACTCTCCAAATCCCAATAAAGACAACAGCCAAGCAGAGGGCAAAGTATAGGTTCTTCATCTTTCGTTGTGTCCCGTACGATTATCAGGTCTCTGCAAATCCTTGACACCTAGTCTTTACCTGGAGTTATTTCATCAATTTCAAGAAGTCAGCAATCAGACGAGCTGTAACAAGCCCTCACTCTCAATACAACATCGTCCATTTATCCTTCTCGCAATCCCACCCCCGCATTGCGTCTTCATTGCATCCATGTCGCCCGCCATCAGCTGAGGCTGGACTCTCTCTAAGGTTCCGTCGGGTTGGGGTCCAGGAAAGCTTGCATCAGAAACGGTTTGCTCCGCAACCAGCAGAATCTGGGGCAATTCTCCAACACCTCTCAGGTTCAGAATCCTGGCAGAGAGGTGAGAAAGTAAATGCGGTCTGGGCGCACAGCTCAAATGATGATAGTGATGGGGTAGTTTTATTCCACAATGAGTATAGCGTTGGGGTAGATGTCAAAGTCAAAATTGACTCCTTTACCTAGACCCGGACAAGCCTCAAATGACACTAGGATCTGCCGTTGATCTCGGGATCGAAAGACACTCGTCGTCAGGTGCATTGTAAGTGATACCCTCTCACCACTTTGGCAAGCTGATCGCCACGAGAAACAAAACACCTAGTGCCGGGCCCAGTCTGCATTCAGACTCAAATACACAAGACACGACATCCCCTGGACAGCTCCTTCTTTTGGGGAGCGACGCCAATGGATTCGTCTCCAACATCGACCCGAATAACAGGCCCAAGCACAAGTGAAGTCAGCAAGATCCAGCTCTACATCGAGATCGTGCTTGTCAGTGGTGAGTGTGTGGGGGCATTCGGCGCGAGGCCATGCTGATATTGTGCCAGGCTTTACCGTGAAGAAGCAGTTTGAGCTGCCCCAGCACGCCGTAGAGCGATGCATCATTCACGGCCGAGGACCACAATACTCGATCGAGTTGACCCACAGATGTGTGGCACGCTCGGCTCTTTACGATGAGCTCGTAGTTCTCCTACCATATCTAGTACGCAAGGGAGAGTCGTGCTGGTTCCACACCCTGAATAAAGAAAGCAACACGACGTCCAACTGTCTCTTCGATGGCGTCAAGTTAAAAATGAACGTTCAGGAGAGTCAATGCCTGTCGGATTTTGGCATCTGTTTTCCCCGTGCCGCATTTGTGGAAGAACGCGAGAAATTTGGGTCCCACCACGGTTCGATGCCCTTCGAGTACCCCACGATCCGGACCGAGGGTGCCTGGGTACATCGGCACCCATCGGACTCGGAACGGCTCCTCGTCAATCGCGAGGGCTACGAGGTCATGTACTTCTGCCAACCGCCACAGTTTCAGCAAGAGGTCACCATTACCAAGCTTCGCAACGTCATCTGTAGTTCTCTAAGCATCAATGACCCAAGAAGGGTGATCTTGAATGCAGGGCCATTCTACTGGGACGTCGACTTTCAAGAAAACGGAAAGGACGTGCAACACACTTATTTTCTTGACGACATAGTCGTCGATGGCCGTCATATGAGAACTGTACGAGGATCAGCACTTATCTATGTATTGGAGAGAAGTCTGATAAACGTCGATCCGTCTTGAAAACCACTTCCATTTTCCCTAGGTAGAGAGATCGGTGCCCCCAAACACCGCATGTGCACCTTTCCACACAAGGAATACTATTCCAGCACAGTTGTCAGGAAATGTGGACAAGGACACTCTTGACAGTGCTGAGACTATCTTGTAAGAAGCTTTGTAGTTGCTGAAGGCCGAGACCGGTGTAGGCTTGGATGGAACTTCGTCTCTTGCCCAGATAGCACAAGAGCGACAGGATGACAACTGTCTTAAGCACCATTTTGATAACCTCCTTTTGAATGCTCGTGCCGTGGACAGTTTTTGTGCCTCCCACCTGACGGAAATGGTGGAAATTAGGATAAAATGTCTTTTTCCAGTACGTTCTGTTAGGGATTGCAAGTCAGTTTAGGTTATGTAAATGCCCGCGGGACAGAGGGGTCAATAATGTTCACAGCAATAACTCGATCGGACGTACGTGGTAGTTCCTGGAAAGTTGGTGGGAATTAAACCGTCCTTAGTCTTGAACCACGAATTGCAAAGGCTGCTGGTCCAAACACGACCCTTCATCCTATCTCGAATCCATTGATTGTACTCATCATGTGCTCCTTTGGTGACCTCAAAGGATTTGACATGATTGTCCAGCTGAGATTTCAGAACTTGTGCAATATACTGGGCTTGGATTTCTCTGGAAGCAAACTCATATCAGGTACTTGCTTCGGCCGGTGTGTTCTTACTTACATGATAGTGGTCACTGAATAATGACCCGACAGGGTGTTTGGCCCAGTTGTCATGACTAGAATGAAGTCAGCTCTGGAGAACGGTAGCAAAACGTCGACCAGTACTCACAGAAGTTGGGAAAATCTGGATACATCATCCCTTTGTAGGCGGATGGCGCACCTCGCTTTTCCCATAGACTGTGAATCTCCTTTCCTCCACGTGAATAGATTTTCGAAGATTGGAAGGGCATTGTTGCTGTGATCAAAGGTTAGGTTTCTGCTTTTGCACCGGCAATACCACTCCTAGCTCACCGGTGAAGCCTGTCGCCCAGATAATCACATCGAAGTCTCTCTTTGAACCATCCTGGCCAATTATGCCATTCTCATGTAGCCCACTGACTCGAGTGAAAGCCAAGTCAACATTGTCCGCGTGCAGGCCGGCAAAATAGTTGGAGTCGAAGACGAGCCGCTTGCAGCCAAGCTGAACGGGTGTGTAAGCATTAAATTTGTTATAGGTGACATTTCATGCACAAAACTTGTACATACCGGATACTTTGGAGTGAGATTTTCATGATATTTCGCTGGAGCTGTGGCTTTCATATACTGTAGAAGAAATCCTTCGACCGTGGATCTCACTTTTGCCGGCCCGTCTCCAGCCTTCAGCTTGTACGCCTCTTTCTCCCAGGCGTATGCGAGACTGAGGCGATACAAGTACTCTAAACCAGGAACATGTCTGAAGAAGAATCTTGCAGAATCACTGTAGAGCGGGTTGTCCCTAGGAACATACCACTGAGGGGACGAAACGTATTGAGTCAGTTGTTTCGTCCTCCGCGCGATCTGAAACCCCATAAAGTCAATGATTGGCACTAAACCTGTGATCTGAGACTTACGATGGGCATGAATTGCGTCGCTGAACACCCATTGCCAACGACTGCCACCCGCTTGTTCTCTGTGGGGAATCACGTTAAATCATCTTTTGCCATATCGGGCTATGCGAGATATACCAAGTGATATGTCGGACCTCCATTGCTGCGAGTGAAATTGTTCACCTTGGTATGTTTCCACATTGACGTTGGCAGGGAGTTTGGGCTGAGATAAAGGTCCAGTGCACATAATCAGGACATTGTGCTTAACGCTGTATACAGCATTTTCGGGATCCCGTGCAAGGACATTTCGAAGCTTGAGCTCCCACACACTCTCCGCATCGATCCATCGTGCTGCGCGAATTTAGATCTTGAATAGAGCCTCTTTAGATTGCGAGCTTACCTTCCAACAGCTCTGTGCCAAACTGAATGTGGCGCACAAAGCCGTGGTCTTTTGCAGTTTTGTTGAGATCTGGCGTTTGTAGTTAGGACATCAGCTGGTCCTGACCCATTATTTTATACTCATACATTCTTGGATTTCAGGTTGGAGCGGAAGGTATTCGGTCCAGTCGGCCTGTCGCGCCCAACTCAACTGGTACAGGTGAATCGGCACATCGCAGGCTTGATAGCCAATTAACGTCAACTCCCAAAGTTGAGTACTGAAAGCTTACCGCAGCCAGGATACTGTTGGAGGGAAATAATGTGATCAGACCATCTGATATACCAAAAAGTTCGCGATTCATACCGTGTTGTCCTTCCAGGTCCCGGCTCCCCCGTTGGTAAATTCAGACTTCTCGTAAATCACAAATGATTGCAGCCCGAGATATTTGCGGATGTAGTGTGCCACAGACAGGCCTGAAAAGCTAAGTGTTAGAACGCTGAGTTAGTGGGCCATTTTCATCGCAGTGTGGCTGAGAGCTTACCCTGCACCGATGATGGCGACCTTGAGTTCGCCTGTATGCCCTCGATCATCCATGGCTATCGCAGTCTTTACTGTGCACGATCAATACTGCATATCTCCGGCGATTCAAGGAGAAAAATAAATAAAAACAAAACTTGAATGCCTTTTTGATAACTCATCGCAAACGCGTCACACAGCCCTCCAGGGGCTTGGGACGCGCTCATCGGAAAGCTTTACTGGCTTGTGAGGCGGCACTTCTGAATTACCCCAAGTTCCAATATCATGACCCCAAACCAGCTGGATCCTTAGAAAAGAGCTTCTGGGCGCCCCAGTCTCCCGGATCCGGAGTCAAAGCCCTGATGTCCTCAAAAATGTTCCGTATTTTTGTCGTGCCAGTGGAAGTCACGCCACACGCTGTCGGATTAGGGAAATTGTTTGATAAAGGTCAGCTGGCGGCTTCTCCGTAGTATTCACTACGTCACCGATCCCAGCCCCAGCAGGTTCAGGCTGCAAATATGCAAGTACTTGTTCAGAAGACTGTCTCCGCTATCTGCTTTCAGCTACGGAGGCCCTGTCTGCAAATTCATGCCTCCATCTACAGGTATGGAAATGCCGGTAATGTAGGCAGCTCTTGGGCTCGATAACCAGACAATCGCATTCGCAATGTCCTCTGGCACCGCATTTCTTCGGAGAGGAGTCATTGAAGCGAACAGGTCCAAATGATTCGCCGGCATCGCATTTACGACCATGGGTGTCAAAGTGTTGCCAGGTGCCACGGCATTGATTCTGATATTCTGCGGGCCATAATCCAGGGCATCCGTCTTTGTCAGGCCCAAAATGCCGCCCTTTGTGGCCGAGTAAGCAGCCAGCCCATTGATTGAAATAGTGGCACACAAGCTCGTGACATTTACGATACTTCCTCTGTAGCCAAACTGCGGCAGCGGCTCTTGCTTGAGCATCTGTCGAATCTCTGCCCGTTCACAGAAGAAGACCTGGTAGAAGCAATTAGTCACAACTAGCCAATATTTCCAGAGTCTCAAACAACAAACCCCTTTTTGATTGACCGCGTAAGACTTTTCATATTCCGATTCCGATAAGTCATGAATGGGAGCTGCCTTGTGAGCATATCCCGCCACATTGGCGGCGAAATCCACCCTTCCAAATGTTTGGACTCCTTTAGAGAAGAACTGCTCGACGACCTCCTCATCTGCGACATCCAGTAGACTGATCTCCACCTTGACTTCCTTATAAGAATCCAATATGAGCTTCCGAGTCTCTTCTAACCCAGCAACCGAGAGGTCTCCTAGGAGCAAGTTGGAGCATCCGTCGCGGGCGTAAGCGATTGCAGTGGCCCGGCCGATCCCTGAAACTGGCCTTAGCAAGGGCTTGTGATCGAAAAGATTGTGTCTCGATTAGACTGACCTGACGCCGCTCCTGTGACAACTGCTGTGCCACCTGAAAGAAGATCTGCCATGATGCCCTGAGGACAGATTTACAGAAGGAATTTTAATCAGGCTAGGTAGATGCGTATTTGCATGACAGCGACTGCCATGTCGAAGGTGCATTTTACAAAAGCGACATTGGGGTACGCCTTGGAATAACTTCATCCTCACCATCAATAGTTCCACCATGGTTCATGTGAAGTTTTGACCCCACAACTGTTTGGGGTTCCACTACCTGCAATATCCGATCCATAAACCACTGGTATGTGACAGAGTAACAAGATTGTAGTCAACAATCTTGGTGGAAATCTCTATCGACGTGTTCCATCCCACTTTGATCACTGTATATGTTGACGCCCGAATTCTGCGGTCGGTGTCTTTACCAATGGATCCTCTCTTGGAAGCTGGAGTTGCCCTTGTGACAGGTGCGGGTTCCGGTGAGACTTGTCCATCTGCCTCGAAGGCATGCGTACGAATTCCCCGCTAACAAGGACTGGTTGTTTGCGTCAAAATACAGGCATGGGTCGAGAAATTACTCTTACATTCGTCAAAAACGGGTGCAGAAAGCTACTTCTAGTCGACATATCTGTGAAGGGACTTGAAAAAACCGCAGAACTGGTCAAGGATCTGAATCCTCAAGCGAAGACCAAGTTGCAGGTCACGGACGTCTCGAGCTCTCAAGATGTACAAAATATGGTAGCAGCATGCGTCGAAACATTCGGAAGAATTGACTTTGCCTGTAATAATGCTGGTCTGGGGTTAGGAGGTGTGAAGACGGCCGAAATGACTTCAGACTTCTTCGATAAACTGTGTAATGTAAACGAAAAGGGAGTAAGTATACCCAGCTCTGGAAATCTTCAGCTGACCGGGGGATGCCACCCAGGTTTATTTGTGCGAAAAATATGAGATCAGTCAGATGATCAAGCAAACGCCGCTCGTTGAGGCGGGCGACAATCGTCATGTTCGTGGCAGCATCGTGAACACGGCCTCATTGTGTGGCACGGCTGCGCTGCCGGAACTGAGCGCGTACAATGCCTCGAAGCATGCCGTCGTCGTCATGTCTAGGGTGGATGCTCGTCAATATGCACCTCAACTCATTCGCGTTAACACGGTCAGCCCCGGGTTTGTCATGACCCCAATGATGACTTCAGCTGGACTCAGTGAGGAATACTTGAGCTCAATCAAGGCGCAGAGTCCCATGGGCCGGCTTACTGAGGCAGTTGAGGTGGCGGAGGCAGTGGTCTGGCTATCTTCAGGTCGAGCATCAGGGCTGACGGGAATCAACATGCAGGTAGACGCTGGGGCCAGTCTGTTCCATGTCGTCTAATACTCAGACAGTATTGTATGCACACATTCAGGCGTTAGACAGAGCATTTCAACCCTTATTTCATATGTGATTTATCCAATAAGTCCGTATCCATTTTGAGACTCGCTTCGCTTCAGGACTGGTAAATAAACTGAAAGTAGGTTTTCTCCATGAGACATTTGTGTCGCCCTAAGAAGCATGTATACAACTATTTGCAACAAAGGCAAGAACCTAGCTGGTGCAGAGCATTCAATGGATATGAAATTGGATCGATTGCACAATAGACGGTCTACAAGACTTCTCAATGACAACCTTGTCTATCTTTTGAAATACCTGCGCAAACAACTTTATCGAAACGGAAAGCCCATAAGTTGAATCGTAGATGCTCCAGTTTGCTCTCACAGAGCATCTCTGAGATCTCCCAGGATGCTCCTAGACACTGTCTATGTACCAAGTGATGTCTCGGCCGTCTATTTCTCTTTGGCTAAAACCGTTTCCAAAGTACGAGAATCTGTTCTTACTAAGATACTCCCACTCGTAGTCCTATGTTATCTTGTTATTTGCCATTATTTAGAAACAGCAGAAGAGAGAACTTACCTCATACCTGGGCTCTGCGAGAGCCTCGAAAAAGTGTAATCGACTGCCGGGCCACATCATGATTGGTCCGTCGACTGTGCCTCCTTTGAACCAGGACCGACACGGGGAGCTCCACGCGGTACGTAGGAGGAACAACTCTCGGTGTTGCTTAAAGTCTTCGACTGCCGCTTGTTTAGGGTAGAATGCTTTGATATTCTCGCGCTGAAGTTTTGTGATGAATTTTTCCAGGTACCTGGTGATGATTTCGATAACAGGCAAGATCGACCCATGACCGTATGGTCCAAAAGGGCCGTTGATCACTATAGTTCGATAATCAGCTCTGGTCTCTTATACATTTTTTTTTTGACTCACTGAAATAATTAGGGAATTGTGGGACAGTGGCGCTGAGATAGGTATTAGGTTGCTTTGCCCAAGCTTGTGCTAAGTCAAGCCCGTTCTTGCCGACAACTGGATAATTAGGCTTGAAGCTCACGTCGAATCCTGTGGCACAGACGAGAACATCAAAGTCATGGTGTTGACCGTCGCGCGTGATGAGGCCTGTCGAAGTGATCTCCTGAATGCCTTCGAAATTGACGATACATTTGTTCTCGTCAGTGATGCATTCCAGGTAGCCATTTCCGGGAGTTGGTCTTCGACAACCGACGGCGTAATTTGTCGGCATCATTTTGGCGATTAGATCACTCCTGCCGTTGAGCTTCCTCGACATCTCCATTCTTGCAAAATCGAGTGCTTCTTTCTGCTCCGGCGTTCCATTGATAATGAACTTGAACCTCTGGTTCAATTCTTCCTCGACAAGCTTTCGATATTTGAGATATTCGGCGGGATCCTCGCGGAATAGCTTTTTTTGTTCTTCGGTATAATTGAAATTGGCCCCGTCCTCGCCAGCATACTTTTGTGCAAAGCCAGCAGTGATCCAAGTTGACGATCTCATGAAAGATTTGATCTTTTTCACTTTTGGGAAGATCGCCGGTATGATCTGAACAGCACTACTGCCGTTTCCAATGATTCCGACAACCTTGTCCTCCAAATCGATGCCCTCATCCCAATTCGCACTGTGAACCTTTGTTTTGAACTTTTCGACACCAGGAACCTGGGGCCACTTCCAGTTATTCAAGACTCCGGTTGCGTTGATTAAGATGTCTCCTTCATCCTCGAAGGTGGTCGTGGGGTCGTTAGCCGATTCGACCCTGATGCGCCATTTGCCTCTTTCCTCGTCCCACCATGCTCCAGAGACCTTATGGTTCAATTTGACATAGCCCTCGAGATTATGGGCGGCGACAATTTCTTTGAAGTAACCCAGGATTTCTTGGGAAGTTGCATAATATGAGGTCCAATCTGGCTTCGGGTGCCATGAAAATTGGTAATTTACTGCTGGAATGTCGCATGCACAACCAGGATACCGATTCTCATACCAAGTGCCTCCAACCTCTGGATTTTTCTCATAGCATTGGACGACAACATTGTTCTGCTTATTCTGTCCCAGAACATGTGCAATGTTGATGGCTGCAGCACCAAATCCAATGATGAGAATCTTCACGGGCCGCAATTGACCCAGATAGCTGTCAGGAATTTCGTATCCTGTCGCATCCTGCTTCGGTACCTCTTTCGCATAGGTATTCACTGTCTCCAGCACGTCCTGTGTGTTGACGTCCCCGTTGGACGTTGTTTCTCCCATTGTGTGAAAGGTGAAGATTAGAATCTCTTATTGGAAATTCTACTGTTAGGACAATACAGGGCATTACCGTTTCAAGTCTTGGTCAATATCTACTGAAAGCCACGCTTTTTATGACCAAATTGAATCTACGGCCGGGCGACAATTGTCGCACTCTCGGCTGTGTACTTACCGACACGCAGCAGTGGTAGAGATTGGGGTAGCCAAAATTGACAAATGATCAAATGGCATTGGCTCTGCGGCGTGTGAGCAACCCCAAAACTAAGGTTCATGTTTACGTCTACTATGGGACGAATTATCGGGCCTGGATTCCCAGAGCGGGTAGATCTGTATTCAATACGTGAGATATCATTCAATGATACCACTAGTATCCTTGTGCTTTTAGCAGGTCTCCTGAGAACGTGGCGCATTCATTCTCGTGCCCCAACAAGAGTTGCAGTCTGACACAATGGTAATTCGGACGTTTCCGGCCCTAGAATGTCGCCGCTGGACTAAGTGGTGAGCTTGGTATAGTCCATGTTACCGATGCGATTTTCGCTCGTGTCGCGCTTGGCGGCTTCGTCAAGAGGAAGGCGGTGATCATCGTAGTCAACCACTTCACCGCTGAGGCTTGAATCAGCACTGACAACAGTCCTCGCAAAGGCGTTGCCTGCCACGCGAGGTGTAATCATTGGAATTTTTGCGACAAAACTATTGTAATGAGCCACATCCTCGGCAGTTTGGCCAACGTCTGTAGTCTCGTCAATCATGTATCGAAGAATGTGGAGAGTAGCTTACGCTGGCCTTTCATCAAATCTCGAACCATCTTCGTGTCACAGAGCCCAGGTGACACACCCACTGTGATGATCGAGGGCTCCTCAAGCTTGAGCTGGCTGACAGAAAAGGCGACGGCTGTCTTGGACATGCTGTAAAAGCCCCACCCGGAAAATAGAGCGCCATGCCCAGCTCCTGAAGTGGCGAGGACGATACGGCCCTTCGTCTTTCGGACCTCCGGAATCGCAGCACGATACTAATCGAAACCTATCATTAGATTTGAAGAGACTGATATGTCAACTTTCTTACAATATGGAGGTGTGAGAAGACATTGATGCGGAAGGCCTTTTCCCACTCTGATACGTTGGCGTTTTCCATCCGAAGACATGGGCCGAAGACCCCTGCGATCAAACAGATTCCATCAAGCTTGCCGAAACTTTTCAGAGCTGTAGTCACTAGCATTGTGGCTGTACTAGACTAGAGAGAGAAAGATTCATTAGCAGACAATCTTTGTCCATGAATGCGGGCTTACAGTGGCTCATTCGACATACCTCGACTATATCAGCCGCCTGGATCTCCAAAGACTGAGAAAACTCATTCTTCAGGTCCTTCAACCGGTCGACATTTAAGTCGGTTGCCACCACTTTGGCGTTCAGGTCCTGAAGCAGAATTCGAACAGTCTCATAACCAATTCCTCCGGCGGCACCAGTAACAATGATGACTGGACACGAACCCATGTTCGCACCTGGATTCATTTGTCGTCTATTCGAATCGGACCTAGAGCTGAGACAACAGCAGGGCAACGAACGAGCGGACGGATTGAAATTTCTCAGACAGATGTGCACACAGTGAACATCAGTAGTCCAAGGTAGTTTTATCCACGCCAGAAAGGTAACAATGCATTCAGACAACCTACGGAACAAATGACAGAGCTGGTCCTCAGCAACCGTTCCCCAGAGCTAGTCACCAGCGCCCGTTCACAAGATCTAGTCGTGTGTGCACTGTTCCCACCCTCTGAGCTCCACTCTTAACGCAGGCAGCGAGACGAATTGCACCTCAGCCAAATGTCACGAAGTGGAGCCCAAGATGGATTTGGGGTAGTTTAGAGCTGGCCCTGAACCCCGCCCTGGAGTGGGCTGCTAAATTAAATTGTCATTGTAAGGAGCCGGAGCGACGCTGCTCATGTTGACGTAGCCTTGCATGAGCATGTCCTTGTCCTCCCCTAATCGTTGGATCCATGTCTTCATGTCTTTCAGGAAGCAATCCACGTTTTCTGGCACGGAGAGATCGATCGGGTTCTCGTCGCATCCGACCTGCCCAATTTGTGTTCCCGCAGCAACGTTGGTAAGCATGAAATTTTGATGATCAAGCCTCTGGGCGATGGCTGAGTTAATCCTACCATCAAGCAGATGGCGTCCAAAGGAGAACTCTTGACACGCTGCTCTTGCGATGCCGATTCCATCAGTGGCTTTTAGAGCGTTGATCATTGCGGGGGCTGTTTGAAATCCTCCCGTAACGTACGATTTTGTGCGCGTGAGAACGGGTGTAATCATTTCCGCAAATTCCAGGAAGAAGGCTTCGCGCAGCCGACTTGACTCTCGTTGATGTTCCCAGGCCAGTCGTTGATAAGTGCCACCGCTGAGTTCCACAAAGTCAATTTGTGCTTGGTCCTGCAATATTGTACACAGCTCACGAGCCTCTTCAGGGGTTAGGCCTCCTTCTTGGAATTCGACGCTGTTCAACTTGATGCTGATGATGAAGGATGAAGGAACTTTTTGTCTAATTCCTTGCACGATTTCGAGGATCAGACGACATCGGTTGAGAAGAGATCCACCGTATTGATCTGTCCTATTGTTCGTGGTCTTGGACAAGAAGGCGGCGAGAAGGTAGCCATGTGCCGCGTGAAGTTGCACACCGTCAAACCCGGCCTCATAAAGGTATTCCGACGACCAAACGAACTGATGAGTAATTTTCGCTATCTCTGCAAGCGAAGCAGCGTGGGGCCGTCCAAAGGACATCCCAAGGGTATTCTCCAAAGGTATATCGCTTGGAGAGACCGGGTTTGGCTGTAGTTCCAGTTTGGTCTGGCGGCCAGGATGGTTGAGTTGTCCCACGAACAACGATCCTTCTCTTTTGGCAACATTTGCCAGCTCGGAAAATCCATCAAATCTCCGGTCTCCCACCTTGGTGACAGCGCCAAGTGGAATGATCATGTTGCCGGGTGCCTCAAGGTGGTCATCGGCAACCATAATATTTCCACTGACTATAACACCATAGCCTCCTTGACCCCATCGACGATAGACATTTATGAGCTTCTCCTCTGGTATTCCGACGAATGTTGGTTCATTTCGAGACCAGCTGGCCAGTCGCTCAGTTGTGGCAGCCTTCAAAAGGCGGTTTCTTGCCACCCGGCCAGAAAATTCGAATTTTAAAGGCTGCTTCAAAGGTGCGGGATCAACAGCCTCGCTAGGATAGCGGTCTGGAGACATTTTTAAACATAACCCGAGCGGTAGCTGTAGGTGGTAATGTGACAACAGATCGTACTCTCCTCAAAGCACTTGCAAGAAACTGCGAAATCGACAGAAGAAATTCACTTCCGAATGAATCGAAGGACAAGCTCTGTCCAGGAGGTAAAAGGTGTTTTGATTCAGACATTCCGCGACAGAAATCCTCCAGAATCTTCTTTCAGATCCAATGTCATTTCTCTCCAGCTGAGCTGCTACACGAAACCAGCACATTAACTCGAGAGGGGTTTCAAATGACCCAAAAACGCCAACCCGCGTTTACTGGGGTACGATTTAATATGTACCCCAACAGTGGGACCTGCAGAAACCATGGAGGCGAAAGCTTAGATAACTTCAATCATTTGACCAATGTGCTCGCTTCGAGACTCGAAGCGAACATAGAAGACTCAAAGCACTCAGAGTCAAGACCAATCTAGACTCACAACTCGAACCTGCATCCATTTGATGACTCAATCCAGAAGTACCCCAAAATCCCCGCAATCTGCCCCAGTATCGCTTGTGGGCCATAAGGCTGGCCCTCAGAGATGGAAACCAGAGTGTAAGACCCTTTGGCCAACTGAGTGGCACGGTTGTGTTGTAGACAACACCAAAATAGACTATTAAGTATGGCAGAGCCTGACCTGCCCATCATATAAGATCGGCTATCCTTCAGAATATTGGATGGGGTACCCTCCTTCTCTGCACATCTTCTGCTTTTGACGGTAGTTCTCCAGGGACCGCAGTCGAAAATTGATTTCAACATTCATCAAAATGGGCAAACTTACTACTTATAACATTTTGGTAAGAGTCATCCTTCTCTGACAGTATCGTACTGTTGAAGACTGTACTCATCCCTGGAAGGTCGCTTTAGCAGTAGCTTTGGGCAGCCTTACCTATGGCTATTCCATATCAATCCTTGGGAACACACTTGGAAAACCAATCTTTTATGTTTACATGAAGCTGGATACCACAGGCCCAGGAGCGGGTCATGCTACAGCCATCATTGCCTGGTGGAACTGCATACTCTATGCTGGTGGTTTCTTCGGTTGTGCTTCAACCTTTTGGTTTGCTACACGATCAGGACGTCGCATGCCGATTGCCGTCGGAGCCGCATTTGCGGCCCTCGGCTCTGCGCTGCAGGCTGGAAGCGTCAACCCAGAGATGATGATTGTTGCCCGTGCCATCTTGGGAATCGGCGTCGGCTTTTTGTTGTCGGGTGTACCATTGTATCAGGCGGAAATCGCTCCACCGTCCAGCCGTGGTCTCGTCGTTGGTCTCCACGGTAAGTTGTCCACCCAGATGGGACGATTCAAACTGACCTCCAGCTTCACTGATTGGTTACGGAACAGCAGTTGCCTCCTGGATCGGAGTAGCATTCTTTCACGTCGACGGTCAGGTAGGGTTTCCTGCACGTACGTCCATTTTAGGTCATACTGACTGTGTGAACAGACTGGATGGCGAGTCCCGTTGGCTCTTCAGACCGTATTTCCTCTCACTTTGTTCCTTCTGGTGTGGTTTCTGCCGGAGAGTCCACGGTGGCGTGAGTGTTATATGTGTGCCTTAAACGTGATAACAAAGCTTACACGGTGTACAGTCTACATGAATGGCCGTGGTGAAGAAGCTGAGAAGGTCCTCATCAGACTCCACCGAAATCAAAAAGACCCAAACAACGAATTCGCACGGAAAGAGATGTACATCATCAAGGCGCAAATTGACCATGAATTGAGCCATCGTTTAACCCTGGCTGTGGCCCTCAAAACTCCGTCGATGCGAAAGCGTTTTATTCTCGGGTGGGCTACCATGTCTTGCACCCAAGCGAGCGGCCTAATAGTGGTTTTGAGTAAGTGAAAGAGATTTGAGACTTGTGGATTCAGTACTAACAGCAGTAAAGCCTATCAAGCCGTCATTTATGGATCACTGGGCTTCTCACCATTCATGATAGGGATTCTAGCCTCGATCTGGTGCATTTGCAACGGAACCGGAAATTTTATTGGAGGCACTGGAGTCGATTACTTTGGCCGTGTGCGACTGATAAGTAAGTGGATGAAGCCTGATAGACCGACCGAGTGAAAGAGCCGGTGAGATTGACCACAACTCTAGTCTGCGGTTTAGCTTCTTGCATGGTCACACTTGTCCTCTTGTGTGTACTCACAAAGAAATATGCCGGTACAACAAACCGTGGCGGAAACATTGCTGCCGCTGTGCTTACGTTCCTCCTCATCATATTGTAAGTCTCTCCAACGAACCAGATTCAGGATCCTGACGCTAGACACCAGTTATACCGTCGGTGTAGAGGCCGCGGCTTTTGTATACACATCAGAGCTTTTCCCAGGCGAATGGAGAGCATTAGGCGTCTCCACGTCCATCACTGCGGTTTTCTTCTGGGGCTGCATCTTCACAGCTGTGGCTTCGCCGGCATTCGCCAATATTGGGCCACTCTATTACATTGTATTCATCTCCTGCTCTACCCTGATGATTTTCGTCGCCGGCTTTTTCTTCCCAGAGGTAAACGAGCCCTTTCTCGTCGGAAACTCTACCCTGTCACTGACAATAGTACAGACGAAAGGCTTCACTCTTGAGCAGATTGCAGCAGTGTTTGGAGATGACGTCGTGGACATGCAGGGCCGCGTTGAGCACGGTCAAGACTTCGTGAAGGAACATGAGGATCTTGAGCACGTTGAGCTCGGGCAAATCTCCTCTGAGACCGTGACAAACATCGAAAAGAGCCAAAGTGTCTGAGTTCAGAACGAAAACCGGTGATGGCGTAAGACCCATGACGGAAGCTACGGGTGACTGCTTGCTGAAACAAGCACATTAGCTCCAAAAATAACTCCTTGCTACACCTTGTTATACTATTGCCTCGTACCAGGCAAGGCTGGTATAGCTCCCTTTCCCCTTCGAAATCCATACTCGGTATTTAGCTCTTGATTTATCAAAGTAAATATTTTTAAGGATAGCGTCTTCCCCTAATTTTGAAGGTTACGAGGCCTGAAGCGTAGTTGTTATCATAATAAATATAGTAGAACTAAGGCGGCATGGGAGGGCCGAGACGCCGTAGAAAGACAGAGGAGGTTTTGTATTGCACAGCATATACCACAGAAAATCGCGGTGTTTGCGATGGTTCTCGGAGTCAAATGGCTGCCCGGGCGTTTTTACTTTCTGCCTCAGCAAGAAGCCAAATGGGAAGCCGAACACTATCTACGCTCACGTGCGGAGTGGCACAGAACCGGTGCTCCAGCACCCCAGTACCAGGTCTATCGCTTTTGGTGGGGATATGCGGGGCGATTGCTCAGCGTTCCCCTCGTATCCCCTTCCACCGCTCTACCCCAAGAAGTCTCTGTTTCGTCCTCTTCCCAGGCAAGACTGCCATCCAAGCATATCTGAACACAGTCTTCTCCTACGTCTCATGCAGTTACGACATTACAGATCTCTTCAGCCCCAACGCTAGCCGGTTTAGACCTCCACAGCCCTTTTCGAGGCGGATTATCCTGCTGGGTTGACATCGCAGGTCCAGACGTGGAGGCGCGGAGGCTGATTCTGCAGTTCCGCCCTAAGCATCATCAGTATGCTGACAGCTGGAATTCATTCTACCACTTCCATTTCCACATCGAACCACAAGCGCCGGCCTCGGAGAGTGCACCAATGCTCGATCTGCCATCGGCTTTTCAAACGCTCTGAGCATTTGACTAGACACTTTCGCCGACGTAAGTAAATAGATCACATTGAAATCCCCACTTGCAGGAAGCTTGAGCTGACTGGGCCAAAAGACACACTAGAGAAGCCGTATCAATGTCGAATATGCTTGACTTGTTTTGCTCGGAAAGAGCTGCACGATCGCCATCAGCTGCGACAGCATGGATCTGCTCGCGAGGATATGTCTTTGCCCAACATTGTGGAAGGTAGCAATCGATCTCAATTTGCCAACTCGTTTCCTGCAGACAATGGAAACAGCGCGAGCGACTTCTCGCTGCCTCTGCAATCATCGAATCCGAAGCAGAAATCTGTCGCATCTAGCAGTGAGCCAAATCCTGCTGCCGACCTGACCTCCGTGTTTGAGCCTGTCACACTCGGTAATTTCCAACTTGATGAGCATCACTCGGATCATGACCCTGTGTTCGACAGCACTTCTTCTGGGCCCTTGCAAGCTTGGGAAAGTCATAGTCCCCTCCTCGATTTCAATGGCGTTGGAAACTCAATCCCATCGAGCACTTCAATTCCTGAGTCGGCACTGGAGCAACTTGGCAGGCTATGTGCGGAGACACAGTATTCCATGGGCGAGAATCCGACCCCGTCTTTTCCTCCGCAAGAGGTCCAGGTTGAAGGCCCTTCTCTGGCTGACAGCGACAATCCATTATTATCGCAACAAGTAGCGGTGCCTGATTCTAGCTCCAATTCTCTCAGACCATGGGATTCGGTTGCTCTCTCACCGAGCTTGGACTTTTTCTCAATATCAGGCTTTCCTCCTTGGATTACTTCGGCAGTGCCATCTAGAGCGCCTTCCCCATCATGTGGCTCTCGTCGATCTTCTGATTTAGCTACAAGGAGCATAACCATGAGCGATCAATCTCTGGCACACATTTTCATACCTTCGTCGCCATCAGAGTTGCAAGTTGTTGATCAGATGAGGAATATTCTAATGCAGAGCCTGACTCAGCTAAGAGTATGTTCCAGAATCGCTTCCAGTGGCTTACAGAATGCTGATCAAGCGGATAGACGTCCGACCCTTCTCAATCATCCTTTATACAAAGCTGTCAAATCCCTGACACTGAAACCCTGGATCGATATCAAAAGATGTTCTTCGCCATGCCCAACAAGAATCTCCCCTTTACACACGAAAGTCTTCCGATTCTGGAGAATGCACCCGGTAGAACTTACCGAATCACGCATACTGGCAAAAGTGCTGACAGCCAACGATAGCTTTCAACCTGGCCATCCTTGCAGACGGGGCCATGTACTGTGGAGACTACTCCCCTGGAATCTTGCTTTTCGAGGCTTCCAGACGATTGGCAGAGAACCATGTATGAGAGAACGAACTTCCCGACAGAGGAATTACTGACGATGCAGCAGCTGGAGAAGATAGGCTCGACCAATGTTCCTCTCTGGCTTCTGAACACTTTGCTTGCAAACAGCGTTTTTGGCCTCCCAGGTGGTGACGAAGCTTCTCCAGAGGTGACTATTGGAAGTCTTCAAAGTCTGATATATCTTGCCAGTCGGGTATCAGAGCCAACCTTGCCGATGTCTCCGTTGTTGAGTCAGGAGGATTATCAGTGGAGGGACTTTATTTGCAAAGAATCCAAGAAAAGGTGATAGCGTAATCTATGATGAGCGGTTGGTTCTAACCCTGGAATTAGGTCACTACTATGTGTTCTCGTCATGACCGGCCTCTGGTCTACCGCGTACGGGCCTATCCAGAATTCGGCCGCCCCTTTCTTTGATCAGATCGAACTGCCATGTGCAGAAATCCTCTGGACTTCCACCTCGGCCGAGCAATGGAAAGGGCTTTCACGCACGGCGCGGCCTCCGGAAAAATTGCGGGAGGTCGTCCTTCGGCTCCTTAATGGCTCAAATTATGCTTGCAGCGGCCTCGCGTCGCTCTCGATCGTCGTCAGTCTACTGGTCTACATGGACGAACTACGGATCGGAGCATCGGGAGATCTTTCAGGCTTCCGAGCGCACCTTGTCACGGCGATCAATCGATGGGATGAGAGCCACAGCCAGGACCGTCGAGAGAATAATTCTATCAATTTCATCGCCTTCCCAGCCGCGGCATACCTCAGAGTCTTCCTCGAGGTCAACATCCGAAGCGCGATGGCGGCTTTCTTGAAGCATGACTTTTGTGCAATGCGGGACTTTCTCCGAGACGGTGATCTCAAGAAGGCAGGAGTCGAGGCGCTCTCGGGTTTGGTTCCCTGGGCGTCCTGCCACAAAAATCAAATTTCCATGGTGGCTATTCCGCTCGGTAAGACTGTCCATGCCCTTGTGTTCTCCTCTCTAACCAGAAGTGGTAGCACTCGTGGTCTCGGAATCTGTCCTTGAGATTGCAAATCAGCCATTCCCCTTAACTCATGGAGAGTCATCTCTGCTGAAACATTATGGCGATGCTTTAGCTCTTGAAGATCAGAGCGTCAACCCGGTCAGTATTTGGCAAGCTTTGCGGAACATCATTAGCAACGGACCTGGTAAGTTTCCCTCGACGACTGGCAGAGCTTCTCCATGCGCTAACACCAGCTTCCTCGCCATCAGTGACTTTGGTACTGTTGACCGCCCTGGAAGCCTACGAGGCTGAGCTAGAACACTTACAAGCTCCTCCATCGCCCGATCCGTTGCCTGAGGATGGACATTAAGAGACTTCTAAAGACATGACACAGTCCTTTTAGAAAGCATGGCTTTCCTCCGCGAGGTACCAATCGCTGGCCAAAGTACGATCATTGCTTCGATTAAATAGCTTGAAAGCGCCGAGCATTCTGCCCTTTAATCACGCTTTGCATATCTTTGTATGCCAGTATGCTCTAATGATCTTAGTGGTTGGTTGTATCCCAATTCTAAACTTCTTTCTGGTGTCAAGTTGTCAACGTCCTCAAAACAACTCTCAGAAGAGTGAATTTCTCCTCCTTCTCGTTCCCTCTTCCTTTATTCGAGTCCCTCAAAGTTTGGCTTCCGTGCGTTGCGGCACCGATTGGGGCCCGTCCATGTCGAGGTCCAGATATTTTCGGTAGAGCTCCAAACTCTGCGGGTTCGCAACGGTGCCGCTCACGGCGGTGTTGAACCCACTAACGATTTGCTTGACATTGATCTCACACTTCTTCCCATTCACGGTGTAAGGGATGTCGGCGACTTCAAAGATTCTGCTGGGTACATGTCTTCTTGAATATTGTTTGCGAACGTCCTTTTGGATTCGGTCAATAAGTCCAAGGGAGAGAACATTGCCTGCTTTCATCTTGAGAAAAAGAAGGACCCTCTCGTCGACATCCTGCTTTCGTCGTTGCCCGACACAGATTGCGTCTTCGACCTCATCATACTTCTCTGTGATGGCATATATTTCGGCGGAGCCGAACCGGACGCCGGATGGATTCAAAACGCCGTCACTGATGACAGAAAGATAGTAGTCAGCACGGATTTGAGACTAGGAAGCTCTTGTATCTCGCAGACCTTCTCCCGAGAACCACCAGCCCACCAGTGTCGGGACACATTTGAACAAAATCTCCTTGACACCAAACGTGTACGCCATACCTCGCAAAGTAGGAAGCTCGATATTTCTCAGGTCCATCGACTCCATAGAATGTCAACGGTTGACTGGGGAAAGGTTGAGTGCAGACGAGCTCTCCAGCTTGTCCTGACACCAGAACCGAGGACGCCTCGGCCTTTGAGCTGTCAAAAATGTCAACTGCCATACCCAAGCACCTAGCTTGTAGCTCCCCGGGGTAGACTGGTAGAAGAGGAGTGCCGCCAAGAACTGTGGTCAATATCAGAACAAGTCTCATTGGTGCCGAAGAACTCACAGCAACCAGCTATGTCTGTGCCGCCGCACATTGATGCCAAATGCACTGATGGGGGAAATGCCTTATCGTAAAACCAATGATACATGTCTGCAGACAGAACAGCACCTGTCGACGTGAGAACCCTCAAAGACTTGAGTCGAAATCGTTGACCTGGACTTTCCATTAGCCGTATGGCTCAAGCCGGATATCTTGTTGAGAATCGCAATTGCTCACGGGGAATTATGCCTCTGGCCTTAAGTTCCGTGAGATATCGTGGAGATGTGCCAAACACCGAAACCCTTGTCACCAAGGTCAGTCCGAACTTGCTAACAGGAGAGCACACAAACCCAATTCGATCAGCAAGGTCTATGAGAATGTCTTGTTTTGGATGGAACGGAGAGCCATCGAACAGGAGCATTGCAGACGCATTGGCAAGGTTGAAGAAGTTCAGCATCCACATTACCCATGAGGTCTGTCTGCAAGTCAGCATCGAAACTCGCCAAACTCGCCAAACTTACTGTAGTGTATTGGAAGACGATATCATTCTCCCGAATATCATGCTGCAAGACGGAGTCGACTTTCGTTTTCAGAAGAGCGCCCTAGAAGCATCCGATTATGTGTGAAAAAGAAATTCTTACGACCTGGGAGTTTGCATACCCCAGCAGTATGCACGATGCATTTTGGTTTTCCAGTCTTTCACCATAAATCAGCACTCCTTTAGCAAAGCAGAGCTTGAGGATCACATACTGTGCCAGACGAGTATAAGATGAAAGCCGGGTGCGAGAAGGGAGCCATAGTAAAAGCGAGGGGTCTCCCGGTGCCTCGTTTGATGAAATCATCCCAAGATATTCCTTGGTGAATTCGGTCGAGGTCAAAGCTGATGCCCTCGACATATGGCAATATGACCACGTTTCTGTCGCAGACATAGGCGTTGTCATCGTTTTCTCCAATTTCTTTTGACCAGTGGCTTATCGAATTCTCCAGTGTATGCAGCTTTCCGCCGTATAGGTAAGCGTTATCAGCAAAGATAAGCTTTGGTTTCGTCTGCTTGTAGCGTTCCTCGATGCCCTGGGGCCCCAGGTCGCAGGATGTGGACGACCATATCGCTCCAAGGCTCAATGTTGCGAGGCAGAGAACGATGGAGTTCACAGAATTACTTATGACCGCCGCGACTATGTCGCCTGATCCGACGCCGCTGCCCACCATTGCGTCCCTGGCTTGCTTGACCCTACTGGAAAGTTCACCCCAAGTGATATTGGACACAGCAACACCCGTCTTCATGTCTTCACGAGCAGCATATATTGCAACCGCATTGGTCAAACGATTGCGGAGAATGACCTCGCAGATGTTCAATTTCTCGAATGGAAAGAAGATTGGAGGAGGGAAAAGCGGCGTGCTTTTTGGTATCTAGTGAGTACTTTGTCAGCTACAAAGTTAACCTGGAGAGGAAGAAGAGCGCAGCCACAGCTTACATGGGTATCGATATGATGTTGATCAAGTTCGGTGTTTTGTTCTGGCCTCCGAATTCCGAGAAAGAGGTATGCGTCACCCCAAAAGTCCTGGGACGTAGCCGGGTTTGTAGACCATTGCTGAAGATCCGAGTAAGTTCGTAATCGTAGATTGCGTTTGCGATTGATCCAGAGGATGAATTTAGCCACATTCGTATGCTCAATGCTGCGTGGAATCCATAATGGCGTCTTGGAAATCTCAGCATTCGACATTCTGATCTCCTACCGAGGCAGGACACGACTCGGTATGTAGAGATTATCAACAGTAACACTTGGCGGAATATTGGGTGACTGTGACTCTTCTATAATATGATGGACCGGTCGCGATCTCCTTGAGCGGGCGTGTAAGGATCCCATATCGGCAGGATCCACCTTTCAATGAGAAGAGGCCTGCGTGCTTGGATTGATGTTAGAAGCGCATCTAACTCGCCATCTTGCTACCCCAAACCCCACCCCAAAAGATTACCCACTAAAGGAGTCAATTTTGTTGCCTGCCAAATCAACTATGCTTGGCCAGCCATCCGGTAGCGGCCTCGTGGGGTTAATTCTGCCTGAGGCAAATATAGTGTTCGCTTTCAAATAATGTGAACTCGCCTCACAGGTGAAGGCTGGAACTGAGCTGTTTGTTGGATCTGTATTGAGATTCTTGTACCTAGTTAGCACCACTCGCCATGGTTCATGAATTTCCTGGGAGATTTCAAGGCAAAGTGGTCGCCATTACTGGTGGAGCCTCTGGCGTTGGTGCTGCTCTTACACGTCGTTACGTTGCCGAAGGAGCGAAAGTCCTAATTGCAGATCTGTGCGACGTGGAACGAGGACAGAAGTTTGCCGATGAGTTCCCAAAGAGCACGGTCTTGTTTCACCAATGCGACATTGGTGATCCTGCACAGGCGGCTGGCCTAGTCACAGCAGCCATTAACCAACTCGGAGACTTGGATATTGTTCACAATAACGCATCCGCGTTCGCTTGGGGAGCAATACCAGATATGGATCCTGAGAGCTGGACCAGGGTATTCAAAGTGGGGGTGGACGGCCCATTTCACATCTGTCGGGCGGCGATTTCCCATATGAGGAATCAAGAGGGTAAAAAACAGAGGGGAGCCATCATCAACACACTTTCGACTTCTGGGCTGATTGGCGACAAAGGTCTGGGCGCCTACTGTGCTGCAAAGGCTGCCCTGGCTAATCTGACCCGTGCCATGGGTATTGATCATGCCCCAGAAGGGATTCGAGTCAATGGCGTCGCGCCTGGCTGGATCAATACTCCAATGTCTGCTGCACTGAGTGCAACACCAGCTGTGCATGAGCTTGTCGCCGGCAGCACCCCTATGCATCGGCCCGCTGAGCCAGAAGAAATAGCTGCGGTAGCAATGTTCTTGGCTTCGGAGGATGCGTCCTTTGTGACAGGAGCAGGTATGAAAGTCCACGAACCCCAAGCCACGTGGCGTTCTAACATAGGTGGTCCACCTAGTATGGAATGCAGATGGTGGTCTTCTGGCTTCAAGTCGAATGCCGTCACTGGACCAGGTACATCAGGTGAGTGACAGACTTTACAAACGGCATCAATGCCATTAGTCTAATGTTCTACTCCCAGGCCGGAAATGAAGGGAAATCCCAGCTGTACTAGACGAGCGGTTTCGCTAGGTCGGCAATGAAGGCGATAGATACTCTGAATATTCCGAACCAAAAAAGCCTACCCCCATACAAGTCTCAAACAATCAATGTATATCGTCTGTCAAAAGAACTCATTGTCTGACCTTGGTAGTATATTGGCAGGAAAGGCCAGCTAATTATCTCGAGCGTATCGAATTCAAAATGTAGGAGAGGAAAAGCTCGTCGCATCGATCTTGCATCTTCCGTCCCGTCATGGGCCATCCACAGGAAAACGTGTGCAGCTCGCCCTTGGGGGCAAATACTTCCACATCGTTGCCTGCTGCTCTGCTTCTTGTGATCCACCTCTCACTGTCCGAAGATAAGACCTCTGTTGCCGAGTACATGACCAATTGGGGAGGGAGGCGAGTCAAATCTTGATGCAGAATCGCTGAGATATCGGCTGTACTTGGGGAGGTGTTTTCTGGTCGCAACATGCTATTCATTATCGGAGCACCTGCATCATATTCGAGCATGAAGTCAAATTGCTTAAGCGGAGAGTTGAGCGTTTGAGCCGCTGACATATCGACCCATGGAGACATCAGGACTACCGAAACCGGCAGAGGCGTCTTGCGCTGTTGGTCTCGCAAGTAGAGCAGTGTGAGAAGGATCAGATTTCCACCTGCCGAATCCCCAGCGAAAATAATCTTGGTAGCAGGCACTTTTTGTGACAGGAGCCACTCGTAGGCGCCAATTACAGCGTCTCGTTGGGTAGGCCAGCGTGACTCGGTTGACAAAGCTGTCCTGATATCAGAATAGGATCTTTGGAAGTTGAAGGAAGACTAGGTAGGCCAGTTTTGGGTCTAGTGCTGACTTACGGTATTTGACTGCGAAAAACAGGACCTTCTGACCATCCTTTGCAGCGCGTTGGGACCACCTCTTGTATTCATCTCGGTATTGCAAAGGATGACCCGCAATCATCCCTCCTCCATGTGCGAACAGAACCACGGCGTCTTGCTGGGCAATGTCTCCAGAGCTAACATTTGGAACGAGATACGCACTCCATCCAGGTCCATCAACCTTCGGGATCGAAGTCTTCCTCGGTGCACTGTAGAATATAGTAGGCGAATAGACAAAAGCCGTGCCCAATATCTCTCGAGCGATCGCGTTGCGTAGGGACAATACTCGGCTCGAAAAGGGGTTCAAAATTCTCGAAGCCACCACGTAAACTACCCTGATAAAACTTACGGCCACAATCTTAATGGACGCACAAGGGTATTTGCGAACTTCATGCCAGTTAACGGTCGGCATTTTGGCTTGTTGAGTGTAAAGTAACTCGGATGCCGGCTCCTTTAATTGATAAACATAGAAGTCTCCAACGATTTTACTTACCCCAAGCCGAGTCCTGGCGCTGGAGCATCTTTGACCAAGACGAGGACTTCGGCAACCGCCAGTCTCGGCATCATACACGTACTATTCGTCACAACGTGGCGTATTACAATTTTTGATACGGACTGCACTAAAAACTTGACTATTGCACTCACACGTATTGCCACTAAGCCCTGTCTATGGCGATATCGTCTAATGGCGTTCCTTTTCCAATTGGAACTGAAGAAACTCTACCATATCTCGCCATCCAGTCTCAGCCACCTGGACTACCGAGCCGTCGAACACCATGAACCCGTGCGGAGCTCCGGTGACGAATTTCAGCACTGCCTCGTTTCCCGATCTCAACCATCGGAAATACATCAGCACCGAGTCATCCACTAAAGCGTCTTCAGTACCGACGATAAATATCGCAGGACACAACCCCGTCAAATCATTGTATAAGGGCGATACATTACCCTTCTTACGATCCTCACAGGACATATTGTTCAGGTAAGTATCCAGAAACCTCTGAGCATCCTGCGAGGCAAGAATTGGGGTGCCATCAGGAGTCAGTCGAATTGAGGAAAGCATTGAGAAGTCAAAGCACCCATAATTGAGCACGACTCCTCTGATGGTTCCATGGGCCTCGCGCCTCTTGAGGTGCAATATCGTCGAAGCAGCAAGTGTGGCTCCGGCAGACTGTTGTGGCCCAAAAATTCACATGGTCAGTCTGGCGAGATGCAGCTGGTGATTGAACTCACCTCTCCGCCGAGAAAACAAAGCTCCCCCTGGAACTAGAAGACTCAGCATTTATTCTTGCCAGCATCGGCTAGTGAAGCAAACCTTTTCAGCCGAGTTGGCAACAAGCCAGTCTGCCGCGTCCTCGCAATCCTCGATCGCAGCTGGGTAAACATATTCAGGTGCAAGTCTGTATTCGACCGACACGAAAACCAAACCGGTCGTTTCAGCCATATAGCTCAAAAGGAGATCTTGCCTTCGTACTGCATTAAGATTGAGGCTCGTCTGGTTGGCTCAATCGATCAATCTCACCCTTTGGCCGATCCAAGAACAAATCCACCTCCATGAAAATGGAGGAACACCCCTCTGACACTATCATTGGCAGACTTGATCACCCGGCATGCGATATCCCTGCCGGGCTGACGTGAAGGTATCTTCAAGGTGATCGCTCGATCCAACAAGACAGGAGGCGGAAAGGCTGTCTGTCCCTCCGCTCTTAGTCGGCGGTATTGTGCAGCTCCCACCTGCAAATCGTTATTGATATACTTAACTTGCGTCAACATAAGTTCAAACATGGTACCTCCCACCACTTAACATCCTTCTGTGAAGCCGCACTCAGGTCCTGGATCAGTTTTACCGTTGGCTCCGAAACTCTTGATCGCTCAAATTTTGATATATCATAGTGAGCGTCTGAGGTGGGTTGGTTCGCAGTCGCAGTCTCGTAGGAAGTCATGGCGAGGAAAGTCGGCCTGGATTTTCGAAACACAGGTAGCCAGTGCATCCCAGAGTAAGCGATCCCCTTCAATCACCAAGTAGAAGCATGAAACGACCCCTACTCGGGGTAGCAACGGAGAAACGGAGCCCCAGAAAAACAATTTCTCGGTGACCCGCGCCGAGGAAACGTGCCGCATGTGGGCCTCTGTTGGGGTAGGTATGGTGGGCATCCGTTGGTGTGGGTCGGATTTGAAGGTCGATTTGCCAAATCACCAAGGCACCTGTCCCACTAATCCTGTTCCTAGTCCTTACCCCATGGACTAGAGATAATCCTGATTCTACTTAGAGGAAAGTTATCTCGTGATAGCTAAGAGCTCTACCTAGATTAGTCCTTTTCTAGTTAGCCGAGACTGCCAACCACTGACTAGATAGGTGAGGACTCTTTTGAGATTATAATCATGGGAAGCCTCAGGATAATCGTCCTTCGCTAATGGATCAGGATTGGTCAGGGCAGACTAATGGGACCGCTGCGCTTGAGAATCCGGATCTCGGACCGGAAAAAGAAGAAAGAGCTCTTAGATTTTGAAACTTGCTTGCTATATACGGAGAGTTCTGCACGAGATTTGACCAGATGACTCAAGAGACTGTGAGACAGGCCCCAGACAATGGTCAGATGCTTGAGAGATGAAATGGCTTCTTCGAGGTGAGACTCCCTAGGACTTCCATCTGTTGACTGCATGTGCGTGGATTTCTGTTTCTGCGGCAGCCACCAAATCAACCGTTGGTCAACCACGTCCTCAATCGGCGACTGATGGTCCCGTCAATCTGTGACTGGTCTTCAGGACTATTTCTTGCCATTGTTTGAGAAAGTCGCCTTCCTTATAATCGTCGTGATCCACATCTAGATATCCCAAAGTAGCCCATATACGAGGCACGATAGCGAGTGCTCGACCTGAGATCAGCTATTAGCATGTTGAGCATTGCGGTAAAAAGTATTTCATTGAAGTGAAAGTGATGGTGCGAGGGATTCAGCTTTCAAGGGATCATTTCCAACACCTACCACAGACGCTCTTATCACAAGCTGCCCTGAGAAGAGCTTCAGCCGCGTCATCTATCGACGCAAATACAGCTCCTTTGTCGGTGATGCGTTCCGCCACGGCATCGCTAATGATATCTGTTTTGATGTACCTTTAACTCGAGCGGTTTGTTAGCCTGGTTTGCCTGCTTAACTCTCACAAGCATACCTCCTCGCCCTGGTGGACAGGTCACGGAGGACCGATCTGCCTGCAGTCGTCTAGCAGATGTATAAGATTGACAAATTCTTACCATGGCGCAATGTAGTTGACTCTGGTGCCGTGCTGTAAGGAAGTTCTTCTCAGGCACCTCATAGTACCTCGAAGTCCAAACTTGGAGGCGTTGTATTGTGGCGATCCAGGCTGATCGACAAATCCGGCCAGACTGCCTTGAAGAACAAGGCTAGAGTCGATGCCCTCCTGTCCCGATGCGACAGCAGCATTGTATTGTTTGCGGAAGTAAAATAGAGCCAGCTTGATCGTGTACATAACTCCAATGAGGTTGATGTCCAGAATTTTGAGATTCGGCTTCTGAGGCGTCGACCCCGCGGCTGGTCAGGTAAAATATAGAGGTCAGTTTCAAAGACTATGACTCGGCAATCCTAGGACGTGCGCAAGGTAATTAAGAGTACCGTCATCTTCCACAAAGACTGGATCTTGGCCACTAATGCCTGCGTTTGCGACGACGATGTCAACACGTCCAGTTGGCAACTCTTTCAGCGTCGCTTGGAACATCCTTGCCTGATCGTCCCAACTGGTCACGTCGCAATGGGATGCCCAAATTTGTCTGCATAGAAAGCAGCAAGAGAACACATGTCAGAAGAGATATTCCACGGTTTTGGAAAGGTTGGTTTCTCAATCCCAGGCAGCGCCTTGGTCTGAGAGACGAGGAGTAAAAGCCTTCTTATTACAGCTGGACATACCCGGGGTATAAAGACACAATCCTCTCGGCGCGAACGTCGTCCAGGTCACCAATCATGACGTATGCTCTGCGACCGAATTCATTAGCTGGTAGCATCGGCAGTACGGATAGAATATGTCCTTATAGAATAAGGCAGTAAGACTGATAGAGGTGAAGCAGTATTTGGTTATGATTTTCCTGCCCTCATTGAGCGAGACAGCATAATGGGCTCTTTCGACTTCGTCGAAATATCCCCATCCAGAATCAAATGGTCGAACATACCCTGCGTCAGCCAAAGCTTTGGCATACGCTGCCCCAATTCCATTTGCCCCTATACATGGAAAGAAATCTATATCAGCCAGCCGTAAACGATGAGATATGCGACTTCCAAAGTGCCTGATGACCAGGCAGCTAATAGAATGCCAAGCCTATTGGCGGAGAGGGTTCATTGTTTTTGCATACCTCCTGTAATGATGGCAGTCTTTCCCTTCACTTTGGTCCGATCACATTTGACGCTACAGTCGACAGGAGAGTCCACATATCTCGAAGCCATGTTGGCGCTGCAAAGGATGGCTCTTACTGTTCCACGTGTCTTGCAATTTCACAAGAATGCTGGTACGCACGAATGTAGGAGCCGAAGAATATTGTGCAAAGGTTCCATCGTTATTCTTTCGACTCAGATTTACTGTGTATCTCCGCGTACTCTCTCTGCCTAATATTGAGCCCCTCCTTGAGCCCCCAAACCCCGAGCTCGGATTTCTTGGTTAACCCCAAGACTGAACACTGGTGGATCTCCTCGGCTCATAAGAAAGGGCCACAGCCAATCGGCAGAAATATAAAAGCCAAGGCACGCTTCGATATCTGGCAGTCGTTCCCCGCCGAGGTTTTTGGCCGATACATATATCAAAATCCACCGCGGCTGTGGCACCAACGGGTTGATTCTGCCGCTGTTGGCGTCAACATCGGCCAGCGGTATAATCTGTGTCTTCGGCTCTTTGCCTCGTTCTCGAGGGTGACTAAAATGCTCGCTTCAGAAACTGGGAACAACCCAGGGCAAGCGGCTCCACGTATCCCGAGGGCAGCTAGAGCCTGTGTGCGTTGCCATGCACGGAAAGTCCGCTGCAACGCTGTTCTTCCCGGCAGCGGGGGCCAATGTTCCTACTGCGTATCGATAGGGGCTCCTTGTGAGCTTCTACCAGAACGGAGACGGTTGGTGAGGTCCTTCCCAAGCTACGGAGGACGCAGCTGCTAATTGATATTCTCGCCAGACAATATCGCAAGCGTCAGAAATGCAACAGCCACTCGGCAAACCGTATTGATGGCCAGCAGGAATCAACACAAGATACACCTGGACAGATCCTCCAAGGGCGATTGCAGCATATCCATACAAACCCAGATCACTCCAAAGAGTCGGCTTCAGGACGATCAGCCCAAGACGCCCAAATCGACAGCAACTATATCATCGGCAGCCACGGTCTGCAAAGCACTGACGACGTTCAAAATGATCCTCAAGGAGGATTGGTCACACTGAGAGACCTACCAACTGCAAATTCCGTATTATCGGGATCGAGATCTTCTAGCGGCTGTGCTACCATCTTTGTTAATGCATTTAAGAATCAAAATGTTTGGAGCAGGCCTATTGAGGTCGTCAGTCATACCCTTACAGAGCATGGCTCAGAGTGGCAAGGAAGTAGAAGTTCTGCTCAGCCAATCAGCACATCTCCTATAACTGAGGGCGGACACCAGAAATGCTTTGTCTACTCTGGCGAAACACTCCATCATTCCTTCCTGCCTCACATGGCTGGGCATCGGCGTTTTAGCAGAGCCAGCCGCAGTACATTAGAAGCGCGACAGTCGACCAGCATGACTTTATCGAGAGACCCGTTTCCAGTCACCGCGCGTCCATCACCTTGGTGGGAAGTCAAAATACTCAAACCCACAACTTCAGGAGATACCGTCTTCGGCCACTTGTCCCTGGTGGACGTCTTTTTTCTCACCAGGCTCAAGAACATTCTCTACTTCCCAGAGACGTCCGTGGCCTATGATTTCTTCCTCGCTTTTAGAGATCACGTATTGCCAACGTGCCCCGTCATAGACCGGTGCGAAATGACGAAAGTCTACGATTCGTTCTGTAGTGGTCATGTCACCTCTCCCCTGCTTATAAACTCGATCTTCTTTTCGTCATCGCAATATGTCTCTCAAGAATCGCTGACAAAGGCTGGTTTTGACTCACCCCACGAAGCAAAGGAATATTTCTATGAACGCACAACCATGCTCTACGCTCTAAACTGCGAACATGACCAACTCAAAATTATTCAAGCCCTCCTCTTCATCAGTACATGGTGGTCCGATTTTAGCGAGGAGAAGGGGACGAAATACTGGATATCGTGCGCAGCGAACCTAGCACTGAGCATGGGTCTCCACAAAGCTGTGCCAGTTGCTGCACGTCTCAGTCAACAGGAAAGATCCATATGGCGGAGAGTCTTCTGGACAGTCTATGTAAGTCGACCCGTGTCATCGCTCGGGGTCCCCTTCCACACTTTCCCTATACTGATATCCAACAGAGCAGAGACTGCAATGTCTCGATAGCCATGGGCCGTCCCCTTGCGATCCATAGCAAAGAAATCGACGTTGAAGAGCTGAGCGACGCAGATTTCTACGAAGGACAGGATGAAATTTGTCATGATCGACCCTCCGCTTCTCATGGCAAGGGCCGGCTGGACTTCACGATATACTCGAATGTACATGTCTTCTACGCCGTCAAAACTGCTCGCCAGTCCGCCTTGCGTAAGTGGATCTGTCCGTCGTTTGGAACAATCGATAGTTTCTCTGTGATCAACCTTGTGTCTTTCTTGGGTATATTTCGAGCCAAGTGACTAACGGCAATTGCCTAATTAGTGACCCAAGCAACGTCTATTAGTTTGGAAATGGCTCTTGGAAGCGAGGAGGCCGTCAAAGCGCTGGTTACATGCAAAAATGATACCACGGCATTACGTGCGGAGCTATCGGACTATCTACTTCGCCGATTCGATGCTGAGACCAACGATGAGATTCTGACCCGTACGGAGAAGCTTTGGATCATCTTTCTACAGTTGAGCACCGAACGGACCTTGTCAGTCGCTTGTCTCTTTCTACGGAGGCACATTGAACGCTGTGAATCGTGGCACGGATCTCTCAGTTTGTCCGATGTCAAAGCTGAGATGGTCCGAGCCGCTGCCAGGACATTAAACATCTATGAAGAGCTCTTGGAGCTTGGTTGCCTGAGATATTCCCCCAACTTTGTGTAAGCAGTGCCCCAGTCCACGAACTGCCCGTTCGAGCTCCACATCACTTACTTTGGCTCAGAAACACGCCCATTTTCGGTGCCATGGTCACGTACACCGAACTCATCAAAGAAGCCCAAGAAGAAGGCCGGGTCAACAGAATCGCAACAAACAAGTACCAGCTAGGAATCATGATTCTGGAAGAATTGGAGCAGCTTTGGCCTGCTTCGGCTTGGGCATGTTCGTTGTTCAAAATCCTAGCCGACAAAGATTTCCTCCGTCTCCGGAAACTACCACACGCTTCGCGATGGCAAACTCCCGATCCTACCGGTGAAGTATTGGAAACTACGATTAGCCCCGACGGCCCCTCGGGTGGCGAGTCAGCATCCGGGTTTAACACATTGCAGGATCTAAGTCCTTTTTTCAACAACATCAACACGCCCAGCGCCCTCGATGCGATGTTTTCCAATGACCTGTTTGATCCGCAAATGTGGTATGCTGCGGCGCAGGCCTCCCCATGAGTAATGAGCATTCGCGATAACATATAAAAGATCATGTCGATAAAGACCGCCCGCTTAATGACGGCTCTATTCGTTCACCGATCTATTGATGAGCTTTAGGTGTGTTGTTTTCTTGAATCAAGAAAGACCATGCTGCATAACCACTTGTCTGCGGAATACAATAAAACGGACTCTACGTCCCGAGCTTCTTTATTCGAACTTGGTCTTGAATGCTAATGCGGCTGGATCTTCTTCCCAGGAAACACGGTCGAGGTGGTTCTTGGCCCCGAGCCACACTGGGCGGGTGAGGTGAAATCCATATTCCACGTCGAAGTACTTTCCGCACGCAGCGTACAGAACCATTCCATGACATTCGCGATTCAGTGAAAGGTATGCGACTGCTTTTGCCGGGACATCTGCTGGTTGCATGCATTCCCTGGCCGAGACAATCTTCGCTCGCTCCTCTGGAGGAATGATGCCGGTGTCGGTCCAAAAGGGGCATACAAGGTTGAGGCGGATATTGTATTTCTCTGGTATATCAGTCCGTAGCGTCCGTACCATACCCAGGAGCTGTCATACATATCTTCAGTCACCGAGTAGCTTTTAAGCGAGGGGGGGGAAGGAAGGGGGTGTTTTGGTGAGCGCTTTGGCCAGGGGACCACCGATTGCTCTTACTTACACCGTGCTTGGCGGCAGCATACATTGGTGTGCCACCCACACCATTGAAGCCTGCGAGGTATCGGTCAGTTGATACTTTCCATTAGGTAGAAGGTTTTGGCAGTAGGCCCGACGTACTCTTGCCACTACCTGTGATCACTATACTTCCTCCCTCTGATTGTTTCTTCATAAAATGTACGGCGAGTTTGAATCCATTGATGGGGCCAAAGAGATTTACGGCCAGAACCGAGTACTTCGGCTCTTGCAGCCTCCCATTGTCGTCAAGTCGGTCCACAAACACATCCTCGATCTCCGCAACTCCGGCGTTCAGGAAGGCAATGTCGATTCGGCCGTGCGTCTTCACGGTCCATTCGAACAAGTCATAATGTTCATCCCACTTGGTGAGATCTGTTTTGCGAAACTTGACGTTGGGTATGTCTTCAGGTGGGGGATTGACGTCTGCGGATACGATTTGCGCCCCTTGTTGAGAGAAAAATCTGGCTGTAGCAAGTCCAATGCCGCTGCTCCCGCCTGAGAGAATCAGAGTCAGCGCGAGGATGCAAGGGATTACTTGAGAAGTAGCGCACCTGTGATAAGGGCGACTTTCCCCTTCAGGCCAGCAAATATCTTCTCGTCGAATTTGATCTCAGCCATCTTGGACTCAGACTTAGAATATCGGGGATGCTACGATTTAAATCTCCAAAATGTTCACAAAATTGTAAGCAATGTTTCCACCCAGTTTTGATGGTCCAATTCTTTTGTTTTGTCCTCCTTCTCTAATGACACAGACGCCTGTAAGTCAGAGAATCTCAGATAAATATTCTATGCAAACCCAAAACGTTCCCGTCTGGTCCTCCCACTCTATTTCGGTTACTGCACTTGTTGCCGTTCCGACCGGTTTTCCAAGGGACGGCCCAAATCCACTGGGTGGACCCTAGTCGATTCGGCTTAACTGGCAAGCCATCATTTCCTTTTGCCGAACCGAGAGGGAACAAAAATTCAAGAGCCGGCCATACTAGTCTTGGATCATACACAGCATTCTGTAAAGTAGTCTAAGCAAATGGCTTCATATTAGCTTGGGGAAGTATCTATAATGTGGGAGGTATCGAGGGCGACATAAAGTAGAGTGTGTTCTGACAGATGAATAAAGTATGACTCCACCAATTCCGCCACTCGCCCTTGTACCAAGATCCGTTCAAGATGCATGGACTTGACGATGAAATGGTTTTTAACACGCAGAGCTCGAACCAGTGGACAGCTTGGCTCACTGAGGCCACATGGCACCACAACCACAACCACCACCATCATCGTCGTGGATCTCGGAAAAGATGCGGTGCTTGCAAAGAAAAGGCCTCGGTCGTGGTTGCAGGGAGGTGTATGTTGGGATTGACAGCGGGTATCCTTGGGGCGAGTCCATACGTGATGTACTATTTCTTTTCGGAAGAGTACAACCAGGCTACCGCGATGGTGAATGAGAAACAAAGAACCTTCCTGCTTCTGTCACTCCTAGCTATCCCAGCGACTTCAGCTTTGAGCTTGGTGTTCCTGGCCTGGCTGAGCTTGAGCTCCTTTGGCCCAATCAGACGGCGATTGAACGGAGGATTTGAGTATTTCAAGCTTTGGCTGTGGTTTACGTTTGGCACGGTGGGTGTCTATTTTCTTATCGCGGGGCTGACCTACAAGTATGCCAAATGATTTCATGGGCCAAACGGTGTTTGATATGATGGATTTATACTGGGACTGGTCATTGGAGGCGTCTTTCGAGGACTGGTTCGAGATTCGAGATGGCGTTGAGGGAAAGGCCGTTTTCGGAGGTGGATGAACGCGTTCAGGGAGAAAAGGTGCGGCTGTTCGCTGGCACTCCGCAAGCAGTATATCCTCGTGGACGCAGACATAGACATTGCAATATGAGTGAGAATGAAATCAAATCAAATTGCCTTTACGATGTGTATCACAATCCTCGTGAAAGGAGAGCAGAACGAGGGACGGTGGTGGGCATCAGCTGCGGCCGCCGCATCGCAGGCTTGGCACCATGGACGCTGCTTCGGCTGCGCAGTTGGAGACTCGGCATCGGATTGCACCACAACCACCACCACCACCACCACCATCATCGTCGCGGATCTCGGAAAAGAGTCAGACTCTTCGGATCATCACTGACTTGGGCGCAGAAGGGCCCCTTGTCTCTCCACGCAAGCGAATATCACGCAAAGACCCTGCCAGCGCTGTCACCCCCTGCGCTTACCAACCCTTGTCATGTACAGATAACCCCAATCACACCCAGTCGAGGTCGACCTCCCTCGCTGTCAACTTCGACGTCTTCAACTGGAGCCCGAGGAGGCAACCTCCTACCTCCATCATGGGGACAGCCAGCCAGAGTCTACAAGAAGAGCAGGAGACGCTGATAAAGGGAAGCCGCCAGTCCTCCGAGGATCCATACCCGAGACCGTCGGAAGAAAGCGTGACCACTGCCTCGACAGTCTCTCTTGTTCTCGAGAGCTTAAACTCGGCAGACGCCGTCAAGGAGCCGCTGCAACAACCCTCGAGTTACCGAGACGACGATAGCGATCCTGAGTTACCAAGATTCAACGACAAGAACTTCACAATTGGCGGCCAACGCATGTCCAAAGGCCTCCGTCGAGCAATCTGGATAGTCTCAGTTGTTGGCATTATCGGATGGATCTTGGCCGTGGTAATTTTTGTGGCAGGTGGTCGGTATAAGCACGCGTCGACGTTGGACTACGACCACGAGACTCCTATAAAGAGCTCGGCAAAGAAAGTCACCCTCGAGCAAATACAGTCAGGGCAATGGTCGCCCAGATATGCCAATATCGAGTGGACGCCTGGGCCCAATGGAGAGGACGGGTTGTTGTTGGAAATCAATCAGCCGAACCAGGATTACTTGGTGGTCGAAGACATCCGAAGTGGCACACCTTCTGAAGTAAATGCTTTCAAACGCACCGCCCTGGTGAAAAGTGGTTGGATCAAGTACGGAGGCCAGCAGTTTTGGACGTCGGAATTCTGGGTCAGCCCAGACATGAAACACGTACTTCTTATGGCAAATCCAGAGAAGGTTTTTCGACATTCTTTCCTTGGATTGTATTTCATCCTCGACGTTGAGACGCAGAATGCCCAGCCGTTAGATCCAGCGTTACCGGACGCCAAGATTCAGCTGGCTCAGTGGTCGCCCAGAAGTGACTCGGTTGTGTTTACAAGAGACAACAATCTTTTTCTCAGACATCTCTCCTCACCCCAAGTGACGACCATCACTACCGACGGTGGTCCCGAGTACTTCTATGGTATTCCCGATTGGGCCTACGAGGAAGAAGTCTTCGGAACCAACACGGCTACTTGGTGGGCTCGCGATGGCCAATACCTGGCTTTCCTACGCACGAATGAGACTACTGTTCCCGAATATCCCGTCCAATATTTCCTCTCACGCCCTAGCGGAAAGAAGCCCATTGAAGGACTCGAGAACTACCCGGAGGTGAAAGAGATCAAATATCCGAAGGCTGGAGCACCAAACCCGGTGGTTGATATGCTGTTTTACGACATCAAAAAAGGCGAGGTCTTCTCCGTGGACATTGAAGGCGGATTCCCGGACGAAGACCGTATCATTTTCAACATTGTATGGGCAGACGAAGGAAAAGCACTGGTCTCTGAGTCGAACCGAGAAAGCGATCGTGTCAGGATTGTTCTGGTAGATGTTCCTTCTCAGTCAGGCCATACAGTCAGGATTGTGGACCTCAAAGATGTCGATGGTGGCTGGATTGAACCTAGTCAGCAGGCCAAATACATACCTGCCGACCCTGCCAATGATCGACCTGAGGACGGCTATGTCGACATCATCATCTCTGATAATGGCAACCACCTGGCTTATTTCTCACCTCTCAACAGCTCGATTCCGGTCATGCTGACCAGAGGCAATTGGGAAGTGGACGGCGGGCCGGCAGCTGTCGACTTGAAAAACAACTTGGTATATTTTGTTGCCGCCAAAGAAGCGCCAACTCAACGCCATTTGTACAGCGTCAAACTGGATGGGACAAGCATGGACTCCCTAGTGCCGACCAATGAAGCCGCATACTGGGAGTCCAGCTTTTCTTCTGGAGCAGGTTATGTGAGCCTGAAATATACTGGGCCTGGCATTCCTTATCAGAAAGTTGTCTCTACACCAGCCAATCCTGAGAAAATCGAGGAAGTGCTTGAAGACAATCAGGATCTCGCCAAGATGGCCTCCTCCCACGAACTTCCGCATCAAGTGTTCCAGAACGTCACCATTGATGGCTACACGCTGCAAGTTGTCGAACGGCGTCCCCCTCATTTTGACCCCAAGAAGAAATATCCGGTCCTCTTCTACCTCTACGGCGGACCCGGTTCCCAAATGGTCAACCGCCGCTTCCACGTCGACTTCCAATCGTACATTGCGAGCTCACTAGGATACATTGTGGTAACAGTCGATGGGCGAGGGACTGGGTTTATTGGCCGCAAGGCGCGAACCATCGTCCGCAACGAGCTCGGCACGTATGAAGCGCACGATCAGATTGCCACTGCAAAGCTGTGGGCTGAAAAGCCTTACGTGGACGCAGACCGCATGGCCATTTGGGGTTGGTCCTACGGTGGCTTCATGACCCTGAAAGTCCTCGAGACCGATGCGGGCGAGACATTCAAATACGGCATGTCAGTTGCGCCCGTGACCGACTGGCGATTCTACGACTCCATCTATACTGAGAGATACATGCGGACGCCGCAGGACAATCCCCTCGGCTACTCAAAATCTGCCATCAGCAATGTCACTGCGATATCCCAAAACGTGCGCTTCTTGATCATGCACGGCGTCGCAGACGACAACGTTCACATGCAAAACACCTTGACTTTACTCGACAAGCTTGATCTAGCAGGAATTGAAAACTACGATGTCCATTTCTTCCCCGACAGCGATCACTCTATACTTTTTCACAATGCGAATCATATCGTGTACGATAAGTTGGCGAACTGGCTGGTGAATGCATTCAATGGGGAGTGGTACAGGACGGAGGATCCGAAGCCGATTGACTTGGGAACCTAATTTCAGGAAAAGTCGGATTGGGTTGAGGGGAATGGTATGGTTTGGTACCTCATTTCCCCTCCTCTGCTTAGACATGTACCTTGAATGGTACCCTGTTGTTATCTACGAGGTTCTTGGTTCTCTATCAGGCGTCCGTGGAGGAGTGAGTGACTCATATTTGCTCTGGGATCAGCATCATATCTATATATGTCTATACCGAGGTTTGAACACGCCCACCGGGACGGACGACCTTGAATGAGGAATATCTCCACGGTTCTGTGCCATCTACTTTGTTTCAACAGTTCCTACTCCCTCCCTGTCCTGGCCAATGCGCCGTGGCACTGTCAAGCTCCAGATCGCGCGCGAGGCATCCAGGCATCCTGTTTGGGTCTAGTGTCTCTTTGTCTTCCGCAAAATGTACAGTGCAATTACTTCCAAGTACCTACCTACATCAGTCTGACCTCTGTGCTTGTTATCTTAGGACTTTTGTCATGTATGACTTTATCCACGTCCGTTGTGCGTGATATTATTACAGGGCCAAATCCGGAAGGGTGAGGATACTAATTAATTAGTGGGCTTAGATCGTCCCTGCTAAACTTGAGCTTAATTAGACGAGTTGACGAAAGTGGACACCTCGGATACAGAAATATCACCTCCAGTGACGCCACACATGGAATGCGCCTGTGCCCTTAAATGGCAGATGGCACACCGCCCATGAGCCTTTTGCAAACCCGGGACAGGGGACTTTTTTTCTAACTGGTAGACCAATGCGTGTGTTGGTGTCTCTACATAATCTTTGGAAGACACCGGGTAGGAGGGAAAGTGGAATTGGAAAGGGAAAAGAAATCATGCTTTGTATCGTGAACCTATGTGATGCTTCTACCGTTGACACCGCACTCCGCATCGACGGGTAGTGAAAAGAATAAGCTTTGTAGGAGCGGTAATCGGGCCAAGACAACGGCATGAAGAGATCCCTGACCACTAAAGTCACTATTAGTAGGCCAATCCAACCTCCCAACTCAAGTAGTTGACTTTGCATTCAAATTCCGTCCATTGTCGTACACGCGATCACCAGTCCCATTGATGATGTGGTTGATGGCGCTGAACGGCTTCCCATCAAGCCACTGCGTAGTCAAATGATTCAACTGAATGCCCGGGCCTGTTGGTGCCTCGATAGCGTTGTCGAGCTCGACCTGGTTGTTGAAATTGCAGTAGATCCCAAGGCCCTTGGCTGTATGGGAGCTAACCCGATCACCTACTTTGTACGATGCATAGCCCTTGCTTCCAGTAGGCTGTTGCCACGAGGACTGGTCAGGGGGATCGTACGGGATCTCGGACTGGTACATGTAGACCTGTCCACCGTTGCCGTTCCAAACTGTCTGGAGCTTTTGAAAGTGCTCAACGAACAAGCCGTAGGCGATGACGTCGTGGCCTTCCACTGTCAGCCCATTCTCAGCCGCATTGACCGTCCAGCCAACGGCGCCAGGATTGCCGTGGTCGGCGCGCCAGAGCCAGATGTTGTCGAGGATCACGTTATTGGAGTGAATGGTGACGCAGTTCAGTGTCGAACCTGCTGCTGCGCCTCCCACGCGGCAGCAAATATCGAACAGAGCCGTGGGATTTGCGTTGTGGTCACTTGCACTGCTTGCGCCTCCTATTACCAGAAGTTGGGAGGTCCGAATCGGACCTGCATCGAAGATGATCCCACTGATTGATACGCCGCCGACGTCGTCGACGACCATGGCCGGCGTGCCGCTGTCAGGGACCAATGTAGCCATTCCGAGACCCAAGATCACGGTGTTGGGGTATTGGACCTCCAAGCTTCTGGAGAGGTGATAGACACCTGGCGTAAAAATCAAGTGGTAGCCTTGATGCAGGGCGTCGTTGATGGAATCGGCGGTGTCTGTCGCTGCTTTGGCGATGTAGAATTGACTGATTGGTAGTGTTGTGGCAGAGTCAGGGACATTGGACCAGCTTGTACCCTGGCTGCCCCTCTTGACGTTGGGAACTTGCACCGCGTAGTCATTCTCGAAGATGAGATAGGGCTTCTCACGGATGACAGGGGTCTTCTCTACCACGGTGAAAGGCTGATCGGGCCATGATCCGGAAGGAGGTTGGTCGTCGCCTACAAAGACCATGTTCCAGACACCCCCATTCCAGCTAAAGATGGACAATGTCACGTCAGTGAGTGTCCATGAGACTTGGCGTCCAGGAATATCTTCGATCTCTCTGCAGGGTCTGTGGAGAAGATGTGTCTTATCTTTGCACCATGTGTCTGTTCAACAGCAGGGGAAGCAGAGGGGATATGATTGCTTTTGATGCTCTCAGACATCAGCAGGGCTTATGGGGTAGACTTACTTTGTGAGAGTCGTGTTGCGAGTTAAGAATTGCTGCTGGGAACCGGAGATGATTTGTTTGTCAATAAGTGAGTCTGCAATGAAGCCGCCACTGGAATAGTTCGTTGGATAGCGCCAGTCGAAGAGAAAAAGCTGTCCGCCAATAATGTGCACCCGGCGTAAGAAGGTGGCCTGCGAGACCGCCCAGCCGCTGATGTCGCCATTGGTAGTAGGCACGATGGATAGATTCTCGACGCCGCGCCAGAAACTGTTCAGAGCCAAGCCTTGGGTACTTGTTGCCAACGATTGCACACCACCAGTGATTTTCACATCATTAGGTGAGTGACCCAACCCGTGCACAGTCATGTAGTAACCAACGTCTACACTCAGATTGTACGATCCTGGTTTGAAGAAATATGCTTGACGCCCCGGACCAAATTGGTTCGTGTCTTGACTCTGGAAGATGGGTGCTATGGTCGAGGTTATGTCAGCCATGGGCATGGACGGATCGAAGATGTGTACGTTGGGGCCAAAATCGGCTGGTTTTGGGTTTGTTGGTGTTGGACGGGATGCTGCGGCCATGTTGGTCTGTGATTTGAATCTGCAATCAGGACGGTGAGTGGTCAGATGGACTATGTGTTTTCAAGAAGCGAAGTCGGAGTTCCGTTGTTTCTGAATCTAGGTTGAGCCACAGGAGGTTTGATTTCAGCAGCGCTGGAGAGACCTTTATACTCGAAAAAAGACCTACTCCTTGGTAATGTTTCCTGTTACACTGGTGGTCTAATAGATAAGTGCACCACCCTCGTCTTCAGCCGCAGCTGGCTTTTGCCTTGTTCAAGCAACACATGGCAGGCAGAAGGGATAACGAGAGTGCTCAGGCAGCTTCATCTGAAGTTAGATCGCAAGAAGCATTTGGGTGTCCGCAGCAGGTCGTGATCCGTATGCATACGCTCGGGTCTTCAGCTGAACAACGACGATTCACTCAAGGAACTCCCCATCAAGAAACTTCACAACCGGTGAAGAAAATCTGTCAAACTGTAGCCAGCCGAGTAGAGCATGCAAGACCGAGGAGTCGTATGTCGAACAGGCTGATGTCTTTGGATGGTCAGGCGGACAGTGTAGCTGAAGCAACACGAGGTGTGAGGAGCCGAAGCTGAAGACGACAAGCACCGCGAAGGGTTGGTCTTGGCGTGACAAGCGACACGTGACGAAAGACATCGGCAGACCTTCCATGTGGGGTGGCAGTCATGCAGCCTGCATCCGGCGCTTGTCAGCCTCGTTCAGCCTTGCCAATATGCATCACCCTTTCTATGACCTCAGTTCTTGCCATGAAGCACCACCGCAGCCTCATAGACCCATATATAGCAGCTTTCAGGAAATGTAAACCCTCTCACAACCATACTGACGTGGACTTGTTCCTGTGCTTGCCTGAAACTTGGATTCCTCAACTGTTGATGCCTCGACTAAGGAGCCCACACCACAGACACACCTTGCTCCATCACCATGGATCATCTCCCATCTCCCGATAGACCCCTCTACACTCCCAAGGTACCATACGTCTGCAAGGGGACATATCACGGATCGGGGATTGAGAAATATCCTCGTCGAAATGGTTGGGATGTTTTGAAACTCCTTGATGGGGAGCTTGGAACTCACTCTGTGGACGAACTGGGGTCGTTCATTCAGACTTGGCTCTACTTCGGGGTCCTCGCCGACGTGTTGACCATTATTGGCCTGGAATTTGATCAAAGCGAATATATTGCCCAACTTCCATCTGGAGAAAGAGTCGTGACCTCCCTTCCACTGCTTGCACATATCTCAACCTGGCAGAAGAGGGCAGAGTCCCTTGCCCCTGATGAGCGCAAAAAACAAGGCAAGCAAGTTAGACAAGTGCTGGAAAAAGCCTCGCTCTATACGAATAGCCTTTTGACCAGAACTTCCCAGCCACCGTTGACGGGAATATCAGATGATATTACTCTGTCCATTCTCGTCTTGGGGTCTACACTCTTTCGTGCTGCATCCAAGATATGCTTGAAAGGCCTAGGAGCTCACTATGCCAATAACATCTTGGATACCGAGGAGTTCCCGGAGGCGAGGGAAGATGAAGAAGACATAAGTACTTGGGCCGAGCCGTAAGTTATTCTGACGTTTCACTGTCTGTGCGAGAAAGTGTATGGATTGGCTGTCTCATTTAAATCTGAAGTCGGCGTTCTCAGGATCTTTGCCTATCGCAAGAAAGACTCTAACCCACTTCCCAGATATTGGGGTTTCAGTAGCTTGTCAACAGCTCGATTGGTGGAACAGGGCTGGTGCACCCGGGATATCACCATGCTTCAAGACCTGTTCTCACCTGAATCAATACACTACATCACGTCACTGGGCATCACAAAGATAGCTGACCATTCAAAGTGCACTGGCTCTACATGTGTAGGAAATTACGTTGACCCTGAAGGTTATCAAACTCAGCACACGGAAGCTGGATGCGAATGCGAACTCATTGGAGCAGATCAAGACCAAGTCGTCTCGATCCTAGAAGGCGGCGGCATACCAGTTGTCGGCTTCTCATGGTATGGAATAAACAGAGACGAACCACTCTCCATTATCAAGTCGTCAAGTTCCACGCCATATGTTGCAATATCTCACGTCTGGTCGCACGGTCTCGGAAATGTCCGGACGAATGCCATCCGCAAATGTCAAATGATACGACTGTGGGGATATTTCCAAAAACTCCAAGGGATGGAACATCAGCCAGCCGAGACGCAGAGGTTCTTTTGGCTCGACACCCTTTGCGTTCCGCTGGCCAACGACGAGTCACGAAAAGCTGCCATTGCCAGACTGACCGAAACCTATCGTGAGGCAGAGATTGTCCTCGTTCTCGACCAGGATCTCCAGCGGTGTCCGATTCCGACTACCACGGAAGAAATTAGCATGCGGCTGGGTTGCTCGGATTGGATGCGCCGGCTGTGGACTCTGAAAGAGGGCGTCCTTGCGCGGAACCTCCATCTCCAATTCCTTGACGGTGTGGTCGACCTCGCGAAGGAACGCGAAAGACACGAAGGCAAAGTGTCCATATCCGACAACATCGGCTCAGACTCACGACAGCTCTATTCTGACATCGAGATACTCAATATTGCGATCGAAGGCTCAGACTTTGAGGTCACAAAGTTGATCCACATCTCCAATGCTCTCCGATATCGGTCTACCAGCAGAACAGGCGACGAGGCGATCTGCATTGCGACATTTCTGGGGTTTCACACAGATAGGGTCTATGACTTGCCTCCAGAGAGGAGGATACCGTATTTACTCTCCCACATTCCACAGGTGCCGCGGCACATCATGTTCATGGCGGGCACGAAGTTGCAGGATGAGGGTTATAGGTGGGCGCCTGCCAGCTTCTTGAACCGGAACACATCCACAGACACATACGCCCTGACGGCTGGATCTTCCGTGCCGCGGACCACTGCAGGCTTGAGCGTCGAGTTTCCCGGCTTTACCATAAAGTACGGCGGTGAGCGCTTAGACAGCGTCTTCTACATGATCGACCGGGCGGAGCGGGTGTGGTACAAGTTCGAATCCGCAAGACATGTCTACCCCGAGTGCGACGATGAGCCAGATTGGGAGGAGACCTTGTCAGCTTTGCCATCTCCGGCGGTAGTCATGCCACGGAACCTGACCGATGCCGATGCTGACGCGGGCAGCACACTTGTCTGCGCGCTGGTCTCACAGGCGCGCAGAGACGGGCCGACCATCCGGGTACGCTTCGAAGCCCGAGCGTTTGTCTCGCGAATCGTACAGGACACGATGCCTACCGAGCTGTCCACCATCCTTGAGGACCCCGATGCAGCCACCGCGGGAAGGATGGCTATCTGCGAAAGTCAGTCTGCGGATCAAAGCTGGTGCATCTGCTGAGTGGAAGCAGGGGAACCACTGCGCGGAACTCCAAATGTGAAAAAGATGACGATGCACCAGAATTCCTAGCGGAAGGCCTGTCCAACACTGAATAGCTTCGATGGCATTTCGCCCCGATTTATGCGGCCTCCTGTCCAAGTCTAGCATCTGCAGGCATGTGGCGAGCGTCAAATAACCAACCCAAGACTGTGCCTGGTCCGTAGAGGCTGTTGACGCTACTCAGTTCTTTCCCCCCGGCACCTTGATTCATTGTATACCGAGTATTGGAGTATCCACAGACAGATAGAGAGAAATAAATTCGATTGGATTCTGCCGACAAGGAGGGTGAATTTAGATGCACGGTGCCGCTTGAGCAGAGGTTTTGTATACAACAATCTCCAGGCATCTCGACCTGGAGGGGCTGTGCTGGGCTGCGCCACCACAATGCACAAACCCTGCAGAAACTTCGCCCTCGCGACTCGAATTCCTCGACTGTAGATTTCCAGACCACATTTCAACGCATACAGTCGTTGCACTGAAGATAAAAGGGAGGGAAAGAACCGGAAAAAGAAACGTGCGATGGCTGGAGCTGAGCTGATTCCATTCATCTAAGCATATATACATGCACGTATACCCATTCCTTCCCCGGCGCAAAGTTGTTGAGCGAAGTTTATAATCGTCGTCGTCGTCGTGCCTGGTCGTACAGACAGGCCTCGAGCCCGTGCGTTATTCCCCCCTTTCCTTGGTAGATGATCATACAAACAGAAAAAACCCTCTCAGCGTAACCTAGCCACGGTATGTCATCTGGCCATCAAAGTCCTGCATGATCATATCCCACTGTGCCCAGTCCATGGGCATATCCCCAACGTCCAGGTCCTGAGAGAAATTCGGTGGCGGCGCCAGCATAACACCATCTCCCGCAAGCGGGGTCGGGATGGGTTGGAAGGCCGGGAGCGGAAGCTGATGCGGGATGCCTGCGCCGCCGGTGGAAAACCCACTTGCAGAGAATTGAGGAGCAGTGTAGTTGCTGGTTGGCTGATCCGACAGCGGGGCGTTTTCCCACACCGTCTCAGTCGTCGAGTATTGGTCGCTCCTTTCTGTGCCAACAGCAGTTGCGCTGTCGGCATTCGTGGCTGCCTTGGTCGACGAGCTGGCGGCGGTCGTCGTTGCGCGCTTGAGGGGTCCACTTTCGCGCTGCTCACGAAGCTGCTTGATGTACTCTGGTATTACCTTTGGGAAAACGCCGTTGGTGGTCTCGCGCAGCGCTTTTTCCCTTGCGCTGTAGGCTTTGAGACACAGACTCCCGACTGCGACATGGAGAGGCTTCTTGTAATCCGTCACAAATTGAGGATGATGCCGGTAGATCTCGTCAATCTCTTGCCACGCCTTGTCAACGTCGTCGCCAAGTGTGCGTTCTTTGAGTTCACTGAGAATGTAGATGAAGGCCTGCCACACAAAGAACACTCGGGTGTGCCACATGAACCTCCGCAGTTGCTTGGATGAATGCGCCAAATTGACGCCTTCGAAGAGACTCATCGAGACGTTCCACAGATACTCTTTTTCTGCGGCCGGGATTTCTTTCCCGTTTGGCCATTTGCGGGGATGGTGGGCCATGAGCCTCATGCTGTTGATCGCCCCTCTCCCGATTATGATGGCCATGAATTGTATGGGGTTGGAAGGATCGCAGTATCTCAGAAACTTCTCCTCCAGGCGCTGTTCCAGCTCATTGATGAAAGAATCCCTCTCCTCGAGGTAAGTCGAAGAGGGCGAGTCAATTCGAAGAACCTCAAGGGCGACATTCGATCTCTGCCTGAACTTCTCCTTCCAATAATTACCCAGCTCGCAGCGCAAGAGGCACGAGATCATCTCCGTGGGTCGTGTGTGAGAGATCGGCGGCTCCTTCATCTCCGGGTAAATGTCTTCGTCGTTGACATTGCTTGGTACCAGGGTATCAGACAAGGAGAACTCGCCGGATCGGCCAGAGCCACTGAGTTCCGCCGACCGAAAATCCAAGGTGGTGATTTGCCACCACAGACGTCGGCGCATTTCCGTCTCAAATGGAGAGACCCCCAGATTCGTTCCATCTCGATGAAGTCCCATGCCCTGCCCAATACGGCTAGCCACTCCGGCCAAGGTCCAAGTGGTTCGCGCATCGTAGTCTTCGCGCATGGTCAAAAGGTAGAGGAAGAAGGCCTGGAGAACCACCAGCTCCGAGGTTGCCATGAACCTCGCCCTAGCAAGAGCTTTTCGGGTCGCATGTCGGTATCTTGCGAGCAAAATCTTTCGGGGCTCGCCGAGCTTCATTTCACACTCGTCATCGTCGATCGAATAGAGAGCTGAACTGTATATTGCAAACATCAAGGCCTCGAGACCTCGCGGTAGGTTATCGAGCTGTGACGAGGCTTGGACCAACGTCTTATGAAGGGTTGGTTGGTGGATCAATTTGGTCATTGGATTGATGTTGTCCAAAAACATTTGCCATAGAATGAGGATGTTGGCTGGCGAGGGATGTAAATGTTGAACTGGGTTACTCGAGGGGGTATAGCCGAGAATAAAGTCAGTGCTCTCCTCAATGAGAGAGCCGACTTCATCCTCATCATCGGAGTACTCGGCGATAACTTCATTGGGTTGTCGAAACTAGAATCGTAACATCAGTCATTCCAGATGGCCAACATGCAGAATATATTCCTATAACACACCGTTGCATCTGCCGGTGGATAATTTCGTGAAGTTTGAGAATCTTACCTCGTCAGAGAGACTTGCCCAAAGAGGGTTTTCAATGAAGCGGGATTTCCCTTGATCCACAATCAATTGACCAGATTTTCGGAGCTCGGGCGGGTAGGTAAGGAAGATTTCGCGCTGCCTTGCGAGCACGGTTTCGGCGTCAGGGCTCAGTTGGTGGGGGGAGGTGATAGGATGCGAGCTTGATGGACTCCCAAGTGTTGTTGACGCAGCTGGCCCCGTGGAACCGATCTCGGAGTCGATGTCAACGCCCTTGCTCTTGAGGAGTTCTTCGCATTTCTTGAGTCGGGCAAGCAGCAGGTCCTCTTGAGTGCGTTTCTTCCTGCGGCGGGGAGCTGGCGGAATGCGAAAGATACACTCGACCTTTGACTTGACGCAATTGGTGCATGGGCTCTGCTTGTCGCATTTGACTTTGCGCTCAAAGCACCGAATGCAGGAGAATGCCTTTGCGGGAGGCGGTCCAGCGCTGCTCATGTCTTCTGCCAGATCCTTCTGGTCACGTTCCGGGGTAGAAGAGTGCCTGATTCGTGGCCTAACTACGGCGGATTGCTATCGCTTGTCGCAATTGGGCGCCAGCACCGTGAGAACTATCATGTCGATCTTTAACGTGGAAGAAAGGAATAATAATCTGGATACACAGAAGAGATATAAATTGCCTTCAGCCTGGAGGATGAAGTGATTCAACATCAATTGCCGGACTGATGGTTGATGGCCATTGGCTGGAATGAAGCTGTAGCTGCAGATGAAAAATCAGGCAACAAGGAAGTTGAACTGCGGCAGCGATGGTGGTGGAGAGTCGCGCAATTCAGGATACGAACAAGATACGAGGAGCCCGAGCCTCTGCGCCGATGCCAAGCCATCACGTGCAGGATGCGGCTAGTCCACATTCAGTCTATACATAACACACATTCTTCCTGCTTTCTATTGTGGTTCTCTTTCTTATTCTTCTTCTCCTTCGCCGTCAAGGACGAGTATCTCCGACTTCAGTCCAATCTTATACACTGAGAAGCTGAGGTCGATCTGCAATCATCTACGACTAGTTACCCACCTCGCCCACTAGGCGAGCATGAAGGTCCAATAGTCGATGACTCAGCAAATTGCACCACTCACAGGAAGACACTGCGTATTTCCGCCCTCGCGTGTTTGCGTGGGGATTTTTATTTCGGGCCGAGTTTCACCGTCAAAACAATTGTGATGCAAGTCCCTCGATGAAAGAGTTGCTGTTGATTCTGGTCACACCTTGGATATTATTATTAGCCCTTGCAAGGGTGATGAAGTCCCTGGAGTCAGGCCTCCCCAAACGCAACTCGACTGCCCAGTGTGCAACTAGGCTGTGCCCGGCCCACCAAGGTTTGGCTAGCAAGGGCCCGAAAGTTGGGTTCTTAGGGTCTCATGTTTGTTGATCCTTCCACAAAGAGGTGCTTATTTTGATGGGGGTGGTGTTTCAGTGCCTCCCAATTCCGCGTGGTAGGGCTGGACTATTTATCTTTAAGTGTGGCCCGCCCAATCTGTGAAACCACATTCTCGGAGCAAATCTTTTCTTGCTCGCCTAACGGCTTTTGATCGGTTTATTGTTGTGGTTCTACGGTCCCCAATCTCAGGACGATTGGCACCAAGAGGCACAACAATCGGAAGCAAAAGGCCGAACCAACTTCCAACACCCAACATCATCGTTCCCAGCCTTGTCTGTGTGGGCGGCTGAGTAGCTGGCCCCGTCAGCAAAGCCATCCCCAGATTTTGGTGGTGGTCGATCTGTTGCTATTGGACAGGCCCACCGTAATCCGGGCGACAAGGCGGGTATATGTCTCGAAGATACTCTCATATTCCCTCTTTTCAATGCATTTGGACTCCTCCGTTGGCTACTCTAGAGAATTTCGGTAGCTGTTGATTGACAACTTCATCACAGTTTCCATCATGTCTGTCACTAATCCTGGGTGGTGTGCAGGCGACACCAGCGATGCTGCAAAGGCACTTCATACCCTGCTGAAGAATTTAGAATCCCACAAAGGAGGCAAACGGAAGCACAGGGACGACTTGCAGTATCTGCAACACTACTTGCTCCCAAGGCTTCGCCTGATCGGAGCTTACATCAAAGCCATTGACGATAGCGACAACCATCCGCGCAAAGGAGAGTGGGAGGCTGATCTGAGAACTCTGGCACAGGCCTGGCAAAAGTTCGAAGAGTACCTCAAGAGCCGGCATGGGCTCCTGTCTGAGAACCCTAGCGACGGTGGTGTGAAAGAAGACCTGGCTTGGACCTGGGATGAGCTCTCAGAGAAAATCAAAGAGATCAAGCTAACAGCCAGGGGTGCTTTGGACGATATCGATAGACTCATTCTGCTCGAGATATGGTATGTTATTTCTCAAGTACTTGAGTCCCGCGATGTGCTGACAACGGCACCTTCAGCGAGAGGTTCGGCCTCGTCCTGCCGAGACTGGACAACATGTTCGAGAAGATTGAAAGTTACGGCGAATGCGTGTCGACCTACCGGAAGGACGTCCAGGAAGTGTTGTACACGATCCGCTCCAACAAGCAGGATTTCAAATCGCTGAAGAGCCTGCTTCACGGGAGCATGACCGGCCTCGCCGAAAAGATCAGCGACAGCCAGAGCGAGACTGAAGCCATCAAGTCGCAGCTGCAAGCCATGTCGGAAAAGCTGGACCGCCTGCTGGCCCGGCTTGCCGAACAGCGCAGCGACTGCACCACCAAGACCGACAGGAAGTACCTGGACCAGCTGATCAAGGAAGTCAAGAAGCAAGCCGCCTCGGTCGCGCGTCTGCGGGCCTCGATCGACGAGACCATGGGCCTCATGGCCGAGTTCTTGCGGGCTTTGGAGAAACTGGATGTCAGAAAGGGGATTTCGCATTGTGCCGCCGGCGCGCTCGCAGACTTGAACGACATGCTGAGCAAGACGACGAGTTCGCTGGAAAGACTCTGCGAGAGCCTCATGCGCCAGACCGCGCACGTCATGTTCAAGAAGGCTTGGTTCTGGCGACGAGAAAAGTCGACAGACGAAGCTCCCTCTTCCGATCACGACAACAGCGAGTCCCATGAGAGCCCATCGGAGTCTCAGCCGGCATCTCCGAGCGCGACGAACGGTGAGGACACCGAGTCCGCAGATTCCAGTACACTCCTCGAGCAGTCGCCCGCCCCTTCGAATACAAATACCGATGCCGCCCTGTCAGAGACCACCACGTCTTCATCACCACCCATGAGTATGGCACTGCCAGCCAAGTCTGCAGGAATCTCCATCCAAGACCTGGCCATCATCCTCGCGTCGTCACCGGAAGAAGCAGCAGAAGCAGCAACAGCCATCACCTGGGCCTTGTCAACGACCTCTACTACTACTTCTCCACCGCCTCTGCCGCGCAAGTCTTCGGCCCGCAAATCCTACCAATACGTGCTGCGCAGCCTGTCTCAGCGCCAAAGCCACCTGGAGCTTCCCTCTCTGCCTGCTGTTCCGGGCCGGACGACTCCACCACCACCGCCGGCAGCAGGAGCAGGATTATCACCGAGACCATCATCGCGGCAACACTCGAAATCGTCGTCGTGGTCGTCAATGTCCTTGGCGCTGTCGTCGTCGGAGATGGACTCGCCGTGTCCGCAGATATTTTCGGCGCCATCGTCGTTGCCCTCTGCGCCGTCGTCCGTCTACGAGTCTTCGATCCCGGAGATCACGACCTCGTATGCTTGTGCTGATGATACCACTGCTGCTGCCGCGGCCGCCGCCGCCGCCGTGGGGGAGAGTGCCAAGGAATCATCGCTCCTCGATCAGCTCGAGCGGCGGTATAGCTCGGCAGTCGTGCCGGCGTGCACCTAGTTTTCACGCACAATTTTCCTCAGGCGGAAGCCGAAGCCAGGGCTAATGCCCAATTCAAGTCGAGCAACGACGGTCAACTGGCATTGGGTAGCTTTAGCATTCGGACAGGAGAAAGCACAGAGATTTTCAGGTTCGACTTTTATCTTCTACGATGTTCTTAGGGTGGGCGCTTACCTTTAGGGGGGGATGAAGGCGGTTATTTTCTTCTTGCCATCTGATCCTGAAGATTGACAATCGTGCTTTTATGAGTAGATACCCGGGTGTTTGGGTCGGGCGTTTTAGGATACCAAATATTTATCTACCTAGGTAGACCAGTATTACAGACACACTATTTTTCTGGCTATTTGTCGGTTGGAAATGGGCGGACATCCGGGAGAGTTTTGCGCAAGAAGTTTGTTTTCTGGAGATTCCACTCCGTTGCTAGCTGGCTGAATAGCACAGCGTAAACCGCTTTAATGCTATTGACTTGAACCGATGGTAAATGTCGAAAGGTTCTGAGCATTCTCCTTCCCTATCCCGGGGACGCCGTCGAGGAGGCTTGCTCGCCGTCCATTCCCCGTCATAAGTCCCTAGATTGGCAAACGTTCCATCATCACCTAGGTGGGTATCCTCAACGCCATCTTGGCTATCCACCGACACTTCAACCATTCACTATCACCCCGCCGTTCGGGTGTAAGCTCTGCCCGCTGATCATGCTGCTGTCCGCGCTTGCTAGGAACACAAAACACGTGGCGATTTCACTCGGTTGCGCGGGCCGACCCAGGGGCGAGGTGAACTGCTTCTGCGCGTCTTCGTTCATGGAATACGGGATCAGAGGCGTCCATACTGGGCCGGGACAGACGGCGTTGACTCGGATGCCTTTGCTCATTTGCTGGTTTGCCAGACCGCGCGTGAACGCGACGATTGCTGTAGGACATTGTCAGAAATGATCTTACCCGATAAAGAAGGATAGGGGAAAGGGACTGACCTCCTTTGGTAGATGTGTAATCGAGCAGATCAGGGCGTCCGATATAAGCGTTGATGGATGCGTTGTTGACAATAGTGTCGCCGGGCTTCATATGCGGGATGAGAAACTTGGACAGGTAGAAATACGGATGGATGTTGGTCTCGAAGGTCTTGTGCCATTGCTCGATGGGGATGTCTGTGATGTCCATCTGCATCATCTGGAAGGCGGCGTTGTTGACCTATGTCGCCGTGTCAGCAGACTATAGAGGGGATAAGGACCGCCGTACATATCACTTACCAAGATGTTGACTCTGCCCATGATCTGCAGCGCGGAGTCTACAACCTTCTGACAGTTCTCTGGTCGCCTGAGGTCGGTGGCAAGGAGATGGCACGTCCGCCCGAGTTTCTCAACCCGGCGCTTAGTCTCCTGAGCATCCTCTTCTTCTTCTGGCAAGTAGACAATGAAGCTGTCGGCGCCCTCCATTGCATATAAAATCGCTATGGCCCGTCCAATTCCACTGTCTCCTCCCGTGATGAGAGCCTTCTTGCCCTCCAGCTTTCCGGCCGCCTTGTACGGCAGCCATCCGCCGTCTGCAGCTGGGAGCTTGTCATGGATGGCCTCGACAGGCAAGTCACTCTCTTTGCCAGGAGGGTCTTGTTGAGAGACTGGCGGCAGGAAACCCTGCTCGAATTGGCCTTTGGTGCCGGTGGCTTCTTTGACTGTGTTTTTAATTTTGTCCATGATTTAACGAGGATTCAGCTGTACGTGAAAGGGAAAGGGAAAAAGCATCGAACAAGAGAACGAAGAAAAGGTGAGATGAGGCGTTATAGTTGTGATATTTCATTGTTGATCCCATAGAAGGATTTCTAGAGATCAACGTCATTCAGGATACTGATGTCACCGAATCCTCACACGTGGGAGGGCGGAAGCATGTGCCTAGGCGGATAACATTCCCGGCAGATCCAGGCCATTCTTCTGGCATCTTCAAGCTGCCTCACAGGAGGAAATCGCATCACGTTCTACAAGGAAAAATTTCAATGTGGCGGAGGCAAAGATGAAGTGAAAGTCAAGTGAAAAGTCGACGGGAAGTAAGAGAAATTCCCAGCCAATGAGGGAAAAGGCTTTGTCTGACACCTGATTTATCGTCTTGGCGTCCACGACCTCCTCGCCCACTCCTCGCTTGTCTCGATCTTCCACCTTCCCGTCCCTATATATCCACAACAGCATCTTTTCCTCATGATAAACCCTTACATACAGTTTTGCGATCTGGAGAAATGCAACGTTGTCATTGGAGCAGCTTCATCTCCATCCAGGCACCTATGCTCTGTGCTTCCCTCCTCGACGAATGAGAATACCTCTCCTTTGTCGTGATCTCGGACGCAGCTTCGTCCTCGGGCCCGAATGGTCAACACCCACGAGATGTTACCGGTCTCTAGTCCATACTAATCCCCGCTCTACCCTCGTAGATCGAAAGAGATGGCTCTACTGCATGGCCGCTTTCAGTATGGTCACTTCATTCAATAATTTTCTCGCGTCCGAGAGAGTATATGGTCCTTTTGCCTGGTGCCTATTCGCCCTGAACGAATGGTAGGTTCATCATGAATGAAACACGAGACCCATCGAGCCTCGAGCATTAATATCCTCACTGCGTTCCCATTTTTTCAAGGATGTCTGGTTTGTAAGTTCAAGTTTAGTATCTCTTTGGTCTATAACCATATCTCTGGCAACCTTCACAACTATGGCGCAGAAGCAGCCCTCCACGGATGCCCAGAGCCACTCTAGCGGAGATGCTTCGAAACCAACAAATCCACCAGGTGCTGGACCTGTCGACCAGGATGAATATCCTCCCGTGTCAAAGGTTATTGTCATTGTCGCTGCAATGATGTGTACAGCTTTCCTGGTTGCACTGGTAACACTATCAAAATACCCAATTCCCCCTTTTCAAGGACTGACGAGCTGGCCAGGACCGTCTGATCATCGCAACAGCCATTCCCGTCATCACCAACCATTTCAACTCCCTGGCTGATGTAGGTTGGTATGCATCAGCCTACCTCCTCACAATGTCCGCATTCCAACTCTTCATCGGCCGGATTTACACCTTCTACAACCCCAAAACGGTATACATTGCCTGTGTAGGGATATTCGAGCTGGGCTCTTTGGTCTGCGGCGCTGCCCCGAACTCCACCGCCCTTATCATCGGCCGTGCGATTGCCGGGGTGGGCAGCGCAGGCATCTTCTCTGGGGCCATCACAATGATCGTCTATCTCGTCCCCCTGCAGAAGCGACCTGCCTGGACCGGCATCTTTGGCGCCGTGTTTGCGATCGCTTCGGTCGCGGGGCCCTTATTGGGCGGCGTGTTTACCGACAAGATCTCTTGGAGGTGGTGCTTCTACATCAATCTGCCCATTGGTGGAGCTATGATGGTGGTGCTGTTCTTCGTACTCCAACTCCCAGCCGCCGCCACGGACAGAGCCAAAGTCCCCTTGAAGGAACAACTCCGAAAACTCGACCCAATCGGAACGGCGGTCTTTATTCCTTCTATTGTCTGCCTCCTCCTGGCTCTACAGTGGGGTGGTACCACGTACAACTGGTCGAACGCACGCATCATTGTCCTGCTGATCCTTTCGGGAATTCTGTTCGGCATCTTCGTCTATCTCCAACATGCCTTCCAGGAGAACGCCACCATCCCGCCACGAATCATCAAGACACGCTCTGTCTCCGCAGGGGTGGTATATGCCTTCTTCAGCGGATCAGGGATGATGACCATGGTCTACTTCCTCCCGATCTGGTTCCAAGCCATCAAAGGCGCCTCGGCTGTTCACTCGGGAATCATGAATCTTGCAGCCGTATTGGGCATCACGTGCGCCTCCATGCTCGCGGGCTTCGCAACCCGCAAGATCGGATATTTCACGCAGTGGATGTACCTTTCATGCATCCTGACGTCCGTTGGCGCAGGTCTCATCTCTACCTTTTCGACCACTACAGCCCACCCAAAGTGGATCGGCTACCAGGCCATCTACGGCATGGGCTTGGGTCTGGGAATGCAACAGCCTAGTGTCGCCGCACAAGTTGCACTGGCCCGCAAGGACGTGCCGACGGGTGCATCGATGATGTTCTTTGCGCAGACGCTGGGTGGCTCCATCTTTGTGAGTGTCGCCAACAACATCTTCGACAACAGCCTCGCCACGGACTTGCGGAAAATCCCCGGCGTCAACGCGGACGTGGTCACGCACGTTGGAGCCACAGACCTTCGCGGCATTGTGCCACCCCAACTCCTGCCCTCGGTGCTCGTGGCATACAATGACGCAATCAGGAATGCCTTTTACGTCGGCGTGGCTGTATCTGCAGCGACCATCCTCGGCGCTCTGGCCATGGAGTGGAAGAGTCTGAAAAAGGTCGCAGCGGCGCAACAAGCCGCGGCCAAGGCGGCGAGAGAGGCTGCGGCGAGCCAGCAGGGCGATAGTAAGCCCGGGTCGGCCGATGGGGCACAGCCGGAGACTCAGGAGGGCGATGGAAGGACCGAGCAGGAGCCGGTGGATGAGAAGAAGCATGTTGTCGAAGAAGTCTAGGAGCACTATCGATGGCGGATCTCAACCCTCTTTTCTCAGCTTCCGTGCCCTCAAGCCAATGCGTGACTACTAAGATGATACGAAGTATTTTAGGCCTCGAATTGTATGAGAACAGGTGTAGAAATAGGATTAGACGATATGCAGGGGAGGATCGAGAGTCTCCATTCAAGCATTTCATGAAGAGATACAAGAAAACTGGGATACCACTTGTTGTTTATTCTGCAAATGTTTTCTTGTTGAGCACACTTCTGTGCAACTTTTGGTATTCTTTCTAATTGTGATGATACATGTAGAAGCCCAAGCTGAGCAAGAACCAACCTTTGATGCCGTTATGCTCCACTCCCCCCTTCAACGAGGGAGGATGATGCTCTGCCACAAGCAATCGACTAACAACTTCTGGTAGGATGGTTCACCCTGTCTTTCCGGCACCGGCACTAATGGGGCACACTTGAATTTTCGGTCCAGCTGTCCGCATCGAGGTAAGTAAGCTTGGTTCTGGGAACATGATTTCCGCTTTCACGGCCCGCTCCCGGCACTCAGGATGTATCCGCCATCAACAGCGACGGTCTGGCCATTGAGGTACTGGTTCGTAGCTGCGAAGAGGATTGCGTTGGCCATGTCGCGGTCCTCTCCCGGCCGTGTGGCGGGGACCTTGGACTCGTACTTTTCACGGGGGATGTGGGATTTTTGGTCATCGCCGCTCTCTTTGGCGGTCATTTCGCTGGGAAACACGCCGGGGGCGATACTGTTGATTCTGATCCTCAACCCATTTTGCGCGACCTCGTTGGCCAGCATGGACGTCAAATGTATAGCGGCGGCTTTACTTGCGTTATATGCAAAATGGTGCTGACTCGTCTTGACGATGCCCGAGATGGAAGAGATGTTGATGACGGTTCCCGAGAAGTTGTCGTGCTGCTTGTGTGCCGCCTGCAGAAGGGGGAGGAAGGCGGTGGTCATGAAGAACAATTGCGGGACGTTGGTCCGGTAGGTGTCGGTCCACATGTCGAAGGTCTCGTTCTCGTCGTCGAATAGGTTCTTGGACATTTCTTCCGCCGACGACGCCTCGGTTTGCTGCGTGTTGAGCGCGATCCCGGCGTTGTTGACCAGGATGCTCAAGCACGACTCCTTGGACGAGATTTCGGATACGAGTTTCTTGATCTCGTCCTTTTGCGACACGTCGGCCGTCATGGCGATGATTTGCCCCGGGATGTCCTTGCCGTAAAGCTCGGCCACGCGCTCCAGCTTCTCCTCGGTGCGGCCGCAGATGTACACCTTGGCGCCGTTGGTCGCCAGTGCCTGCGTGATCATCAACCCGATCCCGCTGCCACCGCCGGTCACGAGAGCGACTTTGCCCGAGACATCGAACAGCCTGTCGAGTTTGAAGTCCTGGTTGCGCGAGTTGAGTTGATCCTGATTCGACGACATGGCGGAGAAGTGGCGTTGCAGATTCTGGAGACGGGGCTGAGCCGGCGTCGTGATGGCCGCGGGGTGTGGTTGAGACAGATGAGATGTAGCAAGGCGAGGTCTATGAGCAGTAATGCGGGCTGAGGTGGGCTTAAGACGAGTTCGTAGAGAGATGTGATGAAGCTTGGGCGGCATTGAGGTTCGAGATTCGAGAGGGAGAGATGGTCAGCACAGTGTGTGATATGTTTATATGTTTATACAGATGACAGTATCGCTCTTCACTCCTCACTTGCCGCTCACCTTTTCACGCTGTGAAGCAATGCAAATGGCTGGGCTGCTTTCCCACACCAAGGCTATGACGCCCCGATGATGAAATGCGAGAGACAGTCGGATGAGGCCGCGGATCTCTTTTCCGCCTCATGGTCTCCTTGGCTTCTCTCCTTGACCTCAGCTCTCAGCACTGTCAGCAGAAATAAATCAACAAAAGCCCACACCTCGACGGGTCCTGCCCTTGAGAACCACCAGCGGTGCCGGTAACATATGTCAAGAAACAAATCGTGCCAAGTTACGAGGAGAAATGGGGGCCTGTAATTTCGTGCTGAAATCGGCATTTTTATTGGCTACCAATTTCCAAGGACTTTGCTATTTATGAGGATATTAGACGACCCGCTTGCTGCTCTCCGCTTCGGTAAAGAGAATACAAGAGAGTTTCAGAGAGGATGTGGGTTTTGTAACTCACTGTACCTTTCTTCATAACTGTGATCTCAAGAGGTCTGGAGAAACGCTTTCTTTATATACTAGAGTAGTCTCGGTGTGTCTACCTAGGTACCGAGTACGCCTACGCGAACGCGATATAAATTATCGGGGTGTTTTCACGTATTTGGCCTTAGACCTTTCTGGCGAAGGGTGCCGAGGGTCTGAGATGCTGAGACAATCCTGCACTGGCTCATATTGGAAAGCGAAAGATGAGTGAATTGTTGGTAGCTAAGTTTCCCGGGAGCGTTACGAGTGCTAGCTACCTTCTGTGTTACATAAGTGGTAAGCCAGACCCAGCCGTGCCTTCCGTGACGCTTCTGAAAATCCCGCCTGTGGAGGAAGACGCGTTGGAGGCCACAGGAGACAGAAGAGACGTCTTTGGGGGGTTGCCATTTCTTCGTCTGCACGTCCAGGTGAAACTGCGAGGAGTACTGAGACCAGAATGCAAGGCACAGCTAAGAAGCGTGGTCCACGCTACGTACTCGGTGGACAGGTAAGTGGAGATGCTTTGATCTGGTTTGCATATTAGGCCGTGGCCTATCGCGGTCGGATCACCCTGTATGGGATCAAGACCGTCACAATCTTCTCTATCCGACACCTTCCCGCAAGTCTAGATTCACGACTTCTTCTCCTCGCTGTCTGCGGCATAAAGCTCCTCCTCTCTGATCTGATGCTTGGCCGATTTCCTGGCTGAAACGCCGTTCTGGAACTGCATTCGCCGATATCAGTCAGAAAATGTGAATCAACGACCGAAAATGGGGTAATTTGCTCGCTTACCATAAAATCCAGCTCGCCAAAAGTCCTGTCCTTGGTCTCAAAGAGGCGGAAGTAGCCCCACAGCAAGGTCAAGGTCGCGAGGCCGGCCCAGAAGAAAGCCTAGAGTCACCAGCGATTAGCAAGGATCATAACGGATAGGACACGCAGTTGCAAGAGACAAAGGTAAGGGAACATACAGTCTTGCCCTTGGCGTTCCACGCGCCCGGAGAAATCAACTCGGGCTGGAGCAGTCCGCCGCAGATGATGTTCCCGACATAGTAGGTGCTGCGAGCCAACACGACAGTCTGCGTACGGAGTCGCGTCGAGCCGATCTCGGCGACGAGCGTGTAAATGATGGGTCCCACGGACATGGAGTACGCGCCCAGCCAGACCAGACACAGAATCGACTGTGCCCACGCGAGCTTCTTGGTCTGCGAAGGCAGGGCCAGGAAACCAATGGTCCACAGAATCACGACCAGAAAAGCGAACCCCACCAGCCAGATGGTGCGGCGGCCCCAGCGGTAGATGTACAGCCAAGAGATGATAGTGCCTAGAAAAGCGATGCCCGTGCCGGCCAACGAGATAGCGTAGGCGGCATTGGCGCTGATGCCCGTCTGTTGGAAGAAGAAGGACCCGCTATAGCAGAGGGCGCCGCCGTTGGTGATCTGGGAGAGGAAGCCCATGCAGGCGATCTCGGTGCGGCGGCGGTTCGTGCCCCGGAATGCATCCCAGAGGGACACACCGGCTCTCTCCTGGAGCTCGAGCTTGTTGGTGTGGACCATCATGGCGATGGTGGCGTCGATTTCACCGTGATGTTCCGGTTGGGTCAGCCTCTCCAGCGACTTCCTGGCGGCCTCGATTCGGTCTGTTCGCACAAAATACCACGGCGACTCGGGTGCAAACCAAGCTGCCAGGAAGAGCGGAATCGGCCATGTCCACTGCACGGCGAAGGGGATGCGATAACTCCACTCGGTGGTGTTGTTCACGAGGCCCTTGAGGACGCCGGCGGAGATGAACTGACCAATACACCAGCACAGGTTCACGTAGGCCGTGAGATAGCCACGGATGGATAATGGCGTGACCTCGGCGGCGTACGAGGGACCGGTCGTGGCAAAGACGCCCCAGGGGATGTTGCAGAGGAATTGCCCGACCAGCATGACCTCGATCGTGGGGGCGAAGAAGACGATGAAGATGAGCCCGGCTAGTGCGAACAGGTTGAGCATGAGCACCTTGCGGTGGCCCCATCTGGCAGTGGCCCAGCCGTTGAGCAAGGCGCCGATGATGTTGGCGAAGGCGCCCAGGCAATTGAATCGCTGCTGCCAAGTCGCCGAAATCTGGTAACCACTCTCCTCGTTCAGGAATTGACCGTACTTGCGGCGGAAGCTGGGGTAGCCATAGAACGACCCTAAGAGTGTGACGTCGTACCCTTCCATGACGACGGTGGTGGAGATGACTGGAGCTTGTATTAGTTGTGGTTTGCTCTGAGAAGAACTGGCTAACTAGCTCGCCCGATGTCTTTTAAGGGCCCAACGTACGGATCGACCAGAATGCGGCACGCTTGTACGTCTTCAAAGCCTGGAAGACGCCCATGCTGTGCTCTTGGGCTGTGCCCTCGAGGGCGCCGCTGGCGAGGACAGCATCCTTGAGGCCGACATCCTTGAGGTATCCGAGTGTATCGTCTGAGGTCTCGGCGTGGATGGTGTCCCCAGCCTTCTGGTCGGTGGTCATCTTACCGAGGTGGTGAAGAGGGCAGGCTAATCACCATGTACTGTGGAAGATGGGACGAGTGATGGAGTCCTTTGAGAAATCGCAACAACGTACACAGAAGTGGATGGATCCGGCCTCTAAATACACTCGAGACTTGATACAGGCGAGATTACATGTGGCCTGGCATATTCCTGGATCGATCCAGAACCTACCACATGCGAACCATCCTCAAGCGATACCACTCTGCCGGGTAAATCCTTACCGTCGCATCGCTTTGAGAGAATCTGCCTGCCTACCACCCCTCAAACAGAGAGGTGAGCGCAGAGTCGCCCAGATTGTCTATCGTCTAATCCACCGGGCTCTTTCCGCAAGGAGAACTAGAGGGAAGAACGAACAAGAAATACGACATTACCTCGAACTTTATTTCGATCCTTTTGTTCGCCAAAGGTCTATCTATCTACATGTGGGTTGGGATGGGAAACTCGGCTGATTAGAATAAGCGAGTTTGGTAAGTCCTCGTTGGGAAACCATGGGGCCCCGGCTTTTGGCTGTACGAACCTCTCATCCCCAGACTGGTACAGGTGTTGCCCAGAAACTAAGGGGTTCCTTGTCCACTCTGGGGAAAAGGAGGGCGGGGACACCTGGTGATTAGCCGGAACTAGCTGATTCCTTCCTTGCTACCTAGGCATGTACAGGTACATAGCGAGATCAAACAGCTAACCCATTCTCTCCTGAAATGGAAAGCTCCCGAATCCTCCCTCCTCTCGCACACATTTCTAGGCTAAATTCATAACCAATCGTTTCTTCTTTTGAACAGGAACGCCCCAGTCTCTCTGCATCTAAAATTCTAACCGACGCCTAACGGTACATCTTCGGTAGCAGTGCAAGCTCCAAGCCTATCTTTGGTCTGGGGCACGACAATCAGGGGCAGATCTGTGGGGAGAGGGGTGTGGTTATTGCCCTCGACCGAGGTTGCCGCCGGAAGATAACCCAAAGTATACTGAAGCATCACCAAGTGGGAGGAGACCAGCTTCCCTTGTTGACAACAGTTCTATTGTGCTTTTGCTGCGGTGGCTTTTCCTCGTCGTCCCTCCTCCGCAATCTTCGGTTGGATTCTGGAATTGCGAAAGGTGACATACCGGACAAGCGAAATTCCGCTTACATACCGCTCTAGCGCGGCGTCTTTGGTCCTTCAGCCTTGTGAATAGTTTTCTTGATCACTGCTTCATACACCAATTCTGCTCCATGATCGAACATATTGTTCCATCACGCTAGTCTGCTCCACTTCATCACATGTGTATAAGCCGTCTTTGTCCTCGACATAATCGCATGCTTCATCAAAATCTTCGTATTCGTCGTCTACATATCCAACCAGTTCGTCGCGTAATGGATCCGAATGGCCAATGAAGATATTGTTGCGTCGGATTGGTCAGTTGTGGCATTAACTCTTCAGTCGGCCTTGTTATCTTACTTTGGACCACGGACCTACGGGAAATCTGGGTGAAGAGGTGGGACAGTTTCTTCGCCTTCGCCGCTTCACGACCAACCAGCACTGCAACCGGACATGATAATGTCTTGACACCTATTCTTGCGTAGTAAGGCCACTTCATAGACAATGGCCGACGATCCCTCTTTCTGTAACCTCCGAGAAGCAGTTTGTCGATTCGCTTTGTATTCATTCGGTTTCACGTAAGGATCAATAATATCACGATACTCAGCGGCGAATCTTGACCTCTCCAGAGTCCATTTGCATTTTTCACACTTGAGGATTCCAGCATTTGGCCTGAGTCATGACTACCTACCTAGGTAAGCCATCCTGAGCTGTAGCTGTAGAATCCTGAGCTCGACTTGGCGAGCCCTCGACCGCGTCATAGTATCCAACCACCCAGCGAAATATCTGCCCAACGTCTCCAAGATTCAAGCACTCCCGCCAGACCTGTCATGAGGCTAACGAAGAGACGTGGATCTCGGTGGAAGAAATCGGGCGACACTGAAAGAGCTGTGAGGCAGATATTGAGGAAGAGGGGAAATGCGGCCGAGGCCGGGCCGGACCGTAGATCATCACGTCGGTGATACAGTACTACCTAGGCACGTAGGTACCTCGCGAGTAGGTACCTAGATGAAGCAGCCAAATTGCCCCTATAGTGGATCAACAATATTACTTCTACTCGGTTTCTTTTCCCCTCTTCGCCATCGTCCTTTCGAGTCCCGTCGCAGTGTTAGATTTTCATCTCCTGGAGCTTTGCCATAGCAAATTCCAACTTTTCGAGGGACGAGCCTGCTGCCGCAGCCCTCCAACCATCATCAAAGTCATGATCGTCAAAATCATCCCCGTCGTCATTGTTGGTGTCGCCTGCGGTTCTCGCGGAATTGTTCCTGGATGATAACGAGGAAACAGTCCAAATTACCAGTCCAACAAAAACGACGAATGCCGCGCCCGTGACAGCTCCTTTCATGTACTGATTGGCTTCATGCGCATGTGCTGCAATGATTTGCATCTCTGACGCTCCTGATCGAACTTGTTCCTCAAGCTTCCTTACTCTTTCGTTCAGACGTCGGTTGATCCAGCGCTGCTCCTCATCACTCAACTGATTCTGTAGTCGGATGATATCATTCCTGGTCTCGGGACGATTTTTGATTCCCATCCTGGCGATATTATCGACATCCCCCTTGTTCAATTCGGTTTTTTTCTCCCAGAAGACGAACTTGTCCAAACGGAAAAAAGAATTTTGGACGTTGATGGATGCGTTGGCTGTGAAGGACTCAGAGTGGCCAGGAAGGCGAGACTTTGTGGGAGGCAATCGTTTCGTCTGTTTCTTGGACTGCGAATTCTTGCCCATTTTCAGTGCTCAAGAGGACAGGCAACCCTGATCCAACCCGTCAGCTCACCTGATGTCCGAGCATCCAACAGGGCCTACGGAGGGCTGCCAATACTCACCTCTCACTAGGGGAATACGATTGGAGTCGTTCAAAATGAGGCTCTGGTAGGCCCGTGCATCGTCGCTTGATGCTAACATGGAAGAAATGTCGCCAGGTTTGGTCAAGAGCGACTAGCTTGGAGCCTGACGCTCAATTTGTACGAGGGCGCTCCCACCATGATACGTACAACGTTCTCAGCCTAACAAAAGACTCTTGGCCGATATGCGCCCTCACCCAATCCTGCGGGGCTTGCAGAATTGACCGCTATGCGACAATCAATTCCCCGCGCCTGTGTCGGTTCCCGTCTTCTTTTTGTTGACAGCCCATTCGCCTTTATGAATCCTCCCTAGCTCTCCCTCAGACTGCCTCGCCTCGACTGGCAGCATGACACCGCTGACACTAGTTATGCTGGCCGACCAGGCTTTGACGCACTCTGTGGCGCTATATTTTCATTACGATCAACTCTCCAAAGCGGCGGGGACCTTCTCAAACGAAGTACGACAACTCCACAAGCGAAGCACTCGCGTTTCGCTCTCCCTGTGTATCTTCGGCGAGCTTTTGCGTGGCGATGGAGCCCGTGTCCTCGACACTAATAATCTAAAAAGCAAGAATGTACAGGAGGTGGTTGATGAGGCATCCACGGCTCTATTTGAGGCTGCTCATGATATTCAAAGGCTCAAGATCGCTCACAACACTCGGGAGACCCAGGAGACGACCATCACAAAAGTTTGGGACGGGCTTAAATCATACGTCGGCTACACTCTCTCCCCTGCAGAGAAAGAACAGGCCATGATTGCGATTTTATCATCCAAACTCGACGACGCGGAATATGATCTCGCCAACCTCAACCACATAGTCACAGCTACCATCGCTAGGATGGTCAGCGAGCTTCTCGATCGGGAGCGGCAGCCGAGCCCAACAAAGCTTTTCAGGGCATTCTGGACCCGAAAGCAGCGAGTACCCCCAGCTCTGTCTAGTGTTGTGAATCTGAGTCGCCGTGAAGCCAAAGCTTGGGTCGAGACTTTGTGTGCCAAAGACGAGACCTACCGCTGGTACAGGTTCGAAATCAGGCGACGAGAGGTTTTCGCAAACGTTGACTTGACGCAGTTTCCTCGGCGACACTAAGGTCGTGGTCCTACTCGGAGAGATCTCAGATGTGAACGAAATAGTCGCCTTCCTTCTTTGGAACGTGGGACAGCATCCCGAACTTTACAAGTGTAAGAGCACAATCAATTCCAAGCTTTCACAGCCTCGAGTTTGACTACTGGCTAACTCGCTGCTTAGTGGACAAAACGCGCCAGCTCCTAACATACCCTCGAGGCAGCCGCAAGGATGTTACCGTCCTTGTCTCCGAGGCACCTCAAGATGGCTGTGACCGAGTGTCTCTCAGGTTCCTCAATCGAGAAGGCAAGTCTCATGACTCTGACTCAGTCTTATTCCTGGAGATAGGGATAACGGTTCTTCAGATGCCCGTAGCCTGCGGACTTTGGTGGACAATTGCGAGGTGAAGTTTGCTAGTCACATCGATGGTGTTACATGCCGACAAGGCGCAAGCAGCCCTGTCAAACCACTGATCAGTTCCTCACAGTCGCAAGGCCAGCACCACATCAAATACATTGCGGAAGTACTGGAGCTGCACCCGGACTGGTATCGTCGCCGTGATCGTATTTTGTTTCTATGGCCCGATCAAGGCCCCGGGTTCATGTTTCAAGGTAGAGGTTCCCCATTGCCCGGCAGACCAGTCACTTGCAGAGTGCTAACGAGAATCAGATCCGGGCAATGTGAGCTACAAGGCCGGTGATTATTCGGTGTCGTTTTATGGCGCAAAAATGACCGTCATGAAAGACGGTATGGGCCATCGGCGCCGCCAGAGTCTGCGGTATAGCAACTACGACGATCGTCGAGGAGGAGACTTCAAGATTCGGTTCGGGACCTCTGATCGTAAGTGCAAAAGCCACATGGTCCAACTTCATAGGGTCGAGCATGGTGTTGACATTCTTCACAGACGCAGCGAAAGTGTACAGTCTCCTCAGGAGTAGTACGACGGCCGACAACTAGTCTGCCTTCTCTCAACATGGTCAGGGATCTCGGAGAAGGATAGGCTCGATAATAAATGTGGTCGTCCCAATTTCTCACCGGAGAAGAACACGTCTACCACGAATCACGAAGCGACGGGAATACGTGGGTTTTTGAACCATGTCAGCAGCTGCAAGACAGAAGAAGCCCGGCATTATCAACAAGATGCGCTGAGCTCAACCACGAGTCGGATCGTCTGGAACGGATATCCCACTCTACAAACTCACGCTTGACTTGAAGCAGTGCCTGGGCTTTTGGACTAGGGGTGGATTCAGATCAATCCGTTCGTGCCTGATCATCATGTCTTTCTTCTGCATAACGAATTTCCCTTGTATTTTACTGGGGTTTGTGCACATATACGAGCCAGGGCATTTATCTACATACGGGGGAGAGCAGAGTAATATTCCCCTTGTACGTTTCCCCTTTCAAATACGAACCTTGACCCACGTCCACGTTTTGTGCCCTATTGGGCCAATGCTAGCCAAATAGTTCGGACTTGATTGACGTCCATCATGTTCATCGAATGCACGCCACATCGATCCGTTGGGGGACAAAGCATCGTACTTAATATGTCTCCTGTCTCTCTCGTCTGTGCAGGTGATGGGGCGAGAGCAGCCTGGACCGCTGGACCCATCGACGAGCGCTGGCTGGATACGAGAAGGCACTGGGAGCAGACCACGCGAAGATTTCAATACCGTCGGCAATCTCGGACTTCTCTAGGTGACTAAGGCAAGCTGGCCAAGGCGGCGGCGATGCAGCCAAAACGTGCTCACAAAGAACGGACGAACCTTGGGTGAGCACTCGAGCATCCTGACACGACCCAACGCAATGAAAAATCACGCCGACACGCTGAGAGGATCTAGAAAAGTTGGACAATGCAGATCCTTCATCGTAGTATGCTATTCCATTAGTGACATGTAATACGACGGGTAAATCGCTTCATCCTCTGTTGTTTTGATCGACAACATTTATAGTGCGAATGCCCCAAGGTCTTCGTGCGCGCGAATTTGCGAGGCATTCCACTTTGAATGGTGAGATTGTGAAATGAGATAGAAGGTGTCGGTATCCAAGCTTCGTGATCAATGTGGATTGTCGACACAGCCTTCCGGTATCTGAAGGTATAGAGACGCTCACACTCCGCTCCGCTCCCTGACTTCATACATACAACCAGCCTCATCTGGTTAGCTTCCTGAGCAGCGGATCGGCACCACACCAACCTCACGAGCAAATTACATATACGCCAGACAACCATAGGTAGCTCTTCAATGCAGCTACCTTCGGGTTTTGCCTCTGTCCGTAGCTATCAAGTGCTTTCTGAACCCTCTTTGCTCTCGTGTTTTCATACATGGGTTTACCTCTGGTTGCTTTTTCCCTCTTCAAGAGAAACCCTTGTCTCTTGTGACAGCCTAGGCTTCGCGATTCATCACAACCACCCACCGTGGTGCATTACTGCATCCCCCCCCCCCTTATATATGGCTACAGAAAGACTCAACATGCATTGTTTATTATATGTGTTATCTACGTCGAGCAGGGTCCGTCCACTCGGATCCATTCGCCGTATTGCCGACCTACCCTCATCCAGCGGACTTAGATACTAATGTACTTCTCGCACCGTAATCGCGAATAATGAGAGAGAGGCCCCTAAATGATATGGTAGCTACCGTGGCAGCAGATCTTATTTTCTCATAAATTCCTTTCCAAAAAAAAAAGAGAAGGGTCACTCTCTCGTCCAGATATCAAAATGCAAATAGTCTCACCAGTGGTTAACGATTCAAAGGCATTTCCGATATCCGTACTCCCTTAGAGTTGTTTGGACGAGGTCTTCTCTTTCTATTCTCTTCCTCATCGGCTCGGTACCTTCTATGCCCCACCAATACCCATCTTCCACCCTTCTCCCAAGATGTATGTGGTATTTCGCACGAGATATTTAGAGCGCAGTCAAGCCCCGTCTGTCTGTCTATGTCTATGGTCTATATCCATGTCTAACGAACTCTTTTATTTAGCCAGATCCACAACCTGGATGCCTTGAACCCCCTTAACAATCAAGCCTTCGTCGACGGTAAACGTCTTGGCCACCCTAGCCACATCGCCGGCTTCGACGAGCTCGACCACTTTCTCGCCATCCAGGGGCCCGTTGACCAGGACCTGCAGACCCTTGATGATGTCTCCGTCCGGCGCCTTCAAGCTCGGGTTGAACGGCACAACACCCCCGGGTCTGACGAGGAGAGGCAACGTGTCGAATCCATGGGTCTCGGTATACCATCTTCCCTCTTCGTATGTTTTGGTGTGGTCGAAGAAACTCCTCCACTTGGCTTTTTGTGATGCGCCGCCGGGATCTGTGCGACTCGAAAAGGGGACGTAAAAGGTGACTTCGCCGCTCTTGTCGAACACCGGCGCGACCAGCAGCTCGCTGCCGAGCATGTACTGCGTGTCCAGTGTCCACGTGTTGTTGTCGACGTCGCCGAACTCGAGCAGCATGGCGCGCATGACGGGCGTTCCGTGGAGATGGGCCTCGAGCGCCGTGAGCAGCAGGTACGGTGTCAGGGCCAGCTTGCGCTCGACGCTATCCTTTAGCACGCGGCTGCACGCCTCGTCTTCGCCCGAGTATTTGTCCCCGTCGTAGATCCACGGCACGCGGTAGCTCGAGCTGCCGTGCAGGCGCGAGTGGCTGCCCAACAGCCCGAACTGGACCCAGCGCTTGTACAGGGCCGGGTCTGGCAGACCCTCGAAGCCGCCGATGTCGTGGGCCCAGAGCCCAAAGCCCGAGAGTGCCAGCGACAGCCCACCCCGCAGCGTCTCGGCCATGGCCTCGAACGTGCTCTCGCAGTCGCCGCCCCAGTGCACGGGGAACTGCTGCGCGCCGGCGGTGGCCGAGCGCGCAAACAGACACGGCGCCTTGCCTTTGCCAGACATGGCCTCCCACACGACGCGGTTGTATAGGTAGGCGTAGAAGTTGTGCATCCTCACGCTGTCGCTGCCGTCGTGGTACCGCACCTGGTGCGGCAGGTACGGGATCCGCTCGCCAAAGTCCGTCTTGAAGCTGTCCACTCCCATGTCCATCAACCGCCGCAGGTGCGACGCGTACCACTCCCGCGCCGCCGGGTTCGTAAAGTCCACCACGGCCATGCCCGCTTGCCAGTTGTCCCATTGCCAGACGGTCGGCCGCGGCGTGTCGGCGCGCATGACGAAGTAGCCGTTCTTCTTGCCCTCGAGGAATAAGGGTGACGCCTGCGCAATGTACGGGTTGATCCACACGCAGACCTTCATCCCGCGCTCCTTCAGGCGCCGCAGGTAGCCCGTTGCGTCTGGGAAGTTGTCGTCGTCGAACTGGAAGTCGCACCATTGGACTGGATGATACGGTCAGTGCCATTGATCGAGGAACAAGGCTGAAAGGTGAAGTAGAAGGAAACATACAGGATTTCATCCAGAAACAGTCAAAATGAAAGACTTTCAGTGGGATATCCCGCTCCTTGAAGCCCTCGAGGAACGAGGTGACTGTCTGCTCGTCGTACGAAGTCGTGAACGACGTCGTGAGCCAGAGCCCGTACGACCAGGCGGGAGGCAAGCCCGGACGGCCCGTTAAGGCAGTGTAGCGGTCCAGAACCTCCTTGGGCGACGGGCCTGCGATGACCATATACTCGAGGCTCTCACCCTTGACGGCGATGTTGACACGAGTGGTGCGCTCCGACTGGATCTCCAGCATGACTTTGGCCGGGTTGTTGATGAAGACGCCATAGCCGCGACTGGACAGGTAGAAGGGGATGTTCTTGTAGCACAGCTCGGAGCTGGTGCCGCCGTCCTCGTTCCACACGTCGATACTCTGCCCGTTCTTGACAAACGGGCCGAACCGCTCCCCGAGCCCGTAGATCTTCTCGTGCACCGAGAGGTCGAGTTCCAGCAGCATGTAGTTGTCCTGCTGAGCGTACATGCCCTCGGAGATTCGGTACCCCGGGGTATCCGAGCACGACACCACGCCGATGGAGCGAAACGAGTGGCCCGTGAGTCTCTTGGAGTTGCACGAGTACGTGAATGCCAGCTCATTGGGGGTCGTGTTGATCGACAAGTCTAGCGGTCCGCTCGTGTAGTCCAGCGATTGCCCTGGGTTATTGTGAATCTTCGGGGTTGGCGACGACTCGAACAGAGGGAAATAGGGGCCTCGATCCTCCTCGCCGCTCCAATGCGTGAAGTTTGCGGCGATGACTCCTTCGAGCGGAGTGCGAATCCGAGCAGAGACAGTGCCGACGTTGAGCGTGTCGCCCCGGCTTTTCTGTGGTTTCGTGAGCAGCAGGTCGACGGCGTTGTCGTCGTTGTTATCGTGAAGCCGCTCCACGTTGCCCATCCAGTTGAAAGATACCCCGGATCGCGTCCGCCACATGCCCTCGGTGAACTTCATGTTGGGCGACGGGGACTGAAGTGGCTCTTTGGGGATCAAGCTGCTAGGGGGAGCAAATACTTGACAATTTGTAGACTTTGTAGTCACACCGACGACTCCGGTATCTTGGGGGACAAGCCTTTCACGTGTTTTAGACTGTTACCGTCCAACAGTGTATGTTTGTGTAGAAGCACTCTGCAAGAGAGGCGCTACACTCCCTTCGAGCCATCACATTAGTAGTTAGATAGATATGGCACCTAGCGATGGAAGACTTGTTCCCCAGAACGTCAAAGTACCGGTGTCTAATCAATCAAGGATAAAATCCGGAGGAAAGTGACGATTTTGGTCAAACAAATGTAAGGAGCATTCTTGGCAGACAACTTGGGCAATACTTCGGCTTGACTACCTAATAGCCCACACGCCAGGCTATTTAGGCAGAATCCTTTGGTTGTGAGTAAGCCTAGTGGCCTGAGAGAGAGGAGCAGTGGTTGACACAGTAGGTAAGAAGTCATTAAGTGGATATTTACCGGAAGGGAAGCAATCAACGCGGGGTCTTGTTGGCTGGGGCTCGCGAAACCTGGGGGATTGATCTAATAGCTAAATGTCTGATCCTCAGGTCGTTTTTAGAGACAACAACGCTTCGAGAATGTCGAATGGGTCCGGCATCCTGGGGCTGGTGCTGCTCGCCGTGCTCCGGGCAGATTAATGCTCCAACAACAACAGCATGTGTCTGCGGATTAGTCTTCCTTTCGATTAAAAATGTCCTGTCTATCCTATGGAGCAAGCCCCTCGGTCTTGCCTATTAGTCTTGAGGTGTGCCCCGTATTCTCATGTTTCGTGCTCAATCCTTCTTCTCCATATAGGGCAGACACGCCTCATAAACTTCCGTGCGGCCCGAATACTTCATGTACCGCTGAAACACACCTTCATCCACCACCCTCGCGCTCTGCAAGGACCCTGCGATGAAGAAGTCGGTGTAGCTCGGCCGGGCGCCCAGCACGAAGGGGCCCTCGGCCTTGTGCGTCTGCATCAGCTCGCCGACAGCGCGCAAGCCCTCGCTCGCCGCGGACCAGGCCGCGTCCTCCTTGGCCGGGTCGTCAAGCAGGTCCTCGAGGCGGTGGCCGAGCGAGGCCTCGCGCGTGCGTCTGAAATATTCCTGCGCGCGCGGCGACAGGATGTTGATCTCGCGCGGCAGCGTCGACGCGCGGAACACGGCGCCGCTCACACTGCGTGCTTTTGCTTCGATTTCGCGCCCTAGCTCCGACGTCAAAGGCACCGGCGGGTCCGGGTATGTCGACTCGAGGAATTGCGCGATGACCGCCGATTCCATCAAGTATGTCTTGCTCGGGACGTGGTGGATTGCCGGGACGGTATATTTGGTCTGAGATCCCGATAGCGAAATACCCCTGGGAGGGGTTTTCCCAACGTCAGGACAAGCTCCCTGACGCACCATGGGAGTGGTTTTGCACCCCGTGTGCATTGGAGACGTGGAAAGGGATGGGTAATTTGAGGCAACAAAGGAAGGCGAAGAACAGATCAACTCACAGCTCTTTCAGCGTGGGTTCGATGTCCGGGAACTCGAGGAAGACGGTCTTGTAAGGGATCTGCTTGTAGTTGAGCATGAGGCGGATTCGCCAGACAACAGGCGAAAAGCAGACGTTCTTGATGCAGGCCAGGTCGTAAAGGATGATCTCGGGCTCGGCTTGCGCGGCGGCCATGGTTGTGTGCTCTCTTGGTTCACTTTTGGAGAAGTTTGATAGAGAGGGGTAGAAGCACAGTTGGAAGTCTTTTGGATGGCTGAATCTAATGAGACTGAGAACATATTGTGCCCAGCGGACAGCAAGGAGAGGCCGATAAATATATATATGTATGTATGTATGTATTTCAAATCAATGCCGCGTACTTCAGGCAGCAACTTTCAAGCATGAAAATGTGGATTCGAAGTAGCTCCCTTCCATCCTAGCTGAGCGACGACTGCACTTTCTGCCAATGAAGTACATCCCCACTAGGAACTCCATACCTCACTCCAAACCCCTTTCTGCTCAGCCTTACAGCGGAATGTCAACACCTCCTCGACTTGAAATTTTTTCTCTTAAAAAGTAAGAAAAGAACCGAAAGCCTCCGATTAATCATGTCTCTTCACTATGATAGTGCTGCACCACGAATCTGCACCGTGATATACGCCGAAGAGGCTTCGATTCCTTGCTCGCTGGATGCTGTATGCTGGACCCGTCATGTCTAGTATACAAAGACTGGTGTCATTGCAAGAATAGCGTAGCTTACTGCAAAAGAGGACAGAAGATGGCACTGGCAAGGTGATTCGACTTGAGTGGGTGCGTCCACAAGGGCCCAGCGAGCGGTAAGCTGTTCCAGATAAGCCCAACCTCCTGTTGTCGGTTTTGTCTTGTCGAAATGTGAGTGAAGGGTCATGAAGGGAGGGATTAAAGATGCTGAACTTTCCTAGTCGCACGCTCGCCGCCAGGAAAGATGCCATCGGTCAGAAATTGTGCAATAGATGGTAGATTCTTCCAGACAGAGTCGCTCACCCATTTGCGGCTTCTTTTTGCCCCATTACCACATTCGTAGAGCATCTGCCTCTCTCGTTGTATGTGCACACTGGTAAACGAGGTAGGGAATTGTTGTCCAGCCATCTCGACGACGAGCAAAGGATATAATAGGGAAAGGAAAGCCTGTTTCTCTCCAGTATTTTATTCACCACCGTTGACTTCTTCATTCTTAGCGTGCCTTTCAAAAGAGATTTATTCACTTGATTGAGAGATTCTGCAGCGCCGTGATCGAAGTGAGAAGAATCTCATGCAGAATCTGCCTGGTGTCAGTGTCACAGTAGGTCATCGGCAGAAACGTGGTATGGGCTGGCTATCTTTCGAAGCGGGAATACAATTCGCAAAAGGTGAAAGGCCATGTACAAGGCTGACACGCAGTGTAGCTCCCTCCTAGTTGTCCTTGCGGGATACTAGGGGCATATATCCTGGTTTTCTTTGCTGTCGTTCACTTCACGTCTCTTGGAGCAAAACCTAAAGGGAACGGGGATCCATTCGCGTCTCAATATCTGCGGATAAACCTCGGGTGTGCACGGAATCCGCAGTATGGAGCAGAATGTTTCCAATATCGCAAGCTGACTCTGTGAATCAACATCAACCACCATGCGGACACGGCCATGAACTCCTCACACGACTGGGGCCCTTGAAACACCCGCCACCCTCATCTCCTGCCCTTCCCACCCAAACAAGAAAAGAAGATGGCAACAACCTACGGCGGCGGCGTCCCTCTCTCCTACGTAACCCCCGAATTCCCCGCGCTGTACTGGCCCGTCCACGCCAACCCGGGGGAGGCTCAGTACCTCTATTTCCTGGCCGACATCTACCGCTACACGCTGTACTGGACGCTCATCACCATGGTCGCCGCGCACAGCTGCGTCGCCACCTGGGCCGTGCTCATGCAGTTTTCCTCGGCCAACCAGCGCCGCAAGTACCTCAACTCCCCCGCGGGCAGGCTGCTCAGTAGCAAGAACAGGAAGTTGTTGGGTGACAATCCCATCGGCGAGACGTTGAGTTGGGTCTGGATCGTGCCCATCGTGTACGTTGTCATTGGGGCGAGCGAGGCGTTGTTGGCGGGCAGCTTGGTGGGACTGGTCTTGGGTGCGATTTACAATGCTGGTTATTTTGGCATGAGTACCTGGACGCCGTTGTTGTGGGGAGTGATCAATATGCTTGTGTTGGTCGTGAGCAGTTTCAGAATCCAGGGTGGACTATGAACAAAACAATACTGCTTACATCTATATCTACTTCGGTCAAGAGCACATCTCCCCAGTGACTGGCCCGATTCCGCCTCAAACATACGAGACGGGACGCACAGTCGGTGGGGTTTAGGCGACAAACACAACCTTCGCAAGCCAACAAGCTTGCAAAGACGAAAGTGTGTACAGTATTCGGAAGACCATATCCCAGCTACGATGATGGTCTGGCAGGTCAAGTAAGAACCTGCAGCTAGGATTGCGTTCTCCGAGGCCTCTGTCAAACAACAGTGCATGGCAGACTGCGACAATGCCCCAGCAGAGCAGAAGGACCTTGCGGGTTCCAGAGCTACTCGGCATGGTCAATGGAATGAACAATTTCCGTCAAGATCCAACGATCAACTGACATGATCGGCCACTTCCTTTGGGTGTGACGCTCACCAGTCAAATGCAGACGTGCTCTCAGCGTGAAGGCTGAGTTGCTATCCTGCAAATGAGAACTCAATAGGTCAGAGACTGTCATAATGCCAATAAGGAAGATACTTGTCTCATTATGAATCTACGCCTGGCTCCGTCCCGAGCATCGCCCGTGGATGTCGTGGCTGAATCTGCAGTTTGCCATCCGGTCAGCGTTTGCCTCGTAAAACCCATGAACGCTCAAATCAAGCAAGATAGATACTGATTGCAAATGCAGACTCAAGATGCCTCCCAATGCAGTCTTCATTCGTCTTGGCCGCCCTGCTGGTAAATGTGTCGCGTTCTAGTAGGGTCTTTACGCATCTCATGACCACTGCCGGTAAAGCCCACTTGAGGCAAGTCAGTAACATTTCCTCGAAATTCAAAGGCTGAGAAAGGAGCACCTACCTCTGGCATTCACGCTTTCGCCCGTGCGGAACATGCTTTCCTTCTTGGTGATTTTCCCGGCCTTGCTCTTGGCTGCAAAATCTTGCCATTTGGACTTGCCGGCTTCCAGCTCCTTGTTGGCCTTGACCTTGCGAGGTATCTTTGCCGGCCGAATGGGACCATCGCTGACTTTGCTTGGTTCACGGCGGGCTTGTTGTGCCAGAGCTGGGTCGACGCTGGCTGCAGCGGAGATGACATTTGGGTTCGCCGGCGGAGACACTGGGGTGGATGATCCTGACATTCCATCAGCCTTGCGCTTCCTGGCTTCATTGGTCAGCGGCTTGATGTCCTTTGCTTTGAGTGTTTCTGTATTGCCGTAGTTTTTGAATGTTACGATGTAGACTGGGTCACTGGATGAGCCTGTGATGGATGTGATGCGCGCCGTATAGTATCCACCATCGCCGGATTTCCATCTCGCCGAAACTGTGTCGTTGACAGAGAAGGCTGAGGGACTGCTCGTTTCTTCCGATTCGACCTCTGGCTTCCGATACCCGGCCTGATACGCAGGATGATTCTCTTTGGACCATTTTTCCTTCACCGGCGGCGTTGCGGGTTGTGCAGGCGGAGCGGGCGCTGATGGAGGCTTTAGTTCTGCAATGGCAGATTCGGTGAGGGAAATGACTTCTTCAAGTTCTTGCCTGAGACTCTGCAACTCGCTATTGTCCGGATCATTTTGCAGACTCAGCTGGACCGTCTCCAGTTGAAGTTTGTATTCCTTCACTTCGCCTTCGAGGGCTGCGACTTCCGCACTGCTCATGGCTAAGAATTTGCGGGGTGAGGGAGGACGATGAGGGCGCAAAGGAGAGATGGGGTGTAAGTGGTTCTAAATTACAAGAACTGAAGTACAAATCAATCAGTTAGAGCGCGGTTGGATATGGGTCTTCATCAAGCACTGTAGTTTGACAACGGGAAAGATGGAGAGGCCACTGCCAGCGCCTGCGCCTTGCCAAGCCTTTTCGCCTGCGCAGTCGGGAATCTCGAGGTTGGAAGCTAACACTCCATCGTCCTTTGACGGACTCATTCTTAGTCCCCATTCACCCTCTCAAACAGTGTGCCTTTTTAGTCGCTGTGCCGCGGCCCTTCTACGAGAAACCGAACACGTCAAGTTCCCTACCGGAATCCTCGCCGACCACAGCCTCAGGTGACAACCTACGGACACCACGGATCACTAGGATGAGGAGGGATGATGACGTCGATCTGAAGAAAACACCCAGAGTAAGAACTTAAATTGACACAGCGGGTGTGACTATATGATGGCGCAAAAGGTACCTCGCGGGACCCATTGTCCTCGTATCCTGACGAAGTAAATTTGCGCTTGAGGCGCTGCGACAATTGGTGGAAAGGCAGGATGACGGCTGGGCAGGCTGTTTGTGGTAGAGTGGCAGTGAGCAGGCAGCGTCGCTGATTCGTCGACATGGTTGGAATCGGTATTGAGATGGACCGCCGTGGATGGGCATGGATCGGTCGCGACTCACTGCCGCTTAGAAATCAACTTGAGCACCACTCACACCCAGCTCACACGTTGTCTGCTTTGCCTATTCCTGCTGCCTTCGCCCGAGCATTCGCCACATCTGACCCTGGCCCAAACGCGTGGTTTTCCCTCATCTACGATCAAGAGGTTGTTGAAGAAAATAATTCTAAATAGCTATGTGCGCGAGGGGCTGTTGTGGACAGAGGCAAAGAGGCAATCCAAGAGGGGAAAACATACCCGCATACCACCCTCAATGGGGCATCTACCTATAGGCTAGGTCCAGGCATGCACACCCCCCGAGATGCCCCCTCTAGCTAGGCATCCTGCCCCGTCCAGAGGCAGTTAGCGAGAATAATCTAGCGGTTTGGGGGCTTCCGGGTAAAGAGCATCACCAACGGGGGGTACCTGAAGGAGAAGCCTATAGGTGGCATCTGGTCCCTCTCGGCAGGGTTCTTTGCAGGTCAGCACTGCAGTGTACCGAGTAGTAGACCTCACGCTACGGGGTCTGCGCCCTACCTAGGTAGGTAGATTCCACAGAAACTTAGCACTCATCTGCCACCCAGCACTCCGGATTGATCTCATCGCAACTCACAATCCCCTTCCTTCCCCTTCCCTTTTCTTTTCGTATCTTGCTTTTCCCCTTCCCTTAGCCACTTGCATCCCATTTGTCCGTTCCGGAGTGTCCTCAGGGTCTGCTCACCTCAAAATCCGCCTGTGCCATCATTGAGGGCTTTCTACCGAATCAAACCTACTTTTCCCTGGGGAGGCATTGTCCCTGGTGCAGTGGCCGCCCCGCCTATTATTCGCTCCCGCGTCCTTTACCCTCTATCCCACTCTGCTCTCATCCCTCCATCCATTTTCCTTTCTCCTCCACACTTTTCTTATCCAACCTGCGACATTGGAGGCCGCCTCTCGATACTGCTTATTGACGCGGTAGAAGGGGGCACCGTCTGGTACCTTTTGCAATCGATCTTGTTCCCGCCTCTGTACCGACGACCTTAGCCTGAGGCTCACGCAATTGAACAAATCGTCCTCCCAGAGATCCCGCAGCTTTCACCAAATCCATGTCGCGACGGTCTACAGACGGTCTTTACCTGTCCCCAGAGCAACAAGAGCTTCTTATGGCGGCATTGAATGCGAACCACTCGCCTAAACAATCGACGTCGAACACCCAAAGGAACACCCCACAGAATCTCAACTTCACGCCAAACATGTCCAGTGCTCCTGGGTCGGGGAATCTCGAGTTCAGTGATGACAGCCCATTCCTGGACTTTGATCCCGATGCCGACTTTGGAGATGAGTCATTTGACTTTGATGAGAATAGTCGCATGATCGGTGAGATACCCGGAGAGCCGGCAACCACCGAACTCCACGATAAGCGAAAGAGCGTTGATGGAAAAGAAGACGACGACGAAGGAGGCGGTAAAAGAAGAGAAGGCGAAGACAAAACGGCCAAAAAGCCGGGGAGGAAGCCATTGACTTCCGAGCCTACCTCCAAACGCAAGGCCCAGAATCGCGCCGCTCAACGAGCCTTTAGGGAGCGCAAAGAGAAGCACCTTAAGGATTTAGAAACCAAAGTCGAAGACTTGGAAAAGGCCTCGGAGTCGGCCAACCACGAAAATGGCCTCCTTCGTGCCCAGGTGGAGCGCTTGCAAGTCGAATTGAAAGAATACCGCAAGCGCCTCTCGTGGATCAGCAGCAATGGCTTGAATAGGTCGCAGCCAGTAGCAACCGGGCAAAATCGCAATCCCAATGGCAACGACTTCCAGTTCGAGTTTCCCAAGTTTGGTGATCTGCCGCCAATGCCTGCGACGAAGTTGTTTGGCAACTCAAGTATGCAGAAGCCACAGAGCACCAGCATTGGCAGATCGCCCTCTGTTCCTACCCCAAGTGCAACCCCAGGTAGTCAAACTGCAGCCAGCCGTCGTTCTACTTCGGGTTCACAGAAGCAACCTACAAGATATGGATCTATGAGCCAGTCGCCCATCGCCAACACTTTTACCGCCTCTCCCCAGCCCCAGAGTCAGCAACAAGAGCAGCATGGAAGTGTGGACAGTTTGTCTGGACTTTTTAGCCCATCAATTCTGGAAGCCAGTCGCCATGCTAGCCTGGGAGGCTACTTCCCAAAATCTGCCGTCTCTGCGTACAACGCTGCCAACCAGAATAACCGCGGCAGCCTTGACAACGGAGCCTTGGGCAATATGCCCGGGCTATACTCGAACTCGAGTATTTCCAATTCCGACTCCCCGAGTTCATCCACTGAGTCCCATAATGCCATATCGTCCATTGGCACTTCTCCAGAACCGAGCTTGAATTCTCCCGCAAATAAGCTTACTGAGTACAATCTCAACCCTATCAGTGAAGAAAATCAAGCTCCATTTGGTGGTAAGGACTATCTCTGCGATCAACTCCAGCTGGCCTGTGGCTGCGCGGAGGATCCAATACCTCCAATCTTGAAAATGTCTAACGAAAACCCGTTAGGCTATGTTAACGACCCCGGCTTCGACGTCAACGGCATCAACTGGCTTGCTCAACAAAACAACAACTCCTTTGACCCGATTTTGTTTGGCGACTATCGCGAGTCACAAGACAATATTCTGTCCCAAGACTTTGGGGCATTCTTTAACGATGCCTATCCGCTTCCGGATCTAGGTAGTCCGCTCCACAACTACAGCGACGTGGCGCCGGAACCGAAGACAGACCTTCTGAAACAGGTGGAAGAGGCCAAGAATGGCAATGAGGAAGTTGTTCCCGACAATGAGAAACCCATGACCTGCAATAAGATATGGTCGGTAAACCCCTAACCTAGAATTGAGCCCAAGATGCTAACATCAGTCATAGGGATCGACTGCAGTCAATGGAGAAATTCCGAAATGGCGAGATTGACATTGATAACCTGTGTAGTGAGCTCCGAGCAAAGGCTAAGTGCTCCGAGGGTGGCGCCGTTGTCGACAAGAAGGACGTCGAGAAGATCTTGGGCGCTGTCTAGACACGAAAAAGGTGCTCGACTGAGGGCCTCGACTGAGGCCTTGGGATGTACTCAAGTGCGATCGTTCGGACTTATCAATGGGTGGATTGCAGGAAGGCATTCTATACCATGAAAAAATGGCTGCTTTGGGATATACCTGGCCTGCATGTGTGCTATGAAGCTACCACGGGGATGATGCGATTTGGAGTTGTACTGGCCGAGGGCAAGGTTTGACTTATTTACATGTAACAACGTCTGCCCGCCAACTTATTGTGATGTTGGTGAGGACCCTTCATTCACAGACTTCCCGCACGAGCTGTGTGGAAGATGTAGCAGCAGCAACATGTCACCTACCTCTGATACAAAGAAACCTGTGCTGGCAAGCTGGTTCTTCTATTCAGCTGTGAGTCTGTGACAGAAGTAAAGGGGCGGAATGCCAAGAGACTAGTCCCATACAGGCAAGAGCAGCTCTTGCCGCTTGTATTTTGCTTTCCTGGGGTTTCGCCCATGAATTTGTCCCGAACGACCTGACAGTCTGAACAGTCGAGCCTTTACATATTCTCCATCGCCTTTCTACCATTGTTCTCCTTGCCCGTCCTCCAATATCTCTGAGCTAGACGCGCCTTCATCTCGTAAAAGCCCAGACAACTTTCTAATACTAATACACTCCCAATCTTCCAGATCTCTTGAGTCGCCGCACACTTCACTGCCTGCGGCCTTATTTGCATCCACGACCTCCAGCTTGCCATTCACTCATGGCTTCAGTAAGTCCCTTTCCTTTTTCACACCAGAAGCCAGACTTGAACTCCTTCCTTCCCCTCTCTTCTTGCGCAACTATGGCGGCCCGATTCGTGACCCCCATAGCACTTCCGCTGATTCATCTGTACCAACAGCCACGACCTCAGTTCCCGAATCCAGGATACCTCCCCAACGGTACAGCCTCAGGGCCGACTCCTGGGGCTCAAGCGCTCTTGCCAAACAACGGCCGCATCATTCAGTCCGGTTCCATTCGAGTTCTTTGCATCGCAGATGTCAGAGGTTAGTCCGTGTTGCTTCATTCAGCCCACAAGTCAGGTCTGATGCAGGAAATCCCAGGAAATCTCAGATCTCTCAATGAGCTGGCAAAAACTGCGAAGGCCGACTATATTTTACACACCGGCGATTTTGGGTTCTATGACAACACTTCGCTGGAGAGGATAGCCGAGAAGTAAGGATATACTCCAGGTGCGGCAGTTTGGGCACCATGGCTGACACCAGCTTTAGGACACTGAAACATGTCGCCCAATACTCTCCACTCCTGAGTGAAAATGTCAAGCGCCAAATTGCTCAGCCTCAGCCTCAGCGGCCGATCAAGCAAATGTTCACACCGGACCAACTACCCCTGTCAGAATTACCACTTCTGCTCAACAAGCAAATCACCCTTGACGTGCCTGTTTACACGGTTTGGGGCGCTTGCGAAGATGTGAGAGTGTTGGAACGTTTTCGGTCGGGCGAGTACAAGGTGGACAATCTGCACATTATCGACGAGGTTAATTCAAGATTACTCGATATTGGCGGAGTAAAACTCAGACTCCTCGGTCTCGGCGGCGCAGTCGTCATTCACAAGCTGTTTGACAACGGAGAAGGCAAAACCTATATTGCAGGCGGCCAAGGCACCATGTGGACAACGCTGCTTCAGATTGGCGCTCTGATCGACACTGCGAACCGCGTTTACGACCCCTCAGAAACCCGCATCTTTCTGACACACGCGTCACCTGCCAGGGACGGCATCCTCAACCAGCTCTCTGTCACTCTGAAGGCTGATTTCTCCATTTCAGCGGGTCTACATTTCCGATACGGCAGCTCCTACAACGAGTTTTCTGTCAATCCATCGCTTGACCACTACCGCGGAAAGTTGGCGGCGTCCAAAGCGTCCTTCCAGGATGTGTGGGAGACTGTCAAGATGGACGTGGAGCAGGCGATCGAACAAAATACCAATCACAAGGCTCTTCTTCACAGCGCTCTGGAAATTGTAGAGAAGATGCCCAGTACTGCTAATGGAGGCAATCCTTTTGGCGGTCCTGTGGGCGGTGGACCGGGGGCAGGCCAGGTTGACGAAAGTGCCTTTAAAAACATGTGGAACTTCAATCTCGCAGACGCTGCATTCGGCTACCTTGTTTTGGAAATTGAAGGTGGCCGTATTGGTACGGAGATGCGGGCACAAGGCTTCAACTTTGCTCATCGCGGAAAACCAACAGTCCCTTCGACTATTCCTCAACCACCGCCGACAGGCCCAGGATCCGTGGTCTCGGGTCCCGTGCCTCCTGCCCCTGCTTCGACTGGTCCACCTCAAAACCGCACTCCTGCGTTCCCTGCACCGGCACAACCTTTCCCACAGCAACAGAAGCCTCTGCAGCAACAACCGCCCCCACAACATCAGCAGCAGCAGAGCAGACCTGGTCAAACTCCTCAGCCCGCTCCAACACCTGCTGTTAAAATGGGAACTCCTCCTGCAGAAGGGTCTCCTGCTCCGCCTGTGACCCAGGGAAAGCCATTGACGCCTCAACCATCGACTTCAGGAGTTCCAACAACTTCTGCCCTTGCGGCCACCAACGGTACCAGTGGGGACAAGATCAGTGAAGGTGACGGTGCTAAAGCCAAAGTTGCAACGCCTCCAGCCGATCGCAGACCTCCGACTGCTCTTTATGTGTCTCAGGCCGACAGTGAACAGCATATCCGAGACTGTTTTGGTGACGAAGACCGTGAAAAGATCAAGGCCATTAGCCGGATGGGCAAATTTCCCAACTGGAAGGTGCAATTCGAGACGCATGAAATTGCCGAAGCTGCTTTGAGCAGAGTGCAAGGCGAAGCGCAAAACCACAAGAATTCTTCCGGCAAAATTCCGAAGTTTACATGGTTTGAAGAGCGCACTGACCGTGTTCCCGGTCTTCATCAACGTGACAACCACAGCCAAGGTGGAGTTGGGACATGGCAGCCTAGTAACCGGGGGGCGGCTGGATCGACCAATGCTCCCAGAGGCGGAGGGTATCAGAGCGGAGGAGCAAGTGACAGTGAAGGCGGTCGAGGCCGAGGCGGATTCCGCGGGCGTGGGCGCGGTCGGGGAGATGATCGAGGTGGGCGCGGCGGTCGAGGTGGCGGACGAGGCACTTACCAGAACAAGACGACTGATGGAGCCGCGGACAGCAAACCCGCAGATTCGAAGCCCAGCGAGGTCAAGCCAGCTGCTACTGCAGGCGAGAATTGAAGGGATTTTCGTCTTCGAGGAGCACTGGCAGCCGGTGACATTTTTGCCGGCAAGGGGAGAGAATTCTTGACAGTGGACGACTTTTTACAGCGACCGGGAAAGAACAATGTGCATTATGGGCTAGGCGCCAAAGGATGGGATGTCGAGGGAACTGCTTGAGCCGGAGTTTGAACAGATCGATTCTTGAGGCTGAGGCCCCGGTTGGCACTTGATACCTGGGAAGGATAGGGGGAGCTCCCGGGGTTTCTGAGCGCATCTTTCTCTTCCAACATATGTATTTTAGCCTTGCTAGAAACCAAAAAAGAAAACCGCGGGAGAGGAGTTGCAAGGGGGGGACTGCACAGAGGGTGTGAGAGAAGCGAGTTGGAAGGGAGGTGGTGTTTGCACAAATACCCAATACCAATTCATTGGAGTCGTTGCGTCCTAGGTACCTACCTAGGTACCTATGGGTATTCTTTGTACTGTACCTCGTATGGTCGCGTGTGCTTCTATCAGCCACGGCTACAAAGTACGTTAGCGGTGCCTGGGACTATGCCTGGTAGGTGCATAGTCGGCATTAGAGGATCGTCCTTAGAGTCAACGGTCTAGGCGCAGAGAGCCAATGTGGCGCTTAGGGGCACACGGGTGACAAGGTGAGGATAAAGGGTGGTGCAAGGTCAGAGCCAATTTGTTGGCGGGGCGGCATGGCAATTAGCAGCTAGCAGCTGGCAGCTGGCACATGGCAGAGAGTGAATTACAGTGGACGGGGCCTTCAAGTTGAGAAGAGAATGAGTCGTGGAAGGAGAGATACTAGTATCGAGGGCTGCAAAAAATGGTGACGTGGGAAGTGGAGGAGCGGAATTGGGCTCGTCATTGCAGCCTGCGGAGAAGGTCACGGTGCCAGTCACCCAGAGTGAGTGTCAGTGAGTGTCAGTAATACCACTACTTCCTAGGTACATACCTTCTTAGGCCTCATTGCAAAACAAACGGTAGACAGACTCTCCTCCTGCTTCATTTTCCCCTTTGCTATCCCACGTCTCGAGATTCATCTCAGTCGTCTTCGTCACTGTCTCTTCTTTCCTTCTCCTCTACAGAATGACATAGCCTGCGATTCCCAGCCACAATTCCACCCCACGACAACCGACGACTCCTCCATCCTCCCTCTCAGTCCTCATCGCGCAAGCAGGCTCGATGCGCCTTTTCTCTCCTGCCCTAGCAGCTCTTGCTGCCTCAACCTCTAGTCCACTTGCACTATGCTCTCCCCCTACGCCCCTCCATGAAGCCGGCCGATGCGCCATTCGTGGCCACTGTGGGAAACAAGGCTTCTTCGGCTCGGATCTCCCATGCCCCGACAATGAAAAGGCTGCAGCTCCTTCAGAAGTGGTCCGCGAAAAGCTGGTCAATTTGTGCGGAGCAAAATGGCAAGAAACCGATGTCTGCTGCGACGAGGACCAAGTGAATGCCCTTTCAAAGAACCTCAAACTGGCCGAAAGGATCATCGCTTCATGTCCCGCTTGCAAGGAGAATTTCTTCAACATATTCTGCACCTTTACCTGCTCTCCCGATCAATCGTTATTCGTCAATGTCACCGACACCGGAAAGGCCTCCAATGGCAATGATGTGGTCACAGAGCTGGACAATATATGGTCAGAAGACTACCAGAGTGGGTTTTATGACAGCTGTAAAGAGGTCAAGAATGGCGCAAGTGGTGGCAAGGCCATGAGTTTCATCGGAGGCGGCGCTACCAACTACACCGAATTTCTCCAGTTTTTGGGCGACAAGAAGTTACTGGGTAGCCCGTTCCAGATCAACTTTCTCGAGAAACCTCGGTCGGAAGACAACCAGGGCATGGAAGCCTCTGACCCTCGTGTCTATGCTTGCAACGATACCGACCCCAACTTCCGATGCAGTTGTGTTGACTGTCCGGAGGTCTGCCCGACTTTGGAGCCGGTCAGTTCTGTCGAATACTGCCACGTCGGGAAGCTTCCTTGTCTCTCCTTTGCCGTCATCATCATCTACTCAATCTGTTTGCTGCTTCTCGTTGTGGCTATTTCGGGGCACGTGGCGTATCAAAGACACAAAAAGTGGAAGAGTGAGAGGCTCCAACTGCTGCAGGATTCTGCACCAAGCGACGATGAAGATGAGGGCGAGCTGGTCAACAATGCGGGCGTCCTCGACCGGCCGCAACGAAACTATTACCTCAATCAGGTATTGGACCGTGGGTTTCATGCACTGGGCGGATTCTGCGCCCGTTACCCAGCCCTGACCATTGGTACAAACATTGTCGTAATTGGACTCCTTAGTCTTGGGTGGCTCAGATTCCAAGTCGAGAGAGATCCGGTTCGGTTATGGGTCAGCCCGAGCTCGGATGCTGCCCAGGAGAAGGCCTTCTTTGACGAGAACTTCGGTCCGTTCTACAGGACAGAGCAAGCATTCCTCGTCAACGACTCGTCCCCCGACAGCTCCGTCTTGAGCTACGACAATCTCGACTGGTGGTTCGACATCGAACAACGCATTTCACGCATGATGTCACCCGAGAATGGTATTAAGCTGGACGACGTCTGCTTCAAACCAACGGGCTCTGCCTGTGTGGTCCAGTCTGTAAGTGGATGGTTCGGCGCTGGCTTGATGGATGACTGGAAAGCACAAATTGAGCATTGTGCAGCCCATCCTGGTGACCAGATGTGCCTACCGGAATTCATGGATCCTCTGCAACCGGGACGCGTTCTTGGTGGCTACCCGAGCATTGACGATGTCGCAGATGCAAAAGCCCTGATCACAACGTGGGTGGTCAATAATGATCAGCCCGGCACAGAGGGAGAGGCTAGGGCCGAAGAGTGGGAGCGCGCTCTCAAGCATGAGTTGCTCATCTACCAAGAATCCGCCAAAGCACGCGGCCTGCGGCTCTCCTTCAACACCGAGATCAGTCTCGAGGAGGAGCTCAACAAGTCGACCAACACGGACGCCAAGATTGTAGTCATCAGCTACGTGGTCATGTTCATTTATGCCTCCCTATCCTTGGGCTCGACAACGCTGTCCTTGAGATCGTTACTCAGTAACCCCGCAAATGCTTTCGTCCAGTCCAAATTCACCCTGGGTGTCGCGGGCATTCTGATTGTGCTAATGTCAGTCTCTGGCTCGGTCGGCCTCTTTTCTGCAGCTGGCGTGAAAGTCACGTTGATCATTGCCGAAGTCATTCCCTTCTTGGTTCTTGCCGTCGGCGTGGACAACATCTTTTTGATTGTGCACGAGTTTGAGCGTGTCAATGTCAGCCATCCCGATGAAGAAATCGATGTAAGAGTTGCAAAGGCACTTGGAAGAATGGGCCCCAGCATTCTCCTGTCTGCGTCAACCGAGACGATTGCCTTCGCCATGGGCGCGTTTGTGGGGATGCCTGCAGTCAAGAATTTCGCCGCCTATGCCGCAGGTGCTGTCTTCATCAATGCGCTGTTGCAGATCACCATGTTTGTCTCCGTCTTGGCGCTCAATCAAAGACGAGTCGAAAGTCTTCGGGCAGACTGTTTCCCGTGTGTGACGGTCAGGGGCGCGAATTCCACCGGCATGCCTGGCGGCCATTTCTTTGGCAGTGACGAGGAAGGATGGTTACAACGCTTCATCCGCAAAGTCTATGCACCAAGTCTGTTGGACAAGAAGGTCAAAACGTTCGTCGTTGCCTTCTTTGCAACCCTTTTCGCCGCCGGAGTTGCGCTCATTCCGAGGGTGCAACTTGGACTCGACCAGCGCATCGCGCTTCCTGAGGATTCCTACATGATTCAATATTTCAACGACTTGTATGACTATTTCGGATCGGGACCACCCGTATATTTCGTTACTCGGCACCTCAATGTCACGGCGAGGGAGCACCAACAAGAACTATGCGGCAGATTCACCACCTGCGACGAGTATTCGCTAATGTACATTCTTGAGCAAGAATCGAAACGCCCGAATGTCAGCTATATCAACTCTGCCACGGCCAGCTGGATCGATGACTTTTTCTACTGGCTCAACCCCATCTCGGATTGTTGTAAGAACGAAAACGGCGAGACCTGCTTCGGCGAGGATGACTGGAACATCACTCTCTCCGGCATGCCGGAAGGGGACGAGTTCGTTTATTATGCTAAGAAGTGGATTCACGCCCCTACAGATGAGGAATGTCCAAACGGCGGACAGGCCGCCTACTCGAACGCCCTGGTCATCGACAAGAATCATACTGACACTCCAGCCAGTCATTTCCGAACGTTCCACACGCCGCTACAAGGTCAAGACGACTTTATCAACTCCTACGCCGCGGCTAGGCGGATATCAGATGACATTTCTGCACGCCACAATATCGACGTGTTTCCGTACAGCAAGCACTATATTTTCTTCGATCAGTATAGCAGCATTGTTCGCCTGACTGCGACACTTCTCTGTGTGGCTGTTGGCATTATCTTTGTCATTTCTTCGTCATTGTTGGGTTCCTTGCTGACAGGACTTGTTGTGGCGGCGACAGTCGTCATGATTGTGGTGGATATTATTGGTGTCATGGCGGTTGCTGGCGTGTCCCTCAACGCCGTGTCGCTAGTGAACTTGGTCATCTGCGTGGGCATTGGTGTCGAGTTTTGTGCACACATTGCCCGAGCATTCATGTTCCCCAGCAAGTCGATCATGGAGCGGGCCAGGCACAAGTTTAGGGCAAGGGACATCCGGGCTTGGGCGGCATTGGTCAACGTCGGTGGCAGCGTCTTCAGCGGGATCACAATTACAAAGTTTGTGGGCGTGGTTGTGTTGGCCTTCACCAGGAGCAAGATCTTTGAGGTCTATTACTTTCGCATTTGGCTGGCCCTCGTGATCCTTGCGAGCAGCCATGCGCTGGTGTTTTTGCCCGTGGCTTTGAGTTTCTTGGGTGGTGATGGTAGGTCTCTTACCCTGAGATCAAGAAAGACTAGAGCTGACATTTGACTGATTAGGTTATATTGATCCCGAGAGCGAGGGAGGACTGGAAGAAGACCTCGCCAGCCGACGATACCGAAGTCTGTTGCCGGACGACGATTACTATGATTCAGAAGATGAATGATAGCCGTGTACCGAGAGGGCTTGGATACTATCTAGGTAGCCTACTTAGGCGCCAGTACGGCCCCTAAATAAAATAAAATGTATCCGTTGGTCTGGGCCAAATATGTGCTCCATGTTCCATGTTTGGCGTGATTGTAGGCATTGCAACCGGGCATATTTTGCATCGTACATATCACTCCTGCCCTGCCTGTATCTGAATCCCCTCGAAGGAAACCATATGTAGTCCTGTCAAGGCCAAGGCCAAGTTCGAGGTTCGAATCTAAGTTCAAGTTCAAGGTCAAGCTCATTCACTAGTCCTCCTCCTCGTCATCATCCAGATCCATGACCCGGCGCGTACCTCTCCCTCTCCCCCGTGCCCTGCCTGCGCGCCGGTCATCCTCCGCCAGCTGCGTCTGGGGCACCACGTCCACGTCCGCCTCGTCTCCCGCTCTTCGCACTCCTGACATCCGCTCCGCTTTGATTTGCTTCGCGGATTTGCGCACGCTGGACGGGAGGGGAGGCGGGCTGCTTGATCCGAGAGCCGCGGGGCGTCTTTGCGTGCCTCGTACATTATGCCCGTCCCCATCGTCGTCGTCATCATCGCTGTGGCTTTCGCCGTCGACGTCGCTTGTCGCGAGATTATCCCTTCTCTCCTGCGCAAGCAGTCTCGCCACTCTTCTTTTCAAGGCTGGGTTATCGACCAGATCCGCCTCGATTAAGGGGGTGTTGCACTCGGGACATTTGACCTGTTTGATACGAATCTCGCGTTCGCGCCTCGCGCGCTGCTTCTGGTTGTTGCCCAGCTGGCTGAGCTCGGCTAGTTGGTCTTGTGTGAAAGGCGCGAAGTCGGTCGATGTGCTCAGCATGGACAGGATGGCGGCGCGCTCGTAGCTGTGGTTGCAGTTCTTGGAGGTTACCGGGTCGATGTAAGGGAGGAGTGTGATGGGGCATTTGAGTCGGGTTTTTTCGGCGGCGATTTCGACTTCGTCTTCGTCTTCTTCCTCTTCGGTCATGCTCGTCTCGTCGGCGTTGGAGCCTTGAGGATGGTGGCGGCGTTGACTGGATGATAGGGAGTTAATCCGTCCTTCTTCGGCGGCGAACCATAGGCTCTCGTTGGGCATGGGCGGCGCGGATTCTCCGGGGTTTTTGGCGTCGTAGAGAACCCGGTACCATCCCCTGTAGTCGTTGTTGCGGGCGTATCTCTCTGTCAGTGTCTTGGATGTCCATGTCCGCGCTTGCTGGGTCAGTGCTGTCGAGAGAGAAATGTGTGGTGTGTCAGCTGGGTGGATTGTCGGGAGCATCGAGGTTTGGTGTCTCGAGCGGGATGATGGTCCAGCATCTACGTCGTTATCATCCTCCTGCTCCTCCTCTTCTTCGTTTTGGTTTTGCTCGGCAGCTTCGTCACCGTCGTCCACAACCCGCCTCCTCTGCCTGGTTCTCTGCGTCAAACTTTGCGTCTGGTGATCCCTGCGGGGCTCTCCCATGCTCTCTTGCGCCTTCTCCACCACCGCCTTCAGAGTTGCAGGATACTCGGCGAGCCAGGCCATGTCGTCGATGACGCCCCGGATGCTCAAGTCCATCCTCTTGGTCAGAGCCTCGACTTTTCGTTGGAACTCCTCATATCTCGCGTCCGCCTCGGCTACCGCAGGGTCTTCTTCGTTTTCCTCTGCTCCTGCTCCCCCGTCCTCGGTCCCATTATTCGCCGCTTCTCTGCGCCGAGCTTTTTCTTTGCTGTGTCTGGCTCTTCGGAGGTAGGCTCGGTCATTCAGTTCGCCTGTCATGTCGGTCAGGAGTTGTGCCGCCTTTTTCAGATGTTCTCGGGCCTTGGTTTCGCGGTCTCGCTGGTGTTGCAGCTCGCTGAGGGATCGGACCGCTTCCTCGTTGAGGGGGGCTGTGAGAGGCTGCGGTTCGAATTGTGTGGGCGCCATAGCGTGAGGACTCCGAGGGTTTGGGGGATGTTGGATGGCGGTGAGTTGTTAGGGATTAATGAATGAATCCTTTGCTCAGGCCTTGCGGCGGGCGAACGCGTCGAATGGCGTCGCGTCGTGCTTCGTGGGGGAAGGGAGCTAAACCCCTTTTGGCCTCTATACCTCAGACTCCATATTACACTCGTCACTGGGCAGTGACTTCCTCTCTTCTCTAAAACTGTATTTCTCACTCATTTTCCTAGCCTGTTGCCAGAATACTGTCATTAAGTCTAGTCGATATTCCTGGACTCCCTGCCTTCTCTCACGCATTGTTCTAGAAATCCCTGACTGTCGTACTCATGTCCTGTGGTCTGGTGCCATGGCTGATTCCGTGTCATACACTTGGCCGGCGAAGCTGGCTCCGAGCAACTGAGCTATTGACAGCGATCATCATGAATGAGACAATAGCGTCTGGAGAAAAAATCAGTCTAGGACATGTAAGGCCATGGTATTGAAGCTGGGGAACCCGCAGTGCTTCATCAATTTGTCAAGGAATGCAGCCTGCAAGCTAGGACTTGGTAATACGGGCTGAAGCCAAAGCTTATGTGTCAGGGACCGGTGCTGACTTCAACAATGCGAACGAGGCCAATCCGCAAGCTTGAGGTCCCTTAGGCCCAACAGCCCAACGATATTTCTCGAGTCGCTATGCACAGCTTTGGGCCTAATTGGGAGAGAGTCTTCTAGGGATCCAGCTATGACCGCCTGCTGAAGATAAATGAGGCCAGGTACCCAACGAACCTATTCATCTGTAACAGCTGCGTAGGCTTGGGCATACTGTATAAAGCATCAAGGGGAAAGGGAAATTGTCGAAAGACAACTGTGTTGACTAGGTAGGTGTGGGTATTGGTAACACTGGTACAAAGGGTTCTTTTTGTTCTCGATTCTATACAAACAAATCCAACATCCTACTTGCTTCTGGAGCCTGACTTGTCGCATCTCTCAAGCTGGTTGTATTGTGCGCCGCTTTGTCTCCGAGAATCTCAGCCTCGCGCTAGTGGAATGTCTTGGCATTTCAATATCGACTTCAATCCATCTTCCCAGGACTCCAAAACTTCTCAGAGATTCAACATCTGTACAGAGACAGTCTATCGCTGAATAATCGACATGCTGTTTGTTCATCGTAAGCAGTCGGCACAGCAACAATGTGCGCAGGGCGAGAAGGCGCATCGATGGCGTGGGTGCGCTCCGATGCCGCAGACGTCCAACATATCTCGACTTTGACGCACCCGACTTCGTCTTGTCACCATGCACCCTGTCTTTTTGTTTCCCGCACATGCGGGATCACGGACTCATGAAATATGTTCGCTTGGATCATCCCCCTCAAGAAAGGTCCACAGCAGGAACATTCACTTGACAGAACTCAGCCCGATAGTCTCAGAAGTCTACCCCGACACATTCACACGACCTTTCGTGTCTCACCGGTGATGGGCTTTCTCAGATATTTCACATGGTAGGCTTGGCAAGCTTCTTCTTACTCTTTCTCTTCAAGAGGCACTCTTCTACACTTGAACCCCTTTTCGGTACGTGCGTATCTCACGAACACTTTCCTTTCGTTGATTCGTTGTCAATCATCTCTCAACAGAGCCACAGTTGGATAAGGTCTTGTCTGCTCAGATCGACGCGACCGAAGCTGAATCAGCCTTATCTCTGCGTGTCTCAACCACTCACTTTTTGCAAGTCTTTGCTGGCTCTGCTCCAATTACCGACTTCATCCGGCTCTCACTTCAGATCCTGCAACTCTTGTGATGCCTTCCTTCTTGGCCTCGCTGTTGTAACATGACATCTTGGTGTGGAGTCACTTTTTCTCTGCACAACGCTTGGAAACTTCTGTCGCGACTTGAGTCGATCTCTGATACCAATCTCCAGCTCACTCAAGCTCAACACACCCGACAGGACTGACCGCGCCTCACAGCCTCAATCCGATCTTGGTACCGACTTGGCCTCTAGCTCGATTTCTTTTTGCTCTGGCACAGTCTGACCAGTCCTTCCTTTCTTCACCTTACTAGGATCTCTACAAAACGCTGTCAATCGCATCGCGGTCTGAGACAACACCTCACAACAATGGGTGCTAACAACTCAGTTATTGATACCGAAGTCCCTCTGTTCTCTGAAAAATTTCCAAACATCACCATCAGACCTCTCAACCCGCACACAACAACGGCTCAACCAGATCGAGAGTCAAATAAAACAGCAGGTACTTCACATGGCCACAACCAAGTTCGTACGACGTCTGTCACAAGAGATGGCATCTCATCCAAGGCTCACCCCCAACCGAGACGGCTGCCTCCAGTCGAAAGCCGCGAGACGGTCAAATCACAAGCTTTCCAACTCACTCGTTGGCGCATCGTCGATGAGACAGACGAGCTCTACGAGTCGTGCGAAATCGGCAACTCGGAAAGTCCTGCCGTGTCACGCAATTCATTGACGATTTCCAGCAATTCTGATTTCGACATAAAGCCTTCATTGGCAGAAATTGATGAAGCCTTGGCTAGATATCAAGCACATCCTCTCTCAAATCCCGAAAAGGCTGGTTCACTTCTTTCTCCGATTATCTTAGATGCTTCACCAGCCAAACTCAGACAGTCGTCCCTGGACAAGCATTCCTTGAAATCCTCACCGGCCAATCCCAAACAGTCCCCCCTCAACAAACGCTCCCTGAATCCCTCGCCGGAGCCAAAGAGGAAACGCCGCCTTATCCCAACAAAACGAGCGGTCGAAATTGCTAACCAGAAATTCGAGAGGTTCGGTGGCATGAGAGATTACCTGCAGAACCAACCTACAGCGCCTCGGGCCCGTCCGTCGACGTACAGCCAGGAAGAGTTTGGATTCGTCAACCCATTCCCAGATGGCTTCCCTCTCTCCGACGAGGAAGGTCACTTGCGTCCAGAGGCACATCCTGGTTCATGTCTGTACCAGGACTCTGACGATGAAGACGAAGGGTATTGGTCAAAGGTGGTCAGCCCGGTGGATTCTGCGGAAACGCCAGAAGAAGAACAAGCACGCCTGAAGGAGCTGTTGTCAAGATTTCACAAACGTAAACAGACGGGCGCCAAATCAAGCGCGAAAATAAAGACTGAAGTGGATGAAGGTCTCTTGAAATTGGCCCGTGAATACATGCACAGGTATGAAGAAGCTGGGGCTGAGCGGAGCAGACAGCTCCGAGAGAAGGCCCTACGGCGACGCGGACTTCTCCCGACTCTAGAAAACTCCGCTCTCGAAGGAGACTCAAGCTCGGACCACGGCAAGACTCTGTCTGACACCGGCGTCGACAATGGTTCAAACAGAGAAAGAGACTCAAGTTTAGAACATATTAAGACACTGTCTCACGCCGGCGCCGAGAATGGCTTCAACAGTGGCCTGTTCTGTGACGACGACTGCCAAGCCCAAAGTGTCGAGGACGTTTTGGACATTGCACAAGAACACGACATGGAGAACCGAAAGCCCATTCAGTCAGAGGTACGCGACAATTTGAAGTAGGTCAGACACGAGCAGTCCAAGCCAAGATAAAGGCTAATCAAGAGTTACAATAGGACAGACCGGCACACTCCCTGTAAGGGGCCCACCACGCAAAATCCTGCCTCACGTGCAGCTGCGGAGCGATTTCGGACGCAAAGCCGACATTTGAGTGACCACCACGAACCTCAAACCCATGACAATGAGTCTGCTGCAAGTTTCAACTCGAGAGATAGTCATATTCTAAGCTCGAGCTCTGAGGGTCTGTGTCTACGAGCAAAGGAAGAGCGCTTGCGCGAGGCGAAAAAGCCAGGTGTTTCGCCGCTTATGGCTAAGGGGGTGAGCAATCCTCCCTCAAACGATCAGTGCATCACAGATGACGAAATCAATCCTAGAGCTCGAAGCAACCGTCCTCAGGTGGCGAATGATCGCGCGAGAGCCTTGAAGCTGGAAACAGAACAGCAGGAATCACAAGTCAGTGCTAGTGCAGGAAACGAAACGAACTGCAATCCATCCATACGGAAGCCTTCTGGCCGTGAGATGATGGGACAGGAGCGAAACGCCGTCATCGAACAGAAGCGAGCCGTTGTCACCGAACAGAAGCGAGATGCTGTAATTGAACAGGAGCGAAACGTCGTCATGGAAAAAAACCGAGACGCTGTCGTTGAACAGAAGCGAAACGATGTTGAACAAAAGCGCGACACTGTCATTGAACAGAAAGAGGAGATGATTTTCCCGGGTCGACGTCTTTCCGGCCTAGAGACGCTTGTAGCCAAGCGAGGAGCTGCCAGTGAACAGAGCCTCGACGTGAAGCCCGTTGATCGACCTCTGTCTGGCCTGGAGATGCTCGCAGCCAAGCAGGGAGCTGTCAGTCAACAGAAACCCGACCCGGAACCCGTTGCTCGACCTCTTTCTGGGCTTGAGATGCTGGCAGCAAAGCAAGGAGCTGGCAGGGAACAGAAAGTCGACTCGAAACCCGTTGCTCGACCTCTGTCTGGGCTGCAGACGCTGAATTCTAGAGGCACAGAATCCCAACCCAGGCAAGAAAATGGCGTACGCCCGTCAACGTCCATTACTCCAGGTCCCAATAAAGGCTTAACGCTGCCCAAAAGCTTTGACCAACTCTCCGAAGAAGAGAAAGACGTGATTGTCCAGCACGAAATCGCAAAAGAGAGAAAGAGAGACCTTGACGCTCTTGGGAGTGTTTTTTGGGTATTCGCACAGTTACGGTGCTTTCCCGACCGCGAGATAACCGAAAGAACTATGCAGAGAGAAACTAACGAGCTTTACGATATCGGGAAGTTTATTGCCATAGTAATTGAGCAGGGGAAGCCTGGTAAGATGCGAAGGGTGCGCGTCCAGGATATCCGTGAGAACATCCGCAGACGCATACAAAAAACACTGGCAGACGGCTCAGAAGAGCCTGACGACGTTACAATTATGACTGAAATGAGGCGGACCTTCAGTCAGAAGCATATTGATTTCATCAATGACGAAACACCCAAAGTGCAAGCGGAAATCGACCATTGGGGATATCTACGGAGTGAATATAGCAGCAAGCGGCACAATTCGAGGCCGAGAGAGCATAGAAAGAAAGAGCGACCAAAGGAGCGGACGGATGAGAAGTCCAGTAAGAAACAAGTCCGATTTGCTGCTGAGGAGAAACGCACTACCCAAAACAAGCGACCTAAGGGTCAAGGGAAAACAGTCGAGAAGCGACAAACGCAAGCCGATCGCCAGGAGCAACTTATCGAAAAGCTAAGAGCTCAACTGAAACGCTTTGAGACGGCCGATGCAGAAGACTTGGCTGAACTTCAGAGTCAAGTTGCTGAAATCGAAGCAGAGCTTGAGCGCGAAAAACAGGAAGATGATGAAAGCGAAGAGGATGACGGTGCTGAATTCGTCTTTGGAGCTGGACAAGAAACCGTACCGGCGCCGGCTAAATCTCCCAGTCAAACCACTCAGGAACCAACCACGGATGAGGAACAGGAGCTTCAAGAAATCAACCGTTTAGAAGATGCACGCCAGAGAGAGTCAGCTGATACACCAGGAGCTGGCCAACAGCGGCCTGACGCAGAACTCTTGAAACGGATGCAGCTCAAAAAGAGCCTGCCCAATCCGAGTCAGAGCTTTGACCCAGAGCTTCTGCGACAAATGCAGTTCAGGAGGGAGCAGCAGCTAGAGGCAGCAACAGACTCTACGATCATTGATCGAGCTGCTGTGGGAGAGTCAGATAGTGAGGCCGAGGCGGCAGACGAATACGCTTCTGATGATGATGATACGGACGAAGACGAAGATCGCCAAGTTCACCGGTACACTGTCTGGGGGACGTTCGTGGGGATGGAAATTTACAAAGACGCCGACCACTATTACTTGATGAAGACATATGACGCCACGAAGGCGGAGGCTAAAGTCAGGGAGATCATCTCCGGCATCCACCAACATGTATTGAAGAATGGTACGGTCCTCGATCATTTGACGGTGGTAACGGAGTGGCATCACGGGTTGATGGAGCAGCACATTGCGGTCGGCGAAAGCGCTACGACCATCGCAAGAGCATGGGTGGAGTGCGACCTGGTGGATTTGAACAGAAAGGCGTTCCGGGCTGCAAAACGCCAAGGAGCGGTAAAACAGGTCACTACATTTGCGGTTCATTGGGAAAAGACCATTACTCCGGTCGCTAGCGGCGCCGAAGAAGAGGCCGAGAACGAGACCACGACCGCCGACTCAGACGGGATTGACGACCTCTTTGAAGAGCCTGCAGAAGACAAAGCCAATTCGACATCGCAAGCCACAGCGCCAGTCACGACGACCATCCCGCAAGACGAGATTCAACACTTCACGACGCCGATCCTGGCAAACCGCCACGCTAAGGCAGTCTATCTGACCTGGCACAACACTTTCCTCCCGGGATGGCAGAACGAGGGCTATCGCCAGCTCGAGAGCGACTCGATGGAGGAGTATCTGGAGACGCTGGGCAGCTGGGGCCTGTTTTTCCGCGAGGAGAGCTTTGAGCGCGCCGAGGTCGACGAGGGTGGCGGTCCGGGGAGACGAGTGGAGGAGAAGTTCAAAGTCTGGGTCAAGAAGATTGCGGTCAGTGGGCCGGGGAATTGAGGGTTGAAATGCAGATGAGTATGAAGATGCCTATGTGGTCATGGCACATGCGTCCTCGCTACTTGGTAGCGTTAACGCAGCGACGCGTTGTTTTGAATGGGGTCCCTTGTTTTGGTGGAAACGGGCGAGAGAGGTGGACACAATCGTCTTCTCTGTGCTGGGAGATTTTGACGGCGTTTGGCGCATGCATTTTTCCTCCTTCTTTCCTGGTTTGTCTTTGGGGGGGTTTGGCTCTCTCTTTCTCCACGTCTGTCCGGCACCGTGGTACATAATCACCGAGAGAGGATATCAAGATCGGCGCCAGAGTCGTTTTCAGACCGGCATCGTCGTTGGGTACGTACCTAGATAGGTAGCTAGCGATAATGCGATAATTCACTTCGTTCCACCGGCCATGATTGCCACCCGCGAAATCAGAGAAAAGCAGCTTTGAATAATGAATGATATTGAAATCGTTCGTGTCGGAAACGCCTTGGCTATGGATGACCCCCTGTGGTGACATATCACGCACTTATCTAGGTGTACATACAGTAAATTTTATCCTGATGTCCCCCTCCGCGCGTAATCTGGACTCTGACATATACATATACATATAAATATACATAGCACCAAGTCTGCCTGATCTCGTCTCGTCCAGCTCATTCTCTTGTTCCAATCTCTGCCAACGCCGGCACGACCCCAGTGGGCCCACGGTGGCATCGTGTCTTTTCAAAAGGTCGGCCTGGGTACAGGCCCCAGTGGTTTCTTCTCACCGAGAGCAATAATCCTCCTGCTCGGCCTGTTTCTCGTCAAAGTCCCACATCAACTTATCCGCGTCGGGCTGCTGTGCCTGCACGAGGTACGCGATCCACGGCATGACCGCGTACGCCAGCAGTGCCATGGCATACACCGGCCCAGCGACAACGTCCCTGCCGGCGACAACGAACAACGAGGCCCAGGCCCAAGACCCGTCGCTGTGATGCAGGGAGATCTGCGCCACGATGCTGACGGCCAGCTCGACGGCGAGGAGCCACACGAGGGCCAGCGCGCCGATCAGTAGCGCCGTCGGCGGCGGGGAGGTCAGGAAGCGGAGCAGCGACCACTTTCCGGCGCTGACGCTGCTCGTCGATGCCAGCGGCCTCTTCGACCCGGAGGCGTCGAGGTTCCACACCGTCACCTGCGCGGCTTGCCAGATCACCATCAGCATGATGGGCATCTCGAATAGCTCCGCGTACCGCGCACCGACGAGCGGTTGGAGGTACGGCACCCGGATGGAGCCGAGGATCAGGCCCGACAGGGAGACGAGGGAGAAGTAGACCAGCGAGAGGGGGAGGGTTTGTTGGAGGACTCCCATTTTTGGTATTGTTTGGTGTTGTTTGGAGATGTTGAGGTGGTTGAGGTAGTTTGGTTATGCGTTGGTAGCTAATCTCGAGGGTTGTGATGATGAGGATCTATATGTAAGTATAGAGAATTGGTGAAGTAATTGTCTTCAGCAGTGGGTTGTGGTGATGGTGCTTGTTGCAGGCAATCTTGCGATTGATGTTTGTATCTTAATGTCTCTGATGCAGTGTGCAGCCCCGAACAGACCCCGCGACATTCTGACGCCGTGTACAAATACCTTTTGATTCCCATTCTTCTCATGACCGGGAATTCGCGCATTGGACCACTCACCCGCCTACCCACAGCACAACACTCACAAGAGGGGGAGAGAGAGGGTCGGGAGTGGAAGAAGAGTCACGAGGTGTGTGTGCAAACACTGGGAAAAGCAACAACGGCGTGATCATGTCAATGTACAGACCTGACTAAACCAGCTTGCTTACCCAGCGATCCATTATCCAATGTTTCCCGGAAGATTCGAGGCGTAATGCTTCTTGGGAGCTAGAGTGACATGTGCGATTTTGGTGGAGTGGATGGATAACACCGTGCGAAATAATGATATGCTTCTCACGCCACTGCGGGTGGGTGTCGAAAGCACGAACCACGCCACCACCTCTTGGAGTATGCTGGTGACGGTGGTCGATCTTTTCCCACGCAAGACTCGGTGATGGCGAGGAAGAAAGACATAACCCTGCTTGTGCATCGACGAGCATTCTTTGACGGGATTTACAAGAACAGGGTATTGATCATCAGGGTAGAGTTCTTGAGAGTGGACAAGGAAAATCACCCCCTCAATCTTCGCAGCCTTGCCAAGTCCCGGCTTTTCCGCTCCGCCGCAGCCTTGCGAAAGATGCCGAGGCTTGCAGTACCGAAGCGACATCACGCCACAGGTTTGCACTACATGAGCTTTTCTTGCAATTGCCTCATTCAATCAGGATCTATACAGTACCCTAGTGTGGATTGTGCTTTTAGCTCACTCGTACGAAGCAAGCATCTCGCCGTCTTTCCATTGCAGGTAGCCGCTGGCCACTTTGCTCAGCCTCATGTCTGTTCTTCGAATACTCACGGTAGGATCCTGGTTTGCAATGCCTCTCTTAGGGGTCTCGCTTCATAACACTACATTTCAGAGGGTGTCAATATTATATAGCAAGTTGGAAGGTATAGAGGAAATATTAGAGTGAATCGCTAATGAAAGAAGACGATCATCTCGCAAGGGGCAGAGTCAGTTGCGCGCTCCGTGATCTGAAAGAAGAATACATCCTGCACCAAATGTAGCAAATATTGGTTGACGACAATGAAGCGGTCGCTGTACCAGATACAGGCTCACACAGCACATGCAGAGAAAGGAAAGAGAACCATTATGTCTTGACCACCGTTGTGTTTCAAGGCCGTTGTCCACCTACAAGCAGATCACTTTTCATGGCAACCAAGGACAGCCCAAGTTCATAACTTCATCATTCATAGCCGCTCAATATTTTAGTCCCTTCTTCTCAAAGAGGCGGAACAGGCTGAAATCGACAACGTCAGCCGCATTGCCTGCGTTTCTCTCGAGTCAGGTTCAAACAGACGAAATATGATGTGCTTACCTGCTAATGATTAACGAGTAGTAGGTTTTGTCGTCCAATCCTCGTGAATTAGGTCTCATTGCTTCTATCACAGCCTCAACCGAGCCTGGCTCCATCCATTCGATTTTTTCGAGCTCGACTTTGAGCTGATTGAGCTTGTTCTGAATTTGCGCGGGATGACATGTTGTAAGAGCAGTCAAAGCTCTCCCGTTGTTCCCCAGGAACAGCTCAGCTAGAAACACCCCCAAGCTCACGAACCCGAGCTGAGAGAGCCGTTGGCAGGATCTGCTACAAGATCCAGGGGCCACTTCAAAAACAAAGACTTTGCGTCTGTTCAGGAGGTGGATCTCGCGGACCTTGCAAATGCAAAGGCCGTCCATAAGACCATATGGACCGAAAAGTAGCATCATCTCGGCGGCCTTGAACGCTAGCTCGACCTTGGCGTACGATAGCATGCAGTTTTCCCACGGCGCTATGTCCGTCGTTGTGGATTCTGCGGCACTCTCGCCGCCTGGATATAGACTGAAACGGAGAACGTTAGGTGTCCCAGACTGGCCTATGATGCGGAACAATCGGGAAGACTTCCGTCGGCCCCTTCCGAAGCACAACTGTTCCAGTACGATTTGGAGAGAGCTGTTCGCATTCGGGTAGCGGTCAGAATTCGTGACGATCTCGACTTCAAGGAACAGTGGGCGAATCGACAGTGCTAATTGATTCCCTGCAGTGCGATTCGGGAGGGTCTCGGCTATATTTGCATCGTCCTGAACGTCCTGAACGTCCTGAACATCAGGATCGAGCGGCCAAGAGCCTGGAACCCTGAGATATTCCCTAGTCGCCTCGCGTGTGGGTTCAGGTGCCACGTTGGTCATCTGTCTGGCTTGAGTCGACAAAGGTCGAAAATGGACGAAATGGACTATCCTTTTCCCTCTTGACAATTCCCCCAGTCTTGATGGACGTTGATCCATCGCAAATCCGGGGGTCAGGTCAAGTGCTAGGTCTTGTTTATATGGAAGCCCATTTTCGGGGTTCCGGTACCGTCTGCCAAGGTCACCCAACAAGGCTTCATACCGTCGCCGCTGTTCGGCCAGGGCGAGAAGATATGATTCATGTTGGGCAGCCCGCCGAGTCTGCTCTTTCTCGCCGTCCATGGCTTTGTAGTTTTGGCAGAGCAACTTCCACGATTCCGTCTCGAGACTCTCAAAGCTCTTGACCGCTTGGTCTAAGAGGCGCCTGACATCCTGTAGAGGGCCTGTCTTGATCGCATTGCGTGTCTTGGAGTCGCTCGGACGGTATCCCTCCAACACCACTTTCAGGGTTTGGAGTTGAAGGGCAATTTGCTGGACGCGGATCTCGATAACATGGCAGCCGCTTCCCCAGTATCGCTGAGCCAACTTGTTTGGAATATTCTCCCCAGTCTCTTCGAAGTGCCAGTCGCAACGCCACGCCCGGAAGTTGTCGTCGGCGATCTCTAGGTCACTGTCGATGACAGCGAGGATTGTTGGGTAGGTTTGGGCGTTCTGCTTATCTTTCAACAAGAGATCAATACAGTTTCTGGCACCCGCGATCTCGCCGGGGACTCCTAGAATTGCAGTGATTAGCGACAGCGGGTTGACGGGCACCATCGTTCGCGGTTCGGATGGCTGAATAGGGCTCTCTAGGTTCAATACATTCTACCAGTGGAGAAATCTCTCACAAAAATTGCAGTCCTGAGGCTCTGGCTCCCCAGGTCCTTGTCGTCAATGTTGGTTCGTTGGCTAGCCACGCGAGCGCAGCTCTACGGCGCTTTATGGCGGGGTGCGTGCCTGTGTCACCTGCGACTGCCCGGCACTTCACGTTGCTCAGCCCCGCTCATATTTCAACGTTCTACCTCATCAGCCATAGTATTCCTTTCTCCCAACACATAATTCAAATGCGTTTTTTTTCTGTTCATTTCAAGATTCAATTTCATCGTCGCCATGGACGCCGAAGCAGAGAGGAAGGCTACGCAGCAGGCTTTCGACGACTTCTTCCGAACAGCCTATCCCACTTATTGTGTTGCCGTCGAAGCAAAGATTGCGCGCCCGTTGCGATCTCCAGAATCCGTGGCCTTTAGTCATGAAATGCCTGTATCGACCTTGCAAACCGGCGTTTGTGTCAAGATACTCCTAGAGAAGGCAATCACAGAACTTACCGAACACTGTCTGTTAGATGGAACCGATCTCTTCTACCTCCACTGGGGCTGCTTGAGTGGCGCTGGCCCCCACCTTTTGAAAAGCTGGTTCTATACCGAAGACGAGCTTCTCGGCTTGTTTCAAATGCTTCCAGCGATGAGCACCGAGCCACTGCCGCAAGTCACTCTATGTTTCGGTGTGATGGAGAAACGATTCCAGCCTCTAGTAAGTCCAGAGCGGTATTCGGACCGGTTGCGAATACACTTGCAGAATCATCAAGAGATGAATTATGTAGAAGAATGGTTCATTGCCGAAAGGCACATCAGAGCTATTCTCGATGATTCAACCATTGGCCGACTATGGTCCGAAGATCGCCTCCTCCACTACGAGCAGTACGAAGCGGCCAACTTGATCGATCTTGAAGACTCTTGCATCCAAAAAGTCGCGGCAGATGGATGGCAGTTACTAGCTGCGTGTCTCCTTAAAGGTCTAGACTTACTCCCTCTCTGGATACTTGTCTTACACGGTTTCGATAACGGCACCTCCACGATCCGTGCCGCGGATAAGATTGACCCGGAATTTGAGGAACGGATGCAGTCGATCATTAAACAGTATCCGAATATGGATCAATATGTGAAGGCAAATGCGGAATGGCTCAACACCTTGACCTTGGCCAGACGGGTTGTGTCTCCATTTGCGTGGGAGCAGGACTGCAGAAGAATCTGCGAGTGTAAGGGCGAGGTCCTACCGATCCTTATGCCGGTTTACAAGGTTTCGCCTCCGGAGCACATCAACTTCTCTATCGAGCATTCTTTGGTCAGGATAGAACCCGGCTACCAAAAATTCAGCAAGGTGAGTATTATCGCCAAAGAATATATCCGCAGCTCACTCAGTATAGGACCCTGAAAAATTGTTCGTTCTCAAACGGGTCCAGACGGACAAAACAGTTGCGGGTACCTTATCGGATGATCTTAAAGCAACACCTGATGATTTTGGACACCCAAACTTACTGAATTGCATCCAAGCATGGGTTGGGACAGAGTACAGTGGCAGGAGCTTCATGGCCATGCTCTATCCAACTCCAGAAACAAATCTACCCAATCACATGCTCCGTCATAGGCCTACAGAGAGGTTCTTGCGTCTTGAGCTGTGGCAGCATATGCACAATATTGCGGATGCCATGTTTTATCTCCATCGTCCAGAGACTGTTATGAAGGGCTGGTATCACGACATCTCTTCAGAGGACATCCTGATCTTTACTAAGGACGATGGAAAGGTCATCTGGAAGATTGGCAAGCTGGATTCTATCATATTGGCACAAATTGGAGCGCACTCCAAAGGAGACCCATTCGAAGCTGATTCCGATGACGAAAATAACAGGCACCCCCGGAAATTATACGGTCGCCCACCCGAAATAACTGGACGCGAGCCCAGCAAGGTAGAAACACGACCATCGGATGTCTGGTCGCTTGGTTGCATCTTCCTCCAGGTATTGGTATGGGCATTTCGGGACGATCACAACACGTCTTCCTGGTCTTCACAGATGACAATCTGTTGGGAGGAAGGGGACTACGGTACCCCTGAGCTAGCTTCATGGGTAGATGAAGCGCTGAAGGCCTTGGACGTCATTGATCGTTATCAGATTCCTTTCAGTGTCGTCACCCTCCTTGTCAGCAAGATGCTGGCCCCTGATCCAGCCGTAAGACCCGGAATGCAGGCCATTGTTCATGATCTGGAAAAGGTTTATCGGCGGCAATTGTTTCATGAGCAGCAAGAAGAATATGCCACGGATATTGAGTCCCAGGGAAGCCCTGGTCCAACAGCGAAGTTCGACGAGGACAGCACACCCATTCATTCAATGTCTGTCTCAACTTCGGAAGACGAAGACGCCGGGTTGTCAGTCCGCGGAGTGGACGTCCGAGAGCTCTTGTTGGGCGTACAGCCATCTATAATGAAGCATGCACCAATGCTTCAGTCTGCAGATACCCATGGTCAGAGTAAGGGCAAGAGCGATCCAGGTCAGTTCGCGGCTCCGAAATCGAATTCGGGATTGAGAGACGAGATTATCGATTTGATGCTGTCACGGTCTCAGGCTAGGCTTCGCAACATAGCAAAGAGCGAGAATCGAGAAGATTAGCGCGGTATAATACAGCTGGACTCGCCTTCGATTTCAGACTGTCAAGTGATCCCAACAACATCGTCTAAAGGTTGTGATGCAGAGGCGACAGAGAGGTCGCGGCGTCCTGAAGATATTTGGCCCAAGGACATTGGAATCGGCGCACTCATTGCATATCAAGTAGCTGCCAGCAGCACCACTGGATCCATAGCTCGTCTCCTTGAGCACGACGCAAACAATAGCACATGCGTGTCTCAACGCAAAGGAACTGGGTACATATGTTTCGGACCTCCACAAACGTATGACAGAGATATGAAGCCTGAGCACCGTGGCCTGTGTGTCCAACGACCTTTCGAAAAACCTTCTCACCACCGCCCTAGAAATCATGCTTTGCTCTTCATCCACTTTCTTCTCGCTCCTCCTCTCCCTCTCCCACCGCATCAGACGCCAGGATACTCCTCCCACCATCAGCCGTGACCCGGCCTCTGATCTTGACCGTGGCGTACCCGTCCTGCAGCGGTCTGAGATCGGGCTCGTTCTCGTTACTCTCATCTACGTCAAAGTACGCCTTGGTACAGAAGACCAGCGCCTCCCCTTGGCCCAGTCGGACAATGGTCTTGAAGACATCATCGCCGTTGTCGTTGTCGTCAATGTCACCGCCTCCTGCATTTCCCTTTCTCCGCCCCGCCAGCGCCGCCACGTGCCTCTGCAGCACCTTGTACCAGTCCGGCGACTGGAACTGGTGCACGATGGCCACGTTGCAGAGGTCGAGCAGCTTGGGCGAGATGGTCGGCTCCTGCGTCGCGATCACCACGCGCGTGGCCAGGTGGCGTTGCTGGCGGATGATTTGCACCAGGTCCTCGGAGAAAGCTTTCGCAGCTGGGGTCTCTGTCAAGAACTTTGGAGCAATGTCAGTTTTTTTCTCTTCTTTTTGTAGGAAAGTGAAAAGAGGGACATGAGTGGGCAGATGGGGTGTCACGATTCTTCTGTCTTTACCTTGTGCGCTTCATCCAGGGCAATGATGAGGGGACTCTTGCCTCGCTGGCCGAGGAAGATCTGCAGGAAGATGGAGAAGAGCATGCACGCGTCGGTCTCGGTGATGAAGGGACAACTGAGGTCGACGATCGAGATTGTCTGAGGACTGAAGTCGATGGTTCTCGCTCGGGTTCGGATGGCCGGCGCCGCCGTCTCCTTCAGGAACCATTCGATCAGGCTGTAGCGCATTTCGAGGAAGGACATTTGCGACGGCGTCAACCCTTCTTTCGTGACCGCCCACTTCATCTCTTGGTACTTGACGCCCGCGGTCGTGGTGTCCTTGAGCGACAGCTGCTTGAGCACTTTGTTGACAATGGCCATGTACAAGGGCGGGTTCTTGTCCTCGCTGTCTACGGCCATGAGCGCTTTGAGGTTCGCGACGTTGAGCTGCCTCTCGCTGAACAGGAACGGGATGACTTTCGGCCTCGGCGCGCCGGATGGCCAGTTCGGCAAGTTGCGGTAGAGGCGTTTCATGGCGTTCAGGTTCGAGGGTGAGACGAGCACTTGCACCTTGATGCCCTGCGAGCTGAGGTAGGCGGCTTCGCAGACCTGCGTGGCGCTGGGAGACGTGAATTTGTCGTAGTGGAAGACGAGTCCAGACATGGGCATCGGATTGGGACCCATGCTGCCATCGCTGATGAGGGCGTTTTCGAGCAAGCACGACATGGTGTGACTCTTGCCGGCGCCTTGTTGGCCACAGATGAACGTCGACCACGGATGCTGCATGTTGGCGTAGATGAGATTGTCCTGCCCGGGAAGATCTTGCTGCATCGTCGTCGCGCCGTCTGACCCGTTGATCGCGCGCGTCCGGAGCCCTAAGAGTCCGTATGCTGGGAGTCTTGGGCCCTGATCGTCGTCTTGTGTCCAGGCGTTGAGGCATTTCTTGACCTTGCTCGAGAACAGGGGTGCTGCCTCCAGCTCGCGAAGAAGGGCGGGGGACAGTCTGTTCCCGCTACCGCTACCGCTGCCATTGCCGTTGCCACTGTTATTGGTGTCATGTACCGAGGCGAATAGAGCAAGGTGTCTGACTGTCTCCTCGTCCGGGCCGTCCGAGTTGCTGTTTTGGCTCGGGTTTGATGGTTCAGAGCTTTCGGGACTGGTTTGGCGAGCCATTTTGGCCGATGTGATAGGAGATGCGATATGGAAGTGTTGCAAAAGACTATGGAAATAACTTGCCAGATAGATGAAGCAGAGATATCCTGCCCATATTTCTTTCGCGTTACCTTTGCTTGGGCGGGGAAAAGAGAAAGGAAAGCAAACATGGCTCATACATCAAACATTGCTTCCAGTATCAGTTCGTTCTTTTGTGCCGGGCGGTGTCAACAATGGGGAGAGCGGTAGGCAGAAGTTAGTATACACACAACTGCTGCGTTCAGTGTCACTGGTAAAGAAAGAGAAGAAAAAGACGAACAAGGCCGGTAAGATTGCACACGCGCCACGGTAAACAGACCATGGGGAAATTTGTTGAGGGCTTTGTCATGACAGCACACTATTTGTCTCCACGCCGGGAACTGGCCTTGTTGAAAGAGTCACGCAAAAAGAGGAAGCGGTCTCAACAGACAGTAGCTAGTAGGCGCAAAATGTAGGCCTCAGACGCAGTAAACAGCTCAGCAATCTTTCCGCCACCACCTTGTGAAAAAAGGAGATGGCATGCATGCTTTGCACACCTTTTGTAACTTCACTTCGAGTGACCCAGTTGATGGGAATCAAGCAAACTTCCGAGTCTGCACTCATCCAATCTGACCGACCCAGAAAGGCTGTGGTGGCAGCCTGACTTATCGCCTTTTCGTGAATGTGCCCGCGGCATACGGCAGGGCGGTCCACTCGAAATGCGTCTTGACGTCGACGGCCTCCCACGGAGCGGCCTTCTTGACCACGGCAGGCGTGTCGCGATCCATGTTGCATCCACCGAGGAAGAACTGCCAGCCGAGCAGGTGGTAGACCAGTTGTGCCAGACGACCCAGGACGCTGCCATTCTTGGTCCAGGGGTTTCGAATGTGCTCGACAATCAGCAGCTCGCCGCCCGGTCGCAGGAGGGAGTACAGCTCGGCGACAGTGTGCTCCAGGTTAGGGACCGAGCATAGCACGCGGACGCACGCGATGGTGTCGAACATGCCGTTGGGGGAGGGCTTGACGCCTTCCTTGGCCAGAGCGGCCAACAGTTCGGCCTTGTCGGCGGAGCAGTGGAGGATGTGGTATTTGCCGGTGAGTTTGGCTTCGTCGATCCGAAGTTGCAGGGTGCTGTGAAGACCAGGCGTCGGCTCTGCCCCGTAAACGGCGCTAATGTTGGGGTTGTCGGAGAACAACGATACATAGGTCCCCGAGCCTGGCCCGATGTCCAACACCACCCCGTGCGCACGAGATAGGAGCGGCGGAATTAATGTTGCCGAGCCCTGGGGAGGCGGAGGCGGGTCGACAGGTGCTGGAGAGAAAAATGCAGTGAATACCTTGACCCTGGGATTTCCTCCGCCCACTCCTCTTTCTCATTTTGCTCATGGCCGGAAACCCAACGTACCTGTGACTTTGGTCCAGAACTTTGAGAAAGCATCGTCCCGCACTGTCTTGAAATTACTCGCCGTGGGGAGGTTGAACTGGAGGATATAGAACTGAAAGGCCGTGGTGATGAAGGCTGCCACATGCTGTCAGAGCCTGGGAAATGACACAGAGGGGGAATAGGCACCTACAAATGGCGCTGGGAACGAGCAGAAAGGACGGTTCAAGCAGGTTGAACAGCCGTTGTTGGAGAGGCGGCCACGGCATCTTGACGGTACAGGTGTGGGTTGCCTTCACAGGTTGAGGTGGGTTCCTTCACACTGGGGGAATTGGAGAGTGATATATATATATACAGGAGAAAAGGAACTTGGCACCGTTAGGGCCTTTGAATTACATATTGTTGGGGTCAGCTTGCTGAGGGGGGAAAAGAGTGTGACTTGACCGAGGAACAAGATGAATGCTGAATATCTCATCTACGCGGTGCAGCACTAGCTCCCACAGTAATAATAGCAGGAGACATTTCGGCCGACGCCCTCCGATGGTCCAGTGCCTGCCAGTGTGAGTGTGAGTCTGACTGTCATTACATCGCCTTGGCAAACCCCGTCAAGTCACAGAAAGTCTTGGCCTCAGCCTCGTGACCCTCCAGCCTCAGCCTTGTAGTGGGATACAAGGCTGACATCTTCCTTGGCACAGCCTCGTTGTCGCTAAACCCCGCCTTGCAACGATGACATGGACACCGACAACCTCATCTCAAGATATCCGCACATCACTCTGGGAATTTGTATACATGCCCGAACGAGAATGTCTCGCATACTGGATCTGGTGAGGCTCGAGGTCCCCACGAGGGGTAAATATGGGTACGCGAGGACTTTTCGACCTTATCGCACACCCCCGCACCAATGCTTTCTCCCCAATCACCACAACACGCTTGCAAGAGCTTGATTATCAGACCATACAGCATTACTAACAGTTGCCAGGACCCCGCGGTGGATGCTAAGGGTTGCTCATCCGCCATAATACATCACCACTTGATATCCTCCCTCCTACCCTTCGTCCAACCTCACACAGGCCACCTCCAAGACCTGGTCTGTCGTGCAACTGTTCCTGCAGCTGCCGTTGAGGTAGACGTAGAAGGAGAAACAGGAGGAGAAGAGCACGAGCGGGAACAGAACAAAACAGGAAACTAATTCGTACTGGAAAGACTTTCCTGGGAAGATGACGACTCCTGGCTCAATGGAGCAGCATGACTCTTCAACAACACCGGCAAGGAGCTCATGGAGATCACGGCTTCAAAAGCGGCGACGGGACATACATCGTCGCCTCTCTGCCCTCCATGACGGCATCCCGTACCTCCGCAAGCTCCCCCTGTCCGTCATCTTGATCCTCACGCTGCTGGTCCTGGTCAACCTGGTGGTCTGGGCGATATGCGGCGTGATCCTGTCCTCGCACACCCAGCTTCTCTCGACGGCAGCTTTGGCGTACACGTTGGGTCTCCGACACGCCCTGGACGCCGACCACATCTCCGCCATCGACCTGATGACCCGCCGACTCATCGCCACGGGCCAACGACCCGTGACCGTGGGCACCTTCTTCAGCCTGGGCCACAGCACCATCGTGATCATAACGTCGATCGTGGTCGCCGCGACCGCGGCAGGCATCGCAGGCCGGTTCGACAGCTTCGGCACCGTCGGCGGCATCATCGGGAATTCCGTCTCGGCGGCCTTCTTGATCCTCCTGGGCATCATGAACGCTTACATCCTGTACAAGCTGGTGGTGCAGATCCGAAAGGTCATCCGCATGCGGCCGGACCAGGAGGCCGCGGAGGCCTGGAAGATCGAAGGCGGCGGGTGTCTCTTCCGGGTGCTCAAGAAGATGTTCAAGCTCATCGACCGCCCCTGGAAAATGTATCCCCTCGGCGTCCTCTTCGGCATGGGCTTCGACACGAGTTCCGAGATCGCCCTTTTAGGAATTAGCAGCATCCAGGGTGCAAAGGGCACGAGCATCTGGCTGATTCTGATCTTTCCCGTCCTGTTCACCGCTGGAATGTGCCTTGTTGACACGATCGACGGTGCTTTGATGATGAGTTTGTACGTTGCTCCGATGGGCATGGGCACGAGCAAGAAGGACTTTGAAATCCAGAGCCACGGAGTTCCCGAGCAGATCCTCGACACGACAACACCAAACGACGAGCCGCTGATCCTGGTCGACGTTGAACAATCAGCTGCTATCCAGCCCGCGACGTCGGAACAGCCACAGCCACAGCCACAGCAACAAGAACAAGACTCGCCACAGCAACAAGAACAAGACTCCCCACAATCAGCACCACCGGCCCCCAATACAGCTCGCGTGAAAGATCCCCTGACATTTCTGTACTACTCGATCGTCCTGACCTCCCTGACCGTGCTTTGCGCCATCATCATCGGCATGCTGCAACTGCTCTCGCTGGTCCTCAACGTCGCCAACCCCAAGGGCGCGTTCTGGGATGGCGTCGCAAGGGCAGGAGAGCTGTACGAGATCATCGGCGGCGGCATCTGCGGCAGTTTTGTCGTCGTCGGCGGCATCAGCGTGCTGTGCTACAAGCCTTGGAGGAGATGGGTGGACCGGGAGCGGGCAAGACTGGGAGTCACTAGAGATATTGACGTTGATGACTACGACGACAACGACGACGCGAGGAGATATGCTCAGAACCCTGCGGATACGTCCGGCGGACGAGAAGAGGACGACGATCTAGAGCAAGGCGCCGTCTTCGTCCGCGAGGAGGAGCTCATCCATGGCAAGGATACGCACGCGCACCGGGAGAGAGTGGGCGGCAAGGCTTTCGACAACAATGGCTCGACTGCGACGGCCCAACCTGCAGGTGGCAGTGGAGCAGGTCGTCGCAGCTGAAACACTCACTCTACACACTAGAGCTGCCCTTTCCCTTCCGCACGAAGCCCGCCGCAGCCCTAGCCCTAGCCTCAGCCAGGAGAGACATACTGGTACTCGCACTCGGATAATTACGTGGTATTTATACAGGAAAAAAGACGTCCAGGAATGGCAAGTGCGCAAAAGACAACCCCCAAGATCCATGCATGCATGCATAATCCATGATTTCATGATCCATATAAAAAGAAAACCCTTGAGACAGAAAAAAGACATACAAAGGGGCCTGAATGACATATAGCACATATAGTCTTAAAAAACCGACGACAGCAGCATCGTCCTGGATGAGTTGGGCCCCTGATAACCATATCCAATAATCATTGAGACCCGGGGCAGTACGTTACGGATTTTCTATAACTTTCGTACGTGCGTGACAGCGTGTGTGTGTGCGTGTGTGTGCCGTAACCATTTCTGAATGTCCCCTGACCACACCTGCAGATGCAAAAGTCCCAAGTATACGATATACGATGGTGATATCTCGTGTCAAATTAATTCGTGATGCATGCACAAAAAGGATGGATGGGTGGGTGGATGGAGCTGCATGCTTGCATCGCGCCCTTCTGAGAACCCTCGGGTGCTCTAACCTTATGTCAGATTGATGCCATGTTCCCTTTCGATGTCTTGAGGCTTAGAACCCCGAAGATGCCGAAAGTGACATTTGGCTTATACCGTTGGTGAGGGAGCCATTGACGCCGTTTTCGTGGGGCGAGTGAATGCCATCGCCGTTCCCATTCAGCGACTCGTTCCGGGCCTTGACGGCAGAGAATGCCTGCTCCAGCATTCCCGCGCTCGCGGCCACAAAGCCCAGATAAGGTGGACTGGGTCGGAGCACCCGACTCAGGTACTCGGGATGGAACTGGACACCCACAAAGAACGGATGGTCCTTCAGCTCCATGACTTCCATGCGCTCGCCCTTGTCGTCCTTGCCGATGAATGTCAAGCCGGCATCGGAGAGGCGGGTGATGTACTCGGGGTTTACTTCGTAGCGATGACGGTGCCGCTCGTTAATGCTAGGCTCGCTGTTGTACAGTTTCCGCAGCCGCGACCACTGGGTGTTCTCCTGGAAGATCGTTGGGCGCAGACCCAGCCGCATGTTGCCGCCCATGGTCGTCTTGTCGATTTCCGGCATGAAGACGACCACGGGATCCGGCGTCTGTGCGTCTAGCTCAACCGAATGAGCCGACTTTAGGCCGCACATGTTGCGGGCATACTCGACGACAGCGACTTGCATGCCCAGACAAATTCCGAGATATGGCTTAGGTTTTGTTCGAGCCCAGTTGGCAGCTGCGATCATCCCTTCAGTACCACGATGTCCGAAGCCACCAGGAACCAGAACACCGTCGGCCGTGCATAGCTCGTGCCAGGCCTTGTGGTATTTCTCTGGATTTGAATCCAGTGTGGATTTTTCGAGATTGCTTGCGTCGACCCAGACAAGATTGAGTTTGCGCCGGCAGGCCATAGCACTGTGTTCCAGAGCCTTGATGACGGAGAGATAAGAGTCGTGAAGGTTTGTGTATTTGCCGACCAAGGCGATATTGACTTTCTCCGACTCCAGGAAGCGATCTTGAGAGGTTGTCAATCGCTTCCATTCCTCCCATATTTGCTGGCCTTTGGTGACCAACGAAGGTGCAATCTTGTATGCGTCGAGACGGAAGAGCTCGCGGAGCTGGTCAGGCAGACCTTGTTGCTCGAGGAGGAGTGGCACATGGTACGTCGACTCGACGTCGTGGACAGCTAGGACTTGCGAAGGCTCAACTTGACAGAACATGGCAATCTTGTTCGTCGTAGCCTCGACAAGTTGTTCCTGGCAACGGCAGGCAATCTGGTCTTCGTTAGTGCCTAGCGGCGAGAGGGTACACGAGAAATTTGAATTACCAAGTCAGGTGCCAGACCGAGTGAGCGTGCATCCCGGATGGCTTGCTGTGTGGGCTTCGTCTTCTGCTCACTGCCAATGACCGGCACCAACGAAACATGGATGTGGCAGAAATTGTCGCGACCTGCTCTTCTCCGCAGCTGCCGCATAGCCTCGATGAAAGGGGCACTTTCGATGTCACCTACCGTCCCGCCAAGCTCGATTATGCACACATCCGGCTGTTCCTTTGTATCATCCACGGGAATCCTTGCAACTCTTTCAATCCAGTCCTGGATCGCATTGGTGATGTGAGGGACGACCTGGACAGTCTTGCCAAGGTAGTCTCCTCGTCTCTCACGCTCAATGACATGCTGGTACACTTTCCCAGTCGTGATGCTGTTCTCGAAGGTCAAGGTAACGTTGAGATATCGCTCGTAGTTTCCGAGATCAAGGTCGACCTCGCCGCCATCGTCCAGGACAAAACACTCCCCATGCCTGCAAAAGAGTTAGACAGACGTGTGAAGGCGGTCTCAAAGTCTGCATACTCGGTGGGGGCCATAGTTCCTGCATCCACGTTCAGGTATGGGTCGATTTTGATGGCCGTGACCTTCAAGCCCACAGTCTTGAGCAGAAGGCCCGTCGACGACGCAATGATGCCCTTCCCGATCCCGCTGATGACACCACCGCTCACGAGAACGTACTTCATCTTGAACAAGTGTGTGTAAGAGACGTAGCGGGGAGTAGGGGAGGGAGTAGGACTATTGGTCGAGTCCTGTGCGAGATGCCTCTCAGATAGTCGAGGGATAACTCTGGGCCGGGTCCAAAGGTGTGTGCAGACCCAATAGACGCCTTTGGGACTGGTCTCGTGCTTGATGCTGAAGACAACAATTTGGAGAGTCAAACGCAGGGGTCCGTCGCTGGCTGTCGCCAGGCGGGAGGAGAGGGAAAATGGGTGGAAAATTGCAAGATTCGATGCAGCCAAAAACTGCGCCGGGGATCCACAGGCACGTCAGGCACGTCGATGGCTTGGCGTTGTTGACGCGGTCGCGTTGCACTTTACGCGTGAGCGATACAAACACTGCAGACCGACATCGAGCAACGCCTCTTCTGTCATACTTCACGTACTCATACAATAATCCCCTGGCACTAGCTCCAACGACATCGTAAGATCTCGCACGTCATTCGTCATCATCATCATCTATCACTGAAACTCAAGATATCGTCCTACCTTCCCCCAGCGACGATAGGGCTCACTGCGTCTGGCTCTCAATGAAATCCAATGCATTCTCCTTCGACTCTTCACGAATGCTGCTCACATTGTTGCCGAAGCGCACGCCGAAACACTTGTCAGCCACCCTCAGCATTTCCGGTCTGAATGTTGTGCAGATGAACTGGCCCCCCAGCGGTGGCTCGCCGCCATTGACGGGTTCGTCATCGGCCCTATTGGCAAGGTACAAGATGTGGTCGGCCACAGCGGTTCGGTACTGCGCGTCGAGGTTTGCGTCAATCTCGTCGAAAATGTAGAACGGTGCTGGGTCAGTGGCTTGGATAGCGAAAATGAGGGCAAGACTGCAAAGACCTAGGGATCGAAGTTAGCCGAGAGCCATCCTCAGAATCAGTAGCGTTCTTACTTTTCTGGCCACCACTCAATTGTTGTATACGCTGCTGGTCGTCATGCTTGCTATTGAAGCTGACGCTGATTCCCACGCCGGTATAGTTCTCTACCCCTCGCTTGTTGACAGGCTCAGCATCCGATTCTTCGTCTTCGTCTTCAGCTTGCCTATTGTCGGTTTTCCGTTGAATGATCAATCTGCCTTGACCAGCAGGGACAAGTTTCTGGAACACTTCTGCAAACGCCTTGCTGACCTGCTTGAAAGTGCGCTCAATGGCTTCGTCCTTCCGCTGATCAAGAACTTGGATCAGGTTTTCGATGGACTTCTTCCCGGCCTCGAGCTCCGTTCGTCTTGCGGTGAGATCTTCCCGCTGTTGCAGCGAGTTTCGATAGTGCTCAAAGGCATGCTTGTTGACGGAATTGTATTTCTTCAGGGCTTCCTTGGCTTTCTGGAGCTTCTTCACAATAGCGTTCGAGTCAGTATGCTGGTACTTCTTCCGCAAGTCCTCAGGGATGGCGCCGAGTTCGCGGATGTTCTCCACAGTTTCGCGCTTTGAGGCCAACAGCGCAGCCTTCATCTGGACAGATTTCTCCAGCCGGCGCTGGTGGCGTTCGATCGCCTTGGTCAATTCTTCTTGTTGGCGTCTGATCTCGGCGGCTTCAGCCTCGAGCTCTGCGACCTGGGTCGCCGAAGTCTCCAGCTTGTCCTCAAGCTCGTCCAGATACCCTTGGACAGAGGTCAGCTCTTTAGTCAAACGTGCCAATTCCGTTCTCTTCGCGCGTAAGTGGGAAGAGCTGCCGGCTTCTTCGTCCACTTCATCAGTCTCGAGCGCCGCAAGCTGAGGTTTCAGGCTTGAGTTCAACCGAGCTTCCAAGTCCGCCTTTCTGGTTTCAGTCTCAGCTCTTGACGCCGCCAATTCGTTGTATTCGCGCCTCAATTTCTGTATGCTGACCGCTAGGCTCTCTAGCTGCCTCTCTTCGGCTGCACTCAGTGCTTTCTTAAAGTCTGAGCTCAACTCAGCTTGGTAAGCGGATTGTTGATCAGTTAGGATCTTGACGTTGGCGGCTATCGACGCCTCTTGTTTCTGTTTTGCCTCGAGGTCTTCTTTCTTGCGTTGTAGCATGTCCATCTTGCTTCTGATCTCTTGCCTGAGCAAGACCTGGTTGCCTTGAGCTTGGTTCTTTTGTTGCTCGAGTCTCTGAACCTCGCTCATGGCTTTGGTGATCGTCTGGTCGATCTTTTCGATCTTCCTCTTGTTGTCTTTGCCCTCTGCCTTGACTGCTTCGAACTTCTCCCTCGCTGCCATTACCGCCTTTGTTGCCTTGAGCCTCGAAGAGCGGATATCGTGGTAGCCACCGGTCAACGCACCTTTCTTGTCAGATCGGTCGCCCTCTGGGGTCACCGCTGTCAAGCCATGAGTTCTAGCATATTGCGCTGCGACGCTGAGGTTCTGTGCAATGATGGCTTTACCAAAGACTTGCTGGACGGCTGGCTCGAACCTCTCGTCGTAGTTGATGAGAGACATGAGCGGTCTTGCGTCTTGCGCGTTGGGAAAGTTTGCTGTTTTAGGCTTCAGTCGGTTCAACGGCATGAAAGTAATTCGACCAGCGCGCTCCCGGTTCAAGATCTCCATGACCTTGCTAGCCGTATCGTCATTGTCGACCACGTAATGAAACAAAGAATTTCCCGCGGTGACTTCCACGGCTGTGTGGTGTTGAGGAACGTCAATCAGCTCAGCAAGCGGACCATAGCAACCTTCCAGATTGTATTGCTCCTTTATGCGCCGAATCGCGTCCATACCCCGGCTGGTGTTGCCATCCATCATGTGCGAAAGATTGCGTTCGGCTTTTCTGAGGTCATCCAGAGCCCCTCCGTATTCTGAGTCCAACTGCGCTTCTCGGCGCCACAACATTCTTCGCTCGTCCATCAGCGCGTCCTTTTTCTCATTGGCCGCTTGGATATCTTGGTCAATGGAATGGTCCTGCACGCCAATTCGCTGCTGGAGGTTTTCTATCTCCTTCTCGAGAGTGGCAATCTGCTTTTCATCGTCTGCAATGCCCTCGGCAGTTTGCATGCGAGTGGCTTTGAAACGGGACAGAGACTGGAATGTCTCGTCGATCTGTGTTTGGAGCCAGTTGTCCCGATCTTTCTTTGACTTGAATCGAGCATTTCGCCCTTGTTTGGCGTAGAGACGCTGCTGCGTGGCAGTCGCTTCCTCCAGCCGAGTTTTGACGGCCTGTTCTTTTGCCCTCTCCGCCTGGAATTGTGGGATGACGGTGCTCAGTTCTTGTTCGATCTCCTGGATTTGCGCTGCAACCTGTTTCAGCTCTCGATCGCGATCGTGCTTGGCACGTTGAGCCGCGGCTTGTCCGTGGACTAGATTTCTCTCTTCCAACTCGACTTGGGCTCGTGCTCTTGTCTTCTCTCGCTTTTCGTCTTCGTATTGTCTCTTCTCAAGCCGTGCGGCCTGAATTTGATGGTTGAGTTGCTGGATTTGCTGAGAAATCCTGGCGAGCTCGTCCTCTCCTTGTGCGTAGCGTTCCCGATTTTCGTCGACCTCGTCGATCCCGCCCACTCTTCGATCTTCTAACTCTGCCAACGCCCTGTTGATCTCATCTTGCTCTCGGTGGAAGAGAGTGTACTCTAGTGCACGCTTTTCGCGGTCCTTCTCTTGGAAATCTCGGAGCTCTGCTTGCTCCTCTTCGAGTTCCCGGAGACGTTCTTCGATCTGCTCAAAAGTTTGATCAATGGCGGCGAGTTTATTGTTGGTGTCACTCATGATCTTCTGGGACTCCTCCTTTTTGGCGACGAATTGGTGTGTCCCTGCGACGCTTTTCAGGACCTCCAGCCGCTCGGAGTCTTTCATGTTTGTCAGTCTAGTGATGCGACCTTGAGGGACGATATAGTATGGGTTTGCGCGCGAGAATCCCGCGTTCTCAAGGAGCTGCATGACATCGTGTTTGCTCGCATTCTTGCGGTCGAGGGAATATTCATCTTTTTTGAGGCCAATTGTACGGCGCAGGATGAGCTCGTCGTTTCCGGTTGGGAATCGCCCATCCGTGTTATCAAACACTATCTCCACGTAGGCAGACATGACCGCGGAACCGGACCCTTCGTGGACAAGGGCTTGTCGCTCTTCGCGTCCCGTGTGTGAATATGCATCGCTAAGAACGAACCGGATGGCGGCGAAAAAGTTGCTCTTGCCTGAGCCATTGCGGCCGACGACGACGTTGAGTTTCGGGGAGAAGGGGTTGACAACTGTCTGATTTTTGTAGCTGTAGTGATCGATTAGGACTGCTTTCTGGACCTGCGCTTGGGCGTTTCTCACCTTTTGAAGCCCTGGATGGTTATCTGCTTGATATACATGTTGCACAGATGGGATTTTGACGAGTTATGGGTTTCGAGAGGCGTGCGCGCAACAGCGCTGGGGAGGTGACAATCGCGAAGGATTGTTGAACGGCCCAAGCGACGCGAGGCTGCAAATGAAGGACACGCGCGACTCCTCAATCGTAAATCGAGACTAATCCTAAAGAGAGCTAGTGCCGAGAGTTATGTAAGCTCTGACTAGTGCTTCACGTGATGACCCACCGCGCCACCTGCCTTTTAGGTTCTATTCGCACATCTACTCGGTATATCCTCCCGTCAATGATGTTGTATTATTATTCCTCATATTAGTACCTAAGGTACCTAGTAAGGGGAGATCTCCCGTTTATCTACTACTCGCTCCACCTCTAGACTCAACACAGGGACCCTGATTCCACAAACGGGCTCCGTGCAATCTAGCATGTCTCATTCTCCTCTTGAGCTGAGGTTACCTCCACCGTCAGGTTTAAACAGCTTTGGTGTGATTAGGACAGAACTTCCCGAGACAACGCCAGCTCAGACTTAATCAGACATCAGGCGGAACGATGGCTATAACCGTACGAGGTACAGCAGCTCACGTCTTCCGTAAACCAAGACGGGAAACTGGACCGGCCGGATATCCAGCCAAGGAAGTCTTAGGCCCACCATTCAGGCCCAAAGTGCTACGCAGACACCCAGCCATGGCCCAGGTAAGGTTTCCACGACTAATAGCCTTCTCCACAGACACGGATCAATTCCAAATGTTGGACTGTCACCTGTGGCCCAACTTCTGTATAAATGGAATGGCAGACCCCCGGTAAGTGATGTGCTCATTCTTGCTGGAGTCGGCTCAGTTCTGCATATCCCACCTCAATTCCGTCTGTCAATCATCGAACCATGGGTCCTGCGCCCAAGTTTACTATCCCTCAAGAATTTGAGGATCGTCTGCGCTATGTGGAACCTGTTGATCAGCGCTCTGATGAGGACATCCTGGCCTCGTTAGAGGAGTACAAGCCTGTCACATCCGAAAAGAATATCTGGGCCTTCTGGGACAAGGGCATTCGCTCGATGCCAAGCTGGTGCCAGCGTAACATCGTCAGTTGGGTCCGACTCTGCGGACCATCGTGGACAGTCCGCATCCTCGACGCCGTACCGGACTCGCCGACCACTGCCCTCAAATATGTCTCGGCCGACCTTCTTCCCCAATCATTCGTTACTGGCACGATGACGGGAATATATACTGGCCCTCATAGTTCTGACTTCCTCCGAGGAGCATGCTTATATTCTCATGGGGGAGTCTACATGGATACTGGAAACATCTTGATTCGTGACATTGACAGGATTTGCTGGAACCAGCTGGCAGACCCCAATTCACCTTTTGAGGTCTGTGCTCCAATCATGTATGGAACGACCATGGCAAACCATTTCGTTGCGAGTCGTAAGGGCGATCCCTTTATCAAATGCTGGTAAGTGACATGCAAGACCGATCGACGATACGCTAACGACAGCTTTTGTAGGCACGACCTGTTCGTGTATTTGTGGAAGGATCGCCAGAATCACGAAGGCTTGATTAATCATCCCTTGGTCTCCTTCGCCTTGAGCCACACGTTCGAGGCAGCAGAACAGGCAAATTTCGGTTGGGATTTCAAGGTGCAGCCGCAAACGGTGATGGAGTACATCAGCCAGGTCCTGTCCTGGCAGAGACTTTGCATGCTGGAGAATGCCAGAGATGGCTTCAACGCGACCGAATACTGGTTGAACAAGGTCCTTATCTTCGACGCGCTGCAGGAAGACTGGGGCGCGGAGGCGACGATTGGGTTTGGCGGTCAGGTTTTGTTCAATGCTCTGGCCACAAGACTGGACGCCCCGAAAGACTCCGAGGAATACAAGACGGCATACAAGCTGGTCTGGCGTCTTCTGACAGAGTCGAGTTTGCAAAAGATCACCCACGGAAAGAATCTGACCAAGACGCCCGCGGCAGGTGTTCTCTGGGAAGAGCCAGGCAACGAAGACAAAGACCACGAACCAGGTACCTTTGCCGAGCTCTTCCGGTATGGCACCGTCCACTTCCAACAGACGAGAGAGAGCATCCGGTATCTAAAAGCTGAGAAGCCACCAGTGACGTCGAACAAGGGACTTCTCGAGCCTTAGAGCCGAGCAGCCTTGCAGACGCCGCTTGAATAAGTCCGATATCTGCGAGAGTTTGTGCTTTGTGCTGCATTCCATACTCGGCAAATCAATAGCCTTGTCAAAACACCGAGAAGGACGATTCCTCAAGCGAGTCCGTGCCGACATCGGCGCATCCTCCATTCACCTCCATGGAAGCACCGTGCATCCGAGGAGCGGAGCTTCTGGGCGCTCCGCCCCCGAGCGATGAGTACTTTTTTTTAATCTGATAAGATCATCAATGACCCCCTTTTCCCTCTCTGCCTTGTCCAACGTTGCAAATGCGTGTCGCCTCTCCAAACATGTTTGCAAAATTCGTTTTCTGTCTCAGATTGCTCGGCTTCACTTTATCCCTCTCCTTTCAGAGGTTGTGCATTTATCTATCCACAAAGATCCACCGATTGCGGTACCACTCCGTCCCCGACCCGCGCAACGTGGTGATCATCGGCGGCTCCTTCGCCGGGTATTTCCTCGCCAAGCGACTCTCCGAGTCCCTTCCCACGGGTTACCGAGTGATCTTGATCGAGCGACATTCCCATTTCCACTTCACATGGAATTTCCCTCGCGCCACCGTCCTCGCGGGCCAGGAGTCCAACGCCATCATCCCTTACCCGCGCGGCCACGGCCCACGGACCTCGCCCGAGGGAGCATACGTGTTCAAGCAAGGCGCCGTCGCGGCCATCGAGACCGGCAAAGTCATCCTGCAGGACGGATCGGAGATTCGCTACGAGTACCTCGCCATCGCGACGGGGTCGCGGTCGCGGTATCCGGCAAAGCTCGACGCGGACGCGGACGCCGACACAAAAGCGAAATGCCTGAGATTCTTCCGTGAGGAACAAAAGCGCATCGTGGCCGGCCAGGACATTGTGGTCGTTGGCGGTGGTGCCGCGGGCGTCGAAGTCGCCGGGGACATCAAGAGCAAGTATCCGCGGAAAAACGTCACGCTGGTGCATTCTCGGGAGAGGTTGCTCAACAGCTTCGACGAGGAACTCCATGGTATCGCGCGCAAGGCCCTCGAAGAGCTGGGCGTCCAGCTGTGTTTGGGTGAGCGGGTGGTTTGGGGTCTGGACGGGCAGGATTGCAGGGAGGTCAGGCTTCGCAGTGGCAAAGTCATCCAGTGTGATGTGGTGGTGAGCAGCATTTTGTACCCTACCCTGTCAATCTCGCTCTTATATCCTTCCCCCTCACCTCTCTAACCTAAGCTAAGCTACCCTCCTTCCAGATCCAATGCACAGGCCAAACCCCCAACTCGACCCTCCTCAAATCCTTCTCCCCCTCGTCCGTATCCGCCACGTCGGGCGCCATCCTGGCGGACAAGAACCTGCGCGTCCGAAACACGCCGCCGACCGCCAACATCTTCGCGCTGGGCGACGTGATCGAGCTGCCCGGCCACGCTGGTCCGAAGATGGGCCGCGCCGCGACCATGCAGGGGTTTTTGGTCGCGGAGAATATTGTGCGGCTGATTCGAGCGGAGCAGAAGCAGAAGCAAAAGGAGAAGACGGAGATGAACAAGACACCGTCGTCGCCGGCGTTGAACTTGAAGGAGTATACGCCGTCAATGATTGATTCGTCCATCGAACTGACCTTGGGCTTGGTAAGTCATGATGCCTCGCAAATGCTATTTTGCGGCTTTGCTCCCCCCCCTCCAACCCTTCTTTTCCTTTCCATCCCATTTACACAGCCCCTTATCCTATCCCTACGCATATCTGGATCCTCCTATTATTTCCCCGCAGGAAAACATTCCCAGCCTACCCCCGTACACCTTCCTCGTTGCCTCTCTACACATTTCCACCTTCCTAACTCGTCTACGTCTCGCCGCCGGCACGCAGGGCAAAAGCGTCATGTTCATCAGCGACGGGCGGCAGAATATGTCCTTTGCGAAGGACATGTCCGACGAGGCCTTGCACGCCGCGCAGGCATGGAGGATGCTGGATGCGCGGCCGTTCGTCGATCCTGGGGACAGCGCAGCAGGGTCAAGTTCAAACTCAGCAGCAGCAGCAGGAAAGACATAGCTTGCTTCGCTATAATACCTCTTCGGTTCACGGCTTCGTATGTCTGTCGGTGGGCGTGGTTTTTATTTTCTGGCCTGAACATCAAGGGAGTCCGAGGGCGGCTCGTCGGTAATTGAGAGGAAATTAATATACCTACGGCGAGATCGTGTATATTCATGTGCAAGGGTATGTTCTGCAAGTGTATTCAAGATCGCCTCCTCCTCCTCTCGACCGATCAATGGTGCAAAGTCCATTTTCCAATTCCCCTCCCTAGGTTGCGGCCTCTGGCGCCGAAAGCACCACAGGCCTCAATGACACCCGATACTTGACCAGCTCCGGATCCTCATACTGCGCCATCCACATGGGATCCATGGTGATCTCCCACTGCTTCATCCGGCTGATCAGCTGCGCCTGGGGATCCTGCAGGGCCTTGTACATCCGCGCGTCGGCTTCCTTCTTCTCCGGCGTCGCCATGGCCAGCCATCGCTCCATCTTGTGCTCCCGTGCCACATCGTCGATCTCCCATATCCCCAAGGGATCGTCGCTGTATCCGCCCAATTGACACATGCGCTTGTTTTCAATGGAGAATTCATTCGTAAAGTTCAGCCACTTGTCCCGACGAGCTGCGGCCCACGTGTCAAGCAGTGACTCTGGGGCTTGGCCGTTGATGACGGCGCCGAGAGCGCGCCCTAGAGGTCCAGCATCCAGCAGACCCGTTGTCAGCCCTAGACCTCCAATGGGATTGTTACTCTGGAGTGTGTGTCAGCGGAATCGTCAAGAACCCAGGGAAGGATAGAAAATCTCACATGTGCAGCATCACCCGCCAACAATAACCGACCTAGTCTGAAAGTCTGCGCGCACCTCTGATGCGGCTTGTACTTATTCAACTGTACCAACTCGTATTCCACCGGCCACACAGGGAAGATATGTTTGTAGTGCTCATCAAGCTCGGCACGTATTTCGTCGTTCGTCAAGCCCGCTCTGACACCAAACGCCACCCGCCACAGTCCTGTGTCGTCGAGAATTGTGACCACCGCCCAGTGAACCGGGTCCATGACCAGATTCGCTGTATGAAATCCATGTTTAAAGAAGTCAAACCGCACATTGGTGGCCACAAAGTCTTCTTTGGGCCAGGAGAAACCTTCAAAGGGGATGTTGGACAGTTTGCGAACACTAGAACCGGCGCCATCTGCTCCTACCAGCCAGTCGCAGGTATAGTAAGTCTCTTGGTTGGTGGTGGGATCCACAGCGGTCAAGGATACCAGAGTCTGCTTCTCGTCCTGAGAGACCTCAATGACTCTTTGATTAAATCTCACTTGCGAGTTATATTTAGTTGTAAGATGGCGCAGGAGTATCGCGGCCAGTCGTGGCTGAGGACAATTGATGCCGGAAGGGAAGAGGCTGCCTCCTTCTCTCTTCTCCACATGGGCCACCTTTTTGCCTTTGATCCAGAATGCAATCACATCGTTGATGACAGACTCCTTTTTGACGTCGTCTAGAGTGCCTGTTTCGAGCAGTTCTGCTTGCGCACATGGTTGATACGATGCCGCGCGAGGCGATTGATCGACCTGATGATTCCTCTCAAGCACCAAGACAGGAACCCCGAGCCTTGCTAAATTAGTGGCGGTCGTTAGTCCGACTGGACCGCAACCGACGATGATGACACGATGGTGCTCGGCTTTGGATGGGCCAATTGAACCCATTTTGGGATTGTGCAGCACTCGAGCTGGAGAACAAGAAATTCCAAACAGAGCTTCAATGATGGTTTTGGGCGATATGTTGAATGGTCCTTTGCCGGTGAACCCACCTTCATGCGATCTAAAAACTTCTCCAAGGACCCCACAAACATCTTTCCCCACAATCGCCGGTTGTTGACCTTTCGAAGGGCCATCCACTTGGACAGGCGTAAGCCTAGGCCGTCGATTGACGAGGACTCCCAAGGCTATTGCCGATCTGATGGGAAACGGCAAATGCATCCACTCCACTTAAGTCAGTAGCTGAGCCCGAAACATGTGGGGTATCTCTGGGGTGACCATATGATCACCTAGGTATATCTTGTCTTTACCATTTATTGTCCTTGAGTTTGTGGTCCGTAGTAGTTATTCCAGTCATAAAGCAACAGCCATCATGGGCGAGCCAAGTGAACCGATGGTAGAGAGATTTCTCGGAGATCAACACGACTGCCAACCCGCGACCGACCCCAGGCGGAATCAAGAGCTCGCAGCTGCATTCAAAGACAAAAATGTTGTGATTGCTGGTGCCGGCCGCGGCATTGGAAGAGCTACCGCTGAGTTCTTTGCGCACACAGCCGCCAAATCACTGAGTTTGATGGCACTAGAGCTGCAAGAGGTGGATGAGACCGCCAATCTGTGCAAGAAGATCAACCCTCAGCTTTTAACCAAGACCGCCGCATTCGACGTCAAGGACTATCACAAAGTGCAGCAATTCATCGACGAGGTCGACCAGGAATTTGGGTCAGTTGACGTGGTCTTCGCAAATGCCGGCCGCCCACCACAATGGCTCGCAACTTACGAGTCGGATCCAACAGTGTGGTGGGATACCCTGGCGGTGTCGCTGCAGGGAGGCTTCAACTTCGCCCGAGCTGCACTTCCGATCATGCGGCGAGAGAAGAGCGGAAGGATCGTCTTCACATCAAGTGCCGGCGCTCATGTGAGCAACGGCATGGGCAGTTACGCGCTGGGTAAGCTGGGCCTGGTGCGTCTAGCTGAGATCCTGCACCACGAGAACAAAGACCACGGCATCAAGACATTCGCCATCCATCCCGGTGCCATTCCAACTCGATTCTTCACCGACTTCAAGGAGGCATCAGAGGGCAATATCAAGGAAGGCAGCTATGTGTCCAAGACCCTGCCGGGAGAAGACAAGTCAGCAAATATCGCAGTCAATTTCTTCAAAGATGTCACATGGGACACACCCCAGATGCCGGCAGGCTATGTGGTCTTGCTCTCCAGTGGACAGCTGGATTTCATGTCGGGCAGGTATATTGACTGTTCCAGAAAGGTCGAGACGTACCTGGCAGACAAGGACAAAATCATGGCCAAAGACCTACACCGGGTCAAGCTGGTGGTGGACTCGGACTGGTTTATTCCTCCTGCCAAAGAGGAGCAGGAATTTGGCGGGGCGTGACATCCTCCTCCAGGTGTGATCGTCTGGCAGGGCAAAGAATATGCGGCAGGTAATCCACATGAAATGGCAGTGCACAGTGAGAGACAGGGGAGCAAAGAGCAAAGATCAAAGAGCAAACGAAGAAGGGAAATGAAATGCCACACCCATTGTAATGATCCGCCGTACAGATACTAGTCCCTGGCTACGGTCGAGTATTCTTGGCATCAAAATGTGGTTCAAATGACGCATTTCAAGCGCCACTGTGATTTTCTTCGTGGCGACAGTCACTCGCATAATTTATTCTTCTCAAGGTCCCCAACGAACACTGAACTCCGCCTTCCAAATCTTCTCACAAACTGTCTGTCGCAATGTCAAGTGAACCCACCAGAGGCATTGCAGACGGCCTCACTCCTTCCCACACATATGTACCAAACCAAGGCTACGTAAGTGCGGATGTAGCACCGCCCCGCAGAAGAATAGCGCTGGGCCAATTTATTCAAGAAGATGATGACGACGACGTGGAAGACGATGAAGGTGCAGATGCAGAGGAAGACGACGATGGTGAAGAGGACCTGTACGCCGAAGCAGTGGACCGTGACCAGGTCCTGGATCCTGAGGACCTCGCAAACTCTAATCCCGCCGACCTGACAAAAGCATATAACCGCCGAAGACGCCTCGATGAAGCAACTTCAAACCCGAGCATACCCTCATGGCAGTATCCCAAAGCAAACCCCCAGCAAAAGTCGTCTCAAGGATCAGCCGCCAACATGCCCCGCGCAATGGATGCACTCTGGTTTCTCGAAATGGACGAAGTCGACAACCGCCCTCCCACCAACAAAGACAAGAGCGAACGGGCGACGGCAGAGCAAGTCCTGGACCCCAAAACTCGCATGATCCTCTTCTCGATGATCCAGAAGGGCATCGTCTCCGAGGTGCACGGGACCATTTCCACAGGGAAGGAAGCAAACGTCTACCACGCCGTCGCCGCGTCTGAGGATGACTCCCAAGAAGACACCCACGTCGCCATCAAGGTGTACAAAACCGCCATCCTGGTCTTCAAAGACCGCGAAAAGTACGTGACCGGCGAACATCGGTTCCGCAAGGGACACAGAACCAAGGACAACCGCGCGATGGTGAAGATGTGGGCGGAGAAGGAAATGCGAAATCTCAAGAGAATTCATGCAGCGGGGATCCCTTGTCCTGAGCCGCTCTACCTTCGACGGCACGTCCTGGGCATGAACTTTATTGGGAACGGCAAAAAGGGCAAAGCGGCACCTCGGCTGAAAGACTTGGAGTTTGAGGGCGAAGACGAAAGAGCGACGAGGTGGCGGACAATCTACATTGACGTGGTGGCGTACGTGCGGATCATGCTGCAGGTCTGCCACCTCGTCCACGCCGACTTGAGCGAGTACAACATCCTGTACCACGAGGACAAGCCCTACATTATCGACGTGAGCCAGAGCGTGGAGGGCGACCACCCGCGAAGCCTGGATTTCCTGCGGATGGACATTAAGAACGTGACCGACTTCTTCCGCCGGAAGGGCGTCAACGTGCTGTCGGAGCGAAAGATGTACGAGTTCGTCACGAAACCCGAGGCTACTACTACTACTGGCGACCAGGGTCCGCAGATGGACGAGCTGCGGAAGGAACTCGACAGAGTGATGGCGGAGCGCACGGAAGACGACGACGAAGAAGACGAGGTCGACAACCAAGTCTTCCGCCAGCAGTATATCCCGCAGACGCTGGACGACGTGTATGACGCGGAGAGAGATGCAGAAACACTGCAGACACAAGGGCGAGCGGCGCTGGTGTACAAGGACCTGCTGGCGCCGCTGCGAAGCGAAGACGCGCCCGCGGCGGTGGAGTCCACACCCGTCACGCTGCCGGGCGATGGACGTCAAGATCCCGACGAAGAAGGCGAGGGCGGTGCACCTCTCCGCTCCGACGCAGACGCCTCAGACGCCTCCGCCGCATCCAAAGACGACGACTCGGACGTCTCGGACTCCACCTCGTCCTCGTTCTCGCCGTCGCGCCCGCGCGGCAAGCGGTTCCAGGATAAAGAGGAGAAGCGGCAGCACAAGCAGAAGGTCAAGGAGGAGAAGCGCGAGAAGAGGTCCCAGAAGATGCCAAAGGCCACCAAGAAGAAGTTGGTCAAGGAGTCGGCGAGGCATCAGCGGAGTAAGCACTGATGCATAGATCGATAGATAGGTATCGAGCACCAGAAGTAGATGGATAGAAGAAAACAGCCATGGCATCACCATTCTACCACCGTCATGTATGCAGGTGTCCAAGGGACTTCATCGCACGGGATCCTACATTCTATATCCTATATCCCCTATCTCATGTCCCGTTCGACCCGAGAACTCATTTGATATCTAGAGTAAAATAGGAAAAAGCAATAGGAAACAGCAGAATGACGCCTCGCTGACATCATTGGCACGTGCCATGAAGCAATTATGATATAGGTACTTGTATCACCACGACCGCCACGCTCACGTACATTACTTTTGGTGCAAAACGCAGCGAGCGACCCCATCAATTTCACCAGATCAGCATTTCCTCTCCTGCCCCATCCACACCATACGATATCAAATTATACACAAGAGGCATTACAACCAATCAGCCATGCAGCCCACAGCACCCAGGAGACAGAACATGTTCTCGCCGCATGGAAGGGCGGGTCCATGGTAAGATAAATGCTTTGCCCCTTTCTCTCTCTCTCACTCTCTCTTCTCCTCCCAGTGATACAAAGATCCTTCAAGATCGGTCTAACCGCGTCTCAATCCCCACTTTCAGGAGATCGCAAAGAGGCTTCCTTCTCGCGTTGGCGGGGACCGCGGGCGTGCTGTACTTCTGGCGATACTACCCCGTCGCCAAGAGCGAGATGGAGCAGGAAAAGAGGGAGCGTCTGAAGAAGCAGTAGCGCCGGGACTGGTAGGACAAGGCAGGAGAAGTGTAGGTTCTATAAGAATCCCATAGACTTCTCTAGGATCAGATCTCCTAGTCTTGAGCAAAGACATCATATTCTGTGCAATGGAGAAGGCTCGTATCCATGCGGCTCTGGTTGTCTGAGCATATCCTCTATACTGTCTTGTCCAAAGCGAGTGTACCTGGACACACCATCTTCCTTGAAGTCGTGGTCAAGCACGTCAACCAACTGGCGGCGACGATAACTAGATCTGAAATGCAGGCATATTAGCTCTCGTCCTTCAGGAAATAGTGGACAATATGAGATCCGGGGTGGAACGGCCGTTCAGTGCTCTCTTTGAATATCATGATTTGGCCAGATCGGGCAGTGAGAGGCTGAAGGGACGAGCCCGTGCAACCATCATGCCATGCTCGGCTCTGTCCATAGCGATTCATATCAAGTGTTGTGTTTGCAGATGTCGTCATGATGTTTTGTGTAGCCAGGGCGGGATTCGGAGTGAGAAGTCTTTCCTTACCGTGGCGTCAGAAAAACATCTGGTCCAGATCTGCCTGCCTGGTCATCTGGTGCTTCTTCCACCTCTGCCGACCTTGAGCCTCCTCAAGGCCTCTTCTACCGTCCGCCTCGGCAGCTCGGGCACACTACCAATATCTTCCTCGTCGGCCCTTGTGATAGAATATCTGGGCGGTAACGTATTGACGCCACTCCAAATATCACTTGGCAAATACTCGCCCAGGTCGTTCTTGAACTCCAGCCTCAGCTGCCGATCCGAGTCGTACATTTGCTCCAACTGAGCATGCGCCTCCGCCACCACTCTCTCCATCTGCTTCTTCACAGTCCTTCGGCGGGCGGCTTCGACTATCAGACCGTCGTAAGCGTGGAGAAAATTGGCGTAGTGTTCGCACAGCTCCTCCATCCCGCCGATGCCGTCTTCAATCTTGGCCTTTTCTTCACTCCATTTCAGCGCTTGCCGCGCTACCTCAGCTGCATACCCAGATAAGCGCCCCGAGATCTTTTCGAGAAGTTTGAAGGCGGTCGCTACATCGGCATAGGCATTTTCCTGGCGTTCACACCATTGATGGACTTTGTCCAGCTGGGCTTCCATCTCGGCGTTGCGATCTTGGAGTTCCATGACCACTTCGTCCACCTCCTGAGCGTCGTTCTCAAGCACCTGTAGCATTTCCAGTCGTTCCTCTTCGTTCATAGGTTGTGCGGGTGCCCGAAGCTCGTCCATGCCCAGGCCAACCGTGTCCGGAAGGTCCACTCCCTCACCAGCATTTATGGTCTGGAATAACGCTTCACCACCTCCTTCTGTGTGTTTGATGGCGGTGACGCAGAGATCGAAGTGTTTGACCAGACTTTCTAGCTCCTCTGCCATTATACGGGCATGGTCCTCTAACAGTGTGAGGACACCAGCAATGCTGGTGGGCTGCTGCAATTCACTGTCTGTGCTAGACAGCTCTCCTCTGCCATTGAGGACTTCGTTGATGGCTTGTAGATCATCTTCCAACGTTTGGATCGAGTGACCCATTTCATTTTGCGAGTGTTGTACATTGTCTATGGCAATTTCCATGGCCTGCTTGATCGTTTCGACGCCGTTGTCGTCCACAAAATCGTGCAAGGTCTCCTTACCTGGGCCATCGTCCACCGTTCCCTCGGCTGAGGGTTTGAAAGCATCTTCAATTGTCGTCTGTTTCAACAGTTCTATCGATTGTAGCAGCCTCGCGCCGGTCTCGTCCAACTCTTTGATCACCGCCTGAAACTCGTTCTGAATACCCTGAGCAGCAGTCTCCAGTTCAAGTTGGACCCCACGTAGGATCTTCAGTTGAGATGCCACGGAACGGCGCAAGTAGGTGGCTTTGGCGAGGAGGGCAGTGGTAGCCTCGATGGATGCACGTGATTCGGTGAGGATGGTGGTGGCCCGGTGGACGAGATGGATACTGCCCAGAGACCGTTTAGCGGCGACCAGGTAGGAAACGAGAGTCTCGACAGAAGCCGACGGGGGACTCGAGGCGTGAGCGGACTGCGAGGGAGAGGATCGGGCTGAGGCCTCGGGGTGAGGAGATTGCGCCATGACAGGGTCGAGTGAGGACATTTCTTATTTCATCTTTAGTTCGTGAAGAAGGTCAAGAGTTAGCTCTCTCTGGCTCTCGGAGGAGCGGTGAGGACAGCATCGACTATTACAAATAGCCAACAGCAGTTGTAGCATGCATTGAACGGCACGGTGGTTGTGCTGGGCCGTTTGTGTATGTGCCGCATATCCTGCAAACGAGTTAATTCACATCCCCAGGCGAAGGCAGCCCCTGGTCATTGTGGGGTAAAGCATGGAAGCTGGAGCCTCACGGCCATGGCACGGCCTCAGGAAACGAGTATGGGCCTCGCTTTGAAGTGCAGAAAGCCTTGCTGTTGGGCGCCAGGAAGTCCCGGCCGAGAGAGATGCATACCTGGGAATTGAAACTCGCAGCTGACTCGCTGAGCCGATGAACGACGCAGGAACCAGGCCTGGAGAGTGAAAGTGAAGACTGTTGCGATGATGCTTTCGATGGTGAAAATGGCGTGCGCGATAACGCCATCGCAGGCCGGTGTGAGGACATCGGTGGGCATCAGTGGGCATCTCAGGCTTGGACATGGCTGGCTCCAGGCGTGCGGTAACTACCGACACCCCCGGAGGTTTAGGTCATGATGCCCAGCTATGCACCAATCTGGGTGCCCAAATGCCCCCGATTGAGCCCCAACATACACGCACTTGACCTACTCGGGCCCGCTAATCAGCCTCTCGGTGGCGTCGTCCTGGTCCTCATTTCGATCCATCACCACCATCGCCTCCATCCCGCAAGTCGGTTCTCGAAAACCCCCGGCTGTCGGTGATGATATTCGCCATTCACCACATTCTCTTGTCCTCTTCAGGCTCGGAACCTTTGCAAAGACCAAGCACCGCATTTCGCAATCTTGCACCATTCTGACCTTTCTGACGAGCAATCCTACCGCTTACGACGCCTTGTGTCCTCTCAGTGCCTCTTCCCTTTTGTCAGTCCTTCCACGAACGCAGCCTACTTTACTCACTGGCATCCCCCGCACCATTCGGATCTCGGCGTCGTTCCTGCAAATTCAACTCATCGAGTCGCACGAGCAGCGATACTCAAGACCGTCTACCAGGCGAGATGTGAAGATCATTTGCCAGTCTCTAAATAATTTTCGATATGCCTTTTGATCTATTTGACAAGTACCGAAGGCAGGGTGTGGTGGAAACAGAATGGGAGGAACCGGCCAGAAAGAGACTTCGAATGAACCCTTCTGAAGAGGAGGAAAGACATGCGGCGACAAAGGACAAGAGCATCACAATCGCGTCGACTGCTAAACATGCTGACCAGAACGTCGCCCCGTTTCTGGCCAGGCATATCCCTTCCCAATATGCGCCTTTGGGGAAGGCTGGCAAACCTGCCGCTCATCACTTCGACCCCATGAAAGACCCTAATTCCAAGTTCTGCTATCGACATCGACCTGATACGCTGTGCCGACGGCAAGCAGACGAGCCGTCGATGGACAAACTGCAGAAAGAACTGGACACACTGTCGCAGGAAGACCGCCAGGGCATCGTCCAAATGTGGTCCTTGTTCTCTGCAGCGCCCTCCAAACACCGAAACCTCATGCTCCAGGGCATCCTCGCCCAGTGCTGCTTCCCACAACTCTCTTTCCTCTCGGCCAATGTCCGAGAACTCATTCGGATCGACTTCATTTCCGCTCTACCGTCTGAGGTAGCCTTTCGCATCCTTTCTTTCCTCGACACGACGTCTCTTTGCAAGGCTGCACAGGTATCGAGGAAGTGGAGACAGCTGGCAGACGACGATGTAGTCTGGCATCGGATGTGCGAGCAACACATTGACCGAAAGTGTACAAAGTGTGGATGGGGTCTCCCCTTGTTGGAGAGGAAAATGCTGCGTGCCACCAAAAGGCAGATTGAGCTACGTGCGGCAAGCAACCTGCCGCTTGACTCTGAACCACCTGCTCTATCGCAGAGTGTCGACATGTCCGACACCGAAAGCTACCATGACTCCTCGTCTGATGGACGACTCTCGCCTGTGGCGACCCGACGTCCGCCGCTCGGCACGAGTGACAGTGAGTACTTTCGGAGAACCAGACCTTGGAAGGACGTGTACAAGGACCGGTTCAAGGTCGGGACCAACTGGAAGTACGGCCGATGCAGTATCAAAATCCTCAAGGGCCACACGAACGGAGTCATGGCTCTTCAATTTTGTGACAACATTCTTGCGACCGGATCATACGACGCAACCATCAAGATCTGGGACCTGGACACGGGCAAAGAGTTGAGAACGCTAAGTGGTCATACCATGGGCATCCGATGTCTGCAGTTTGATGACAACAAACTCATCAGTGGCAGTCTCGACAAGACTCTCAAGGTCTGGAACTGGCGGACTGGTGAGTGCATCTCCACATACAATGGCCACACCGAAGGCGTGATTGCCCTTCATTTTGACTCGAATATTCTGGTATCTGGCTCCGTCGACAACACGGCCCGTGTGTGGAATTTTCAAGATCGGTCAGTCTTCACCCTCCGCGGGCACACCGATTGGGTCAACTCAGTCAAAGTTGACTCGGCATCTCGCACGATCTTTACCGCGTCGGACGACTGCACGGTCAAACTGTGGGACCTGGATACGAAGAAATGCATCCACACTTTCGAAGGCCACGTGGGCCAAGTCCAGCAAGCGCTTCCTCTTCCGGCCGAATTTGAACCTGGCACCGACGTGCAAGAAGACGACGAGGAACAGTTATCGGACCCCGGAACCCCCAACAGCTCCGACACGATCCTCGACGAGAACGGCGGGTTTCCCACCGTCTCTTCCAGAGACATGGGTATCAACAGCCTGTTCAGCTCTCAGCCCGATCGCACCTATCCGCCCCATTACATGCTGACGTCGGCCCTGGATTCCACAATCCGTCTTTGGGACGTGCACTCTGGTCGCTGCATCCGGAAATTCTTTGGGCATGTTGAGGGAGTGTGGGCTGTGGCGGCGGATACGCTGAGGATTGTGTCCGGTGCTGAAGACAGGATGGTGAAGGTGTGGGACCCGCGGACTGGGAAGTGTGAGCGGACGTTTACAGGCCACGCAGGGCCCGTGACATGCATTGGGTTGAGTGACTCGAGGATGTGTAGTGGCGGCGAAGATGGGGAGGTGAGGGTCTACAATTTCACGGGTTGATTGAACTATCAGGTTTTCGCCGGGATGTCACTTGACAGAGATCATGGTATTTCTACACGAGGATACGGACTCTTACTGGATCTTGGGAATGGAACCTCTTGGGAAAGCGAAGCAGCAAAAAGCGTGGCGTCTGGCGTCTGTCCCCATCCAAGGTCTGGGAGTATACAACTGTCTTCCGGGACAGCAGACCAAAGGGATGAATGCTGCTCAACAAAAAGTTTCCAAGGGGTATCAAATCATGGATTGGATTCAATGATGGATCCGGCCTGGCGTGTTTCGTGTTCACTTTGGGTCACTTTGGGTTTCTTGGGAAAGGTCCAGCCATGATACCAATTTGCTTTTCTACCATTACATCGAATGGTGACGGGTGACGGGGTTAGTGGGAAGGATTCCAACTCAGGGTTTTAGATGGAAACAAATTGAAATGCGAAAATACCATACTAGTATGCGAGTATATCATCCAGCATCCATCCTCTGTCTATTCGTCAAGTAACATAAAACTCAGAAGGGGGACTTGATCATAACCTGGGCTACCTCGGATATACCTAGAGAGAGGTTCCATCTCCCATTCACGTCGTCCACTTTCGCATTTCATTCATCCGTCCGTCAGTCTGTCCGTGCATCCACCCTCTCCCAAGATCCTTTGCACAGTGGCCCTTTACGTATATAGGGCCCAGCTGCGGCGTCAAATAGAATCAAAGGAATCAAACGCCCGTGATACGCCTCACATTTCTCCTGGCGCCGTCGCCCGTCACGGTGATTTTCCCTTCAACCTCCAACGCCTTGACGACGTCGTTGAACTCAGTCCCCTCAACCTCGAGACTACTCCCCTCGGCAACTTTGCGATAGAGATCTGTGTACCTCATGGCCCCGCCGCTACGGATCGCGCCGTCCATATCCAACGCTTCCAGCACGGCGCGTTTGAGGTCTTCTCTGCGCCGCCGTTCGCCGACACCGCCACCCTCGCTCAACAAGCCCATGTCGATCAGACCCGTGCGTGCGTCTGTGGCGCTCGCCTTGATCGCCGACTTGATCAATCTCACCGCTTCGTCGACGTCCTTCTCCTCGACGATAGGCGAGAGTCTCATCTTGGCGTGCGCTTCGGACAGACGAATCATCGATTCCAGCTGGCGAGTGGTCGCGGTGATGCGTTTCTCCGAGGCTTGGATGTTGGATCCGAGATTGCGCATGGCGACATAGGCGTTTGTCATGGCGTTGGCGGCCGGCGGGGTGATGCTGGGGTGGACGTTGTTGCGGGCGTACGAGATATAGGAGGTAAGAAATTCAACGGGCTAGTAGAGTGGTTGTTAGCCAGTTGTACTTTGACACAAAGCAGTTTCTCCGAGAGAAATAGGCAGCCGAGTTGAACTTACCAAAATCTCCTCCCTCGACGCATTATCCGGCGTGTCTTCGAGGTACATGCCCACCAAATGCTTCGCAAGTCTCCGATCATTCACTTCATCAATACGGTCCAGCACGAGATAAACGAGATCAAACCTCGACAGCAGCGTCGGTGGAAGGTCAATGTTCTGGGGCACTGGGAGGTTCGGGTTGTACTTGCTCCCGATGGGATTCGCTGAGGCGAGGATGCTTGTCCTTGCGTTCAACGTGGTGATGATGCCCGCCTTCGCAATGGAGACGGTTTGCTGTTCCATGACTTCATGCAGCACCGAGCGAGTAGACTCATTCATCTTGTCGAATTCATCGATGCAGCAGACGCCGCCGTCGGAAAGGACCAAAGCCCCGGATTCGAGGACGAGCTGTCTGGATTCGGGATCCCGCGTTACGTACGCCGTCAGCCCGACTGCTGAGGAACCCTTGCCAGATGTATAGACTCCTCGCGGCGCGATCTTGTGGACGTATTGCAGGAGCTGGGACTTGGAGGTGGATGGATCACCACACAGCAAGACATTAATGTCGCCCCTGTATCTGGGACTGCCACCCTTTGCAAATGTCTTGTTCGTGCCGCCAAACAATTGTAGGAGGATGCCTTTCTTGACGTCTTCCAGCTCATAGATGCTTGGAGCCAGACTCCTCGAGAGGAGCTCATAGATGTCTTCCCGAGCGGCTGTTTCCTTGATTTTGGCTTCCTCCTCGGCTGTCACTTTTCGAGTCTGCTCAACATCGCCTGCAAGCTGCTCGGAAAGCTCTTGCTCTATCGTTGACACGTCAATCCCCAACTTGCGTTTGTCGACCTTTTGCACGTGCAGAACATCCACATAAGTCTTGAACAGCGCTCGGACTGTGCGTTGACGCGGATTGACACGAACTGGGTTGCTTCGAAAAATGCCAGTCACCTCTATTCTGTCACCAGCTTTGCAGACATCGACCAGATCATCATATACGCAAAGGGACACACTATGAGGCGTCTGTCCGTCCGGAACCGAGTCCGGGGTCTCTTGCAACTTGATCACTTGCTTGTCCGCAAATATGCAGCGATTATGGATGATCTCCATGCTGTCCTTGGATTTGCAAGCAGGGCGCGGGCACTCGATCGGTTCTGCGATCTTTCCGCGATCGATTGAGACGTACAGCGTATGTTGACAAACGGTGCATTTGAAGAAGGCCTCCTTCATGTCGGGAATGACTGGGGTCGTTCGAATGACAAGTCCTTTGACCGAAATCAGCTTGTCAATGTCCGCTGGGTCGAGCTCGCGCATGTTGATCGTCTTGTCCAACCCAAATGGCATGACCTTCCAAGCCTGCATCTGTGCTTCTTCAACCAGGTCAGGAATTTCGTCGGCAGCAGGCCCCGTCCCTGGCGTTCCTCGCCCCAGATCAGAAGACGGCATGGGAGGCATTGAGCTCCCATTCGCTGCGCGCAGGGCAGGACCAAGCGTATGAGCTCGGCGTAACTCTTGCATCTCCTTCTGAGCCAATTCCACCATGACATCCTTTACAGCCTGATCCATTAAAGGGATAATTTCCTGAGGATAAGCCTGGAGCTGGTGCCACAATTTCAATGTCGCAGGGTATGCTTTAAGATTGCGGGCGTCCAAGTTAAGCGGGTGAATACCCATCCTTCTCATGTTCTGAAGCATTGTCAGATACTCCTTTTCATCGGCAAGCGCTCCAAGAGCACTTGTTTCCTCTTCTGTGGCCCCGTCGGCCCACATGCGATACTTCTTAGCATAATTGTAGAGAAAGTTCTTGAACGAAGCCATGGAGTCTACGACCGATATATTTGTGCCCCAGATGACTCTGGTCGAGTCACCTCCCATTGCGTCAGCCTCGGACGTGTCAGGATTGAGGTTTGAGAACGTGGCCTCTGAGGTCGGATCATTTCCATCCCGAATGGGCATGCCATCCTCGCCAATATAGATTCGACGACGGGGAGCTGGCGAGGGCGCAAATGCATCGGAATGGATGTCACCTCTCCGGGAGGATATTCTTGGTTGTTGGTCCTGGCGGACAAAAAGGGCACTGCTGCTGCTGCGAATATCGGACCGCGGTTGCTGGGAACTTCGCACCGGGCTCGAGCTGGCATCATATCTGACTGGGGATGAGTCTGCAGAAAATCAGTCCAGCACAAGGCCATCGAGAGCGGGATTCACAAACCTCCCAGGGGCCGGGTTGACGCGCGAGGAGTTGCCTCACGGTCACCTACCTCGGAGGAGTGTCGGGGAGGGGAGCTGATGAGCATTCCATCGCTTGCCAGCTGCGAAGGCGGCGCGGGAGTTGCTTGAGCAGGAGACGAATGGAAGGAAAACGGCGAGGAGGACGCAACTGCGGATGCCCCATTGAGTGCGCGTCTTGTAGTCCTGGGCGTGGATTGAGATTGTTGAGCTGGAGTGGAGGACTGAGAGTTGCGAGAGGAATGCCCTCGGCGGCGTGAGGACGGCGTCGAAGACGACATGGTGGTGGTTCGCAGTGATGGCGATGTAAGGGCGGCGGTTGTTCACATCAAGGTGGACAGAAAGGGGGGGCAGAGGATTGTGAAATCCAGACGCGTCGACCAGAGACACGTCTACGCGATCCTTTCGCGTAAAGTGGTTCTTGGCGACTACGGAGGAGTATAAGTGCCGCACCGCAGTTATAGCCACTCGTCCTCTGCTCGCCTGTTTTATCTCCAAAAGATGCCGCTGAGCGCAATGAATCCTTTACAAAATCCCATCAGCCGACGAGAACGGCTTACAAGCAGCCACACTCGAGTGATCTGCCGCCTTGATAGGCCTTTGGCAAGCTGAAAGCACCTGAAATTGGTCTCTTAGATCCATATATTCATCCTCCTTCTACTACCCTATGTGGCTGCAATCACTTACTGTTCCTTCCACATCCATGCGCTGCTACATGCACATATAGTGTGCTGGCTCGCACTCAATGGATCCCTTCGCTTCTTTTCTTTTCCCGTTGCCTTTGTAGGCGAGGAGTACATGCTTCTCACCAACGGTCGCGCAATTTGAGCCCGGTTAGAATTTGAGGGCGGATTGGAGAAGTGTCTGCATCCCCCGTGCAACCAAGGCTTCATTTACGGCGTGGCTGTCGAAGTTTCTTGTATCAGCAGCCTCTCGCATTGGTAACACTACGGGAGAAGGATAGGTTTCAAGAAGCCTTTACTGCTATACAGCAATGCCGAGTACGCAAAAGGATGGTTGCTACTATATATATTTTCATCGAGCACCGGATCTGGTACATGGACTTGACTGGTCGTGATGGGTGATATAGGCATGTGCTATTTTGGTTTGCCGACGACATCTTCAGCTGATGCCATCCTCTTTCTTCCCTTGTTGAACTGTGTACCTCGTAACTCCACGAGTCTGGACCCTACTCCAACTTCGAGACTCAACACATGGTAAGCAAAAAGATACACCTCGGCTATGCGGAGACCGAAAACATCTCGGAAATGATTTGCGGAGGTTAATTCAGAATGGCGCAAAACAACGGGCCTCAACCTGTGGTATCCAGACTGCTATGCCAGCTGACGCGGCCGGCGAGATTCCTGGTGGTGAGGAAAACCTACGAGTAGGTATTCTCCCACAGCCTGGTATCTGCCAGGCCGATTGAAGCGATGTAGAAGCTGGAGGAAAAGAAATCCTCCCCACATGACCAAGCGCATCGGGGATAGGATAACAAATCCTCCAACCAACCCCGATCTCAAGGTGATGCACAGAGAGGCTGGGAAGTTCCGGTCGTCCTCTCGGATACACGGCAGGCCATGTGGCATACAGCAGGAAGCAGAAAGAAGGGAAGAAAAACACCACTTCCACACAGTGGCAGCGTAAACAATCCACATACTACGGGAAGGGAGAAAAAAATAGAAAATCACAATCAAACTAGTGGAGACGCGGACGAGCAACAAGGTAGGTCGTGGGTATTGCCTGGTGATAAAGGATGGCCAAAGGTCGGTGAACAGAAACGGAGCCGTGTGAAAAGGAAAAAACCTGGAAATTCTGAGGCCGAGCAAATCTCAATCCAAGTTCGTGAAGCCTGAAGCAGAAAAGAAAAAACTAATTTGCGGTGCGTGGTCACGCGTGCAACAAAGCAAGTCGCAGACTGGCGGAGTCTCGGACTAGGACGGAGCAAAGGGCCCGAGTACCAAGGTACCTAGGTACAGAGTAGGTACCGCTAAGTACCTTTTCACCAATGCCACCGCAGAAAGGTACATGGGTCGCATGCATGGACAGGGCCAGGCTTTGTGCTCGGCAGTTGAATGCAGGGCCTGTGGATCGACAGGTACAGGGCGGATCTGGAGTCGACTGAGTCTGGGTTCCAGAACATGGAGGCCCAAAGCAAGCTGACTGGTCTACAGACGCCGATTGCTCGCTCAACATGTCACCAGACAAGCCAGCAGCAAGCCAGGGGGGAGAGGAGGGGGAGGAGGAAGACACAGTCCCCAACAAACACTTATTATATACACACATATACAAAGAGAGGGATGGAGAGGGAGACACAGACATGGAGAGAAAGAGAGTGAGTGTGTGAGAGAGGACACGGATCCATCCAGGTCAGCCACCATCCTGGACGCCTCGTCCTCGTCCTCCACCTCCGCCTCCACTGTGCTGCCATTCTACAATCTCTGCGGAAAAGTGATGTGGTCACGCGCAATTCATGGCCGCATGGCCGTGGCGGTTGTGGCTTTTCATCTCGGATCGGTCTTTGCTGGCCAGTCACTGCACACAATTTAGCCTCGCTGGTTAATCTATCTGCAAAGATCCAGCCCATTTGCCAGCCCCAGACTGGGCCGCGGACATGAGCCTGCTGACTCGAAAAAGTAACGGTGTGGGATGGGGAGGATCAGGTATAAGAGAGACGACTCTACGAGGGATCCATTTATCCATTCGGCTACAGCTGACCACGAGTCCACGATTGCGAGAGCGAGTCCGAGTATCTCTTGTACCGGCTGGACAAGGGACCCATCCGATCTGTCTTCTCTCCCTCCTCCCCACTAGCAGGACCGGAGCCACTACTGCTTGACCCAGTTTGCGCTGTCTGTTCGGCTCCTCACACACTTTGTACTCGGTACCAAGCATACCTATATACCTCACTCGGATCCCCCAATACTTCTCTAGGTGTGAGACTGGTCTCTCCCTTTCCTCCCCCTCTCTTTTGGTCTGCCTTCCCTTCCCACTCACCTACCGTACTCAGGGCCCGTCATCCACAGTACGCAGCATGGACTACCTGTCGCGGCTGTCTACACAGCGTCCATTGACCCTCACAGCCAATGGTTGACTCATCGTTCCGGACCGCCTAACTCAGCCTGGTGGTCTGGCCACTCTCAGAAGCCCTCCAACGGCCCAGCCAGCCGCAGACGAACACATACCTTATCATCCATACACCCTCAAAAAGAAAGGGGGCCAAGTCACCACACGCCAAATGGCATGAGGCAAATGGCCAGCTGGTCCCCCGTTTTCCTTTTCGCCCTCCATTCCAGGGTTTTTGGCAAAACCCAAAGTTAGCGAGCAGAAGCCAACAAAGGAGAGATCCGGACCGCGGCCGCCGGGTGAGCAAGGCAAAGCAAGGGCCACGTCGGGCTCCCTTGGGCGATCTGGGTCGGTTCAGGCATAGTGGCCCTGAGCCCTGGGCGATGCCCCTGCCTATCATCCACCCTTTTGGGCACGTCTCGGGCCCTAGCAGCCTCAGCTTGCATTCCCCGGCCACTCAGGACGATTGACGTGGGCAACCCTCCTGGGACCTGGATTGTCTGTCCTCCAGGGATTGGACCCTGAAGTTCCGAAACAAGCCCATCGAGGTGAGGGAGGGTCGGGCCCAGGCACAGACACAAAACAAGTTAAGCCAACAGATACAACGCTATCGTGGATTCTGACATCCGACATTCTTCCTCGCTCGGGGCCAGGGCCCAAAGTCTCATCAGATTCGGTACGGCAGTCGAGGGAGGGTAGAGGGAGTGCGAGTACTTTCTATCATGGCCACCATGTGGTGTCGCCTTGATTTCTCACGACCCCCTTTGGATGGATTGTTATTTCTGCCTCCTCCCTCCCTCACTCCTTCTCTGCCACTATTCACTCTTTTCCTTCCATATACCTACGTGACGGTCGCGCACCGCATGGTGCTCAATTCAGTCAAATGTGGTCTGCGCAGACTAATCTTGACGAAGCCTTGCGCCTGGCCTTCCTCCATCTACCTACACTCACCCCTATCCGCTCCAGCGTCGCCCTTGCGCCTGGCTGGCGGACTGAAAGGCAACTGACCGCGAGACTGTTGTCGCACTGGACTTCGCTGCTATTCAAAGGTGCACACAAACAAACACTCAACGTCCCGCCCGCTGTTCGCATGGGGTATTACCTCTTTCACACAGGCTGTGGTACAAGGCTAGCTACCCGCACTCCTACTGCCAGTGCCGCAGCCACGGCACACCGATGAGGCTGAGGCTGGGGCCGCTCCGTACCGCAGCCTAGTGAGCCATCCTCAATTGGGGGCCCCTGGTTACAAGCCAGCATGGCTTGTTACAGTCCAGCAAAAGAGTCTGCGGGGGCTACAAGCTTACAATGATGGCATATATTATCGTCCCTATGGGTTCTCTGGTGCAGCAGTTGATCAAGACTTGTCGCCGACGAGATCGTTGTCATTGTCGTCGCCACCCGTCGCCCTCGGACATTCCTGCCTGCTTCACCTCTGTACCTCTGGCAATGCATTCAGCATCCTATTGCCAGGCCAGTGTCAACGTTGAAGTCGAAGTCATACCTTCACACGAAGGCCGGAAGACTTGTGTCAAAGACGGTTCACAACGTTTCCCATGACCAACACAGAAGCGACTTCTTCGTGATGTCGGGGTACATGGAGTATCTCCCATGAACAAACAGAATGTCGTCGTCGATGTATACTCTATCCGGCCACCAAGAGCAACCTCCTCCTCGTCGTACCCCTCGTCGTCGTCGTTTATGGCACTTTCATCACTCGATGCATCAACTCGTTTCCGTTGAGGCTTGAACGGGGTCAAAGATACCGCGAGCAGATACCGCGAGCAGGGGGGCGCCACCAAATCGCTCGCCAGGGACATGGACACCGGCCAACAATCAGACAACCAATGCTCACATCTCAGCCCGATTCACTGTTCATCCATGATGCTGGGACAATGCAGCGCCTGTCTCGTCTCATCTCATAGTGCAATCGACATGCCCATGCCCATGCCCATGCCAATGGGCGTGAAGACGCTGTCGCCGAAGCTACCACCCCTCCTCCTCCTCCTCCTCCTCCTCACCATCACCACAGCCGCACTGAGCACTGTCATCCTCTATATGGCCCACCGTCCCTCATCGCTGCCAAGGCCACGTCTCTAACGCAACCACCACCACCAGCACAACCACCAGCAGCTCATCATTCCCCGCCCGTCTCTCCGATGCAGTTACGACCTCCAACACGACTACAACCACGAGATGGCACTCAATGCATGATGAATGTGGCGCATGATGTGATGTCTCTGGAGAACCATCCATCATACATGCATATACTGGTGCGAGACACGAGTACGGTCCGGTCCCATGAGCCATTGTATGCTTCATACATATTAGCTACGGTCCACATTACAAGAGTCGATCAACCAGGAACAGATACAACTACTATACCACTGAGCTCCTGCACCGACGACAACGCGACACCTTACTTGCAATGAATCCTTTACTGCTTATCGTCACCAGCGGGTGATGCACGCTTCTACGTCTGATGGCTAATGTCTGATGCTCCTGTCTCTCCCTCCAACGCCGGTACTGGCAAAGACAAAAAACACACGCATACAGAGTAAAGGATCTTGGAACGGACCTAGCTCGGAGTTTGCTTGCATTTGCTATTGTGTGTACCTCATGATGGCATTAACGACAGACACAATCAAGAGAACTATGATTTATTTGGTTCAAGAAAGGATATGGAAGTCGCTCTACCCTGGTGTCCGCTCTCGAAAATCAAACCCGACCTCGGCCTTATCACGTCCAAATCGTTTCCTCGATTCATTTATCAGTCGCTCCGAAATTGCCAGGCCATAGCACAAAAAGGGCCCCTTCCTATACAGGCCACAATACAATTCGGACGACCAATCACACCATGACGCGATCTTCATCCAAGGACATTTGCGAGCGACTTCGACCTAAAAATCCCACAACTGTTCCTCAACAACCAAACTCGTCCCAAAATGTGTTTACAAGAAAGCAAGTTGGACGCCTTCAACTCCATCGAACTTTTGTGATCTGCCGGTTTCCAGTGGCTCCTCGGCGGCTTTGGCCCGTTGGGGCCATTTCCTCATAGTGTCCAGTCTAAAACTCACGTGGCGATTGTTATCAATTGACCGCCGAGTCTGGATTTGAGGAGGAGCGTCTATTAACAATAGTGGGAAGGATTCCTCGCGAAACGCCGCCCGAGAAACGAAAGTGCCGCAATCCGCATGATGCTGGAGAAAGGTGAGGAAATTTGTCTGGGTCGCTAAAAGAACAGCAGACAAGAAAAGCAACGATTTTGATCCGCCCCGGACGAAACGATGCTGTCGCCGTGGTGTCTCAACCGGGATGTCCCGTATCAACCATCTGCCGGAGTGGTGTACTAGGATCTGTCGAGGATGTCGAACATCAAAACCTGCCCGACTGCATCGATTAGTTCAGTCTCACTATGTGCTGCCACGGCCAACGGTGGACAAAGTTGGCCAGGTTGATGATGCAAGCATTCTTGCAAGTGATGAAATGGATGTTATCCTTGAATTGCCGTCGGTGTGGGTGACTCGGACATCAAGGTATGTTGGGTTGCCGAGTGGTAGGGATATCCGAAGGACGCCGGTGACCCAGAGCGAGATCCGAAGAACCCGCCTGTTGACAAAGGTGACGAAGAACGTGCGACATATTGCGCAAATTGCTTTGACGCTTGAGAATCCGGGACGGGCGACATGCTTCGAGGTGGTGTGGGTGTTGTCGAGCCAGACGAATCAGCCGAACTGCCTCCATTGCTCTCCGACGCGGAGGTAGAGTCCGCCGAACCATCAACCCTGACTGTCCCAAACTGCAACAAACAATTAGCACTTCAATGTGTCTTGACCTCCTCGCTCTTTCCCCGGGTACCTACAAAGCAGTACTTGTCCACCTGCACAACGGGTTAGCCTGAACCCAGAGCAATCCTTGAGACAGCACGGGGCGGGAAGAGACTTACGAGCTCCTTGTAGCTCTGTGAGCTCAGAGAAGGTTTCTCAGAGAGCAAAGCAGCCGGCTTGGATGTCAAAGGAGCAGCAGCAGCAGCGGTCTTGTTGGCTTCGACTTTGACATCGTTGACGCCAGTTTCATGCTTGGGAGCAGCATTTGCGACACTCTGCACAGGAGTAGTCGCAGGCACCTCGTGGGAAGACTGCTTTGTGTACGTCCTTGGACCCAAGCCAGACCACTCGCCCATGGCGGCATATGCGTTGTTCTTGGCAGCATTCAATGATGTCTTGAAATCATACCGATTTCCAAATGCTTGTGGCCCAGCCTGCTTACGGCGCTGGGGAGCATCTGGGAGAAGTTCTGCTTTGGATTTTGGACTCCTCAGCTTGAGTTTAGGTTCGCCCATCAGTGAGCTGGGGGACTGCAAGAAGCTTCCAAAGCTGTCAAAGCCCGTTGAGAAATCATCAAATGAGGTAGGCATCGAGACGGGCCTTCCGGAAGAGGTAGGTGGTGATGGTCGACTACGGGGCAAAGCATTGAGCGGTCTCTCACCCAGGCCAGGGTTAGACTTGCTTGGTGGCGACTTGGATTTCTTGCTGAAGTCGACTTGGTAGTTGGCACCAGCATTGTTGTCCCAGAACTCCTGACCATTGACATTGTAGCGGATGCAGAAGAACAACGTCTTGTTCTCCAGGTTTGCCTGGTCTTCGAGCTTGATGCTGAAGTTGAAGCGGTCAAGGCCATCATGGTTACCCTTCCGGCGAACATCATTGTTATAGTCAGCAACGATTTCCGAAGTGGTCTTCCAGTAGTCGAACGTGAATCGAGCAACGACCTGCTTGTGGAATGCGAGGTTCTGCACAGCGACAGTCCCAATGAGTTTTCTGTTATCTGAAGAGAGGAATATTCTCTCCACGAACACAGGCTGGGACCGTCGAGCATCCAAGTCACTTGGGAAATTATTCAAGCGGATTTCCCATTCATATGAGGGTGTGCGAGGCCGAGCGTTGGTCTCGTCGGACCCAAAGGGAAAATCAGTCTCGCTCTCGTAGTTCTCTACGGGAGATGAACCGGCACTCACGGCGAGTGGTCGGTCCACCTGCAGGAAATGTCTGACGTGTTCCAGGTGAGAGTCGAAGTGGACGGCTTTGGAATAGGTAGGTGTCCCAGGCATACTTGAAGGCCGCCGTCGCGAGGAGGGCCGCAGAGCTGGACGAACGAGTTCACCTGACTTCTTGCGCACCATTGCTGGTCGCTCAGCGGGGGTGTCATCGCTGTCGCTGTCATCGGTGTCTGGCCTTAGGGCCACAGAGGGAGTTTGCTTCGAAGGTGATTCGAACACAATATTTGAGTCTGTCGACGACCTCGAATGAGAGATTTTCCGAGCCTCCTGCGATAAGGGCAATCGCAGGACCGCAGGACCGGCCGATTGAGTCCCGTCAAGACGGGACACAACAGCGTCTGTTCTTGTGGCAGAGGAGCTTTCCTCCCCACGAGTGGGAGACCCGGTAACCTTCCTTTGCTCTATCGACCGGATAGCTTCTTGGAGAGCTTGCAGATCCTCGTCCAAATCCCTCGACCGTCCTCGCTCCGGTTCATCCTCATCGCTCGAGTTTTGAGAGGAATCTGGGGGTGATATTGTCATCCCTGCAGGTATCAATGCATTTGTCACGGGTGGAGGCGACTGGCGAATACTACCGTGGGGGTCAAAGGCCCCGTTCACCTCGTACGCCTCGCCATTGTGAAGGATCTCAGTCTTTGCTGCATCATTCAAGGAGGGACTTCGTCTGTGCTTGGTGAGGTATGAAGAAGAGCCGCTGGAACGAGGGAGGTTGGGTCGATCTGCTTCGGCAGCCTGCGGGGAAAGTAATGGTCCTTGGATATATGAGTGAGACCGGCTCGGAGTGGGACTGGACTGTTTGGAGCTCGAGGGCGTGTGGTGGGTTGGCGGCGTGTAAGGCATTCGGTCGGCTTGTGAGAAACAATGACCGAAAACCAAGACTGCAGGTGTTTAATGCGCGATGAGGCTCATAAAGTACAACCTGCAGCAGGTCGAAAGTGGGATTTTGAGAGGGTGAAGACAATCTGAGACAGGAAAAGGCAGGTCAGTACATAAGTTAAATCATTGCGAGTAATGATAGAAGCCGATCGTAGGAGCATGGTGTGGTAGGGGTAGAACAAGTCAACGAGGAGAGGCGTAACGGTAGCGATAAGCGCAGCCACGGTCGAGTTGATCCAGGCCGTGCCAACTTTTAGGGTTGAGGCCGAACCATCGAGTGCGTCAGTTGCGAGAAGGGGAGTGGGAAGGTACTTACTGAATGGATTGCAGGGTGTGGTTCTTGAGCTCCAGGCAGGAACAAAGCAAGCGGAAAATCCAATGCTGAGGTATGTTCAAGGGTGCAATAGTCTCGTTGAGGTGAAAAAGAAGGGCCTGTCACTTCTACTGGTGCAAAAAGGCAGCCAAATACAGTCTCGCCACGGGACCAGAGATCAACCGTACAGCGACGACTTGTAGTTCTGCTACTGTTCTGCACGGCCCAGAGTCGTGACGGGAAGTACCCAAAGGACACAGGAACAAAGTCGGAGGACGTGACAATGTCCTGTTGTTATCCTCCTCTTTCTTTGTTGGTGAGACTTTCCACCCACGCAGATCCGGGCTGCTTGCTGATCGGTGACCGACAAAGGGCGAAAATGGATCAGGCAGTTTCGACCGTGGTGATACCGCTGGCCGTGGTCGTGGTCAAATGTCCCAATTTCCTTCTAGAACAGATGTCAAGAGATAGGCTGGGTGAAGGCCTAGAGGATGGGAGGTAATGGGGAGAGGATCGGTGGTGGAGGGATAAAGAAGGAGGAAGAGGGAATATTTTGGGATTCGTGGTGGTAAGAGGTGGTGTGCCAGATGGGTGCCAGAGGGCAAGGCAGGCCGACCAAAGCCAAAAGGTTGTTGAGTCTCGAGCGGCCCAAAGCAGGAAGCTCGGATCTACGCTGGACAGTGGGCGATTTGGCGGGAGGGTGGGAGAATGGGCGGTCGACGATGGATCGGATGGGCAAGTGAGGTGAGAACGGAGGGGCGGCGCTGAGAAGCTGGCGAACCTGGGAGCTGGGAGGCTAATGGCCCTAGTTTCTGTCCAAAGGTGGTTTTAGAGAGTGGGTATGGCTGGCGCGACCATTTCAGAGCGAAGAGGCGAGGACTGATAACCCTGGTCCGATGAGATGCAGTAGTGGCAGTGGGTGGGTAACCTAGGGCGCAGGCTAAAAGTGTCGCGGACTCGCGGTGGACTGAGGGCTTGGGGTGGCGCAACTCGTCAAGTTGGAGTCACTGCGCGATCCCAACGCTCGCCGCCCGACACGACGCCCACCTGGTGTGTTGCTGCGGCTAAGAATTTGGTCTGAAACGCTAATGGCGAGTGGACACCGTCGTTGACATGGGGGAAGGGCGAGGGGGAGATGTGTGACTGGAGATGGCAAGCGAATTGCCAATCGAAAGTGGTTGGAAATACCGAATACAGGGAAATGAGGAGCACATCCAAGAGGGCGACAAGAGTGGGAGCCTCTGGGGGAAGATTTTCAGAGATAGGCAAAAGATAGGAGACACACAGAGAGATACGAGTCGTGTCGGGGGAGAGAGGCTGTGGTGTACGAGTACGAGTAGGTACAAGCCCTCCCGCAGAAAATAAAGGGTGGGTATCAGTGTTTCGCCGTGGTCTGATATATAAAAAATCATCCAAGAGAGTTAAGAGCAGCAGCTTATGTGTTGAGTATCTAATATGAAGATATCCGCTTCCTCTACCACCTCGTCCACTATCGGAAATAACCTCAGGCAATAGATACCAGCAATGTGCGCAGAGTATTGGTGGCGGGAATGCGCGGAGCGTGCTGGGATGGAAAAAGCCGCACAAAGCCGCATTCAGCATATAAAATATCATGCGATGATGTTCTCAGCGAATACCCAAGCACCACTCGCCGGAACCTTGACCGGATTCCACCACAATTAATAATGATTGCTTGTATAAGATGCCCGTGGGTTTCTGTAGATGAGATGATTGCACGCACGCAGCTCTCCGTTTCCCCTCTATTGCTTCCCCCCGAAAACGGAAGAGCCGTTCACGGGAAGCGCCGGGTATTCGAAGGCGAAGAAACCAGAGGCAGAGGGAGAGGGGGAGACAGGATCACAGGATGGTCTGAGCGTGTCCTCTTTTCTTGGTCTGGTACCAGGATTGGGGTGGCAGGTCGCACGGCCCGAGTGCAAGTTTTCCAAGACCCAATGCACAGAGCTGACCTGAAATAATGATTTATTGACTGAACTGAGTTTGGCCACAATACCATTCAACTTTCCCCGCCAAAAGCAATAAAATGGGAATGGAAAAGAGCTAAAATTTCAAAAGACAAGAAGCGAAAAGGCAGTGCCACAGCAAACAGACCGGCAGAAAAACTGCTCACAATTGGCGGGAAGTTTTTGGCGCACGGCTGACTCTTCCGACCAATCAAATCTACAACCCGCGTCAGGCCAAGTCCGTCCTGGCGCGGGTCCTCTCCCCCGTCCAAGCTCCTCTTACCTCTCTCGATCTTCCCCTCGCACAGACAGGGCTTTTGGGAATAAGCCTGGGAATCTCTCTTCCCGTTCCCCCTGCTCTCCTCCTCGTCCTGTTATGCCACCAAACTGGAAAACAGAAAAGAAAAAAAAGAACGAGGAAGCACAGTCAGCAATCCTGCTCACTGTCACGATGCGTTGCTGGCGGTGCAAAGCGTCAGCACTCAGCACATTGTACTCGTAGCAGAGGGCCTCCCTAAGAAGTATATCCGTCCGAGCTCATCACCCCAGAGTCCGGTCTGCAGCATTATTGTCATTGATCGACAATAATGTACACCAAAGCCGTGTCCCGGAGAGAGAGTGCTTGTAGCAAAATGAAACACGAGACCCATAATCCCCTCCCCTCCTTGTAGTTGTAGGGAGCACAAAGTACTAGGTACTGACTGGCTGCGAGGGACGCGGCACAAGCTGACTGTCCCGCCGGCCAGCTTAGAAGGCGCGTCAGGCCCCTAACCGGATCTAACCAGGCTTGCCAGGGGGCCCAAGTCAACCAATCTCCCAGCACCGGCCAACGCTGGCTGGCTGTCGAAAGACCGCCTCCTACGCAACAACTCTTCGCTTCACAGCAACCCGTTAACCGGGCACTTTGGTCCTCGCGACACCAATGACGGCCTCTCCCTCCTCTCCAACGCAGTCACACCTTCCTTCCCGTGCCGTGTAGGGTCATTGATTCCAAGGCATACCACCGTCTGCGCGTAGGGTCGCCGACCACGGGGCCCTGAGGATCTTTTCGGACACTGTTCTTGTGTACCTGGCAATCCTTCGCGTGGCAGCGCAGATCTGCACTGGTCTTGGAGTGGTATTCGTTACCTGCAAAATCAAGATTTTTCAGAGTTCAAGAAGCGGGCACTGGCGGGCTACCCCAGGCGGCTCCTGGACCATGGCGCGCCTCAAATCACGGCCAGTAGCTAAGCGGCCAGCGGCCAGCGGGGCCTAGTTGTTAGGTCAGTTGGGCCTTGGACATGCCTTGGAAAGCCCATGTTCCTGCCCACTTTCCCCCCCGGAACTTTCAGAGAGCAATGGAAATCAATAATGATGGCTAGAGGCGACACCGCAGGCAATCGGCCTTGACGATCTTGTCGAAATGCAGACCCAGCTCATGACCCAGCCCTCCGCCGTCTCAAGCGGGAGCAAAGGGCGACGGCGTCCATAGTAAGTTGCATAGGTACTTCGTACAACCAGGTCAACCCAGTCTATACCATCTCACAAGAACTCTGAATGGGCGTTAATGCTGGGCGCTGGTCGTATCACCTCGGCTGCCACAACTTCCCCCTGTGGAAAGCTGCATGAGGAGTGGAAGTGTCCATCGCAGGTTTTGTACCCCCCGGATCATACATCCGCCCGCTACGAGTGCTCCAGAGGTCATGGAGCGCCATCTGGGACGGAGATGTGGGCTATGGTTTTCGCCATTCCAAGATTTTGTCCATACCGCAATATCACGACATCATGACCTTTGTTGCTGTTGCATCTAGCGGCTCTCATTTCTACGTAATCCCATCACGAGACCAACATTTGCATGCGGGTTCAAGAGTGAGGCGTCGATAAACCTTGGTTAGTGGTGGAAAGAAAAGAAGAAACAACTGCCAACTGCGACAAGCATGGATGCGATCGTCATTGGCGACTTCGCGAAAGCACGATGGGTCGAATGCGTCCTCAATGTTCATCTTACCCCGCGAGAATCTAAGCAGGCGACAGGTTAGCGAGCCAGGCGGGCGCACAGCCTGGAGAATTGACGCCGCACACCACCTTTGGCTGCCAGGTGAGCGCCACCTGGTCCTCTGTTTGATAACTTTAGCAGGGCGGTGAGTGGCATTCCAGCATCTGACTCGCTGACGACTGACCTGGGTCAATTTTCCACCAAGGCGGTGAGGAACAGCATCTCCTCCAATCACACCAGCTCTTTGGACACGGGCGGGCAGGCTGCGCACCCAGGGCCATGGCTTTCTGGCTGCTCGCGTCAGAGATTGTGGCTTCGCGCATACTGGGGGAACCTTCCCCATCTGTGCGAACCTAAGGCCCGTCATGCAGTGAATATTCGTACCGGATCTTGCGGCAGTGACGGAAATATACATAGATCCAGTGACCTCTGACCTCAGGTACGTACCTCGTTTGTCATTCCTGCCACTCCCAGACACCCAGATGCTCATTAAAGTGCTCACTGATCCCCAAGCCCGGCAAAGCCTCATCGTCTGATGACGTATAATGCCCTGTGTGTCTTGCTCCTGGCTGCCTGCTTGCCACGGAGCACGGTCGTGACGCGGACCCGAGTGAAGGAAAGATAGGATGTCAAGGCCCGGGAACTGGGAAAAGGTCAACACCCAGCAGAACCCATCCCAGGCGGCCCCTCGGAGGTGGGCGCACGACAAGAAATGTAACCCCCACGGCCAAAAAGGCGGTATAGCACGCAGGGCCAATCAATGCAACGCGTGGCGGGGGTCAACCTTTATCTGTGGGAGAATTGTCTCCCTTCATGCACGCACTAACTGTCACCCTGCCTTGTCGCAGCTTGAGTCAAACTACCACCGGACTGCCCCTCGCCAGTCGCGAGTCGCGACTCGAGCAGGTCTGCCTCGTATCAAAAAAGTGTATGCTTGCTCCGGGCCATCCACACGGATCGAGTCTCAATAAACGTGGACCGAGGGCGAGAGCCAAGGTTAAGCATGAATCACCCCAGGTATTATGTCCTGACTAAAGCAGTAATCGATTCCGACAATGAATACCCGAAAAATCCATCGAACCATGCAGTAATAACTGAAACGACCTCGGACAACCATAGTACCATCAACGGTGCGATGCGACGTAAACCACTAGATATGGAAGTTATCGGGGCGATTCTCGGCCCCCTCCCACCGTCAAACGTTTCTATTTTGTGAATTGACTGAAGGGCTGCGCGCCATATGGATGACTGCTCTCTCCAGGTCAGCGCAAGCAGAGTCAGCTACAAGGGATAATTTCCCCTTTGCGATAAGGGCTGCTATTTCAATCTCAACGATACAAGGGAGATGTTCTTTTTTTTCGCGGTTTTGTATCAAAGGCACTCTGACTGCGTCCATGATGTTGGCGAGCCTTGGACTTCGCACCGGCCAGGGATGGACCAACACCTGCCTAGGTGGAAGACACCGGGACTGTTTGCCCTCTAGATAGAGTTCTTGACGGGTTTCAACCAAACAATACCATTGTCACGGACGTTTTGGACAAGGCGCTTAAACTGGCTCCTCGCCGACTCCTCGCCGCCTCCTCGCCGACTTAGCATATCTCGACCATGCTATCATGTACGAGGTGGATATTGTCCCATCGCTTGTGTTATAAATCGCCTTCCCCATCTTGCGCGCGTGCTATCTCCTTTTCATCTCGAAAGGGCAGATGGTAGTGCTCCTCAGGTCAAAGCCCGTCCACGGTTTTGCAGGTGTCCCCACAAGCCCTCCAGGACCCTCTTTAGGAGAAGGTATGGAGGAGTCTGGAGGATACTGCACTGCCTGCTTGGAGCCTCCCCCCGGCAGCTTGCAATCTTGTTATGCAAAGGGACGGAGTTGTCGTGTAGCTGCATGTCAGTCACAGTAGTTTTTGCGTGGCCACAGCCCCTCCTCTTCTCAAGCCAAGGAGGGGGTGAGCAGCTCGCCTCCTCACTTCCACCACCCAGAAACCCTACTGATCGACTCTGCCAGTTGCAAATCCCTTAAGCGCAAGGAGATTTTAAGTCCAGGAGTCCCTGCGGCGGGTGAAGCCTCGGATACTGGATGGTTGAACCCTTGGGCACCGTGGGAGGGGTTCCCCTCCCTCTTGACGAGCCGTGTCGACTCCCACATTGGCTCTTTGAATAATGGCCAGGACCCTGGGAGCGGCAGTTACTGCTTGACCTGACCACCCTCCATATTTTAGCTGCCGGTATATCCATAGCGGTATCCATCTTTTTTCTCATCGCTGGAGGGGCGCGCTCGAATCGAGTGGATTGGGGGTGGGTTTCTAGACATGGGAGGACGGGCAGCCTAGGGCGCCATCAGGGGGAGTCGCTTATTCGATAGCCAGAGTATACGTGGCAAAGACACCAGTATCAATCCATTATTAATACATGGTTAGAAGATGGCGTCAAAGGCGCTAGGCCAGTACAGAGTCAAGCCGTCGATGAATAAGGCGAGGTGTTATCAGTGAGTGTTTGTGTTTTGGATTTCAGCTGCGAAGCATGTGCCATTCTTTGCTATTTCTGGTCACATGATCAGCTGATCTCCTATGGATTAGTAGGCCCAGCCGGAGAAACTCGATATTAGTAGCCGGTTCGGGTAACTAGCGGGGAAGGATCCCCGGGGCCATACCCTGTAAACGCTGCAAACGGTGCAAACACCAGCCACACAAATCCACCACGGAAATTCCTTTGGGTGGGCTTTACTAGGTATTCTTGCCATCAAATTTTTTCAGGCCGCCTTGTGCGAGAATAGCATAGTAAGACGCAATATACACTCCCGCCCTCCGTACCGAAGCACCACTCTGGACTCTACTACTGCGCGGAGATATTCGTATCGTGCCCTCCTCAACCGTTATGGTGGCAAATTGCAAGGGGAAGCCACATCAACCCTCTAACAAAAGCCCTACCTATACCTACATACCTGGGCAGTCCCACTCTATGGACAGCTGGCAGGCGACATCCCCAACATAATCATTCTCTGCTGCATCAAGAGTCTCGTCTCCGTTCTCCATCTCCAGAGTCCGTAACCTCATGCAAACGACTCCAGGGCATATCTCCACCTGGGGAGGCCTCGACCTCCTGCTGGATCCAGTGTTGGGTCCACCATCATTGACAGTTGGCGGTGTGAGTATGCACTCCGCAAACATAATCTTTGCGAACTACTGGTCTGTGTCCAATGTCCCCAAACAGGCAAACCGAGAGCGGTGGGTATCGTTTCGTCTCCTTCTTCTCCAGGTTTGGGAGCATTAAGCCAGAAGACTGGGCGCATTACCCGTATCAACTCCACCTGTCGGACTGCCAAATGCTGGCCGCTCAGAGTTGCTGGCAGTTTTGATATCAAAGGCTTATGCAAGCCACGCTGGCGCCATCACTTCACCCTGGTGGATATGGTTGACTTGCAAGTCGCCACTACTACTCGTATCGGCAGAGGATGTGCCGTTCGTGGGCTAGAAATGGCGTACCCTTTGGTGCCCGACTCCTCCGCCACCGGAACGCTCTTGATCCTTGGCCGTGTTGATGTTGCACATGCTTCGTATCGAGTGCATGGCGCACGACCTTCCAACGACGCAGCCACGAAACCAGCCATCAGAGACAGGGAACGTCACACATCATGGACGTCTAAGCGCCTCTTACAAAATTGTTGGGACGAGGCCCCTTGCTGATCTATGCAGCGATGGCGGGGTGCAGTCGCCCCAGGTCTCTTGCTCGCAGCGTTCTCATCCGTGATTTGTCCAGCTTGGAAATTCTCCATGCGAGCCACTTTTTGACATGTGAAAATTTCTGTCCCTCCAGCTTCCAATCCAGAGTAACCTTCCGCCACTCTATGCTATGGGGCATCCTTGCTCACTCTCTGACCGCACAAGTATGCGAGCTTTACCTCCAGAACCGTTTTCGAGATCGTGGGGATCCCCAGACCTCGTTCATCTCCCAAAGCTTGCGCAAATGCAAATATGTCATCCCAGCCCAAAACTGACCCGCCGACTTGGAGTCTAGGTTCTTTTGAACGGTCCAGGTCGACCGAGTTCCCATCTGGGCTCGAGGAACACGAGAGCAGGAGCCTGTTTCAGCTTGTTGGGACCTTGATCGGCGCGCTCCGCCTGAGCAATGTCAAGGTTGCTCGACAGCCATACCTTCCCATAGAAGTCCGGTGCGATCGAACACTTTCGATGGTCGAACCGCCCGGTCGATCCTCGTTGCCTGAGTGCCATTCGTGCAGTTGATGTTCCTTTCACCTCATCCATGGCTGCTTGTCCACGAGAGACAGCTCCCTGTGCATCCCTGTTTGAAGATCTGGAAACTTCCAGGACCTCTCAACGCTTCAACCCCTTCAATGTCCCTCCCATCGACAGACAACATCATCGATGGTTTGAGACATGTCACCCGTGCAATTGGTTGTCCAACTCTTCCTCCTCGTGGCAACGTCTTGTCTTCGTTATGACCAACGACGCTAATGCGGGTGGCTTCAAGGTTTGCTGCAGAATACCCGTTGATCTCGTTGTCCACGACAGCATTCTGCTTATCAGACCGCTCAAGTTTGTTCTTGTTCGACTATGCTAATTAGCAATAGAATCTCAAATCAAGTCAGACCTTTCGGAATCATGCTCATCAACAGACTTCCCGTGCTACACGACATCCACCTCAATGCTGAAGCAGCTGCCACTGCCCATCCTCCTCCATGGGGTTACACCGCATGCGGTCTGTGTGCAACATCTTGAAAAGTCAGTCTGTTGAAGTGTCCTTGGCTCCTAACCCCGCCGCCACCTCCCACATCATGACTTGGGTCCTTCGATTGCCTTTCTGCCACTATAGTTTGGTGTGAGAACGTGTCTCTAGCATGCAATGTTTGCACAGTCAAGTGTGGTTGTGACCACTACTTCCCTGCAGCACAGCCGTGAATTGAAGATTCAACATTCGAACCCAGCCACCAGTCCAGCCGAAGTGCTTTCCTTCCAAGACTCACGGTGTCGACCTGACCGCCACCATGGAGACAGCGCTCACCACTTGGACTGTTCCCAAGGCTTTCGATATTTCCTTGGACCGTGTACCCTCCTTTGCTGGTGCGGGCATTCCGAAAGAGCGCTTCGCACCCAGGCCCCTTGGACCTGGTCCAGATTCAGGCATAAGAATCACATTGACAAGAAGTATCGACAAGTAGGCAGCGGTCTTTCGAGCATCGTCTCGTGAAGTCAGGTACCTCCGTACGCCTTCACTTTGCTCACCATTCCACGCACAGGTAGTACTTGTCTGCTACACGCAGAATGCGCTCAACCAGAGGTACCGTGGGCAGCCCGCGCCGTCGCTCGCTGCGAGATTCATTTCCAGCATAGCTCGACCTCTTAATTACAGGGAACTGTCTCTCAATTCGTCTCATGCTCGAGTGAATTGATCTTCTCTCGACTGAAAAAGGACCAGGTCCCTCCGTCATTCAGCTTCTGTTCGATGGTTATCTCCTCGAAGAGCCCTTCAACACTCCGCTACAAGCCACGTAGTATGATAATACTGTCTCGTCCCTAACGTATACCGAGGCGCAAACAGACCAGAGTTGAGTTGGATTCCAGCATTTCTTCGGGTCCTGCATCCTCATCCCTTGCCATTCGACTCTCGCTCCTGTATTGCTCTCGGTTCCTTAAATGTCCTTGCTTCTTCCACATCCCATAACGGCGCGTCCTGCGCTGTTTTGATCCAAACTATTTCGAACCTCCAAAGGCATTCATTGACCATCGAGCCGACATGCCTACCTACCTACCTGCCTACCTGCCTGAATACATTGGAAACCACACACCGAGATGCCCGTCTTGTCCGGGTACCTCGTTTCGCCATGAGGTTTCCCATTCGACGGAGGTAGCTGCCGGTGCATCTATGAGTCGTTTGGGGTATGGGTAACCCCGTATCGGCAATACGGTATGCGTACCTCCGCATGGGGCACCTCGCTGTGGATGCCTCCTGGACGTGCTACGCATGAGTAGACATACAATACGTCGGTGGAGATGAATATGATTATGAATAATGGCCATGGATATGGATATGGATATGACCACGGATATGTGTCTGAATAAGTATAAGATAAGGTAAGCTGACCAAGGCCCATCCAGGACCGCCGGCAAAGAAACAATTACCCATTACAAACCAAATACAAGCACGCAGCCTGATCTGCACTTGCTACTAGCACGGCCAAGATCAACAATGACGCTCTAATAATCGCTTACTGTCATGTCAGCCTCATCAGTAGCAGGCGGGTGGGGGGTTTTCAATCGGGCCCGCCAGAGACGTCTGGAAAAGGGTAAGGCTAAGACGATATGTATGGTTTCGCGCTTCGCTGGCGGTGGCGGCGGTGGTGGACATCGGATATATAGGCGGGTCGGTCGGTCGGTCAGCGATCGACGTATGCATTGTGGTTGCGATAGCGGCCAGTTGGAACGTTCAGTGATTTAATTTCCGTGCTCACTGTGTGCTCGATCCAAACGAGTCAGAAGAAACACCAGCGAGAGACGGACGCTCCCCAGAATTGCAGAAGAGGGTGGACACAGCGAGTTCCAGCGTGTCCATTTCCGCCTCTACCAACTTCCCCAAGAGGTCCTGAGAAACAGGTGCCGACAGGAAGGAATCCAAAGGGGGCTCGTTGGAACGAACACCGGGCTGTCGCGATTCTCACTTTGAAAATTGGGGAAAAGCGAAAAATGATCCTCGACAACGTCGGCAGACGGCTCAGGTACGAGTTGCTGCCTGCAACAAGTGCAGGGGCCGAGGCAGAGGACGGAGACGGAGACGGCGACAATACGGGTCGGAGCATCATCGCGACAGGAAATCCGTGGCGGTCAGATCGGGCCAAGATCCTGTCCATGGTGGTCGTGATCGCCAGCGTGGTGGTCCTCGTCAGCCTCGGCCTGCGCTTCATCATCGCCGAGAGCGCCACAAGAAGCAACAATAACGCCGCCACCCTGTCGTCGTCGTCGCAGGATTGCGGCTCGACGCGTGACTCGGCGCTGACGCGAGGCTGCGTGTTCGACATCGTGACATTCGCGTGGGTGGCTCCAGCGTGCCACGACCGCGAACTGTCCGCTGAATTCGGCTCTCTGCGGGCCTGGGGCTGGTTTTTGGACCAGAACAGCACGCAGGCCGTTCCTCAGAGCGAGGTTGAAGACGGGAGGTTCGATGTCGTCTATGTCTCGCGCGCGCAGTTGGCGTACCGCTGCGTGTACATGTGGCGGAAATTGCACCGTGCTATCCTGCGCAGGGGTCCTTTGGATAGTTTTGTTGCGCAGTATAACACGACTGAGTATTGTGGGCGGATGTTGCTTGACGGACACAGTCAGAAGTCAGAGTCTGTGGACAAGTCTGCTGTCCTCATGATGTCCCGTTTCGCGTCTTGTGGGATCTGACAAAAGGGACCAAGGATGTGCTCGTTAGCCAGGCGCCGGTCTCAGCCCTGAATCCCTCTACTCGACGTTCTTGATGTGAAGAGGGCAAGGGTTTACTTGGTGGGGGACTTTTTGGAGTCGACGGCTGCTGAGCTATTGAATGGCCTTTGCATACGCCGCGTGCAGCATGGATAACGGGACGGTGTTGCGCAACTGAGATGTGCAGGCTGGCAGCTCTTAGACCTCAAAATCTTCATCTTTCGAGAAGGTCGAGATCACACACCGTCTTCCGCGGGATCCGTCACCGCCGCCCTGGTCAATCCCTACCGTTATGATTATGAGAATCTTGCAAAGGACATAAACACGTCTTGGTGGTGAGACTCCCTCCACGAGCACTGCTGATGGCATGCTGATCCACATGATTCAGCTTCGCTTGACCTGCTGGCGGGTTATAAGTTCCTTAACAGGATTGACGCTGGGAGCGTATTACCCAATGTTGACTGGGGGATTTTGCTCTCACCCAGCCCAAGTCCAATTCTGCCCATTCGTGAACTACCGCTATATCTCTTTCTCCGGTCTCTTCTCTAGGTCCTTCTGGCCTTTGAATGTCCCAAGAAACCATACCCAAGTTCCAAGACTGTAACTTAGCGATGTCAGCTCTCAGTGGCAGATGATGTTGATAGGGTTGTGTGCTCTGTGTCTCGCAGGTGCACTAAGAACGACAAAGCTCGCCGGCCCGACGCTGTTCTTCTTCGGCAAGAACATCGCCCTGAGTGGCACAGCCCAGGAGCCCCTCTCTCCGGTCTTTGAATGTTGGAATCTGAACTTGCCATCTGTCTGTTGTAGTCCGTTCATGTTGCTAAGAGCCTGCGTCACTCCGGCTTGAATCTCGTGCAGGACGCCTTGGTCGTCAGTAGGAAAACGAGAGTCTTTCAGATGGGTTTGGGGAAAGCTGCGCTCAAGTTAGCTGCAGAATAGATGCTGCTCGGAGAAGAGTCAATAGATCTTGATAATGACAAATGTGCTCACTGAGTCGGGTTGGCGTCAGTGCTGCTGTGTTCCATACTATGTTGCTTTTGACAATGGTGCAAGGGTTCTGGGCTGGTCTGAGTCTGATCATGCCTTGCTCGTCAGAGCTGCGAGGCATTTCTTTCAACCCTCTGATTTTCGCGGAGGCGTGGTTGTTCGGGTTCACAAAGCAATGCACAAAGCAGGCGATGCCCAGACTGTTTGCCTCCTGTTCCCCTGTCGAGCTGCGTAGCAAACAAGCATGCTGCACAATCACCACCAACCCCCGTTGCAAATGTTTCGCCGTATGAATGTCATCCAGCTAATGCTCGACCGTAGTATACTGCCGACACCGCGTTGTATACCGCGTCGCCGCCATGCAGTCCACCGTAGTGATCCACTTTCATTCAATATGCTGCCCCAGTATTCACAATTGGGAGGCAGTTCTCTTTCGTGAATTTCACAAACGACCGTTCACACCTACCTACCCTTTCACCTCTCACCTCTTTTCTTCGTTCTTGCTTTCCATGCACTCTGATCATCAACACATGTCCCCTTGGATACACGAATCCCACAGCCTCAAACTGAACCTCGTGCTCAACATGGGTAACGAACAAGTCTCATCGATGATCTCTGGCGACTTTGATCCTGCTGCTGGTGAACGCGCGACAGACCAACAGGACCAGAAGCAGGAGTTGGCGGCGGAAGAGATGGATGTTGTCAAGAAAGAAGAAGAAAAGGGAGACGTCTCCGATAACTCCAACACTGCTGCCGCTGCCGTCGTCGTCGCTGCGCTTCACAGCGCTGCTGTCGCTTCTGTCGCAAACGCTCCACCTCGCGACGCCGAGACTGACCCCGACACAAAAACCAGACTCGCGATCAGCCAAATTCCCATCAACCAACACAAACCCAGCCTCGCTGCCAACACCTACCTCGAGTTTCCCTTCAGCCTCGACGCGCACAAAGTCTTCTTGAAAGAGTTCCAGGACAACTGGGGCTACGGGTTGAGGTATGTATGATGAAAACTCAAATTCATCTCCCGCTCATCTCGATGACTTTTCGAGACTGACTCCTTGCTGACCTGTGGCTGATCGACTTTTCATCGCAGACACGACTACTACTCCGACACTCGCAAAATCGCCATCAGAATGGGTACCGTCTTCCACAGCATCTTTGCCTACAACGTCGGCGACCAGGTCGCGAACGACCTGCGCATCCGCAAGTACCATCCCGAGAAGCTCATCGCCGACTTTGCCGCCCAGATCAAGCAGCGCACCGACTCTCCCGTTGACTTTGCCGAGGACGGTAGCTGGCACTCTCCCGACGTGGCCTTTGCTCACATTGGCGCGTACTACCCTGGTGTGGTCTTCGAGATCAGCTTCAGTGAGAAGAAGTTGCCGTTGCAGGAGCTCGCGCAGCAGTACTTCCGTGGGTCAGACGGCGAGGTTCAGGTCGTCGTTGGGTTTGACATCGAGTTCCCTGACGCGAAGAAGGGGAAGTTCATGGTTTGGAAGAAGAAGGAGACTAAGCATGGCAAGATCAAAGCGCACTTGGTTCTTGAGGAAGTAAGAAATCTCTCTCTCTCTTTTTACCTTTTCTTTCCCATTCTCGCGCCATCTTTTACTGACATACCTACTCTTCCTAAATTTTAGGAGTTCCAACACTCAGACGGCAAGTTGAACAAGGACTGCAAGGGCATCTACCTCAACCTCGCCGACTTCTGCCCGGCCCGTATGATCCCTGACGATGTGAAGCCAATCATCGCGCAGCGCACCTACCTCGGCCACGACACCGGCATCCACATCCCGGCGTTCGAGCTCTGCAACTTCCTCACCATGGCCCACACCAACCACCAGCTCGCCATGGCTCACGCTCGCGCGCAACAGCAAAAACAGCAGGCGTAAGCAAGAACCGCGGGCGGGCGGGAGGGAGGTCAACCACTGCGCTGCAGCTGCAGCAACAACCACAACCACAAAGTGTCGGCCTACGCGGCCTAGATACTAGGATAGCTTTTCTTCATCAGAGCTAGAACAAGTTTCCAATGAAAAGAACAATTGACATGGCATGATCCTATTTCCTTTCATCTTCCCATCTCTCTTTAGTGCTGGTTTTGGTTGACGTTGTTCGCCGTGCGATGCGGTAAGTATGTAGCTTGTTCAACACAGCGCTCCTTTGACAGATAACGACGCTTCATCCCGCCTTGTAAGTTGGACAGCCTTCAAGTGTATGCTATCGTATAGTCTGTTGACCCTGTAGTCGTCGACGAAGACGATGATGGCCGTGGTGGTGATGAGACGTTGAATCTACTCCGCGTCAAGTAAAGGGGGTAAACAAATCGACGTCATGAGGAGGTGCGATCATGGGCCCCGATTTGGGCAAGTCTAGCGACAAGCGAAAATTCAGTGTGGGACTAGAGTCTTGGCAGTTTAGGGCTGGCCAACCACAGGTCAAATTGTGCACGGAAACTTCCAGTCCACCGTGTATATTGGGGCCGAGTACTCCGCCGTACGAGTATAACTGGGAATTACGTCGGCACCTGGTACCCGCGCTACAAGATGCGACTGAGCCTGTTGTCGAACGTGGGCTTCAAACTTGCTGCCCGGAGGATGTTTGTCGACAATATGCTAATATACGGTAGGCAAGGAGGGCGAAAGCCAAGAAAAGACGAGAAAGAAGAGGACTCTCCAACGCTCGTCTCATGCATGACAGTCCGTCATGGCAATGGTCCTTTACCTCGAAGAAGGAGCCGGATTCGAAGATGGGATGGCACCTGTTCTAACATAGAACATAGGCCATATCAATTCTAGCCGAGCATGCTCGACGGCAGCGAAGAGGTCATCATGTTAATATACCCATCTGGGCCATGCCAACGGCGATTCCCTTTAGGGCTTCAGGGAGCGTCGACAACGCAGACGCCTAGCCAACGTCGCTGTTCCCAGTATCCCTTGATGAGGTGCACTTGTGAGACTTCCTCTCCTAAAAAGCATCGATCCTGCTCGCATGTGTGGCGGCGTAATATTCCTTCCAGTCTGGATCAGTTTACAAGGGAACAACGGGTATCTACTACTATCCAGAACCTATCTTTCTCTCCAATGCTCTTTACCTCTGGCCTATATAACTCTCTCTTTCTTCCGAACAACATCTTCCACAAAGCTCAGAAGAATTCATCCTCAAAGATCATACAGCCTCCCCCACCGGCCCAACCCCCTCTCAGACCACACCGGGCTCATCGCGACCAGCAACTTCTGCATTCGCGTGGCCCTCCTTCAACAAGATCTCTGCACAATCTATCTGTGGGGATATCGCCTGGACGCTAACGGCTACCCTTGTGTAGCGGTGCATTGCCATTCTTATTGACACCCGCGACGCCTTTTGGTAAGTGCGGTATTAGGAGGAACACTGCCTCAAGACTGCAGCAGCAGGCTGCTCTGCGGAGGACGTTGTTTCCATCAGAGTTGTGATGCTGAAGGTGCACCCCGATGCCTTGTTTGTTTGGGTAAGTAACGGAAAACTTCGACGTGGCCGGGCTACACTGCTGACTGGTGATATTCTTGAGGAGTGACGTCCCAGGAGGCTAATACCAACATCAGTATATTAATGACGACGTGGCAGGCGGTGTCCAGGAGCGAAGGAGGAAGACGAGGGCCGGAGGGATGAAGGTCAACCTACACAGTAAATGTGAGCGATCATCTGGGGTGTTTGCCTATGCCCATCTCGTCGGCGAGGGCCTCCTCTAAGGCACTGCTATATGTGGAGGAAGCTGTCCAGTTCAGTGACCTGCCACGGCGTTAATTAGATGTTGCAGGGCGTACCTGGAGTTTGTAAAGCGTCGATTTCCATTCCCAGGCGCTGCTTGGCACCCGCGAAGCCAATCCATTCAGTCTCGAGGTTCCGGAATTTCTGCATCCGCTCTGTAGAATCCACAACGTCATGTCCCAGAACGGCTCTAGCATTGACCATGTCCGTGAGATCCTGAGAAAGCTGTACGTCTCGGAGGAGTTTTCCCTCGTTGCCGAATTGCAAGTCGCATCTTCAAACAGTCTTTCGACCATTGGGAGACAACCGCAGCTGGTGGCTAGACACAAGGGTTCGTTGGCCCACTGTTTCAGGACCAGGACATCACCCCACATGGCGAAGACGAGATCAAAGGAACTAATAAACGAGCCAGGGCCTCGATTTCTTGTCTGAGGAAGCCCGCTGCGTCATAATAAGTTGGTGGAAGATTCCAATGTTTCGAACCTATGGCCTGATCCTGGAATTTCGAAGAGCACGGGAGTCGGGAGACCTCGCCGCACTGGATGATTGATGGACACTGGAAACCTTCTCCATGTTCTCTTGCACTGGGCTTGGACAGACATTTAGGAGGTCAAGCATGTTACTTGTCTCAAATCTCAATTCTCTGGCTATGGACGTTGGCGCATCTAAGCGCAGGCACTTTTGTAGACGCTGTGACTCGGTAGACAGGGGCTTGGTAACATGCCGTTTAAGGACCAGGGATCGAGAGGCTCACACAGTGAATATAGCGCACGTGCTGATACCGTGACAAGCACTGATATGACCATCACTTGGCGAGCCGCGCACGAAATAATATCACAACAAAAATACATCTTGATGGTTGCGCAAAAAAGAATGGTATTTACAGAGGTAGGTTCGCAGTTTCCTGCGTGCACCATCTCTGAAGGAACCCATTAACCACCTAAGCCAGAGTCCCAAAGAACCACTAATTGAACTACACACTAGGTGTAGAGAGTCCCGGAGAACCACTTTTGATGCAAAGGCCTGGGTCGCACCACTAGGCTAATGTTCCTACCAGGGCAGGCGATGGGAATTGTGGGTTTATTTTATATATACATACACAACAAGGCTCCGAATACGCCCCACCCCGTCCCCGGCAGCTGATTGGTCGAACGTGAAGAGCCCACACTAAGCCTTTCTCGGCTACGGCGGCTACGGCGAAGTGTCATGCTAACAAAATCGCAGAATCATCTTCGTTTAATCCACGACACACCCCTCAACGACACAACCGTCGGAATTATCTCAAGTAGAGCGTCCCTCCAAGTCCCACCTCAGCCTCAATGTCGGAAGCCGAGTCGAAGCGCCTGGCTCAGGCCGAGTATTGGGATGAGCGCTACGCCAAAGTCGGCCCGGACGAGCAGGTCCACGAGTGGTTCAGGTCCTTTGACGACCTTGCTCCCTTTCTAGACCGGCATCTATTCCAAGTCCGAGGGCCAGAGACGGCACCTAAGATCCTTCATCTGGGATCGGGAGATAGCGTAAGTTCCTTCTCCCTATCTTCCACACGAGTAGGAACCCTTGGAGTCGAGATTTACAAAAGCGGCTGAACCCTGGTGCCTATGCTAGACGATCCCCGAGGACCTCTCAAGAAGAGGATACAAGGACCAGCTGTGCGTCGATTTCTCTCCGGTTGTCGTAGACATCATGTCGAAACGACATCAAGACGTCGGGGGCATTACCTGGAAGCACGCCGACGTCCGGCAGATGGATGAGGTACTGCCGTCCGAGTCGGTAGATGTAGCCTTTGACAAGGGGACTTTGGATGCCATGATTTACGGGAGTCCCTGGGACCCGCCGGACGAGGTGCTTGACAACACCGGTCGCTACATTCGGGAGGTAAGTTCGCGAAATCCACCACCAACACATCTTCAACAGATTTACATTTATTGATGGGAAACTGACTAATTCTTCGCTAATATTTGGCCGCTTTAGGTCTTTCGCGTCCTCAAACCCGACGGGACCTTCATCTATGTCACATACCGGCAACCGCACTTTATAAAACCGCTTCTCAACTGCAAAGGCGTCAACTGGGATATCACGGTGGATGTGCTGGGCGGTTCCGGCAGCTCTCTGGACTACCACGGGTTCGTGCTGAAGAAAGCGACGACGACAACGGTAGCCGAGCCAGCGGAGGCGGCGCAGACAAGATGAGGCAGCTCCGGCTGATATCGCCGGCCCGCAGTCACAGTGTCGTGTATCTTGTTGATAAAGACTTGCAGATCGGAGGAGCAGCCTAGCTCGAAGATGCTCGACCAGGGACAAGAAGGATGCCCCAGGAAACGAGCTGCCGGTATGGAGAGGTCAAGTAATCTCTCACACCCCGAAGCCCGCTGGGACGCTGATGCAAGTGCTCGGGTTCTCTAAAGCAGGTGAACATTGAGGGAGATGAGTTTCAGCCAGTCTCACGGGGTATGCCAAACCACCACCGATTGTCGCTGTCTACACAGGGAATAAATAGCAGAAGGCACCCTCCTCCGGCGACGATAATTGTCACCAAGCTGCGCCTCCTCTAGATCACCACCGGCAACAGCGCTGGCGAACCTGGGCGGAATACGATATACATCTAGAACAAGATCAAGGAATGAGGACTGATCAAGTTGAAGGGGTGCCTTAAGCAGGCACAATAGCATTTATTCACTACATTTTTTTGGTGTTTTCGCCAGTATGATCTCCCCAAGCTGCTCTGCTCCGTAGAGCTTCTGTTCCATCAACCGTACTTTTTTTTTTTGGTGTTTTTTGCCAGTTTTTCTCCACCCGTGAAAGCTCCCCCTGCGGTGATTTTCATCAAGCATAACATAACCTGAGCTCAGTGAGCTGGAACCGGTATCCTATCAGAGCCTCCAATAAACTCCCGGTCCCCCTCCTTCCGTCTCAAGCGCGTGTTTGGGTATCTCTGATTCATTGAAAAAAAAAAACATGATGGGTAGTAGGGACAATGGAGACTGTCTGCAGAATGTGCACATCGCATGCCCTCGGATTCAGGTTTTGGGAAAGTGTGAAAGTTTTCTCGCATCGTTCTGCGCCCTCGGATTCTGGTTTTGGGAAAGTGTGAAAGTTTTCTCGCATCGTTCTGCGCCCTCGAGTTTCTGGACCCCGAAGAATTCGATCAGAATGGTGCACGTTCGTCCGGGATCATGAGGTTCCTCATAATAGAAGGGTCTCCTGGAGAGGAGGGAGGCGGGGGCACGATTTCAGGGACGCGTTCTGATTCTTCAATCACTTTGGCCACACCGTCTTCTGCATCCTTCATGATTTGACAGAGTTCTTGGACCGAGAAGACTATGGCCTTGTTGCGCATGGAGAGAGGGACGATGGCTGGTGGCGCGATGTCGAGCATGGGGATTCGCAGGGGATTGCCTGGAACAAGGGTGCCGTCTTCATCACGAATGTCCTAAAATTACCCGAAAGGTCAGTGGGATTGTACAGGTAAGCCAGGAGTGAGAGAAGACTAACTTGAACATGCATCTTGAGTCCGTCGCCGTCGCGTCTCCAAGTCGACAAGACGACTCTCTTGGATTGATCCTCGTCGAAGTCGACAGCAATGAGCACTTGAGTTTCACGCACACTCTTGTGGAGGTAGAAGTCGGCCAAGTCTGCAAGTCGAGCGCGCTTGTGGGAGTTGACAAGCTCGAGACAAACACCGTAGTTGACTGAGACGTCATGGCTGAAGAAACCATCCGGTTGGTGATAATCCTTGATGTAGGGATCTCTCGCAAAGCAGTATGCAGACTCGCTGTTGCCGAGCTGGCTCACAAATGCCGCTTCTTCAGGGGAAGAGCACAGTTGTCGCATTTTCGCACCGAAATGCTGGGAGAACCCACAAGTATGCTGCTGAGCTCCAACTTTGAACCCGTGAGCAAAGAGATCGTGAGCATACGCAGGCTTTTGGTGGTAAAAGTGCCCGGTGTTGGAGAAATAGCCGCCTCTGCAATCTCGGTTGTTAGCAAATGGTCAAAAAAGGTTGACAATCTCACTTGTCCCTCAAATAGACATACCGCAAATCGTCTGCGCCAGTGGGGGTGGTTCCGCGAAGTGCGTGGCAGTTGTCGAGACAGATTCTGAGACGGTCCACGTGGCGTTCTTCCAGTGGGAATTCGGCCCAGCGAGGACGTGGGAGAGTCACCTGTCGGATGATGATTTCTTTGACAGTGGACTTCACAACACGAGCGTCGTTGGGGGCGGTGGGAAAGATGTTCAGCATTCTCTTGAGCCTCCAGTAGAGTTCGACTTGCTCATCACTTGGAACAGGTTCACCAAGCGGCGGAAAGTCGTCTTCTTCCAAGTACTCAAACTCCACTTCGGACGCAAGGTCATCTTCAGCCTCTTCTGCAAGCTGGCGGGCTCGCTCGGCGAAGATGGCTTGGTCGGCCAGTGCAATTTGGGCATGGAAAGCAGCGAGGTCATCAAGCGGGTCTTCGTCGTCGCCGCGGCGATGGATGGGAGTAGAGGGATCCATGGTGTGATGGAGTGTGAAAGACGGAACAAGTGAGACGAACGCGGATTGTCAACAAATAATTTTAGGCAATACTTCGGCTGAATACCTATTTAGGTAGGATAGCCGATCGCAGAAATACATGGTGCAGTCTGATACAGACTGCTCAATAACCACGAGGTGACCGCCTAGTATATTAGAGACAGCTGGAGCCTGGTATCCAGTACTAAGTATAAGGATTCTACGGTCCTTAAGAGCAAACAGGATATCCATCTGATTGAGGATGATCTTATAGCTAACAGTCTCACACTTCCACCTTGCTGTCGTCGTACCCTGTTCTTGCAAGAACTGTGCCACTTGTCTTTGAAGTCGGGTCGAAGCGATATACAGCGCACGGGCTTGGCAGGTGAATTATCTACGGCCGAGCATAATTGCGGCACTGGGTGTCTACGGTCGGTTATTGATACCCGCCAGACGCAAGACATCGTTTGTCGGAGAAAGTGTTTGGCACAACCAGTTCAAGCCATCTGAAACCACCAGCAACTAGGAAGTCTCATGCCTGCATTGCTAGTGTTTGGGCTATCCAGACAAAGAGAAGCGGCGACAAAGTCCGTCCAAGCCAGCAATGCCAATCACTCTCCATGGGCTGTACGGCCGGAGAATAAAAGGACATGGCAGCGTCAATTAATCTACCTAGGTAGGTCAAAATCACAAGATGTCGATATCGTAGTGTGGAGGATCAACAACCTGGAAGATAACCAGGTGGTTGTGGTGTGACGAGAGTCAGCCCACTATGCCTCGTACAGCGTCTAGAACAGGGCTATGTAAGGGAGGGAGGAGATAATCATCCACGCAAAGGAACTTTGGGGGGCGGGACTGGGGGCGCAGTTAAGTAGCTGGTCCGTCCTCCGTGGATCATCGCTAGATACCTAGTAGGTACCTTCTCAACTACCATTCCTTCTCCAACTCCCACCCACGTTCTCCAACGCATTATAAAGGTATATCTACCACCTAAATAAACACCAGCAACCATCATGACCATCGCCCAAAGAACAGGTCTCAATTTCCGTCCCCCATCGACGACCCCTGCTGCTGACCCAAGCTCCTTCGAATCCCCTCACGTTTCCTTCCTGCAGGGGACATGGAACGTCACTCACTCGACCCTTCCCATGTGGAAGAACAACCGCAACGTAACGATCACGTACACTTCCCTGCCCGAGAACGCCGAGCACCTCGATGACCTGGTCGAATACCAACCCTTGAAAAATGACAAGCACAAGCGGGTCGAAGGCATCGACACCCCGGACGCCCACACCAAAGCCGCATACAACTGGCGCGGCAAGGGCCTGTTGAAAGTCGCCTCGAGCCACTGGGAGATCCTGGGATACGGGGAAGAAGAGGGCGGCTGGGTGGTCACGTATTTCGAAAAGACGCTGTTTACACCCGCGGGCATCGACATCTACGCTCGGCGCAGAGGCGGCGTGTCCGAGGAGTTGCTGGAGCAGATCAAGAACGAGATAAGAGCCATCAAGCACCACCACATCCAGAAACTGGCCGATCAACTCTTTGCCATCAAACACAATTGGTGACGGAGTATGTGATAGGATGGTTTATGAGAGGTGCCGACGGCTTATCCAACAATTCGACCCGTCGAGGTTCCGATACCAACCGCCATCAAGTAGCTCCTGCTCCATGGCTGCCCATTTCTGGACCTTTCCTCCCCCGGTCGTCTTCAAGTCCAAGTCGGCGAGCTTGACGTCTACAATATCGACTCCTCCATCGACTGAGTCGGCTCTCCGCTTTAGAGCCAGAAAGACGCTGCAATCCCTCAACGCCATGGCCACGCCAAAGTCCTTGCCATTTGGATTGAGAAAATCGTCCAAGCCCACATACCCATGGTCTTCCTGAAGGGTCTGGAGATGTCTCAAAGCAGGCTGTACATTTTCTCTAAACGCCGCCACAAATTTGTCGATCCCATTCTCGAGTGGCCAGATATTCCCCAGCGTCCGCTCCAATACAGCGTCTTGATCTGCTAGCAAGTCCAACGGACAGAATCCCGAGTCACCCCTCCCTTGGTGACCTCCGGCTTTCCTCCGCATCGCATTTAACGCGCACGTCCTGCAATTTCTCGCGTCCGCCGGTGCACTGGGACTCTGCACCAGCCATTTGGGCTTGAACTCGACCAACCAGTCGATCCCGGGACCCTGCAAGTTCTGCATGAGAATGCCATACTGCTCGTTCTCGTACGAGGGCAGATAGACGTGGCGTCTATGGTGGTGGCGGATCTTTTTGCCCTTGACACCTTCCGCCGAGAGGGCAGATAAATCCACAGTGTCAAGCTCTCTCAGTTCCTCGTTCGCCTCGCTCACCATTTCTGGGGTGAGCTTATACAGCGCCTGCTCCATCAGCAATGATTTGTGCTTGCCGTTGAAAAGCGGTGCGATGCGGTTCTCAAAGTCCGACACGACTTGCACCGCGGGTTTCGTGAAGGGTAGATCTTTGCGGAGACGCATGACGCAGCAGTTTGAGTGGTGTTGGAGGGACGGCGGCGACAGCACAGAGACGCTGTAGATGATGTTGGCGGCACCTTCAGCCAGGTAGTCTAGTTGGAGGTTGGCAGTGACCAGACTCGAGGGACATGACGGGGAGGATCGGTGAGTCGACATGGACATAGCAGCGTGTCAGTCCCAGCGGCAGTGATCAGAGATGTACTCTCCTGTTGGCTTCACCCGGTGGATTCCCAGCGCGAGTGGTATAGATGGCCGGGATGAATTTTTCTGCCCAAAATGTCGGAGTTGTGACGCAGTATTCCGTATAGGTAAGACATGTAAAGGTTCGCGAAAGGGTGTTGTTGTCAATGACCGCCCTTCAAGCCGCCGCTCCGTGCAGGTGGTTTTCCGTATAACAACTTGGATTGCAAGACTGTCGCCGCCCTGATCCAACCATGTACTGTAACTCTGTATGAAGGATGTGACGTGAATATCCCGCCCCTGTGCAAACTTGGCAAGAGAGACAGAGACCTATCTATTCCAGTGTGCCAATAGCTCCTCGTATGCTACCTACCTACCTAGGTACCTATGCTCACTTGCCGCCCTCCCCTTCCTTCTCGCCCAGCACAAACCTCTTCTTCCAACCTATCCGGAGCTCAGGACCGAAGTCCCGGGTCTCATGGCTCTCAGGCTAGCTGAGAGACGCAGGATCAGCGTACGCACGTACCTAGGTACGTAGGTATGTGTATACACACGGACAAACAAGAGTATATTACGTACCTCCTACTGCCCAGGTAGGTATATGCGCGACGTAACTGTACTCGGTACGCTGTGTGTAAGCTTGCAAAGTGTACTGTCTGGGTTCGAATCAAAGCCCTGGGTTTTTCGGTTTTCGGTTTTTCGCGCTCCTCTCGGTGTTTGGGCTTCGTTTCTTCGGGGTTAAGGATCAACCATCCACCACCACCATCATCATCACGATCATCTCTAGTATATATATACCTAGGTAACAATGCCGGCAGATCCCCAATTCCCTTAATTCAATCATTCAATCATCCTCATCATCATCATTTATTTCGGGCCCTGTGCGTTACTCGCTACTGGTACAGAGTCACTCGCGGGTCATAGGTGGGGGATTGCTTCGCTTGTAATCTCTGAGAAGTACGTGTTGAGGTGGGGGAAAAGAATAGACAGGGTCGAAAGGGAGGAAAGAGCCAGAAACGGAATCAGGATCAGAGGGCCTTGGATTGATAGGTGCTGATATTTCCTGGACTGGACGCCAGGGACAGCGACGAGAAGAAATAGATCCGAGCTCAGTGAGTGAGGAAGTGTCTATCTACCTCGCTGGACGGCTCGTCTACTTCCCCATTATTGATTCGGTATCTTTCCATCCCCACAATGGCGTTGACAACCGATCTCTCCTCACACCTCGCCCTGGTGACCGGAGCAACAGGCGGCATAGGCAAAGCGACGTGCCTGGCCCTCGCGCGCCTCAACTGCTCCATCGCCGTGCACTACCACAGCGCGGCCGACACGGCAGAATCCCTAGTCGCGCAGCTCAAGTCGATGAACGTGCGCGCCTCGGCTTTCCGAGCCGACCTGTCCTCCTACGACGAGACACGCTCTTTGCACGCCAACGTCGTGCGAGAGTTGGGCCATCCGACCATCCTCTTCAACAACGCCGGGATGACCGCTGGTGTATCCCGGGTCAAGGACATCAGCGAGGTGTCCGTGGACGACTTTGAGAAGACCTGGAGAGCGAATTGCGGAACGGCTTTCTTGCTCACCCAGTTGTGTATCCCTAAAATGGTCGAGGCCGGCTGGGGCAGAATCATCTTCTGTTCCAGTGTCGCTGGCTTTACCGGTGGGGTAGTCGGACCGCATTATGCGTGAGTGCTCTTTTCAGCGCGGCACGTTTCGTCCATCTCAGACTGACTTCCCCGAATAGTTCGTCCAAATCGGCTCTGCACGGTCTGGTGCATTGGCTGGCAGGCGCTTATGCAAAGACTGGCGTGACCATCAACGGCGTCGCTCCAGCGCTGATCGAAGAGACCAAGATGCTGCCTGGAGGGTCGGCAGAGTTGTCTGCGAGTAAGTCGCTATGTGTTCTTCACAAAAGTTCGAGTTTGCTGACGGCGGAATTGCTCAGAAATCCCCATCGGGAGACTTGGGAAGCCTGACGAAATCGCAGAGACAGTGCTGTGGATGGTCAAGACTGGTTATGTCCACAACAAAATCATCGCGGTCGATGGCGGCATGTTCATCCAGTAAGAGATGCTGATATGATAATAGTAGGGAGCCCGCAAAAGGGCGTAGAATGACGCCTCGGACGGTTTCAACCGCCAGCCTCTTTCTTCTTCCTTGCTTCCTCTTCTCTTTCCCGTTTCCGTTGCAGAAATCTCTCCCTGGCACTCATCTTATCGGCTTCGCTGACCTTGCTCTTGATCTTGTCCTGCTGTTGTTTCTCCTCTTCCGCTTCGACCTGTTTCTGTTTCTCCGCTATTTCCTCAATCTGTCTCTCCATCATCCGTGACTGTCTCTCGCGCTGAGCGTGGCGCGCATCTACTGCCTTGGAGGATCTCCAGTATTCATCCTTTCGGGCAGATTCTGCTCTTGTAGGTGCCTGTTGCTCTTTCCCGGGCTTCTTGGGCGCAACGTTCAGGCCAGCAGACAAGAGCTGTCGTTTGTCGACCACCTCACCTTCATCGTTGACGACAATGTGTGCTCCTTGCTTATTCAGTTCCTCGGCCATCTTTGCTTCGGATGTCTCTTCCTCGATCGGCGTCTCCTCCTCCACACCACCTTCCTTTCTCTTTGCTGCTTCCTCTTCCGCCTCTTTGATCAACCGCATCCTCTCTTCATCCTTCTCTAGCATCCGCTTGTGGAAAGCGGTCATGCCTCCGCCTTGCCTGCGCCGCTCTTCCTCGGCTTCCTCTCTCTTTTTCTCCTCTTCCTCCATGCGCTTGATCTCCTCCTGTTGCTTCCTATATGCTCCGGTCACGAATTTCTCCTTGTCGGCGAATTCATCTCCCTCCGCTTCTCTTTCACGTTGCAGTAGCTTCTCGCGCGCCCGGAGCTGATCTCGTTTCCGCACCTCGGCGCTCTGCAGTAGCGAACCCATGTATTTGGGTCCCGAAGGTTCCCCCGCTTCATTTGACTTCTTCTCTTTCTCTGCATGGAAGGTATCGTAGGCCGCATCGTAGTCGTAGACAGATGAGTCTATCTTCGAGGCTTCTTCGTCATGCAATTTGGCACTGCGCAGTGCCGACAGGTTGACATATTGGTCCGTCCCTGTCGCCGATCCGGAGGATTTGGCCTTGGGAAGCTGCAGACCGTACTGGGAGAGCTTTGGCGACTTGCTCGGCGGCTCTCCGTCATCATCGTCATCATCAAGGTCTTTTAGGGGTCGTAGGGGCTTCGAGGTCTTCTTTGCTCCATATGCAGGCGCAGGCGCAGCCGCGGAGTTCTCGCCTGCATCTTCGTCTTCGTCGAAGAACGCTTTGCGTTTCGGCGCAGGCTTCGAGACGCCTGAGGACGACTTGGCGGAGTTGAGGCCGAAAGCGAGGGATGGCATCTTGAGATCGTAATCGAAGAAGGACCCCGCCCACAACCTAGTTGTGGGATGCGTCGAGAATGTGGATTTTGCAATGCTGAGGGCAGTTTCAGTCCTTGATGCGGCGACCTGCTTCCCCGAAGTTGTGCCGAGCCTTGTCAAGGTCACCACTTGTAGCATTCCTGTCTTTCTTCTACCCGTCGGCCACGGCTTGAGGACATCAATCCGCAGGAGGAGACTGACCTCGCATCTTACAACTACAGAGACCAGCGCAATCACGCGGCACGAAAGGAATATGTCGTACTACTTCGTCATAATATCACCCACCGACTCGCCGCTCTTCGAATTGACCTTCGGCACATCAAAAGCTGGTGGCGACGGGGTTGCTCGATTCCGCAACGGCGAGACCTCTCGGTACATGAATCAATTCATTGTCCATGCCTCTCTGGACGTCGTGGAAGAGGTGCAGTGGCTTACGCCGAATATGTGGCTCAAAGTCATCGACAACTATGCACCCACGAATTCCCACATCAGCTGCTTCATGACGGGGACGAATGTACGGTTCATGCTGCTCCACCAGCCATCAGCCATGACCAATTCTTCTGCGGGTGCTCGAGCATCGACCATTTCGTCGACTTCGATCCCGCAGAATCCCACCAGTCCACAGACGGAAGAGGCTATTCGGCAGTTCATGAACGAGGTCTTCGAACTCTGGGTGAAGACATTGATGAACCCGTTTTACACGATTGGAAACCCCATCAAGAGTCCAGTTTTAAAGCAGAGAGTCACTGCTGCAGGCCGTAAATGGCTGTGATGACTGTGCTCGGCCTCATTGTATGGGAGGTTCCTTTGTCCGGGATTGTTTGCAGACGCCACAATCAAACGTCTTGAACAAAGAATCACAGCTTGACACAGAGGAATCTTGCTGCCCGAGCACAAATGACAAGATGGCTATTTTCCCACCGTCAGTTTGCATCAAATCTGAACTTGTCATCGTCATGTCTGGCGGGATATGACAAGATTATGCCCGGAGAACCACTTGCAACTCCGCCACACAAAGCAGAATTGACCGAAACGCTGTCCGTTCAGTCCGCCAGAGATCGTCCGTGATCGGAGCTGGTCGTACACGCCAGGTAAAGTCTTGCTGTTCCGCCCACTGCGGTTTTGGATCCTATTCTGACCATCTCCTATCAGTTGTCGTGGGCGCAACACAGCACGGCAATTTCCCGCTGCGATATCACGAATCAGAACCTACCTCAAAGACAACCAAGTGTCATGGCCCCTGTGTCCGAAGTCCCCTACAGCCCTCATCACGAACTACTCCGTCGATCAGCTGCTAATTACCTAGATTGGCCTTTGTGGGCTCAGATATTGCTGGTGGTGGTGGGAGTTACGTTCTGGATTCCGGCATACTTTACAGTCCAGCTGTTCATGGAATGTTCGTGTCTCAGGCGCCGCGGCAGAGAGGAGCTGGTTTGAAAAATAACGAGCTATGGAGGAAGAGCAGGTGGAGCATGGCTTGAATGGAGCTGCATATGCATGCTGGCAGGATGAGGCTGTATATGGGCACGTAAATCGGATATCCACGATTCAACATGCTCGAATCTGGGTCACTCTGCCTGCGGGCAAAGGCTGAGGAACTTGAACCGCCCAGCCTGGTTGATGCCCGGAATATCTTTCAATTCTGCGTGCCGATCGGCCCTTAGTTTCTCCGGGATTGTTCCGACATTCAAACTTCGCGGATTCCATCACCATCAAATGTCCATTCGTTAGTCTCTCTAATCGGCACTGAATGACACTCTCCATACAAGTAATACGCTGCATTTGTGTTTGAACTGGAAGCAAGCTCGCCCTAGGTGCAAGCGGCTTCCAGCTCCTCCTCGAAGTTTGGGGTTGTCAACGCTACACAGCATTTACCCAACTGTTGTGCCATCGTTGCAAGCTTGCGACTGGCTCTGCCCATGACAGCTGAACCCTCATCGCATACGGATTCTTTCTGACGCTGACCGACGAGTCTCGAACCTTGGAATTGAGAAGGTCCTCTTATTTTTCGACAAAATATCGCTAGAAAAGCCAGCGTACCCCCGATTTTTAGTTGTGATCAAGGACTGGGCAGTTCTTGGTCCTAACCAGACAGAAACCCACCATTTCGGCCGGAGGTATCCTGGCGCGATAATCAGAGAATAGCAAACAGTGAAAGAGGGTCCTGCCAGGGGCGGAATACAAGTTTACTTCTCGGCCACTACCATCCGTTGTTGTTCTCGACCTTGCCACGTCTCTTCTGCCACGCTCTTGGCTCACCATGTCCCACTCGAAGCGCAACACGTCATTGGCCTTCTTCACCTCTCATGAACGCTCTCTCCTCCGCTCAAGTTGGGGCACCCAGACAACTCGACTTACGCGCGACTCGTTTCTCCCCTTTGGATATTGCCGCCTATGTCTCGGCTATGCTAACGTTCCTGTGGCTTGCGGCGACGGGAACAACAACGGAACTCGAAAAGTCCATCTCTTTTGCAGGGAATGTGCATTGAACGACCTCATGGCTCAGAGGAAAGAGATCAAACGGCTAGAGAGGGAAGCCGAAACGAGAGAGAAGGAGGAGCGCGAGGAGAAAGCGAGGGGGGAGGAAGAGAGGAAGAAAAGAGAGTTGGAAATGTTTGAGAGGACTGCAATGGGTTTTGCAGACGATGGCGTTGAATTCATGGGAAGAAAAAGGAAGAGGGAAGCCGAAGAGTCGCATACTCATCGGTCTGAGACGCAGACCAACGGCACTGAAAGCAATGAAAAGACCAAGAAGACAAAATCCTCCGAAGCGAGTTTCTGGATCCCAGGCTCTGATAGCCTCTCCGCATCGACGGCTACGGCTTCCAAATCTAAACAACAAAAGCTTCATCCACTATGCCCCGCATCCACACCGGGGGACAAACACAATTACTCGCTGAAATCACTCATCACGGTCGATTTTGCAGAGATCGCCCCGGAGAAGGGTTCGGGCGCGAAGGCGGACGAGCCGACGAGGATATGTCCAAGCTGCAAGAAAGCCCTAAACAACACATCACGACCAATGTTGGGAACAGCAGATGGTTGTGGCCATGTCATCTGCGGCGCCTGTGCTGACTTGTTTCTGTTGGGTTCCGGTTCCAACAACGGTGTATCGTCGAAAGGGGCCGAAGGGACCAAAGCAAGCATTCTCTGCTATGTCTGCGAAGCGGATCTGAGCGGGACGTCGTCCAAGACTGGAGAGAATGAGGAGAAGGGGGGCAAGGAGAAGAAGCACAAACATAGGGAGGGAAAGGAAAACAGTCGAAAAGTGGGCAGCTTGGTCGAGATCAGTTGTGAAGGCACAGGTTTCGCTGGCGGGGGGTCGAATGTGGCGAAGCGGGAGGGCGTGGCATTTCAGTGCTGAATTTTGATAGTCAAGCTTACGCGGATGACTTTGCTCCGGTTCATTCAATATTCCCCTGCATTTTCTGAAGTGCCCAAATAGTACCGAGATATTACATAGGAGACTCGTCAAGGACCAAATGAGTGAATCAAGGCTACCGGAGACGGATCATCGCAATTATCCGCCCGGGCTCCGCCCAGACTTGACGTGGGCTCAACTGCGTTGCAGACATGCTGGATCTGCCGCATTTCGCCGGGAACCACGCTTCATTCCCTTCTCCTCCTGTCATACCTGGCTTGCAATACTCCCCGCACAGGCCGAGCAGATATTGAAATGGGTGCTCGTCCAGAAACAACAAGACGGCGGATAACGACATCCCAAGCGCCCGACTGAGCCAGTTCGCGCAGTTTCATCACTCACATACCCTAGACTCTACAAACCCCTCCCGCCAAAATGCAAGGCTTCAACATGGGCCGCTACGTCCCTCCGGACCTGGAGGGCGTAGTCTCCTTCAACACGGCCTCGGGCAAAGGCCACGCACTAGGCTCTCGCGCGCGCAAGCTCAAGACCGAAGGAATCCTTACGGTGCGCTTCGAGTGCCCCTTCGCGATATGGTGCACGCACTGCCAGCCCGAGCAGCTGATCGGCCAAGGCGTGCGGTTCAACGCCGAGAAGAAGAAAGTGGGCAATTACTTCTCGTCGCCCATCTGGAGTTTCCGGTTCAAACATGCCGCGTGCGGCGGGTGGCTGGAAGTGAGGACGGACCCGAAGAACGCGGAGTATGTGGTCGTCGAGGGCGGCAGGAGGAGGGATACCGGCGTGGATAAGTTGTTGGATGGCGAGATCCGTATTACAGGTGGTGGTAGTGGTGGTGCTGTGACAGAGGAGGATAAGGCGCGGCTGGAGCGTGATGGTGGATTCGGTACCCTGGAGAAGAAAGTCCACGACAAGACACTGTTCGACTCCCAAAAGCAGAGGCTCGAATCGCTCCTGAAAGTCAGTGAGCGTGACTGGTCCGACCCTTACGAGCGGAGCAGGAAGCTCCGCGCTGAGTTTCGCGTCGGTAGGCGGAAGAGACAGGCTGATGAAAAGTCTGGGGAGGCATTAAAGGACAAGTTTGGGTTAGGGGTGGAGATGGTGGGAGAAAATGCAGAGGATCGCGAGAGGGCCAGGTTTGTCGAGTTTGGCGAGCATCCCGAGGCGAGTTCGAGGAAGAAGCCCATGTTTGCTCACACTGGTCTCAATGGCAACGATGGACTTCATCTGGTCCCTTCTTCTTCTACTACTTCCTCCCTCTCGCCCTCCCGGTCTAAGCCCGGTACCGGTACCGCAGCAAAGAAGCCGGATCACAAGAAGGAGATTCTACAGACCACGCTACGGAGCAATACGAGGATCGCGGCCGATCCTTTCTTGAAGGAGGATATCTGGCAGCCTAGAGTCAAACGGAAAAAGGCGGATGAAGCGGCGGCGGTGGAGACGGAGCATAATAACAAAGACACAGAGACGAGGAAAACGAAAGCGAAAGTGACGGAAAACAGCACGGCGTTGGTGGTGGGCTATGATTCGGATTCGTCGTGATGATACCCATAGGGCCCAATCTTTCAGGCATAGAAACAGGTGTTCTTGGGATCAATATTTGGTTTCCCTATGCATTAATCATACAATCCTTGAAAGCTGCTTTTCTTATTTCCCCTTTGTACAATGCTTACTTCTGCCCTTCTGGGTTTTGCTGGGTCGTTTTCGTCTCCGTCTCCTTGACGGCTTGCAGGGGACGTCTCGGTGCTGCAGTGAAACCGCCCCGGGGAGGTGGTGGCGGCGGTGCTCGACTACTCGCCCACGGCGCCTGCGTGACACCGTTGACAAACCCCGCTGGCGCTGCTGCTGACGGCTTCACAGCAGCCCAGGGAGCAGCGGTCGACCCCATCGGCGGACCTGGACCACCGGGCCTCATCGCACTCGGGGCATTCGTATCCGTGGGATTTCGGAGCGGCTGACTCGCGGCATGTGTAGAAGATGGCGGCGGCTTCGCCTCAGGATCCCTCTCCCATTTCAACAGCGATCCAAAGGGGAAATGCTGGACGACGGGGAACTTTGACAGGACTTCGGCGTTGTACATCTTGATCATGCCCTTGTTGATCTTACCCCATCCGTCCTTGATGCCCGAAATGTCAAAGAGCATCGGGCTGTGTTCCCAAAAGGGGCCCCTCTTGACGTCGTAGATGAAGGCGATGGCTGAGAAGTACATATTTGACTTCTTCTCCTTTTCGACTAGGTTGGGTTTGGTCACTGCCGAGGCGTCTGGCGCGTCGGGGAGTGATCCTTCAGTGGGCGTGTCGTCTGTCTCGGTGATGGGCGGACACAGTTGCGCGGAGCCGAACACGTACGGCAGGAACGAATTGTCGTCCAAGCCCCAGACGCCGTGGGACCCGGCCGGTTCCAGCGTGTATGTCTTGATGAGTTTCCTGATGAGCACGAGGTACAGCTCGAACACGCCCAGGACGATTCCTCGCTCTTCCACTCCCGGCTGCTCAGTGTCGTCGGCGAAGAAACTCAGCTTCCACAGGCAGGCCAGAAACGCCAAAAAGCTGAGCTCGTGGCCCGTGCCGTAATCCAGCCTTTGGGGACTGCCCAGGCTCCCCAGGAGATATGCACCGAGCTCTTCATGCGCTGGTGCTAGTTCTTCTGGCAGATATTCCGTCAACAACGCGTCAACCTGCTCCTCGACGATCTTGAACCACTTGCGGAAGCTGACATTGCCAAATCGCCTCGGGCCGGTATCCGGAGGGACGGCGTCGACGAGCTCAATTAGCTTGTTCAACAGGCTGCGCAGGCGAGAGATGGCATCTGAGTACACAAGATCCTCTGAGTCTAGTCGCCACGTCGTGATTGTGCTCGTTCCTCCTCCCGTCTGGGTTTTGCGTGGCAAAACAGACCTGTTCAGTTGTAACACGAATGTCATGATATCCCGATATGCGAGTGACATCAGGAAGGAGGAGACGTCTGGACCATCGAAAATCTTTTTCACCGGCTTCTCGAACCGATGCTCCTTTAGGTTTGCAACCTTTGTGAGTGTTGGAAAGTTCGCCATGGCGGTGATTGGGACTCGGTTGGACTCGATGACCAATCTGGAACTTATGCTAGAGGATATTGTGGCAGCCCGGAAGAACACAAGAAAGGGTTCGAGAAAGGTCGGACTCTTCTCCACAACTTACATTAGTGGAGGATAGTGATAGTTGATGTGATGTGACGATAGCACATCTGTACTTGGCGCCCCCAAGGAGAGTAAAATCCGCTCACGGCTCACGTGGTTCCTCACGCCGCTTTTACTATATAAACATTCCCGCCCTCGCCGCGTCCGCCCCTCACCTTGGACTCACTACTATCGACGTGACGCGAAATAGTAAGTGTCTCGACCTATGCAGCCGTTCCCGCGCGTAGGTCCCACAATTTGCAAATGCGTCCACGCGAGAAATCTTCCCGAAACGTCCAGGCATCCGGAGTGGTGATGGTGACAGCGACAGGGTGCTTTCCTTGGCCCACGTTCAGCGTCTTCGGAGTTGAAATTTCGGTGCCGAATAATTTGAGATTCGCGGTCTCGCGCAGGAGGGGCCTGATGAACTGCGAGCACAAAGCCACGAGCGGGATTCCGGGGATCAAGAGGCAGTCAGTTGAGTTGGGCTTACAAAACGGGCTGTCCTAACGGCACACATGTTCAGGTTATCCTCGATCCAAGATTTTCAGTTCTGCAGATACCTGACATATTCTTCGCATTGAGCTTTGGGAACAGAATTGAGATGAACAATATGACGACGCTCAAGAAAGAGTATGATGTGATCAGCCCGTGGAAGCTTGCCCACGTTGTCCTCCGAACCAGGCGGTTCAAGGAAATGACCGACTTCTACAAGAAATTCCTCGGCGCTGCAGTCGAATTCGAGAACGAGCGCGCCTGCTTTCTGAAGTACGATGAAGAACACCATCGGCTCGGGATTCTGGCCCTCGACGGTCTATTGGACAGCGGCCGGACCGCGCCTGGGCTTGAGCATATTGCGTTCACTTTCCACACCCTCAACGACCTTATTAAGGTGTGGGAACAGCGTAAAGCGTTGGGCATCGAACCCATCTGGTGTGTGAACCACGGCGGGACTACTAGCATGTACTATGAGGATCCCGATGGGAATAAATTGGAATCTCAAGTGGATAACTTTGACGATGTGGAGGAACATGAGAATTTCATCATGTCGGAGGTTTTTAGGGCGAATCCTGTGGGAACGGATTTCGACCCATTGGAATTGAAGAAACGCCTCGAAGCGGGAGAAGACGACGCTTCACTGAAAAGGCGCATTGAAGTCGGACCTCGTCCATTCCCTACGGTGGTGGGTGTAAGGCCTTGAGACGTCTGCATTTCAACGACACTGAGGAGACGCTTCTTCCTCATCTGGCTTTGCCGCGCAATGCAGGACTCGGCTTTACTTACAGACAAGTGCGTCGCATTTTCGCACAATCAATCATGACATGTTGTAACGGTCGAAAACGATGATATTGCTAGAAGATCTGTACACTGCTGTGCCAATAAACCAGTCCCTTCTTTTTCATGAATTCCTCTCTAGCTTGATCATCTCGGCCACCCCGGCCATATTTTTGCCTTTTTATTTGAGGATATGCCTCTGTGAAAAAGCAAGGACAATGTCTTGGTTGCTACTTGTGGACGTCAACGCCGGGACAACATAGAGATCCTTCAAAATCTCTACTGGTTTTTAACTGCTTGGTGGAGTCAAGTCTTCTGCTTGCCTGCGTTGACAATTTCAACTTGACGTTTTAGTCTCCAAGGAGCATCGAACTTGTCCATCCTCAACTCCACCAGCTGCATCTGTGTAGGAGTGAGGAGCTCAGGAGATGACATTTTAGATTCAAGCTCTGCCTTCGTCCGCACGACTGAACTCGCCGTCGCCGGATTTTCCGCACCAAAGAAGTCGAGCATCGATTGCCAACGCCATTGAGCAATGTCATGGTAGACTTCGTTGGGTCTGTGGATTGTCCGCTCGATCGTATATCCGTCATTGTTGAGCAGGACTCTATGGGATCGAAAAACAAAAATTAGTGAATCACGAAATCGCCAGGGGAAAGAAAGCCAAGTCAGCCGTTCGCACTCACATGATCGGCTTCAATCCTGCTCTGATCATCGTGCCAATCTCCTGAACCGAGAGCTGGATGCTACCATCTCCCACCACGAGAATCAAGCGTCCGCTAGCAAGTGTCGCTTCGCTCTGGGCTTCTCGTTGTGCAAATGCCGCTCCCGCGCAGCAGCCGACGGAGTAGCCAATGCATCCATAGTAGACCTGGGTGATGTAACGGATGTGCGCTGGGAATGTGGCATCGGGCATGCCAAACTGCGCAGTGCCTGCCTCGACAATGAGAACATCGTTTGGTCGCAAGAATTTACCGAATGATTTCCAGAGCCAGGCCTGTGTAATGGCAGGATCAGAAGACTCCTCCGGTGGGGAAATTGCTGAAGGGACCGGCGTGTCGATTACAGGCAGTCTTTGTGATGTTGCTAACTTCAGGATTTCTTTCAGGACTGTCATCTTTGGTCAGAGTTGACTCTTGGTCACTTGTCCGGTCACTTACTCGTCTTGATGTGTGTGCCTTCGAATACCTCCCCGAAAGCCTTGTGCGGAGTCAGCTACACGACATGCTAAAGGTGTATGTGTCTCAGAACCTACCACACATTGGTACGGATCAATTGAGATCAGCCGGTTCTCTTCGATTTGCATCGAAAAGGCGCCGGTGTTAGAGTCCGCAAGCAGCGGCCCCAAGTGGAGAACACAATCACTGGATTCCACAGCTTCTTTGATGCCCGGCGCTGAAGTCCCGCCGCTGTAGATGCCAACGTACATTGGGTGTGTCTCGTTGATGGCCCCTTTGCCCATTGGGGTGCAGTAAATGGGGCAATTGAGAACGTCGACAAGAGCTCCCAGCAGATCAAAAGCTCCATGCCGAGTGGCTAGCACGTCCACTAGAACGACTCTCTTGCTGGAAGTTTGTAAAGCATCGAAGATTCGAGTTGAGGCCTTCTCATTCATCGTTGCGGTCTGCGGGGGGTTCGGTTCCAGTCTGGATTTTGGCTCCGCTACGAGTGCGTGAACGTAGTCCAAGGGCACGTAAATGTACACCGGCAGCCATTGATTCAAACACTCTTGTATGGTTGCCTGAACCTTGATCAGCCATGTTGTTGAAAAGGGCAATATCTCCTTTGTACCTACGTCTATTAATGCTGGCGCGGTGCTGGCATCATCTAGGTAGGCGACGTGACATCTCACTCGAGCGGGTATGTCGGCGTAGACCTGAAGACACCGATTAACATGGTGCCGCTTTGCTGTAAACATAAAGCGAAAACTCAAGGGGCTTGGCTCACTCGATGATCAGGATTGGGACCTAGGTTGTGGTGTATCATTGCTCGTTTCTTCTGCGCAGTCATAGGAGTGGCGCCGACAATGTGAATCACGGGCACCTGTTCAGTATATGCACCCGCAATACCATTGATGGCGCTCAATTCCCCAACACCATGGGTAGTCACCACTCCACGTATGTTAGCCGTGATTCCGCATCTTGGGCCTGATATGGGATCCTTACACACTCCTGGCACTCCCTTCACACGCGCATACCCATCCGCAGCGTATGCTGCATTCAGTTCGTTGGCGTTCCCAACTGTTGGTGATGTCAGTTGGAGTCGAAGTTGACGAAGTGGTATCGATCAAGGCTCGTACCCCAAATGAGACCAGGAACTTCTCTGATATAATCGAGCAGCTCAAGGTTCATGTCACCAGGGACTCCCATAACATGTCCCACTCCAAGTTGACGTATACTGTGCACGAATGTGAGTTGACGACAGGAGAAGTAGCTCGGCACAAGGTCTAACCGGGTCCATAAATATTTCGCCAGAGGGATTTTGTCTTCCATCCTCAGTGATTTGTGATGTTGTGCAGCAGAATCCAAGGCTAAGGTTCTTGGATGACTGAAGTATTAGAGCTTTAAGACTGGATGGGACTGGGACCTTTATAGGCTGCAATATCCCTGCCCGTACCAAATCAGGCCAGTGCAGAGGCGTGTTGAACCCCCTCCTGGAGGGCCCATATCACAAGTTCCCGATGGACACAACCGAATCACAATCACATCCCAAAGCTTACCAAGCAATTTTCTCTCTGATACTTGTGCGGAAAGATTCGAGAGTGTACGGTACACCTTTCCGCAGACCAGATCCACTCAATTACTTCTATCTGTCAAACCAAATGATCGCTAAACCGGGCGGGATTCGGATAGAGACTTAACACTACGACTTCCATTTAGTCGGGCCCCGTCTAATCATGATGCCACCAGCATATTCGACAATCCTTCAGCTCATCCAACATATTCTAGGGACATGGATCCTTCGAGATCCTCTAAGTGGCCCTTTTTTTCTCACGACCAGTCTCCGCTCTCTTGGAAACTAGCTAGTGGTTGATTCAAGACCTGCTCAATCGTCCATGTCTGGTGACTCCAGCCTTTGGGAACATTGGAGTTGACGAACTCCTTGCCACCAACGACGTGATCGTAGGCTTTCCAGTAGTTCTCGTTGACGTACGCTTCGGGATCGTGCATTACAATCCAATCACCATGTTTCTGCTCGATCGCAGACGGATCTTTGGCTATAGATGCCCAGTCTGTGCGATGTATCATTTCTCGATTTAAGAAGCCCTTCAACTGATGGCAGGACACTCGCTCAAACCTTGGAAAACATCAGCTCCGCCGTAGTGATGGATTTCATGGCAGGTAGGCACTTACCGAAGCTTTTGTTGGACTTTGGTTGAGACAGCAAGGTTATCCTTGCCGCCAGTTGCCAGACAGACGGCCAATGATGTGGCATCTTCTACTGCCTGCGTGGCTCCTCCACCAGAAGTTGGGAGAAAGGAGTGGGCAGCATCGCCTATTTGAACAACACGTCCACCTGGCGACGTCCACTCAGGCTGCGGGTCACGCCAAAGCAATTTCCAGTCTATGATGCTATTCTCTGGGGCTGCTTTGATGAAGCCCTTGATCTGCTCGCTCCATCCTGGAGTTCTCTCCATCACTTTGAGTACGTCCCCGGGGCTCAATGACGCTGCCCACGAGTCTGTGGCAGAGCCATCGTCCTGGCTAGCGGATTAGCAGATGATCGTCAAGGCAAATCTTGGGGCTTGAATCACTCTGTGAGTGTAAGAAAAAGTTGCCAGGTCCTTGGACGTGAATGCCGTGAAGTGAGTGTCTTCACTAGAATGTCCTCGTTAAAAATCTTGCTTGTCTTTGATAACCCAGACCTACCCGATGTAGAAATCCCACCGTGGCTTGTCACCGTACGTCGAGAAAGTTTTGCGCAGATTGTGATCCGCTAAGACTCGGTCCACAGGGAAAGCAGCGCGATACATTGAAAATCCACTGCTTCTGGCCTTTGTCTTCTTGCCCGTCACGATTTTGTAGGACATTGACCCAACTCCATCAGCTGCAACGACAACGTCAGCCATGGCCTTCTGACCATCTTCGGTCACAACTCCGGCGATGCCAGCTTCTACGTCTTCGAAATAGTCGGTCACTGTCTTCTGAAAATGGACCGATATTCCACAACGCTGCACTTCTGACAATAATGTCCGATATATTTGCGGTCGAGAATGCATAAAAGCAAACCTGACAAGATTTGGATCGCTAAAATCTGGATCGAGCTGTCCCATATTCGCTGGCACCGGCCCAAATATATGTTCTCCGGAATGCTTTTTGTATGAAATCAGTGCGTCGTATCCGTACATGTTATGCTCGACAACGATTTGCGGCCAGTAATTGAAGACACCGAGGCAATTGGGTGCAAGAGAGACCGTATCACCTTCCAGCCGCATCGTAAGTAATAATAGCGAAGATCAAAATGGTCTGTCTCGTTGACTTGCCTGTCAAGATTTGTCCATTGGACTTTTCAAGCACCTCCACGTCAAAACCTCGACGCCAGCATTCCAGTGCGGCAACCAAGCCAGAAATACCGGCTCCAACAATCAAGACCTTCGCACCCTGTGACTGGTGCCTTTGTGGAAGTGAGAGTTTCGAAGGGTGATCAGAGTGTTGGACTGAGGCCATCTCGCTGTTTAGTCGTCACTACCTCTCTTCTCAGCAGGCGACACCACCAGAAAAATATTGGTCTTTCGATCCTTCATATGTCTTGCCAAGTACCAACTAGAGCCTAGACTAGGCTGCTCGAAGCTGAGTCGGTCCCTACACACTTTGCTTTCCGGTACAAATTGAACCACAGATCCAAAATCAAAGCTCTTCTCCAGCCCGGCATTCTTCTGCATCAGGGTGGAGAGGATAAGGTCGCCGACAAACTTATCAGCTCGGCGGTTCTTCATTCAGATGCAGGCCCAAGACTGCGAGTGCCTTGGATACTTGCCGATCTTTGTGGAAATAAGTGGGACGTCGTCTTCTGGATGTTCAATGGTTGGACCCCAGACGCGAAGTCGGAGCAAATTTCGGGGCCGAAAATACTCTGCCGACGAGAATGCTCGCACGTTTCGATTAAACTCTCATTGGACGTCTTGTACACCTCAGATGGAAATGCCACATCCAAAGGGAAATGATGCAGGACCCAACCGTCATCAAGGTCGAAATTAACAGGTATGTGCGGCAAATAGTGCATCGCTGTCGATCGGCCACGAATTGTCCCGTGAATTTCCTCCTCAGTCAGGAGTCGAATCAGGAGTCGAATCCTGACCCCTAGGATCAAGAGTGGGAGTCAGAGTCATGGGAGTCGAGTCCTACCATCGCTGACCAAGATCTACGTGCGCACTTCCGATCTCTGCTCCCAGGAAAAACACTTGCCGACGTATTGACCCCGGACAACCAGGGACAATAGAAACCAGAATGGGATTGATGTTGCAAACTTACAAGGAACGTTGCGGCAACACCTTTTATAACCTAACGGACCGCTATTTTCGCGGTACCACTTGTGCATCTAGATCTACTGGCAACGCACAAGATGCGCTACGGTCATATAATCCGGATCGACCAAGACACTTGATCCGCAAGACCGTCGGCGAACTTCAATCGTCGATCCGTGCCAGAATAGCCCTCAGACCACCTGGGACTAAGGCTGTGAATTGCTCCTCCGTAACAAGTTCGCGGTCGACTATTTCTTTGGCCTTATACCATCTGATGATGGTGGCGATACACACATAGAGCTCCGCCGTGGCGATATTGAGACCGATACAGATCCTAGATCCGGACGAAAACGGCACTAGTTGACGCTCTCGGCGGTGCAGCAGATCGGGATCCTTCACTAGCCATCTCTCGGGGTCAAAAGTCTCGGGATCGTCATACACTGACTCATCGTAATGCATCAGGTAAACGGAGGACGAGACGCTCGTTCCGCCCGGAAGAAAATACTCCTTGTCGCCGGTGCTCGGGAATTTGAGAGTCATGCCTTCTGGAGGGACGAGACGTGGTAGCCTGCCACGAATTGGTGTTGCGAACCGCAACGACTCGCGCACGCAAGCCTGCAGATACGGCATGGCCTCGAGATTGCGTAACCCGGGAGGATTGTGTCTGTCATGCCACACTTCCTTCAGGTCGGAGTGCAAACGCTGGCGGATCTTGTCGTTCATAAAGATTGACCAGATCCCCAGCGCCAAAGTGAAGCCTGTGGTGTCGGTGCCTGCCACAATACTCCCCATGCCGTTGGCGGCGAGGTACTTTTTGGAGAGCTGCGTGTTTTGTCGCAAGCCAGCTTCCTTTACCGAGGTAAGCATGGGCTGAAAATTGCCCTTTTCGATATTTTCCAACCTATCGAGAGAGCTCATTACACGCTGTGCCATTGATAAAAATCGTTAGCCATTCGCCCGGGGAGAGGGCGGGCGGGAAGAAATTCAGTCTGGAGGGGGAGGTCTTCTTACAGCGGCCATGCTGGGAATTGCTTGGAAGACAGGGCTAGGCAGTCTTATCAGGATGGGCTGCAGCAAACTCCTGATGGTCGGGAAATTCATTAGCTGCATAGGAGAGCGGTAAGCACATGGCACGTCATCTTCCGGACAAAATCAATGGGGACGTACCAAGAAACTCGCCCGACCAAACCTATCAAACGCTGCCAGCAACGGTTCATCAAGGGTTGGCCTCCACAAGGCTCCATAGCTCTCTCCAAAAGAGTAGCATGAGACGACGTCCAGTGCAAACGAGCGACACAGCTTTGTCAGATCCACGGGTCTTCCAGAGGCATATTCGTCATCGACTAGAGTCATCAGCCTGGTCACAACCTTCCAGATCTCTGGCTCGAACTCCAACACTTTCTTGCGGGCGAAACCGCCGCTGAGGAGTCGCCGATGGTAACCATGTTCGACAGCATCTGACACAGTGAACACGTTGACGTCCTCGTTCGCAAATGTATCGTAGAACGCCGGATCCTGAACAGATGATATGAGCAAACCCTCTCAGGAAGATTTCAGGGCTGGGGGATCACATTTCACCTTGTTGAAATGGGACGCCTGTTGGTAAATCGTTTTCAAATATGTGTCGGCGTCCTTGATGCTGACATGGTTTGGCGCGATGCGGACAAGAGGCCCTTGAAAAATGGTACAACTTCAGCGAAATCGCCCCCTGCAAGCATGTCCCCGTGCCGAAACCACAACTCACCATACTGGGAGTGAAGTCTTCGGGTGGTCTTCACAATTGTTGGCTTGTTGTCTTCAACGTACAGCCATAGGCTTGTCGCTGCTGCGAGGCGTGGTCCCGGTATATGGCGCAGTGGCGAAAACCAGATCCTCGTGATGACCAGAGCCAGTCGCCAGGCTACAAACAAAGATGCAAATGCCAGACCTACTGTCGCCGTCCGGGACTCAAAAGGTCGGCCTAACTGCAATTGCATTGTCGCGAGATTTTATTTACCTGCGGAAATGTTGAAGTGCCTCATCTAAGCCTTGGAAAGTAAAGAAGAGTCTCTCAGCAATTCCACTTTATGTACGACATCACATCCATCGGCAACAACACTGTCCAAGAATACTCCCAGGGTCAATGTTTGCTGCGAGAAGCCCTTGGAGACCTTTACTCGAACCCCTTGAAGGGATCGTCAGACCCCTCGAGGCTCATCCCCCGGACCTTGGGATTCGGGGCCGAATTTTGCATGGTTTTGACCCACTAAATAACTAAACCCCCGCAGTATAATGCAGGATTGTGGGGGAAGAGAGAGTGCGTGTGTGAATCACCCTACCCGACCTCTTCGCGACTAGCCCTACGGAAATGCACAATTCTGTGGCTCGGGCATCGCAAGTACATGTACTCCGTCGTCGAGTGTTCTGACGATTGGATTGCTCTGACCTCTGGTCAGACTCTAGCCTTTCGTATTTTTCCCCTACCATCATATCCCTGTCAGTGCGAAAAATCAAGCGGCCAACAGCTGAACCATACAAGCATTTCCGCTTTTTGTGCTCATCAGACCTCGAGATCATTCGACCCCGACTTTGTGGAAAGGCCTTTGGAGAAAGGCTCTGCCCGTGACAGAAATTTGACAAAGGATTGGTGCAATCCAACAGCGCAAAGATGCGGGCCGACAAGTACGGGATTATGCAGGCAATCTCGGAAGTCTTGGGCATAAGTATTTAGGTTCTGTTGGCCATTGTGTGTAGCTTGTCTAGTGCTTTTGTGTGGCCATGGCTTTGGCCTTGTCTGCGAACACCTTCTTGACAGCAGGTCGAGCCATCAATTCATTAAACCAAGCCTGGTACGCTTCACCCTTTTCGATCTTCTTGTCTCCCGCGAGAAAGTCGATTCCGGCGGCCCAAGGCAGGAAAGAGAGATCCGCACCAGTGACCTTGTCACCGACCAGATACTTGTGCTTCTGCAGCCACGAATCAAGCACCATGATTACACGCCCAGCCTCCTTGTGATACCGCTCCTTGGCGGACGGAAGGTCTTCATGATGGAATCGAGTGAACCAGGCGAGTTGTCCAAAATAAGGACCTGAGAGGACGAGAAGTCAGCCCCCCCAAAAAAAGCAAAGGGCCCAAAATTCTTTTGGGGGGTTTGCTTCAGGTCTACTACACACCTTGGCCCGATGCTTGGAAGAACAACCACTGGTTGACATAGAACTTCTCCGGCTCGGTCTTGTAGGAAAGTTTCCCGGCCGGGTCGTACTTGTCGAGAAGATACTGGATGATAGCGCCGGACTCCCACAACGTGACTCCAGTATTCGGATCTTCAATCGCGGGCACTCGTCCGTTCGGGTTGATCAGAGTGTAAGGCTCCTTCTTCAAATCGGCCATGTCCGAGTACATGTGCATATAGTACGGGACGCCGAGTTCCTCCAGCACAATGGCGACTTTCCACGGATTGGGCCCGCTGGCGTGGGCGTGGACTTTGATGGGCTCGAGGGAAGACATGGTTGCCGACCGGTGGTACGTGGATGTATGGAGCGTGTAACGGTTGGGAACGGCTGTCTCGAAACAGGACGCCACGACCTTTTAGTATTGTTGTCCAGCAGACCCAGCTCTACCCCGGAGAAGGCGATCCACGCGACGACGTGTATCAGCTCTGAGATCTTTGAACGCCCCAAGGGTCCCTATCTCCGCGTCGTAGTGGTGGGAATCACATGACCCCCGGCCGAGAGTGTCGATATAGTCTGTTCAAGGGGCCATCTGGCGTCGTGGTCACGTGGGGTCGAATGATGGCAAGGATATGATTCCGCCCTCGTATTCCCCAGGATCGGCAGTTTCACACGGATTACGGAGTACTTCGTCCCTCCACACGCTAACCTCAACCCTTGCTGTGACCCTGGGAAGGCTTTTTCGATTGGATCTCCACGTCTTCACTGGCGGAAATATACTGTGAATAGACGTCGAGACCCTCAATTGGGCATCCCATGAATAGTTTGAATAATTGGATTGAAAGCTAACAAGCAGCCATGGTTGTGTCTTATGGAGACCCCGCGGAGTCACTTTACATCCTGGATAGTGTCTTTAATTCTGTGTCACTTGATCCTCAGACTAAGTACCACGACACTCCCAAGTGCCGACACTGCTACCGCCTCTCCCGCCATCTTCTCTCCAGGTGTCCAGAACCACCCTTGGGCCAAATTCTGCAAAACCACCCTCCCAGCAGACCTCGCACCTCGCTTTCCGGTCTCCAGAATTCTCCCGCATATTCCTGCTCTATCATATTGTCTTGAAATTCAGACTTCCAGACCATTTTCTCAATCTTTGGCCGTAGATCTGCAGAAACGCAACCAAGACCAGTCCAAAAGTACAGATACCAGCCTGAATACCAAAACTGGCTTTGGTCCCTTCACTTGTGGCCCAAGTCACCTGCTCATAAGAGATGATGAAGCCGCCAACTGTTCGGCCCAAATTGAGCCAAGCAGCAGCCTCGCCCGAAGCTTCTGGGTAAGAATCCAGACAATAGGCATTGATACTCACAACCGAGATCATGGCGCCGATGTTGTATAGAATCCAACCGGCCGCCGCCACGAGGTAGTGGAGATGGTCCTGGAAAGCGAATCCTATGAGCACCAAGCCAGCGACAAGGAATGGTGTTGCCACCCAAGTTCCTCGAAGTCGAGCCTCAGGATGGAAGTAGCCATTGTGAGTCTTTTCGTAGCGTTTAGCGATGAAATCATGGGTGAAATAACCTGCCGCTTCGCCCAGGACTGCGCCGATAGCCGGTGCAAAGTAGAAATATCCCACTTGAAGGATGCCAAAGTGATAGAGCGGAGTGAGAAATATCGCCGCCGTAGTGTTGATACCAACTTGCCAAGCGAAGGTGATTCCGGCGTAGATGACCGAAATAAAAACGGTTGGGAGGATGAGCACGTGTGCTGGTCGTCTGAGTGTCTCTCGGACTGTGTTCCGTTGGCGCCGGGACTGGAATTGTTCAACGCCAATCAAGCGGAGTAGACGATGCCTCTTCACTGGTTGCTCTTCCAACTTGAGGCGTCGGTCATAGTACGTTTCCTCTCCGAAAAGAATGACCAGAACAAGACACAGACCGGTGATACTGGACAAGATCCAGTAAGGCAGAGGCCAGCGTTGGGTAGTGAGCATGAATGCTCCGAGCATGGGTCCCAGAGAGGGAGCGAGGATGACAAAACAGATCCAGATGCCGATTTTCCGCCTGGACATTGTGTCAGGGACCGGTCAAAATCAATGTAGATCTTCTCAAGAGTCACTTACGCCTTTTCGTGAAAAAAGAACAAGTCGTTGATAAATATGGTCGCCCCAGACTGACTGACTGCAGAGAAGAATCCATTGAGAATGCGAGCGGCCATGAAGGATTCAAATGTGACCGCGGCGGCGCACCAGATCGCCGTTCCAAGGGCCATGCAGAGCATCCAGAAAAGGACCGGAAGGCGACCGAAATATGCTGAACATGTGATGGCGAACAAGCCACCTACTCCAAGCATGAAGACATTCCCTGCTTGAGAATGGTTGACATGATCCGGGGTCATATGCCATTCCCTGAGAAGCAGCAATCAGCCTTGGGATTTTTGTCTGAAGGGTTTGGACGTACTCTGCCTGCGGCAACAATGTCACGGCGCCCAGCGAGCTGCCAAATTCTGGCAGAAGGGCTGACAAAGAAACAATGACGAGGAGCGTGTTTTTCTTTACAGAACTCCAATTCAAAGGATCATTGGGATCGTCCGATGGCTGTGGCACAAGGAGAGTGTGGCCGTCTTTGGCAAATTTGAGACTATCTACCTGAGCCGCTGAGGTTGTGATGTAAACCTTTCCTTCTGGTCTGGCAATTGGTCCCTCAAGCACGGACTCTTTCGTATCGGCATACTCCAATTCCGTCAAGGTCTTGTCATGATGCTTCTCTTCATTCAGGTTAATTTCTGCTGCCATGTTTCGTCGAAGGTCGGAGGTAGAACGATGTTATTGGGGCGTGGACGAAACCTGGGTCTCCGGGCCCTCTTGTAAAGTATTCGGACTGTCAAGACCCTGAATATTTCTCTGGCCTAGACCTGGCAACCGATCTCTGCGGTATCTCGAATGGCCGCGCAATCCAGCTGACATTTCGGCGCCGAATATCTGGAGGCAATATACTGCAGGGTAGTCACTGAAAGCTCTACTGGGACTAGCTCGGTAGAAGCCCTCCTGAAACTTAGTGTAGTCCGCTATAAAAGAGGCGCTTGTGCTGGTGTACACGCCCCCTTTGGACTATTCACATCAAGCAAAATCTTGGTCACGCCCCCCTGAGGGGCGAGGGTCGTGCCGCCCATCAGTCTCTGTAGGTAGGAAGGAACTAAGCCGAATTGAGGTTGCAAAATTCTGCAAGCTGAATCTAGATGACAGTATAAAGGAAGGATGTCCATCGGTGTAGTAGGTTCGGACGATCCCAAGGAAGGTAGGCGAAGTAGGTAGATTGACTAGAGGAAGCTAGTTAGTTAGAAGCGTGCTAAGTAACAATTTATGCTAGCGTAGAGACGGGAGCACGGTAAAGACGTGTAGAGGGCAGAGAAAACCAGGTAAGTACCTGGCTATACGTAGAAGTCGGATAGCAAAACGCGAGATGGGGCACAGGGCGGCGTCACCCTAGTCCGAATGGAGGGTGAGTCGTGTTACTGGTAGCTCGATGGCGAGGCTGAAGAGGCGTTATGCCATTATGTCAGCTCAGCCTCGTGCCAACGTCGCCTGCGCAACCGAAGCTACGCGGGGCGCGTCAAGTTGAAACTTTATGCCTCCGAGCTCAACGCTGACGCCAATGCCTCCCGCTCCATGTCCATGCAACTTACCATAGTCTCAAGACGGGCTTTTCGTCCTTGGGTCGGCCGTCAATGCTGCGCACAACGCTCAGATCTGCGGCTCACGATGCCGCCGAGTGGGAAGCAGAAGACGTGACAGCCATTCTGAACGAGGAGGCGGCCAACTCGACACGAAGCTCTCCCAGAAAGAGGAAGCGAGAGTCTCGCGGCGGTGTCCATGCTTCAAGCCCCTTGAACAAACGTATCCAAATCGAGTCACCTACGCAGACTGCCTCCGACGCAGCAGTCGCAACAACTGCAAGTCCCTCCCGCCGCAAATCCGGAAGACTTCAGGCACGCAAGTCGCTTTCAGCACTTACTAGCGTCAAACCACGCGACTTATTCGAGATCCCTGATAGCCCGGAATCGAAATTTGTGACAAAGCCGTCACTGGACCCGATCATCAAGCTCAGGCCGCTGAATAAACGAATAGAACAGACGGAATCGCCCTTCAAGGGCAAGGGTGTACTAGAAACGAGGACAAATGCGCTGGTCAACTTGGACGATTCGCCTAAGAAGCGACCTGTGAGGACCAGAATCGAGAAGATTGGTCGGTCTCTTCACAAAGCCCGCCGGCCTGCGAGCAAGCTGAGGGAAACAACCACAACTACGGGTCAGGAGCCTTTTGACGGTGAGGATATTTTCGAAGCCTCTCAAAGGGAAGATCCGGCGGATGATCTCTCAGATCATGGTCGAAGAGCTTCGCAAGAAGGGCCTTCAAATAAAGAGGTTTCATCCAAGGCTTCCAAAAAGTTATTGCGATCCAAAACACAACTTCCGGCCGAATCAAGCAGAGATGCTGATCCCGAGATCGAGCGGAATCCGCAGGACCCTGCCAGATCATCGAATCCGCTTTCTGAAGCTGCAAATCAGACGCTGGCCAACGAAATAACCGAGCCAGATGTCGTTGACGAGGTGATCGAAGAAAGCGGAGAGGAGGAAGTGGACAACGCTGCAAATGAGGAGGGACAGAAGGAAGTCGACAATCCAGAAAATGAGGTGGGACCTCTGCAGCAAAGTCAGCGGCCACGGACTCGAGCTGAACGGGATGTTGCGGAGCAGACTGCTGCCGAAGAAGAAGCCAAACGAGAACAGATGGTTAAAGACGCATTGTCAGGCATCGAGATAGCTGCACAAGTCTACGCTTGCAAAGATGCTTGGACGGAATCGCTTGTGGCTGCCGCCGAGATTGCCGAGAACCGCACTTCCTCTGGACCAGAGTCGATCAAGGGGAGAGCTTGTGCGCGTGAATTCAAAAAGATGGTGCATATCTACAAGCGGATCGATCGTGGAAAATCCGGGTCTCCTGGACGGCTGGAGCATGAGAAACAGGAGACGCTGGGCCTGCTGAAGCAACGATGCAAACTGATCTGTGGGTTCCATCATAAACCCGACATGAAATTCGACCTTGAGCGGAAAAAAATGATCCAAGACATATATGAGCACTTGATTCCTAGTTCGTTAGAACTGGCCAAACGGGCGCTCAAGGCCTTGTTCCAGAACGACGAGCTCAGCCTGACGGCCTTGGAGGAAATCTGCCAGCTCCTCAACATAACATCCAAGCTGGTGAAGGGCGCCCGGGCTTGGACCCCAAGACCTCAGCTGGGAAATGCGGTCAAAAGAAAGACACATTCAGACATCAAGCCCAACGTTGAGACTATCGTCGAAAATTATGATCGTGCGATTGACGAGGATGATCAAAAGAGGTTCGTCGACGAGCTTGAAGTTCGGCAAAAGCAGAATTTAGAGAGATTGGAAGCTGAACACCAGCGGATGAAAGAGACACGGCTGGCGAAATATAGACAGTATCGCTCTCACTATAACCACGACGATGCGGCAATCCCAGCCAAGTCACTTTCCGGCTCACAGCGTCAGTTCGTTGACATTGACGAGATACTCATCGACAACGAGGGTGACCTGGCAGATTCTCAACACAGATACGAAACTGGCCACGTCAACGGGTCAGATGCACCGACCAGACCAAGACTAAGACGAGAACCCACGGAAGACATCCCCCCTCCAGATGAGACGAAATGGGGTGAAAAAGAATTGACTGTGTTGGTCAACGCCCTGCAAAAATACACCAGTGAGTCAAGATGGGAAGACATCATCGACACCTACGGGGGCCCTCGAGGGATACTGGAGAAATACGACATGGATCAGATCATGGCCAAGGCAAGATGGGTCAAGCAGACAATGGCGAGGCAGCTGGAGGATGAGTTGGATGAATCCTGGAACTGGTTAAGGAGTGTTCCGGGTTGAACGTGCAAACACAGTGTCTGTTTTCTTCCTTTTGATAGCGTTTGATCCAAGATACCCCTTGTTTGGTGTACATGTCGATAGTCCATGATAAGCCCACCCACGCGGCACCATCCACGAACGAAAGCTCTCACTCACGAATGGCCATATAGCTAGAGCCAGCAGTGCTAATACCACCTCCTTCAAGCTGTCGTGATCATGTTTGTCACGGGTGAGACGACGGTGCAGCTGTCTCAAGGCGAAGAGGAGGGGCTGGAGCAGGCTGGAGCAGGCTGAAACCACTAATCTCGGGGAAGCAGTGAGGGATCTGGAATGGCGAGAGACTTGGGAGAGACACGTCTGTGATAGACAAGTTAGCCTCGTGATGCAAGGTGCTGGTGGCAGCGGTGGGCTATCGTTTCTTGGTTCGGCGGCTCGTCGTCCTCAAAATCACGACTTTTCCACGCAGCCGAAAGAGGAACAACGCGTCGCGGCGACTTCAACCCTCTCGCTTCTGTCTCCCAATCGGTCGAAGCCAGCAGGTCTGAGGCTAGGCTGATTGACTACCTCTCCCTTCTCTCCTTCCTGACAGATTCCTGCTTCTGGTCTATCTCCCTCTTTTTTTTTCCTCGGTGGGTTTTGTCAGTCCTCCCTCATCCTGCAGCCATGGACAAAAAGGACGAAACCGCGACTCTCAAGCCCAAGGTGACCAATCCTCCGTCGCGGCCAGTGGCCAGGACTCCGGCTTCAAGATTATCTACTACGACCAGACCGGCCGCTACTTCTAATTCTACCTCGTCGACCGCTAGACCTGCCGCTGGAAGTTCATTGAGCAAACCGCCGGCCAGACCGACTGCTGCGAGTACGACCGTGCGAAAGACACCTGGCACAGCCTCGACCCCCTCAATTGCAACACATAAGAAAAGAGAATCAGATACGTCGGTGGAGGAGAAGCCGTCTGGCGACGAGAAGAGCAAGGATGGCATATCTGCAAGACCAAAGAGGATGTCCTTGGCTCCCTCCACGACTTCTGATCGGGCCTCTACCTCTAGATCGGTTGCTCCCACTCCTGCTCGACGTACCTCAATGCAAACTGCAGCGACGTCGAGTCGACAGAACACTAGCAGCCCAGTCGGTGCGAGGAAGGTAGCTGCCACTCCGAGCACCACTCGTACCTCGGTGTCGACTCCTTCTACCGCACGAGCAAGGCCCCTCACCTCCTCAAGAAGTTTAGGCACCGGCGCTCTTGCGGACAAGAAACGCCTGAGCACGATTCCTGCTTCTCCCGCAGTCAAGGCCGGAGTGGAAGAGCTGGAAGAAAACAAGGAAAATGCAAAATCGGCTGCAGAAGAGAAAGCATCTGGGACCGCTCGTCCACCACTGGGTTCGAGGAAGTCCACCAGGTCGCTCTTGATAGAGCAGCGAATAAGGGAGTTCGAGCTTGTCAACAGCATGTTGCGGGCAGCCATGACCGCGGACGGCGCCGATGAACAAGAACAACAGTCCATGGATGATGACGCCGCAAGTAAGATTGCGAAACTGAAGTCAGACCTTGCCAAGGTCCGGACATTCGAAAGGACTCACGGTCGAGTACCCACAGCCGCGGAGTTAGAGGAGGTACAATCGGTGGATGAAGAAACACTTCCTGAATCCGCGGTCGAAGCAGACAAACCTCAATCGGAAAATCTTGCGGCTGCAATCGTAAGCGAATTGCAGGACGACACCAGCCAAGCCCAAGTCGCCTCTTTACAGGCGGAGCTGCTTGACTTAAAGGCCAAACTGGAACGATTCACCAATCGCGCGGAGGAAGAGAGCGCTCGCGACTTGGATGCTCTAGAAGATATCCGAACCGCGCACGCCACCGAAATTGAACAGCTTTCATCACTCCACGAAACGAAAGTCTCGGAAATGGAGCGTGCACATCAAGAAGAGCTGCGACAGCTTTCCCAGGGGCACGATAATAAAACAGAACAGCTTACTCTCGAACTGGCGCTTGCACAAAAGGAGATCGATCAGTCCAAGTCGCAACTGGAAGAACTTCGCAGTGCGGCTGCTGAGCAGGCTTCGGCGAAGGATAGTAATGCGCAGCTGCAAAAGGAAATGGAGACCAAGATCGCGACCCTCGAAGCTGACTATCAAGCGCGGCTTGCCGAGAGCCAGGGCAAGCTTGAGGAGGTGGGCGCAGAGGTTGCGAACAAACAGCAAGAGATCGTCCATCAACAGGAAGAACTTGCCAAAATCAATGGGCAAATATCCCGACAAAACGAAGTCATCCAATCTTTGAAAAGTCAAGTTTCCGAATTTCAACAAGCAAAGGGTGAAGAAAGCAGTGCTCAGGCAGCGCTAGTTCGTGCGCTCGAGGACCAGATCAAAGCTCTACAGCAAGAAAAAGCTGATGCGAACGCCGCGGCCGCCACATCTCTTGCGGCCGCCGAGGAAGCCCACACAGCAGAAATAGACGCCATCAAGCGGCAATTGAGCGACGCTCAAGAGGAACTGAAGAGTGTACAGAGCTCGCAAGAAAGCGAAGTGCAAAAAGTGTTGAAGAAAGCTGAAGCCGACTTGGCCGTCGTCAACAGCGAGCTTGAAAGCAGTAGAGTCTCGCACTCGAGTAGAATCCAAGACCTCGAAGCTCAGTTGCAGAAGGCTAGGGAAGAAGCGGAGACGAGAGATTCGGGTCATGAAGAGGCTCTTGCTGCGTTGCAAAGTCAAGTAGATGCGGCCAAAACCGCTCTCGACGAGGCTACCGCGAATCAGGACAAAATTTTGAAAGACTACGAGTCTCAACGCGAGTCTGCTCGAGAGGAACTTGCCGCACTGAAATCCGCTCATCAGAAGGAGCTCGAGAACCTTCTGTCGAGCTCACAAGCGAAACAGGAGGAAGAAGTTGTGACACTGAAATCCGGCCATGCTGAGCATGTGCAACAGCTTGAGCAAAAGCTCCACGACTCGCAGAAAGAAGTATCAGCCCTCAAGCAAACGCACTCTTCCCAAATCAAGCAGCTGGAGAACCAGATGAGCGCGTCCCTCAAAGATTTGGAGTCTATTGAAGCTGGGCATCTGCAACAACTCGATCGCGTGAAGTCCGAGGCATCGGAGTCGCAACAGAAGGCCGTTGAGGAGGCCGAGAAGGTTCACATTGAAAGGGTGCGGAATCTGGAACAGCAGCTCAATGCTGTTGAGGCCGAGTTGGCAGATGCCAAATCGACCCATTCGAAGCAGCTTGAGGAGCTGAAGCAGCAGCGAGCTAACGAGCATGAAATTGCGCTGAACGCTTTGAAGGATTCGCACGCCGCCACAGTCAAGGACTTGGAAGATCAGCTCAAATCTGCTCAAGAATCTCTCGAAACAATCAAAGGCGACCATGCAAAGCAACTCAGCGAGTTGGAAGAGCAGATCTCCTCTCGTCACGCCGAAACAATAACTGCTCTAAAAGCTGAGCATGCGCAACAGCTTGAAGATGTGGAAAGCAAGACGAAGTCTTTGCACGAGGAAGCGCTGGACGAACTACGGTCGAGCCTCGCGGAAGAGAAGCGTCAGCTGGAATCACAAGCAAGGTCTCTCCAACAGGAGCTGGAGGGTAACAGATTCCAGACACAGATGGTGAAATCCATTCTTGAAAACACCGAAAAGGAAGCCAAGGAAAAAGAGGACGAACTCAATGAAGCCCTCGAGAAACTGAAAGCAGACATGTCAACCTCGGTTATCAAACTTGCACGAATGAGTGAGCTCCAGATGCAACATGATCAAGTATTGGAGACGAAGAAGGCTTTGGAGGCCCAGGTGGAGGAGGACATGGAGGCCTTGCGCGCTGAACACGGAAAGGCCCTCACCAAGCTTGAGAACACGCTGAGGGGACAACATGAGCAAGCCATCCAGAGGGTGCGCGAGGAGCATACCGAATTAATCGAGTCCAACCAAGCCGCGAACCAGACTCGGTTCGAAGACCTTCAGAAACGAATGAAGGAAGAACACGATAACCAATTGGACGAGATCATGAAGACGTTGGAGAGCCAATGGAAGGCCCAAGTTGACCAACTGGAGGAGCAAAATGCGGCCGCTAGTGCCCGCCTTGCGGAAGCCGAGAAACAACATGAGGAAGCCTTGCGCAAAGCCAAATCGGAGCACGAAGCCGCACTTACGCAACTGCAAGCGGAATTGGAGACCGCGCGCAATGCCGCTGAGTCTAGGGAGTCGTCATCTGCACAGCTGGACGAACTTCGAACTCAACTTGAAGAAGCACAGGCACAGGCCCAAGAAGTCGAGAAAAGACACCACGAAGCAATGGTTCTAGCACGCGAGGAGCGAGAATCTGCTCTGGCGGCGATCAAGCAGGAGCTCACTGATGCAAAGGAAGCTGCGGCGCAGCGACCTGATCCATCCCAGCTGGAGGAATTGAACAAGAAGTACTTGACTGCCCAAAAGGAGCTTCATGAACTGCAAGAGAAGCATGACCACGCGATCCGCGAGGCGAAGACAGAATACGACACACAACTCGAAAGAGTCCTTACCGAACTCAACGATGCCAAACTGGCGGTGCAGGGCGCCCCAGAATCAGAGCATGGCGACACCATCAAGGCGAGCCTCGATGAAGCAAAGAAGACCATCCTGTCACTTGAAGCCGAGCTGGAAGGAGCAATGCTTGAGATCGAAACCCAACGCAATCTTGCCGAAAGTGCCCAGAAGGAAGTGGAGCGATTCAAGGCTGAAGCTACTGCGCTTCCAAGCCCCAAGCCTGCTGGGAAGTCGGTGAATCCCCTTTCTCCTGCATCTCCCAAACAAGGTCTGGAATCTAGTCGATGGGCTAGCCCTCCAGAAGCAGCGCCTGAAGACGCCGCAGCGAGCTCCGTGGCTAACGAGACGATGCCTGCAGCCGGTCAGGAAGAAGCTCCCGCCCCAGCAACAAACGGGAAAGGTCGTAATGTTGCAGGCCAACTGGCGGGCATCCAGGAGCAAATCAAGCAACTGGACGACCTGAGTGAAGACTTTCTCGAAGAGCACCAGAAGATGGCCGGGATTTTGAGTCGTGTGGACGATCAGACTCAGACTGGAACGACGGATGTTGAACAGGACGACGAGGATTTAGATTAGTGGTCTTCATCGGGCGGAGTCCGGATGTGAAGGATTGCGGGGGCAGAAGCTGTCAGATGGGCCGCTCTCACATTCACTCTCACGAAGCAAGAGCAGGATTGGACCTTGGAGAAGGGTTGCGAGTTGTTGGATTGCAGTGATAAGGGGTTCGGTCGCCATGTCGTCTTGATGTTGTGGTTGGGGGTTTCCTTGTTGAGCAACTCAGGCTCTCTTTTTACTTTTTGTGGATCTTCACTCCCTATTTCATTTTCATTTCCAGCGAGCAAGCGAGGGAGCAGCAACACAGCGCAGCGCAGCACAGCAGGGCACGGCACAAAGCGAACACTGAATTCTCTTTTGTTCTTTTTTCCCCATTTCTCTCATTTAGCCATTGTCTGCCTCCTCTCGAGTTTTCCATTTTTCGCAAATATGAAGGGAGCTTTGTTGCAATCCACACACATATTGAGTTGAGTTGAGTTAAGATACCCCCTCGCGTGCGTCTGTCGATCTACATAGGGATGTAGTATGTAATATGTTGGATGTGGTTTGAATCAGCGCAAGGAGGGGATACTGTATCCCATAGCTTCGTCCGCAGTCCCTAATCAACAAGACATCCATGCCATATGATACGATTCGTAAACAGGACAGGATTAATTAAGATGCGTACGAGGTATATGCTTCGGATCTTGGTACAGTGCATTTAGTATGTTCCTACCTAGGTATTTAGCGTTTAAGGCCCTGCTGTCCAAGGTACCTGGTGTTACTGCACTACACAGTATCGTTGGATTTTATGTACATATGTGCATACATCCCTAAATATATACATATCCATTCACATATCCATTCAACAAAGTCATATATCGACAATTAGAGCGAGACAGGGCAATCATCTCGTCGGTGTTATGCACGGGGTATTATTACCTCGGAAGTGACTGACAGGGTAATCAATAAGGCTGGGTATCTACCTAACCACCTGCAGGGAGGAAACATGGACATCATCACTACCGACTCAGTAGATATTAGGGATTCGAAGACGCTAAAAGTGCAGTGCTTGGGCACACAACCACCTCTCTTACACTCTCTATACCCACCCATCCATCCAGGCCTGGCCCATCTGCCCTCGCCGTGTAGGGATTCAAGGACGCCAAAATTGCAGTGCAAGCGCCGTGCATCATTACCGAAGAACGCTAAAAGCTGTAGTTGCATCCTCCCCTGCATTCTTATTACCTGTTCTGCAACCGATGTAATTAGAGATTCGAAGACCGCTAAAAGTGCGAAGGTGCTCATGCATGGGGTATTTGTAGGCGACTGTGGAACAGCCCAAAGTAACCTACCTAGGTACAAGGAACCTAGACCGCGAGCACAGGACGTACGGAGTAGTAGTAACTCAGAATCAAGTGACCGAGGACCTTGAACCCGCGGTTGACAGAGCACGAGACAAGAGGTAATGTTCCACGAGTCCAAGTGAGTAGGTACCTTAGGTATGTATGGATTACCACGTAGTGTGGTAACGCAGGATACAGATCGGATCATGTCATTTGGATAGTGCATACATGCATGACTTTTATGCTTGTTTCGTGCGTGCAAATGTCGTGTGTTCCATGTACCCACCCCCTTGGCATTGGATTATATGAACTGTATGGAAGTGTATGTAGGTACTTTACTCGGTATACTCGGTAGATGTATACATCGCATCCTCTCCTGTCCATTGCTAGTCCAACTCGCCCAGGCTACTCAGCAACCACTCTGGCTCGGCGTCGTCGTCTTCCGGGTCGTGGGAGAGGAGGGAGCCCGCGACAGAGGCAGACCCAGACATGGACCTGGACCCAGATGCGGTCCTCTGGAGTTCCGGTCCTCCTTTTGCTTCCCCTTCTTCGGCTTTTTCTTCTTCGTCTTGATCTGCGGTCGACTTGCCCGCATCAGGAATATGCCATGCATGCATCGAGGTCGATGTCGAGGTTGTTGGATCCTCGAGAAGTCCTGATTCCCGACCTCCCCTTTCGGCCATTATGCTCCGGGGCTTGGCACTATCTCCGGCAGCCGCGGCGGTCGCATTTCCCGCAGAAGCAGCACCAGCACCTGCACCCGCAGCCGCATTAATCAGTAATCTCTCTTTGGTCGACGCGTATTCTGTCTCGGATGGCGTATCAATTGCTTCCGCGGGGATTGAGTCTTCATGAGCGGCCGTGCTAGACTGCGGATGTGATTCCGCCTCTCCATCCTCGAATTCGTCCTCGGGTAGGAAGCCACCTCCACCTCCCTCATTGTCTTCTTCGGGCATGAAGCCGCCACCTTCATCGTTTGCGGGCTTATCGTGTCTGGATACCGCCTGCTTGTGGTGGTCTTGACTGTCTGCAGGATTGTGGTTCATATCATCATCCCCCGAAATGAAGCCACCACCGCCCGCGTTGTCCGCCTCATGGAGAAAGCCTCCACTGTTGATCGCGCGTGGTGAAACTCGGTCATGGACCCCCGGCAGATCAGAGGAAGGCAATTGTCTGAGCTTGTGCGGAGACCTGACGACAATCACATCCTGATGCACAACTTCCGGGGGAAGAAGCTGGTCGAGTGGTTTCAGGTTTGGCGCTGTCGAAGGAACAGAGTTGGCAGGTTCTTCGTGGTGTTCCAGTTCTGCCTGGTCCAGCATAAATCCGCCACCATCCTCTTCTTCTCCATGACTGGTGTCTTTTCCTGCATCAGTTTCCTTCTTCCCTTGATCTCCGTACTGCCGATGTACATGCTCGTGCACGCGCAAAGCAGTAAGCCACCTTTTCCACATCCCCAAAATGATCCTAGTCCTCGCTTCCTGCACCTCTTCCGACGCCTGGGACTCTAGACCTTCAATCACATTGAGCATGGCGTTGGTCATGTTCATGCTCACAACCACGCCGTCAATGACGGCCGTGCCCTGCCGGCCCTTGAACTGGAATCCCGTCACTGCATCTGCATAATCAATGCCGAGGACCCGAGCCGCGGCCGATGCGAGTGGATGGCGAATGTGGACTGCCCCAGCCGGTATCATCGACGGCACGTAGATATCGAGGTTTCCGTATGCATTGCGGGGAATCTTCTCATCGACGACAGGCGGCGGTTCGTATAGGCTAGTCTGGTATTCAGCATAGAGAGCCATTCCTTCATTGGTTTCGTCTTCATCGTCGTCAAGCTCTTCGGCAGCTGCCACGTCCTGATTCCGCTGTCGTTTGGGGACCACTCGTTTCAGCGGCTGCTCCCCTTGATTGACATCACGACCCCGGCGATACCACGCGTCCGCAGTCCGACAGACATGCACATCTCGTCTGCGGAACACACTCTCAAGCTTGACACCCTTCAGAGGCCCAGAAGCCACTTTGCCCACCTCATGTCGCGGATGTATGACCTCGTTGAGCCGCAAGTGCCGTTCCAGAACATATACAGGATGTCCTCTAAAATCCTGGATGTTCTTGGGCATGGGCTCGCTTTCGGCGCGCTTGAGCAGGTTCGCGTCCTCGATCTCGTCTCGTGTCTCGCTGAAAGGCTTCCGAAAGACGTTCATGGTCACCTCCCACCACTTCTCCCCTCCTTTTGTACTTTCCACTCGTTGCTTTCGTGTCTTTGCGTTGTACCATTGAGTATATCGCCTTGTCACGTCTCGGGCTGATTCATCACCTTCAAATGCAACTACGTAGACCATGCTGTTGAGTTGATCAGACGCAGGAGGTTCGAAACCAGTCTTTGGCTTATTGATTGTGTTGCGGACGAGGGGATCCAAAGGGATCCACGTTTGCACGGATGGAGAAAAGGCTTCGACCCAAAAGATCGGGAAGGGAGACTCGACGATTCTCTTTTTCTTGGGAGCAGGCGAAGCAGAACCATAGTTCTGGGGAGGCGCATAGATGTATTGCGGCTTGGGCTTTTCTGGAGTTTGGCCCTTGGCAATGCCAGAGAACGGCAAGACCTGAAGAGAGCATACCAATCGGGCATCTACTGCAACTGAGCGAAGTAGTGCACAGAATAGTTGAGCTCCCAGGTCTCTCGAACCAGAGCGGGAGACGGCTGCGGTTTTGAAGTCGTCAAAGTCAATCAAGTCTTCGGCATCGTCGCTCTCCTTGACTGCGTCGACGTCCTCCCTCCAATGAGCTCGTTTCATCCCTCGTGCAGTGATTTTCCATTGCTGCCTCCAGAGGGCGCAGACTTCCTCAATGCCCTTGTTGAACGAATGTGACCTTTGGAATTGAGGCTTTGACTCGTCGACGTGAAGCAACGAGATTACCTTGCGAGATACGAGAGGCTTCAAGATGGAATGTACTAACTCACTGTTACACCATCTGTTACGGCAGCTAAGGTGTGCCAGCAAGAGAACAAGGTGGGCCTTGTGAACATCCAGGCGAAGCTTGCGCTCTGCTAGACTCACGGGCTTGCGTCGTTGAGCCGCACGCTTCGGCGTACTTGTCCTAGACAAGTCGAGTTCGAGGGTCTTCTGCTGTTCGGGGTGCCGCTCTTCAGCTGCATCACTCGTGGCTGGTTCGAGATCTACATCTTCGAACTCTGCATCGGATTCGTCCGAGTCCTCGAAGTCATCAAAGACGACCTGTTGAAGTTTCGGAGGCGCGTCTTCAGCAGCAGACACCGTCCCGTCGACGTCTTGGGCATTTGCTGGGGATCCGAACAGATCGAAATCGAGTTCGATATTGGTCGACGGTTCCTCGCTTATTTTGCGCCGCTTGGACGCTCGCGAGTTCGAAGCAGAAGCCTGTTCCTCGGCGACGGCTTCCGCGAGCATGTCGCCATAGACTTCCGGGATATCATCCTGGGGCTTTTGGCGTTGGCGAGCGGACCGACGCGTTGTCCTTGTCGCTCTTGTGGCCGGCTGATTCGTCCTGCGCGGCATTGCTTCCAGAGATTATGCAAGGTCTCGGATTTGGCTCATTCTAAAGAGCGTGTTTCCTTCCCGGCTGATGTGACCGCATAGAAACTAGCGTCCACAAAAACGTGTCCCGATCAGAGAACAGTCCAGGAATATGGTATTGAAGTTCAATATCAAGGGAGGCGTTCAAAACTGCGTGGTGGACGATCGACGTCGCTGCCTGATATTCCTGCCAATCAAGTGACGTCGCAAATATGCCGGCCACGTGATCGCACAGTTCTCGGCCTTGATTCGAAGCAAATAGATGCCGCGGGGACGATGGGTTGTGGAAGGGACGAAAAAAAGAAGGATAAACAGAAACCAACAAAAAGAATGCAAAGAAAAGCAGGGCTGAACTGGGAATTGAACTGAAATTGGATGTTAATATCCGATATTAAACAGATGACGAATATATGGCAAACTCACCCCAGGACCTCTTACAATCAAGACAGAAAGACTCCCAAAGCAAGAATTCTACCTCTGAACTATTCAGCCATTTTTTACGCTTATTCTGAGCAGTGAAATATATGACACTTGTTCATTATGTGAAGCGTCCGGGCTGTGGATTGTGGCTTGCTGACCCTCGATGGGGAGCAAAGTCGCCTATTAACCAATTGCCATTAGTGGGTGGCGAAGGGACCTGCGGGGAAAATCTGGCGCCAAATTTCTCCAAAAAATTAATTTTCGATCCCAGCCAGAGAAGAGCCTGGCACCTGGCGACACCGCAAACCGCGTCGCATTTGAGAGGGGAGATTGAAAGAATGCCGAGTCTCAGGGAGCAGGTCGCTGACCTGGAGCGGAGGATAGTGAGAGGTTAGTTCGTTCTCTGTCGCGGAGTGGCGCTGTCAGTTCCTTTTCCGCTCACTGAAGCCCTGGCAGACTATGACCCCGAAGACGATGGGTACCTACTACGTCCGAGCGACGGCGAAGAGTCTGAAAGAGAAGGAGAAGACCTGCGCGATGATTTCAGCCGAGCACATTACGAAACAGTGGAAAAGAGCAGACTGCGGCAGCCAGAACAGCCAACGCTAGACGCAAAATACGGGGGCGTGGCGGTGAGTCGCAAAGCGCTCGAAGATGATGGAGAGGACGACGATGATCCCTTTGCGCCCGTCGAAGAAGAGGAAGATGATCCCTTTGCGCCCGTCGAAGAAGAGGAGGATGATCCCTTCGCTGCCAGGAATGGTGGGGATATGCCTGGCTCTGAAGGGGTCTCGGAGGAAGAGAACGACAACCAGCTAGGGTCAGACGTGGATCAGGATGAAGACTCCGCGAGGGACGAAACAGTCGTTGGCGAGGACTACGCAAAACGCATCAAGAAACGAAAGGGTGTTAGTGGAGAAGACTATCCGCGGGATGAGGCAGAGCGAGACGGATCGGATCTATCAGAGGAACACTCTCTCGACGAATCCGATGTCAGTATGGACGACGACGAGGCATCCTCCTCTATATCCTCAGCGGCCTCACCGCCTCCACCACGAGCCGCGAAACCCTCTCGGAGCGCGGACCGGGAAGAACTGAGAAAAGCCGCATTCGACTCTGCCTCCACAGCGGCGCTCGCATCTGCATTGTCAGCCGGCGCCGCCGCCGACGTGAAAAAGGGCCAAGCAGTCAAGCGACAACGGCAGACCTTTGACCGCCTGCTGGATGCCAGGATCAAGTTCCAAAAGGGCCTCACGGCCATGAACGAACTGCCTCCTCCTGGGTCCCTTGTGGATGAAGAGGAAGTCAAGACGGCGGCGAAACAAGCCGAAGATGCCGCGCTGGCGCTATGGTCGACCATCGACTCGATCCGCAGCGCCATTCTTTCCGCCCGAGAAGAACAACAAGGGCCTCCTTCATCCCCTGGTGACGATGGTGACAACAAGACCGAAAAGCAGAAGACTGATCTGAAGAGGAAACGACAACCGCTCAACGCGACACGAACAACACCCCTCTCGGAGATGTGGGAGCGCTACACCTCCCTCGAGGCGCACGCGCACACCCATCGCCGCGGCGTGATGGACAAATGGCACGCAAAGACCCAACCGGTGCTCGATCCCGCGCCACGCTCCAAACTTCTCAAACCCTCCTCCTCCTCCTCATCGCGCCTCACGGACGTGCTCGACACGTACCTCGCGACCGAATCCTCCAAACTCGTCGCGCAATCCTACTCCCCCAGCACCCAAACCTACGACGACGGCGCATTCTACCAATCCCTCCTGCGCGACCTCGTTGCCTCGCGCTCCTCCTCCTCCTCCTCCCCCACCGTCGTGCTGCCCACAAAACTGCACGTCTCGGGCAGCAAACACAAACGAGGCGTCGGCGGCGGCGTCGACACAAAAGCCAGCAAGGGCCGCAAGGTCCGGTACACGGTGCACGAGAAATTGGAGAATTTCATGGCCCCCGAGGACCGCTCCACGTGGACCGAGTCGGCCAGGCACGAGTTCTTTGGCAGTCTGCTGGGGGCTAGGATCGGGGCGTTGGATGAGCGGGAGAGATCAGACGACGCAGAAGGTGGAGTGGATGGTATACTTGCAGATGGGGATGGGGATGAGGATACGGGAGAGGTCGAAGCATTGAGGCTTTTCAGGAGATAGCTTATGAAGATGCTGGACGGCAAGTGTGAAAATACTTGATGAGAATTTCATGCCGTCATTCAAGTAGAAACCGGCTGCATGTTGTTTACCTTTTCCCCTGCGTCTCACAGCCCATACCACGCAACACGACACAAAGCAACCTGAAATCTAACTCGTCCCTTGTCCAACTGCTACTCATACCGCAAGGATGCTGGCAATCGTACCCGATAGAGCATGCCTTATTTCCCCAGACGGCAGTCAGAAAACGTAGCAAAGCTTCGTGCCGCGCTCTCGGGAACGAGGCAGCTATACCCACATCACGCAAATTCGGGTCGTTTGGAAAGGAGGCTATTCCAGAGCTGATAGTACGTAGGAGCCCAAACAGTTCAACTGCAAACACCGAGTCGCCCACCTCGGAGTATCACTGAGTCATACTTCATTTCCTTCTCGTATACCCCGGAACCTGGTACGGCGAGGGAACGAACCATTTCGGGAATACGCCCGATTCGCGCTGACGATGAATATACGCGGCCGTGACGTGCCCACCCTGTGTGAAATTCGACTGCGTGTCGTTGTTGAATCCGGGAATAGGTGAGTATTGTCGTTGCAACGGGGGTGGTTGTTCTGGAGAGGATGCTAGTGAAGGTTCTTCGGATGCGTAGCCGGCTGCTGACTCGAGTTCAGATTGAGGTTCTCTGAGCTGTGATGAGGACTGGGGACCCAGGGATTTGGCGCTGTGCCTGCCTTTTGTCTCCATGGGTGTCTCTGTTCTGCCTTTTCCGGCGATGGGTTGTTCGGTATCCTCTTGCAAAAAAGCCGCCCGAGGTCGAGATGGTTTAGGCGGGACCGAAGGCGGATCCAGATCCAGATCCAGATCATCTTCAGAGGCAGATTCCTCAGCTGAACTGTTGTCGCCATCCAGTTGAGATTCGTCCTGTTTGACATGTTGGGGAATCTGACTGAGCGGAATGCTGGAAGAGCTGGAGTCTTTGATCGTAACCTTGTCGGGTTCGCCTTCAAGCAACCCTTCCCGAGGCGGTGGTGGGATGGATGACTGTGGGAGAAAACATTGCGTGACATCTTGGGTCGACATTTGTGACGGGTGAGGAATTGACGCCGGGTGGACAGATCTTTGCGTGACAGGTCTTGCTGCCGAAAGGGAAGGCGAAGAAGAGGAATGCAAGGTGTCGTTCAATGGCGCTTGTGTCGCCTTTCGATGGATGGTCGACGGATGAACAAACGCGGGCTCCGGCAGAGCTTCTTCGTCTGCATCATCGTCGTCCAGTTCATGTGCCTCCTTATCTGCATCTGCGCTGCAACGCTCTACCAGTCGGGGAATCAGTGGAAGTGAATCGGACGGCTGCAGTATGCCAATGTCTTGGGAGGCAGGGCACGGAGCTGCGTCGACTTTATCGGCATCTTCGCCATCAAGTGACGGCGGTGTCGAAAGGAGACCAGCGTTGGGTCCAGCTCCTGACTCCTCAAGACGTTGCTCTGGTGGAGTAGACGAGGACATACGGTGCTGGATTTGCATATTGAACTGCGTGTCATTCTCGATTGGCGATCCAAAGTCCACAGCCTCACCAGTTTCCTCCGAATCACCCGCTGGCTCTTGTGGATCTTGTGACTCTGCAGGGACAGGCGGCGAAGACCTGATGATGCCATCAAGACCTGGAGTAGCCGAGCCGTTTGGCAGAGAATGAGCGTTAGCAAAGTCTCGAACAATGACGCCTCTATTTCCTTCTTGCGTAGGATCCACCGCATCCTCTGCCTTGGTGCCACCGCTTCTGCGAGCAAACAGCTGACTCGGGTTTGGCAGATTGTCCTCACTCCCAGCAACTAAGGAAGTTGATCCACTTCCCTGTGCTTGGCTTGTGGCAGGAATCTCAAAATCCTCGGGCGCTTTGTGCGGAGGTACATGTGCTTGGACAGCGGTTGCAGGTCCTCTTATCAGCTCAGGCGAGGATGAAGGAATTGACCACAAATTCACTTGGGAATCTCCAACATATGGAGGACGTCGAGGGCTGTCTCGCTTCCGGAGCTTTAGGATGACCACCTTGCTCTTTGGCGACTTGCGCATTGGGGTCCGCCGTCTTTTCCCTTCGTTTCTGGTTGGGGAGGCTTCTGTTGGAATATTGACCGATCGCTCAGCCAAAGGTAGTCGGCGAGCCTTAGAAGGAGTTTCGGCCACCTTCGGGTCGCTCTTATGCGTACTCTTGCATAAGCTTTCCGGAGATTGGCTTGAGAGAATAACAGTGGTGTTCCTTTTTGGCGTTTGTGGAAGAACAGAGCATCCACTTAGCAGAATCCCAGGCTCGTCTTCTGTCGCGTCCTCGATCTCCAAAAAATCGCTCAAGGGCTCATCTGCGGCGTTTGATCTCCCGTGCTCCGCAGGATCTCTCAGCGCTTCAGCAAAGTAATCGAAATTCTTGACTGGATCTAAGAGCACCTCGTTTTTCGATGCCAGACGCTTAGATGCCCTTCGGGGCCCCATCGTGTTCTCCTCGTCTGCGAAGCCAACCTTTCTCCTTCTCTTGCTAGGCTTGTATTCTTCTTGACTGTCTCCGATCGGAGGCTCCGTCTTCTGCTTCGTAGGCAGACTGGCAGCGCTCGGAGTGGCTTTGCGCTTTCGAGGCCGCCTCGGGCTGTCGTACGTCCCGTCCAGTTGTGGAACAACGCAACGGCCGTCATCTTCGCCTTCTGCAACACTAATCATGGCGTCATCAAAATCTTGGTCATGTCGAGGTAGAGAACTGAAGAAGTCCATCTGGGTCAACGTAGAATCAGGCTTCCGTACACTCCGGCGAGGCTTTTTGGGTGGCTGCGGTTGCCTTTGCCCGCCGTCGTCGAGATACTGCATCTCGCTTTCATCGTAGCTCGAAGGGATGGAAGTGAGCCATTCGGCTTGGGTCAAGGTCTGTTGGCTCTTTGAGGGTCGACTGCCAGAGGTGACACGGATGTTACTTCGTCGTTGTCGCTTCCTTGCCGCCAAGGGTGCGGACTCGGTCTTCCGCTTGGTACTGGTGATGGACCATGGAATTTTGGACATGACAGATACATCCTACACGTGATGAAAGAAAGACTGGCAGGAGCAAGGCGAGGGCTGTTGAGTGAATGTGGCTCGCCATCATCACATGTTGGTCTCCAGCGGGGCGGCACCCAGCGCGAAATATTCGACGCGCGACGCGACGCGCGCCCGCGTCACGAATACACGTGATCAACATTTTCGTTGAACAAACCTCGACGGTATCCATTGTTAGGGATTTGATGAGAAGCCGACGGACGTGGGCTGAGGGTCTGGTGATTGAGCGAACACAAAACAAGCAAGCTAGGTGGGATAAGGTGTCTGCGGTGTTACTGATTGCCTCGGATCACTTCTGCGGCAAGTTACAACCTTGACTCGGTCCTTGTGGCTAACTTGGAGCAAGCGGCCCCGAGTCAGGCATACCAATTATTCCAGAGCTTGAATGACTTCCATGACCAAGGTGTCATTCTTTGCTAGCCACGATGACTGCAGGCAATCCATCTCAACCGTATAAAGGATGACGAGCCGCTCGCAACTCAGATTAGCGATTGCCCAGGATGGACTAAAAAGACGCTAGTGGTATTGTGTACCTTTGCTTTTTCCTCTTCAGCTTCTCCCCACTCCATCAGGTACGCATGCAGTAATAAAGACCCAAGACAGATGTAGAGATAGCGACAAGGTCACGAGAGTGTGCACAGCCCTGCCACTTGTCACTTGATTGAAGTTTAAACATCGTAAGATTAAGCTTTTCTGCAACCTCATACACTCTGTGGAGGCGCAGGACATGCTAAGCCGTATTAGGAACTTGCAGCCGCCCCGGACGCAAAAGGCATTGATACCTGGACTCCGCAACTCATGCGAGCTGGGCTTTGAGACAAGCGAGCGGGAAAAAAAAAGGTACTGTAGCAGAAAAGTGCATAGCCTTGCAGCTCGCATCACAATCATCTCTAGCCTTGTCTCAGAGGGTTACCGTTACCTGTGGGGAAATGGCTCAACACCATCATCGTCATTTTTCTGGCTTGTTTCTAAGTATACACCTTGGAGATGGGGGGAGAGAGTGTATGCCGGTGTGGTTAGAGAGCACAGAATGCAGCTGAAGGGATTTCGTGATTACGAGGTATAAAGGTCCCAATCCCATTGAGTTGGTGTACTCACTTTCCTATCACCACCAACAACAGCACCAAGATCAGCAGCGAGAAGAATTCTCGGGAGTAGAGATTAGAATTATACGAGCGCAGCATCAACAAGTCTTCAGAGCACTCTCTCATCAAAGCCATTCTCTGTCCAAAGCAACCCATTTCTCCAAGTTTCACCACCATGCTCTTCCTCTCCACCGCTGCTGCCTCGCTGGCCTTACTTTCGGCCACGGCCAGTGCGATGCCCCTCCAGGCTGAAAAGCGGCAGGCCGTCGACGGCACATTCGGGCTCAGCGTCGGCGAGGAAGGCCTCTTCGACATCAGCGAGGTGCAGACCTTCAAGTTCTCCTACGCCAACAACTCGGCCTACTTCGGCGAGATCAAGTACCAGCAGTACTCGGAGCCGCTGGTGCTGTCCGGGGCCAAAGTCGCCGGCGACACCGAAGGCGGGCTGAGCTTCTTGTCCATCCACTCATCCCCGACGGGCTGGCAGAACGCCTACATTGAGCCCACCAAGACGGCGCCCTTGCAGTTCACCCTCCCCCACGCTGGAGGGAACATGCCCGCCGACGCCGTCTCCACGGGCTTCTCCTTCAGCGGCGGCGGCCCCCTGCTCTGGAACGGCGAGAACAAGTTCTGGGCCTGCCAGAACCCGCAGCTGGTAGCCCTGAATACCTACCAGATTTGGTGGAACGGCGCGGGCAAATTCCCCCTGGGCGTCGACTGCAAAGGTCCCATCGGCGCCGACATGATTGATGGGTGCCAGCGCGGAAACTAAAGGCCTAGCATCAATATCTCCGTGCTTGCTTTGGATTGCATTGCGAAGGAGTTTTCGCTTCGGTGACATGCATTATGGGGGGCAAGTACTGCTGTTTGCATTTTGTTCGAGTTTGGCTGTGTCAAAAAGTTCGTTGCTAGGTAGTACTTAATACCAATCGCATATTTTTCTCAGACAAAACCTTGGTTCTTAGTGGTCTACTCGAATAGTCTTACAAGGAGAAGAAACTGTAAAGTTTAGGGGAAAACGATTGATTGTATTTTGCCTACCACTGCGACAAAAGCCATCGTACTGTCAAGCTTTTGTAAACAAACACCGAGGAAAAACCCAAAAAAAAAGAGGGAAGGGGGCCAGGGGGAGGGGGAGGGGGGAACACCATGATCTCACTTTCCATCACTTACCTTCACTTACCTTTGTGGTTTGCCTTTCGCCAACTTTTTGTTGTTGTCGAGGCCAGTAGTAGCCTGCTACTGCACCCGTGGCTGTTTGTCAGCTTCTGGCCGAACCGTCTCATCGCTCACCTATTTCCGCGACCTTCAAGCACCGATGGACCTTAGGGTTTCAATGAATCAGGGATCCCGGGAACTCTTGCGAGTAGAATAGTGATAGGGGCTGTCCGATTCGGAGATTGCGCCTCGTCGTCCATAGTTTCCGTTAGAGTCACGAACGGTGCCGCCATAAGTCCCATACTCGCCTTTCGCAGCTGCGGTCACAGCAGTCGCCAGGCGGTCATAGTCTTTGGATGTGTACTCGCGGGAAGAAGAGGAGCTAGAGCCAGAGGACGACCCGCCATAGTAGGAAGAACCGGAAGGCATTTTGTCAAAAGATGTGATGAAACCTAGGGTGGGTTTGAGTAGGTGGCGGTGAGTGAGAATGGTGATGGGGTTTCCCCTTTGAAGTTGAGAAGAGCACGAAAAAGTTTCCTGAGTTTCTCACCTCAAAGGTGAAAGTGTTGATTTGTGGTGTGAGTGTGGTATGGAGAGAAACACCAGAGACGGGAGAACGTCGAGGTATTTAAGGGCTTCAGAAGTCCAGTCCCACGGTAGGAGGCAGTATGGGACATACAAAGCGTCAATGCCTCTCAACAGAGCAGTGGCAGACAACGCCTCGTTCAAGTGCCTTGATATTCGCGGATCCAAGTGACAAAGCCAATGTCAGCGTAGAAAGGACCCGGTAGGATTCATTCATCCAACACTCTTTGTTGGCCTTCTCAAGCAGCGCTTAAGTCTTTGTAGTAGCAATCAAGCCTCAGAGGAGCAGCCATCTGCGGTAATTCACTCTTTGAAGTCCTCCTTTGTTCGACCGTAAAGAAGATTGTCGGTCCTGGTCTTCACAAGTCGGAAACAAAGATTGCGAATAGAGGCAACATTTGCTTACCGGTCGCTATCTGGTTGAGGCACTTCAGGCCCATATGGGCGTTGATCAAGAATCTCATCCGAGACAGTGCCTCTCCGAGTTCACCTACGACTTGGCAACCAGATTTCAGGCTCAGGGCAAGAGCTAAAGTCAGTATATAGTCGTATACCGTTAGCTGTGCTGTGGGCTGTACTCGGTACGGATGGCCATATTCTGGCAGAGCAACTGGGCGGAGACATGTGGACAGAATATCATGCATGTATCAGGAAGGAAAGTCGGCTCGCTGGTACAGAGAAAGGGTGCCAGAGGGAACAGATAGAGCATCAACACATATATTGTATCATGCATGCATGGGGCCATACTTGAATATTTCTCTCCTGGTACAGGTACAAAGTCTCAAAAGAATGATATATTGCGTGCCGATTATCCATTACCAACTCCCATTATCTTGTTCTGTACTAACACCGTCCGTTGTCCCACGACCATTGTTCTTATTCTTTACAACGTCCTTCGAACAATGTTTGCGTGCTTGTGCTTATGTCGTCCGAGGTGGCTGTGGTCTCGCTTCTTCAAGCCCGAGTCGATCTGATCAATAGGACCCTCGGCCGTAAAGGCAGACCATGCGTTGCAAAGATTGCTGACGCTGGCAGGAACGTCGACTGAAGGGAGGAGGTCGGTTCTCTCCTATAGAAGCAGTCAGCCATGAAGCTATAACAAAGAACCCGAGGATCACTTACCAGGATATTCATGTACAGACCGGCGCTCACATGCCATGCGATGTGGCAGTGGAAAGGCCACACGCCTGGGTTGACCGCGTCCAGTTGAAATGCCATGTATCCACCCGGTTGAAGCTGGACAACGTCCCTTCTCATCGGATTGGAAGGATTGACAACGCTACCGTCCCAACGGCCAGAGCCTTCGTTCAAGACATACATGTTGTGGCCGTGAATATGCATGGGGTGCACAAGGGGGCTGTCGTTGTTGACGACGATGGTAAAACTCGTGTTGCTGCCGAAGTTGTAGACATTCCACTCTTCGGGGAAACTGTCGTTACCAGCGATTGCGAGCGGCAGAATGGGGTCATTGTAGTCAGTGCGGAAAGTCGAGCCGTCCATGGCCCATAGGAAGTGTCCGGTGGCGTTGATCTCAAAATTGAGCCCAACCTGGACGGTCGTCATCGACTGAGGTGGCGTAATGGGGACATACGGGACAGTCTGGCTGAGTGGGTCAGTGGCACACGTCTGTGAAATGGGCCATGCCTGTGAGCTTGAGCTTGGTTCGGAAGTGGTGTTCGCGTTCTGATAGTAGACGATTCCGACACCTACGGGCTGTGTGGTGCCGCCACAACGTGCAGGGACTATGGATCTCATCCAGACCGCCGAGGTGGGCATCCCAGTCGCTTGAACGATCACGTCCGCACGCTGGCCAACTCCGAGGGTCACGACGTCCGTGGTGTATGGCTGAATGGGAACAAAGTCATATGCAATCACGGTAAGAGTATGGTTGTCGATGCTGAACAGCTGCGTAGCAGCAGCGCCAGCATTGATGAGCCGCAGACGATAAGATTCTCCGGAGGTGAATTGGAACTTGGAGACCCCAGCATTGGGCGTGCATGTCGAGTTGTCTTCCATTGAGGAGCAGTCGTAGAACCCTTTGCCATTGATAAGGGTGTTGTCTGCCATGGGCATAATCTTGGAGAGGTCTGTGCTCATAACATCTGCAACTAGGGTGGTGTACTCCTCATGGAAGTAATCTGACAAGATGACTGGTCCAAGATCCTGGTCATAGACAGCATTCTGGGGTCCGTGAATGATGATTGCACCAATGACACCGCCAGCATACTGTGCACTGTAGTGGGAATGATACCAAGAAGTGCCGTAAAGATCAGCATTGAACGTGTAAGTGAAGGTTTGTCCAGGAGCGATAGGGCATTGAGTGATTCCAGGCACACCGTCCTCAAAGGGGGTGCCTTGTTGTAACAATCCGTGCCAGTGGAGAGATGTGCCTTCCTCGGGGCCGGTAATGCTGTTTGTGACTGTGACTTGGATTGTATCGCCCCAGTTGGCTTCAATGGTAGGACCAGGGAACCCGCCATTCACATACAAGACCTCCAATTCGACCCCGTCCGGGGCCAGATAGCCTCGCGAGATCTCAAAGTTATATGAGCGAACAACACCGGTGACAGGGGCTGAAGTGTACGGGTTGGTGCCGCTTGCTGTTCGGTCTCCCCATGGCCACCCTCCCGCTGGAGCCACCGTGGAGTTGCATTGACCCGGTGCGTCTCCCACATACCTGTCGTATGTAGGTGCCCAAAGTGTGCCGAGCAGCGAGTTACCGTTGGTCTTGCTCTGAGGAAGCCCGTTGATCCCAAGAGAGCCGCTGTGCTTGGGGATGTCGGTGCTCGAGGCGCCCTCAGGGAATATGGCTGTTGACAACGACGATGGCAATTCGGCCGTCCCAACTATCTTTGCGCCAGAATACGAGACTCGAGAGGGCTGGCTAGCCTGGGCAGGTGTCGTCACCACCGCCTTAGTAGTGGTGACAGCCTTGCTAGGAGTGCTTGGACGTTCGGGCGATGGAACAACTGGCGCTGGAACAACTGGGGCTGGAACAACGGGTCGAGCAGGAACGACAGGAGCTGGAACAACTGGTGCTGGGACGACGGGTCGAGCGGGAGCTGGAGCGGCGGGTCGAGCGGGAATGCCTGCCGAGGCTTGAGGCATGGCCTGGAAGACGAGTGCCAACAACAGCACCAACCATGGTGAAGAGCGGGCCATTTTCCAGAGCGCTGACAGCAAAGAATAAGGAAGACGAGGTACCAAACGAATGGACGACGCTGACTTGCGTCCCTGTAGAAAAAGAATGGACGGCGCCAACGGCGCCAAGGATACCTCAAGAGCAGAGACAGAAAGCAACAATAGCAGGACTGAAAATGAGGAAGAACAGACCTAGTGTCGAAGGGCGACCAAGGCTTAAGAGATGTCGTCGCCTTCCTCGGCCGGTCAGCCTGCCTCGTGAAGCCGAAGCGACAACGGCGAAATTGTCAAGACGAGCTGGTGTCGAGGCTGGCCCCGCCGCAGTCCTTGGCCAGTCAACGTTGGCCCAGCCAGCCATACGGAGCCTTGTGGCGTCTTGTTCGCTTCTCAAAGGTGCCACAAGTGCGCTGGAGATCAAAGATGGGAACGGTCTGATGCGCGATCCTATCGGATTTGTTCAAGTCTGGCTAGCTAGCGAAGGGTCGAGATTCATCATTCATCATTCGAGACACAAATAGGCGAAGAAAGGGGGAACCGCCCGTCTTTGGTCAGACGCCCTGGTTTGACCTCAACCGCACCAGCCATGACGCCTCGACTGATTTCAGCTCCGCCTTCGTTGACGGCACAGATGATTGTTTCTCCATCTCGCAAGCAGCAGGAAAGTCCAATGGGGGGTCATCTGAGCTGCGTATCCGATCAGGACGGCATGTGCGCATCGGAGAGTTGATCATGGAGAGATGATCAAACGGCGAGCTTTACCTTCGATAGCTTGACAGTCGGATCAGTGTTCTAAAAAGCTTGGGAGAGCTTACCTCGACGACGAAATTGTCGACCAGCCGGATTCGGGCGAGATGGATGCTGCATCTGGTAAGGAGGCTCCTTGCGGCTCGTGTTGGCTCCTCTGTGGCGTAGTTGAGTTGCAGGGGAAGAAGTGAGAAAGAATTGGGCCGCCGCAGCAGAAGCTGAGCGAGAGGCGCGTCACCTGACACCGGTAGCCGGTCATCACGTGGCGTGGCCGGATTCAGGGGGAGGCGGCGAGGAGCGACGAGGAGCGACGAGGCGGCACGGGCCAATTTCCCCCTGCACCAAGGCTGAAGCCTCCAAACCCTCGCGGAAACAAACCAGACGCCAATGACATAAAGACGCGGAGCGTTGAGTGCCCAGACACCGAAACTCTCCTCAGTGATCACCACATGCAATAAAGTGAAGACGGCTTGGATGGCCATCTGAGTTGCGGGCCACCGCGTACCTGGTAAGTGTCCATCCACACCACCACTCCTCTACGAGATACTCGATATTACCTCGTACAGTACTAACTCGACATATCCCACGCCGATCAAACACTCACAGTTTACTCTCCTTTCCCTCACCCTTGAGCACAAAGTACCATTTGACGCCTAGCAGATTCGTCCATCCATCTCCGCAAAGACCCTCCTTGCTTACCACGTCCAACATCTTGTCGAGCCTCTCCCTGCCCTGGACCTCAATCGTGATGCTCTCCAATCCTTCAGGCATCCCGTCCACCCCCGGCACGAAGTTTAAGCGGGCGTTTGTAAAGACCAGCTCGCTCCCTTGTTTCCCCACCCCGAAATAGTCCTGCCACTGCTGAGCGGCGGCCTGGACGTCTGTTTGCCCCGGTGCTAGGCGGAGTGTTGCCCTGACCAGCTTCAGGTGTGCGCAACGCTTCATCCCAGCAGAATACCTTGCGTAGTCCGATCCGCAGGCGTGCCAGGGACTGAACGGGCTCTCCAGGGGAGTCGGATTCGTGGCCGAAGGGGCGTGAGAATCTAATTCTGGCATCATCCCCCCTTTGCCGCGTCAGCCTGATCAGCGGTTCGAGACATGGAATATTCCCAAAGCACTAATTACTCACCGGCAATCCCCTTCGGATGATACTGGATACACTCTACGTCGTCATGTGGGTGGTCGAAGATGACCTTAGCCAGGTTCTTCGACTCGATGTATTTCTTTCTCGATGCAGCATCCAATGTCTGCATGATGATCATGTACCCGCCATCGCCACGTTTCTCGAGCAGTCTGCCCACCGTCGTGTTGGGTTGGAAAGGAGAGCACACTTCAATAATGTCGCCGCCAACGGCCACTGTGGTTCAAAGGCATACGTCAGCCAGGTTTGGGGTCATCAAAAGCTGCAACGGACGCGTCCAGGACAAAGACATCGTACCGAGAAAGTTCTTAATACCCCATCGCGCCACTTGAGGGTCCACGAATACAATTTCCGTGTCGAGAACCCTTGTCTTGTATAATTTGTAAACAGGTGAGCTGCGATGTGTTGACGAGGGTTGGCAGGGACCGGTGTCAACCTACCAACAGATCTCGAGCCCGATCAAGGTCTTTTGCAATGAGAGCAATCTGTCTCAACCTAGTTGGGGCAGTAGAAGGGATGCGTGTTGCTGCCGCCATGGTTTACTCCCAGCTCTCAACGCCCTCTCTGCAAAGAGCGAAACGATCTCCCCGAAAAGACTGTCTGTCGGCCTGACTTTCGAGTTACTCCCAGATCCTTTTGCAATTTGATTTCGCATCCAAAGAGGAATTGAAAAGTGATGGCAAGTCTACCACCAGTCCAATGTCAGACTCTTGATGTCACCGAGTGCGCTTCAAGGTACGAGGTATTAAGCCGACCACCGCATCATGAACCTCGGCTAACCGATACAAGGCTACGAGGCTGGGGCTTTGTCCTGGCTCTGGTCTCCTCACGATCACAATTCACGGGAAACATGAGAGAGATGAGCCAGATTGAAATGTAACAGTGGGTCTGATATCGATGAAGACGTCGTTTGCTCCCGAAGCGCACTACGACTACTGGAGTGGTTATTTCTCGCTCCATCAGCACAGTTTCCAGTGGCAGTCACTGATCAAATCCACCTTCCTACTAGGTGGCTACAGCCCAATTAACTTGGACAGCAACTGCAGTATAGCGATTTTCTCCTGCACCCAATGGAGGGTCTTTCACCTCTCCTCTCTTCAGAGCTTTGACCGGTTCTTTGATTTTTCTGTGATCCCAAGTTAGCCTTCCTTCCCTCTTCTGCCCCTGTCAAAAACTTACCGAGCAACAACTTATTCTTCTCCGCGAACCTCTGCTTGGGGGCATCCTCGACAAACCTCTCAGCCAGGGCCTCAGAGGCGTCGTACACGGCCAGCATCCTATCCCTCCTCAGGGGCAAGTTCTGCAACCGCTTCATCTCCATCATGGACTTGCCGTCATTCACAGCAAGTTGCCCCTCGAGAAACTTGACGACATGATCGTGGAAGCCGCTGGTGGGGAAGATGCGGTTGATCAACCCCCACTGTTCGAGTTCCTGGGCGGTCAACTTGCGGCCGAACATGAGGAAGTCGTTGGCGCGATGGGCGCCGATCGAGTGGTAGAAGGCGGTCGCGGAACCGAATTCCGGAACCAGCCCCAGCGCGCTGAAGGGCACTTGTAGGTATGCCGTGTCGGCGGCCAGGACGATGTCGGCGATGCCCTCGAACCATGCGGCGCCGCCGCCGACAGCGGGACCGTTGAGCGCCAGCACGAGCACTTTCTTGTGGTCGATCATGGAGCGCAGGAGTTCGATGGCTTGTAGAAAGTGTGAGCAGGACACATCTCCCTCTTAGTCGGGTTCACCACCTGGGCGGCAGTGTGGTTGTGGTTTGGGACTAGATGTGATCTTACCGGTGCTAATACTGGCCATGAAATCAATCTTCTTCGCCGCAGGGTTGGGATGCTTGATATCCGGCCTCGAAGCGGAGGCTGCAAGATGCAATGATGGTTCAGCGTCAGCCCGGCATTCATGAGCAGTAGAGAGAGTCGGAGTAAATAGACAGACCAAACGACAAGCCCCCCATGACCTCGCCTGCAAAGAGAGCCGCAAGGTCAAAAATCAGAAACAAAACTGACTCAAAACAACATGAAAAACAAAAAAACAAAATCCCCTCTCTAAGGAAGAAAAGGACCCTCCTTGGTCACATCGGTAGACAATGAAACAGCGAAAGAGAATGGGAAGAAACGTACCTTTGACATCAGCGCCCGAGGAGAAGAACCTGCCCTCGCCGGTGAGGACAGTAAACACAGTGTCCGGGTGGTCGTTGAGCTCGCGCAGCGCCGAGACTGTGTCCAGGAGGAGGCTGCCGCCAAAGGCATTGAGGGATTTTGGTCGGTTGAACTGTCCGCCCGTAATTAATAAAAGTAAAAGCCCAGTGATATACAGAGAGAGAGAAAGAGAGAGAGGGTTGCAATACACGCTCTGTCGATACACCGGACAGGCCAGCAAGCATGTAGCGACCTCGAAGGTGAGAGAAGAGGGCTCGAAGAGAGTAAGGAGGACCGACGTACGCATAGTACATACCTTGATGATACCGATCTTGCCCTTGACCTCGTAGATGATGTCGTTGTATTTGTACTTGCTTGCGCTGGCCATGGTGTTTTGTTGGTGTTCGGGTGATAAAATAGATAATGTATGTAATGTATTCGAGATAGAGACGAGGGTAGCTGCTCAGTTGTATATCTAGATATATAGATAAATACTGTAGGGATAATGGGAGAAGTGGGCAGTGACAAGTGTAGAGAAGAACAAAAACAAACAGGCCACTAGAGGGGGCACACAGTACAATGTATGACAAGACAATGACGGCCTTGAGCTCAGATCATACACTGACGTCCCGACTATTGTACCTACTCGTCTCTCACCGAGTATGTATGTGATATAACCACAGCAGTAGTAGTATAGGACAGTAGTAGAGTCGAGTTGAGTAATACTGTATGAACACTTCTCCCACGGCAATGCTCGGTCTGGTCGGGTACAACCCCACAGTTGGAAAGAGGCTCCTAGGGCTTACTGAAACGACAGCCTCGGTTCGCGGAGCCTGGCCTCGTACGATCCTTTGTTGCTTACTCGGACTCATCCACTCAGACTCCGTTCGACTCGATGGACGCGGTCAGAGAGACTTCCCTACTCGGTGTAGGGTAAATCATCGCATTGTCCAGTTGCGCGTTGGTGTTTTGACCAGGGTCTGCGACCAGCTCTCCAGGGGCTGACCAAGCGAGATTAAGGCCAGGTTGAATATTAATGCATTGGGACCCTTTGCTGTGTTCAGACTTTTATGACAGTCGCTGTTGACCACCAATGGATAGGCGCAAGCATGGCCTATATTCGTCGTTGGGCCTCCTCCCTTGCTCTGACCCTCTGGCCTTTCATTCGCAAAAGGCCATGTCTCCAGTGTACTGATGGCGCCCTGGTCAGTGCATGACAGAAGGTATGACCGAGAAGTTTGGTGGCATAGTGGCCATGTTGCAGTTTGTCATTCTAGAATTGGTCTGAGGCCCTTCAAAGTCGCATTGGTTCTCTAAATTGTTGAAACCTTCCCCTAATCGAGCCAGCTCAAGGTAGGAGTTGCAGCCACATCCCACCTAGTAACGCGCAGTCAGGGAATTGACCCCAGAAGCCACACGGGGTAGCGAAGGCGCTTCGAAACATCTGGTTCTATCAGTGATGACGCGCAGTCCGGAATCTCTGAGGATCAATGCTCAGGTCGTCTCAATGTCGCTGCAACCACAGCTCCGGTAGGACTTCCGTGACCTTACCGATCACTGCTCGTCTGCTTCCACCGTTGCAGCAAGTAAAGTGCACCACCAACCAGGTGCAAGCTACCCGTCACCAATACTTGCAGACCGTCTCTCTGCAAGCTGGCTCTCTCTGCATATTCCAATGCTTCTTCAATGGAAGCTAAATATCTGGTGCTTGCATTGGGAAAAATCGATTTCCAGAGGCCGCAGTACTGTTTTGGAAGATCCGCCAGTAACTTGTCCGGAGGCTTCAGAGTCTTGTCTGGTTTCTGTCAGTACATAAATTGAAGGACGGCATGTTGCCTACCGGGTCGAATACTTCCGTCACGTCTTTCCTGGTACGTTGTAAACACCATCTCAGGTCCTCGTATATCGTTCCGCTCGACCGCACTCGCCAAGGCTCTCAACAACGACGGGCCATCTCGTTCTTCCGACATGTGAGAGAAGATAATCATGCATGGAGGACCAGGTTGACCATTGCGGTAAGAAGGAGCCGTGGCCATCTCAGCAAACCACTCCACCGCCTGCCCAATGCTCAATTCGTTGTGAGCTCCATCGAGAAACCAAGTACAACTGGCGGTTTTGATCACCTCAAATCGGCCTGGCCACGAGAAATTCTCAATACCCTGCTGGATGTCCTGCTCACTGAGCTTCTTTTGCTCAAACGGGCTCTTTCGGGAGAGAAAAGCGTTGACGAGAGCAATGGCCAGGGAACAATTGATACGTTGCACCTGCGCGGGCAAAGCGTTCGCATTGAGAGGCAGAGAAGGATTGACAGGGACTACCTCAAACTGAACACCTTTTTCAGCCGCCCGAGATCTCAGCACAGCTTCGACCGCGGGCTCCTGTGGAGCAGAGAAAGCAGGAGTCCCATGCTTGAAGATGCCAGCCTTGTGCCAGGCCACATCCTCGATACCGGGTCCCAGCTGCGCCAGATGGTCTAGTCCGATGGAAGTTATTCCCGTCACTACGGGCGCAGAAACAACGTTTGTAGCGTCATATTCGCCACCATGATGCGTCTCAGAGATGGCCGCTTGGGTTCCCTCCTGAGAAAAGGTGTGAATGGCTAGCAATGCAATCAATTGCAGATATCGAGGCTGTCTCTCGTCCTCTCCGTCCTGCTGAGAGAACAACCGGTCCCAAATCTCGAAAAAGTACTTGGTAAACAGATCTTCGGAGATGGGTTGCCCATTGATTTGGATCCGCTCCCGAATGCTTGTAAGATCAGGTGAGGTGTAGAGCCCTATTTTGTTGGGAAAGCCTGTTCTCTTGCCCCATTCTTGCAACAGAGATCGAGTGAAAGCACAGGTACTGCCTTTGCCTTTGGTGCCAGCAACGTGCACAATGTTCAAGGCTGCCACATCGACGTCCTTCCACATTTGTTAGAACGGGTATTTATGGGAGTTGAACACAAGCCTTCACGACGTACCTTGTAGCCTATCTTTTGCAGCCAATTCCTCATGCCTGCTATGCTCGGCGTCCCACGAAGGGACGAACGAGCTTCAACGCGTGGCTTATCGGTGGCATGAGGATTGGGAAAGGGGCCTACTGCATTTTGGGGCCGGGTTTTCCTTCTCCTAGAGTCGAGGAGTCTCAATGCATTCTGGTCTTCCTGAGTTCAGGTCCGCAGACGGCAGGGAATGGCGGCCTACCTCGTATGTTCTTTTGAGATGCGACCCTGTCGCTTTTTGAGGCATGCTGAGCGCTGAGGGTTACCGATCAAGCACCCGATGCACGCCTCTTCCTATCATCTGTCCATTATAGACTGTGAGACTCAATCTGGAGAGTTCGCTCCAAAAAGCAGCTTTCACTAGCCAGTGCAATGATTCTGGATGGATATGTGGCAGTGAAGTTGGACTGACACCGGGAGTTTGACGGAATGCAGCATTGTGCGTCGCCGTAGACAGTCCTACTGCAGATCATTTGATCTTTGACGCTGAGAAAAGTACGTCACTCGGTCACTCTGCAGTTGCACCGCGCGCCGTGTCTTCTCATACAGCATTTTCTCTGTCGATACACCCCAACTGCCTGCTCGAATACTCGCCCTGCGCACATAGACACCTTCGCCATTTGCCAAAATGTCTGAACCTATTCCGGAGGCCATCCCCACCTCCGCCGACCCCCGTTCCCACCGACCACTCAAACGCGCCCGCGGGGCCTACACATCCAACCCCAACGTCCGCGCAACTTCGCAGCAGGCTCATGAACTCGAGTCTCTCTTCCTAGACCCTTCACGCCCAGTCCAGCTACCTCCCGCATCCAGCGCTGTCAAGAAATCATTGCCCGCGCCTCCCGAAATCGTCGCCAACGTCCAAGGCTCGAGTGCAGGTGCGGGCTCCGGTGAGTTCCACGTGTACAAGGCCAGCAGGCGGAGAGAGTATGAGAGGTTGCGCGCCATGGACGAAGAGGCCAAGAAGGAGGAGGAGAACGAGAAGTGGGAACGAGAAGAACGGGAGAGGAGGGAGAAGGACGAGGAGAAGACTCGACGGAATCGGGAGCGCAGGAATAAGAGAAAGGGAAAAAAGGATAAAGAGAAACAGACGGATGGGGGTGTGAATGGAGCGAAGGACGCCGTTGAGAATGGAGAGGCGCAAGGTATTAAGCGGAAGGCCGGGGGGCTGCAGATACCACCAAAAGGGAGCCAGGAAGAGGAGCAAGGCTCGGACTTTGGTGTGGCGGAAGTGGTCAAAGAAACTGGGATCACGATTCATGATGATGATTAGGAAATCGCCGTCATGCGTCTGATAGATGGAATGAGGCTAGAAGGGCCGAGCCAGGAGAGCTCAGGCACGATCACGGAGGGTTGAACGCCAATAAGCCTACAAAGTCCGGGAAAGAATCGAAACTCTTCAAAATGCTGGCATATATCATGCAACGGACTCATTCTCATCGAGTCCCTTCGGGATTGGCGAGCTCAGACTTTCTTCTCCCTCGCAACAATCGCTCGATCGATTCCACTCCACCACCGCACCACCCTCTGGACAGCCCCCGGCATCACGCCCAGAAACGGCACACATTTGGCATAAAATGGCATGCGGATCACCCCGCCGTCACCTCTTTCCACCCACCGCACAATCTCCTTGGCTACGTCCTTGGCCTCCAACACCGGTCCGAAAAAGTGCGCGTAAAAGGGCACTCTTGTGATATCCGCAAATAGCTGTGTGGATAGTTGACCTGGCTCGACGAGGATGGTTTTCACCTTGTCAAAGACCGAGGGATCGGGGTGCGTGCGGAGTTCGTGGCACAGAGTGTTGTGGAGAGCTGAGACGGCAGCTTTCGATGCGCTGTAGTCGGCCAATTTGGCCGGCGCGAGGTGCGAGAGGATTGAGGAAATTGTTATTATATGGGCGCCCTGGGACGAGGTGAGAAGATGAGGCAGGACGGCAGAGAGGACGGTGAAGTGGCCGAGCGTGTTGGTTGTGATGGTTTTGGTGGCTTGTTGGGGAGATAGGGCTGATGTTGATGTATCTGAGGAAGCCGGAGAGGCCAGCGGAAGGCCGTTGATGGACGTTGCTGCGTTGTTGACCAGGATTGTCGGTGGCCCAAGCTGATTGATATCTATCGTTAGCCCCCTGAACGAGTAAAAAACAGAAATAGAATGAAAAGCACCGGTCCAAACCTACCTCATCAACAACTCTGTCCACCGCTTTCTTTACTTCTTCCGCATTACTCACATCCACCACCTCCCAGACCAGATCCCAGCGCTCCATCTCCTCTTGCGCCTCCTCATCCGGCGGCAGGACGTCCAAGACGGCCACTTTGGCGCCTTTTCTCAGCACCATCTCGGCCAGCACTCTGCCCAACCCCTGCGCGCCGCCCGTGATGACCACGACCTCGTTGTCCTCCGCCCAGTTGACCTTTCTGTGCCTGCCGTACGTGAGGCGGTGGTTGAGCCAGATGGCCAACTCCACAATCGCCAAAAACGCCGTGTAGTACAGCGTGTAGTACGCGAGGGGCTCCCGGTGCTTGTGCACGGCGGCCAGGCACAGGTAGAAGACCAGCGTGATCCACGGGTGGAAGACCGAGTTGGCCAGGATCAGTAGGAGCAGGTCCAGCGTGATGTGGCGGGCCCATGATGGGCTGGGTTGCTGAGGCTGCTGCTTCGGGGTTGGACGGGGTTTTGATGGCTTCAACACCATGATTCTCCTCGTCCCTCGCTACCCTTCCTTTGCTTTTTCTCTTTTTTTTTTCTGACCTTTTGGTCCTTGTTTCCCCTTAGCCTCGTCACAGAGCCTTCAATATCCTGAAGATCCCGGACGCTTTCTTCAAGGATGTTTGTGATTCGACTTCCTGAGTGTGACCGAGGAGAACTGCGGGTTCTCGAATGATTGACGCTGCAATAATAGACTGGAGCCGGCCAGGGAGAGAACAAACAATCTCAGGTGCAATCAGGCATACACGATCAAGAAGATCTAACTGAGGAGAAAAGAAGAAGAAATGTCTTCGTCACGATGCTACGAGGAAGACGATAGTACCAGGTCCCTGCTCGCCTGGTTTCAGCGTCTCTGCAGCCAATGGGGCGCCTGCAATCTGTGACGAGGATGAAACAACCACAAGCACAAGGGGAACAAAAGGAGAGAACAGCTTCAGCCACTACACCAGGTCAAAAGCTTCGAAAACGAATCTATTCATTACGGGGACTCTCATACTAATCGTCATGTTGTACAGCTGAGAGGTGATTCTCTGTCCAAGCCCCTCCGAGATATTCGGTTATCTTGATAGAGCACCTCTCATCACGTTGGACGTTCCTCTTTGGCTATGGGATAATGATATCTTGCTCTTTGCTCCATGCTCTAAAGTCGGTCGCCTTTTGATCTTTGGTCTCCGTCTGAGAATAATAGTAGATTGACTGAAGACTTCGGCCACGGCGGCTATCCTGCTGGCTGCACCAAATCCCCGTCTAGGAATGCTGCAATAACAATAATGCAATTGCTGAATCTCGATGGCCGAGTTGACTTCCTACTCGCAACCTTCCCTCCAAGTCAAACATCAATCCATGTCCCTGGGAAGCTCTTCAAGCAATCCTTGTTCGTCTCCTCTGCCAGCCTCGTAGGGTGTATGACCGCCACTCATTCCAGCAAGCTGCGGTCCGCTGCTTGTCTTCCATCCCATCATCCCTCCGCCGCCCCATTCGTATTCCTCTTCGATGTGAAACTGCGCCCCTGCCCTCGCACACCCATTGCCGCCCCTTGCAATGACAGCAAGATCTTCCATTTGCCGTGGATCGAAACGGAAGCCGGTGTACCGGGGGATAGGCATAATGTTAGGGTCTTCATCCCTTGGTCGCATGCTGCTGTCGAGGTGCGGATATAGTGTGGCAGGGACTTCAAGCGATGAAGACTCTGTACCTTTGCTCTCTTCCGATTCCATTGCCGCCGAAGACTCGTTACCGGCATAGAGGGACTGATTGTCTGCTTTTCCAGAATAGACTTTTGCCTCCAAGTCATGAGAAGAGTCTCCGACCACACACACTTCTTCGGCAGGTGTTTGGCCGGGTGAAATGGGAGTTTGGCACTGTTCGTCGACCAATGTAGGGGCTTCACTCGCAATAGCCGGCTTCGATTCAAGCTGAATATTCGTGTGGGCCTCATTTGTTGGTGGACTCACGAACCTTGAAAAGAAGGCCACTCGTTGAGTGCGGAGAAAGTCCAAGTTTGGACTTCGGGAATCATCTGGAGGTCGTTTTGGCGCTCTTTCGGAAACGCTATCATGGGGAGGGTGACTGTCAGGGGAAAGCAACTGGTCCGGTAGTGGATCAACGCCAGCAGAACTTGAGTAGACAAGTGAGCGACTACTGCGTTGAGTATCGTTTTCTGCCATCGTGTGCTGAGTTAACATCTGAGTTTCTATCTGCACTGCAGACGCTGCTGTCTGGCTGACCCCAGATGGTGGAGCTCGGTCGTTGCGTGCAATTTCAGATGAGGCTGTTGCAACGGATCGAGACAAGGGATTTCGCTCCTTGGTACTGCGAATAGTGCGCTTGTAGTATTGTCGTAATAGCTGGTTCATCCCCTCTAGCTCTTCCCATGTCATCTCCGGGTTGTAAGGAAACGCAATGTCAATCTCTGCGTATCGAGAGCCTGGATGATGCTCCCACTTTCCTGCACGTATGCGTGCATCTCGCCGTCGAAGCCAGCGGCCACCGCAAGTATCTCTGTCCCATGGTATGTCTAGCCCTACTGGGCCCAATGGTGCCCCATGTGTTGGAGTGTCACCTGTATTTTCTAGGGCTTTGGCCTTGTCCTTTTCGGAGGTGTCTGCCTCACAAGATACAGCCGCTTCCACTCTCACATCGGCATCTGGCGTGCCGTGGTTCTGAGCAACTGTCTTAGCCCTGGGCACTGCCATCCTGTCCTCGACAGATTGAGGCTGAACAGGTGCGACCCCGCTCTTATGTCCCCCATCACGATTGCTTGAAGGCCATGGTGGTCGCAGGGATTCGAGCTTTTCAGCGTGAGTGCGGTATGGTTTGTCGATGTACGGATTTGGTCGTCTCGGATCGTAGGGGCACTCTGCATTTAGTTTGCGTAGATTTGGATTTGAGATTGGCTTCAATTTGCCATGCCTCGCCTTCCGGTCTCTCCAGTGAAGCCAGCGGCCATCCTGGGTGTCAACATCCCAGGCAACAGGATTCCCTTCATGGTCATAGCCACTGGCCAGAGGCACTTCTGATAAGGAAATGAATACTTCCTCCGGCTTGGTCTGTACCTGTGGAGCGGTGTCATGAATACTCCCCTGCGTCTTTGCTTCATCAGGAGCATGATTGGGTGGGTCTTCTTCGTCGTCACTCTCGACCAATACCTTCCTGTGGCGCCAACTGTTTGGCTTCAATTGCGTGTTCCTGTCCTGGTAGTAGGTAGTCGAGGTCAGCTTCGACTGTGACGGCCAGCGCTCGCCCTCGCCAAACGAATGGGTTTCGGGATTCCCTGGATCAGAATTTCCCAACGTACCATCTCTAAGTGGATCCGGGAGCTCCTCATCCCCTTTCCGAAGCATTGCTTTCTCCTTAGCCTCCAATTCCTTTCTCATCTGCATTTGTCTTTCCTTGCGGGCTTCCAAATCTTTTCTCAACGTGTCCACGCGCTCCGTGACAGGAGTGAGAAGTTCCTCTGCAGGAATTTTCTGATCCGGGCCGATTGTGCTGATGATTGACCACGCTCGACGGAACTCGTCTCGTATAGCGATTATGCCGTGGTGCCCCACAGTACGTGCGACGTTATGTTCGATCTCGAAGGGGTCCTCGATTGCCACCAGATAGCGAAGACGGACTGATTTCTTCTGTGTCTGTTGCCACTTCGCCTCAGTCCACCCTTTGGCTTGCTTGGATATGAGACCGCCTTTTGTTCTAATTGAGATAACATCCCGAGTCCAATGAAAGCCTTGATAGGTTGCATAGTACTGGAAGAAGCCTCTCACCAATTGACCTGTGGACTCTCTGTTTGGGTTTGCAGCCATATCTTCTCGAATTTCCTTTAGACTTTGGGGATCCTGTACGAAGCGGACATCGAATCCCTCGAATAACTCGATTGGCTTATCTGGGTGCCATGAGTCGTCAATCTTGGCGAGATGCTGTAGATTGGGAATGACAGGTGGCCTCGCGACGTTCATCAGATAGTGAAGAACCATCAAAATCCAGCCATAGCTTGATAGAGTACCGCGATATGGCGTGTTGATGTCTCGGGTCTTGGCCCAGATCTTTACAAAGACGCCAACTTCTCTGACTCGCGGATCGAAGCTTTGGTAGAGTCGAAGCATGGACGAATTGTGGAGAGCCACGAAGTTGGAGAAGTTGATGTCACACTGAATGCCACAATCCTCGGTGAACTCTAGACCCTCATTGCCACGCCGGTCTTGTTTCGCAGGTGCAGTCTCTCCAAGTTTGAGGTCGGTCAAGGCCTGTTCAACCGAATCCACTTCTGTTGGGGGATCGTCCGATGTTGGTAGGTTTGACTCGACAACACCCGTTTCACCGCGAGAGCTTTCCCACGCGGCGCGGGTTTCCCGCAGATTCCGCAGCAGCTCTGGGGTTGGATTCTGACAGATGCGAAGGATTGGAACACGCGTCTGGGTGATAAGCCTGGCCCCAAATTCGTGGTCAAGGAAGGCTTTCTCCAAGATACGGCCAGTGTCAGTCTTGAAGTCCTGCTCTTCCTCCTCCCCATCCTCCGATGCTACCTTGGGTTCGTTCGCTGGCTTCCGGTTGACTTCTGTTTCTGGTCCTTGGAAGTCGGCTAGTGACAGAAGGAGATCCATGTCGGACCCTGCGAGCGCAAAGCCGTTGGCAAGACTGCCATAGCACTTCAATTTGACCTGGTCTTGCCTCAAGTCTGGATATTCGGCACCCAATGCCTGTTTCGCAATGCTCTCCAAAGTACGTCGGAAATTCTCCTTGACGTCTCTCTCCTCTTGCGTAAATTTGTGCGCCTCATACGCCGTTTTGCCGACGCTGGTGAGGTAATCCGATTGCATCATGACCAAATGTCGCATGGAGCGCTGTTGCTGCGCTGTGCTAAGGTGCATGCTATCATTAGGATTGTAGAGCTGCCCGTGATGTTGGGTTTGAGGTCGGCCATTCGTGCGAAATGCGGCAGGGTGCATCAGCTGTGGCTGGTGTTCTGGTTGAAAATGATGTTGTGGCCGACGCTGCTGCGCACCGAAAGAGCGTGGGCCTCGATAGTTCCCTCTTGCACGTTCTTGATACTCTCTGGGAGTGCCATGGTACGCATCGTTGAAGTGCTGAGGTTGGGGCTCCGGCGGATGCTGGAATCTTGGTGGATGAGGAGCATGACTCCTCCCATGAGGTGGTGGCTGTGCTCCAAGGGGCGGAAAAGAGTCGAGGTTAACAGTGAATGAGGAAGCATGTTGTTGACTGTTTGCACGATCTTGGTCTTCTTGGCCTTGGTGTGGCCAGGTAGATCTAGCTTGGCCTTGGCCGCGACGACGGCCGCCTCTTGCTCGAGGCGCAGATTGTTGAGCCAAGTCATTGAGTCGATTCCAGACGTGAGGAGAGAAGCCAGACTGATTCCCTGGTGCGTCCATGCTTTCCTGGTAAACTCGAGAACAAGAGAATTCAGATGAAGTTCACAAGATTCCGCAACCGCCGTGATCTTGGTAGGGAAGAGGTGAATCCATCAGCCCTGTACCACAGTCGAGGAAAAGAGACACAGGTGAGATGACACTTCTCAATCGAGGTTCAGACTTTGAATGCGTCTGTCAACAATGACTTGAAGTGAAATGGAAAAATCTTCGAGGCGCAGAGTGAATATCAACGGATGAAAGGGAGAGGGTTGGGTGAATCGAGTGAATACCTGTGAGTGAGTTGAAGTGCAAACCAGAGTTCGTCATTGCCGGCGAATCGCATGTGCAACTAGCGGTGCCAACGGGCCAGTCACAGAAGAATTCGCCACCGTAGGACTCCGTTTAGGGAGGAAATGATACCCCGGAGGCTCCCTCAACGGTTCCTAGGGTGCCTATGACTCTACAGTAGAAGCACTCAGGTACCTAAGTACCTCCCTATTTGCTACCTAGGTACCTAGCTAGGTAGCCGCCCGGCACTCCACCAGCATAACGGCCTTGGCATCAAACTGCAAGCCGCCGAGTAGCCTAGAGGTTAGCACCTGTGGCACCCGTGGCACCTACTGTGTACCGTGGTTTGGCACCTCTAGGCAGGGAAGTTGGTGGGGGAAACTGTGTGCATGACGGCCAAACCTGAAGCTGTCCTTGCATTCCAAAACACCAACACTCCGGTCTCTATCATCTCCGTTTCCCACCACTACTCACTCGATTCTCAACTCACAAATCACTGAATTACTTCGCAGCATTCCTTTCTCCTTCTTTTTACCTTCTTCGCTATTGATGCTAGGATATCGCAGGACGCAGAATCAACAATGAATCCAGGTTCAGCGCCCTCTGGCGGGCCTGCAACCCGTCCTCCTGGCGCAACTCCTATGATCAGACGCAAGAAGCCTGCTTCTGACCCCTTTTTCAAAGGCCCAAGGTTCAAGCCTGCTGCGACCAAGCCTCAACTGAACGGCCACCTCACTCCTCCCGTCAACGGGAACGTGAACATGAACGTCAACGGCCATTCACCTCCCAAGCCGCAATCCCTAACTGCGCTTCATTCGCGCCCTCTCTCTCCCTCCAAGGCAACTATTCCAGATCACGAGCGCGTGAGCGGCTTCAGCGATCCTCGGATTGCAGCAGAAGGAATATCATATACGGACTACAAACTGGTGACAACAAAGAGGGATCTGCTAAATGGGCTCAGGTATCATATTCTCCAGCTTGCAGGCGACAAACCCATAGACATTCGCAATGAAGCCGAGTTTTCCAAGCCAGTTCGTCTGCATCGACGCGATCCTCGCGCTCCGCCTCCGGGACAGAAGGAGGAAAAGAAGGAGGAAGAGCAAGCAGAACCAAAGGACGGGCTCAACGCTGCAGAGAGGGAAGATCTGAATCGGCGAAAAGAAATTCGGCAGAAAGAGCGTGAGGCGAATCTGGCGCAGATAGCTCCGTCCCAAAATACCGGCAAGAAGTTGAACTTCAAAAAGAAAACCCAGCAAGTCTTCAGACCAGACTTTACGGCCGAGGAGAAACGTCGGATCCAGAACAACTACGAGGAAAAGCTCCCATGGCATCTCGAAGATTTCGACAACAAACACTGCTTCATTGGGCATCATCAAATCGGCTCTGTTTGCTCCAACGCCGCCTTTGTCTACGAGCCGGCCGTGGATGCTTCAACTGGCAAGTTTCGGCTCATTCCCATTGAAAAGGTCTACCAATTCAAGCCGAAACGAGAAAACCTTCAAAAGATGACGATCGAGGAAGTCGAAGCCGCGATGAAAAAGGGAGGCTCTGATCCCGAGTGGCTGATTCGCCACCGAGAAGCTCGCATCCAGGAAGCCTTGAAGGAGCGCGCTGTAAGAGAAAGCAAGGCACTCTTTTCCGGCGCAGCTCGGACAACAACCGATGCAGGGAGGACTGGCGAGGAAGCGGATCTGGACTACGAAGACGACTTTGCCGACGACGAGGAGGGTGATCTCTTCGTGGATAAGGATGAGGATGAGAAGCTCGCAGAGAAGCGGATCAAGGAAGATCAGTTGCAAGCTAATTTCCTCGATTTCAAAGACCTTAAGGAGTACGATGAAGCAGAAGAGCGTGAAAAGCGCGAGGCAGAGGCCAGAAAGAAGAACTTCAAGGACTTGAGAAAAGCCCTGGAGAGGCGGGAGCGCAATTACAATCATGGCAGTGATTCCGAATATGAATCCTCGGTAAGTTCTACCCTTTGTGCACCATCCGACGAAGTAGCTAATACGTTGTGCAAAGACCGACAGCGAGGAAGAACGCGAGCGAATCGAGCGTGAGCGTCTTGCCAACATCAAGAAGGAAGAAGAGGCCGAGGCCAAGAAATCCGCTCTGTCCTCGGGCGCCAACACTCCCTCGGGTCGCAAAGAGAAGAGGGGGTCTGACCACGACGATGAAGGGGGCATGAAGAAGTCGACATCGACGCGTTCTTTGAAACGCCCTGGGTCGCCAAATCTTTCTGATGCCTCGGGCACGGATGCCTCGACGCGAAAGAAGAAGCTCAAGTCGAAACATGTGCCTTCTAGTCAACCCACGCCGGGCCATTCGAGACCCATGTCCCCTGTCAATTTCCCGCCCAGCTCCTCTGCTCCGCAGACATTAGACCCTTTGGCAGCGCTGAAGGCAAGAAAGCGCGCCGGTGCCGCAAGTCCTATAGGAGCCGGGTCAGACACAGACACTGACGGCGCTGCCATGTCCGACAGCAGTCGTGCTCGACGGCTCAAGCTCAAGATGTCGGCGTCTCCACCTCCAAGTGGCGCGGCCGGAACAGCCTCACCACCAGCTCAACCATCCTCGCGTGCAGCGTCGCCGACTCCAGTCTCTGCGGGAGGTAGCGTGCCGAGGCCGGTTGCATTCCCCTCAGCACAAGACATCAAGAATGCGATCCCACCCCAAGGCATAACTATCAAAGACCTTATGAAGGTAGTGGCGCATCCCAAGGACAAGCAGAAGGAGTTTGTGGCATTGGTCAAGGAGGTGGCGAGTTATCACAAGGAAAGGGGTGTCTTATTGCCGAAATAGACGTGGTCAGCAAAGATGCCACACGGGTATCCCTTGAGAAAGAAGGGTTAGGGCTCCGCAAGGTTACGGAAGTGGGCGTCGTGTCCAGTCTTGACTGATACGAGGCAGCAGCACCAGGCTTTGGTGAATCCAGCCTGCGATCATTGACATTGTCGCTGAAATGGATAGAGGCGGCGAGCACACCCCCAACCATTTGCCTTGTAAGCATTACATTGTATCCCATAGGCGATCAGATCAGTCTCCGGGCGCCGCCAGCGAACGGATCATCTACCATTCACTGGACATCATTCCATCACGGTATCAAAGACAGAGGAGTAAGGATGGCTTTCCACACACACACACACATACATACATACGATATGGGTTTAGCGGGCTGGTTACCCAGCTTGATACGACCACGACGTTTAAGACAAGACGGGCTGGGTATTATCGAGCAGAAATAAGATGAGAGGCGGTCCCGTTACGAGGTTTTTCTTTATTTAGTTCATTCCTAATCCGAAGAAACATCGGGCATTAAACACCTGCATCTCTTTACGAAGGACGCAATTGGAGCTGGGTTGGTTGATGAGTGGTCAGGTCCCTAATTCCAGGTCCTTAGGTATTGAGTCTGGCTTTGGAAGGCACTTATGGGTGGTATAGCCAGTTAAAAACACCTAGGGCTGGGAGGGAGGGTGAGGGTGTGTCTGCCCTAGGTAGTAGGAACCTAGGTCGATAGATACGGAAAAGATGATATGATTACTTCTCCCACGAGGAACAGAATATTGATATTGGTATTGAATGCAATGAGCGAGCTTGGGATGGATGATAGTATGTAAAGAATCGCTGTGCTGCGCTATATGAGATCTGATCTGTAATGTGGCTCCGCTGCAGGTGGTCATTCATTATATAGAGCAAGAATGCAGGGGCTCCCATAATCCAATGTCCAATTTATACAACTCTTCCCATGCGATCTTCTAACCTCTTTCGCAGCCCTTCTCTAGCAGCTATACCACTCCTGTCCTTCTGATAGGGAGGACTCATCAGCAGGCGGTATACCGACCACTGACCAACTTCGACCTGGTCGGCACCGTCTCCCAGCTCTCAACCGCGCCTCCATCATCGGCAAAGGGATCGCTTTCTTTGGCAACGAGCTTCTCCACGCCAACACCGCTGGCCGTTCGTCCAGAAATCTCGAATTTCACCTCGACGCCCCCCTTCTTCGCGAGGCCGCCTTGGGTCATGAACCGTACCAGGAGGCGCTCTTGTTCGGGCTTGATGGTGAACTCGTTCATGCGCCACACTACCGACGATGTCTTGCGACGGAAACTCGCACCTTGGGTTGGCGCCATCATGGCAGACATTGCTTTGCCGGTCCCTTCGCCGGTCGTATCGAGACTCACGCTGATCTGCACATTGCGGAGTGTCACTGGCTCGTTTCCAAAGACAGGATTGAGGCTGTACAACACAATCACGCTCACTTGTCCCTCGACGATTTGCCACGCTGGTGTGATCAATACTGGACTGTACTGAGCCAGATTGCTCTCTTCCATGTGCAGTTGGTACTTCAAGCAGATCATAGGCGTCGGTCTTCTCAACGACGAGGCCTGCACAGAATAACAGCCGGCTCGTTCCTCAGCTTGAGCTGTCGAGTCTTCAGACGACTTGATCTGGCTTATGAATATGGGGTTCGCGGCAACTTTGTCGAGCACTTCGAAATGTTGGATCCGGATCGTTTCGGTGTCTGCATCGTCAAGGCCGGTCGGGTTGCATGCGAGTGCCACTTCCCCGAGGACGAAGGACCTGCTGATGCCGGCTTCGGTAAACCAGGAGTGTACAGTTTCGATCACAGAAGCATTGAGGCCCGGCTCGTGCAAGTCTGGATGTGGGCTTGGGCCGGCCAGACTTCGGGATGAGTGCATTGAGGCCGTGTCGGAGCCCATTGCAGCGTGGTCGTCATGCAAAGCTGCGACTACTGCTGGTCGTTGCAGAGGGGATGCGAGGGTATTCTCGGGCGAGGTGGCGTTTTCTGGTATCGCCATGGGCGCAGGAGCGCGAGCTGTGTGCGGTAGTGCCTCCGAGCTGCTCGGGATGTACATCGTGTTTCGCACGTCTCTTCGTCCTCTTACACTGCCTTGGACACGATTAATGCCGGCATTTTGTGCTTGGGAACGTAGCTGGTTGGCCATGTTATTCATCGCCAATTGAGCCTCGCTTTCGTCTTCTTCAATTGGCTTATCCCGAATCATGAAATTCCGGCCCGACTCGTCTGCTGGGCCTGAAGCCAAGGCTGCCTCTTGCTGCGCCTGGTTGATGGGGTTCATGGTCTCAGCGACAGGTGGCTGTTGGAACGCCGCTTGTTGGTAGGGGTTATTGCTCCACTGAGGTTGTGGGGTGCTGATGTTGTCCGCGAGGCCAGGTTGAGTGGGAGCGACAGACGGTTGTGATTCTAAAGGACTTTGTGACTGGGTAGTTCCATTTGTCAAGGGCAGAGGCAGCGGTGGCTCGGACATGTCGCGGATGGGAACTTCTTGCCGTCGATCTTGGGAGACCGAAGATGTTGGTCGGTCCTGAGTTGCAGCTGGCGTAAGATCTTGTCCTGACTCTTCCAGATCCTGGAAGCTTCGTGATGAATCTCCTCTTCTGAACGGCACAAACCGTGTTCTCCTCTTTTCTTCCGTGGAAGAAGGCACTGGTGGAACGGTGCTCTTCCTTCTATTCATGACAGTACCGAGACGCTTGAGACCGCCCAGTTTGCTCTTCTCTTTGTGCGGCGTGTCGGGCACTACGACAAGTCAGTATCAGTCCAATAACAAGCTGATCGAACTCACAGGGCGCCAGTCTGTCTTGGCCGGCGAAAGAATTTGAGCGTTGATCAGACGTGCCTCGGGGCGGCGGCGGCGTTGGTGGAGCGCGGAGTGAGGAGCTGGTCGGTCTTCCACCGGCCGTCGCTGAGCTGAGCCTTCGCAGAGGACCAGGAGGTGGTCCTCCGGTGACGGCCCTGGCTGCAAATGTGTTGATTTCGTCGGCCGTCTCAACGTTGAGCAATGCGTTCAGACATGACTCGGCGCTGACCTTGTTCTTTTCGACGCAGTCCACCTCGTGTGTCTGGAACTGTGTGAGGACGTCTCGCAGAAGGTTGACTCGCAACTCATCCACCACTTGTAACTGTTCAAAGACATAAGGTGCTTGAGCTTCCCACTGACGTGAGGCATCTTCCACTGTTGTGCTGGCTGTGTCGGCCCTTCTTCCACCTTTTGCAGCCTTTCTCTGAGCGCTGGACAGGTCCTTGGCAATCGTGTTCAGGTTCCCCTGCGCGGTGTTCAAGCTATGCATTGCTTTGTTACGTGTCGCCCAATTGCGCAAGGGGGTCTCGACGTCGGTTTCGATCTTGGTCGCAAGGGTTTCGTGGGACGCCGCGAGGTTCTCAGTACCGGAGACGATGCGCTGCCAGGGCATCTGAAAGATGCTGTGCGTCGCATTTAGCAAGCGTAGACAATCGACCGGGACAGTGCATACCCAAGAGCAACAGCTCCATCCTGTTGCGGCCTTCGCGCAAGCTTCCGTAGACCCGCGACGTAGGCTTCCTCTAACTTCCGACGTTCCTGAGCGAGTGTCAATGTCGCATTCCAAGTGGCAGACGAAAAACGACCGACCTGAAGCCAATCGGCAATGTCATTGTTGATCTTTGTGATGAGAGTGACGCGGTCATTGAGGATGTTTACGGCTTGCTCCGGCTGCAACGAGGCCTGGCGCAAACAGATGGTGAGTTTCTCTACAGTCGGAGGCTCACGGGTCTTTGAGGGCCAGTCTTACCAGAAGATTTAGATATTCGGTCCGCTGGAGATCCGTATTGGACATTGTGTATAGATGATCCAAGCATTAAACACGCTCTATTCAAGTGAACAAACCCAGATTTATACCAAGACAAAGTGGCATGGCAGATACAAGACAAGAAATCGGAAGAGTGTGTGGAGTCGGCACCGTTGGATGAAGCAGAGAAGAAGGAAATGGTCTGGAAGCTCTTCGGTATTTGGCGGGTCGCGATTACATACTGCACCCAGCGAGGCCAGGTACGTATATCCTAGGGACCAGTAATAGGAACCGCTAAGAACCGACGACGAGGCCTTTTCTCTCTCCACATTTCGCTTCGGAGAATAATTGTCACAGGCTTGTCAGTTCCTTATACAATCGCCTGTCTCGGACCTACTCAAAAGATCCAGGATCCGTCTCTGCAACCCACTACGGAGCGCTGCTGTGATTGAAAGCTGCATGGCTGACACACGATCCTTCTCGCTGGCCGGGTAGATAGACTTACCTGTGGCTGCGTGAATGATGAACTGTCACACCATCGACAGGGTGATTTTCCGGCACTGATCACTGGCTTCCCTCGCGCATAGATCACCATGCCCGTGGAGATCAGTTTCACCGAAAGACTGAGCAATATTGTGGCTCTGTAAGAATAGCAGGCAGTGCTGGTATCTTATCTAACCTCAAGCAGGACGAATGCCTTCACTTCAGCAGGCAATGATGGAGACGCAGCTCGCAATAAGGCGAGAGATCTAGAGAGCGAAATCCTGCAGTCAGCTTCTTCTCCAGTATGCCGGCGTCTCAAAAGATCCTAGATATTCACCGCTGACCGGGCCAGGAAGAGTACCAACGACAGCTGCGAGAAGCCTTACAAGCCTCACATACACTCAATGCACCGCAGTCGGACGAGTCAGAGCTCCCACAAGAACCCGAGATATTGAACCATGACGGCCCCAGCTTTGGAGCTTACCAATTCGCAACTTACCATACAGACGGGCAAACGGCGACCATTTTCAAAGCGCAAGCAAAGGACAACAATGCCCCAGTTCGAATAGTGGCCTTGAAAGTTACTCATCCAGCAATGATGTCTCCGCCGCATAACTCAGAACGAGAAGCTCGGATGTTGGTCAAGGCGCGTCATGAGCATGTGGTGCCTCTCCTAGACACCATTCACGAATCGGGAGGGAAATTCATCCTTGTCTTCCCTTTCCTCAGGCAGGATCTGGAGAACCTGCTCAGGTCCGGCAGATTGGACAAGAAGCAGGCAAGTATGGTGTACGACGGACTCTTCCAAGCCTTAGAACATATTCACGCACTGGGCATGGTCCATAGAGACGTGAAGCCGTCGAATATCTTACTAAAGTCGATGACCGGACCAGTCTACCTGATCGATTTCGGCATCGCATGGTCTCCAGGTGACAAGGACTCAGAACCGGCGGATTCCAAGATCACTGACGTTGGTACGACTTGCTATCGCCCACCAGAGATCCTATTTGGTGACCACTCGTACGACACCTCCTTGGACATGTGGGCAGCGGGCTGTGTTGTCGCAGAAATCGTGAAGGACGGCCACCATCCATTGTTCGACGCTGGTCCCTTGGGGAGCGAGCTGAGTCTGATCAGGTCCATCCTTACGACTCTGGGGACGCCCGATGAGGACAGTTGGCCCTCTGCAGAAGCATGTCGTGATTGGGGTAAGATGCGATTTCAGAGGTACCCGGCCAAACCGTGGCATGCCCTTCTACCTGGGGCTCCTGAGGCCGCCATTGACTTCGTCTCCAAAACGGTGTGCTATGAGAAGACAAGGAGATTGACTGCCAAAGCAGCGATGCGGCATGATTTGAGATCTGTCATTGGAAGATGATAGTGACGTTGCGAGGGACGGCAGCCGAGGACCATTTTTGCCAGATCTTGAGGGGAAAAGCGACCTAATCCTCAAAGATCTTATCCAAAGACGGCACATTGGTGGTCAGTCCTCAAAGCAGGCGCTTATGGCGGCATTTCACTCGATGCGTTGCAACAACGGCGAGACTGATCGACAGATGATCGATTGCAGGACGGAGATCGAAGACAAGGCCTACCGAATAACAAGACAATTATTATCATTGCAATCTGACAGAGATCGAATTACAACGTGGAGGCATTCTATTTGGTGGGTGGGACGGGAGCGGAGCGATTTGCATGTGGACAAACGGACAATCTCATGGCCGACGAGGGAATTGATGGAAATATTGGGTGCTGATCCAGTGGAGGGAGCGTTCATCTTGTTGTTCCTTGTCGGCAAATCTCGCCTGCTGAAGCTTCTTTGATGTTTCTTGTGGCCACTGGTGACTGTTGAGGTACATAAGAGTAGATACAAGGCCCGGCCGCCGCCACAGGTCCCAGCTCTTCGTACCGATGAACTCTCTTTCACAAATAGCTACTAGCCAATAGTCGTTGAAACTGCCAAAATGATAGACAATTGAATCGAAAAGGCACATGCGGCAACTCCCAGTGACAAGTGTCAATCTTGTGCGACCTGGCGCTGTGGTGGCTTTGGTTGAAAAAAGGAGCAATCTCGCTCATCTCCCGCTAGAGCTGCAGGTACAGGGCCGCCTAAACTGCATTAGGGCCCCGGGCGTAGAGAGGCGTTAGGGTGGCTTGAGCTAATGAGGCCTAAATCCAGGCACACCAATCAAGTCTTCTAGGGATCCCTGCCCGCCTGCGTTTAATCAATCCGTTCCATCCCTCGCCCATGCCATGCCCTGGCGCAAATGCACCCATGAACTGAAACAGCCACCACAGCTTCAGTCAAAGCACTTTCCCTCGTGTCCTCTCTTATCTCACCACGGCGTCACTGCTACTCTGCCGCTCCTGCGCTCTCTCCACGCTTTCGCTTCTTCTTCTCCCTCTCACCTCTTCTGCTTGGAGCTCGTCGACGTCGCAAAGTCCATTGTTGACAGCCTTTCAATTCTTTCCCTCCCCTTCATTCATCCCATTATTCACTGCGTGTGCATTGTCGCCCCTCCTTTATCGACAATTCATCACCGGCCGCTCCTTTACCCTTCCACCCTCGCCGAGTCACTCCCTCAAACGATTCCAGCAGCGCTGTGACATACTCCTTTGTCCACTGTGGTCCTCGAAACAAACAGTCACAACAAACAGCGCAGTCCTGTTCGATACCCCTTGACCTACCGGGCGACGATCAAGAATCCGCCCCGAGCAGCTTTGCAGAGTTGTCACGTACACATTCATCAAGCCGAGTGCTGCGAACCGTGAACTCTGCAAAGATGAAGATGAACTTTCACGACAAGGTGGTGGAGCTGGCCAGGCGTCAAGATTCCATCACGGATGGAGGCACTGTTTATTCCGTTGTTTATGTCACGGCAGAGCCAACCTTTACGGGTGTCATTGGAGGCTATACCACTCTGACTGGTGACGATGCTTCTGCCACCGCGACAACTTCACAGGAATCCAGCCCTAGTGCAACCGCCACTTCTGCAGGCTCATCTTCTCCCACATCGTCCGGTGCCTCGACGGAGAGTGTTGCACCGACCACTGCTAGTCCCCTGGTTGCGCCGACGACAAGAGACAATGCCTCTGCAACCGCATTCTCCTCCGGGTCAAACACCGATAGCGGCGCAGTAGCGGCGGCTACCACAACCCCCGATTCCTCGTCAAGCTCGAGTTCTGGCATCTCAACAGGTGCGAAAGCAGGTATCGCCATTGCCGTCATCGCCATCGTTGGCCTTGTCGCCGTCTTCCTGCTGTGGCTGCTCGGGAAGAAGAGGCGTGAGCGTGAAGCACAAGCTATCGGAGACAATGAGAAACGCAATCCTGGTTCTGGCATGAGCAGCACTGAGATGGCCACGAGGAGTCCGCCCATCAGCTCAACTGCCCCGCGAATAAGTCTAAGGCCTGTTTCTCGAATGTTGCCCGAATTCATGGGATCGTCTTCTAAGAGCAGACTCAGCGCCGGCAACCTACTCACTACCATTGGAGAATCGAATTCTGCCCCTGCTGCCGGCCCTGCTCGAAACTTGAGTCCCTCGCCTCAACCACGCGGTCCAAGCCCGACTCGCCTTCGAGGCCCAAGTCCAACCCGCCAGTCTCAGGATGACAATCCGAACAACCCATTTGCTGATCCTCAGAACCCATTTGCAGACCCCGAGAAAGCAACTGCTGGTCTAGGCTTGGTTAGTAGCTCTACGTCCAGTTTGAAATCAGCACCAGTCGCTCCTGTCATCGCTGTCACTGGTGTTGCTGCTGCTGCTGCTGCTGCTGCCGCCGCCGCCGCGCCCGCACCGATCACCGAACCCAAGGCGACCCCTGCTCTTCGCGAAGGACCAACTGCCGCTCCGGCTCGAAAGCCGGTTACCGCCTCTATTGCCCCTCCTTCAGCTGCAGCACCAGCTCCGGCCCCGGCCCCGGCCACGGCCCCGGAACCCGTCTCTGTCCCAGCCTCTGTACCTGCTCCTGCTCCTGTCCCGGCCCCAGCTCCCGTTCCTGTTCCTGTTCCCGCTATCCAGCCCGCGCCAAAGCAGGCTTCTCCAGCTTCTTCAGCACCCGCTTCTCCAGCTCTGTCCTCCGCCACCAATCCGGGATCCGAATCGCCTCAGGGTAACGTTTACCGAGTCCTCATGGATTTCACACCTTCTATGGACGACGAACTGGAGTTGAAGAACGGCCAACTGGTTCGCCTACTGCACGAGTATGATGATGGATGGGTAAGTGTCAGTACTTGTGTTGCATTGGACAGCTGAACTAACGTGAGTCCTAGGCGCTCTGCATCCGACTTGATCGATCTCAACAAGGTGTGGTTCCTCGAACATGCCTAGCTGCCAAACCATCCAAGCCTAAACCATCTCATCTCAACCAATATGCTCGGCCACCACCACCACCCGGGGGTCCGGGGTCCCGCCCTATGTCTCCAGCTGGTGGCCCACGGGCTGCCATGGGCCCTCAACGCCCCATGAGCCCTGCAGGGAGACCGATGAGTCCCGCAGGGCGATCAATGAGCCCGATGGGAAGGCCAATGAGTCCGGCTGGAATGCGGCGACCGATGAGCCCAGGATTCAATCAGGGACCGAGATCGATGTCTCCAGGCCCAAGAATGGGACCGCCGGGTCGAAGTATGTCCCCTGGACCGTACGGTGTTCGCGGTGGCCCGCCACCAATGGCCGGAGCAAATCGACCCAGGAGCAACTCTGCGAGCAACGCGAGGGAGAAGCGCAACTCTCCTGCTGGTCCCTCGAAACTAGGGCCTGGCTCGGGCATGGCTTTCTAATTCACAATCTTCCATATCTCTTTCATGTTCACAGCTTCGTCGATGAGATGACCGTTGCAGATCGGGTTTCATCATGGCCTTAGAACATGCACTTTACGATGAAGAACAGTATCGTCGACAGCTGTGGACTTTGTGCCTGGACTTGATCTTTCTGTGCTTTTAGCTTTCCAATTCGATGTCTTTGTCCATTTCTGGAACAAACTGTCGAAGACTTCGTGCTAGCAAAGAGGTCTGGCTGCTGTTTAGCGGATGGTGGTTTAGATGCTGGAGAACAGGCGTGCAGGCGAACAAGACAAGATATGTCTTATGCCGGGATAGATAGGTAATACCCATGTGAATGAAGATCGCTTACGTTTGAGAATTCCTTGTTCTGAATCTGCCGTCGACCAACGATGGTCCTGCTACACAAAGTTCTGTCGTAGTTGGTGACTGTGACTTGTTATTGTTCCTGAATTGCAATCAATACGGGAGCTAAAGTAAGCTTCTTTTGGCTAACCAATAAATCAATCTCGCTTATAGCTTATATTGGCCCTTTAGGGACACAAGGAACTGGGGTGCAGTGTTTGAACTGCTTAGATGTCCTTGGAGTATTGGACACAGCGGTATCTCTACATCTGATCTGGTGCTCGCCTTGTCGCTATTCCGGGGAAGCATTTGTTCGGTGCCAGACTGTGCTATACACAGACTGTCGCTGCTTTAGCGGTGTTTCCAGTCTAACCCACAGCCTCAAATGTTTTCGCAGACAGTATATATATCTGGAATGTTCATTCATCCTACCACCCTCTCACTCACAATGTCAAACAATAAAAACAAAAAAATATATATAAATGAATCCATTCCCGATGATTGAACTCGGTGCGTGATTATGGAGTCGCGATCGCACCACGGCTGCCCTTGGGTCTCTGCGCTTCAACAGAGTCGCGACGAGAAAGGCGCTGCGGATCGCTCAGCCATGAACGGCAACACAATGTCACTCGTCACCTTCAACGCCGACTCTGAGTCGCTCCTTGTACATGGCAAAAATCCAGCATCAGCCGAAGAAGCTTCATCCTCAACTGCTGAAGAGCAATACGAGACCAAGCTGCAACAATTCGTGCTTTCGCTCCGCCATTCGAGCTGGCAAACGACCCGACCGAATCGAGTTCTTCCTTCCTCTGGAGCAGTACAGAGATTCCAGCAGATCGTGCGCAGCGAGACAGATTTGGTAAGCGAAGCTGAGGTACACGACTTTGACCTCCAAGGCTGAACCCCCTAAGACCGAATCATTGCTGACTTGTAAGCGACAGATACAACAATCCTAGCGACCACGAAACCCTTGCACTCAGGATGGATACCTTCAAACACGATCACATCGTCCAATTCTTCGAGAACCGCGTGACGCGTTTCGTGCAGCGGGCACGCCACCATAAAGACGCCTCTGTTGCCTTTTTTGCTTCATTCCTTGTGCCCCTTGAGGACCTTGCAGAAACCAGCTCTATCGAGTATGCGTCCGGGGGCGGCGAGGGCCAGACTGAGCGCCGTCCCGACTTCACTTTCTCAAGCCACAAGAAGTCTACATACGCAATTCTGGTGGGGGAAGCGGTGGCAGGGCCGGCCACACTAGCTCAAGAACTCCTCGCGCGAGAATACATCGAGTCCACTAAGGGTGGCATACGAACTGTCATCGGCATCGATCGCGATCATCCGGCGGGGACGGGGGCACGTCTGTCGGTCTGGAGAGCCAAATTTGGCGAAGACCGGAAGTTCCAGGGTGTCGCTGACGCCGACAGCGTGGTGAGATGATAGCATTTCCACCTATCGTATCCTATTACTGACCATTTCAATCAGGAAATCCGAAGCAAGTACGGCATCAAAAACCCCAAGAAGGTTCCCGTGGGGCTCTCCCTGTCTCTTGAAGACTTGGCCGTTACCGGGCCAGTGAGCAGGGATGCAGCAGTGGTTCGATCTGCGACTATGAAGATTGGTGTGAATGACCTGTTTAGGATGTTGCAAATGGCTGAGCGGCATGAGAAGGCAAAGAAAGCCCATAAGGCGAAATGAAGCTGGAGAAAAGCTCTGCTGGTAGCCGTCACGGCGCAGCGACGAAGAAGGATTTCATCACCGAGGACGATTGATAGCGCAGATCCACAATGCACATTCGCCATGACGGCCTTTTACATATTCCCGCGGGGCTGATACTGCTCCTCATACCTTGACCGTTGCGTGCGTCTCACCTCTACCAGGGAAGGTGTCTTTCTATTGTTCCTCATCCAGGGCGGGCATGGAATTTTGCTCAAACCATATCGATCGACTCGCCCACTCTCGTATCCTCCTTCGTGTCCTCCTTCGTGTCCTCTCCAGTACGTCGGCGACGTTGCCGCGTCGCTTTTATTATGGCTTTCATGTGAGCCTCAAGGGTGTGATGAGAATTACTAATTCGAGAAGCTGGAGAAGCTCGAGGAGCATCTCGTGAGGACCATGTCTTATCTACCTAAAATAAATCAGCTATACGAGATCTTCTTTCTCTTCAAACGCCGCCACCAATACCATGCGTTTCCAGATAAGTGAGATACGCAGTACTGCAAACGGATAGCTGAATCATCGATGGCGATGGCAGTCAGGCGCAACCTGCCACCCTGCATGTTTTCATTGGTTTTTTAATGAGATATGGCCGAGCCCTCGGGTAGCGACAGTCCTGCCAAGGATTTGGCATTTGGCTTGTCGTTGTGGCATTTGACCATTCAGCTCGATGCATAGCACCGAAGCGATCATCAACAAGCCCACCGTTTGCGCCGAGAAAACCTTGCACCACTTGGTCTGTTCAAACTTCGGGCCTTAAGTGTGGGGTGGCCTGATATGGCGGTCCAACGTCGTCCATGAGATGCTACGAGCTGAAAACGGGTTCCAGCCCTGGGAACGCTACATATATGTAACAAATGAAACAACGAAGACATACGAGGAGTTGGCTCTTCTACAACAATGATCCATGAACAATAAGCCCCTACTAAACCCTCTTTGTTTGTCTATCAACACCTCGTACCGTGTTCGACCATGACCTGCCCCCTGCCTCCCGTCGACCTCGCGGGTCTCAAGGACAAGTGCGTGCTGGTGACCGGAGGAGCATCAGGTCTGGGGCTGGAAACGGCACAACTGTTCGCCTCACACGGCGCCTACGTGACCATTGCCGATGTGCAGCCTCCGCTGGACGACGAGACCCTCATCAAGGCAGGCCAGCACGTTCAGTACGTCCACTGCGATGTGAGCGATTGGGACAGTCAAACGGCGGCATTTCAAAAGGCAATCTCCTTTTCGCCTGCAAAGGCCCTCGACGTGGTGACTACCTTTGCCGCTATCGATCCGCTGGAAAATCTCATCGACCAGGTCAAATCCAGCATCAGCCGGGAGGAAGTGACGCTGGAGACGATCGAACGGCCGGTAGCACCCTCACTCCGGTGCATCGACATCAATCTCAAGGGCTCGTACTACTCCGCCGCCCTGGCGCTGCATTACTTTCAACTCAGGCCTCAACATCCACCTTCGTCCTCTGCCGCTGCTGCCACCACCGCAAAGGGAACTCTGATATTCATCTCCTCCCTAGCAGGCTACCTCGACGACGACCACTCCATCGTCTACACGACTTCCAAATTCGGCACGCGGGGCCTCTTCCGCGCCCTGCGCCGCCGGGCCCGCGACGAGCTGGGCGTGCGCGTCAACTTGGTCGCCCCCTGGGCCGTCAAGACGCCCATGACGGCACCAATCCTGAAAGCCATGGAAAGCATGGGCATCCAGGACGGCAAGGGGATCACGTTTGCGAAAAAGGAGACTTGTGCGCAGGCGGTGGGGAGGATCGCCCTGGATGAGACGGTGCATGGTAAGTAATTAAGATTTTTCTCTCCGTCCTCTTACATGTTTTTTCTTGGGTTGTTCACGATAACATATTTTTATCGTCTTTGTCCTGCTATCTCATCAAATAGTAATTTTTGGGGGGCCGAGGTCGCAAGTTCTAACACTGGTTACCACTCTAGGACGAGCATACGCCATCATGCCGGAAGGGGCATTCGATATCAAAGACGACATCGAGGGAGGGTATGGGGGCGAGGAGTTGAAAGTGCTCATGTCGTGGAGGAAGGCGGCGGGAGATTTCCTCCAAGGTTAGCATAGCAGCAGGAGGAGGAGAAGATTTTCTATAGAAGTACACGATGACATGGTTCAAGCCTGTAGAGTCTGTTCACAATCACCACATCTAAGAGTTTCTCGCCGTGTATATATACCTACCCAAGGAATGCTCTGGATATCCGATCGGAGGAGCGCGAGGCAAGGCTGATATCCCAAGCGGACATCCCCAGCTCCCAATCACTAGCCCAAGCCTTTACATATCCCCACGCCTACCCACGCCCTGGTCTCTTTCTCTCTTGGTCACTTGTGCGAACAACCCTCGTAAAATAGATATCCTATTCCATATCCTTTCCCTCTGTCGTTTCTCTCTTTCTCTCTCGTCGCACCAAGGCGCATTTACGCCCACAATGTCCGAAACAGACGCCGGCTTCCTCGCCGCCGTGGAAGAGGCTCGACAGGGTTTCGCGGAGGGAGGCGTCCCGATAGGTACGGCATTCACGCCTTGCTATTTTTTTTTTTTTTGCTTCTCCAAGATAAGGTATTTGCGTTGGGTTGGGTTGTGTTGCTGTGCTGTTTGGTACACACACTCCACACTCGATGCCACAGAATGGCCACGACGGGGACGCAGAAAGTCCAAAAAGATGAAGATAGAGAGCAAGACGAAAAGAAAAGACGAGAGTTGTTAATTTTGAGACATGAGAGGAACAGGAGCATGCCTCGTCTCCAAAGACGGCAAGATACTCGGCAGAGGCCACAACATGCGCGTGCAGAAGGGGAGCGCAACATTACACGTACGTATATATGACCTGATCCTGTTGAGCGAAGCGCAGCGCAGCGAGACAGTATACAACCTTCACCCTCCCTCCGTCCCCTTTTTTTCTTTTCCACCCTTCTCTGCCTGCTCTAATCCTGATTCCTGATCTACCTATTGAAGGGCGAAATCTCCGCGCTCGAAAACTCCGGCCGCCTGCCCGCATCCGCCTACGCCGGGTCGACCATGTACACGACGCTGTCCCCTTGCGACATGTGCACGGGGGCCTGCATCCTGTACAAAGTCGCGCGGGTGGTCATTGGCGAGAACAAGACCTTCGTCGGCGGCGAGGCGTACCTCAAGCAGAGAGGGGTCGAGGTCGTGGTGCTCGAGAACGAAGAATGTAAAGGGTTGATGGCGAGGTTTATAGCGGAGAAGCCTCACGTTTGGTACGTTTCTCTTCATCTCTCTCCCCCTTCGGGGGTCCTTTGGGAGATTTTTTCTATTTCGTTTCTTTTGGCGTGTGCAGAGGAGGAATCTTTTGTTTGTATTTGCTGATACTAAAAGTTGCTACCTACCTAGGAACGAGGATATTGGGGAGCAATGATATGCAGCGAACTTCAATTCAACCACTTGCTTGCTTTGCGAGGTATGTGTCCTTTTTTTTCACTACTGCTTTCTATGCAGTACAGCTACCGAGTACACCTGTGGATCTCCTCAAAGAAGAACTTCAAATCATCCGGATTCACGCCTGGGGTCACGCCATGCCCCAAATTGGCGATCCATCGTTCCTTTCCTCCTCCAAACCCCTCGACCATGTTCTCGACCACTTTCGTGATGGCTTCACGGCTCCCGTAGAGCACTCCCGGATCAGCATTACCCTGCAGAGTGACTCTCCCTCTCGCGATCTTGACTGCCTCCTTGGGATCGTGCAACCAGTCCAACCCCACAACATCATAACCCAAACCGCATAGGTCGTCTAGAGCGTACCATGCGCCCTTTGCGAACACGACCATAGGAACGACATCTTCGCCCATCTCCCTTAGCCGCTTGGGCAGGTTCTCTGCGATATAGCCGAGTGACGGCAGACAGATTTCCTTGAACGACGCCGGTGACAACTCCCCCGCCCACGAGTCGAAGACTTGCACAATCTGTGCCCCCGCAGCCACCTGTAACGCGAGGTACTCGACGCAAATCGCGGCCATCTTTATCAAGAGCACCTTGCTCTCTTCCGGATACTTGTAGACCCACGTCTTTGCTTCCCTGAACAGTTTCGTCCCGCCTCCCTCCACCATGTAACAAAGCAGCGTCCAGGGCGCGCCGCAGAACCCAAACAGCGGCACCCGCCCGGCCAACTTCTCCCGCGTCATTGTGATGGCCTTGTACACGTAATCCAGCTCCTTCTTCACATCGACCTCCCTCTTCACAATCTCCTGGTACTGTTTGTCCGCGGGGCTGCGGAGCGGGTTGGGGAATTTGGGCCCCACGCCGTCGACCATCAGCACCTCCATGCCCATGGCCTGCGGGATGACAAGGATGTCGGAGAAGATGATGGCCGCATCGATGAGCCCGTCGTAGCGGTCGATCGGTTGCAGCGTCAACGTCGAGGCGATCTCGGGGGAGCGGCAGCATTCGAAGAAGTCGTGTTTGCCTTTGGCTTGGTGGTACTCGGGAAGATAGCGGCCGGCTGTTGGTTTGTCAAGGCGGGAGGCAGAATGTCAGCAGAAGCTGGGAAATAGAAAGAGAGAGGAAAGATGGCGGGTGGAGAATAAACAGAGCTCAGATCGGGGATGGAATTGAAGTAGAAGGAGTTAGGGAGGCGCGTGTGCATTGACCGCCAAAGCAGCAGCAGCAGCAGCAGCAGTCATAGCGTACCTTGTCTCATCACCCATATCGGCGGCCTGTCAACTTTTTCTCCTGTACATCTGTTTCAGTGGGAGGGCAACTCCGGGGTTGTCGTGCTGCTCGGGTGTGAATGGTGTGTGATCAGTCTCACGCACCTCGTGCGGCTCGAAGGAGTCGGTCATTCTTCAGAGACGGCCAAGACTTCTTCATCTTCGTGAAAGCTGTAGCAATACAGCGCAATTACTTCTCCAACACTGAGCCGTATTTGGTTGAAGGGAGCCTACAAGCCACCCTGCGGTTCGTATTCGCAAAAGTCAATGATGCTGTGTGGAGGGGCATTTATTTTGTTCGGTCTAACTGCGCCGAGGTTTTCCCCAGCCTTGCAGATCCCGATCTTCCGCTCTGCTGCAAGGCTGCGTCTGTGTAGGGAGCACCAATTTACCCACCTACGTCCCTACCCAGGTAGGTACCTACCTAGCAAGCTAGACCAGTCGTCTTCCTATTGAATTCTCGTTGCAGCCTCACTCTTGTTCGAGAGAGGACACGAGTGATTGCTATGAGGGAACAATATTGCTCACGACATCCCTTCTGCGTCTGCTGGGATACCCTCTCGGCCTTCCTCTTCCTCAGCCTCCGCTCCAGCTTGGCCTCTTTTCTTCCGGAGATTCTCCAGGCCATACAGCAGCTCTCCTGCAGCACTGTATGCCCCTTTGTCCTTTGCGTGGCCTTCTGATGGCAACGTACCCCTCCCGCAGTCCAGAGCCGAAGTATTTAGAAGCATGGCAAGGCTCGATCTCTCCCATCGCAAGTCCGCTTCAAAAGCACCCTCCGGTTGATTTCTTGGGCTTCCTTCGTTGGTGGGTATGTTGGAGAATAGTTCAAACGTCTCAAACGCATCTCCTGCTGGCGTCTCCTCGGGCCTCAACACCCGGATAGAGCCTGGTCTATGTATCGTATCAATACTGACGACAATTTCCCACAATGCTGGTCCGATGGTAACGTCCAACACGTTGCCTCCTAACGTCAAGGTCTGATGATGCCTCAAGCGACCCTCTTGTGTAATACTGTAGCTCAGAAGCATCGGAAGCCTAGTAACGCATTTAGCTGCAGCCCAAGAAGTCTCGGTCCATCACTTACCCTTCAAGGGCAACCAGAAGCAAATGCGGGGGCTGGCGTGAACGTGGTGAGTTGCCTGACACGGTGTAATGGACAGGCCAGATATTAGACACTGCCAAAGAATCCAGCGAACGTCCACCACGTTCCAAGTCCAAGCAGTTGACTATGTCTTTCCCCGCATCGCCTTGAAAGAGCTCCTGATCCAACAGTTCCCCAGTCTGCCAGTGGTAGACCTTCACAGAAGGCTCACCGCTCCCCGTCACAAGTATCTCCGGATTCCAAGGCACGACGCACAGCTTGCTCACAAATTCACGATGGCCGAAGCAATAGTTCTCGATGATATGAGCTTGTGATACTCCCCGAGACACGCGAATGTGCTCGTCTCGATCCGCTGTCAGAATGTATTCGCGACGCCTAAGTCCCGATTGGACTTCGGTAATGGCGACGTCAGTCAGGAGGGACACATGACCTAGCAGCAACTTGCATTCGAATTGTGGTCCCTCCTTCTTGGGTTGAGCCGCCTTTTGCTGACGCTGTTGCTTAAGGGCTTCTAGATTGCCCTTTGTATGCACTGTTAACTCTGAAGCGGAGGGAGAGAAGGTCGCCTGTTGCTGGTCCTGAGCAAGCTTCTGGGGTGTCCATCCCGCAGTGGGATTTAAGGGCAACAAATAGACATCGCCAAATTTATCGCCCAGTAGGAGACTCTTCTCATCCGGTGTTAGGACTATTGCGCAAATGCGCTTTGGCATTGACCTAATAAAACTAAGCAACACAAGCCAGCTCACCCACTCAGGCAGAACCTACCTCTGACTCTTCAAGTTCAAAACTCCTCCCGTCAGTACGTCGAACACAAGGACTGATTTATCTTCGCCTGTGACGCAGATGGCCGTCTTTCCGTCACTGGTAGTAATGATATGAGAGACGTTCGGTAGCGTAGTGTTTTCTACCTTGGGCTTCCGTCGCTCACCCTTTTTCCTCTCCGAGATGATTTCGATCGAGTCTTCTGACTCCTGATGGGCCAGTTCCCCCCGAGTTCCTTCTCCTAGCTTTCGTCTCTTTGGTGGCCTAGTTTCCTGGCCGTTGGTACTGGCTTCGTCATACTCTTCGTCCTCTGGGTCGGATGGGGGCCAGCGGTTCAAAAGTGATCCGTCTTTCAAGGAGAGAGAGTTTATGACTGGTCCTGAGGCTGCCAGCAAAAACGGTTGTTGGCCGTCCGCCGGCTGGACGCAGCATAGCTTCTGAAATGGCCAGGGAACCATAGACACTGAATGCTGCTTTTTAAGCGTCTTTGCCAAAAGTGGGTGGACGGCTGGTTTTGGTAATTGTAGAAATCTTCCCCGTACAAAAGCCCGCCACCACTGGGATAGCTGTATGGAGATCTATGAGCACATCACAGAGCCAGACCGAATTAATTCACACCATGCGAGGACGAATACTTCAATTTGAGAACAAACCCGTCGAATTTTGGCAGTGCTTTTCTCTGAAAGAATGCTTCGCCGTTGATGCCAAGACCTTGGCACGTGACCCAACCGCACTCAGGAAATAATCCCAGAGCCGCCCAAAAAGTTGCACTTTGACCATCTACAACACCCTCGTCACAATCGCAACAGTTTGCCCTTAAATATCCTAACTTCATCCCGTAAGAAGTCATGGGGGGCAAATCAGGTACCAAAGCTGTCTACTTCGACAAGCTCAAGGGCTTGCTCGAAGAGTACAAGTCCATCTTCATCGCAAGTCCTCCCGAAAAGACCAATCGCCCAGCTCAATTAACAATTTCGCCAGGTCAGCGTCGACAATGTCTCGTCGCAACAGATGCACGAAATCCGACACAACCTCCGCGGCGAAGCGGTGGTTTTGATGGGCAAGAACACCATGGTCCGACGAGCCCTCAAGGGTTTCATCCCCGACAGCCCAGAGTACGAACGTTTGCTGCCTCATGTCAAGGGTGCGTGCGCTCAGAGTCCACAAGAAAAAAGAGAGGGGAACACATTGATCTGACTGTTTATAGGAAACGTTGGATTCATCTTCACTAACGGTGAATTGAAAACCATTCGCGACAAGATCCTCTCGAACCGTGTCGCAGCTCCTGCCCGTGCTGGTGCCATTGCTCCCGGAGATGTCTATGTCCCAGCTGGAAACACTGGCATGGAACCCGGCAAGACGTCCTTCTTCCAGGCCCTCGGTGTCCCCACCAAGATTGCTCGTGGTACTATTGAAATTACCACTGATCTCAAGCTGGTCGAGGCTGGCGCAAAAGTCGGTGCCTCCGAAGCCACTCTGCTCAACATGTTGAACATCTCCCCTTTCACCTACGGTATGAAGGTACAACAAGTGTATGAGGAAGGACAGACTTTCTCGCCTGATGTGTTGGACATTGAAGAGAGTCAGCTGCTCAAGTCACTTACATCGGCCATCGCTACTATCACCACCATTTCCCTTGCTGCCAACTACCCCACTCTTCCATCCGTCATTCACAGCTTGGTCAATGGCTACAAGAAAGTCATTGCAGCTGCCATTGAGATAGATTACGAGTGGGATGCCATTCATGAACTCAAGGATCGCATCGCCAATCCTGACGCATACGCTGCCGCTGCACCGGTGGCTGCGGCCGCTACCGAGGAGGCTGCGCCTGAAGCGGCCAAGGAAGAAGAAAAGGAAGAGGAGAAGGAAGAGTCTGACGATGAAGGTGAGTCACAGTCCTTCGACAAAGATCAACTAGTCCAAGTTAACATGTACCAGGCTTCGGTGGTCTCTTCGATTGAGCTCCTTGAATTTTTACGATGTGCGGCGCGTGCACATGCAAATGAAAGGCTTGAGGCGGCTACAGCTAGAGCAATAGACATGCAACATAGGTGCAATAGCATGATTGTCACAGAATGCCCATCAGAACTTTTCGGACTTGACAAGCTGGACCACGACTTTTTCTGCCTCGAGGATCCTTGGGTAAGCCATGATCCTTTTCTCCCTCCTTGAAAATTACCAATATGATGAACCATTTTTAACCCCGAGAAATTGTTTGCTCTGTGAAGAACAAAACCATGCAACAACACTCTAATTTTTTACTGACCCCACTCCCCCTTACCATTGCTTATTCTTTGCTGTTGGTCGCAAAATGCTGATGTTTTGATATAAGGTTTGATACCCACTCAATGTTACGGACGCCGGTTTCAGCCTCGTGCCCACTGCAAGAACTCCTAGCATCAATACCTCGCCCATTGGTCCAATGTCTGCTTCAAAGCTCCGTGCTGTTCTTGCGTCTTTGTCGAGTCTTGAGAATGTTTCCCCGCCCTGCCACACAGCCGAAGATCCGCTCAAGTGCACCCGCATTTCAATGTTTCGATCAAATACTGGCTCGCTACATCTGTCAAAATTCAAAACGTGACCCCACAAAAATGTCCCATTCCAATGGGTGGTGCATGGCGCAATGACAAATGCTAGGCAGCGAATTGCTTTGGTTTTCTTTGCTCCTGAACCACAACCTGTTTCTTGTCTTCTTGACGCTCCACATCCACTGCCTCTGGAGCATCACCACTTTGCTCCCCACCCATTGAACGGGAACTTGCCGGAACTGCAATTCCCCACGTGGCCTTGTAACGGACCCAAAGCTGATCCACGGATTCCCCAAAGATGTCCTTCCAAAACCTGTGCTCATGATACCTCCCTTTCCGCATGGTTTCGTTCATTCGACTGACCGTGCCCGGCCCTTGTAATTCCTCGAGCCAGTCCAGAAACCAAGCGGTCTTCTGGTAGCCCTCGTCCCATCTCTGCCCTCTGTTCTCGGGTGACTTGTTCCAATGCGGAGGCGAGAGTCCGGCCTTTAATCGAACGAAATCTGCAATGCCCTCAATGAGCCCGCCTGGCGCGGTGCCTTGGCAATTGCCCTGGAAGCAGTGAACCATTTCGTGCGTGATCACCCCGGCGATTTCGTGGCGGAGTCCTGCTGAATTTCGTGACAATACGCCATGCACATAGTCGAGGGACAGGTGAATCTCCTTGTGGAGGTCATCCAGTGGCAATCCAGTGGTGTACGCTACTCCACCCATGGGGCGTAGGACCACCGTGACAGATCTGACTTTGGGGATTTCACTCAAGCCGTAGGGCCTGTACAAGTGCGTAACGACATGCTCAATTGCTCTCGTTAAATACAGGCCCCCATCCAAGGAACTGCAAGCCACCTGGGCAGCTGGGTGACCAATGTCGTCGAGGTGAAGTCGCAGAAGGGGCTTATGGGGCAACTGTGGAGGAATGACAGGAGCGGCCGTGTCCTTCTGGGGAGGAGTTCCCAAAGGTAGCTCTGCCATATTATTCGCTTGAGAGATGGAGATGGAGATGGAGGGATGGAGACAAGGGGGGGATTTGGGTTTTGTATTCGGTACAAGGAGGAGGCTGGTCAGGCTGCTTGGCTGGTGTGATGTTTGTCGTTCCAGAGAAAGGCCGAAGGAGGGGCGGGGCTCTGATTGGCGCTGATTGGCTCTGATTGGCTCCCCGCGCCAAGAACAACCCGAGGCGCCGCTCTAACTTCCCGCTACGAGTCGCTCGGGCCAAAACATCAACACGAACCACGACGTCGCCGTCTTCTTCATTCTTTCAGCATCCTCTTCGAACAACCTTTTTCTTTCAACCCAGAAACCCACGTCGATGCCCGTGTACAACCAGAGGACCCGTCGCAGATTGCTCCGCCACACTGTTGCAGCGTGATCAGGTATGTGGAAAATTTTCCCATAAAACCAGCTTTCCCCCTTGCCGAATCCCTGAAGACTCCTTCTCCCAGACACATCTCCAGATTCAAGAATCAAGAGACTACAATTGCTACTGTACGCTGTTCAATTGATTGAAACCACTTCACTGCACTGTTCCGTTGCTCTACTCTGTTCACTGCTCTATATCGCTCTTCTCCCCCTTTACTTCACCTCTCCATCTTCCAAAGTCGTGCAAGAATACCATCAGGTATCTCGCAAGTCAGAAAAGATGGCGTTCCTCCTTAACCAACTGACCTTGCGTATGCCGTTGCTGTTGTCGTTTGGCTGTGTTGTTCTTCAGTTGCTGACCTGCTTGTTTACAGTCAAGGCCACTACCGCCAATACATTCAACCAGACAGTCAAAAAGGTCGACACAGGCATCCCTGCTATCGGAAAGGCCGTCTATTTTGCCATTGCAGGCGCTAGAGCCAAAATGCTCGGCAAGACATATTCCGATGTGCTCACCTTCTTGCACTACGAATTGACCACTCCTGAGACTGAGGAGAGCTGGAAAAAGCGCCAGGATCTCCTAGCTGAACTCTCGGACATCTTCGAGAAACGCAAAGACAACAGCACCATTCCCAACGACTTTGTTCAGAAAGTCAAAGCCGTTCTACCTCATATTGTCACCACGGCCGGCACTGAGCGTACCACCTTGTCTGTTCAAGCCTGCCGCGCTCTCTCCAACATTGCAAAACACCTCGAAACTCAGATCCAGCCACAACTTGATCTTCTTCTTCCAGGTCTCATTGCCATCTGTGGTTCGACCAAGACGGTCGCGCAGAAAAACGCCAATGACACCATCATCAACATCTGCAAACATGCTGGGTACAGCCCCCGGCTCTTCTATCATGTCTGCGCTGCATTCAAAGACAACCGCATTCCTCCCCGCACTTATGCCCCCGAGTGGCTGCGCACCCTCATCGAAACCTATCGCTCTCAGATGGACCGTGAGAAAGACGGTCCTGCTTGTGAAAAGGCCATATTCCAAGGCCTCACAGATGGACAGGTCAAAGTCCGCGAGAATAGCCGTGCCGTCTTCTGGACCTTCCATTCATATGACCCAAAAGGTGCCCGCACCATTATGGGCAACCTCAACACCCATGCTCAAAAGGCTTTGAAAGCCGATCCACACAATCCCGACAAATCCTCCGCCGCCGCCGCTCGTGCCAATGCTGTTCCAAGACCAAAGTCGGCACTTGCATCCATCAAAGCACAGAATAAAGAGCGCATGGCTCAATCTCAAGAGTCGTCCCAACAACGTGGCCTGACTCCGGAACCCCCAAAATCATCATCAGCATCAGAAGACATCAAAATCTTTGGTACTATGGATGATGCAGAAAAGAAACCCGCCCTTCTCTCAGCACCAGTCAGGAGACGCATCGTTGCCACTCCAATGCCTTCAGTCACCAGCGTCCAGGCTCAGCGCCCTGAATCTCGTGGCCGTGCTGTGACGTCGGCATCCTCCGTTTCCAAAGACATCACCGTCTCTAGAGACATCATCGTCTCCAAAGACATCGCCGTCTCCAAAGACATGACCATGACCACACTACCGGAGAGTGTGCCCAAGTCAAGCTATGAGACGGTACCCAAATCCAGCTATGAGACGATCAAATCTGATGGCAAAGAAAATGCCATGGTCATTCGTCCACGCAAGAAGAAATCACCTCGGCGTTCTCCCGAAAGAGATCGTCTTGCCTCCGAGAAAAAGATCCTTGGAATGGCTATGGAGGCACTTCGGCGGTCCAATCTCGATGCTCTTGGCTACCGCAGACTGAAAAAACTGATCGAAGAAACCCCCGGTGCTTTGATCACCAAACAATCACAGTTTAATGAGCTCTTTGAACTTCTCATCAAAAACATGGTGTCGTTGGATACGATCACCGAATCTCGAGATAAACGAACCACGAACCTCAATCACCCCGCCTATAACACGCACACCATTCTCCTAACTTTGGTCCAACTCTACCATCAATATCCACACTGGCCAGAACCACAGCCAGGCATGACGCTGTCGGCGCTTCTCATTGCGCGATGCAACCACAGCTCGTCCTACGCATCCGTGCTTTCGGCCATCGACGACGGTGCCTATCTCCTTTGCTCCCAAACTCAGACTATCCTCCCTGAAATCGATGCTGTTCTCGACACTCTTGAACAGATTGAGCATATCATTACCACCAACGATCCTATTGTTACCCCAAAGTCAACGGACACTATTTTATACAACAGCCTCCAGAGCCTCGCGTCGGATTTTGGCCCAGAAAAGCCTCGCTTTGCAAACAGGCTCCCTATTATTATGGACTTTGGTCTGAAGATCCTTAATGCTCTCCTTTTCCGCCTTATTCACTGCAATGAATCTCTTTACGAGATCCAAGAGGATCGCCTCGTCGCCTTTGCAGTACACCTCCTTGCCACCTACACATCTATCATCAAAAGAGCAGTCATGAACTTTTGCATCAACCTTCACGACCTTGTCAAACCAGAAGAAAGATTCTACAAGTACTTCAAGAAGGAGTCGGACAAGAACTTGATTCAGTATTATGTCGACATGGCTGAAAACCCTTATTGAAAAGGTCTCTGGCTCATTCTTATCACTATTGGTTATCACTATTGCTACTGTGGAGGCTGGTATCGACTTGTTTGCTGGAGTTCAAGGTGGAAAGGAGTTGGTGGTTTCTCTTTTGTGTTCCCGCGAGTGCTTGTGTATTATTATTGTTATCAACATCATGAAGATTACTGTCGACGACGTGTTACGAGCAGTTGCTGGCATCGGAAAGAACCCCAGGGGACATGTCCACGGGCTTTTGGTTTGTGGCGTCTTTGGGATTGGGGAATTGGGCAGGACAATGGATAGAGAGAAGATGAATCCAAATTTTCCAAATTGCTTCTTCGCCTTTCCGCCAGTGTAGAGTACTTTTGACAGCCCCCATTTCAATCCCATAAGCACCTACTACACGCCTAGGTAGCCTCGGAAGTTGAAGCAGTAATAATATTTGCCTTATGCTTCAGACCAGGCTGAGGCGGCCCAAGCTGGAGTCAGGGGCTGTGTGCCAAGTGAAACAGTAGACTTCTGCACGCGGCCTGGAGCAATCTGCCATGGTGGTGACACACTTCCTGAAGATTACTAGGTAGGTCTACTTAGGATCGGACCCATCAATGCCAGAAGATGTAGTCGTAAGCCAGACAGAGATATTAACAGGAGTGAGCTGGTTATCATTTCACAGATTGGTGTCCACGCGCCCGTGAAAAGAGGGGGCGGAGCACATACTCTCAGAGGTATTTTTCCGTCGTGTACTCGGTAGACTGCTGATTGCCGCGGTTGCAATTGATTGAGCCCAGAACTGTTCACAAGGTGTGATGGCGGTGGACAGTGTGATTGCGCACCGCATCTCGCATCCCCCCCAAACCCCCTGAGCAGCAGCTTCAGCAGATTTTCTGACTGTGTTGACGCTACGCCCGCTAGTCATTTCGCCATGGGAGGCGACTGCTAAAAATGCCCCGGTGGTGCGAGTCGATCCAAGCGATCAAATGCGACAAATGCGATCCAAGCAGGGACTAAGAAGGGACAAGAGTTTAGCTGCAACAAAGCCACTGAAGTCCACGGGCCAGTTGCGCAACCTCACTCGCCCGATTGCGCCTGTAGGTCCTTTTAGCGGGGCACTTGGGCGTGCGTCGCCCACTAGCCCGGCCACCTTTAACTAAACGGGGGGCCTTCAAGTCTCCTGAACGGTGCACCACCCACCCTCCACCTGCCCGCTAACGCCTGTCGAGTGCACCCTGCACACACTTTGGGTATTTTGCTCGAGCACACCCAATAATCCACTACTTGGACCCTGCGAGGCCCATTCAAACTCGCCGCGTACTCGTAGGCTGTAGCTAGCTGAGCCTGGTGAGCCTTTGGTCCCCAGAAAGAATCATCACCGTCTGAACTCTCTGCGAACACCCCCAGAGCACCGATCTTGACACCACGCACTCTCGTTTCTCTCACAGCCCGCCACTCCCCATTGACAGCAACGGTCATCTTCCATGCATCCCTATCCTTCATCACCGGCGTCGACACCTGCTGTACGCTGAACCGCGTCACCTTATTGCTGCGAGCAGTTTCTCCGTCATGATCCTCCGTTGACCGTTTGACTTGACACCATCCCGTCACGAGGCTGCTGTCTGTGCAACCGACATCCCAGTCTCTCACTCTCCTCAACCCGGCCTTCTCTTGACGAGCTGCACCACCCACGATCCTTACGACTCGTTTGCCTGCATTCGCTACTCCTGCCCTTGTACGACACTTAGAGATAGTTCCCTCGAGGCATCTTCTCTGCCTTCTTCAAAACCCAAACTACTTTCTTTGGCTCGTTGGCCACCAAGGGGGAAAAGCGAATATACACCGACTCTCCGCCGCGGCACGAGCGTCGACTGTCCCTCCAGTTTGTCCGAATCAGTGTTTCAGCTGCAGGTCAGCACACGACCTCGCCCATACCTCAGAAGAATAAAATAATTGCGTCAAACCGTACAATGTACAGGACTTGAACGTGTTTGAGCTTTGTTTGCAGCGAAAAAGTGGGATCATTAATGCTATAAAATCATCTTGTCACTCTGAAACGGCGATCTCATGTGGGCGTAAATCCACCACATGTCGACATTCTACAGCACATACCGATATCAGAGGACATAATGGCCACCGCAATGGAATCTCCTGTGGCTTTCCCTGACTCCCCCATGGAGCCAGACGATGCCGCGTACCCGTGCAAGGGCTGTGGAAAGGTGAGAATACGTCGACTCCATTCCTCTGACAAACGGCTGACGAGTGGAAAAGATACTCGAGGAGGGCAAAGCATTCGAGCTCGGTAAGATATCCCCGTCCTTACGGCGGTTGTTGTAAAACCATTGTGGCTAACGTCCTCCAGCCGGTAACAGATGGCACATTGACTGCTTTGCGTGCAATACCTGCGGCACCCTCCTCGACTCCGACGCAAACCTGCTTCTTCTGGGCGATGGATCCCTGATATGCAACAACTGCACCTACAGTTGCAGTAATTGCGGGAACAAGATTGAGGACCTGGCAATCCTGACTGGAGATCAAGCATTTTGCGCGAATTGCTTCAAGTGCAGGAACTGCAAGAGGAAGATTGAAAACCTCCGTTATGCCAGGACGTCGCAGGGTATATTCTGCATGGACTGCCACGAGGCTCTGATGGCCAGGAGACGCAAAAAATCGGCCAAGAACACGGCGCAGCGCTCCAAATTGTCAAACAATGTCCAGCTTGACAAGTCTTTGCCCGCGATTCCGCCCCCAGAAGCCAGAAAGACCGCCTACATTCCAGAAAGCCAGTCGTCTCCCTTTCCCGAGGTCTACGCAGAGCCCCCTGCAGCGGGTGTACCTTCTGTGAGTAAGACGGTCAGCGAATTGCAAGCAGATCCGGACTCGAGGCCATCCACATCGGATCAAAACCAGGGTAAGCAACCCGTCTCCGTGCCTTGCGGCTCACATGCTGATCCTAGTCTATTTGTAGATATGCTCACCTTACCCTCGACGACCTTCCGCAATAATCGACATTCGATGATGTCGCAGCGATCAGACTTATCAGGAGGAGGAGGAGGTGGTGGTGGTGGTGGTGAAGAGTTTCTGATACCACTTGCCTTCGACCCTACCCCACAACCTGCAACCCAGTCGCCTAGTATTTCTATCGAGACAGTGCAAAAAACAGTCGAGGAGAAGCCCACCGATTATTTCACCAGCAAATCCGCCGCGCCAATTGCCCAGCCGCAAGTGACTAAATCCAACACCTCAAGTCCCCACATCGCCTATCAAGAGAAAGGGCGGCTCCCTTCAAGAGAAGCTGTTGAGCAAACTCGAAGAGGAGGAAATCTGAGCGTATCGGGTTCTGCCAGCGCTTCGCCCTATATCCCAGTGGAGCAGCCGAAGAGATCGGATGGTTCGCCACGCTTGTCGCAGATTGTTCACACCAACGAGGCGCAACTCAATGGCAGATTCAAACTCCAAGAAGCACCCAAATCTAAAAAGCTCTCTACATCGACGCCGGGATCGCGTTCAGAGGGTTCAACTCCTCGAGCTGATATCTCTACCGATCCCCTGGAGCAACTTACCGCCAAACCTTTGACAGTTCCGGACATTGGGTCACCTTCAGATCGCGACTACTCGACACCCCTTCTGTCGAACAATTCAAGCCCAGCATTTAGTGCTTCACACGGCTCTCCCAAGGCGGCACCGTTACCCGCAACCTCGATCTTACAAAATCTGCCTAAGCGAGGCGACTCTTTGGATAGCGCGAAGCGGACTCAAACAATACCTCGTAAAGAATTGGGCGCTGCGGCAAACATTGGTCCTCCATCGGGTGGTAGCACCAACAGCCGCTCATCTACACCCAAGCCGGTAGCCGACCTGGCCAAAGCAAATGGTGGGAAGGTCATTTCTGGGCCAATAGGTTCACCGAACTCAAGGGGTATCTTCGATGCGGCAGACGATTCTCTCATTCAAGATCTCCACAACGCTGGCAAGGCAGCCAGTGAATCTTTCGTTGATCCTCGCGTCCCACCAATGCCTCCTTTCGATCACTCAAGGTCGAGAAACGAGTCCTTCAGCACTCTCCAGTCCGAGAACCAGCGATCGGGGGATGGCTTCAAGTCTCCAGGTCTACCTAGGTATTCGGCAGGTGGGGAATTCACTATGGACGAAGATATGGCCCGGATAATGGGTGGTGAGGAACCCAGCGCGCACGAATCATTCCTTAGGAGGGTTTCGAACTCTGTTCGCCATGGCCGCAGCTACAGTGACAAAACCGGCAGGCTTTCGAAGGACCGCTGGCCTCGATCGCCGGCTATGCCCATCTCGTCTATCGGTCAGGAAATCAGCAGTCCCAGCACTGCTTCTCCCGAGAATCGCGATGAGCTCGCCTGGTTCAAGAATGAGCTTCGACGTGAGCGACAAAAGACTATCGAGCGAGAGAAGAGGATTGCTGAACTGGAAATGCAGCTTGACTCGGCCGCAAACATCAAGCAGGTAAATGTCGAGCTCAAGGAGAAGAGGTCAACGATAGTTGTACTCGATACACAAAAAGAGATCGTCATAAGAGAATTGGAGGTTCTCACAGAGCATCTGGCTGCAGCCAAGCACAGCGGCGAAAGATTCGACCTTGGCAGATTGAGCAATGTTGTGCTTCGCGATTTTGCGGAAGCATTGGAAAAGCTGAAGGACTCGTTCGCCCCTCAGATCGAGGCTTCAATCCAGAAACGGAATGATCTCGTCGACGAGATAGCCAATCTCACTCAGATGAAAGATAAGAGCTTCATGGAGTTTGAGCAGCTGTCTTCGAAGAATGCCCAGCTCGCTGAGCTCAACAACCAGCTGGTGCACCAAATTCAAGGTCTCTACAAGGCCAACTCTGGAACGCAAGCTGATACGCCAAAGTCGACGATGAACGGACTGGGAATCTATTCTCACCACAAAGAGAAGTCGAACGTCTCCTTTGACTCGAGGGAGATGCGCAACATGTCCACCGACTTGACCAATATTGATTCGGCAAGTACTTTGCAAGGTGAAGCAGAACCTGTGACAGTCCTTCAGGGCCCTCAAATGGTGAACATCCGCAAAGGCCAACCGAGGAAATTTGATTGGAGGAAAGGACAGAAGGTTGCCAAAGGCGTCACGAAAGGTCTGAAAGGGGCCTTTTCCTCAACTCAACAGAACTACAGCCGAGACCTGCAGTTTGCGGAAACAGGGGCCTATGGGTCGACGACCGGCCCCGGTCAAGAGTTCTCAAATCTGGCCAGACCCAACCCGGAACCTGTCAAGCAAAGCGGCTTTGGCTTCTTCAGCACTCAGAAAGGGGCGCCTAAGCCCAACGGGCTGTATGCCACGCAAGCCAATGCGAGCACACCATCTTTACTGGCTGAGGCTGGCGCTCGTAAGCAACCTCCCTTTGATTCAGATATGCTTATGCTAACGTTGAACCAGAATTGTTTGGCTCTGAGCTCGAACAACGGGCCGAATATGAGAAGAGCTCAGTTCCTGCGATTGTAAGGAGGTGTGTCGAAGAAGTTGAGTCACGAGGTGAGTTCTGTCGAGAAGCATTTGAGCTGGCCACGCTGACCCTCATTAGGCATGGATGTTGAAGGCATCTACCGAAAATCGGGAGGTAACTCTCAGGTGCAGCAAGTGAAAGACTGGTTCGAGAACCCTTCGAAGGAATTTGATCTATCCGATCCCGACCTCGACATCCACGCCGTCACTTCTGGATTGAAACAGTATTTCCGACGGCTGCCCACTCCACTCATCACCTTCGACGTCTACGACAAACTACTTGAGACAACAACGATTGAGGACAAAGCGGCCAGACTCGACGCTATGCAACGGGCGTTGGAGGAACTGCCCAGGGTCCACCTCGAGACCTTGGAATTTTTGATTCGACACCTTGCGCGGGTGGTCCAACAGGAGAAAGAGAACCTCATGACGAGCATGAACATCGCGGTGGTGTTTGCGCCCACCATCATGAGACCGGAGAGTCTGAACCGTGAGCTTAGTGACACCAAGATGAAGAATGAGTCGGTGATGTGGATGGTGGAAAACAGCGAAAGATTATTTGGGAAGTGAAGGAGAAAAGAGTTTGGCTGCAATAGTTTTCGAGGCATTGAATAAGGACATCTTTGGATCGGGGCTGAGTTTAGGGGCGCAAAAAGCAGGGCCGCTTCTTGCGGCATGTCATGACCACGATACTCTGTGTGTGTACTGCATCCATTTCAGCCTGGCGCCATACGGAAAGGGAATCGGGTCCTTCGTTGTAAGGGCGAGGTGGACAATCAAGGTCCATCAGTGTCTGTCTAGAATGGGAAGATGGTTTGTTTGGCTGGGCCTTGTGAAATGCTGTATCTATCCCTGTTTTGAGACGAGTGCAGCGAGACACTGTCGAAGTTTGTGGAAGAGATAGAACAAGAGGCCCAGGGATCCTAGTCCGAGATAGAAGGGTGCGATTGATCTATGAGACAGATTGGATTGTGGTGGTTGACCGACTCAACGGAAACTGAAAAGACGAATAAATACCCATCTTCCGAACTTGACCAGCGGCGACCATGCTTGCAGAGCGCCTTTTCTACAACGAGTCAGGACCTCGCTACCGGACAAGCACCTGCAGACCCGTCTGAGACTCAAAGACGAATGCTGCAACAGGGTGACAAAAAGAGCAATGCGATAATGTGCATGCGTTCTTTGGGACGAGGCTAGAGTATATTAATAGGGGCCCCTGTGCCTACCTAGGTACCTACTAGGTAGGTCGAGATACCGAGTTGGGGGTGCCCCCGAGTGCCTGCAGACTATGAGGCTAGTGGGCTAAACCGCACGCTAACGGCCGCTGGGGCTTGGCCGCCCGACCCTCGTTTTAGGCTCTCGGCTGGTGGCTCTCCGTACTTCGCCAAACGGCATGCGCAGTTCTATCGCCCTCATCTTCTGGTACACGTCGACGTCTCGCAACGTCTGAATGAGGTCTTACAACTTCGGTTGGAGTTCAACTCTCTCACCACGACCACCTCAGACAGCTCATGTCCCTGCATTTGGACATTCCAAGCAGCTATGAATGATCTGTTTCCCTCGTTTGTACCTTTGTCCCTCTCTGGAAGATGATGTTGGTAACCTCGCACTCTTCCAACCATGAATCAGCAACCTCTCTACCCAGGGCCTCGACAGCCTGCGCCCGTTTCCAATGGCGATCACAACTTCTCCCAATCCAGACCTCATACGAGGCAAGTCGATCAGGAAGACAGCAACCAGTCCCGCGCCGCGCGATTTGAAGATGAGAAGAAGCGCATTATCGAAGCCTGCTTCAGCAAGCGAGATCCCGAGGGGATGCAACTCGAGTCATACATTACCCACGTCCGAGTCCTCGAAGATGCTTCCTACCCATCCTCACCTCCTCCGCCGGACTCTCCCCACTCCAACAAGAAGCACAGAGTCATCCTTGTCGCAGTCCGACGCTCCGGCAAGGTCAGGGTCCACAAGGCTCGCGAGAACCCCAACGGCACCTTCTCCATCGGCAAGACCTGGAATCTCGACGAGTTGACCGCCATCATCTCCTATACCTCCCTCATGCCCGCGAACCCCCAGCAGCAGATGGAGAAGCAATGGGCTTCCAATACTGGCTTCACCGTGTCTCTGGGCAAGCCCTATTTTTGGTCCGCCCCCACTGCGAAAGAGAAGGATTTCTTTATTGCTAGTCTGATCAAGATATACCGAAAGTACACAGGAGGAAAGCTCCCAGATCTTATAGGCTTTGCTCCACAGGAACTACAACAAATCACTGGTGTACCATTCACCCAGAGCACTCCTACTTCGAGGACCAATTTCTCTCCGATCGTGCCGTCCCCAACTCCTCCACCTGCTCAGACTCCGAGCCAGCCTGCTGCCGTACCAGCGCTCAGCGCGAACCGACCTCAATCTCCATATGTCGCCCAGCCGCCTCCCAGCCGAGATGGGAACCGAATGGAGCTGCAAGACCAGAACAGGGCTCTTGGCCGACAAGAATATCGTCCACCGACGAGAGACATGGCGCGGCCACCTTCTCAAGCCGAAGAACGGCCTCTGGGTTTGCCCCCTAGACCAAATCGAGGCGTACCGGCGCAGGAGGGCTCTCGCATACAGCCTTATGTTGCTCCGATAAAGCGTGATGAAGCCCGTACGCCGTCGCTGTCCGACAGCCTCCAACCGGCTCCGCTGCGACCTTCCATTAGCCCTAAGGCCTCTCAATCGTCACTCCAGCGACCCGAGCCGGCCCTTGAGCCACCGCCTCTAAGACCCAATGGTCTTAACGTCGCAAAATCTAGCACGCCAGACTTTTCTGCGAAACGAGTGGGGCCCATACCAGCTCAAGACTCAAACAGGGATGCCGGTCGTGGCGAACCATTGAGTAACTCCAGGCCGAGCACCGCAGCGAGCGATCGCAGGGTGCCTGAACCCCCTCCTAGCCTTCCAGCACCTAGTCTTCCAGCACTTGACTTTGAGCTCTTCCCCGAGCGGAAGAAGCCAACCACCATTGCGGCCGACCTCAAGCCCGAACAAGCAGCAGCGCCCCCAAGTCAGAGTAACAGTGCGTTTGTCACTCCATTAGGGACGCCGACCGCAACGAAAGAGGAACAGCGGAGACCGGATTACTTTGTGAGCGAAAAGGCTGCAGCCGAGAATAAGCAGCCTGAAGCAAACGACATTGTGCCACCAAAGGGCGTGTACAACGAAGTAACTACGTCAGAGCCCGAAGCTATCAAGACTACAAATGAGCCCGTTGCTCCAGGGCCAGTCGAGCCACCGCCCCCTCCAAAGGTTGAAGAGGAGCATCGCCCTGGCCTTGGTCCTATGATCAAGAAGAGATCCGGCAAGGACATCGCAAATCAATTCAGAAAAGCTGCTCTTGCGGCAGGCGCATTCCAGCCCCGTCAAGGCGGTGCGGGTGCGCGACTGAAGGCTATGCAGGAGAAACTCTCCAATGAGCCGGATGGCATCACCAGTGTCGTCCCAGCGCCACTGAAGAGAGGTATGAGCTCAGATGGTGCAAGGAGCGGAACCCCGGATCAGGCCACCTCTGAAAACGAGAAAGACCAGCCGACACCAAAGCTTGCGCCTGTTGAGGCTCTTCCCAAAGTTCAAGTGGAGCGCGCTGCGACCTCGGACAGCGTCGCCAGGCCGGAAACGCCTACGGCGAGGCCTGCTCCTGCCGAGATCGAAGAAACGAAAGAAGAAACAAAGGCGGAATCCCCGGATAAGGGCCGGTCATCTTCGCCACATAAAAAACGTCGGCAAAGGCTCGAAGCAGAAGTTGAGAAGCACTGCACAGCTTTAGGGATCGATCCACGGGTTACCGAGGGCCGTGGGGCAGATTTGAACGAACTCTTGACGGAATTCTCGTGGGATGGGAAACTTGCAAACGATCAGGTTTTGGACAACTTTGAGACCGACATTCGCAGGGAGATTGGCCGTGCCCAAGCCAGTGGTTGGCTCGGCCACGTTGAACACCAGGAAATTAAGGTACAAGAGCTCGGAAAAGCATTCGAAAAGGCGATCGCCGAATGTGAAGAGCTTGATGGGCTGTTGACTCTTTATGCGCATGAGCTCGACACTCTGCACGAAGATATCGAATATATCGAGGCGCAAGGACAGGGATTGCAAGTGCAGACTGCCAATCAGAAGTTGTTGCAGGCTGAGTTGCAAAATCTCCTGAGAACCCTGACAATATCCCCTTCGGATCTTCGCGCTTTGCGGCTTGCACCAATCGACAACTTTGAAGGCGTTCAGGCAGTCGAGCGCTCATTGACTTTGCTCTACAGGGCGATGCTGACAATCGATCCAGACCTGCGCCAGAACAAGCTCCGACACACGGCCTCTGTAAACAACCGCACGGGGACGAGAACAAATGCTGATGCGGACCTCACCAAGATGCGAGCGGTGCGCGAGAAGAAGAAGGAATACAAGGACGAGAGCACAATGTTCGTCAACCGCTTTAATCAGCACATGAAGGCCATGTTCCAACTGGCCGAGCAGCGAACAAGTGAGGAAAATGCTAGCGTTAGCATTTCTTCTGGGACCTCATCCTTCACTCTTAATCTACGAGCTTTTAACGCTTCGCGGCAGGAGCTTTGGGTTTACAATGCCATGATGCTTTTCGTGCGGGAGGTCAATCAGTACGAATGGCAGACATTGATTGGCAGCTACGAGATCAATCTCAAGACTATCTACCAGGATCAATTCCGAGACTTCGCCATGGGCCTCAGAAAGACCGCTAGACACCCTACGGGAGAGGAGCAAGAAATACTTTTCACCCATCAAGACAAGGAGAAGGCAGAGGAGTCCAATCTTTCCTCGGCGGCTCGCAAGCTCACTGTCAAACGTGGCAGGACAGTCAAGACAAGTGCTATGAGACATTCAATGAGCGAAAGACGAGACGGCAAGCCCGACGCCTGGGCTGTATTCGACGCTGTCCTGGAGCAACAAGCTACGGCCATTTCGGAAGAACAGAATTTCATTGTACATTTCTTCCATCTGAACTCGCAGTCGAATGAGGATTTTGCGGAGCTAGTACAATCTCGGCCCCCTGAACAGCGCAAGCTGCCCAACCTGCAGGCTAGACAACCGTACGATCCGGACCCTAACATGGCCAAGATCGTGCAGAGTACTACAGAAGGGATCTACTCGTTCTGGTCTACAGACCTCCAGACATTGATGGAATGGGTCTTCAAGACGGATCCATTACAGGGTGTGGGCGTCCTAGTCTCACTGGAACAATGTTTGTCGAAGTATGAGGAAACGAATCAGCAATTCATCACTCGGACAGTAAGGACTCTTCACGAGAGGGTCAGCGGTCTTTTCTCCAGATTCGTCGATGAACAAGTCAAGGCGATAGAGGAAACCAAGGTGAAAGTCAAGAAGCGGAAAGGGCTGATCTCTTTCATGAGAATCTTCCCGGATTTCATGGCTGTGGTGGAAGACATGATTCCCCAGGAGTTTGAGCACCATACATCACTCGAAGTGCGCTTTACCGTCGATAATGCGTACGGCAAACTTCTGAAAGCCATGTGGGAGTCTCTCAACTTCATCGCCAAGGATAACCCGGCGGCGAACTCTTCTGGTGGGACAACGACAGGGCACTCGAATGCACCCGTGAGCGGCGACCCAGAAGACAAAGAGGCATTGAACTATCATATTCTCTTGATCGAGAACATGAACTACTTTGTCGAGGAAGTCAAAACGCACGGCAACGTGACCCTCGAAACATGGGTTGAACGAGCGGAGCGCGATCAACGATCACACCTGGCACAGTACACGGATGCAGTGATCCGACGGCCACTGGGCAAATGGCTTGACTTTGTGGAAAGCACCGAAGCCCTCATGAAGACGAACGACTCGTCATCGTTCACGTCGATCGCGAACAAGCCATCCCACTCGCGTAGCGCGGCGAAGAAGATTCTCGGCAGCTACGATGCGAAGGAGGTTCGAAAGGGCGTGGAGACGTTGAAGAAGAGGATCGAGAAGCATTTCACAGATGCGGACGATCCTGCGGCAACGGCATTGGAGAGGCCTGGAAAGAAAGATTTGATCGGGAGGGTGTTTGAGGAATGTGCAGTGAAGTACGCCCACGCCTACGACCGGATGAAGATGGTCGTGGACAGAGTCTACGAGGGCAATTTGGAGATTGAGTGGAGGAAGGAAGATGTGCAGGGCATGTTCAAGAGATAGAGAGGAGTACCGAGTATATGATTGAGGATGTGGATGTGGATGAAGATGTCGGCGTTCCTGTCTGTACAAAAGGGTGCCCCGGGAGCGAAGTCTTGTCTTTTCTTTTCTACATCTATCTGTCTATATGTCTAGCTAGCTAGCTAGCTAGCTGAGATGTGCCGTGCCCCTGTCTGTGGGCTTTTCGGCCAAAAAGGAAACGAAAGATCATGCATGCATATAGCAAATGAAGATGATGATCATGGTCATGGTGGACATTGGCTTTGCGTCGCCCTCTGGAAAAGCTGCCGACTAGGGACCGGTGAACAACCTCGAGCAAGGTCAAGTCTACCTACCTCGCTACCTAGGTCCTAAATGACTAGGGAGAGACATCATGCATGTCGTGTCATGCACGTCCACACGGAGATGGTGGGTTCATCCTCAAACTCCATGTCCTGCATCCATAGTACATACAGTACGTACGATAGGTTGGTACATACGTCCGCATTTGAGCCGGGCACTGTTCGATGGATACTCAACCCCCCCGGCGTCGGGGATTAGGACTAACAACCAGCTTGCAGGATGCATGAGGATCGATGGAGTCGTCTTTCATTGATGTTATGTTAATCACGGTGGAGACGATGCTGGTACCCACCCTAGTGCGAGGAAAAGGACGAGTAGCAAGTACCTATGCGTAAGGAAGCTCGGTGAAGCGAGGGTGGTTTGTTTCGGTCGAGAAGCATGAAGACCACCGAGTATGGCCGAAAGCAATATCATGAATTATTGGGTTCTGCCTGCCATAGATAAATCGATGGTGGACCATTTCTTTTTATCTTTTTATCCTTTCCCCCTTCTTGTTCTTCTCAAGACAAATAGCTCGTCTACGACGTTTACTTCGATTCAGGTTGCGAGAGGCGATAAACTCCTTCGCTCGCTCGCCCGCTCGCTCGATCAAGCGGCCGACGTACGAGCAACCACGCGACAAGTTGGCCGCTCGTCGGAAGCGATTCCGTGGCTGATTGATAAGATAATCAGGCAGCCCTTTTTTTCTCCAGTCCGTCCCTCGCCGCGTAGTCACCGGGGCGGGTTGTGAGGGGTGCGTTGCCTGCGCTCATTCATTTGAGACGGGGATTTCATCATTGACAAAAAAAGAGAAATCCACTCACGCGAGGGACTTTTTTTATATTCCCCATGCCCTCTTCTTCCTCCTCCACCTCCATACCTCCTATTCCTCCCTCGTCCTCCTCTTCGTCGACCTCCAGACCGCGCGGCGCCCTCAAGTCCTCCAGCATGTCCTTCCTGCGCAACGTCAAGACGTTCCTCACCCCCTCGTCGTCGCAGTCGCACCTCGCGCAAGGCGACGGCTCCTTCTCCACCGCAAAGACCGAGGCCGACCTATTCCCCACGACTGACCCGTCGATCGACGGCGAAGAGTGCCTGCACGACTGCTCGAGTTGCACGGTGCACTACCCCACGAAATTCTCCATCGACGAGAGCGACAAGCTGTTTGGGCATGTCAAGGGGTTCAACGTCCATCTGCTCGTCGGCACGGGAAAGACCGACTGGGTCAGGGATGTTACGGATGAGAAGGGCTCCGTCATGCAGGCCGTCGGCAAGGTCGGGCTGGACCTGAGCGGGAAACGCGGCAGGGTCATGTTGAGCGCGAGCAATTTCCCTTCCGGCGACGAGTGTCTTAACGAAGAGGAGGCCGGCACCAGTGACTGCATGTTACTGCCTAGTTGGGTCGTGGTCGAGAAGGTCAGACCGAGTCAAGCGGGCGCGCTGATGAAAGAGGTGGTGGATAGGAGTGTCAGGAATGACATGCCTGTTGGCGCAAAGAGAACAGAGGTCAATGGGAACGGTCATGTGCCGTCGCCTGCAGGAGAGCAACAAGACCGGGCTACAGAAGCGCAGAACGAACAAGAGCCTGGAGCCGTCCCCGACGTGGCGGGTTTGCAGATTGGAGAGGGCGCTGGAGCATCACAGCAAAACAGCTCACAACAAGAGCAAGACCAACAACAACAACAATCGCCATCACAGAACACAACGCTAGACCCAGCACCACTACCGTCATCAATCGCCTCGTCCTTTAAAGTCCGCCCGATTCCCCATTCCTACCTAATACTCATGTGCAGCCAAAAGACCCGTGATGCCCGTTGCGGCCAGTCCGCACCTCTCCTCCGCAAAGAATTCGAGCGTATCCTGCGTCCCATGGGTCTCTATCGTGACCTCCACGACGACCGACCTGGTGGTGTCGGCATATATTTCATTAGTCACGTCGGTGGCCATAAATACTCTGCCAATGTCATGATTTATCGGAGGCAAGGTCGCAAGAAGGAGGTGGGAGGAGACGACGTCGACGTGGACGGGGAGAAATTGGAGAAGGAGGCGGTACAACTGATTTGGCTTGCGAGGGTGAGGCCGGAAGATTGTGAAAACATTGTGCGGTATACAGTCTTGCAGGGCAAAGTCGTCAAGCCGCAGAGGCAGTTGAGGGGCGGATTCGATCGAGAGAGGGGAGTGACGAGCTGGTAAAGCTCTTCTTGCATATACATCTGTATCGGACATGGAACGATGCCGGTTGGCACGGCGTGATGGACTGCGTGGCACTGGGTCGCGTTAGAATGGCCATAGAAAACAATAATAAAAGGCCCTGGGAACCATCACTTGATATCCTGCAGCACATCAGCATTACTTCTTTGGAACAGAATTGTCAAAATTCTATAAGTTGGGTTTTATATCTTGTAAGCTGGAATGTAGACAATAGTCTTGGTTTTGCCCAATGATCATGCCTCGACGAGGCTCAAATACACCAAGCTTGGGAATAAGACGTCTCCCCTACTACCTCAGCCCACCAAGCTACCAAAGTCCCCGTTCGGAGAAAAAAGCCCGAGATCGCGAAAGATCTCAAGAGCCCCCTCTCGTCCCAAGAACCGAGCTCAGGTTGGACTGGCCCCCCGTGAAGGGAGGCAAAGGATTCGGAAGGTTGATGTGAGTTCTGTCGACTGGGAAAATAAGACATTAATGGGGGTGCTTGTTAATGGCTCCGCAGATATTTTAGTCGAGAAACGCCGACAAAGCGCTTCGACCTCACACTAACCCACGCGAATGGGTTAGGGAGGGAGCGTTTGCGACTACAGAACTTTTTTGGATGAAGGGAAAAGGAAGAGAAGAGGAAAAGCAAGGACAGGAAAGATGGAAAGGCTTCGAAAAAATTATGCCAAGATTTCATGGACGCTAAGACGGATCGGGGTTAGGGGAATCGTGCTATGCCTAATGGGCTGGCCTCCGCAGGCTGAATTGCTCAGAGAGTTCTTTTGCCTGCGCTGATCATCCTACCACCCATTTACCGCCTGCTGTCTTTTCCTGGTGTTTCTGTAGGCAATTCCCAGTATCGCCTCCAATCATGGCTGCCTCGGCGGATATTGAGCAGATGAACAAGCTCAGAAAGACCCTGGGTCTCCCCTTGTTGAGCGTAAGTGGACAACCTCCACAGTCATCTGAAGGACCAACATTCAAAGAATCCAAAAGAAAAGGCGAGGACGCCGATGACAGCGACGATCAAGATGATGATGATGAACCCGCGTCGACCCTAGAGACCCGCGAAGCCGCCGGGTACGACAACTGGAACCAGCTGCGGGAGGAAGAGAAGAAGCGCGCTCTCCGCGAACAACGGAAAAGGGAAATCCAAAGACAACGGGATGCCGATGCCAGGATCAAGAAGCTCGAGGGCAAAGGGCTGGGGGACGTCGACGATGAGGCCGATCTTGACACCAAGGCCTGGTTGAAGGGGCAGAAGAAACGGCAGTCCAAAATCGAGCGGGAACGTGCCGAGCGATTGGCACGCGAGCTGGCGGAGCGCGAACGAGAGGCCGCCGTCGAGTACACCTCCAAGGACCTTGCCGGGGTGCAGGTCGCGCACGAGCTCGGCGATTTCGACGATGCCACCGGAGAGCAGATCTTGACGCTCAAGGATACCGAGATCGGCAAGGGAGACGACAGTGAGCAGGAAGATGTGCTGGAGAATGCAGATATCGTCGCCAGAGACAAGGTCAAGGAGAAATTGAGTCTCAAGAAGCGGAAGGTCTACGATGTCAATGACGACTCTGAGAAGGGACTGTTGGCACAGTACGACGAGAAGAAGCGCAAGGCCTTCACCTTGGATGGTCAGGGTGCTACTGTCGAAGAACGCGAGGCTAAACGTCAGCAAATCGGCGAGAGACTCAAGAATACTGTCAGCCTGGACGTTCTCAAGGCCGAGCCTGTCTCGGACTACTTGGAGATCAAGATCAAGAAGCCGAAGAAGGAAAAGAAGAAATCCAAACGCCAGAAACTGGTGGATGAAGATGATGATATCTTTCCCCCTCAAGACAGTGGCAACGGCGACGCCATGGAGATTGATTCTAGAAGCTCGGCCCCCGCTCCGACGAGATCTCGGACTGCCGAAGATCATTTCAACGATGACGAAGATCTTGCGAGTGCCCTGGCAAGAACCAGAGCCGCAGTCCTAAAGAAGCAGAAAAGAAAGCCCGAAGACATCGTCAAGCTGTTGAAACAAGAAGAGGGCGACGAAGCCGAGGCGGATGGAGAGGCCAATGGCGGTCTTGTGCTGGACGACACCACCGTCTTTCTAGACAACCTATCTTCGCGGCCAAAGGATGAGCAGCCTGAACGGGGCGTGAAGAAGACCATTGAGAAGGCCGAGTCAGACAGTCCTGCTCGGCAGATGAAAGATGAAGATGAAGACCACGCGATGGGCGAGGCTTATAGTGGGATTGAAAACGAAGAGGAGCTCCTCGACCGAATCAAGCGCGAGCGCTCCACCGTGACGCCAGAAGTCCCGCACACGGGCCTTGAAGAGGAAAAGACCCTTGATCAGGGAATGGGAGCGGCTCTCAGTCTTCTCCGACAACGTGGCCTGCTCAAAGAGAGCGATGCCGGCGACCGCAATTCTCTCTACAAGGATCGGCAAAAATTCATCATCGAAGCGCGCTTGCGCGAGCATGACAACGAACAGAGAGCTCGAATGCAGCGCGAGAGAGACCGCCAATCGGGCAAACTGACAGGCATGTCTGTCAAAGAACGAGAAGAACATGCACGCTGGCAAAACACCCAGCGAGAGCACCAATCTTCCATCCAGGCGGCCGCCACCTTCAACCGAGAGTACAAGCCCGACGTGCAGATCAAGTATGTGGACGACGACGGTAGGATCATGAATCAGAAGGAGGCTTTCAAGCATCTCAGCCATCAATTCCACGGCAAGGGCAGTGGGAAGTTGAAGACGGAGAAGCACCTCAAGAAGATCGCTGAGGAGAGGAAGCGTGAAGCAACCAGCGTTCTGGACAGTAGCAAGGCCACAGGCATGAGCAACGCACAGGGCACGATGGGCAAGAAGAACAAGGAGGCTGGCGTAAGGCTGGCCTGATCAGGGTTTTGTATGAGTATGCAGGTTAGTTGTAGCTGGGCGCAACATAAGACGATACCTGGTCCCCATGCAGGTGGTGAGGCTGTGTCCCTGAGGCAAGAAAGGAAGGGAACAGATCATTGGGCGGGTTTGATTGCCATAGGCCCATGGGGGGAAGCTACGGTGCAAGCAGAGGGCCCGGGCCCTTGGGCCTTGGGGAAGCTTGGAGGCACCACGAGGTCAGAGCTTCCAGTTATTCCGGTGGCTGCAAGCCCCTGGAATCAACCATGATTATTGGCCGCGACCAGCTAAAGCCACGCCTAGTGACCCGCTGACGCCTTGGAGGTCCCTGGGAACGTGCCCTTCCCCCAAACTTCACAATTCCAGGTATCGAAAAGGCAAAGCACAAAAAGCGTTATTAAAATTTTTTGGAGAAAGCAATTTCACAGACAAGGTCGAACTGGCAAAGTAGTGAACCAGCAGCAGACCTTTCTATCCACAAACTCAGCTTCAGAGCCCATTCAAATCTCATCCCTCTAAATCTCTCATATCTCTGTTTTACTCTGCAAGGATCCCGGAAGAGATAGATTAGATTCTCTCCGCAATCCTCTGTTGACCAAAACCCCCTTTGGAGTCATTGTACAACAAACACCACCTCAATCCGAAGGAGCTTGAGCTTGAGCTGGCTTCTGCTCTGCGATAAAATCTTCTACTGTTACCAGATTAAATTCTCATCTCTGAAACCTCCTAATTCACCACTTTCAACATGCTCTCGACCCTTCGACCAGCAGCTGCTCGCTCGGCCCTGCGCCAACAAGCTGCGACCGCCACGCAAGCAATCCGCATCGCCAACGCATCGACATGGGCAAACGTCAAGGAGGGTCCTCCTGACGCCATCTTGGGTATCACTGAGGCCTTCAAGAAGGATAGCTTTGCCGAGAAGATCAACCTGGGTGTCGGCGCATATCGTGAGTGAGCACCGCAGGTGGACTCTGTCCCTTCCATTCCTTGTTTCTCTGTCCTGGAAGACGAAGGCATGCATTCTTATGGACCTGCTGACACGGCTGTGTTTGTGGTCTTTCCGCAGGTGATGATAAAGGCAAGCCCTACGTCCTCCCCAGCGTGCGCACGGCCGAGAAGAAAGTCGTCGACTCGTCCCTTGATAAAGAATACGCAGGCATCACCGGTGTGCCATCGTTCACCAAGGCCGCGGCGCTGCTCGCCTACGGGCCCAACTCGAAACCCATCCAGGAAGACCGCGTTGCCATAACCCAGTCCATCTCCGGTACCGGAGCGCTGAGAATAGGCGGCGCATTCCTCGAACGCTTCTACCCAGGTGCAAAGACAATTTACATCCCTACCCCTTCGTGGGCGAACCACAAGGCCGTCTTTTCCGACTCGGGCCTCGAGGTCAAGCAGTACAAATACTACAACAAGGACACCATCGGCCTGGACTTTGATGGCATGATTGCGGATCTCAAGTCTTTCCCCGACGGCTCCATCGTTCTGCTGCACGCCTGCGCGCACAACCCCACAGGCATCGACCCGACCGAGGAACAATGGCAGCAGATCGCCCAGGTCATGAAGGAGAAGTCCCACTACCCCTTCTTCGACATGGCCTACCAGGGCTTCGCGAGCGGTGACACCAACAAGGACGCTTACGCCGTGCGCCACTTCATCGAACAAGGCTTCGGTCTCTGTCTCTCTCAATCTTTCGCCAAAAACATGGGTCTGTACGGCGAACGAGTCGGCGCCTTCAGCATCGTGTGCGACAGCGCCGAGGAGAAGAAGCGAGTCGACAGCCAGATCAAGATCCTCGTCCGTCCCTTGTATTCCAACCCGCCGGTCCATGGCGCCAGGATTGCCAGTGAGATTCTGAATGACGCGGGGTTGAACAAGCAGTGGCTGGGTGAGGTCAAGGGCATGGCCGATCGAATCATCGAGATGAGGGCGCTGTTGAAGAAGAACCTCGAAGAGCTGGGGAGCAAGCATAACTGGGATCACATTACGAATCAGGTACGTTTCAGCGCCGAGGGAGCTGAGAGGGATTTTCCCCTTTTTCCTTTTGTTCCCTTTTCTCCACTCCTTGGAGATGGCAACGACAGGATGGATGCTGACAAGCGCGCTTTCTTCTAGATTGGCATGTTTGCCTACACGGGCCTGAAGCCGGAACAGATGGACACTCTGGCGAAAGAACACTCTGTGTACGCGACCAAGGACGGCCGTATCTCCGTGGCGGGCATCACCACGGACAACGTCAAGAGGCTGGCCGAGTCGATCTTCAAGGTGACTGGTTAAATACACCCAAAACTCTCTGTGCTGGTATGAACGTGCAAAGGATTTTGGGTAGCCATGGAACTTCCACTACCAGAAGATCAAGAATGCTGCGCAAGCCTGCAAGCAAGGAGAAGAGATGAGTGCTCCCAACGAACAAGAAGTCATCAACGGCGATCTTGCTCTGTTCGAGAGAAGGGGGTTATTTTGTTTAGCGTTTCAACCTGAACGTTCCTGCTTCATACCACCAGCACCATGTATCAAAATGATGGGCGGGAACAGCCTGGGTCAGCATCATCGGGGGAGGTCTACATAGATGGGGCAAAATATGAAAGCGTAGATTTTTGTGACCTGATAGGCGTCCTCTTCTTCGTTTCTGTTACTTTTTCTTTTTTCCATCCTGCAGGTTGTCTGCATGAATACAGTATATTCAAACTGGGTTGGGTTCAAGTTGTGAAAAGGCGGGCAGGTATTATTACAATGACTTATGTACCTCGTACCTCGTACCTAGGTACGTAGGTAGGTATGTAGATAGGTAGGTGACATGAATGAACTGTGTATCTATAGAAGAGCGAGAGCAAGAGCGAGAGCCCAAGCCCTCCTCTAGTATATATGTCCTTCCTACCTACGTAGCTCGCTAGGTACTCGGACGTCCCGTCCCAACCCATTAAAAAAAAGGTCCTTTATCCGAACCTCTCGACCGCATAATGTCTTTCGTTCCGCACGACCACCAGGAGGGGGAGAGTAGGCAATATCCCCAGGACAGGGACAGTGAGTTGAAAAAGCACCTGCCAGAGAAACGTCGTTGTCGTTTGGATCAGGTCTGCAGGTAGGTGTGCTTGGGAAAGGGGGGAAGGGATCCAGGATCCAGGATCCAGGATCTCAAGTAGTTAGTGGGACGGTGTAGGGGCTTTTGCTCACCCACCGACCACAACTCACACTCACAGTCACTCACTCACTTACTCAGTAGTAGTGGTGATCTGGCACGGAGATGAGTACCGGAGCCAGTGGGATCATTCCACAACCTGAGAATTTTGCAAAAGGAACCGAGATGGAATAATGCAGGCTCGTCTATATAATTTGTTATTTTAGGTTATTCCCCGACGAGTCTGGCGAAACAGAACTTGGACGGTTGCGCTGCATATTTTGTACTCGGGAACAAATCATCGTGAGCCGTGTGCAGTGGCATGGCCATGTTTGACCCCTCGAGCCCCCTCCTCTGGTCTCTGCACTGCAGCTATCAAAGTGGCCATGTGGGCAACATGTGGGCAGCATGCAACTACTGTTAGGGCCTATGTCCCGGTTCCCCTCTGCTCCAAGAGACCCCTATAGTCCCCGTCCACCGTCCACCGGACAGAGTTACGGGGGAACCATCTACAGGGCTTCCCGGGACAGACTCCCAATTGCAGAGAAGGTGTCCACGCTGCTTGCTGCAGCTAGCCTCACCGCTGAACGCCTCTGGGCTTCTTCTTGCTTCTGTATGCTCGATTGCTTGCAACCAGAAATCTCCCCAGGCTGGCAAGACCCGCGGGTGAAGGCGGTTCCGGCCGCAGTGGAGGGCCGTTTATGTATCGTGAATGTTTCGACTGATGGTGTCATTGGGCGGCTTGAACCAGTGGACCTTTTGTTCGTATAATACTTTGAGAGACAGCCCAGCACAGGTAAATGCCGGTCAAACTGCGTTGGGAACTCAGGAGAAGGTGGGGGGAGAGTTGGCTGCTTGCTCCGGAACATATTTTCGGGCTTTTGAGCTCCTCCTGGTGTTCAGTGGCGCAAGTGCTAGGGAGCTGGCGTGATGCCAACCGAATGGACGCCCATCTGCGGGTTGACATCATTGGTTCCGTTGGTCCTTTTAGGGCTTTCGCCTACCCATCGCCACGCATCTGCTTGCTTTTTCGTCCTTCTCTTGCAGCTTCAGCGCCTCCCGGGAGGGACCAATCAAGCCCAATCCAGCGCTTAGTTGACCCTTGGGAGAAAACCTCAAGCTGGTATACTCGTCGCGGGCTCTCTGTGTTGCTGCTCCGAGAATGGCGACCCGTGCTCCTCTACGCTCTGTCCGACAGTGACGGGACCCTGAACGCTCGTCGACGTCATCGCGCATGTGGAATTGAGGCAAAATTTTGACGTCCACAAAGGCAGCGTAGCAGCAACTCAAGGGGCAGGGTGATTGGGAAAACGAGGGGCAACGGCCTCTTGCATCTCCTGGGTGCCTCCACCGCGATGGCAACTAGCTGGAGGAGGTGTTGCCCGTGGAATTTTCGAATGCAGGCGCCGCAGGTTCAGTCCGCCCAGAGGGAATGACTTGTAGTTGCACAGGGCATGCCGTCAGCTTGCCCAATTCATGCTGTATCAGTGTCGATCTGCCGTATTCCTGGCCGGTAACACGACTGTTTCGGGGATGGACCACATGGACCCAAGGGTGCGGCTGCTCGTTGGCTCCTGGTTCTGGGGAGTCTAATATGCTCCTGCAGGATAAGAGGAGTGTCTCTGGTGTCTCTGTGGCAGTAGAGAAAGCATTCCACCTTCCGAAGTCCACTAACCGTGGTGGTGCTGGGTGCGATTGGGGAACCACAAATAGTCACCTCATCTCTTGAGTCACTTGTTTTCCGTCAAGCAGGGCATTCCCCACGCGACAAGCCACCTGTCAGCTTACCGAGGCCGAGATACGAGTAGGTAGCTGGCTGGAAAGAAGGGGACGTGGTCCGGTCGGAGGTGTGTCTAGGGAGGTCGTGGGGAGGCCGTAGGAGAGGAGCAGGAGAAAAGTCTTGTTTGGTCATCGGGAGGGAGATGGGTTAAGGTGGGATTGCGGCGAGCGGGTATCGCAGGCCGTGCGTGGCTCTCTGGCTGCCGTATCTCTCTTGGGTCTCTCTGATAGCCCTTGGCTCCAGTTTTGTTCCTCGCTGTCCCTTGCGGTCCCTTTCTGTCCCTAGCCGATTGAGGTGTTGAAAATCCCTTCAGCCTCGAAGTGGCTCGATAGTAGAGTAAACCCCAGAGGTTGCCAAGCAGACCAAACTCGTCCCCAGATTCATCTTTTGCCTCAGCTCAGCTTCTCTCAGATTTCAGACGAGAACATCCGGGTATACGACAGGGTTCTTCGGACACGGTCAGGTTTCAGGGTCCTGCTTCTTCCTTCTTGTTCCATTCGTGTCTCTGGCCGCGTCCAAGGTGTGAAGTGGGATTGTGCTTGGCCCCCGCTTGCTTTTGGAACGACTGACGCTTTTGGTGGTTGATCTGCGCTGCCGGACGGAGATCTTGGGCTCGGTTGCTCGCGAGACAAAACGCATATCGCAGGCCCATCGCAGGCTACCGGAGGCCAGCATCGCAGGAAGTAGCCGGTTGACCCGAGTTTCGTGGAAGAGAGTAAGGCCTGAGGTACGTTAGCAGGTTTCTTTGACCCCTCCCAGTCATCCAGGGTGGTGCATCTCAATCGCAGGTTTTGCATGGGCGTGGGATTAGTTTTGTCAAGAGGAATGTGTAAAGGCCGCTGCCCCGCCCTGGCCAAAAAGCGCAGACTGCAGAGAAACCCAGAGTCGGTCAGATCTGTTCCTGATATCACTTTTGCAGGTCCTTGCTGTTCAGCCTCAACCCGGCCCGGTGAGAGAAAATATTTCCAACGACTTTGTCAATCTCAGAGCATTCCCCCTTTCGGGTTGAGCGAGTTGAGCCAGTTGATCGAGCCTCAAGGATCAGCAATCGACAACGACATCCATCCGACGTACGTCACTTCCCACTGGTCCAAAGGCTTCACACTTTGTCCCAATTCAATTCATTGCAGGAAACGGTTGCCGGCGCCATCTCCTGTCATCTGGTATCTGGCATTTTGTGCACTGCATTGCTCCTTCCTCTCTCTACACCAAGGAGTTGATCCTTTGCTGGTTTCTGATTGCCAAAAAGTACTCAGATCCCCCCCCAATCCTGGTCGTGCCTTGCATTGATTTACTGTTTACCCTTTTCCTTTGGTCGATTTCGAGGTCGGTTGCACCCGTCCGAGTCTTACCACAAGGGCGCGAGGGTTTTGAGTCTCAGTCTCATCATCTTGCCAAACCGCTGACACCATGCCTGCAGGCAGGCCGCTCTCCCTAGCATTCTATCTGCTATCCTTATCTTCGCCACCGACTCCTCGTCACTGCCATCACCTCCGACGACACCGTCACCTGGTTTCCACGCGTGCTACGGTCCTTGCAAAAATATCGACAGAGGAGCGAGCGAGGCTGTGACGCCCTCATTATCGAGCAGGTGGTCACCCTTAAAGCGGAGCCATTTTACATCTTGCGCACAAGACTCCCTATCTCAAAGACACGGGCGATCATGGCCGAGGAAGTAAGTACGACACCAAAACTGAATCGGCTTGTTCCAGGGCAGAGGCTCAATGTGTTGTGGGCCCTCCGTAGCTGACTTCTTGGCTCGCCACAGATCGACTTCGACTTCGGCGATAATGTCGAGAAGAGCACGTTTGAACAGATCCTCGACATGGACGAGGAAGATGATCGTGACTTTAGCAAGTCAATAGTCTTTGGGTTTTTAGAGCAAGCAGAACAGACCTTCAGCAAAATGGACACTGCCATGTGAGTCAGCATGTCGTCCGCTGCAGACCTTGGGTTTAGCAATGGACTGACCATGTCTTCAACAGGAAAGATAAGGATCTCGCCGAACTTTCCAGCCTCGGTCACTTTCTCAAGGGTTCGTCTGCAACACTGGGCTTCACAAAGGTCAAGGACGAATGTGAGAAAATCCAGCACTACGGACACAAGAAAAACGAGACCGGCGAAGTCGATGAACCAGATGAAGCCAAGTGCCTCAGACTCATTGGTGAAAGCCTCGATGAGGCTAAACGAGCTTATGAAGTCGTCAACAACCTGATGAAGCAATTCTACGCCGAATCTTGATGAAATCGGGTTTCACGAGATTAACCTTCCCGCGTACGAGCACCGGCATGATACCACCTGGGGCAATGTTCCAATGAGAGAAACCTTGGACCTGGACCAGCTGGCTTGTCTACTCATTCGCAACTCTGTCGAACTACATGTGATGCGGCTGTGCCAGCATGGACGTCGGCCAAACCCCCTCCGAGATTCCTCTTTACATCTGGCGCGCTCTAGACTGCAAGATATGATGGTTCATTGGTTCTGTTTGGGACAGGGTGGAAATCGGGCATCGTTCGTCATTGAACTGAGGACTGACAGAACAGAAATTCTTGCATTACCGTTCAGGGCTGTGAGCCCAAGACCAGATACATAGTAACCCCTTTCATCACACCCCTTTCTTTCGAGGCAATATTCTTTGCTCCTCTTGTGGTCGTCTGACGCTGTCTTTGACTAATAGTGTAGCCACAGTTCTCTTGAAGCTTTGCCTCCGCATCGGCGTCGACTTGCACTCACATTGTTCGGCCACAGGGATGCCTCATCGGTGACAGAATAGAGGCAGGTCTCCTCGCTCAGTAGGCTGATCCTCCGATCCCCTTGTTCCGAGAAGCACCATGCCCCAAGGAACATTTCCTTCAAGAGCTTCATCATATGCAGCACCATACCAGTTCGGCCTTCAAACCTCACAGGAGAAGGAAATGCTGTGATAGCAAGCAAGATATCTGCTTTGGGGTGACGGGACACATGCGACGATCCAAAAGGGTGCAGGTCAAGGAAGATCTACACAGCCGCCAATGCCCGAAGGCCGATCTGCCGAGTTGCTGAACACCCTGAACACGCAAGTCATGATTCATGGTCGCTTGTGGCTTGGTTGGCACTTTCTATCTCTTCGCTGTTCGAACGAGCGCCGTCGCTATCCGTGTCGGGAGTAGTTGCGTCTCCCTCCACGGTTGGGATGATGCGGCGCGATGAGAACGAAACGATTGATCATCACCGATTCTGATCTCCCCCTCGCGGGCTGCCTCAATTGGTGACCAGAACTTTCCGTTGCCAGCTTTTCGTGGCTCGGTTCACCAGACGTGCTTCTTGTCGCCAAAGAAGTCTGGGCGGTGGTGACATGTCCGAAGACAGGGTTGAGATGCGAGCCACATACATGTCTGTTGACACCCGATACCATGAGAACAAAAATGACGCGTTGGGAGCAATACACCGCCCGAGGATGCAAGTTGAGTGGTGGTTGCAGCTGGCGGTGCTCGATAGTGATGACGCCGCAAACAACAGCTGGAGATTGAGGAAGGCACGGGTCTTGCACCAGCATCGTGAGGCTGGAGGAGGAGACAACCACGATCCTCATCTAAGATCGGGGCCATTGTCTCTCGTCGCCGCCGCCTGGCTTTAAACCCGCGCCTTACATACCTTCCCGTCAAATTTGGGCTATGAGGCTGAAACGTGGGTGACGGACGTGATCTGTGGTCGATGGCCGCGATGGTTTAAAGAAGAGTGCTTTCTCTGGCAGCCGTGTCTAACACCCTCCGCTCCAGGGTCGTTGTCGTTGAAGAGCATGAAATCAAGTCAGCGCTGTAAAAGGCCGGGGGCACCCATAGGGAGGGACGACCAGCAAGCAGATGGAGCGCCCATTTCCCACCCACCACGCAGTAATTAATATTAATTTACTTGCGTCTCTTGCCCATCTCTCTGTCCATATGCCTTTCAGGATAGTCCATGGCATTTCAACGTAACTATTTGACGGCCAATGTCCATTTCTTTTGCGACAATCAGTGGCTTGTTTAGGCCGGGAAGAAGGGGTCGCACGAAAAGTTAGAGAGAGAAAGAGAGAGGGATGGCTGGCGATTTCATAGAACGCCAGCCTTATCGTCACCTCAAAAAAGAAAAAGGTGATGGAAGTCTAGAAATTACCATCGATGGTACCTCGTGTCATGCTATCGATGTAACACAAAAGAAATAGAGACTCAAATGGTTGCTCAGACAAGAAATGTCGTGCTCTGATGACGACGAGACTGGTAACTCCGTGATGAATCCTGCAAATGTCCCCCTGATCAGTGCCACCCATAGACCTGCTCGAGTCGTTGCAGCGAGCAATTATTACTCCCTTGTTGCGCCCGCCCATTACCCACGGTTGCGCCTGTGCCTTGTGCGCATACTCTTTCCTCCAGCCGTTGATTGACCCCGATTTAACCATAACACCTCACCACCAGACGCCTTGCTGCTGGATAAACTCGGAACATTCCCTCTTCCAAACCCATGCCTCGACCCGCTTAGTTTGCTCCAAGAAACGAGGTTTCCTTATTTTTATACAAATTTTAGAAGCAAAATTTGTTAGTCACCGTAACCAATACCGAAAGACACGGCCGTGGTTGGATAGGAACGGGCAGTGATCGAAATGCCAGGTCTCTTCACCCCGGCTTGACGTCCCCAAAGGCCATGCGATCAAGTGGACAGCTCGGTGTCCTCGTTACAGGAGTCGTCTCCGGTCAAGTCCTTTGGTGGTATGAGGACATTGACTTCGGTCCAGACAGCCATAGTCACGGTCGCGACCAAGCTCTTCTCCCAGATATTAGGAAGGATCACGATACTCACGCTACATGACGTATCGTTCCTGTCGGTTGTCCGGGACTGCCAGTGGCATTGAGGTCCAATCAGGCGGAAGGGGTACGTGGTGAGACATGTGACCGTTACGAGGTCGGAGACCATAGTCCTCTGGCTCAGTACTCTGTGGTCTCCGAATAGCACTTCCGGGATAATAGAGTGGATGTCCGCCGTAGGCGGGATCCGGATAACCGTAATTCTCCAGTGAGGACGGTGTAGGCAGCGTACCGCCACCTGGCGAGCCCCATCCCAGGGCTCCCAAGTGAGGGGACGTACTACCACTGGCGGTGCCGTTGGCAGGAGGCTCCAAAGGTTGAGGCGGTCCATATGCAGGCGGATGAGACGTGACAGGCCTCTGTTGAGGTGCACTCGTATAGTTCTGAAGAGAATGGCTATTCAAAGGAGGTGTCGAACGGGGGGAGTTTTGCCCAAAGTCAGACCGCATGTGAGGGGGAAGGGAATGGGTCTGGGACAAGAACCCATAGTCTGAACCTTGACGTTGCATGCCAGTGGTCAGAGGTGGAAGCTCTGAATGCGGTGACATGGACAAGGTTCGATCTGCAGGCGATGCCGTGGAGTTCCTCGAAGAGCCTCCTGAAGTGGACTCGTAAATGGACTGACTCTGAGGCTGTGCTGGTGCTAATTTCGCGTTCACCTCTGCGGCTGCTTGCTCCAGTGTGCCCGTATGTTGAGTTTGGTGCCTCGTCAGTGTGGTACGTCTGGTGAAAGTTTTTTGACAATTTGCATATTCACACCTATATGGACGCTTTCCCGAGTGGATCCGTCGGTGCCGTGCAAGAGAGCTGGAGTCCGAGAATGGCTTATGTGCCGATTAGTCTCAGGTATAGGAGATCGAGTATTGATCAGAATCGACTCACCTTCCCACAATGTCCACACAAGTGTGGTTTCTCTCCTGTGTGGACTCTGACGTGCACGGTCAAGGCAGATCGTTGAATGAAAGACTTGTTGCAGCCCGGGTGGTTGCAGGCGTGAGGTCTGTCCCCGCTGTGTATTCGCTCTTGGTGGAATTAGCGAGTTGCCTATGCTATATAGATGTGGAGACTTCTCACCATGTCTGGCAAGGTCACTGCGTCGTGCAAACCCTTTCGAGCAGGTACCGCAAGGAAACGATTTCGAAGCTGTCTCGCTCTTTATTTTAGCAGGAGCCAGGTTTTCGTCCGAGACCGTGGTCTGGCTGTCCTGCCTTGGGATATAGCTGCTCGCAGCGTACAATGGAGGGCTTTCCTCGGGTGGCGCCATCATACTGTACGGCAGGACATGGGACTGCGGGATGGATGGCGGGTGGTGAGCCATATTTAGACCTTGGTCCACGCTATATGAGGCTGTACCCTCCATTTGCAGCGAGTGCTGAAACGGGCTCAGATCTTGGCTGCCTTCCGGACGATTTCTCGAGTTCAGCAGCGTTGAAACGTCCATTCCTCCCTTGGTGGGAAGAGATAGCAATGGTGCCAAAGCTCGTTGAAAGAGAGCTCGGCCCTGAGGGTTGGGGAGGCGTGGGAAATTGAACCTGAGGTTTGATGACTGCATGGTTTTGCCCGTTAGCAGAGTGGCACACAGAAGAAGCAACAACAACGGACGATGGAGGTCGAGGTATTGCAAAACACCTTGGCCCTCAAAGGATCAGTGCTGGGTCAAATAGGGTCAAGGCGCGGTGGCACGCAGACGCTCATGCCCTCGCCCTTGTGATGTGACGACCAGAATGGCCGAGAGCTTCAATGCACGGTCCATTGTTCCGACAAGACCAACACCAAGTGGCCTGGGGGTTTATATCTCACCTGAGGCAGTAGCAGATGTCCAAGAGATGCTGAAAGGAAATACAGAAAGGGGAAACTGCTGAAAGGTGGCGGATGAGTAGCCCCTACACACCGCCAGGAATGCTAGAAACCAAGGGGTGCAGCAATGTTGGTATTCCCTTGGCAACCAGCCAATTCTTCTCTCCGAGACAAGTTCCTCGTCGATGCCAGTGACTCGGGCCTCTGGTCCTGTGACGCAAAACTGGCTGGTGTCCGGTCTCGATTGGGAGGGCAATGTTCTAGGTCTCGGTCAATCGGCTTTGGGTCGAGACGGGCGGGGGAGTGGCTGGACGCAAGAATGAAGCGGATGGGTTTCCGGCTCTTTGATCAATTGCCACGTCTTTTGGAGCTTCTTGGAATTCTGGATCCCGGGTCTGCCGCACCAGGCGGTGTGTAGGAATGAATGAGGTGTGTTGTGCTGAATGTTCAATGTTCAATGGGCCTTCACTCCCAATGCTCCAATTGCCAGCCGTTAGAGACAATCCCACCGCCAATGGAATCGCCCCTTTCGATCAGGGAGGTCGATCCAAACGTCGGGAACCAGAAGGTCAGGACTCGTTTTAGTGGTCTTTGTAGGGAGCATCGAAGCGGCGGCTGCTGGGGGCGGGAGTGCAGGAGCGGCGAGGCGGAGGAATGGCGGTGGTGGTGGTGGTGATTCTTGACTGCACGGAAGGCGTCGAGGCGATTGAAGGGAGTGACAACGAGCCGTGCATCGAGCACGGTCTTTCTGGGAGAAGCAACAGCGACGACAATGTGAACGTGCAATCGGGAGCATAGGCGGGAGAAGCAGGGCACAGACAAAAAGTCAGGCACAGATCGTCTGAGAAAGGGTTACAAGGTGCACGGGGAGAAAGTTGTTCTTAATGTCTCAAGAGCACTACCAGAACCAGCTGGAGTCACAAAGAAGAAGAAAAAAGACAATTCAGGAAACCAAACACATCATGACTTTGGCTTGTTGTTTGAACCCACGTCGTCGTCGGTGGTCGGGTCGGCGGTGGTGCTTTGAGTTGCGTTGTATTGCAAAAAGTTTGAGGCGTTGGCGTTGGCGGTGGTGGAACTGAGGATGGATTCTGGATTCGGGGGGAAAGAGAGGAGGGAGGGGCGTCCTTAGGCCTACTGGGTGCTTACTGGGTGCATACTGGGTGCCCAGGTGCCTACTGGATACCAACTTGCCACTAGGCTGCAACGCCTGCCCTAATGAACTTGGGGCTTGCCAATCCGAAACGGCGACAGGCACCCCTCAGGCCCTGAGCACTGCAAGACGCAGCGGCGCAGCCAAGAAGCAGCTTCGCGTGTCTGTCTCCATCTATCAAACCTGGTACAGTTGAAATCCTTCTAGTTCCCCTTCTCACACTTTGTGTTCCTACTAACTTAGGCTCGGGCAAATGAGGTCGCGGGTCTGCTGGCTATATTACGGTCGACACCAAATGGTGTTCTCCGTAAGAACAGTCCCTGCATTGGAGTCTAACTGTAAGACTTTATTTCCTACTTCATGCCTCATACCTCGTTCGAGTATTATTATCTCATACAACTGCAGTTCCACGATGAGAAAGGGGAGAACTCTTTCAACTTGCTCAGCAAATGGAAAGATCCGCGCAGACATGTCTCATTATTGCTGCTGGCATGTCACGGAACTAATCCGACCAAGATAGTCACTTCGTCCGGCGTCCTGCGACTGATATTAAATTCGCAGAGATTCAACTGTTATCTACCGAGATGCCAAACGACCCCTCCTCTTCCTCCCTCCTCATCGACTTGCTACCCTGTAAGCGAACGGCAGGATTGTCAGCATCTGCAAATTGATCGGAGAGAGGCACAATAACCCCCTTGCCCTACCGATGGAGTGGTTCTCGGTACCTGGCGGAATCGTCTTGGTTTCCTCGAGCCTGCTCAGCTCCCAATAAGCAACGTGCTGATGCCTGAATTCTTTGTCCTCAAGTTTAACTTCCGTCAGTTTCAATGGAACTTCGTCGACCCCTGCCCAGAATAGCGCATCCTTCGAGAACAACCGTCACTTCCCATCAAGGCACACCGGTAAGTTCCCTCCTGCAATGAGTTAGAACAAGACGAGAGCTTCGATCCACGTCTGACCCAGACGCTTGATCAAATACCTTGTACGAGTATGCCTGGTCAAAGGATCATGCGGCGACGTCATTGACACACGTCGCTCTGCAGAAAGTGGTTGGTTCAACCTGTGTGAATAACACAATGCACCTGCATCCCATCCCACTCGATGGAGCGAACAATCAAGACGGATCCGAACAAACCTTAGCGCCAAGTGGGGAGCAGACAGACAGACAAAACCGGACGCATGAAAAGCGCCAGTCAATTGTGGTTCGTGGACTGCATCGTACCATATTGAATGAATAAATAAGTGGCCACTTGAGCACGTTTCTCGATCCTGACAGAAGTATACAGTTCTTGCAGAAAAGGTAAATTCGATGGGGCAAAAGGTCCCCTTACCCGCTCGATATACAATGTTCGTCGAAACACTTGCCTATCGTCATCAACAGAAGTATATACAGTTCTTTCAGAAAAGGTAGATCGATGGGAGGAAAAAGTCCCGCGCCCGCTCGACATGCACTGTTTGTCGGAGTAATTCAGCAACCCATCCAGCCTACTTGGTAGATAGATCCCTATCTATCTCGCTATGGGAGCTGCAATCTGGGAACAGTACGAAGAGATGACTTTGGCATTGTTCTGGCTCATCTCAATCAAGGTATGTCCATACCTACCTAGGTAGGTAGACAAGGGAGAAGAAGTCCTCAACAAGCCTTGGAAAGAAAGGTCCATACATAAAAGTCTCATTCAGGCTTGGATTTGCTACTTTAAATCACACGCAAAGCAGATAGTGACACAAAAAAGATGGCAAAAGAAAACCGGGAGGAAAGCCAGAATCCTCTCCTTTTCCACGCCCTCCACCTTGTCTAAACACAGGTCGGGGTATCGTTTGGAAAGCCAGGTCGCCAGGTCGCTCCTAGAACACACAAAAACCAATCCTTTCTGTCGAAGTCGGTCATCCTGAGGGTATCAAACCCATTCAATGCCATCTTGTCCCCGTTTCTCCTGCTCCTGAAGCCCCCGCCCAATTCTAGTCATCAATCGCTCTACTGTTTCTTGTCCACACTTTCCACACTTCCCACACTTCCCACACTTCCCACACTTCCCACACTTCCCACACTTCCTACACTTCCTACACTTCCACACACACCTATAACTCGTCCTCCCCATCGTCATCCCTCATGCCCACCCGAGATCCATTCACGTTCGCCTCCCTCCCACCAAAGCGACTGGCCGCCCTCGCTTCGTGGATCCTCGCGATCGCCCGATGCGTCTTGGCCAATCTCTTATAATCCCCATTCCTCTCATACTCTTCGGCGAGCTGCTTGTAACACTCCAGTGCGTGAACCCCGTATTCGCGATCTCGGCCGTGCTGTTGTCGCTGTTGCTGAGACGACGGTGACAGGCCATCAATACTCCTCCTCGCCCGGGCAAGTTCTTTAGCCTCTGATGTCTGAGAGTCTGCGTCCTTGCTGCCGTTCCGCTGATGAATGCTATTTGCATGCCCATTACGATCCGAGGTGGTTGTTGACGAGTTCCTGAAGTACTGTTCGTCTTCCGGCTCAGTGCTCGTGAGCAGGTCGACCAGTTCTTCGACGGTGCCCACCAACTCCTCAAGCGCGGTCCACAAGGCATCATCTGGCTGATTCGCAATGGTGGAGAACAACTCCAGCAACTCTGCGATGAACACCTTGCGACTCACCGCTTCGTTGGCCGTCACCGGTTTCGCTTTCAGGATCGAGTTGAGCGCACCGATGATTTCCGTCTCAATCAGTTCGAGGTCTTCACTTAATGCCCATTCGCTCACAATCATGGTTTGAAGTACCTCGACCGCAACTTTGCGAAGGCCTTCGTGCATGCTCAGACAAAGCCTGATGGTAGGTGCCACTAGACTAGGCACGTATTGCACTTGATAGCCTCCTAATCTGCGGATATTGTATCGTCGCTGGTCGTCGGCTGTCGCTTCCCAGCCTAAACTCTCCCAGGCCTTGCGTAACAGGTCGGCACCATATTGGCGCACATCACCCGCGATTTTCCACACGGCACGCCGCTTTTGTTCGGGAAAGAGCTCGAGCGTCAAGGCAGGAGACGACACGAGTTTGAGGAGGGTATCGAGGAAGGTCTTCCATAGTTGCATGTCGAAGCTATCCGCATCCTCTGGTGTTGGGAGGTACGAAGAGATGAGGAGCGATGAGAGGTAGTTCAAGATCGTCAAAGCTGATGAGTGGTGATAGATGTGCAGGCTGAGCCACGAGGCGGGAAACGCGTCGTTTTTGAGCAGAGATCGTAAAACCGTGAGGGTGGAGGTGATGTACACAGTGAGATCTGGTCCCTGGAGTTTGAGATTCGGTGGGAGTTTCATTTTTGCGATTGTGGAGATGAGAGACGAGAGTTCCAGTAGCGCTTCGTCAAACTGATCATTGGTTTCGGAGGGTTTGCTGATGAACGGGTAGGAATCTGAAAAGAGCAGGGACAAGGACCGCCGTCTCGCTGGCGGTCCATCGGCGACGGTGTTGTAAGCAGAGATGAGGTTCGGCATGAAGTCGTGCAGGTGAGAAGTCGGATATTGTGTGAGCTCAGCAACGACCGAGCAGCACAATCGGACCTGCTCGTGCCAGTTGTCCGACCGGTTGTTGGGGGTCCAGTACGGCGACAGCCATCTGACACAGTTCTTAACGAGCGTCTTCCGGTCTTTTTCATCCGCCCAGACCTGGTCTAGCTTGGTGTAATTTAGGATCAGAAGAATCCTGTACAAAAGCAATTTCCCAGAGGCTGTGTCACATGCGTCAATGAAGTCAACCGCCACCTTGATCACTTCTTCTTTGCTGAAGGCTGGCAGCAGCTCGGGAAGCCAGTCGTGGAATTTCTGTACAAGGAGAGTTTTACTCCCAACAAGTGCCGGAGTCTCGCTACGCATCATCATCTGCAGACCAAACAGGATCGCTTGCATGTCTTCCTTGAAATTTGAGCGCTTCTCATCGTTGTCTCTGGGTTGCGATCCAAAGCGTCGCTGTTGGTACGACACGATCAGAATCCTCATGAAATTTTTGCCAACCTTGAACAGTGATCTCATATCACGCGCACTTTGAGGGTCCGAAACGCTTTGCAAAAGTCTGGTGAAGCTGCGAATCAGGCACGACGCAGCGTAGGGAAACCGAAAATGGGTTTCGGTGTACTGTTCAATCAGAGGACCCAGGTTGAACCGTCGATCATGGACAATACCGAGCACCCAAACAATATCGTTGAAAATAAGGTCTTCGAACTTAGACTCCCCCGACTTGTGCACAAGCACTCCGAACAACGCGTCCAACACCTCTCTAAGCTGCTTGACGATTTCGATTTCCGGGACAAACGTGAGTTTCTGTAGGATGTCCAACAGTTGCACCGACGTCTGATGCTTCCAATTGATGAGGCTGACGAGGGATCGGTCCTGCGAATATTCCGTACTGCAGAGAAGTGTGTATACTTCAAGGGAAGCGATCGTGGCCAAGGAACCTTCGTGGATGGTCTTATAGTTGGCATTGTTCCAGGGTAGGGATAAATATGCACCGCGGCCTTGGACAATGCTGGATGTGATCTTATCGTAGGCGTGCAGGATGAGAGAGTGCTTGCCATCAGAAATGAAGGCCTGCTTATCCCACAGAGGCAACCAAGCCAGTGCAAACGGGAACTCTGGGGCATCCGCAATACTCAGAACCAGATGACTTTCGGGCACCTTCTCGGTTGGCACTCGCAAACATAGTGTCTGATCCCATTTATGGTCGAGTTCGACGGCATTCGTTCGGAAGGCAGTGACTCCCGCTCCATTCGACGATGGAAATATACAATGCTCTACACGCCGTCCAGTACTGTCACGCACCTCCATGGTGAGTTGCAGGTTCTGCAGTGAGTGCGCTTTTACCGGCGCCACGTTCACCTCAGGGTGAGACAACCAGGAGCCTTGAGTAAGAACTGCTTTGCTCAAAGTGAGATAGATGTCTGACCGTGGTTTAGACGGCGCCTCTGAGAAGCCCATCTTCTGAGTTTTGGTGATCATATGCATTGACGTGGGCGTATTCTTAATCAGGGTGTCTGCCTCAGGCGCAGTATAAGGAGTCAGATTGAAATTGACACTGGAGATCGGTGTGCACAAAATAAGCGCTCTACCAGGGCTGTCAAGGAGCTGCGCCGCGATTCCGATGGACTCGCTGGACTTCTCGTCATCTCGTTGCGACCCAGACCATATGGTGACAGTTTCTTCTCGTGGCTGGCCGTCCCTCATGATTTTTGCAATGTCCAAAACTCCCACGCCAATAGTCCGAGGCACAGGAGGACCCGCAGGCTTGCTCTGACCATCTTCCTCTTCCTCTATTATCGATGGAGTTGATGCTCTTTCTTGGAATTGTGGGGTGGTTCTACCATTTTGGCTGGGCTGAGGTCTGTCTCCATTTCGTCGCCTCCCAAACATCAAGCTGGATCTCCGCCTGTTCAAAGATAACTGTCGTTGACCGAGAAGGGTTCCATTCCTTGACGGTGGTCTTTCTACCGTTTTTTTCTTGGCCTTCCGGGGAGGCTCTGAAGTTACAACTTTGGCAATAAGAAATAGCCGGTCATCGGTCCCAACGTCGCGCGTGCTGAGATCGGACAGGAGTGTCTTCATTTTGGAAGTGGCAACGGAGCTGTATGTCTCTGAAAAGGGCTTGAGATTGCCGTCTGCGTCCTTTAGATACAGAGCCAGACTCAGTGTTGTCGTGTCGATGTCGGAGCCCGCGACGGACGTGACTTCAAGGAGGCAATGATGGAGCGAAGTCGCCTTTGACTTTTCAGACGGCGTACTATCCAGCACACTCATGACTGACTGTAACTTTGCCAGCTCGATGGCCGGGTCTTGCGAGGTCAATAGTCGTCCTTGCCGAGCCGGATCACGGACGATGACCTCGCCGCTCAGCATTTTGTTGCCTCGCACTAGGTCCCACACTGCTTCCTTGCGGACTTGGAGCCTCTCCTGAGTGGTGAGAACATCATTCAATAGCTCGCGCCTGGCGTAGTCGAGTCGGGTGGTGATATCCGACATTTGATCCAGAAGATGATACTCTCGACGCAAAACCAACTCGGGAAGATGCAGGATATACCACTCTCGCAAACACGAGGTGATTTCATCCACCAGTGGCTCTGCGATTGACGTCGGAGATTCATCGCCAATTTTCAACATGGGCACTGGGGCTGGGGGCCTTGGCTGGCCCGGCTGGACAACGAGGTCGACATCTGGACCAAGTTGTTCTCGAATCTCGATACAGCACTTGGGGAAGATACCAGAAAAGACCCGGGCGTCAGCAGCGGTCCTAATCCCAGGACTCAATGCCGACAGCAAGGTGGGCGGTGCGACCAGATAGCCTCGACACCAAGACCCATCTTTGCCTCCCTGCTCGATGACATATAATTGATCTCCAATTTGAAGAGGGAGTTCGGACGGAGAAGATGTCGGCTGAAAGGGATAAACGGCAACCGCATACGACAGAGGCAGCGGCTGCCAGGGCATATTAGGTAAGAAAAGGACGAATGGCCCTGTGAGTCGCAAGAAAAAAATGAGGTCGGACAGCAGTTCGTTCGAGAATGTAGGTCGGATCTCACAGTGGCCGGGGCTGTGGCCTCGCGATGATGATCGGTGGATCGAATCTCGGGGCCTGTGCACAGTCTCCCTTTTCTCGCGAGGGACTCATGGGCTGAGGGGAGTGAAGGGCACCACTGGATCGTGTGAAGGTCGATAACCCGAGAGAGAGATCAAAGGGTCGTTCGTCGTCTTCAGCAAGCCTGTCGAGAGGGTAGTGGGATGATCAATAGACCAAGGTTCGACTGGGTTTGTTTTTTGCGACGCGTTTGGAGAGTTTCCCGCTTGATCAAAGTCTCCGATGTTTGAAGACGACGCCCGCGACGCCCGCAAAACCTGCAAGTCTTGATCTCCGCTGCAGCTCCCGGCACTGACCGCCTAACGGCTTTGACCACTAGCCTCCTAATTTTCCCTCCTTAGCGGGGGCACTCTGCCCCAATCCAGCTAGAAGCCTGACCGTCGAGGCCCCCAAGACATGGCCCGCGGTCCTTGCTGCAAGGCACCATCATCATCTCTTGCGTGCCCCAGCGCTGCGAAAAAGTGATTTGCGACAATTTCAAACAAGCCACTTCGCACGCCTCTACAAAGTCAGTTTCGTCGCTCCCAGTCTTCTCGTCGGATCCTGCATTCCCTACTACTGCTTTTGTCGCAAGTACACGAAGAGGAGAGTGGCAAGATGGAGCCCGTCGTCAACGTCTTGCTGGACACCTTCCCCGGCTTGTCGCTTCCTCAGACGCTCTGCCTACCCTTACCAGCTTCTTCGACCACCACAGATCTACTGGCCGCTATAGCAGGGCTGCTGCCGCCTAATCTCCCAGACACTACGCGGCTGACTTTGACCTCAACCCCGAACAAACGCGTGTATCCCTCGTCTACCATCACGGTCGGAGAATTGACACGCCCGTCATCCTGTGGCCACAATGCTTGCACCAGCTCTCTACTGCCTCTCAGGCTATTTGCACCGCTGGTGGGTGGGAAAGGTGGGTTTGGCTCTCAGCTCAGAGCAGCTGGTGGCCGGATGTCATCGCGAAAGAAAAAGCAAAATGCAGAGCTTGCTTCAGGAAGTGCTCGCAACCTCGATGGGAGAAGACTGCGGACCATCGCAGAGGCGAAAAACCTCGCTGCATATCTGGCTACGAAGCCCGAAATGGACCGAAAGGAGAAGGAAGAAAGACGCAAGAGATGGGAACAGGTCATCGAACTTGCTGAGCAAAGGGAAGCCGACATGCGGGCAGGTAAGGGACCGGATGGGCGACGGAAAGGACTCAGTGACGAGTGGATAGAGACGAAAGAGGAGGTTGGAGAGAATGTGCGCAATGCCGTGAAGCTGGCTATGTTGGCAAGCGAAGAGAAGGCAGACTCAAAAGCGCCTCTGGCACAAGAAGGAGATAGCAGTGGCAGCGGAGGTTCCGGCGCTGCCAGTGACGAGGATAGCGATGAGGAAGACCTGATGGAGCTGGACCCAGATGATATGGCTCGGCTCAGATCTGAGGCTGAAGCTGGAGATGTCGACGCCATCTGGGTTTTGCAGAACCGACTCAAGATCCCCTCTCATCTATTGCCGAAGCCCAAGCAACCAGTTCGTCGGTTTGCAGGGTTTGACGACGAAGATGAATTCTCAGGGAGTGACGACGGCAACGAAGAGACAGAAGCGGACGTCGTGGAAGGAAAAGGGAAACAGAAGGTTGCCGGCACTTCATAGATGGTGCGAACGGCCAATCGCTCATGCCCGCTTGATATTGCCTGCTCCCACTCGTGTTGCGCACATGCCTCCTCGCCTTCCAAGGTTCTTTTGCTTGATCTGGACCGCCTCATTCACCCTGTGATGTACTGCTTTCCCATACTCAATCACGGATTTGTCCATTCCATGAGTACGGAGTTGCGCGACTGACCTCAACATACGGTTTAATGAGATGGAAGTGAATGCACGCCTCGCCTACTCTTAACATTAGGGGTATGGGTTGATCAGTTTTCATGACAGAGTTCTTCTCACATCTCCGAGTGCCGCCGAGTTTGAAGAACAAAGAGATTTCGCTCATCGAGTAAAAGATATTGAGGAAAAACCCCCTTAGCTTCGTCTTTCGTTGGGAACTGCTTCACTTATCTTCCTCTCGACTAGATTCGCACCGACATCACAAGAAGCGGTCGGTGACTTTGGGAGAGAAAAAGGAACGAGCATCACTCACATCCACTTGATCAACTTCTCATTTTATTCCTATCCTCTCCGCCCACATCTTCGTCCCCTCCCGGGACCGTTATTGCATCCATCCCTCTCGTGATTGTTGAAAACGCGATGGCTCTCCCCGTCTTCGCCTTGCTAACGCTGGGCTCGCTGGCCCTGCTGGGCCTCTACAAATTCCTTCTCTACCCCTTCCTCTTCCACCCCTTGCGACACGTCCCCTCTGCGCACTGGTCGATCCCGATCTTCGGAGACGCCTGGATCACCTATCAACGGTACATGGAGAGGAACAATGCCGTGACATACGCGGCGCACGTCAAGCACGGGTCCGTCGTGCGCATGGGTGCCAATGAGTTGAGTGTCAACTGCGTGGACGACGGCATCAAGACCATCTACGCGGGGTCCTGGGAGAAGCATGCCTGGTATCCTCAGAGGTTTGGCTCATATGGGTAGGTTGAAGCAGATCCACCATTCCATGGTTTGGCTGGGGGCGTTTGAAGTATCATGGGGGAAAGAGAGAAATGAGAAAAGAACTGACAACCAGGGGGATGTTGTAGGGTCATGAACATGTTCTCGACAATCCACCACGGGCCTCATTCGCAGAAGAAACGCACCATGGCCAACGTCTACTCAAAGTCCTTCATCGCCTCCTCCCCACAAGTCGCCGCCAACTCACACACCTTGTTCACAACGCGCTATCTCCCGTTACTCCAAAAGCTCTCCGAGACGGGCGAACCCGCCGACGTGCACGACATGAACAACGCCTTTGCCATGGACTTTATGTCGGCGTATCAATTCGGCCTGGCGGCGGGGACAAATCTCACCCAGGACCTGGCCACGAGAAAACACATCCTCCAGCAGTACCACTGTCGGCGGGACTATGAGTTCTTCTCGGCCGAAGCGCCCTGGCTCAAGAAGCTGACAAGAAGTCTCGGCTTGCAAGTCGTGCCGTATTTCGTCGACGAGGCCAACGTCCTCCTCGAGGATTGGAACGCCGGCATGTGCCGCAAAGCCGACAAGTTCCTCCTCTCCCAGGAAACATCCTCCTCTGCTGTATACCCCGGCGACGAACCGGTCGTGTACAAGCAGTTCAAGACGGGCATAACGAAACTCCGCGAAAAGGACCCCAACGCCGGAAAGGCCACGGGTGCGGTCATCCTGCCGACGACCCGACACGACGAACTGCACAGCAGTGACGACAGTAACAGCGACGACACCACGACCGCCGAGATCTACAGCGAAATGCTGGACCAGCTGGGCGCCGGGCACGAGACCTCGGCCATCGCGCTGACGTATCTGTACTGGGAACTGAGCAAGTACCCCGACCTACAGAAGCAACTTCGCGAAGAGGTGCTGACCCTAACACCACCCATCAAATGGCCGCTACAGCCTGCAGGATCTGGGAAACCAGCCGAGGACTTCAAGCTCCCGGACCCGAAACAAATTGATGCCCTCCCGCTGCTGAACGCCGTCCTGATGGAGACACTGCGTCTGCACGCGCCGATCCCGGGCATCGAGCCACGCATCTCTCCGAATGTGCCCGGCGGGAGCACGCTGGGCGCCTACTCCAACATTCCCGGCGGCGTGCGCGTCTCGGCCATGCCGTACGCCCTGCACCGCAACGAGGACGTCTTTCCGGACCCGGAGACGTTCCTGCCATCGCGCTGGCTGCCGTCGCATTCCTCGGAGGAGCAGCTCAGGGAGATGCACCGCTGGTTCTGGGCCTTTGGATCCGGCGGCAGAATGTGCATCGGCAGTCACCTGGCCATCCAGGAGATCAAGCTGCTCGTCTCGGCCATCTATAGCAATTGGGCCACGGAAATCGTCAACGATGAAGGCATCGAGGAGGTCGACGCGTACACCACAAAGCCCAGGAGTAATCGATTGATCCTACGCTTTTCGCACGTTTGATGTCTCATAAATGGGGGCCAAGCACAGGCAAGCAGGGGGAGAGTTCAAGAGATGTGAGCAGACAAGGCTAAGTATGGTGCTGGAATCTCGAGGGGTTTGAGCCGGCTCAGCAGCAAATAGTGTGATGTCGCTCCCTGGCCACTGCTGCCGCCACCAGTATGTTCCAAGCTATACTTTACAATCCTGAGAGGAGGCTCGCAAGCGAGGAGACGAATACCAGAGCAGACAGAAATCAAACGACCACAGATAAGACATTTGAAAGTTTCATGTCCCTCTTGATCCTCGCAATACCCACCAAGGCAAAGTAATACCAAGCAAGACGTATATATGACTTGCTCAGTCGAAGTCCGAGTCAGAAGACCTGGAGCGTAACCCCCTTTTCTAAGCCTCAGATCTCGCAGACCATGCTTTCCCACTATATCTGTCCCATTCAGATCAGCAGAATATGCCTTTTTCGTGTTGTTCGTTTTTCAAATATAGCAAATAAAACGATATCTCAACTTCGCCCCTGAGGGCTTGTAGGTATCGGTGAGAGCCAACGGAGGGGACTCGCCTCGGCAGGATGTCCAGGGCGTACCGAGCCTTCGAACCAAGCGCGATGGCAGCAGTTGGTAGGCGGGAAGCAATGTGAACGGCGAGGGCTTCCTGTGTATCTGTTGCAATTCATTTGCTCGCATCTCAAGTGTACGGGTACATGACTGCTCGTGTGCTGATGAGGCATCAAATAAACGGGTACACCTCCAAAAATAGAACCGTACCGAAGCAGTCCCCTCGAGTTCGATTAGAACTCATCCGTCACAGCGTCAGCCAACCATGCCACTCTGAAGCAGACGGCTGGGACCCATCGCCGTTTATACCATTAAATTTACAGCGCAACTCGCTTCTGAGTCGACCGTGAGCGGGTGGTGCGCGGAATGGCGGGCTTCGGTTTCGCTGGTTTCTGTGTTTTCAGCTGTTTCCTTCTTTGAAAGCGGCGGATCTGGCGTTGGGAGACCTTGCCTCCACGTGCGATTGATTCGTTGTCAATGACGTCCAACTCAGTCAAGACATTCTTGCGGAGACCCCATTTCCCCAGTTGTCGCTTGTACTGTTGCGCGGTTGCAGCGAAGTCGTGTTTCTGTTGCATTTCAGCCATGACTTGGTCTAGGGGGAGCCTCGCATAGAGTTCATAGATGGTGAATTTGTGTTTCTCCCAGATCTGCGTTGGAATAGGTCGGCTGTGGTTTGAGCGAACCATGGCGACGACAGAGGCAGGGCTTTGGCGATGCGTTTATCACAATACAATCACCGCTTTCTTCTTCTTAAAAGCTGGTGTACCAACTTCAGATAGCAAGCATGAAGTCTAGTCCTCAGTCTTATAAGATTTGCAAGGCCAGAGAAAGGCGTGATGGGAAGTTCAAGGCGGACGACGTGGCAGATCTTGTCTGGAGCACTGACACATGAAGGCTAAGCCTTGTTGGGTATCACGTTGGGTTCAGCGGCCCGACAGAGCGGGCAATCAGGAGTGCAGAATTCTTAAAGGTACTCGGTAGAAGTCTGTGTTGTTCAGCAGGGGGAGGTATGTGGGCGAGGAACAGAGAAGCGAGATGCTGCCGCACGGGGGGATGCTGGACACGTTCACTGTCAGCTGACCGAATCTGCAGAGGCAGGATATACTTGGAGTGGTCGCCCGCATGCTCAGGCGCCTGGTTTCTAAGGGAATCACTTGTGTTGGTCAGTGGGCGATGACTCGGAATCAACGTGAACTCAGGTCGGTCGGTCTCAGATTGGTCCCAGGTATTGATACCCGTCGAGGCTGCAGGCACCAAGCCTCAACTGGCTGCATATTACCGGACTCTCTACCCTGTCACGACAATCGGGCGCTTGTAGCGGCCGTTGGCGCCTGGGTGCTGTTGGGAAGAAGACTGATAATAGGATGGTAAGGGAGATGTTGGTGCCTGTCTACGCCTGCGACTGTGTGCAATTTTGAGCAGATCCCAATGAATGACACCAACAAGACTGAAGGAAGAGTCGCGTCACGGTTGATGGAATTGCAAGCCCAAAGGTGGGGGCTTCCTAGTCGACCTGCCTTGCCTGCGCCCTGAGCTAGTGGGTAGGGTAGGTGCTAGCTGCGCGTTGGTTAGGCGTCCGAGCGCCTATCAAACTAGGCTTCCCCGCTTCCTTTAAGCCTCTGGAGCCCGGAACAACACCCCTCCAAAATCTACCTACTGTAATTAGTCGGTAGGTACCTACCCAAGTTAGTTATCAAGGCATATGATCATGCACTGGCGAATTAGGGATAGGATTGGGTCGAATCCTCTCATTCCTTGATAGTACTACGGTAGATATGTCGTGACCCAGAGGCTACAACTCCATGTGGACGTGTCCTGATTCTTGTCAAATTCCCCAGTCCGACAGGTTCCTCGGACATGCAAAGCACCCAAACAAGGAGATGAGAAGAATCAACACTATTTCCATGTAGATCCCAACACAAATGGAGGAGAATCTTGGTCACATGTCGTCCTAGGTATGGATATTCGAGAGGTCCAGAACTGCAACATGAACGTCCTCTTCGTGAATATAGCGGAAGTCAACTGGGGGCATGATCAAAAGGTCCCCAAGGTCGTCAGGATGCCAAGACCGGGCCGCGAGCAAAGTTTTTCCGCTCCGAAAATGGGAAGCTTTGCGAAAATGGCCGGCGTCGCTGGTAAGGCTGAATAAGGCGACAGGGAGTTTTGTGGCGGTTGTTGCCGGTGCGAGGAACGGACAATGCTCACTCACAAATCGCAACACACAGCCCGCAGTCTGTTGTTCTGTTGAGACCACGCAAAACAAAACAAAAAATCCCCACCGAGAATTCGTGGAAATCAGTCCGACCATCCACGTCATTGGCTGACACAGCGAGCCAAGGTCTCAGGGTCTGGCACTCTCGGTAGTCAAGTCCATAGATCTTCGGAATGGGCTTATCGAATTCGGTCGTACCGGGCACGGAGCACCGTGGATGGCAGATAGAGCCAGGGGCCTGTTCCTCCACACCGGCTATGATGGATATCTGGCCGGATAAAATTTCACCATACCACCGTGTTTGGTTTTTCGAGGACAAATCCAAGTCAACCTTGGAACTCACATTGTTGTAATTATGCAGCAAGTGATCGTAGTGCTGTCTGGCGAAGCATGGCTTTTTTCTCAAATCCATCTCGCCGTGGGTTGGCGCCGCTCAGCCTCATCTGGAATTCCATTGGTCCACAAGGCTTGGGATGGCGGAATCTGCGACCTTCGATCTGGTTCTCTTCTCTTGGCCTTTTCTAAGACTTTCCCCGACCCGATCATCTCGCCGCGCCTCCAGGTGCTAACAATACAATTGTTTGCCTTGCGATCTGACCTCATAAATCTCAGGCTGTTCGCTCCTGGGACCATTCTGACTACCTTATATCTCTTGGTAACACTAGCTGGACATTCACCCTTGACCACTTGTTTCTTGTCATCCACGGGATCGGCAAACCTCCTTTCTCGGATTTCCTGCTGCCCGCTCCCAGACAGATCTTTTTAACCCACCAACATCCCTCGCCCCTACTTGACTTGAATCTCACGCGGACCTCGTCATAAACTGCCCTCACAAGCATTTCTCCAGCAAGATGGTCAAGGAGACAAAATACTATGACATTCTCGGGGTAGGCAGATTTCTCTTCTTGCTGAGGCTGGAACTCTCGACCGCTAACAACGTGCCCAGGTCGACCCTTCGGCCACAGAGGCCCAACTGAAATCGGCCTACAAAAAGGGTGCCTTGAAACATCATCCAGGTAAGAACATTCCTGAGCCCTGCTCTGAGAGCCGAGGTTGCTGACTCTTGACTAGACAAGAATGCCCACAACCCAGACGCGGCCGAAAAGTTCAAAGACCTCTCCAAAGCATACGAAGTCCTGTCTGACCCTCAGAAACGGAGCCTCTATGACCAATATGGTGAAGAAGGTCTAGAACAAGGCGGAATGGGCGGTGGTGGCATGGCCGCCGAAGATCTCTTTGCACAATTCTTTGGTGGCGGGTCAGCCTTTGGAGGCATGTTTGGAGGTGGCATGCGCGAAACCGGGCCAAAGAAAGCACGAACTATCCACCATGTCCACAAAGTTTCCCTTGAGGATATCTACCGAGGAAAAGTCTCGAAACTGGCTTTGCAAAAGTCTGTCATCTGCCCGCAGTGTGAGGGCCGTGGAGGTAAAGAAGGCGCGGTAAAGACCTGTGCTGGTTGTAACGGCCAGGGCATGAAGACCATGATGCGTCAAATGGGCCCCATGATTCAGCGTTTCCAGACCATCTGCCCTGATTGCCAGGGAGAGGGAGAAACCATTCGCGACCGTGACCGGTGTAAACGATGCATGGGCAAGAAGACAGTTGTGGAACGGAAGGTCCTTCACGTGCATGTCGACCGTGGCGTCAAGAGCGGCCACAAGATCGAGTTCCGTGGCGAGGGTGACCAGATGCCTGGCGTTCTTGCAGGAGACGTCGTCTTTGAGATCGAACAGAAACCCCATCCACGATTCCAGAGGAAGGACGACGATCTTTTCTACCACGCCGAAGTTGATTTGTTGACTGCTTTGGGCGGTGGCCAAATCTACATTGAGCATCTCGACGATCGGTGGTTGACAGTCAACATCTATCCTGGCGAGCCTATCACACCTGGTAAGTGAAATTATGCAGAGCTCCACGCCACACTAGCTTGGTGTCCCGATGCTGACGTTCTTGATAGGAGCAATCAAGGTGATCAAGGGCCAAGGCATGCCGTCAATGAGGCACCACGACTTTGGAAACCTGTACATTCAATTCGACGTCAAATTCCCAGACAAGACACAGCTCCAGAATCTCGAGCTTCTAGAACAAGTCCTCCCGCCCCGCATGCAACAAAAGCTGCCACCTCCAGATGGCATGGTGGAAGATTTCGACCTCGAAGAAGTCGATCCCCGTCAACAAGCACGTGCCCACGGTGCCGCTGGCATGGACGATGAGGACGAGGACGGCATCCCACCTGGAGCCGAGAGAGTGCAGTGCGCTTCCCAGTGAACGGGCAATGAAGCGCCCGGGATCATTGGGCAGATATGACGACGCAGAATTATCACAGACAGAATCGCAGACGTAATGAGTTGACGCACGAAAGAAGCGCACGACGCCGAGCATCAGCGAACGCGTGGGTTTTTCCTTGCATTTGATCTTGTGATCACTGGAGCATGGGCAGGGGTCAATATTGTACGGCGTCAGGGATTGGGACAGGTACTGCTTGTGATCAAACCCCCGGCGTTCAGTTGGGAAATCAGGATATGGAGTCACAAGCTCTTGCGGTGTGCACACAAGGAGGTCTCGGCTCGGTTGTGCGCTTGGACGCGCCTGCTAGACGGCCTGCTGGGCGACCTAGCCTCTCACCGATTCACGCATATTTAGACAGCCTTGCTATTATGCATGATAGAGTTTGGTTCGGAGCAGTGGCATGCAAAACCTCAGTCACGGGGTTGTTATTAGTTGCTACAAATGAAAGATGTTATGCCGGTGGTGATCATCGGAGGGAGGAAAGACCGTTGTAGGGCGTCACGAAAGGCCTGTCAACAACGCTACGGAGTAGTATGTATCGAGCGGAAGCTGCACATGTGAATTCAATCAGTTTTTTAGACTTCTCCGTCCTCCGTAGGGCAATGGCTAAGGCTCAGAATTAATGGGCTAGGCATTATGGAGACCTTGTAGGTCCCGCAAAGCACGAGCATCATATCAATCTCAATCTTCTGACCTGACAGATCGGGCGGCTGATCCGAAGGAACGATGGACCGACCTAGTGCGCAGCCACATGTCTTGCGGCCATTTGCCATTGATCATGGATTCATGGTGGTGGCCGTGGCGCTAAGGCCGGCCATAATCTCGTCGATACGAGGAGGAATCACTGGATCAGATGTCTGTCGGAGGTTGCGACTCTCAGACGCCGACCCTGTCAGAAAGGGAAAACATGGGCTTCTACCTTGGCCAAAGTGCGGAGTATGAGGAAGGGGGGGGAGCACGCAGTCAAGAAGTTCAACGTCTGGTAGGACGACGGTTGCGAACGCAGCTTGAACACCGTCTCAAACCGAAAGAGAGGGGATGAGGCTGGCACTGCCCGCTTGAGATTTTGAAGGGGTTCGGGGTTTGGTAACTTAGAGTGTGAGGTTTGAGTCTTGAGGCTCAGGAGGACATTGTCACTGTCACTGGCGTGTCGCTAACGCTTGACGTCGAATGGGAAATGAAAAAGCTTGGCATCTGCATTGGATGGAAAAAGCGGTCAACAAGGTACCGAGCAGAGGCGGCACATGCAGTGCACCTCGTCACTACCATCCCACTCGCTCTTCTCCCTTCTCCCTCGTGCTCCATCCTCACCTGCATCTGTCACGCACCAGTCGATCTCGTCCTCCCCACGTCCACTCCTCCGTCGACAGCTTCGCGGCTTTCGTGCTGGCTGCTGGCTGCTGGCGTGATCAGCCAGAAACAAGACGCCTTTCTTAGGGTCTGAAAAGACGGAAAGAACAAGAGAGCAGGAAGGGTGAACTGGAAAGCTGATAAGTTCACCCTCAGCTCTCAGAGTCGATGGGATCATTATCGCGTCAATCGCGTCAGCAATTAGCCAAACCCACCACAACCACCTGGGCATTATGATTGGCTCCGACACACAGACCTTTCTTCGATGATGGCAACCTTTGCCCACAAAATGACAGGGCGGGAGACCCACGGCCCCTGGCCTGCAAGAGCGGGACTAAAGTTGATCGACGAAACAAATGTCAACCACTGCAACCGGGAGAACTCGAGCACGCCATTTTGCTCCTGTAAAAATACTCAATGGCTTTTTTTGGGTCAGAGACAGCAGGGAATCGACCAGCTTTTGCATGCAACCAAGTGAGGCGACTTTGATAAATGAATTTGCCACTAGCCGCTCACCGGTGCAGAGCATACGAGGACATCGGGGACCAGACTAAGGCAACGGAACGGGAACCATCAAGTCATCGATCCGCAACTGGGGTTGAGAGCGGCAACGAGGCCGTCATCAGACCGTTGTCTTCATCGCCATCATCATGATTAATTGCGATTCACCGCTGCCGCCGTTACTGCTCCATGGCGATTGCGGTATCAGAGCGACGGGTCTAGCTTCAAGTCGGACAAGGCGTACCGGCTGAGACTTCGTTCTATTCTTTTGGTGGCATTGACCGCTGCACGGAGCTTTGGATGGCTTGGCTGTACGACTTGACTCCCTTTGCGTCGGCCGAAGAAATGCTTCGTGTGCTTAAGCAGCAACGACTGCCTTTGTGTTCGCCGTCCCGGCGATCTCTCGCGTCAACACCTGTCGTCGTCATCCGTAACCCCCAAGGGGACAGTTCAACGGGGTCAACGCTGTGGATGTGAGCATGAGCAGCAGGGCACTTGGGCAGTGTGGTGCAAGATGTCGCCTTTCTGAGAAATGGGCCTGGGGGCGCCATCACGCCTTCGATTGCACCATCATCTCTAACCCCGTCCATTTCATCACTGCCCCAATGGGACGAATAGAAAAATTTCTACGCCTCTTCTTCAGGACGCCATCCTGAGGATCTTTTCTAGATCCATTCGCAAACACCCTTCGTGCCCCGTCTTCCCAAGCCCGGTCGAGATCTCTCGCTTGTTCGATCAAGCACTGACGCCCACATGGGCGGCCCTCGTTTGAGGCTGCCTCAGAAGGCTGCTTGAGGTGGAGGAGACCCTCTAATATCTGGCACACTTCCCTCTACATCGTCGTCACCTCCATATTACGCTTGACGCCGTCTCCGCCTTATTTTTTCCCTCTTTCCTTTTGGCTGTCGGCAAGGCGAGAGCTCTGGCGGCGCTGCTCTCGTCGTCACTCTTCTTGATTCCAGATTTGGGACGAGAACAGTGACGATTCTTTCCCTGCTATTCACATCATATAAGCTTGCAGTACTACAGCTCCATCTCCTCCTCCGCCTCTAGGCAGTCGAGGGATTCCTAGCTACGCAAATAGCCCGAACCACGCTGCAAGCCACAAGAGCCCGGGCTAACCCTAGTCATTACATGCAAATCCTATCCACCTGCCGTTCTTCAGTATCCACCACGCCATACGACTTGGCACTTCCAGCCACTCAGCGGTCAGGCGTCCGCAAGTTTCATCCATGCCAGATCCATATCTGCTCACGACTAGTCGCGTCAGGGCAATCTGCCCACCCCAGGGTATTCAAACTCTGCAAGTCCGCTCCGACAGCCCCTCCTCTTTATATACCCTCCTTCCAACCTTCAAAGCAGGTAGACCTTGCACACCCACGTCTCCTGCGGTTTCAACGAGCCGAAATCACGTTCTTCCGGATCTCTGCTTAGACCTGTGAGGCGTGACAATGGCGTCAACCTCTTCCAAGGTCGGCCACGGCCTGGCTAAGGTCCTTGGCATTAACCTCGACGAGCGTCAGGCAACGAAAGATGCAGTCACTCGGGGTGAATCAACATATTCAGTCAGTACTGCTGACTCTTACATTGAGGAAGAGCCGAGAAGTATCGACTGGCTCAGAGATCTCACTCCTTCTGGCCGTGACATGCTGGCCTACTTCCGCAGTCTGTTCCCCTTCACCAACTGGATTTTGCGGTACAATGTCCAATGGTTGATTGGCGACTTGGTTGCTGGTATCACGGTCGGCGCTGTCGTCGTGCCGCAGGGCATGGCCTATGCCAAACTCGCCGAGCTTCCTGTCGAATATGGTCTTTATTCCTCCTTTATGGGGGTCCTGATCTACTGGTTCTTTGCCACCTCCAAAGATATCACTATCGGTCCTGTCGCCGTCATGTCCACCATCACGGGAAATATTGTCAACAAGGTCGCGGCAGAGCACCCAGATGTCCCCGGCCACGTCATTGCTTCGGCTTTGGCCATCATTGCGGGCGCAATCATCTGCTTCATTGGGCTCGTCCGGTGTGGGTGGATTGTGGACTTCATTCCGTTGACTGCCATTTCGGCCTTCATCACCGGCTCTGCCCTCAACATTGGGGTCGGTCAAGTGCCAACCCTGATGGGCATCAAGGTCAAAGGCTTCAATACTCGCGCCTCAACCTACCTGGTTATCATCAACACGCTCAAGTACCTCGGCCACACCAAACTCGACGCCGCTATCGGTTTGACGGCACTGTTTCTCCTCTATCTCATCCGGTTCACCTTGAACCGCTGCGCAAAGAAAAACCCCAGCCGAGCGAAGCTGTTCTTTTTCCTCAACACGTTGCGCACTGCGTTTGTGCTCTGCGTGTACATTCTGGTCAGCTATCTCGTCAACCGGCATCACCGCACGAAGCCCAAATTCAGTATTCTCGGCCACGTTCCCCGTGGTTTCAAACACGCGGCGGTGCCGACGATCAACACGAAAATCATCAGCTACTTTGCCGACCAACTTCCAGCATCTGTCATTGTCATGCTCATTGAGCATATCGCCATCTCCAAATCCTTCGGCCGGATCAACAACTACACCATCAATCCCTCGCAGGAGTTGGTTGCCATTGGTGTCACAAACCTGCTTGGCCCTTTCTTGGGCGCTTATCCTGCGACTGGGTCATTTTCGAGGACTGCCATCAAGTCAAAGGCCGGTGTGCGCACGCCTTTTGCCGGTGTCATCACTGCCGTTGTGGTTCTCCTGGCCATCTACGCTCTTCCAGCCATGTTTTTTTACATCCCCAATGCTGGCCTTTCTGCCGTCATCATCCATGCCGTCGGTGATTTGATCACTCCCCCCAACACCGTCTACCAGTTCTGGCGCGTCTCACCACTGGAAGTCCTCATCTTCTTTGCAGGTGTGCTGGTGACCGTCTTCTCGTCCATCGAGAATGGTATCTATACGACCATCTGTGTCAGCGCCGCTGTGCTTCTCTACCGTGTGGTCAAAGCACGCGGCCATTTTGTTGGGAAGGTCCAGATCCATTCGGTTGTTGGTGACCACTTGATTGAAGACAAATTCCATGACAAACCTCGCAATGACGATGATGCTACCCGAAACATCTTCCTCCCCTTGGACCACAATGATGGCTCGAATCCCAACATTCATGTTGAGTCTCCCTACCCTGGAATCTTCATCTATCGATTTAGCGAGGGCTTCAATTATCCCAATGCGAACCACTACACCGACTATCTTGTCCGATATATCTTTGAGCATACACGAAGGACGAATCCTGATTCATGGCCACGCCCCGGTGATCGCCCGTGGAACAACCCTGGCCCGCGAAGAGGCAAGTCAGAGCCAGACCGATCTCACTTACCGACCTTGAAAGCTGTCATCTTGGACTTCTCGTCGGTCAACAACGTCGATGTCACCAGCGTCCAGAACTTGATCGACGTCCGGAACCAGCTCGACCGCTATGCTAGCCCAGAAGCCGTTCAATGGCACCTGGCCTGCATCAACAACCGCTGGACGAAGCGAGCTCTCGCTTCTGCTGGCTTCGGCTTTCCCACCGCGCCCACGGAAGAGCAGCATCGCTGGAAGCCCATCTTCAGCGTAGCAGAAATCGGCGGTACATCATCTGCGGCCGCAGCCGCCGAGAATGAAGCAAACCGACGAATGTCTCGTATGCATGACGAAGAGCAGGGCGCCTCTCGACCCCACAGCAGCGGGATTTCCAAGACTGATGACATTTCGCGAGCGCAGTACAAGGATGACTCTACGACGAGCTCCAGCCAGGATGGTGACCTGTCGAAGCAGATTAGTGGTAGCAAGGCATATGTCCGAAGTTCGACGAAGCGAATTGCTGTGGTGCACAGCTTGAGCAGGCCCTTCTTCCACATTGACCTGACGAGCGCGTTGCAGTCGGCGATTGCCAACGTGGAACACCAGGATCAGCTGAGGGCGGCCGAGGCGGAGCAGGTTGATGAGATTCCCCACAAGATTTGAAATGGCGCGAAGGATTTATATAACGATCTATCTATTATATGATTTGCTTTTGGTTTATTTTTAACCCAGAATACCTTTTTTGTTTGGGACGACTCTTGTGATGAACGAATGGATATGGACATATGTAGGGATATTACAGAGCATCAACCCCATCATTGACGCCTATGGCACTTATATATACACGCTATCCATATCAATGGTATGATGACTACCCACCAAGTGCTTGCAAGATATATATATCTATGTCTATATGTATTGATTGCATCATATGTATCCTATCTTTCCCATCGTCATCGTATCTTGATCGTGTCTCATCTATGTGCACATCTATAACCCCCAACCGCCGGACCTAGCACAACCACTTTTCCATCTGCCCGTCGTCCTTGGTCCTTGGTCCTTGGTCCATATCATAACCCCGACACGACCTTCTCAACATCCACCTCGGTCCACATGACCATCCACATTGGCACACCGCCCAGCTTCTCCATGACGCGGCGGCTGGCCGTGTTGGCTTTGGAGACGTCGGCGTGGGCCCACGTATACCCGGTATGGTCGGTAATAGTAGTAGTAGCGATATCAGTGTTGACGGTGGTGTTGTTGGTCTCCGTCTCCATCTCCATCTCCTTCTCCGCCGCGGCCGCCACCGCGGGCGAAACAACATGCTGCCTCCTCAACAGCTCACCCGCCAACGCCACGGCGAGGCCCTTGCCGCGGTGCTCGGGCTCGGTGTGCAGACTGGACAGGCTGGCGTCCTTGCCCAAGAAGCCCCAGCCGATGGGGAATTCGTCGTCGCGGTAGAAGATGCCCGCGGAGACGTACTCGCGCAGCGTCTCCAGTGTGCGCGGGATGGGCGTGCGGTCGAGCACGGTCTGCAAGTGCGTGGGGAGCATGGGGCCGAAGGTGTACCCTGCCGGAAGGGAGGAGGATGGGATGAGTGGTGGTGATTGTTGCGGCGGTAATAGACCTGACGATGACATTGACAATGACGGTACCGTTGCCGTTGCCGTTGCCGTTGGCGTCGACGACACTGCAGGTGGTGAAGCCACCCGGAACAAATACTTCCAATACCCATCATCCGTCCTCGTCCTCGCCCCGATGGGGAAAAGTTCCCAGAGCTTTTCAGAGATGGTCCCGAACAGCACTTTATTCCGCGAGTACGGCACAGACAGGTATTTCCCGGTGCGTTTCAGTTCGAGCCACGAGGCTGGCGGGGTGGTTGGGAGCGCGGGGATGAGGGAGGTGTGGATGTAGGTGAAGAGCTGGCGCATGAGGGCTTGGTGGACCGGAAGTATGAGTGACGGGGAGGTGGTGGTGGTGGATGGAGACGAGGAAGAGTTGTTGGTGGATGGAGAGGCTGAGGATGAATCTGTGACTGTGCTTGATGACGAGAAGGGATACCGTCCATCGGCCTCCCAGCTCGCAAACATCCAGACCTGGCATTGGCCTGCGTTCGCCAGGTCGATGTGTGCTGCAATCCAGGGCTGCGAGTCTGCTGCTTCTTCTCCTCCTGCTCTCAACAACCATCGATCCACAAACCCCGAACCACCCTCCTCCTCCAACCCTTCTCCTCGCTCAACATCATCGTCATCATCATCATCAGCGATCGCGACAAAGACCCTCGCCGACTCCGAAACAGGATGATGCAAATGGAACTGGATCCTCCGCAGCAGCGGGATCGAGAAGGGCAGAAGCGCCTCGAGCTTGGAGAGCAGCGCGGGGATCTGCTGCGGCGAGAGAGTCGATGACCTGACTTTCAATCTCATTCCCATTCCCGTTCCCGTTCTCGTCTGCGGTTCTTGGGACTCTTCATTGCCCGTCGTCTGAGACTGCTGCGGTGCGGGGTGACTCATCACTGCCCTGGTATGTAGCGTAGTTTCTGATCCGATTGATACTCAGTTAGATCTTTCAAGTTTTGGGATGTGAAACGGATGGATAAGGTATTCGGCTGTTCGAATATTTCAGTTCCTTTTCTTTTCTTCTTCTCGGTGACGTCCTCGGAGACACCGAAAGAACCCTCAACCAGAACCAGAAAGAGGTAGACGTGCGTCCTTCACCGTCACATTTTAAAGCCAGGACGGTGGAGTTGCATTTCGCCACAACATTTGTTAGTCATTGGCAATAGTCCTTGTACCTAGTGCCTGACCAGGCTGACCAATAATAACCCTGCATATGCGGCACCGCCTGGAACTTGAAGCGCTCGGAGAAGGAGATTTAAAGCGAGGAGGAGATAAAGGGAGAAAGGGAGAAAAGACGGTCGAATTCATTGATTAAAAGTCCTAATCAAGTGGTGATATCATATCTCACACGGCTTGAGGTTCTCGCAGGTCAAAAGAAGCCCAGGTCAAAGCTCGTACAGAGCGAAAAGCCAAGCATGACGGTAGATATATAGGAGTCATAATGCATGGGCCATCATCGATCAGAAGGGCCTTGAAGGCATCGTCAAATTTTGAGCTTCCAGAGCAATATATAACAGGCAATCACTCTCGCCCTTGACACTGACAGAAAAATATGTCCGAGTCCCGCCAGACATGTCTCTTCTGTCCAGTCAGGAAGATGTCTTCTTTCGTCCAAAGATCCCGCGAGATTTGGACTTGCTGCGCGGCTTCTCCGCTGATGTCTTTCGGAAGGACCGCGTTCGATCCTCACTCTCATCCTCCGAGTCGTTGTATTTGTCCTTGTAGATCCTGCGCATGATTAGAAAAGGATACACCCACAAAAGATACCGGTACTTACCAGCTGTTGCCAACCATGCTGACACCCTTTGCCTCAGCTCTTCGATAAAACTTGGCCGCCTTTTTCAGGTCTTTCTTGCAACCGATGCCTTCTGCATAGCAAAAGCCCGCTTCAGTCAAAGCATCCGTATCACCCCAGTTGCCGGCAATCTCAAAACATCGGAGAGCGAGTGCTTTGTCCTGCTCGATACCCCAGCCGTTGAGATGCGACACTCCGAGCTCGTATATGCTCAGCGCAAACTGGGCCCGATGTGCCTTCTTATCGTTGACATCAACACCAGGCCTCTGGCTTGCAGGGTCCTCGTCATCCGCAATCTCGAGCATCGCGTAATCCACAGCTTTGCGAAGCCATTGTACCCCTTCCCGTGGGTTCGCTCGCATACCCCAACCGTGACGATAAGCAAGGGCGTACAGGAGCATTGCCGTGGGATGGCCCTTGTTAGCCGCAATGCGCAGGTGATACGTCGATTCTTTCAATTCGCCTTGTTGATGGAGCTCAATTGCCTTGGTGACATGTTCGTCCATGGAGAGGCCTTGGTAATTGCTGGTAGACCGGCTCGTTGTTGGCCGAACTGTGCTTGTTGATCGTGAGGAATGTGACGCTTCCTCGACGGGTGATAACGGTATAGGGGGAAGTACAAATGTAGAGGCAGGTGGAACAAGTTGGCCAACCGAAGGTCTCGAACTCGACGAATCATTTGATCTGAGAGACCCTGTCGGCGTATAGTACGCTGTCGGGTGGCCGGCACGGTCCGTGGCAGTCAAAGCGTGTTCAGTGTTAAGCTCAAAAGACGGGCCCGACCTTTGATGTTGATCTTCTCTGCTGGGCCGAGCCGATGCCATAGGAGACGGAACGGGGAGCTCGGAGCTGTTTTTCCCTTCTAATGGAGGCGTGCAAGGAAACATCGGTTCTTGCCATTCGAAATGGGGGGTAGAAAGGCCTGAAAAGAGTACAGAAGTCCGATCGGAAACCAGTCGCCCTCTGGGCAAGCTGTAGGTCGCGTGAGTGTACGAAGACGCTTCTCCCGAGAGATAGCCATCGGTTGGTGATGCTGAATTATCAAAAGAGTTCGCAGCGCGCAGCTGGCTCATCCGCTTTGCGAATGTAGCTTTAGTCGGGCTTTTATCGCTCTTGAGGTTAGTCATACTGACTGAACTCAAGGGTCGGGAGAAATTCCGTGTCGGGAGCTTGTGAGTGGGAGATCCGAGCGAAGTGTTGGAGGGTGATCGGGCATGAGACTGTGCGTACGGGGAAATCGGAGAGTGAGGAGCAGAGACGCCACTGCTGGACGAAAGCTTCCTTGACTGCGAAAAGGTCGAGCCCGCGTTGGAGCTGGTATAGTCGTCGTCAGAAGCGTCATGGTACGGTCGGAGTCGGTGCGAATGAGACCGTGGAGGCGCCAAAGTCGCGCTGAAGTCTGATTGAGAGGTGCCCGAGACCTGCCTTGAAAGTTCGGGTTGAGGATGTAGAGAAGGGCTGCCTACGCTGTGAGAAGGTGACGATGGTCTCTTGGGTTCCAGGGGCGGAGGAGATTCAACTCGAGGGGCGCCAAAGTAATCTTGCACCGGAGAGGGTTCCTTGCTTTCTTGATTCTCGTCAGACTTGACAACCTTACTCACGTGGACGCGTTGGGAGGCAGGCCTGCTCAGAGGATGAGCAACTCGAGCGAAGGCACCGCCACGTTCCTGATCCCATGTTGGGAGAGGAGGGACCGTGTCAAGGCTGTCCGACAAGGCTCGAAAGATCGGAGGACGATTGTTTTGATGTTCGGTCAAGGAATCCGTCACAATCTGAGGTGGAAGCCTGCTCATGCGTCGCTCGCCCGCTTTCCTGGTTTCCTCCAACTCTTTGGCCAATTTGCGACTTCGGGCCGCAATGGCATCCAGTGGTGATAGTGCAGGGGGGACATCGCCGTCGAAATGTTGGATCCGAGGCGACAGTGCATTTCTTGAGAGCGCGCTGGCCGAGCGAGGATTTTCGGGTGGCAGCTCAATAAAATTCGGACGAGTCATCACTGGACGCGGACTTGAGCAGCAGAATGAATTGTGTCTCTAGAAGAGGTGGCAACGGGGGTTGTATGTTGCCTCTTTTGTTGATGGACTCGGTCGGAGAAAAGGCGAAATGAGGGCATGGATCGAGGGTCTGGGGAGTCGGACAATACAAAAGCAGGGTACCCAGGAGGATCAAATGGTGGCTATGGTTACAGCTGGGGATTCAGGTCCGACAGAACAAGAGGTCTGGGGGCTGGCGCAGGAGTTGCAGCTGATGGGTGGTAAAAGTAGGATGTTGTGTCCACGGAGTTGGTGACGGAAAATCGCCCAGAATAAAATGATGACGGTGATCGACCAACAATAGCCGCACCGCGATAGGTCCAAGTCACAGGCTGTGTCGATACGAAGCGAATGACTGTAGTGGTAACGAGAGTGTAGAGAGAATGATGGAAAAAACGAGAGTTGATGTGGTAGTAGGAGGATACCGGGGTGGGTGATGGAAAGAGTAGATGCAAGATGGATGCAGGATGGATGCAGGACGCAGGCAGGGAAAAGATCGCAGTTTGCCGTGAGTGGCACCCAGGTGGTGTGCTGTGACCTCTGTGGGCGACTGCAGGTGGGCGGTCGAGGGTCACACAAAGACACCCACAGAGTATGCGAACTTTTTTAGGGTGGGCAAGTGGCAGCTTGCAGGTCAGAACACATGCAGACACTTCTGGGCTCGCTGGGCACCCCCGGCCTGAAGATCAGCGACTACAGCAATGGTGACTCTGGGGGGGCAAGGTGTTGGAGACTTGGAGTGATGTGCAAGCCATGCAACTCGAACCGGGGGAGGCAGGCAAGCAAAGAGAAACACCACCAAAGGGGGCCCTGGTTGGGTGCTGATGCTCCCAAAACAAGAGTGACCTGCATACGATAGGGACTGGGACAGTGGGACGAGGAAATGTGGACCGTGCCTCCCCCTTGTTATTTTTACGCCGGGAGCCAATAGTGCCCCTGGCCGTCGCCCAGGCTGGCAACCCGAACAAGCCTCCCGAAACCCAGACATCCAGGGCAGACCCGGTCATTGGGTGCAGGGTTGGGGGGTTTCCAAGACTTCCAAGCCACAGCTGCACTCCAATGGAGGCTAATCGGCACTACTTGCAGGTCTCTGCTTCATTCTCTTTGGTGCCTTGCAGCCACGGTCAGGGGCTGGTAGGCTGGTTTCCTCGACCGCAATCCGAGACTCAACCAACAGCATGGCCGGGGTGCCTGTCGGAGACTCGGAGGCGATAGTGACTACTCGGTACTGAGTACAGTCTGACTGCTGGGCAAGACGGACATTGTTGGAGGGAAAGAAGCTGAGGAAGCCGAGAGGCTGAGTGGGAGATGCGACTCAATCCTTCATCCTTGGACCTTGGAGATGAGTTCTGTGCATGATGCAGAAGCTTCAAGTGTTGGACGAGCCCACAAATTATGGGGATCTCGGTGCAACCCTCATCTACCTCGTACTGTTGCTCGTCTCGTCTGTTATATCTGCAGCCCTGGTGACACACTGGTTGACGCAGAAATTCTCCGAAGTCATTCCCTGCATGTTCCTCATCCAGCACTCTTGTCGCCACTACTACCTACAGTACCTAGGTACCATGACCCTACGCATGTCTATCTCGAACCTCCTCCTACCTGTCTTGGAGGAAGGCTGTCGGACTGCCCCACACTCAAGTCCATCTCCTCTAGTCCAAGATCTTGGGCCCAACTAGCATCAAACTATCTCTTTTGGTGCCCTCGTACTTACAAATCTATTACGTCGTCAAAATCCAAATCCAAGTCAAGATGATGGTACCTGATTGGCGCCTTCAAATTGCTTGTCCTTTTCTTTGCACGCGACACTTTCTGCTTCCATCGAATTGATCGTCGTCGTTGATGTGCTAATTTGTTTACCTGGGATCATCATAAATGAGCATTTCAGCCGCATTCCAGTCCTTGCCTGAGATCCCCTGGTAACAGGAAAAACAACAGTTGAGCTCTACGCCAATTAATTTACGACATACATTCCTACCTAGGTAGCCTTCCCGATGCTTTGCTCCCCCGCAAAAATACTCAGAGGCAAAAAAGCCACCGGCATCATCATTTTACGTACAGCTCTCAGCCTTGCTCCAGCCATATCAACAGCGGTACGAGGGTTACAACTATTCTGTGCTCGCAGGTACATTTTCTAGGCGGAGGAGCTAATATTACATGGGTATAGAGATCACGACGAGGTCTTTCTCATCAATCCCCTCCCTCCTCTTTCTTGACTACCTCCCTCTCTTCTTGCTGAACTTCTTCTCCTGCCTCGCCGTGCATCTTTTTCTGCCGGAAGGCCTTTCTCAATTCACACTTGCCCAGATTCTTGCCGCCCGCCCGACATTCCTCGCACCGCTTTCCGTGTGTGACCAATAATATGTGCAGCCCGTACTTATCCTCGTCCGGGATCATGACATCCAGATGGGCATGTGTCTCATCTCTGGAGGCATTTTTGGGTCGCCACCCCAACAAGCCTGTAATGCGCCACACATGCGTATCAACAGCAAAGCTTTCACGCTGGAGACAGAAGAGCAGCACACAGCTGGCCGTCTTGGGCCCCACACCCTGAAAGGACAACATCTCCTGCATGGCCTCTTCACTGGACGCATGGTGCAAATGGTCCAGAGAATACTCGCCATACTTTTCGAATGTCTGCTTCAAGATGCTCATGATGACTTTGCTCTTGACCGCACTGAGTCCGCCGCATTTGATAGCTTCTTGAAGCTTCGCTTCCCCTCCAGCAACGATGGCGTCCCATTTATCACTCCCTCCATATACCTTGTCCATGCTCCTCTTAGCCCGCGTCGAGTTGACGTCGCTTGTGTTTTGAGAGAGAATGGTGCGGACCAGCGCGTCCAGGACAGAAGGAGAGTCGCCACATCCTGCTCGCGTAGTCGAGGCGACCACTTCTTTGGGACGAATCCGAGGACCGTGGAGGGAGGCAAGAATTCGGTGGGCGAGCTTGCATTCTTCAGGTGTTGGATGGTGAAAGTCAGGAAACGGGGACTGGTTGGCAAATTGGGCATAGGATTTCAGTTTTTTGGCCTTCAAATCTGATGGTCCTGACTTTTTGGGCTTCGACTTTTTTGGAGAAGAGTCTGAAGCAGATAGATCATCAGACAGGGTTGGGCTAATCAAACCACTGACTTCCTCCTTCTTCACCCGTTTCCTGGCGGGTGTCTGTCCTGGTTGTGAGGAAGTCCGTCTTTTCCGAGGGGTCTCCTGCTCTTTCTTAACGGGCATGCCATCTTGATCTTGTTCCTCCTTCTTGACGTGTGCTTCGGCACTTCCTCTCACGGCCGCAGACGTAGTACTCCTGGTCACTCGTCGGATCCCCGAAGCAGCTGCCGGAGCGCGCTTTGACATGTTCGGATTGAGTACACTGAAACGGGAGTTACGCGGGAGAGCTGCTCTGCACGGGGGGCGTCACCCACTGTCCTGTAAAGCGAAAGTAGTGTGAAGAAAGGGGTTTCAATAGAATGCGAGACGCATGAACTGCAGCCTGAGTGCGGCGGTGGTGCTTAATTACTCGATGGAGGCCACATGCTCTGCGACGGGGCCTTTGCAACCTGATAAATAGTTGCTAACTGTTCTCTTGGGAGAGAACATCGACTAGCAAGTCACCGACGAAGCTTCCTTCAGGGGCCAGGCCAATGTCATGATGTCAAGGACTTGTTCTTTGGCGTGCTGGCGGGCTGAATCCCTACGGCGGATCAAGTACCATCAGTCACGCAAGAAAGAAAGACGCGTTGCGCATGACTAGGTGCCTACCTAGCTAGACACGTGCTTGGTATATATATGTAAGTACTAGCGGCCGTTGACGGACGACAATGGCCGAAACAGTTGGACACTCGGGACACTCTCTGTCTCGTGCCCTGAGGCAGTAGTAGAAGAGCGTTTGCCGGCAACGACGAAACAACGACGGGCGTTGTTTCGATACGGAGCTATGAGACTGCGCACCGCCTCTTGTCGAGACAGGATATCAACTTCAAATGAATTGGGATTCAGCCTGTCCTCCCCGCCTCCATCTCCTTATTCCCCAGGCAGAGGCGACAAACGTCAGATGTATTAGCTACCTTCACAATATTTGACAGGATCCCTGTGTCAAGTTGCCACGATGCAAACAGCACGTTGAAGGCGAGAGCTCCGGCCTAACCATGGATTTGTTTGGGGTCTGGCAGCACATGCAAACATTCACTATGCCAGACTTCACTGGCCAAAGCCATCGACAGTACCGCAGTCTTCACTTTCGCGGGGCTTGAAAAACCTCCACCATCTTTCAACTCATCTCAAACTTGCCCCGCGAAACCCACGACGCTGTTTCTCGCGGCGGAAGACAACCAACAGACCCGCAATAGACCCGCGCGACTCCTTCTCGGCGTCCTCAGCCTTGTATCTCCTATTCCATGGCATCCTCTTCTAGCGACGGGCCAGGCGCCACGCCCACAAGTCTGGCGGTCGTTTCGACGGCTGCGCCCAAGCAACGCTCGTTCTGGGATATCCCGACAGAAGTGCGCCTCGAAATCTATGAACTACTTTACTGTCAACCCAAACCCATCCGCCTCTTTCTCAACGCTGATGGCAGACTCAAACGCATGCGAATCAACCTTGTCCCCCTTGGCGGCCATCCTGACCCCGAAATTCCAACCCAGGCTTTCAGGGTAGACAAGAAATTCTATCAAGAGGCTTCTCCTGTCCTCTACCAACGAAACAAGTTCAACATGAACTGGGAGAATCTCAGCAAATTCTTCTCGAAATGGGATCAGGGAATCACCAGCCGTCTGGAAGCCATCGACATTTATTGTGGAAGAGGGCCAGCTTGGGGATTTGTTTCTGTCATCAGAGTGCTGGTAGACAAGATGCCAGGCGTGCGGGAGTTAAATATTATCTTTTACAGTTCATCCAGACTTCTTGCTGCTACTCTGGAAACCTCGAGTGCCATAACACCTTGCGCCTCCATGTTTCCCGGACCGGAGCTGGAGCTCATTCTTCACCCCGAAAAGCTATCTCGAGAATGGAACCCAGGTATGAGCCGCCCCGATGTTGCTGCCATCTGTAAAGCCATCAGAGAGGGCAATGCAAAGCTGGCCGACATCTGGCCTGCAAATCTTCCCGTCAATAACCTCACTCGGTTCTGCGCCCCCAATTTGTCCCTAATCAGGTTGAGTGGCCGAATCTCTCGCAGAGTCCTCCCTAAAATCCTCCGGCACAGATGTCTGCCCGGCGACTGTTTCTGGATGAAGGTTGCCCAAGGAGTGGAAGAAGGCAGCGCCGACAAGGAGACTGGGAAGGAGGAGCACTCCTGTAAGATGTCGGAGAAGGAAGACAACCAACCCATCGGTGATGTGCTCCACTACAAATGGAAAGCCATGGACCCTCGTGAGAGAACAGACATACCAGAGGTCAACATGCGTCAGTGGCACCCGCCACTTACAGAAAAGGAAAAGCAGAAAGTGAGGGATTTTGCCAAGATCTTTGAGAGCCGTGACGTTTCCTGCCAGGACGACAAGTCTCCCTCTGGAGAGCACGAGACCGCCAGCGACGATAATGATGGTGCATCCGAGGCGAACGCCATGGCCGGGGGAGCCACGGCCCTTCCGGAACCTGAGTCGACTGATCATGGCGGGACAGCTGAGGAACGTCTGCGGGACTTGCAGCAGCTGGCTTTCGCCAACTATTTTGAAGCCAACTATTTTGAAGATCTCGAACGCCGACAGGACTTGCAGCAGCTGGCTTTCGCCGACTGTTTCGAAAACCTTAACTCCGAGTTTCTGCACAAAGATCCAGCAGACGTCAGAGCTGCCTTGCTGGACACGTTTGGCCCTTTTGCGCAAGAAATTTTTCCGTGAGATTTATCGCGGAAACACTAGCAAGGGTGGCTTTTGACTGCAAGAACTTATGTTCGGCCATCTCAATTCATGGCGACCCCGACTGAGTCCATGTTTACCCCTCTTGTTGCCGTTATCATACGACCACAGAAACATAAACTGACTGATGCCGAATGATGGAAACGCTGTTTATGGCCCGACATACCAAAGGTGTACAGACGAACGTGATACTTGATAAGAGACAAGAGAGAGTCTTTGTCAACAACAGTGGAGCAACCACAAGGGGCTGTGGAACGCCGCAGATGAGCTGGATGACGTGCAACGACAATTGTTTGGACAGAGAGCTGGCTGGCGTGGGGAAGATTTGGATCAAGGATGGAAAAAAAGTCAAAAAAAAAAGGCAGTGTCTCAGGGGGCGGTACGGACGGAATAGACATCGAGGTTGTGCTGAAAGGGACACACTTTCTCTTGCATAAACCTAATCGACTGCGATTCAGGGCAAGGTTGTTGATGTCAATGGGCTGGAACAGCGAGAAGACAAGACGCATACATGGTCGAACAGATCTCCATTGCAGGTGGTCAGATGACCGAATGGACGGCTGGCTGGTGAATGTCGACGGTCGTCTAAACAGAGCTATGAACTTGAACAAATGATATCGTGGATCTTCATCTTCATTGTTGTCCTTCTCCTCGCCCTTGTCCTGGAACTGCTGATGGTGGTGGTGCTGGTACTGATGCTGGTATTGACACTGATTCTGATATTTGCAGCCAACGCTTCGAATGCCATCTCGCCGCGCATCCCAGCCACACCACCTCGGTCACTTTACGAGTATAGATTACTGGTACGGTAATTGAACAAATGGGTAGCTAATAAGGAAAGACGTCTCGTTATTCGACAAAACTCAAGTGAAATTGAATGCAGGGTGGTGAAGTGAGATAGTGGTGAGTGTAAATGAATGAAGAACGCATCCATATACGTGGTTTGCTCCTTATCCGTCACTTCTGCCGGTACCTGTTGTGTAGGACTTGTCCCTCTATACCATCGCCGCAGCCGCTCGTCATTTCCGTCTCCAAGCTTGTTACCTACCCATCACACCGCATCGCCGCGGCGACGACGACGCTTGTGTAAAGAAAAGCCTAAAGATGCCCTCACCAACGCAACCGACCCTACCTTCCTCTTCCTCTCCCAGCGCCGACGCGCCCGCCGCCACGCCGACCGACCCTAACGCACCTAATGCAGACCTACAAGCCATCAACAACAACGGTCGTCACTCCCCCGGCGCGATCGCCGGGATCACCATCTGCGTCTTGGTCGTGCTCGCGTGGATTCTGCGGTACTCGTACGTCGCGTCACCCTTTTGGTTTTTGCGGATAAGGCGCTGTCTTGGAATCCGACCGGCGACGCGCACGCCAATTTCGCATTACCCTATTTCGAACACCGGTGGTGGTGGTGCCGATGGTGGTGCCAACGAGAACGAAACTAGAGGTCCTTATATCACGCAACCCGAGCCGGCGCACATTCGCACGACAGCCTCAAAGGACACGTTACCTCTCTATGAGCCGTCATTGAGCAATCAGTTCAGCAGTGATGTGTTGCAGGCGTTGATGAATTTGCCGGGACAGGGTTCAGACGCGGGGGTGGCAAGGCCGCCGTCGTACAGATCGAGGTTGTCGCAGGAATGGAGGAGCGTTATGGGGACGAGAGCTAGGAATAGAAATAGGGAAGATGAAGAGTCTGTGAGAACTGGAGCTAGGGACAGGGGAGATGATGAGTCTATGAGGAGTGTTTCAGACGCACGCAGCTGAGGAACAACGACAAACGTTTCGGAATCATGGCCAACAGAACAAGGATACGAGAAAGACACAAAACGTGCAGGGTAACTGTCAGCATATTGTCGCTGTTCTCGGCGCCTGGAAGGAAAGACCCGCTCTTTGTGGTTGACGACAGCAGATAGAGTCTGGACGTTTGGGATACAAGCTACCTAGGTAGCCGAGAGACTGCAGCAGCCATCGATGGGGTGCGGGATCTTGGACAACCACTAGACGGCTGAACCAGTTGTGGTGGGAAGGTTGGATAATGACACTTTTTTTTTGACCATGAAAGTGTTTGACAGACAAGGGGCTATTTCCGACTGGGCAACAACGACACCAACCACTACTGGTTCCCCCGGATTTTTTGGGGCCTGGGCGCCGCAAGGGCCGATGTGTCCAAAGCTTGAACCATTTACCCCAGGCACCCACGGGCGGAGCTTTGCGAGAGCTTGCGTAATCCACGACGCTTGCGGTATGGCGGTATGGCGGTACACCAGGTGGCATGCGCTTTTCGCCCGGACGGCTCTGGGCCTCTGGCAAAGAATTGCTGCTTCTGGGCTACCTCCAGAGGGGGTCCATGTGCGGATCAGCCGAGGGACCCGGTATGTCCCAGGCGATTGGGCGGCTTAGGGTACCCAGTGCCCATACCGTACTAGTTCCAAGGTGCTGGACGCTGGATATTGGCGCCCCTGGTTAAAGGTGACCCGCCCGCACTGCCCGGATGCCCACAAAATGCCCACCCACGACTGACCATGCGTGTGTGCGCTGCTCTTCGATTCTTTTCGCCTGCTTGCAGTGCTTCGTTGCGAGCGCATCCACTGCCTTTTGCCTGGGCCATCCGCCCTGCCTTGCTCGTGTGAGAGTTGCGTGCTTTTCCATTGTGTCACCGTCAAAAAATACCCATCTTCCTTACTCGCTCTACCTTTTCTCTATCTCTGTATTATATCCTATGAGTCCAACGCCGTGACGCTCAGCCATCTTTTCCACCATCAGCACGCCACTTAGACCACTGTCGTAAAACCACCTCTTCGGGCTTCCCCGCTATACCATCATTACCTACCTCCCATGGCTCACCACTCGCCTCGACCGTCTCTCGATGGCAGCCACAACCACGCCTCTACTCCCTTCTTCCACACGTTGACTCAACGCCTACGGAAATCCTCCAATGCCAGCTCTTACGCCTCAGACCCCTCATCTCCGTTGTCTCCAACCGACCCGACGTCGAGGACAGAGGCCACTCGAGCCGCCCGGCGGATGGTCTTGTCCATGGTGCGGGACGACTGGGAGTGGCCTCCGGACCCGTCACCGACACCCACAGCCAACAACAACAACAACGGCGGTGGCAGATCCCCCATCCCTCACCGCGAGCCCCTCACATACCGCCTGCGTGAAGAGGCCCAGTCCGACCTAGAAATCGAGGACTATGCCTCCAAACGCCGTGCCGCGAAGAGCGACCCATACAAGTTTGAAAGTCCCGAGGCCGTGGGGACGGTGATTGCGGAGCGCAGGAGGAAGCGAAGGAAAATGCAGGAAGAGGAAATGTCGTGGAATGAGGGGCTGAAAACGTGGCATGAGAGGCGTGACGCCTGGACTGGAGCTCTGCAGCAGAAACCCAACAGCAACAAACCTACAGAACGTCGGCCGTCTTCGACGACGAAAAGACCTTCCTATAAATCTCGCCTCTCTCAAGTCTTCACGGGACACAAGGGGGACCAGGCCCAGCCCAACTCCACAGATGGGGGTTCGACAAGCTGGCCAGTGTCACCGGCGTCACCTACCCCGGAATGCTCGAGCGTTGACAGCGTCGAAGAACCCACGTCCGCCACAAGAACCACCACCAACACCACCGCCGAACCTCTTTCACCTTCGTCAACCTCTCAACCCCCGTCGTCACCGTCATCCTCAACCTCCACAGAACCAGGCCCCTGGATCCCCATCTACCCTCCCATACTTCCGCAAGACAACATCATTCGAGAGCGCATAAAGCCTTCCGCGTATCCAACCATCTACTCGAAAATCGTGGTCCAAGGCCTCACGCCCAACGTGCCCATCCCACTGTGTCACATGATCCCCGCATTGGTTGAAGGGTGGAAATCCGAAGGCAACTGGCCTCCTCAACCCAGCGCCACGCTCGCGCAGGATGCTAAGAAGGGAAGGAAGAGCAGCGCCTTTGCCAAGTGGAGAAGAGAAAATTCTACTGAGGATCATCAGCACAATAATAATAGCCCGGATTCTCCTTCGCACCACCACCACCATCATTTTTTCCACACCGGAAGCAGTCCTGTTGGTGGTGGCGGTGGTGGTACTGGAGCAGTGGCAGCAGCAGTCGTAAGCGGGGGGCCCAAAGATCTCGCAAATGCGCAGCATGAAGATGGCGGCGGGAGAGGCCATAGAGTGCGAAGAAGCATCGGCATGATGCGGAGGATGGGCTCGTTGCTGGCGGGATCCATGAGTAGTGACGGATTGGATGAGTTGGGGATCGAGTTCCGAGAGAAGGACGAGGAGGAGATGGGAAGGAACGTTGCGCTGAATAAAGGGTTGGTCCATTGATTTCTCAAAAAGAAAGCTTGAACAGACGAGGCGAGAGAAGGCAGCGGTGACGTTTTGTCTCGTCACCGCATTTGCATTTTGCATTTTGCATTTCACGTATGGACCGGGACGAGGGCACGGCATCTCTGGATAGGCATATGGTTTACGACATGATATGACACGACATGTGCACGAAAAATGGAATGAAATGAAAGAGATATGGCATGGCATGGCACGGCCTGGCATGGGTACTTTATCTCACGACAAAATTACAGTGGGATGGGACCTACAGTATCTCCATCAATTGAACTCGAGAACCTCTCCTCCAGCCTCCCCCCCATAACCCTTGCTTGGTCGTGATAATCCGGCCTTGATACGTTGATCCCGAGTGAAACCCCTGGGGAATGGATATAGTTACCATTGCAATAAAACAGCCCGTCCCGTCCGCGCCATCAATAAATCACTGACACCAGAAATTTTTCAGAGTAAAAAACCCACCCTACCTACCTAGGTACCTACCTAGGTACCTACCTTGGTACCTGTGCGCCAGATCCAAAGTCTCGTGTGTGCCAGATCCATCCACACTTTCTCCCTTGGGTATTGTGTTCCCCCCATATAACCTGGGGCCTCGTGACCAGGTACGTATGTACATATGATATGTTACATATGTACAGTTTGGAAATGCTGCAGAGGTGGTGTTGACTGTAGCAACAATGGCGTCTAGTACCACAGCGATCTTCACATGTCGAAATGCAAGTTCGTGGGGATTGACCGGCGTTCAAACACGTTCGGACTGACTGAAGAAGAGTCATACCATCTCTTCATCTTCGAGCAGACAATTCTTTGGAGCTTTATCGTAGATGCTTTTGAAACAGGAACAGCGTGTTGAACTTGTCCACTCTACGCAGACTCTTCTGGATCTTCATAAGCTTCTATTATCGACAGATTGACGCCGCCCAGAACCAACTGGTGTCTTCCCGTCTGCCATCTAACTCTATCTCTGTTTTAGACCAAGATAGCCCTCCCCAACCCTCCTCTAGGTAGGTATCCGTTTCTGGTAGGTGGAGAAATGAAGCAAGACGAGCCACAACGCAATGATGTTCGCAATGTAATGTAATCTGTACGCGTAGGTCATGCCGTACAACGCCGCATAGACAGCCAGGACGAAAAACAACAGGTTGGTCGCCCATCTGAATGACCGCACAGATGGCACCATCTTCCCACTCGACAGAGTTTCCACCAAAAGGATAAAGGGCATTATGGACAAGACGTTGTGATGTGATGAGAACGGTGTCAGCCAGTGCACCGCCAAATTATGGATCCACACAACGAGGACCGGAACATTAATCGGCAACACCCAGAGCATTAGAATGAGTATCGAATACGTGTAGTTGAAGAAATTATGCGCTGGCCCAGATCTCGAATCTTTGGCGTGGCGCAATGCCCGTACGCAGGTAGAAAGCTGTACAATGCAGGCCACAACGTAAGCGAACGGATAAGGAATGATGGTCGCAACCAGGAATAGCAGGACAGCCGTGTTGATGGCTCGACGGCGGGGCGTGCTTGCCACGAAGGCAGAAGCTATGCCCTTCTCCCCGTCATCAGGTCTGATGTAGCGTTGTGAGATGAAATTTGATACGATGACAATGAAGTGTAACAGTCCCAGGATGGCATAGTTGACCAGAACGCAGGCGCCGACGCTAAGTAGGCCTGCCAGAGGGACGAGAAACCAGAAGAATGTGTCCTGAGAGCCCAAAAGAAGGTCGTTCTGGGCAAAGTCGACTGCCGTGCCATTGGTTTGAGTATGACTGCTCGATACAATATTTGCCGAGCTTGCCGTTGTGAACGCGGTAGCAAAGAACGTCATCGAGAGCATCAGCACGGGGAGTGGCAGCCTCAAGCTCTGGTCGAGGCTTTCGGAGAAGGAGATGAAAATCCCGGAATTGTCGTAAACTCGAAACTGTTTCCGCAGGACCATAGCCACTACCAGCAGCGGAAAGACTGCGAAGACTGTGCGGTATCTGATCACAAGCTTACCGAGACTTCCAACAGGGTCTGCCCGCAAGCGGATCTCCAAGGAAGAATTGCAGGTCGGATCGGACCAGATCTGGAATGCCACGCCTGCCTTCGACTCTCGGCCGTCCAGGGTAGGCGGCATAAAGGGAGCCACCCCATGAAGATTGACATCTCCCTGTTTGAAGTTGACGAAGTACTTTGACTCGTATGGGCTGTCGATGTGCTGCCTCAACAGCGGCGTGAAGAGTTCCGTATCGGTCCTGCAACCGTGCTGGCGAATTTGGAGAGTATATGCCAGTAAGCTCGATCGAATGGATGGCACGCGGATTTCTGTCACCAAAGGGCGGCTAGAAGGGAGCTCCAGGTTCAGCCCTCGAAGCAAGAGCATCGGCAGGCTCACATCAGATGCGACGACGGATTCTGAGGCAGAGACAATCTCTGCATGCGCCCAGCCATGATTCCTTTCCGTGGTTTTGTCTATTATGGCAACAAATTGGTGGTCTTGGAGATCTCTCAAATCGTAGGTCAAAAACGTGAACGGGGGCTGTTGCTCGAACGGAAATTGGGACAATCTTGTCGAGGCAGGCAGTTGGATGCCTTCCCCGGCTGGTCTTTTGCAAGCAAGTCTCGTTGCGCTCGGGTCACCCGGCGAGAGGTCGAACTGGATTGGCAATGGTGTTGAAGTTAGCCCTCCAGCGAGTGGAAAGGCGCTGCAGAACAGTACTTCCATTTTCTCAAACCCGCCTTGGGCATCCATCTGTTGATCCGTCAGAAGTGAGAAGCTTTTCGAGGTAGTATTGTCCACAAAGGGAATCGGTAGCAGAACTGCTGACATATGATCATTCGATCCAAATTGCCGCAGGGTGACATTGTTCTCCTTGGCCACGGCCGACCTTGTCCCATCACCAAGTGTTAGGAGGACTTCATGAGGCGCGTCACGTATGTTCTTTGGCGCATTGTCCTCTAGGCCCGTCAAAAACCACTTCCGGAAGACTTTCATGCGCTCTGACCGTGGCTTGGTCTGTGCCGCTCGGCGAACGTCAACCACATCATAGAGAGATCTGATAATGACCTTTCGCATTTGATCGGCCCAAGTAATCGCCAAGTGATCCATCGAAGTCCAGACACCAGGAATAGTGGAACTGAAGACTGTAAACCCATGACTTTCCGGCACAAGCGAGGCAATATTCGTGTAGTCGGAAGGTACAGTGGTGTCTCGACCTCCTCCAGCGATGGATATCAGAGTTGTATGCCACAAAGGATTATTGCTAGCCCAGCGCTGTAGGTATGCTTCTCGCCAGTACTCGTTGACTTGGTGGTACAGAGAGACCACGTCTGCGTCGAAGGAGACTGGTGGTCGTGCGTGAGGCGTCGACATAGTAATAATAGTATTGACCGAGTTTGCCTGGTATTTCGGAGTTGCAAGTACAGTGCGTGCGACAATCCCACCCATTGAGTGCCCAATGAGGATAACAGAACTCGGATCTGGCAACTGCGAGTCGCGACGGAGGCGGTTGCTGTCGACATACAAGGAGAGGATGTAGGCAATAGCTTCGTTGACGTATTCGGCTTGATCCAGCAGCGTCTGCCCGTGGAAAGCAGAGAGGTCCTCATTGAAATTGATGGTGAAGAAATCGAAAGACCGTACGCCAGCTTTGACGGCCTCAGCATCGTGACGCAGGACGTTGTGAAAGTAGCGGGAGGCCTCGGACGAGAGGGACCGGACCTGCTTGTAACTCCCAGCATTCCCCGGGATGAAAAGCACCGGAGCGCCTCGCAATCCAATGTTGTCTCTTGTGTATTCGTCAACCCCCTCTTCCCGATACAAGTACAGCGAATATTTGGTTGCGAAGCGCGAATGTTCCGTGTCAAATCCGGAGAGCTTGATGTAGGTCGGGGCCATCATCGACATGACGCATCCTTGGGGGTCGACTTGCAACCGGAGGGACGAGCGAACGACGATAGAGAGCGACAGGAGGGCGAGGGCGGTCGTAATGAGGGTGAGAGGTCGCCATGTCCACGGGCTTTGAGCTCGAACCTTGCGCAGACCTCGGACATCTGTGTCGGTCTGGCTGTCGCCCGCCTCCTCCTTGGGCTTCAGCAGCATCGTTGCCGCATTGACGTCTGGCCCAGGCCAGGGGATTTTCTTGGGGAGGAGGAAGCACGATCTGGTCTTGAGAAATCGAGCAGGACTTGGAGAGGCGAGAGGCTGGGCTCGTGGTTGCAATAGGCGGGACAGGAAAAACTAAATCTCCGCCAATGCTAGTCCAATCACGGTCATTGGACACGCGTCTCCTTTTTTCTTTGACGGCGATCCACCTCGCCACCTCGCGCCGTTGGCACTGGCACCCACTGGCAGCCGTGGATCATCGTGGTTAATGCTTGGGCTGCTAGTGTTTGGGGCTGCTTGGGCTGCTTGGATTGCCATGTGACTCGGCTGAATATCGGCTCAGCCTCGGGCATGCACTACGAGAACGGCGTCGACAAGGAGCAACAATACGGAGGTAAATGATTTACTCATGCTCCTGAAAATTAATCTCAAGCTTGATAGACATGTAATATAACATATTGCGCTCTATAAACAGTCCCACCAGCCTGCCACAGAATCCTGAACTCGCTCGCATGCAGAAACTCCATCGCAACTCAACGCCCACCAGTCTCGATCTCAGCTCCTTGATCTAAGCCACCAGCACCCCTCTATACCGCATCTTTCCGTCTTCCAGGGTCTGGAATGCATCTTTGACGCCCCTCTCGGTTAGCGGGAACGTCTGGATGATGGGTCTCACGTCATGGACGGCCGCAAATTCGAGCATTTCCTTGTGGATTTCCCTGGCAGCCACCAGACTGCCCTGGATCTTCAGACCGCCCATGATGATGTCCATGTACGGCATCTTCAGGTCCTCGAAGCTGACGGTAAGAGGGTAGATAGTCCCCGAAGGTGCCATGACGGGGAGGTACATGTTCCAGTCCGGTTGCGAGGCGGTGGTGACGAGCAAGTGGTCAATGGGTTTTGACACTTTGAGCTCCTTTTGTCCCTTGGTCGCGTAGAACTCCTTGGCGCCGAGTTTCATGGCTTCCTCCTTCTTGCTCTCTGTGCCGGAGAAGACGACAACTTGGCAGCCCATCGCGGCCGCAAATTGGATGGCGAGATGTCCCAGACCGCCAATGCCAATGACCCCGACACGGTCGGTGCTCTTGACCCCGTGAAACTGAAGGGCGTTGAAGACCGTAGCCCCGCCGCACATCAGGGGAGCAGCGTCCTCCATGCTGATCTCATCGGGAATCTTGAACAAGAAGTTCTCATTCCACACGGCGTGCGAGCCCATGGATCCTTGGTCAAGGTTGGCCGTGCCGTAATACTGGCGCTCAGCACAGAAGGTTTCCGCGCCTCGAAGGCATTGCTTGCAGTGTCCGCAGGAGTTGTGAATGTACCCCCAGCCAGCGCGGTCGCCTTTCTTGAAGATCGTCACGTCTTTGCCAATTTCCTCCACGATGCCCGCACCTTCGTGGCCGAGGCCCATGTCCAACCCCTTGTGATGCACATCAGTGCCACAGAGGCCACTGTGCGTGATTTTGACCAGGACGTCGTGCGGGCCAATCTCGCGACGGGAGGTGGCTTTGACGATGCCCGCCTTGCCACCCTTGAACACCGTGAATTCGACCATGTTGATCTTGAGACTAGAAGTTGGTTGTGGTGGTGCTCTTTAAGCGCTTGCTAGAATGTTTCGGGTCTTGTAGAGTCTTGATCGTTTTTGAAGAGGAGCTTGCTGGATGTCGCACAGAAATCGATGGGGGAGGTAGCCGGTCTTCTTTTATACACATCTCTTCAGCTGGATTCCGAGTCCCATTACTAACCTGCGTCGCTTTCACATCCCTTGCGAGGATCCAGCCACAGTAGAATTGACATAATTCTGAAGTCAAGAGCGGCCTGAATCATGACCCTGTCAAAGCGTCAGAGTTTTCAAAACAGAAAAGGCCTTTGTTTGCCCATGTGTATTCCCAAGCGTACCGGGACGGAAGCATCCAGAGTGATGGCTTGCAGATTTCAGCTAGCCTTGCAGACCGGCCAAGTATCCGCCCACCCAGACCCATGGTCGATCGACGTTTGAGGCAAGCAACCCAAGCGAAAGTCGATGGTGGCCATCCACAGCCAACCGGAGGAATTCGGCTGGCCTCGTATCCAGCGCCCAACAGCTTCCTGGAAGAGTACGTCGATTTCCTGGCACGGGATCTCCGCACCCCTTTCACACACCGCGAAGGGTCTCTCCGTTGCCTGCGTGAAGTGCATGACGGCATCGCGGGAGACTCCTTACTAACTTACTAATGGCCTTCCTCCAGGAGCGAAGGGGGATTTGAAGGCCATAATCCATCCACATTTGATGATCAGGGGCTGGATGACAAAGAGAGCAGACCAACACCACCACCGAAGAATCCTTATGCAGATCCCTGTGGCTGTTGAGAGAAAGGCCCCCTTATGACTCGGTGGAACCAACTCCGATCTAGACAACAGACAACACCAGGATCGAAATATCAAGCCGTAATGTCATCCACTTGATCCATTCGGATATAAACACAACTATTTCACCCCCTGCCTGGACCTTTTTCGTAGATGAAGAGTTGTCCTATCTACCACTTCTCAGACCGACAAAATTCCATCAAACAAGCTCCACATACTGGTGGAACTCATCATATATCCACTGATCGATTCCTTCCCATTTTCTCTGCTGGTCTTCTTCGTACAATCTCCTTTCCCGCTGAGAGTTAGACTCTTTGCCTGCAGGCTCCGCAATACCATTCTCAGTCTCTGCTGGGACGTCCATGAGCTCGGGGTTTTCCGGAGTCTTCACCACTGATTCGACCGGCGTATCTAGAATCGATGTGCTATCCTCGTAAGGAAGACCGACAGAGTCAGCGACTTTCCCAGGATGATTTGTCGCAGTCTCATCAAGGTCGGCAGTGGCAAGGAAGAAATCATCATCAAAGGTCGCATCATCTGCAAACTCTGGTAGTTCTGGCACTGCAGAGCTCTCTTGAATTGTCGCAGGAGTTTTAATTTTCTTGACAACGTCAGACAAGGAAACGTGCTCGAGCGGTGCATCAAAACACCCGAGGTCAATATCTGAAGTCAAGAAGTCCATCTGTTCCTCTTCTTCTGGGACCCAGTCGTCGTTACCTGGGTCTGTGCGGATGGGGTTGGTTGACTCAACGACCCCAGTACTCTTTCCAGCTGGTGAGGCATGTTCATCTGTTGATCCAAGATCTCCGAGTGAGCAATTGACAAGGTCGTCGTCTTCATCGGAAAACAGTCTGAAAAAGTCATCGTTGGCTTGTCCGGTACTTGAGTGGTGTTCCTTGAGGACGTCGGACTGGCTATTGTGAGAAGACTGCAGTGAATCTTGGGTCTTGAAGCCGGGATCTGCGTAAGGGTGTGCGGAGGCCTCCGCTTTTCGACACTCTGACAGCTTCACTCTTTTCGCGGCAGGTTCTTCAACGCGCTTAGCGTCACTGGATGCCGTCGTCCCTCTCAGGCTTCGGCTTCTTGAAAGGCGTGGTTTGTTGGAAGTTCTGGCTGTATCCTGGTCTGGCTTTCTCTCCAATTTTGCTGTGGTCAGATCTATCGACTGCAGGAGATCTTTGCCTTCTGGCTTGACTTTCGGTTTCATCACTGCTGTTATCTTCTTTTGGATCTTCTCGTCTTCTTTGACCTTGGGCTCCACTTTTGGTCTGCGCCTGGGCTTTGCCACGCCTTCTTTGCAGCACCGGTGTTTGCATTTCTTGTCCCGTTCATTGCAGTCATGTTGACAAGTCCAGCGCCCGCTAGGTAGTTGTGTAGGCTCTCGATATATGGCAATATCGGCATCTTCCGCGTGCTCCGGATTCGGGCACTGGTGTTGCTGCGCGCCCTCCTGCGATGGCGCTCTCCACTTCTGCCTGGTTTCTTTGTCGACAATGTCGTCGATATCTTCGATCACTTCGATTTTGGCTCCAGCTGCCCCTTCCAGGTCAAGCAGATCCTGGTCGTTGATGCCGCCGTCGTCGAACTCCTCGTTCCGCAACTCCGCCACTCGATACGCCGAAGTCGGAATGTTCGATAGATTCAATTGGGCGTACTTACTGGTACCAGCGATATTGTCGCACATCACATAGCAGCTGACATGACTAGTTGGTTTCGTGAGGTGTAAAGCCAGACACACTTGTTCCTCATTTTCAAGCTTTTTCGGGCTGAATCTTCTGAAGTCCACCAGAGCTCCGTGAGATGTCTCAGCCAAGAAGCAGACAGAGAATGACTTTTTGTTGAACGTACGGGGGACCGACTTGTTCAGGAACCCAAGTTCCGCAATGAATTTGATTCTGACACCGTCACCAATGCGAACTTCTCGAGCAGTCTCTTTGACCGACACTCTCAGGTTGGGAAATGATTCCAGCTTTTGCAATAGTTGAAAGCCGAAGGGAGGATTCTTCCCAAGGATCACTTCGATGCGCGAAGGTTCTGTATTGAGAAGCGTGTTGATACTGTTGATGGACGCCGATGCCAATCTTCGAACAGCCACTTCACCAAGGCCTTCAACTTGCCTTAGCTGGCTAGCAGTATTGTCCCAGACACGTGCCGCAAGACTGCGCCCTAGCTCAAGCGCGTTGCGAGCGGAGACGCCGTCCTCAAGATGAAGTTGACAGTCAATGATACACCGAATCAGTCGATTCGCATGGGCAAAGACGGGAATCTTATCAATTCGGCTCTGTTGGTGATGCTTTTTGTGGTTTTCGCCGTCAGGTAGCGGGACGCTACCCAGCTCGGCCTGGATCAGCAGAGAAATCTTGTGGCATGGAAGAGCAACATCGACCTTTATCGGAAACTTGATTTCCGGGGCTTTGTTGATTTCTTTGTAAAAAGACTTCTCCCCAGCCAACATTCGTACTTCGCGGAATTCTCTTGCTTGAGCCAAAGCGGATAGCTGTCATCACTGGTCAGTCAAATCCTCATCATAAGGAGGACCACGTACGATTTCCGACGTCCTCGCCTTGGGAGGTAACTGGATGAAAGATTTCATCGTATCAAAACGGACGTAGTACCTTGCCATTGCCTCTCCGAAGGCCGTCGAGGTCAATCGAGACTTGTGTTCCACAAGTCCTGCGTCCAGAAGTGACCCGACATCCTTCTTGCACAGTCGCTCGAGCAATTCGTCCTCGGTAGTTTCCTCGACTCCCTCTCGAAATTGATAGTAGGAGGGATTTTTCTTCAGGCGGACGTAGAAGAAGGTACTCTCGAGCCACTGCTTTGCCGTTGCGACGTCACGTACTGTTCCGAGGACAATTTCTGCATTGAGGTGCTCGATAAGATTCTGATGAAGACAACTCTCCAACATTTCTTCGCCTGACACCATCTTTTGGTAGTGCGCAACTTTGTCCTTCCGTGTGAGAATCACTGCACATGCTGAAGTTTCGAACTGTGGCCTCCCTGCTCTACCGAGCATTTGCATGACTTCCAGATCTGCATACTCCTTGAAGCCATTGTCGGACCAGGCCTTTGTTCCTTTCAGGATTACCAGGTAGCAGGGCAGGTTCACGCCAACAGCGAGGGTGGAAGTGCTACATATGACACTGACCTGCCCGTCTAAAAAGGCATTCTCGATCGTGTGCCGATCTGCTGCAGCTACGCCTCCATGGTGGAATGCTACTCCAGCGACCGCAGTGGCTATCGAGACATAGTTAAAACGGGAGGACCGCAAGAGGAATGTGATTAAATACCTTTCAGATCAGGGTTTGTCAGGAAGAGCTGCTTTTCCGGTCCTTTCCAAAGGCGCTGTGAGGGATGAGAGGTCGACCACATCTCTGCCAGCATCTTGGCAGTTACAACTGAAGCTCGTCGAGTAGAGCAAAATACCATTACAGGCTTCCCCCGCCCATGTTTTGCAATAGTTTCAGGTATCCTTGTTGCTGTCAGTATGGAACCTGGGTTTGGAGGATCCTCTTACTGGTGTGTCAACATCGACTCAAAGGCGAAGTCATTGCTCTTCGCCTCAAATCCATAAACGTGCTTTTTGAGCTCGACAGGCCGGAAACTCTCTCCGAAGACCTCTCTGCGTGCTGGCAAGTGTTGCGACGAAGAGTCTTTTCCCAGCCAGGTTGCAACGTCCTCCGAATTCGGCACAGTGGCCGATAATGCAATAACTCTGATACTAGATTTCACGGACTTCATCCTTGACACGACGGCTTCCAGAGTAGCGCCGCGCTCGTCCTTGAGAATATGCACCTCATCAACAAGAAAGAGTTTGACAAGCTGCATCAGTTTGGCATGATCTTTCCATTTTCGAGTCACGCTGTCCCATTTTTCTGGAGTAGTGATGATGATGTTTGCCTTCTGTGCATTGGTCAAGTCGCCATGGTCACTGTCGCCTGTGAGTTCGGCACAATGTAAACCCAGAGCACCGAACTGGGTTTGCCAGTCCCGATGTCTTTCCGAACACAACGATTTGGTTGGGCCTTGATATACAACTTTGAAGTCTCGACCTTTGGACTGTGCTATTAGTCTGCAGATAGCCAGCTCCATGATAACAGTCTTCCCGCTCCCAGTCGGGGCAGACACGACAAGATTGTCATCCGACTCGAAGGCACTTTCAAAACATTTTGACTGAATAGCATTGAAGATCTCAAACTTGAACACCGAACGAAGCTGGTCTGGCAGTGTAGTGGCTGGGACCAGCCGAATTCCTTGGACGACAGGTGGAATTGAGGTAGGTTGATTGCCCAGCGATGATGTCCGGCCTGCTCTCACGTTTCCAGTGGTCATGTTGGAGGAGGACCCGACTTGCTCAGGTGAAATGTTATGTAGTCTTGAGTCAGAGACCTTTTCCGGAAGAGATGGATTCGTTCTATCCCGTTGACGATTTTGGAGGAAAGATACTGTGGGACTCGTGGTCGGGGCAGTGGGCGAAGAGCTAGATGCCTGGAGGTCTGAGTTGTCACGCGAGTCATCTGCATCCATCATGAGGGCCTAACTCCTGCTCTTGAACAATGGCTCACCTTGTGAGAATTTTCTCGTGCTGCTGGTCATTGATGGTGTGAGAGCCTTGAGAGGAAGCGAGACCCGGACCGGGCCCGGTCTCCCTGCACGTCCCTGTGCTCTCGAACTCTCCTCGAGCAGAGCTCTGTCTAAGGGGGACTTTAGTACCTTGGACGATAGACCGTTCAGCATTCGGCTTACCAAAGTCGTCAAGTGGCCTCTCAACTTCGGGGGGTGAGTGAGGCTCGAACATGCCGGGCTCCAGAGGTCTTGGTGGAGCAAAATAAGGCGATTGTCGCTGGGTGACATTGTGAGAGGCATTTGAATTGGAGCCAAAGTCAAGCATCCGTGCCGTGCGCAAATCACGGGGGGGAGCGGAGGACATCTCTCGTCGATAGCCAGCAGAAAGGCGTCTGACATTGTCCATGGCACGAATCGAAGCAGGGTTCCATAAAAGGAGGACGCAATGGACACAGGGAAGAGATGGGTGACTGTATCACAGAGGCGTCAAACTGAAAAATGGTTTCAAACCGACTGGAAGGACGATGCAGGCGGGCAGAGTGCAGGTCACAGTTTCAATGGGCAGGTGCAACTTGAATGGACAGCCAAACCGGCGCACGTGACCATGCCCCTTTTCTTCGTTTCTCTCAAAGCAGCCCTGCCACCTTCAACAGGTCCTGATCGATTACTTACTTCCTCAGTGTTCAGAGAAAGTGCTGCAGTCCTCAGACTCCCTGCTAGCACCAGTGTATCTGGCCACCATCTCGTCGCTGATCCTTTTCCAGCATTAATTCCTTTCCCAAGTGGTATCCCCAAAGTCTATCCCTTCATGTCCAATCATAAGCATCTGACCCAGCCAGGGGAAGGGTTCAATCACGATGCTTCGCAAAATAGCCCAGAGGCTCTTTGTTCCTCTTTTTGTGGCTCGGAGAACCCGGTCTTGAAGTCGCAAGGGCTGTCTCTTCCTGAACCAAAGGAGTTTTGGGGATCTGGATAGACATGTCGTTCAGCGCCGCTGTGCCATTGAGCGACGACTTCTCGTTCTCGGTGATCATAACTGCTGGGCTTTGTAGTAACCGGGCTTCTTCCGCATTATAGACGTAAGTCGCAATGAGGACTATCGAGGCCCCAATCAAAAACTAGCAGTCATTAGCGATCCTGAAACACCAACAATCATCGTGGCAGCGTACATGTCCGGTCATAGTAAAATCAAAGAACAAGAAACTCGCCAGACTGCTGAGGACCATGCTGATGCTAACAGCAAAGTTCTTGGAAATGTTGTCGGCATAAAAGATGCAAAACGCCGCGACGATGCCGCCAAAGGACTGGATGACAATTGATGCAACCACCACCCAGTTGTATCCCGCAAAAAAGCCATACTTTGCCACTGTCTCGCCGTCAAGGAAGACAATTCCAATGAAGAAGGCGGGGAAAAGAGAATATATCGATAGTTGCACATTTCGGATCCAGAGCGACGTGTTCTTGGGCGACTCCTTGATGACCTTTTCAAAGTAAACTCCAGCCAACCCTGAACATATGCAAACAGCCAGAACCGCAAACAGTCCTACAGAAGCATCCATGCCGGGCGTGTCCAAGGCGAGCTCGTCTTCTTCGATGCCTTCATAGGTTGCTGACCTCTTCTTGAGGTGGGAGCCAGGCTCCGCCATCCGGAAGTGCTCTCGCAGGGGGTTGGATGACCGTGGAAGATAGATCCTGGTATGGTGGCTCGAAGCCAGAGATCCTGACGACCCGTGAGGAAGGGAGACGATCGCAACTCCCAGCATAAGCAGGATTAGAGACAGCCACTGTCTTCCCGAAATGGATCTCCGCAGAAGCAGGACGCTCAGCACTGCCGTCACAAAGATCTTGAATTGGTATGTGACGTGGAATGTTGCGGCGTCCAGATTAGATATTGCAATATACTGCAGGCTGTTCGCCAGCGTGTAGAGTCCAGCCGGGAAAGCCATCTTCCAACTATCACCGGCAAAAATGGCGCTTCCTAGCGTCCCAAGGAGTGACGTTGCAGGCATGGATCGAGGAACAGAGAGGGAGAGTTCGTAGAGCGAAATCGTCAGGCATACTGCCAGTTTCAGGGCTTCGACGAGGAAGACGGCCGTTGAGGGAAGATAACGATGTCCATCAGTAGTAGGCATAACGCGAGAATAATGGAGGAGCTGTAGGAAACCAGTCAGTTCAGTGTGAACGAGGCTCAGTATACTCGGTCCGGCTTACCAAAATGAAGGTGGAGAACTGAACTGTCAACTGTACCACGAATCAGTCAGTCTGCACCTGGGTGGACGATCTCGCGAGGCTTTTCTCTTACGGTGCTCAAGGACAGACTCCGCAGCGACACTCCCATGAATTTGGGCGCGTTGCCGCGCCTTTCCACAGCCATCATTCAGGACGGCCGTGTCCAAAACCCCAAGAAGTACGAATATTTCGATAATGCAATGCCGGTGCCTTTGGCTGAATGGCTCTGCGCCAGGCAGAACAACCAGTCATTCGGTAGGGAGAGGAGGGAGAGGAGGGAGCGTCAAAGGAATGGACAGGTTCTCGGTGCCAGAGACAGGAATATGTTTCTGGCACGTTGAACCAGCGGTGGAGATCAAGCAATGAGGTGAAGATGACCCAAAGGTCATCCGACACACGAGCAACGCAAAATGAGTGAACGAGAACTGTGGCTGCAGGCCAAAATGATAGGGGAGGAAACGTTTGGCGAAGGGTGGACGGGTCTTTTTGGCGCGTCGATTGGTGGTTTTTGGTGTTTCCACAGCCAGCGGGCGCGGGATCCCATACCAGTCAATGGCCCTGCGTCATGGCCTTCCACTCTTTCCCAGTTCTTGCTCTCGGTTTTCCAGTCCCTTTGATTTGGCGGTGAGGTCTTCCCCTTGTGGCTCATTCACAGCTCACTCCATGTAAATTCATCACACGGAGATATTCCCAGCGAACAAATGCTAGAGATCCACAGAGACACCGCTCAGGTAAGGGAAGACAGCATTCATTAATAGGTATGTACTCCCTCCGTATCCCGGGCTCTATAGACCGCCCGGTTTCTTACTGTACATTGATCCACCATACACATATCCCCTTCGTCATCATAAGAGCAAAATGGCTTCAAAGCCAGAGCCATGACTATTGTACAAGTGATCCACTGCTCTCTTCATTGTCGTCACCACCTCCCCTAACCATGAGCCCGCAAAAGAATCAGCACAGCGAGATGCAGCCAAAGGGTTGAACGTCATGGTTCGGCCTCAATGCGCTGCCGCTGCAAGTTTCATCCATCCATTATAAGGAAAATCGATGAAGTCCTGGGAAGAGACCTCTTCTCTTTTTGGTGGCGCCTGCAGCTTCTCCAATGTGGCTAGGTAGTGGCTCTCCCGTCGGCTGCGCGAGTTATCTCTCGAGCTATTGGTTGACGTCGAAAAGAAGGTCGAACGGCTCATCCTATTGACAGCAGCATTCGATGGCGCGAGGAACGTAGGCGAAAATGTTGCCAAGGAGGACGAGATTTCCGTCTCTGGGTTCGAAGTGCCAGTCTGAAAACTAGCCTGTGAATATCGTGCGCTGGGCTCCGTGGACAGTCCTGTCTGAAAAGTTGTGCAAGAAGCCTGGTCGAAGTTTGCATCTGAATATCGGGATTGTGACTGTCCCCGCGTCCGCTCCTGCAGAGCCAGCTGGACTTCCAACGCTGCGGAGGTCCGTGGAGGGTGTTGATAGTGAGTCGATTTTTTGTTCATGTACCGCAGCTCCTGTATCCTTCGGTCTGCTGCGCTGCCAGCGAATGGCTGACCAAGTGATGCTTTCTTTGAACGGATAGCAGCAAGAAGTGATTCTTCTTGTCGGGTAACGCTCATCAGTCTCCTGCTCTCAATGCTGGCGGTGTCGGATACGCAAGATTCGGGGAAAGACTGACGGTGCGAGGATGCTTGGTCTGTTGGGATGGGCGGGAATGAAGTCAGCAGGTCATCGTCTTCTGGCGTAGGAGTCGAAGACATATCGCTTAGATATGTCGATCGATGGTTTCGTCGCTTGTTGGAAGGCTTCGATAATGACGATGCCGGACCTCGAGGACGAGTGCCATGAACACGCCGCAAACTGGGCGTCGCCTTCGCAGTTCCATTCTGTTTCGTACTGACTGCTTTGGCCGTCCCAATCTCAATTTCTGATTCCGCCAGTGATTCCACAGCTATGCTATCTCGCAGCAGCGGCAAGGGAACCTTCCCAGATTCATTACCTTTTTCTATGGGCCGAGGGTCATCATCATTATCATCATCCTCAGAAGTGGACAAGTCGAGAATGCTGGTTTTGTGGAGATCGGTGGACGCCAAAGAGGATGCTTTTGGCTTCGATGAGGGTTCCAGTGACTCGTTTCGCGAAAGGGTAGACCTTGACGATTTGGCGTTGAGGATTGACACACGGGCCGGATTTGTCGAAGAAGGGAGCAGGTGGCTGGATGGTGCTTTCGAGCTTGTTCCTCGACTAGAAGTCTCGTATGTATGTGTCGTGACGCGAGATCCCTCATTTGTCAAGAGGCCTATCCTACCCCCTTCGAAAGCCATTTCCATTCCTGCAACGAAGCTTGGGTGCAGTTCGGGCTCATGAACGCTTTCGTCATCACTGCTGTCACCCTCCAGGCCGTCGAACCAATGCTTCGCTCCGGCTTTTGGTCGTCTGATATTCATCTTGACATATGGAGATTCTTGTCGAGAAGGGGGAATACTGGACGTTTTCGACTTATCTACATTGATTGACGTTGCAGGGTGATCAGACTGGAAGCGCACGCCCCTCGGCGTTTTGGAATGATGGCCGGGGTGTAAATGCCCTGTCGTTCCATTCTGGTCGGGGGATCTGACAGAACGCTGGCTACCGGACAGCATCTTGACCGTCACGTCTCCAGATTGAGAACTAAGCTTCGTGGGCTTCTTGGCCGCCGACTTATTGTCGCCTTTAGAGAGGCGAAAAAGCCTCAGTTGACGCAGTGAGTCCTTGTCCGGGGTTGTAGATTTGATGACCACCGGCGCTCCCTTCCGAAGAGCAAAGTCCCGTCGGGAGGATTCTGAAGTTTGCTGTGACACAGCCAACGGCTCCTTGTGAGCATCATAGTACGAATTAATGGTAGAAGACGAGCCATATGTCTTGAGGCGCTTGGGATTCGTTGAGCCGGTAGCATCTGCTTTGAGTAGGAACTCTTCGTGCAACAATACAGATGACGCCTTCAAGTTAAGTTCTGCACCTGGATCCAGCTGTTCTGTTGGGGGATGAGAAGAGCCCAGCTCGGTCGTGGCATCAGAAAATGACAAGGCCGGCAACTTTGCAGTGGCTGAAGAGCTTATGCTCTGGTTTCGTACCGTGTTGAAATCAGTCTCAGTGATCCCGAGCAGATGCTGTACTTTATATTCATTCCCTTCTGGCTGCCAGCCGTGGTTGGGAGGCTTGGATTTTGTTCGTTTCAGCGAAGCCGGCAGATGAAATCTTTGACCGCCCCCCATATTAGTGTTTCCTTATCATGCCACGTGCGTTGACATCTGATCTTTTGCGCATGCCGAAGTGTGCAGCGTATAGGACAACCGTCAACAAAACCCCGTATATATCGTCAAATCTCGTATCTTAGTCGATAATATTTCGTTGGACAGGTTCTATCAGTCTTGCACTTGACCCTCGCAACCAGGAAAAAGTGTCGTCAAGAAGACAGGACTAGCGGTGGAGGTCAGAGGATATGTTCTGCCGATGAACAAGACGCAGGAAAAAGGTCGGACTCTGGGACTGCAACGACAGTGTTCTTGAGGTATTATTGCAATATCATAGCGGCAGTTTTGCAGAATGCGTCGGAGAGGGTTTCGAGGGGCTTCAGAAACAAAAACTTTGACCGTTGAACTGGAGCAGACGGAGGAGGTCGTGGAGGTCTGAGCGACAGTGTAAGAGTGTATGATGAGCAGTCCAAATTGCCAGGACCGGAATCGCCCTGCATTGAGCTGTCCATCAGCCTTTCACCAGCTGGTGGATCACCGGGTCTCTTCAGGCGGGATGACGAATTGAGGGTGGGCACCGACGAGTCGTCTGGCACCCATGGATAACGGCCACCACCCCAAGTCCCCAAGCTTCGAGCCTAAAGTTGCTCGTGGGCCTGGGGCTAGCAAGGGTAAGAGTCGGTCGAATGGGCTTGAAGGAGATGGCAACCCCGAGGTGGAAAACGCTTGAAAAGCTGGTGGAAGTTGTCAGTGGCTTGAGTTGCTCGAGAAGCTAGGGGTCCAGCCGTGTTGCCATGCTCTTTCTGGAACCTCTCAGCTTTCTTTTGGTGTTCTTGAAGCGCCTGGGCAAGCCACTAGAATCAGTGGATTGAAAGTCGACAGCCGCACCCGGCGTCTGTGGCCCTGAGTGGTCAGAGAGCAGAGATGAAGAGCCATGGGGTTCAAAACGTAGCTCAGGGAGGCTCCTCACCAGCACAGGTTTAGCTGATGGTCATCCAAGGCCAGGGGAACGGGGTGCGAGTACCTCGTAGATCAGATCCTTTTGTGGGAAGACGTAGTGTTGGCTGGATGGAGACAGAGGAGTCTAGTGTGACAGACCAAATGGGAACAACTTGCACAGTGACCACCAAGCCAGGCTAATACAACAAGAAGCAAGAGGATTCTCGGGGACCTTGGGTCGAGGAGGTTAGACCGACTCGGTCTTCAGTCCTCGTAGTAGGGGCACCGAGGGCACTCCACTCCCAGTCTCCTTCAGGCTCTCACCCGGCTTTGCTGGTGAAGGCTTTGGGGGTCATGAGGCCCCCTGGCGCCATCTTCTACTCCGTAAAGGATGCCATTTTTCAGTAGCGTGGTCACTCGGACAGCAAGCCCTCGCCAAAAGGATAAAAGCACGCCTACGCTTACCAACCTAGCTCGCTAGGTATTACCGTCGCTCTGGTGGGTGTTGTTTTTGAGCCATGTCAGGGGGTTCGATCTCCTGAGATCCGAATGAACCGATCTCTGGTACTCCGTAGACGAGGCGGCTTGTTTACCTCACGATATCTGCTCATGTTGTACGGAGTCAAGTTCCTGTTCCAGGATCACCCTGGACTTCGAGAAGCTGCTCGCTTCTTATAGGACTTGTCACAAAATACTCCCTGTGCAAAGGAGTACTCGGTGCAGATGGAAGGCAGCTCCGTGCGGCTGGATTGGCAAAAGCCGGCATGGATCTCTTCCTCGTATCAAGCAAATTTCTTTTCAGCACCTGAGGACACTACTGAACTTTGAGCACAAAGCCATCTTCACAATATTGTTGAGCAGGCAAACATAGACAACACCGTTCGGAGCATCGCTGGATCTCGCAACAGAAATTGACATTGAGCAAAGTACCACCTGGCTCTCCCGATATTTCCTCTCGGGTGATCTCGAGGTCGTACCACAGAATCGAGAGCATCATTTCCGCATCCTTGTCGAGGCTTGTCGAGGAAGAACCGCCCACTCAGCCACCACCACCACCATCATTGCCACGTGTTTTCCCTCGTGGCAGCCCACTGTTTGTCACACCAAGCTGGCCAGTCCCTCTGCAGGAGGCTTTGCAGCTTGTCTCCATGCCTGTGGCAGAAGTCTTCCCGGAGCACAATTAGTCGGCGGTCCCGGTCCAGGTTGTGGTGCTGCAATCGGTGTTGTACCCCCTGTCATTGGAGTTTCGCCCTGTGGTTTCTTCGAGACTCATGCTCGCAGCAGATGGGGAACCGTCAATGTCGATTAGGATGCGCGAGATACTGATCTTGCGTCGACGTACTGGCGTCGCTGTCCCACCTTCGACAACCGAGTCTCTCGGTGAAGGGATCGTTGCATCGAGGCGATATCCCCAGCGGACTACTGGATCGCCAAAGTCGTCGTACGCAGTCAGCTTTTCGCATCCTTCAGCCGTCGTATAGTCATTTCCACGAGCGTACGCTTTGAGCCAAATCATCAGGTCCTTGCCGTTGCGCGCTTTTTCGATGTCTGCACAGATCTCATAAAGATCCTCTATTGACGCCAATGGGCTCATACATCGCTCCTGGACCTGCCGCAACTCCGAGTCGCTGAGCGATGTGACTTCGAAAGATCCTCCGGCCCGCCGCACAAGCAGTCCTTCTTCCACAAGTCGCTCCAGTGTCCGATCAAGCACCTTGGTCGTCCATCGCGGTGGTTGCAGTCGTGTTTGCAGGAAGTTGCCCTCGATCCGCGATCCCGGCATGGCTTTTGTTGTGAGATAGCCTACTGCCATTCGCAGGAGAGTAATGAGCAAGGGGGACTTCGAGGGGTCTGGCCTTTCAGAAGACAGGAGACAGGTATAGCAGAAATGCTCCGATATAGTAGCAGAGGTGAGGCTTTTGTCGCGGCCGTAGCATTTGCTATGTTGCCAACCGTCACATACTTCGCAGTAGAGCTAGTTTGGTCAGCCGCTGCACTGCATAGCTTTCGACCTGCTTACCATTGAACTTGATCCATGCTGACTTCCACACTCACAGTTGACGCGACTCGATCGATGAAGCCGTTTGATCTTTCCTTCAGCTAAAAGACCATGGTCAAAAACATTCTCGCTTCCGCTTGTCTTTCCACTTTGAATGGCATGGCAGTGTATGAGGAGCTCCGTGAGCTTGGTGATACAGAGACAGAGAGCACTTCCTTGCGGCGTACTTTTTGGGGCGGGATGATCTCTGGACACTATCCCCTGGCCCGATTCTGGGCTTCTGAAAGTCGGCTTCTCAAGGCTTTGTAACCCTGTTGCGAGGTTTATACCGACATTGTGTGGAACAGATTCGTCGTTCGAAACCTTGTCAGGATAAGAGGCTCTTGGGCGTTTGGCACCAGGTATTGGACCGGTCCTTGGACGCTTCAATCCTGGAAGTGAATCTCTCAACGTAGAGACTAGGTTGTTGCTGCGGCTGGAGGACGTCTTCTGCATTGCCTGCAGCTGTCTGCTCATTTCCGTGTCTTGCAGATCAATCGATGATTCTTCTCTCTGCGCGCTTTGGAGGCGTACTGCAACACGCACCTGATGGTGTCCGCATTCCAGCGCACCAACAACATCCTCATCTCGTCTCAGCAACGCCTCACACATTGCCCCGCCTTCCTCCTCTTGGTACTCATCTTTGTCTACAAATCCGGGCGGTTGATATACCATAGGACATGTCTCGTTGTACGTGAGGCTCATTCCTAGCTTGCGACGAGCTGTGCACCGGGTCAGTGTGTCGACTCGCGGAAAAATGAGACAGTCGCACCTGGCAGACGAGGTAGATTCCTCAGTGAGCGAAGCAGAGCCCGTATCGCAGCCTTGAAACTTTTGTGTACATTCTCCAAGACGAATGCCTGATCCAACGGACTCAATCGCACGCCCGTGACTCGACCATGGTCATACGCAAAAGCGAAATGGTAAGTCTCAACAATCACTGGCTGGCTTTCTGTTGCCTTGGTCACAAACACTCGAAGGCTGTCTAGGTAACTTCGATGTAAGGCGTCAAATACTCCTTGCTCCTGAACGGCAGTTAGCGAGCTTCTCAACATGTGCCTGGATATCCAAGACTTGCGAGCATATCAAGCATTTGATCAGCGCGTCGGTGCCCTCCGCGGACGAGGAGTTTGATCTCCTGACCTTCACCAACGGTCTTTTCTGATGTGAGACCTTGAAAAGCAGAGTATAAACTCTCTCCACCGGGCGGGTCGTCTTCAAGAGTGATCTGGTCGACATAGCCCGTGCGGAAGCAAGGCGATGTCCATGGGATCAGCTCTCTTGCGTGAGCGATACAGGCCAACGATGCATTGAGAAAGATCTGAACCACCGCAAGGCCTTCGGCTTGGGAGAGGGTCCGTTCAGAAGGTGGAGCAAGAAGGATCTGCTGTGCCATTATTTGTGAGGTCCTGGCATTGAAACTTTGGTAGTAGAGGCAGATGATTTCGACAATAATTGTAAAGTGAGAAGGGCAGCAATTAGGGGGTCAATATCCCAGCTCGCCTGATTTCTGGATTTCACATGACCGAAGTCCACGAATGAACATATCATGTCTGGTTTCAACTTGAAGCCCAGCAAGTCTGAAGGCCTGAACTTGGACTTCCAGCATTATTGAATCGCCAATCTACGAGGGTGTGTTGTGATTTGGTTGAGGAGTTGGCTAATCTTCTCACACACAATCACTCGGATTCATCTAGTTAGGAAGAGACACAGATGCTTCGATCATCAGAATACCGCCATGTTTGTCAGATCAAGTAGTGCATCTGTTCGAGTGGCTCTTCAGTCCAGAAGCCGAAGAACCTTGCCAGCAGTCTGGTGGATAAAGCTCAAGCATGATCTCACAGACTCGGTGGCAGCAGTTCTGGTAGAGAACAGAGTAGCCCTCGTGCCACCTAACGCGCCTAGTTGGCTCGCTGGGTACCAGGTAGGCGGGAGCTGACGACTCGGGCCACGTCCGAGTCTAACAGGCATCACAGCTGGGCGGCCCGGTGGCAAAGGCGAGGGGAAAACTCATTTTTCCATGCCAGTGGGTGCCAGTGGTATTATTATTGTGGTGATGGCAGTGGCGCGGCAATTGCACCTAAAATTGTCCGCGAGTGGGAGCAATTTGGGAGAAAATGACACGGTCTGACCGATTGTTTTCTCCCTCGGCATCGCCTAGTTCTCGCTTTATCCGAGGCGGGAAGCAAAGAACGCGGGAATCTCTTCCTTGTGTCAGACAGCGCCCTTGAGGCTCGTGCTGGGACTGCAAGCGCGCGCCAAGGCCGAAGGGCCTCGTTTCTTTCCCTCCCGAATCTCTTCCAGCGGTTCAGGCTCGAAGGCTCGCCCCCGTAGGCCAATCCTGTCTGGCCAGTCACGCCCTGGCCGCCCGTCGCCCTCGCTCGCTCCTTTGCCATCTGCTGGATCCGCCCGCTCTCCATGCCTCCTCCCACTCTTCCGACACATACCAAACACCTCGTTCTTTGAAGAGCCTCTATATTCACTGACACAGTCCAGCCTACTCGAGTTGGGGCTTTGCGAGAGTGTAATAGTCTAGAAGCACCATGTCACCGTTCCTTTTCTCCGATTTCGAACAATAGCAAACCTTCATCGGACCTTCGCTTTGTTCTAGACCCAACCAGACGTTCACACGAGGCGAACCGGCTCTTCCAGTTCCAACGCAGTCCTATCTTTCTGCAGTCGGCTGTTTCGCTTTCCCAATCTCTCAGCCTGGGGCTTGATCCTACGGAGCGTTCATTCACGTCTTGACTGCATGGTGCTCTGCGGCATCCTCACAAATTTCCACGACGCGACCTTTAATCTACTTTCCTCGGGCAGATGCTCTTTGTCCGCAGGCTTGACAGACCCGAGCGGTGACGAATAAGGATACAATGGATGAGGATATGGTGGACACCGGTCCTCGAGGCCGGCACCGGTCTGTGCTTCGGGGGACCGAGCTAGGACAACGCCAACGAAGTAAAGACAACCTCGGGCACGCCAGAATGATGGAGTCGGACAGCTTGCTCGGCCAATTCTCATTTGCACCAGCCACACAAACCACCGTCGTCACCACAACCACGACTACTACAACCAAGTTCCCTCCCTTCATCATCCGTCCACTGCGGCGGACGAAGGACTTGGATCTCAAGCAATACCCTTTGGCAGCCAGCCCCACCCCGGCCGGTTTGAAGAAGATACACTTCGAAATAGGAGGGAAACACACAATATTTCGCGAGGCGGAAGATACCACGCTGGCACTGGAGCAGTTACAAGAGGAGCAACGGTCTCTTCGAAATGCCAATGGGGCACTCGAAACCGTGGAGACCTTTCAGCCTTACACTGATGTCCCGTCAGCAGGCTCAAAGTTTACCTCCGTCCGGCGGAGAGTCCAGAGAAGACCGGCATCGCCAGAATCTATTACTGACAGCGAAGAACATCCGCAATCGCGCGACCCTTCGTTTACGTCAAGTCGTGCTGGCCCGTCGACAAGGTATCGCTCCGACCCTGTCGTCTCGAATTCCCACTACCAATCCATAAACCCCATCACCCCAGACAGCATCCCGAAATCCAGCAATGGATCCCGCGTGCTCAATATGCGAGAGCCGCGAGAGCAGGCTAGTTCATCCAGAAGCAAAAATACGCTTCTCCCCTCGCCAAAAATGCACCAGCAGCCACCATTTCCAAACCCAGAGTCCTCATCCCCAAGACCTACGCAATATTATTCCCTAGAATCAGAAGATGGAGCCTCGTCAGCCGATCGCTCCCATTTAGAACGGAGGACTCATAGAGACATTTCACAAGAAACCGCAGTGCCTACGCCGCCTATAATGGAGGACGCTGAGCCGTCTTCAGCAAGGCCTCGCAGTAGGCGCGCTCTATCATCCGTTCCAGCTCGGTTGCATGTCGCGGAAAGCCCATCCGTCCAGGACGGAAGTCTTCCTAGTCCGAGTCTTTCTCCTGTCACGGCTGCAGCAACACTACAGAACGCTGGATACTTTGCAGACGTCGACTCAAATTCGGAAATCTCCTCACAGCATGACGGGATATCAAGAGCTCTTGTGCCGGACAGACAGTCGCCCAGCTCTGGACACTCCCCTCAAGTCGTGGACTTGCGTTCTCGTCACGATTCTCGCCAGCTCTCTCGGTTTGCCAATGGCTCAGTCGCCGAGATCCCGGCGATGCTTGACTACTTTGAGGCCATCCCAGATGAACTGAAGAGCTACGTAATGCACCAGCTCCTCCGCCGATGCCCTAAGCCTACACTACAAGTCGTTGCGGACGCCGTCAACCCTGCGTTGAAATGCGATTTCCTTTCCCTCCTTCCACCCGAATTGGCACTCAACGTCCTCAAATATCTTGATGTCAAGAGTCTCTGCAGGGCAGCGCAGGTGTCGAGAAAATGGCGGCAGATGGTCAACGGTGATGAAAGAGCCTGGAAAGAACTATTTGATGCAGACGGGTTCACATTGCCAGAAGGAGAATTGCAACAGGCTATTGCCGAAGGTTGGGGCTGGCAAGACCCGTCCGGTCCATATGGATACGAAGAGAACATCGCCGACTCGACTCCTACCAGGCACGACACAAGCGCTGATGCCTATTCTCTCGCAGCACACTCCACCAATAGGTTTAGTGGGATCCTTCGATCTAAGCGGAAGGCCTCCACGTCGCTCTCCAATCGTAACAAACAAGTCAAACGTGTCAAGTCTGACTCCGGGGAACCCTCGGCTGACGTCACTTCTTTCGACCTCTTGAATGACATTTCCTTCGCCGACGGCCCATATAATGCGGCACACTCGGCCTTGATGGCCGTCCCCCAACCCAACATTGGCCTCCCAAGTCTTACAGGTTTACATCTCTACAAATCCCTCTATCGGAGACACTATCTTATTCGAAGGAACTGGATGTTTGAAGATGCGAAACCTCAACATATCGCGTTTCGCGCGCACGACTCCCACGTCGTTACTTGCCTTCAATTTGATACCGACAAGATCGTGACGGGCAGTGATGATAACAACATCAACGTCTACGAAACCAAGACCGGGATCTTACGGGCGATCCTGACGGGACACGAAGGCGGGGTCTGGGCTCTGCAATACGAGGGAAACACACTGGTCTCGGGGTCGACGGATCGATCAGTACGTGTCTGGAATATCGAAGAAGCACGTGAGACCCACGTCTTCCGCGGGCACACATCAACAGTACGATGTCTTCAAATTGTATCCCCTGTCCAAGTTGGAGAGAATGCAGAAGGCCGGCCTATTATGATGCCCAAACAGCCTCTGATCATCACGGGATCCCGCGACTCTACCTTACGAGTGTGGAAGCTTCCACGGCCAGAAGACCCACCATTCATCCAAGCTGAAAATGAAGTCGATGCGGATGATTGTCCCTACTTTGTACGGACCTTGTCCGGTCATCAGCATTCTGTACGTGCAATCGCAGCTCATGCAGATACTTTGGTAAGTGGAAGCTACGATTGCACGGTTCGTGTGTGGAAAATATCCACGGGCGAGACTATCCACCGCCTCCAAGGCCACACACAGAAGGTCTACAGCGTTGTCCTCGACCATGAACGCAATCGCTGCATAAGCGGCTCAATGGACAACATGGTGCGTATTTGGGATCTTAACACGGGTTCCCTCAAATATAGCTTGGAGGGGCATACCTCCCTGGTCGGTCTACTGGACTTGAACTGCGATAAACTGGTCTCCGCAGCGGCCGACTCGACGCTCAGAATATGGGACCCGGAGACTGGACAGTGCAAAGCCACGCTGAGCGCACACACAGGTGCTATCACCTGCTTCAAGCATGACGGTCAGAAAGTCATCTCCGGCTCTGACAGAACGCTGAAATTGTGGAATATCAAAACCGGCGAATGCGTCAAGGACCTGCTCTCCGACCTCAGCGGAGTGTGGCAGGTGAAGTTCAACGAAAGGCGCTGCGTTGCGGCAGTGCAGCGTGATGGATTGACATTCATAGAGGTATTTTCTCTTGCTTGGATTTTGGTGTCGAGCTGGCTGACTTCTTGCAGGTTCTAGACTATGGCGCTGCCCGAGACGGCGTCCCTGATTACAATCTCGGTCGCAGAATCGTCGTCGACGCGGATGGGATAGAAGCCAATCACGACGACAACGGATATTTGGATCTGGACGGCACCGTTGATGCGTGATGTCCAAGTCAATAAACTGACCCGAAGTTGGTATGCTTCAATTTAACCATGCTAGGAGGCAAGAGAGGTACAACCTGTTGATGAATCATGACTCGGCGATTCTTCTCAGTGTCTGGGAACAACACGACGATTCAGCGTTTAATGATTGCGCTTTATGATGACGCCTTTCACATGCGACTGAAGGCTTCGACGATCACGAAATATCAAGTTCCCCGATATGGGTACTGCACGCCAACGACTGCATCTTGTTTACGGGCTGTTTTGTGCCCATTTTGGCCGGATGATCTACCTAGAACCGGCAAGCGAGTGAGGCGTCGCCGCATGGGCGGAGTTGGTCATGGATGTTTTCCCGCGAACCCTTGGTCTTATACATGTTGGCCTGCGTTGATTGCGCTGTTGGGAGGGCGCGCACCTGGGATTTGTCAAAGCCCTGGCCCGGGCTTTTGAGGGTGTTTGTTGTATAATTCGCTAAACATAGCCAGCTATAAGTCACGAGTACGAGTACATACGCAATGCACATGTTTACGGTCTTTACAACCTTGGGAGTTGTGTAAGCTTAACCTCCGATTGAAGGCTCACGATAGGAACTGCGTGGAGAGCATTGTCCATTCAAGGTTGTGAGGGATCACCAAGTTTAACTACCTAGGTATCCTTATGTAGGTACAAAAGTTGTATCGGGCTGTATGCGACAATGTACGCCGAGCCCAAGCCTTAGTCCGTCAGTGCCGTCACAGGCCCTTTCGCACCACCCGCTTTAAAGTACAGTCATCCACAATCTACGAGTGCCTCGAGCTCCTCTTCTTCCGACTCGCGGGGCTAGGAGAACATGGACTCGAACGCGTCGAGGCCCCGGGTGACGCCTTTGCCCTTCAGAGCAGGCTGTTCGCGTCCACGAGGCTGGGCCGGCGACTCGTTCTGCGCGGCTCGGGTTTTCTGACGCCGTCCACTCGCTTGAGGCTGCCGCTGCCGCTGTTGTTTGCTCGACTTGGTCGTCGGCTGCGTGGGCGGGGCTGTGAACATGGCTTCAAAGGCGTCCAGGCCTCGCGAGACGCCTTTGCCGACAAATTCCGGTTGCTGCTGCCCCGGCGGCGGCAGAGGTTGGGATCGCGAGGGTTTCGGCTCCACCGGCGCCGCGCGATTCTGGCGCCGCTGGTGCAGCGTCTGGGGGGACTGCTGCTGTGCTTTCCCCGACTTTGATGACGATTTAGGTGAGGACTCGGGAAATATCCCTTCAAAGCCATCGATGCCTTGGGAGACGGCGGCTTTGCCGGAAAGAGGCGCCTGGGGAGTCGTCCTCTTGGGAGAGGGAGGTTCGGGACCCGGTGTTGGACGGGTGAGGGGCAAGTCAAACGGAGTCGTTTCTTCCCCTGAAAGGCCATTCGTACTCTCGCCCTCTGAGCGACGGCGGGATTTCAACTCTGTGATCAGGAGATCTAGTTGATCGTGTAACGACGAGCCAGCGTTCGCCTTTCCCGGTTTGTTGCCCTCAACTTTCTTTAGGGAATCAAAAACTCTCGGTGCCGCGCGGTTTCCTTGGGGTTCGGTTGAGGCTCCGGCGCTTCCTCCCGAACCAAAGCCCAATATCTCGCGCATGAATTCCTGGAGGCTCAGGTTTGGGAGTGCCGTTGACGCATTCCCGGACGACCGTGCAGGCTTGGGAGACTCGGATCCCTTTGTGTGGATCAAATGCGATATTTCAGCGCCGATTGGGCTGGGGCGACTGATCGCGCTTTTGCTGATGACTTTATGGTCGGCGGCTTTTTCCATGGCATACCACTCCAGGTTCGCGGCCTTGAGGATGGCCCATTGCAGGTTTGTAAGGCCCAGGGCATTTTGATTTGCGTTTTTCGTCGTCGCGATATTTTCGAGCGCACCGACCGCGATCATTTCACCCAGCATCAACGCCGATTGACCCTCAAAGTTGGCCTGATCACGCAGCCTCGTCAATGTCTCACGGATGCCGCCTTCCGACACTTTCGAGCTCAATCGATCACACTTTGTGGCAACGATCTGAAACGGAATCCCGAGCTTGTGGAAAATCTCCAGCATGTGACGGTCGGCAGCCATGACGCCGTGTCCGCTGTCGACGAGCAGAAATGCTCTCCTCAGATTTCTTCGGTTGTTTAGGTACGACACGATCTGGGCGCCCCATTCGGACCTGCTGCCAAAGCCATATCCAGGCATGTCGACAAGGGTGACTTTGGGGTTGACATCGCCATCCCACCCTTTGAGGGCGCCACCGTGCTCATCTTTTGCAGCCAGTGCCCACGCAGCCATGACCTCGGTCATTCCAGGGGTGGCACTGACTCGATTGAGATCCGAAGAGGTGAGAGCATTGATCAAGGTGGATTTGCCGACGTTGGACCGCCCGACAAAGATGACTTCTGGCACCAGGATGTTCTGTTCCTGCGAGTATTTCGGGGAACGTCGCCATGCTTCCGTAGTTTTCCAGCCTGTTCCCGTCCATGTCCGCGAGGGCTTATGATTCTTGAAGAAGTGTGCAGCCGCAGCTAAGTTCTCCTTGGTCGGAGGAGCGGTGTCCCAGTACCACGACCCGGCAATGTCAGACATGGACTCTTGGAGTCGAGAACGGGTGTTGGATCGAGGTTGGAAACGGGTGGAGGATAACCTGCGGCGGCCATTCTGGAGCTCGATCAGACGTTGTCGGAGACGAGATCGGGAGACCAATCGGCAAGTGAAGCAAGTGAAGCTTTGCATCTGATTTGGGGGAAGGATGGTGAAGGACTGAGGCCAGTCTTGAAGAAAGAGGTCAATGGTAGGTAGGGGATGTGGAAGTGCAGCACGCGGCGACCATGGAAATTTTGGGGTTTGAGGATCTTGCAGCGCGTGGCCTAGTGGCCCAAACTTCAGAGGCCGATTCCGCCAATTAAACTCAACCTTAGCTGCCCAGCCCGGGAGCCTCGTGGCCTTCACTAGAAGTCGACATTCCTGTCCCTCTCCCCACGCACAGTCTGCGTATCGTAACTGCATGCAAACTGGTCGGCGTCGTTCTATCAACCCAGATTCTGGTGTTCGCGCCGCCATTCTTTCACGATGATCAACGCTGTTCTGGTCTTCAACAATAACGGCCAACCGAGACTGACAAAGTTCTACTCACAACTCGTTACGTGTGACCTGTGGAATCAAACATCACAAGTGCTGACTATCTATCCAGGACACGGCGACGCAGCAGTCTCTTCTCTCCCAGATATTCAACCTTGTATCAGCTCGCCCAGCCTCCGCCTGTAACTTCCTGCCGCTTCCTCCCTTGTTGGCTCCCAGTGGCGCGGGCACCAACACTTCACCTGACGCACCTACACAAATCACCTATCGCCATTACGCTACCCTCTACTTCATCTTGATCTCGACTTCCACCGAGTCTCCTCTGGCATTGCTCGACTTCATTCAGGTGTTTGTCGAAGCCCTGGACAGGCTGTTTGAGAATGTTTGCGAGCTCGATCTAATTTTCGGGTTCGAGACGTTGCACGCCGTTCTCAGCGAAATGGTCGTCGGCGGTGTGGTCGTCGAGACTAACCTAGAGAAGATTGTGGAAGGTGTCAGAACCACCGAGGGAGTCAAGGGGAAGAGGAAGGCCGTCAATGCTCGTGACTCTACCAGCTCCATAGGGAGGGGCACCGGATTTGCCGGTCTTGGTTGGGCTACTGGTGGAGGAAGCAGCTGGAGATGACTTTCGAGGTCCTCTGTGGATGAAGAAAAGTTCCACATCTCCAAAATCCCTCAATCTGAACCCTACACGTCTGGGATCAGGACCATCGCGTCAGGATGCGTAACCAGCAGCAGCCCAAAAGGGATCGCCTGGAGACAGATGGTCCCAGTTTCCCCTGCGCTTTGGCCCAGAACAGTTGAATACTGTCCCGCACATCATCAAGGAGAAAATGCCCGGCGTCAACCGTGCGTCGAGATTCGTTTTCAGACACCTCATCGGGCACATCCATGCAAAGATGCCTGCGGGGTGGAAGAAAAGTGCATGCCGCGAATGAACTATCACATGTGCTTTGCGTGACGAAAGCCGAGGATTGGAAAGGACGCCGGGTTCAGGTGCCTGCTGGGGTGACGCTATGCCTGTTTCCGAACGCAGCAGGAAGTCCTACAGTTCTATCAGCCTGGAGAGGGCACTATTGCAGCTCGCTAACGAAACGACAACTAGCCCACAAATATATTCAATTCTCGTTCGTGTCTCCGAGGTCATAAAAGACAGGAAGCAATGAGAGAAGTCACGAAGCAGCAAGACGAAGGTGTCAAACCATGGGCGTCTACAGGAGCAATCAGCGACACAGTCGACAGGCGCAGTCACCATCATCACTCGCAAACCGGGGATTTTGACCGGCTCGGGACGGAAAGACAATAGAGGCTCGGGCCAGTGCGCACCTCGATCCACGGGTTAACACGAATTGATGGGTGCGGGATGGAACAGACTCTGTGTGATGGCACAGTTTGTGGGCACGGTATTGGTGAAGCTGCATGGTGAGCTGGTTCTTTCGAACAGAGTCTAGCGACGCTGAAAGCAGTTGGATGTCCGGGGCACACAAGGCAGAATGATGCAGAATTCAGGGATCTGGACTCGATAGCTTGGAGTTTCCCAGTAAACCGTGGGCTGCGGTGTGATAGAAATCATGGGACGAGTTGGGACGAGGTTGGGTCCAGAAGCCACATTGGAATGTTTCCGGGCGCTTAAAAATAGGACGTGAATGGAGGCCCAGACTGTCCGCTGGACTCGGATGGAGGCCTCTTGGACCATTGCAGTTAGAGGGTGGGCGTTCAGGGTCCCCGCCATCCAGGCACCTGGAAGCCCCTATAGGCTCGCCCAGTACCAACCAAGAGGCACTGGGGAGCTCTGGCCTGTGATTTGCCCGCCGCTGTGCTTCACCCTGCATACGGGATGCTCGTCTTCACAGTATCCCACTTCTCACCTTGTGCCAATCATCACTACAGGCCGCCGTCTGGCCGCTCCCCAGCAATCAATGATCAGGTACATCTACCGCCGTGATCGCTCTTTGACGAGCCTCCAGCTGCTTCATGTCCTCCGCGGCCAGGGGGTCAGCAGTTTCAGGCTCGCAGCGCCGGGACATGTCGACAGCTTGATCCGCCTACAAAGATGAGTCGTCCTGCTTCAATCTTGACCTTCTCGATTCTCATCTGTGTCTCTGTCCTCATTGTCCCACCCTCCGCTGCCCGGCCACACTCCATCTGGGACATCAGCATCGACGAAAGCCCTGCCCCTCCGCCAGACCAAGGCCCTCCGCTCTCCGCTGGTGCCCTGCGAGACAAGTCCAAACTCAAATACGAGATCATTGGCATAGTCGGCGCCTACCTGGTTTGGTTGATCGGCACTGTTGTGCTGCTTTTCCTTGTCGGCAAGAAGCTGCGCCGTAGAGTCCAAACCTCGAACCGCAGTCTCAGCATGGAGATCGTCAAGCCTGCTCCATTGGCCGATCAGTCCAAGATGGCTGTCGAACCGCCTTTAAAGAGCCCCGGCAAGATGGCCAGCCTCAGGTCCTGGGCCACGGGCAAGTCCCATTCCCACAAACAGTCGAGCATCAGTGTTTCGTCCACCATCGACGAAAAGATCATTGAAGCAGACAAGGCAAGGAACAAGGATGAAATGGCAAGGCTTTATGCTGCTGTCATGGCACATGACGAAGAAAAAGCCAGGAGCAGTGGGCAAACGTCGCCTCGCACGCCCACTTATCCACCCCAGTACAATGCTCCGCCTACGCCTCGGTCACCTTACCATCTCCCACCGACTCCAAGGTCACCTTACTACCAGCCCAATCTCAACCTCAACGGGCCGGCCTCGCCGAGGTCGCCGCGGTATCCTCCAGAGTTTCAGCATCTGCGACATCCCGAGACCGAAGCCCAAAGTCAGGTGGTTCCACCGGTTGGACACGCACTGATTCACCCTCTTGCGCCAACTCCCGCCGACGATGTGTCCTCGATGAGGACAGCGTCACAGACCAGCAGCCGGAAGAAGGTGTCTCCTTTGTCCTTCATCTCGGGCCGAAGTGACTCGGCTGATCAAACGAGAAAGCGCTCGACCAATATCTCCGTTCGAGGGCAACCCATCTCGCAACCAATAGGCTCGGCCACGCTCACGGACGCCTCGATCTACTCCGAAGACGCTCTCTCTTCCCCTCGCATCTACAACCCGGGCCCAGCTCCACCCACGCCGGGCCAAAAGTCCGCCGTGACCGTGGTCGAGGAGGTTGAAAAGAAAGGTCCCCCAGCGCCCCTGTCTCTTCGCAGTGCTGCAGCGTCCAACAGCTCCAACAGCCTCCCCTTCCGTCAATTCTACAACGACGCCCTCAAGAGCGCGCCTGCAACCAAGACCACTTTCGTGGACCGCCGCGAGAGTATTCTGGGCGTGCACCCCAAGACGGGAGTGCCTCAGACCCCGTATTCTCCCTACATGCCCTACACGCCCATGACGCCAGTGACGCCCCGCACGCTCATGACCAGGAAGGAGATGAAGAAGAACAGGAAGAAGGAAGGCTTGAAGGTGCTGACCGAGGACGACATGGTGCTCTCCGATGAGGACTTGTGGTCAACTTAGACCAAGTCTCACGATGTTCCTTTTTGTCTTGTTGTTTTCCCTTGTCTCATATAGGTACCTTTTCCTATCTCAATCTTGGCCCAGGCACACGGGCCGGAGTGTTCGACGAGACGGGAGAGACGTGTGTGCTGTGTACATTTAGGCCCGCCTGACAATGGCGAAGATAGATATCCTCCGAACGCGACCAATAAAGATGTCGATGACAAAGAACTTCCCACCAGAGAGAGATCCTTGGTCCCGCGAGCTTCTCATCGCAGTCCTACCGTATACCTTCTTCGGGCTTAGGCGGGATGTATGAAACCCCATCGGCAGAGTCGTAGTCCTATCCAAGCCTCTCTTACTCTAAGTCTACCCTATACCTGCCCTGGCTCACATATCAAAGTGAATTCGATCCTTTGGATCCTCATGTCGAATAGTCGGCGGTAACTACCTACATACCATCCGCAAGGCCTAGTAAAAGCGCACCAAGGGCGAGTTCTTCACGACCACCACTCATTTCCCACTTTCCAACGTCCAGTCCGGCGTGATCTTTCTTTTCAATCACCTACTCATACTCTTGATGGACCCAAAAAAAAGCTCTGCCTCCAGCGCAATATATTACATATATCAGCGCATTTATGTTGGTAGGGGATTTTACCTTCTCTTCCCGTCGAGAGAGAGAGAGGTAAGACTTGCCCGACATTTCAGAACGGAGAATTTCTATTTCCAGAAATGTTGTGATACCTGGACACCCTTCAGGAGCGGTGGACACCCGAACGTCTTTGAATAATGCAATAATTACTAAGTAAATGACCTGTGTAAAACCCCCAGAGAGATTGAAAAAAAAAAGAAAATATCGAAAGAGAGGGAAAGAAAAGTCCCGGGTCAACGCATGAGGGATCCCCGAGACTTCAAATCACCAACAGCTCCCTTCTCTTCTTTTTCCCTTTTGGTCGTACCACTTATCTCGAGTCTTCGACACATACTTATCCTTCCTCACTCTCAAACCCCATGTTACGCGTAGACTTTCATCTTCTTTCCGCTCTATCGCTCGGCGAACGTGCTCCTCGCCCTCAACATCGCCCCGTACCTCCAGAGGAACAACATGCCCAACACGCCCGCGGCACTGACGCCCGCGAGCACGCTGACGCCCTTGTCGACGCCCCAGCTGACAAAGACAGCCCTAGAACCCATGACCACCCCGGCAGCCATGGACCCCCGCGACATGTCGTACGTGGCGGACAGCGAGGCGAAGTATTTTCTGTAAGACAGGGAGATGTAGATGATTGTGCACTGGAAGACGACGTAGCTTCCCCCGGAGAAGAGGGCGATGCCGATTGTGGGAACGATCCAGTGGTACGTCGGGTGCGCAATCCCGTTGGAGTCGTGAGAAGTCGCGGTCGCGGTCCAGGCGAAGAGGAATAGTCCCGCGGGACAGAGCACACTGAATGGGATGGACGGGATCAGCCACTGCTCCTGCGGGATCGCGGCGTTGATGTGTAGTCTTTGCGGGCCTGAGACGAGGGACTGGGCTTGGCTCGCGTCGTAGGTCTCTGGGACAGCGGAAGCCGCTTTGTTCACTGCTGCACGAGCCCGTGGAGTGAAATACAGCTGGAGGTAAACCGCGTAGATGACGGCGCAGATTCCAGCGCCGATGATCGCAGAGAGGAATATCAACCCAATACCACCTGCGGAGAGGCCGTATCGATCGTGATAGACCAGGGGGAAGGACTGTATTGGTCGCAGTCAGTTAAGATATATTCTCACATTCCAGGGGCCATTCATGCGAGGAAGGAGCTTCAGTGTGCAGACATACCTCGAAATACGAGTAGTAGGTGGCGTACACGATGCCGCCGTAGACGGTGACAAAGGCAATGGCCGGGTCCTTGATCGCGATCTCGGTCGGCTTGATCATGGCGTCCGTAAACACTTTCGTAATGTTCAGTCTCTTGATTTCCGATGGTGCCCGATACTTTGGATCACTGGTGAAATTCCTCATGCGCTTTGCTCGCTGAAGGAGAATGTAGTCTGCGCTCGTCTCCGGCAACAAAAGGACGAGGGGGAACAGTCCGCCTGCCATGATCGCGACCTCCCAGTATGGCCATCTGAAGTCCTTGACGACGGCGTAGCCTGACAGGAGCGGACCGACGGCGGGGCCAGCGTACATGGCACCGAGCCAAAGCATGTAGCCGTACGGCGACTCGAACTCATCAAAAAGGTCGTCGTAGGACGCGGCACCGGTGGCGAGAATCGGGGAGCCAAAATAGCCCTGCAGGAAGCGGAGGACGCAGATGGTGGCAAAGTTGAGGTCTTGGACCTGTGTAAGGGCTATGGAGAAGGCGAGAAACGGGAGGAAGGAGGCCCAGTATGGGATGTTGCGGCCGATCCACGGGATTTCTGACAAAGGAGCAAACAGCAAAGGACCCAGAGCATAGCCCAGAACGTATAGAGCGAGGATTAGGGAGACGGATGTCTCATTGAGACCGTGCTGAGGTGCGATGTACGGGTAGGACGGTGTTGTGATGGACGAGGTGCAGTAGACAACAAATGTGTAGAGACTGTCACAAGCTCACATTAGTCGATGAAATCTCAAAGAGTGGCTGCGTCGGGTTGAGATCTAGAAGAGTGCATTTCCACATACAAGATGATGAAGCTGGCCCATAGCTTCTTCGTCCTTGAGAAGTTTCGCGGATTTTCAGGATCCGTCGGACTGTACCAGTCGACTATGACAAGGTCGTCAACGTTGGTGCCTTTTTTCGCTAGCACTTCGGGGTCGGCTTCAACGTCGGCTGGAGCTTCAACCACTGCATCTACCGGCGCCGATCGTCTGTTGCTCAAGATTTCGAGTCCGTTTCCATCTTCTGTATATTGCAGAAGGTGACCTTGCGACACTAATCGGATGAACTGACCCAAGGGAGTGTCCCTCAAAAACTTGGCCATTTGGAAGATGACCCGATGTGGTAGGAAGAGATTCAAAAGTTTGATTGTCAGTAAGAAGCTTTCCAGGTGCGAGTGACAATGGCAACGGCCTCCTAAGACTCTTATACCCATTGACAGCTTGAAGTGGTGGGCCAATGCAATATCCGACCGTTCTCCAGAATAGTTCGGCCGTACTGTACTGCTGTAGAAAGAGTGCTAGAAATAAGCACGATAGATTGCATTACTTACTCAGGGGGCTTGGTCAGCGAGCGCCGTAGTCGCATGGACGACACTGGTGTTGTGGCCCTGAACAGCCTTTTCCAATTCTGTCTATCATGTTGCTTCGGGATCGCCTTGGTTGGTGCTGGGCCACAATTTCACGCTCGTCTCGACTTAGCGCCGCAGGGTATACACTCGGCACTGGGAGACACAGCTGTCTGCAGCATTGTAGTGGAGGAGATCCAAGCTCCGTTGGATCAGGCGCCCGCTATGGGCCACTTGAATAAGCAGACACGGGGGATTGTGTGCTTCATATTGGCTAGCGCATTGAAAGAGCCCTGTCACCTGCCACTGCACTGTGGGCATATAGTATAAGACGGCCCAAGACACTCATCAGGAAGGTGACTCTGCGAGCTCGACCTGTCACGGCAATGGAACTTCAAGTGCGCGCTGTCTCCAGCCACGGCACAACAGTTCGAGACTCTCTCACGGGAACGGACCCATTGGAGTGATAGGCTAAACAATGTCGATATTTTCGCGCCAAGGCATCTGGCTTGCGGACGGGAGGTCTTGCCAGGGCAAGTGATAGTAGGTGCTGCGCAAACATACGAATGGGACGCCCGTATGATTGCTGGAGCCGAGATTCTGACGCAAAGCAGTAGCGGCTTGTCTCCAGAGTCGGTGATGCAGTTCGCCCGAAGCTGGGACAGCGCACACAGATGTGCGCAGAGAGGTGGCCCTGTGGTTAGCGGTGTGGTGGTGGGTGAGATCTCGTAAACGTTCAACCCAGATGAGCCGGTTGCTGCACGAGTGGGCAGCCAACGGCGAAAGCGAAATATAGCGCCCACGGCGTTTTGATGTCGTCGACATGACCTACGGTCTCCGTGGTATGGACAATGGGGCAACTAAGCGTCAAGTGCCAGCAAGAGATGCGGCCGGTGCATCACAAAGCATGCAGGCGGCGGGAAGAACATCAGATCAGAGTTGTTCCGATCCAGATGAGCGCGAGGCTGGTCTAACCATTGTTGGTTAGCGGAAGGTTATATAATCGCATCTGCTTCGCGCGAGTCCAGACTACGGCCGTTGAAGCGGCCGAAAGGGGATGCCGTTGAGACAAGGCATGGAGATATGGAGTTTCTGTGTACTCGTCACAGTTGAAACTGGCCGGCACCGAGATCTGTCCGTGTGACTCGTCGCGAGCGTGGCTTGTTTGCTACAGCAGCATCTTGGGTGTGTCCACTGTTAACGCAAGGCTTGCCAGCTCAGTGCGTGTGATGGCAGCCAATTGATCGAAGCCGACCCGTAGCTCGAAGCTCATGCGATCCTTCGCTTGCATCCTACCTTCCGAAACAAGACTCGATGTCCTCATCCCGTATCGACCGACTTCTTCTATGAGCAGCGTCTTCGCCACAGTGGCTCGTGAGCATCCAAATCAGTCCACTGTCCAAGCATCCAGCGGGGAATCCCAAAAGGTTAGACGGAGGGCTTGTTGGAGCGCAACCGATGGCTCGACACGTTCGCTAAGCTTGTGCTCTAGGCGATTGGTTCCCGTCGTCGACCAGGCATGCTCGTTTGAAGTGGCCGCGATAACTGAGCTGTGAGATTGTTATGCTGAGACTAGTTAGCTGACTATCAGTAGGGAATTGTGGTAAGAGCAGGGAAGATATCATGAGATTGTGTCTGCTCGGAGGCCGATGAATGGGAAGAGGACTGGGGGGAGTTTCATGTGTGGCAAGATGCATGATCAGGTCAGAATAGCGTGGACTTCATGGTCCGTGGGAAGGACAAAATTTGTCACCGCCGGTGGTGGTTTAGGTGGTTCTAGGCGTGGTGGTGCCTGGACATATCGGATCATCCCCTGGAAGGTGCCCAAGCCCACTAACTGGCTAGCCCAAACGAGCCAAGCCACCGATAGCCTTCGTTAAACCAGGCAGGCTTCCTCCTGACAAACATGTGCGTCAACGAGGGGCCACCGGGCCAATCGTCGCTGGTGGAGGCTCTTAGTCACCGTCTTGGTACATGCCATCCTAGCCTCTGCGATTGCCACATGCAGCATCACCTCAACACTCAACCTCGCGGGGCACGCTGTCTCATCGACCAGGCTTCTTTTGAGGCCGTCTTCCATCGCGACAGATACCAGATCAAGCCGCTGGAATTGTCCCACGCACTCCGACCCGCTTCGTTGATTATACCGGGTGACTGGCAGACAAGTACCTCCACCTCCTCCGCATCGTCGGCTTGATCTCCGGCCAAAATGCCCCTAACCGTCCTCACCGATGCAGATGTGAGGGAGTTGTTGTACACCCTCACCAAGGAGGATGTCGACGAACTCCAATCCAACCTCGCCGAGGCCCTCCATTCATACTCGACGGGCGACACCAATTCCCCCTGTTGCGCGTCTTTCCAGCCACAACGGACAATCATTAAGAAGAATGGCGTCACGACCCTGTTCATGCCAGCATCCACAGGAACCTCTGTCGGGATGAAGATCGTGTCGCTTGAGCAACCGGACGTACCCCTCCAAAGCAAGTCTTCAGTCTCGTCGGCCAAATCTGACAGCCATTCTGGAACCCCCACAGGCAGCATGTCATCCTCGACCTCGGTCAAGTCTGCGACGAATGATCTCAATTCCATGACCCTGACTCCGTCATCCACCATGTCATCTGGAAGGGATTCGATCGATGGCGCTTCATTCCAAGCTCCTGCATCGGTCGCCAGCTCTCGAAGTACCACGCCCAAGGGATCTGTTACCCTACTCGACTCCGCGGGAAATCCCATGGGTATCGTCAACGCCGAAGAACTCACGGCGTTCAGAACGGCGTTGGCGTCGACGTTGATGCTTAAGAAGCGAGAGAACGTCCACACCGTGACGGTCTTTGGGGCAGGAAAGCAAGCATACTGGCACATCAGACTGGCCCTGATCCTAAAGGGCGACCAAATCCGGCATGTCAACATCATCAACCGCAGCTTCGAGAGGTCGATTAAATTAATGAAAGCATTTCAAGTGACGGCAGATTTCAACGACCAATGGCGCAAAGACATCAAATTCTCGGCCATGAGTCCGGAATTTGGCGAATATGGCCGGTTACTGAAGGAGGAGGTGCGGAAAGCAGATGTCATCTTCTGCTGCACGCCGTCGGTCGAGCCTCTTTTTCCGGCCGAGTTCCTGACATCGCGCGAAGGACGGAGGAAAGGCAGGTATATCGTGGCCATCGGCTCCTACGCGCCACACATGTGCGAGATTCATCCCGACGTCTTGAAAGTGGCGGTGGAGCCTCACGAAGGGCACCGTCATCACCACCGGCATGCGAGGCAGGGCGGGGTGATTATTGTCGACAGCCTTGAATCGTGCTTGAAAGAGGCCGGCGAGATCGTCAAGGCCAAGTTGAAACCCGAGCATCTGGTGGAGATCGGCGAGCTCATGATGATCAAGAAGGCCGCGACAAGAGAGATTGAGCTGGGAGGCCCGGGCGAGCAAGGACTCCTCGACTGGCTGACCAAGGGCAATGTCATCTACAAGAGCGTCGGCATGGGACTGTTAGATCTAGTGGTTGCGGGCGATCTCATACGGATGGGCAAGGGGAAAGACGTTGGCGTGACCATTGAGGACTTCTAGTTACCACGTGGAGAAGATGTGTAGATATGCTGCGTTTCGCCTTTTTGGTCGGGCTGTTTGCCAGGACGCGGTATGTCGCATACATGTTTGTTTAGTGGAACCTTTGTCGTCTTTGTCTCTCAGCCGATTTCAACGACTCGTGGCACGTCGCACCCAAGAATGGTGGTATCCGAGCTCGCCCAGGTGGTTTCGGGCAAGGTGTGAACCTGTTCGCCACAGCTAGAGAGAGATATGTATTCTATATACCCCTAACTGCTTTCTCTTACTATTTTCGTTCAGGAAATGGAGCGAGGCCGCTTCAATCGGGCACGCAACGGAGGATCGAGGCACCCCCCTAATTCACTGGCCGGCCGACTTGGCTCGCCTGGCATTTGTTCGACGCAATTTTCAGATCGGGACCGCGATCCCGCCGTCGAAGGCTCGGTGAGGCTTCACGGTCCTGAAAATCCACAGGCTGTCTTGCGTCGGAACGCCTTCAATTGACGTTGGAGAACGTAGTCTCGCCCTCACAGACGTAGACGGAGTAGATATCCAGTATAGGTGCAACATGAGAGATCTCTGAGCAGATATCCTGACTCTTTTTGGGACATCTCCCGCTTGTTCTGTTTTTAAAGATTCGTGCGCCGTTGTCGCTCAACATTGCTTTTGGCAGACCGTTGACTGCACATTGCATGTGTGAGCCGTGGCCATAGAACTATACTTCCCTTGGCCAAGAGTACTCAGTATCGTAGATTCACCGAGACCGCTCTGCAGCAATCCGCCGAGTCCAACAGTTTGCCGTGAGCAGCATGATAGGAGACCAATTGTGTTTGACGTACTGTGGTTCTGCCGCGGTAAGTGACGTAGTAAGCTTGAAGAACGACGCTGGTTACGTGGTCTAGAAAAAATTAGAATATATTTCTAAACGTGCAAATCTCTTTCAACAATTTGAAACGGGTTCCATAGGTCAGTTGGTTAGAGCGTATGTCCAACCGTGATGTATTCGCCAGAAGACTCACACTGACTCGGTACAGGGGGTGCTAATAGTACCTAGTTGACTTCGCTTCTAGGCGCTCAGGGGTGGCAGCCTCGGCGCCTCTCCTTCTTGCAGCTGGCCCTAGTCGATCTGCCCCGCCGCCTCCAGAAGGTCGCCGTGTACCGAGTACCCCTCCATCTGTTCCTCGCCGCCTCTGCTTACTGCAAACTGCCAGCCCAGTCAACCCAGCTAATAATAATTAGATGGCAGCCGATTCGATGGTGAGGGAGCCACAGTGGACATTTGTTCCTGAACAACCAAGACATGCCTCCCTTCAACGTCATTCCCCCCTTGAGCGGCAATGGGTCCGTGCTCAAGTCGGAGAAAAAAGGTCGCTGGGGAAAACTCGAGTTTTGCTGTCACAAGGCAAAAGGAAAAAGGTGAAATGCAACATGGTGGCAAGGTCCGTGGAGGGATTTTATTTTCTCACAAGCCGGCTACTCAATGTACAACTAAGTTTGGTGATTCCGCGTAACTCAGGTGAGCTGTGCTGAGAACCACCCATCGTCGTCTATCGCTTCCTCGGGGAAAGTGGCTTGGTCGCTAGCTCCGCCAGTGGTCGAATCCCCGGTCATCGTCGAGATCGGCAGACCAGACGTGGACAAATCCACAAAGGTGGTTGTGACGAGCTCCAGAAGTCTCGCATCAATTATTACTAGTCTTCGTCCTCACCCATCGTACGGTTTTCTTTGCGCCATTGCGATCATGCCCTGAAGAGTGAACTCGATATGGTCCAGCACGCCTATCTGCCCAACGGGTAAGTTGCACTTCCCTACAGACAACGCGTGGGCGTTTTCTGGAAGGGTTCCTCCATGAAGGCCGCGCCAACATTGCTTGCTGCATGCTAACGGGACCTGGCAGGCAGGTATACACGGTCACCCCCGTCTTCGGTGGCTTCACGTTCAAATCGACCAACCTCGATTTGCATCACTCGGCAATGCCCCCAGGATGGACCGTGATCCTCCAGACGGAAGACGAGGTGGAGGACGAAGAGCGCCGAAACAGTCGAGTGGCAGTCAATTCAGGCGGGGACACGGACCAGACAGGACACAAACATACCGTGACGCATCGATTCACCAAGCCTACTATTCAGAGAGACTCCCTCTTTATCTCCTCCATCTCCATGCCCTCAAGTTCTGATTTCAAAAATACCGCCTCGCCGACCCGACATATTGCGATGATGCTGTGGGCGACTCTGTGCTGGTACTTTCACAAGGAGCCTCCGAATCCCCACGCTCTGACCGAGGCATCTGCATTGACCCCAGAGGCAGGGCGGCCCAAGCTGGATTGGCGCATCAAGATCAAAAGAGAAGGCATTTTTAAAGGGAAGAACACGCTGCAGAAGCTCGAACGGATGGGCCTAATAGCAAGTGAGGACTCTTGCGTGGGCACCGATACTAACACTCGGTTGCCCAGCGGCTGGGCCGAAACCTTTGTGAGCAGGAGGTCATTCTGGCAGATTGACGCCAGAATCTTCCTCTACACAATGGCGCCTCAATCGCACTCGCCATTTCCGCAAGCTTCACCTTACCCGTCCCGTCCGTCCTCACCAGACCGGACGGTCGTGCCTGAACGCGGCTCACCTCGACCAACTGACTATGTGACGAATGCGGCACTGTCAGACACCTTCAATCCAGGATTCTGGTCGCCGGGAGGCCCTTTTAACTCTGGAAGTCATCTGCCCACGTTCTATCCTCCCCCGCCAACTCAGTTTACCTTCACCAACCACATCCGCCATCCGATACGCCCCAAACCACCTCGGCAGGGCGAATCGTTTTACAACCGCTATATTCCTAGCCTTGGCCAGTGGCTTTCCTTCCGCGTACCGACCCTATCTCCGAAGCCATTGCCTCCGCCTCACTTTTTGCCGGCCTCATCGTCCATGCCCGCAGTACTGCCGAGCCACACGGCGGCCGTATCCATTGCGACATTGCCAACGATGGACAACTTTCTGGACAAACCGTCTGACCTGGACTTGCTCCACAAGTGGATGAATAACCCCCGAGTCAACGCGGCCTGGGGTGCTGCCGGGCCGTTAAGTACGCAACACAAGTTTTTGATTGATGGCCTCCAAAGCCGACACTCGTTCCCTGTTTTCGGCTGCTGGGACGGCAAACCCTTTGGCTACTTTGAGATATATTGGGTGAAGGAGGACCGATTAGGCCGACTCCTCGGTGGAGAGGTTGGAAATTACACGCGCGGATTGCATGTGGCAATTGGGGAGGAGGAGTTCCGAGGCCCGCATCGAGTCAAGGTCTGGCTGTCTGCGCTGGTGCATTACTGCTGGCTCGCGGATTCTCGAACCGAGACTGTGATGTTGGAGCCGCGGATTGATAACGAAAAGTAAGTCATCCAATCGTCCGAGGGTTCAGAGAGGGAGTCGACGACTGACGAGAGACGCGCACGCAGATTTATTGATTATCTGAAAGATGCGGGGTTTTACAAGCAAGGCGAGGTTACCTTCCCACATAAGCAATCGGCTGTCATGAAGATTGACCGGGAATCTTGGGAAGCACCCGAGCTCTAGGAGAGCAACAGGTGCCGGCTTTTGCCTGCCCAGATCACAAAAAAGGTATATTATGATGAATATGAATCTGATATCGTGCTCGTAGGGCCCGTGGTGTGAGGGCCATGACCAGCCTATATTCAGGTACTACGTGTAGTCGGGTTGACCAGTATTGGTGTTTCAGAAGCTATGGAAAACGAGTTCGGTCACGAAAGCGTCTCGAACGCCACAAAGCAGCTAAGACTTCCGAATGTACACGAATGTTCGGCTAGGGCACCAGCCTCGCCTCTTGTAAGAGACGAGGCTGCGCCCACGTGACCCTCTCTGTAACTCCGCAAAAAGGCGGCGAGGCTGTCGAAGAAATAATTCATTCCCCCCTGGTTTTCGTGACTCCTACCCAACACCTTAGAGTCGCTTCAACCCTCATTGATACTCCGGGGGTCCATACGTCTATCGCTGATCGATACCGCCATCATGGCGACCCAAATACCCGTCGATCCGACCCTGGCCTCGACGAACACTCTCAAGCTTGAAAATGTGAGTCGACTACACGCGAGCAGGAAGAACGTGAACTGACCCAATGCTTTTAGACACACAATCGAGACGTGTTGATTGCGATCGAGAAGAAATACCAAAAGGAATGGCAGGAGACCAAAATCTTCGAATCGGATGCGCCTACAACGGCCGAGATCCCCTTCGACTCAGTCCCCGCCGCGGAGATTCGAGAAAAATATCCCAAGTACTTTGGCACCTTCGCCTACCCATACATGAACGGCTCCTTGCATGCCGGGCACAGCTTTACAGTCAGCAAGGTCGAGTTCACCGCGGGCTTCAATCGCTTGACCGGAAAGCGCGTGCTGTTTCCATTGGGGTTCCACTGCACGGGGATGCCGATCAAGGCGTGTGCAGACAAGCTCGTCGAAGATGTGAAGAAGTTTGGACAGAATTTCGAGAACTACCATGAAGAAGACGATAGAGCTCCACCAGATACCAACGGCGCTCCCATCGCGCCCACACAGGGAGTCAATGTGAAGGACGACCTCACAAAATTCAAGAGCAAGAAGGGCAAGCAGGCCGCAAAGACGGTCAAGGCCAACTACCAGTTCCAGACGATGCTGGCTATGGGGATACCAAAGGAAGAGATCCACAAATTCGCCGACGCCAGCTACTGGCTCGAATACTTCCCACCAATCTGTCAACAGGATCTGATCGATTTCGGAGCGAGGATAGACTGGAGGAGGAAATTTGTCACCACCGACGCAAATCCGTACTACGACGCCTTTGTGCGATGGCAGATGAATCGCTTGCACGAGCTCAACAAGATCCTGTACGGCAAGAGATACACGATCTACAGCCCCAAGGACGGTCAACCGTGTATGGACCACGACCGGACCAAGGGTGAAGGTGTAGGTCCAACAGAGTACACCGCGCTGAAGTTGAAGGTCAAGGAGTGGTCAACTGAGGCGGCAAAGGCGGTGGAATCGATAATTCCCCGCGACGCCAGTGTCTATTTTGTGCCTGCGACTTTAAGACCGGAGACGATGTACGGTCAAGTATGCTGCTTCGTCGGACCGAAGATCAACTACGGTATTTTCAAGGTGTCAGAAAAGGAGTATTACGTGGTCACCAAGAGAGCGGCTTGGAATATGGCTTTTCAGGGTACTTTCTTTGACCAGGAGCATTTCCCTCGTGACCAGAAAGAGTTGCAGCCTGTTGTGGAACTACCAGGGTCCGCCTTCGTGGGTACTCTGGTCGATGCGCCTCTCTCAGTGCACAAAGAAGGTGTTCGAATATTACCTATGGATTCCGTGTCTGCAACGAAGGGCACTGGCATTGTCACTTCAGTTCCGTCAGACAGTCCGGACGACTTTGCCACGGTCAGAGAATTGGCGAAGAAAGCCGAGTTCTATGGCATCCAAAAAGCATGGGCCGAATTGGAGATCATCCCTATTATTGATACTCCAGCTTATGGCAACCTTGCGGCGAAATACCTGGTCGAGACCAAAAAGATCCAGTCGCCCAAGGACGCCACTCTGTTGGCCGAAGCAAAAGACATGGCGTACAAGGAAGGCTTCTACAACGGCACCATGTTAGTCGGAGAATTCAAGGGGGAGAAGGTGACTGACGCCAAAGAAAAAGTCCGAAATTCCTTGATCGCGTCTGGCGCCGCTTTCCCTTTTGCCGATCCTTCAGCTGAAGTCATCAGTCGCAGCGCTGATGAATGTGTGGTCGCATACGTCCCCCAGTGGTTCCTAAACTATGGCGAAAACGACAAAGAGTGGCAGCAAACGGTTGTCGACTACGTCAAGGACAAGAACGGCCTCGAAACCTACGGTCATGAAACCGAAAACCAGTTCGTCGCTAACCTCGAGTGGTTGAACCAATGGGCATGCGCAAGGACGTATGGGCTGGGTTCTAAACTCCCGTGGGATCCCACCTTCTTGGTGGAAAGTCTGAGCGACAGCACCATTTACATGTCATACTACACGATCGCCCATTTCTTGCACGGAGACAAATTCGGCAAGACGCCCGGGCTATTGGACATCAAGGCAGAACAAATGACGGACGATGTCTGGGACTATATTTTCACGCGGACCAACGACGTCAAGAAGGTCTCGGAATCGACAAAGATATCGGTTGCGGACCTACAAAGCATGCGGCGGTCCTTCGAATATTGGTACCCTCTCGACTTGAGATCGTCCGGAAAGGATCTGATTCCCAACCATCTCACGTTCTTCCTCTACATTCATCTCGCACTCTTCCCTCGCGAATATTGGCCCAGATCTGTCCGCTCCAATGGCCATCTCCTGCTCAACGGGGAGAAAATGAGCAAATCCACCGGCAACTTCTTGACCCTGAGCCAAGCGGTGAAGAAGTTCGGTGCCGATGCCACGCGGATAGCGCTCGCTGACGCAGGTGACGGCATGGAAGACGCGAATTTCGAGGAGAAGGGCGCCAACGCCGCAATCATGCGGATGTACATTCTCAAGGAGTGGATCGAGGAGACATTGAAAGACGAGGGCCTCCGCAAGACGCGGGGAGAGGTCATTTGGGACAAGCTGTTCGAGGATGAAATGAACCTTTTGGTGCACGAAGCATACAAGCACTACTCTGAGTAAGTTCGCCATGCCACGGTGGTCGGGACGAAGCTTACCTTACTATAGTACCAACTACAAACTCGCCCTGAAAGCCGCGCTCTACGACTTTCAGTCCGCGCGTGACTTCTACCGCGAAGCCTGTACCGCCAGCGGCATCCCACTGTCGCGGCCCCTGGTCACGCGGTACGTGGAATTACAATGCCTCTTGATCAGCACCATCGCGCCTCACTGGGCCGAGTATATCTGGCTCGAGGTGTTGCACAAAGACCAATCCATCCAACTTGCGCGCTGGCCGACCGACGTCCCCGAAGCGGACCCCTCCATGACCGCCGCGAGAGAGTACGTGCGGACAACCTCGAGTAACATCACGAGCGCCGAAGCGCAGGCGGCCAAGAAAATGGCAAAGGGGAAAGCCGTGGCATTCGACCCCCGCAAACCGAAGCAGATCACCATCTTCGTGGCGTCGCGGTTCCCGGAGTGGCAGGACAAATACGTGGATTTGGTCCGGAGCATGCTCGAGAAAGCCACCCTGGACGACGACAAGGCCATCAACGCGTCCGTCGCCAAGATGGGGAAAGGACCCGAGATGAAGAAGGCCATGCCGTTCGTGCAGTCCCTCAAGAGGAGACTCGTGGGGCCGAACAAGGAGAAGCCCGAGGCCGTGTTTGAGAGGAAACTGCCCTTTGACGAGGTCCACATCCTCACCGAGATGCGCAAGGGCTTGATGAAGAACACGGGCTGCAAGGACGTCAAGGTCGTCGGTGTTACTGACGAGAACAGGCAGACCCTCCCGTCCCAGGCCGAGGCCGCCGTCCCGGGCCAGCCGAGCTTCTTGTTCGAGAACGTCGACGAATAAAGGCCGTGGACGACTGTGCAGGGTCAATGTGCCTGTGGCATGAACATTCACGACCGTCGACCTGTTAAAGGAGCGACGTTATGGACGTGTATGTACTCGGTATGTGTGGGTTGTTTTTGTGCTCGAACCGAGACGGCACCACGCTTTTATGGACGACCTCGAGACACGATGGGGAAGAAAAATGACACAAGATTTCTAGAGATAACGAGGCATGATGATGGGAAAGAAAAGACCAAAGATTTCAAGAGAATGAGCAAGGTCATATACCAAGAAGGGTGGAAAATGGTTGGAGTGAGCAATGAACGGGGCCAGTCGGTGTGCATCCCAGATGTATATACTCGGTATGCCCGGTGATTCTCTGCTCTGGTTAGATACCTAGGTCGAAATCCAATAGAGCGCTCCAAAATTGGCCAAACTACCTGGTAGTCAATGGCATTGCCGTTGCGCAGTCGACCATTAGATTCTCTGAAAAGTTGAGGACATGTCTCCACGAGCCCATCATCCAGGCGTTTCGACTCATACTCTCTCCTCGGTCTCCATTCCTCAAACCTGGCCAGCATCACCTACCTAGGGAGGCATTCTCCGCTATCCCAATCTCAGCGCGAACCCGCCGCCCTTCTCCTCCCCCTCGACATCCCATCCCCTAAACACGCCCTCGATCTCCCTTTCATCCAGCTTTGGTGCGATCTCGCCCCTGACTGGCGCTTGCGGGGTCTGTTTTTTCCGTCTCTTCTCCTGGCCGGCCTTGCTGGGGAAGGTGGGGAACAGCTCTTTGGGTTTCGGGCGAGGATCTTCGCGGAAATATGGGTGGTCGAGGACTTCGGTGGCGGACGGGCGGGAAGTTGGGTTCAAGGAGAGGAGGGAGGATAAGAGGCGTAGGCCTGCGGTGGTGAGGTAGGTGAACTTACTCGCCGTTAGGAGGGATGACGAGTGTGTCTGGGACAGGACAGGGTGGAGTGCTTTGGCGTTGGGGAGGGAGCGGAATCCCGGCCAGCTTTCGCGCGTCGGGGTGCCCAGCAGTCCAAAGATCTTGGAGAGCTGGTCGACTTCGTTCCGCCCCTGAAACAAGGGTTCCTTGGTGACGAGTTCGGCAAAGATGCACCCCACGCTCCAAACGTCGATTTCAAAGTCGTAACTCTCCGCGCCCAGCAGGAGCTCCGGCGCACGGTACCACAGCGTCACCACCAGCTGGGTCAGTTTCGGCGGGGGAGGGTTGGACGTGTACCGCGCCATGCCGAAGTCCGCCAGCTTGATCTCGCCGCGGTTGTTGAGCAGGAGGTTCGAGGTCTTGAGGTCGCGGTGCATGATCCAGTTGGTGTGCAGGTACTCGACGCCCCGGACGATCTGGAGCATGACTGTTTTGGTCTCGGACGGCAAAAACGGCTCGGCCATGTCGTCCAGGAGGGTCTTGAGGTCGTGTTCGAGGAACTCCATCACGAGGTAGACACTGTTTTCAAATGCCCCGGTGGCCATGTGGGTTAACATCGTCTGGCTATCCGTGCCTTTTCAGGGAGGTGGGTGAGAGGACCTGACTTACTCTTTCAGACTGTCGCCCATGACCACCTCGAGTAGTTTGACCACGTTCTTCGTGTCCTCGCGACACGCCATCAGGGTCTGGATCTCTCGCAGTCCCGTCACGGGGAACCCGTCGTTGGTGTGGTCCATCTTCAATCTCTTCAGCGCCACGATCTCGCCGGTGGCCCTCCTCCGTGCGCGCGACACGACCCCGTAGGACCCTTCTTCGATGTCGTTCAGCTGCTCGAATTGCTCGACGTGGCCGCAGGGGCCGAATCCTCGGTTGCGGAATTGTAGCAAGTGTGCGCCCTCTTCATCTTCTCCGCTTCGCACCTGTGAGGCAGGCTGTACCGTTGGGGATGTGCCATTCTCTGCTTGGTCGAAGGACGTTCGCGGACGTTTGCTTGGTCGCTCGTTGTCGTCCGTCGCGGAGGGGAATTGAGTTGCTGGTAGAGCCGCGTTGCGCGCTTTCTCTTCCTTGAGTCTTTTTCGCTCTGCTTTCTCCCGCCTCCGCTGTGCCTGCGCGGCGGCCGTTTCTTCGTCGTCGTCGTCAGTAGCCCATTTGGATGGTTTTGAGGCCATGTCGCGACCTTTGCGCCGATGGGTCTCAATTCGCTAGGTGGACAGAAATTGGGGTGAGTTTGACGAGCGAGCTTGTGGAAACAATCGACGGAGGTGGGTGTGCAGGCAGGGATCCACAGACGATCATCCAACAACAATGGCGCAGACCACAATCTCGCAAGTCTTGGCTATATTACGCTGATCAAAACAACCTGGAAGCTTACAAGGAGGGGGCATCAAAAATCCCAGGTACAACGTGCCTATAGTACCTGTGGAATGCCGTTTTCGACGTTGGTGGACCTCCCGCCGCCCTAATCCTCATCTTTCGAAGCACACCAACAGCCGAGCAATGGAGACTGTCTTTTAATCTGAGCTAGACAATTTGATGAGCATCAACTATGCAAGTTTTTATAACCAGGTGTGGATCTGAATAGATTTGCTGAGCCAAAGTCAGGGTAGCAAGCAAGAGGTCGAATTCATCTTGTGTCAGTTGCGGATCTGTCGCTCTAACGAGGTACTTGGTATGGATTGAGTGTCACAAGGCTTTGCAGGTAGTGACTGGGCGTCCGCTGCCAGCTCGCATCGCTTCACCTGTGGACCTCGTACCCCTGTGCCACACGACTTTGGGGACTTTGTCCTGTGGGCAGGAGAGACGACATGATCATCTGCGCCCTTGAAGCAACATTGCCTACAGCGCGAGTATCAGCGAAGGCGCCTTGGAGCTGCAAGTTCCGTCCATGGCGATTTGTTTTTCCCAATCCACTTTTATAAGTCTCCTCTGATCGACGAGGTTATGATCGGTACCTACACGACAGGCGCTGATGGACTAAAGGTAAGTCCTATTTCGGATGTTATTTAATATGTCTGGGTGCTAATTAAATTGGGAATGTGTTGGACAGAGGCGGGAAAGTGCGTAACTAATTCGGTTAGTCCACATTTATACACCATTATACACCATTGAAGCCGCCGACTGATACAGATACAGAATACCTCGTACTAGTACGGCGCACCTCGTACTTGGCGACCAAAACACAAGGCCATCTTTTGTCGCTTTTTGGTACTCCAGGCTCTATTCGAGACTCGAGACTCACTCAAAATGCAACTACGCGAGGCTAAGGAAATCTCCCTTGCCCCGGCCACCAAGGTGATGGGCTGTGGAAATTGCGCTGCTTCCGCCTCGACAGCGCAGAACGGATGAACCGGCCAGGCAATGAGAAAAGTCCAAGTACTCGGTACGCTGTTCTCCCATACTTATAAGCAGTCCGAGTCCGGGGTAATAACCCAAGTTGCTTGCTCTCTGTCTCTCGTTGCGCTCCCCACGGATCCACGCTCCTTTTCACTGGTGTAACTTCTGTTCATTCATTCAAGACCATCTCTTCCACGCTCACTTGCACGGACGAATCTACGTCACTTCGGTTACCGACATGTTTTCTCGCCTTTGTGTGCTTTGCTACTCTATCTCGCCCTCGTTCTTCCTGCCATCGCAAGGCCTGATGAACGACGAAGGGGGATAGATATCTTCCCTGGAAATGGGGCGAGCAATTCCCCTCCAGCGATCTCTGTTACAGACTGGACCACCTCATGCGTCAGCACCAAAACTCCCACCCTTACCTCCACTGATCCGCCGGTAACCTCGAGTTCTACAATGACTACGACTTCCGAGACTACCACCACATCTCCCACCACAACGACGATGACGACTACAACTACATCTCCAACTACCACCACCACAACGACAACAACAACAACTACAACCACAACTACAACAACAACAACTACAACCACAACTACAACAACCACTTCAACGTCAGCAGCTAGCTGCACTGACCTGGTACGTTCCGCGAGACCGCCAAATGTAGGTTCCACTGACAAAGTTCTAGCCCAATCCGTACACGGCTCCGAACAGCGAGCAATTCAGCATCGACTGTACGTCCTACTACTTGTCTACTGCCACCAACACCATCTCCGTTAGCCCAACCGACGACCTGCAGGATTGTCTGGATCTGTGCTCAACAACCGCGGGCTGTCTCTTCGCGGACTGGGTCAATAACCCATCCGCCGGAAATTTTCAAGATTGCTACTTGCTCAGCAGTAATGACGGCGGGCTATTCACCTATACCGGTATCAGTTCCGGAACTTTGGTTACCAGCTAGTGCAGTTTTCCCCCGGGCCCCGTTGCGATAGGGGGCGGACTTTTTGGATAATAATGGTGCCCACGGTGGAAGACACAGAGATCCCGGGAGATAGGTATTCTCGGTCAGAAACAACCAGTGGGGTCGCTCGCAAAAACCCCCGCCAACACCACTCTTCTGGGGGGTTGCTTTGAGTTCTTGATTCCTCTTTACCACGGTGGTACCTGGTCGTTTCGAGGCGATGGAAGCGGCTTGATAGAGCAGCGGTTTTAAGTATATTAATACTAGTAGGTAGGCCATGGAACCGATGGAATTGGACCCACGCCCTTTTCTCTATATCACAGTGTAAGAGTTCATGTCCAATCCCATCTGTTATATAATCTGCCTTTTGACTTGGGGCTTGGTAAAGTGTTTCAATCCTACAAGGCTGCAGCGTGGGAAGAGGTTATCAAGTCGGCAGCTCCTGAAAGTTGAAACCGGCAACAGCCTCGGAAAGTCCGAAGTTGAGCCGCGGAAAGTGTGAGCCCGAGCCTTGACGATGCTTCGACGCTGTCAGACAGCGGGAATTAATTTCCATTTCGGACAACTACTGGTGCTTCCCTGTTGCCAAAGCTGGCCTCCCTCATGGAAAGATACGCCTGTCACTGCTCTATTCTATCAATTGCGATGGCCAAGTTCATCCCTATCTCTTCCCAGCGTCGCCTCAACACCTCTCTTTGCGACGGGAGCCCTACTTCGAGGCGAGCGAGTTGCTCGAGGCTGTTGTCGACAGTCTCCAAATATGCCTTCAACGCTTGCCGGAGCAGTTCATGCACCAAACTTTGATACTCGTCGTCGTCGTCGGCGCCATACTTGACGCATTCGTTCCACTTTTTCAAGGGCATACACAGCAACCTCAGTGCGATTCGTGTACGGTAGCAAGCCACCTCGTCGTCCTGCATCGAGGGCCCCTCCAGCGCGTAGTTGCCCAAGTAGTCCGCCTCCTTCAGCATGTCTTTCTGCTTCGCCGAGAAAAGAGGTAGGATGACTGTGTCCAGGGATACCTCGTCCGACTTGTTCTTTGCAAGCGTGAAGCCATATTCGACCAACAAGAAGTCGTTCGAGTGGGTGCCGTAGGAGATGTACAACTCCTCGCCCTTGGCGACTGCGCGGTCCGCTTTGAATTCGTATCCCGTGGCCGAATAAGCGGCCTTGCAGGTCGCGACGTCGGAGTGGTTGAAGTAGTCTCCAAAGGGCACCACGGCCAGGCACTCGTCGGCTTCGGGGGTGTCTTCGGGCGCCATGTCTGGCGGCGTGTAGTAAAAGGTCCGTGTGCTGACGAGAAGCCAGGAATAGCGGTAGACGTCGTAGGAGAGCTGTGCAAAGGCGGCAGAGACGGCACTCCAGTCTCTCGAGAGCTTTCCCTGCTGCTTTCTCAGGAGCGCCAGCGCCGGCGGGGGCAGGAGGTTTTGAAGCTCGGGTGGCCAGAAGAGCGGCATGGACTCGTTCAACTCCTCCATTGACGGCAAGGTCGTTCTCCAGAGGGCGTGGAGTTCGGAGGTGTCCATGGCCAGTTCCGCCGCCAGGAGGCCGTTGACACTGCATGCTTGGACAGCTTTCAGTATTTGCGGCGGCACTGTCTCTCCTGTCCGAATCACGGACATGGGGATGTCCAAGATCACCTCTCCGGCCTTTTGGGTGTCATGTCAGGAATAGGGCTCACAAAGAGGCCGAGACGGATCTTTTGTTCGAACCCACCTTAAGCCTCCTTTTGGCGACGATGCCCAATCCCCTGCCGGGGAATTTATGTGCCGCAATGCCATTGACCTTGATGCCGTTGGAAACAGCCCATTTCGTCAGACTAGGAGCACTGGTATCCATCACCCATTCTTTTTTTGCTTGGAGATGGATGTTTTGACAACGAAGCCCCATTTGTGGGGTAAGAAAGGGGACGTCCCAAGGTGCAGGGACCGCCCGTGTTCATTGCCCAATCAGATGACCACGATCTTGACGTAGTGATGAGAGAGAGCTGCATCGAAGACGTCTATATAAACCTAATTGAAGACTACTTGGATATGCTCTGCTGTCTTTGGAGGCACAAACTAACGACTTCGGATTCAGCTGTCAAGATACTCAGATCGGTCAGTTGCGGTTATCACACTGCCATCGAAAGTGCCACTTGTTCGAGCAATGGCATCGAATAATGCGGCTGCGACGATGGCTTCCCTCCGAACTTCAGCTCTTCCAGCCTTGACGGGATTGATGGGTACCATGGGCATCGTGACTGGGCTGTACAGCTTCAGGGCTCCAGTCGATGCCGAAACACTGTTTGGCATCCTCGTCCCGTCTTCGGTCAATGCATCCAAAGAACTCTCGACCTGGCAGCACGCGCAGACCTATACCCGCGGCCTCCGCAACTTCGCTGGTGGACTGTCGATTGTCGGGATTACTGTGTTTTGGCGCTTCTCTTCGCTGTGTCAGTCGTCGCCGGTGGCAGCGCTGACAGCCAAGAGATGTCTCGGGATCATCTTCTTGACAGGCAGCGTTATTGGGGCAGGAGATGGTCTCATCATCAACCAGTTCGCCCGAGGAGAGGGCATCTCAGAGAAAGCAAGGGAGGTTGCTAAGAAGGCGGGATTGGGACATCTGGTCATGGCACTGCCCATTCTGGCTCTCGGGCTCTCTTGTTTCTTCATCTGAGCAGCCCCGGGCGTGGGCAGACTCACAGGTTCGAAAATCAAGGTGGACCTAAGTGACGGCTGTATCGGTATATTGGGACGACACATCTCTACTCACCAGTAATGTACCATATTGTGTGGTGCTGTGCCTTCCTCTATCTACTAAAGGCGGCGTAGTTTTGCTTCCGAAGTCGGTCACACGTCACTTCCAAAGGTTTCTAGGCCTGTGGCGGATCGATGCGGGGCCTCGTCGCGGTATTCATACCTCTTCAATAATTGATTAATTACCAAGCATTCGAGTATCCAAGCATCTTCCCAGCTCATCACCAATTGAATATTGAACACCATTGTATAGAACCCGTTTAAGAACGAATCGCCTGTCTGATCCTTGGGCCCTCCAGCATCCTCGGGCGAGTTCAAAATGGGAAGTCTGGGAATCGAGCCATTTCAGGTCTGACCAGCCAACCGCCTCCTGCCGATCCTGTCCTTGTTGGCTGACCACAAGCACAGACTACTTTTGCCGTGCCTCTGCACTGCGATTCCTGCGTCAAAGATGTCACAGGCGCTTTAGAGAAAGTACAAGGTACTGCTTGGACGAAACCGTGGTTCCTTGGCTTGCGATGCCAGAGCTGACCAACCGGCTACTTTGCAGGCGTCACCAAGATCGAAGCCAATCTTAAAGACCAACTTTTCTACATTGAAGGAACGGCTCCTCCCTCATCAATCGTGTCAGCCATCGAATCTACGGGGCGAGATGCCATCTTACGGGGCAGCGGGAAATCCAACTCTGCCGGTGTGTGCATTCTGGAAACTCATGCAAATGCCGTCTCAGATCCGGTGCGTGGCCTTGCACGAATGGTCCAAGTCTCGGACAATCGGACCCTGGTCGACCTGACGCTGCGTGGGGTGTCACCAGGAACATATCATGCCACGATAAGGGCCACAGGTGACATCTCACGTGGGGCAGCCTCGACGGGTGGCGTCTGGGAGGCCGTCAAGGAACTAGCGGGCTTCAGACAGCCTCGTGGGATGTTTGGGACGGTGGAGGTCAACAAGGATGGACGAGGCAGCGCATTCCTGGACCGACCAGTGTCAATATGGGAGATTATCGGTCGCAGCATGGTCGTGTCGAAACAACAACCGGAGGGTGCGTTTCAGACCGAAGATCCCGATACCCTGGTCGGGGTCGTTGCTCGCAGTGCCGGAGTGTGGGACAATGATAAGACCGTATGTAGCTGTTCGGGAAAGACAGTGTGGGAGGAACGAAAGGAACAGGTTGAAAAGGGGATGCTATGATCCGTGAGTTGTACTGGAGCCTGCATCGACGATAAAGCGTAGTCGAACAGAAAACGAAGAAAAAATTCCACAATAACACTCTGCAGTGCAATGCATCTTGTCGGAAGTAGCCCCATTGGATTCCATCCGATTCTGATTCGCGGTCCGAGTTTGTTCTGGTTTTGGACTCGACTTTTTGCTGCACGATGATGCAGCGCTGGGCCGATGGAGCATGCTGGAGCATCCCCCTGCATCGAGCATTGGAAACGGACAACCCGATTGCTTGGGTCAGAGGGTTTGGGAAAGCTTCTGGGCTACGGTGCCAACGGTGGTTGGTCGCCAGATGTGATTCTGAAACGGAGACGCAGGTGCGGACCTAGCCCACCGGCCGAGTTGGACACCTGTTGAAACACACCCAGAATAGCGAGCCCTGTGGGCGTGAGACGGTCGAGGAGAGGGAAAGCAAACAACGGAGAGTGCTCGGTCTTTACTTGCAGTGCTGGCAGAGGCCCGCTCAGGTGACGGACTCAGGCCACTGAGTAGAGGGCATCCCTAAGGATTATTCCATCACATTCTTGGACGAGTGAGGAGCGAGTGCGAAGGATGGGCACATTGGGACGCGGCTGGCGAGTAGGTGACGAGGTGACGGTAGATAGGCAGATGAGCGATTCGAGCAGACAAGAGCGAGATAATAAGATGTTCATGGTGCTGAACTCAGTATGGAGTACCTGCAATAGGCACTTGAGGTGAGGCAGACTCCTGTCTATCACGTACACTCCGCCTACCATGCAGGTCTGCTGGGTGCCAGTTTAGTGCTGGGTGACCTGATCCGAACCCCTGATGTGCCTGGCGAGTGCCTGGCGGTGCCTGGAGCGGAAGGCCTCCTGTCCCTCCCTCGGACAGCTGTAGGTACGAATGGCTGGAGCCCAATTCGTGCCTATCCCATCCTCATGCCTGTCCCCTTGCTTGCATGGCTTCCACCCTCGCCTTCTCTCTTCTCTCACCCTTGTTCTCGCTTGAAGACTTGGACCCCCACTTTCCCTGTTCCCCTTCTCTCGACCATCATTCAAGAAGTCCGAGTCTTGCTGTCGCAGGAAAATCCCAACTCTTCTCCTGCTAGCCATCTTCAACCCCAGCAGCAACTGGCATTGCTGTTTTCGTTTCTCCCAAAGCTGTGCTTTTTGGTATACATCCAGCTACGCTCTTTATTTTCCTGATTTATCTTCTTCGCTTCCCGGACTATTTGCAATCTATCTGCAATCTATCGGGCGCATTCCGTCGCTAATCGACTCGTTCACCACATTGTCAAGTTGACAGCCTCTTTCATTGGCACCTAGCCCGTGACGGCATTGGCGCCGAGCAAATCCAACTGCTCCCACCACTGCCACCACTGCCACCAGCTCCCACGCACCCATCCCGGGCGCTTAACCCCTGGCCCTCAAGCACCCATTTTCAGGACCTGGCGGCAGGGCCGGCCCTCGCAGCCTCGGTGCACCGTACAATCGACCTCCACCCACCCAGTGGTAGCCATCGGTTCCCACTGCCCTAGCAGAATCTGTGACCGCACCCACCCACCATTTCAATAACGTCTCAGGCACCGCCGCTCCTGTCGCAGATCTCGCTCCCTCTGTCAACATCTTATTTTGCCCTCTGACTCTACCTGCAATCAGTCACCGTCCTGTTGACAACGACTCTAACTTCGACGATCTAGGCCCGGCGCCATGTCGCTCAAGCAGGTATGTGCATCTCCTCAATTGTATACTCGGACCCTAACCCCTCGGTAGGAAATCGAGACTTGGGTCGAAGCGCTGGGGCACTATGACAATCAAGAATTCGAGGAAGCATTGAGGATTTTCGACGCGATTGCCGATACCTCCAAGATCCTGTTCAACTGTGGTGTCATCCACGCGACCATCGGCGAGCATGAAAGAGCGGTGCGTTCAGTGTGGACAGACAAGCAAGGCAAAACCAAGCTGATACCGAGACCAGGTGGAATGTTACCAACGCGCGATCAAGCTCGACCAGTACCTCGCCGTGGCCTACTTCCAACAGGGGGTCTCAAATTTCCTGGTTGGGGACTTCGAAGAAGCACTGGCCAATTTCAATGACACCCTCCTCTATTTGCGAGGCAATACATACATCGACTATGAACAGCTGGGGTTGAAATTCAAGCTCTACTCCTGCGAAGTTCTGTTCAATCGTGGCCTGTGTTACATGTACCTCCAGCAAGAGCAGGCCGGGCTTCAAGATTTCAGCTTCGCTCAGAAGGAGAAGATGACCCCTGACCACGATGTGATAGATGATGCTATCAAGGACATGGCTCAGGTGAGCATTGGACTTCTTCGGTAAAAAGAGGTGTCTTACTGACGTGATTTAGGGCTATGTGGTGTTTAGCATGTGAGTTTCGTCTGAGTGGCCTTGCTAGAGGTTGCACGAAATCAACCGAACGTCATGGACTAACGTTCGCTGTTTGATAGACCGGTCGGATGCGTTTACAGACCGAATGAAGCCAAGGTCAAGAACCTCAAAGCAAAAGACTACCTGGGTAAGGCCCGGTTGATAGCCACCTCGAACAGTGACAACACCGGCACCGGATTCCAGGGCGTGGAAAGAAAACAAGCGGTGGCCGCCGAGATGTCGGCCAGAGACGACCGCCCGCCGGAAAATATCAGCTACGCGGCAACCAACCTGGTACAGCGCAATTTGTCCAGTCGAGTGGTCCGGGATCAGAGCGCCCCTCCGGTCATGAATCGAAACGTGTTCCCACCGACACCGCCACCGGAGAACGAGAAGCCCAGGCTGAGCGGCGGCGGTTCTTCCACGTTGCCTCTTCGGACCACTTCAATGCGTCAACCGCGCAATGGGTACTCCAGACCAGACATGGATCCACCCAGACCCGGTATGATGAGTCGAGCCGCAACGTTCGACGTCAACGCCAACCAACCACCCAGCATGGGCAGGATGATGCCTCCACAACGCGACAACTCTTGGCCCGAGGAGCCTTCCATGATGGAGCGACCGCAGATGGAAAGGTCGCGCTATGGCACCCAAAGGACTGCTTCCGAACCCCGGGGTCCTTCTTCCCGACGCCAGATGCTCGACCGCTCCGCCTCACAAAGGGCGCCCGCACCGCTGTTCCGGGAGACTACCCCCTCTCGATACGACGACCCCAACGACACGGTGGACGACGTCTATCGCATGTATTCCAGTCCCCGCCGGCGCCAGCGACGCCACGACCAAGAACTATACCTGAACGAAGAAGACGAATATATCGATGAAGAAGAAATGAGTGCTGAAGACATGGGCGGCTTCGAGCCTGTCCGACGTGCGGCGTCCCGATCTGGGCGCGGGAGCAAACGGCCCGAAATGCGCAAGATCCGGGTCAAATGCCACTTTAACGACGATACGAGATATCTAATGATTGGCGCCGTGATAGATTTCGGCGACCTCGAGAGCAAGATCCGTGAGAAATTTGGGATCAAGGATCAATTGAAGATCAAGATGCAAGATGACGGAGACATGATCACCATGGGTGACCAGGACGATCTGGAGATGTTGTTGACGAGTGTGCGCAATCAAGCCAAGAAGGAGAGAAATGAGATGGGCAAGATGGAGGTCTGGATCTCGTGATCTTGGAGAGAATATACAGGCTCGACATGTTGGAATACTGCACACCGCCATGTATGTGAGATCCCTACATCTGTCATTACAGCGTCGGAGTTGGACAAGATGACGCCCCCAGGGAATGGGAACAACTTTGGATCGGGCGCCGTATGGAACGGGACATGGTTGATTTCAGGGGGAATGTACTACAAGTGCTACGAATGTGCTCCTTCACTTCCCGGCTCTATTTCCACACAGACATTTATATATACATAGCCATGCCATATATAGGTAGCTCACGAATCACGTCTGTGTTGCACACCGGTCAATGGGGGCTTGAGCTTCTTGGACCGTGGTCCTTGGTCTCTATTTCTGCATCCCTGGCCTTTGAGATGGATGTCTCTGAGAATTACCTGATAACCAGAAGAGTGCTTGTGCCGCCGTGGCAGTCATAGATAGGATGGATGGAGAAGAAGGTGCGTTACAACAGGAAAAATATCTGTTTCGAAAACTCCTCGACGCCAGGTTCCTATCCATCCAGTCTAGCCACTGTATAAGTGGTAAGTTAGTAGCTAGCCCTCATCTGCCCTCCGATGCCTCTGCCTCTGCCCTGCTCCGCTCTGCTCTTCATGATCCCATTGCGGCCCCTTCTTTGTTTTCTCATTTTCTCTCCCTGGCCCTTACAGCCCTCATGGCTCTCCCGATGCTTCTTGGGTGAAGCTCGATAACAAAGCTGTTCCCCCTCCATGTCTTCCCATCTGGATCGGTAGACTAGCCCAGCACAAGCCGATCGACCTAGACAGCAAGCCCGGTGTCCGACGTCGAATCTCACTCACGCTGAACCATCGATCTCCACCCTCCTCACATATTAATACATATTGATCACTCTCGCTGAGTAGCCCCTTCCCCCCCCCCTCTCTCCATCTTCCACAGAAACCCCGACAAAATCGCGCCCTCTCTACCCTCCTTCACCTCATGCCCGCCGCCGCCGCCGCCGCCGCCGCCGTCGCTTTCATCCTCTCCGTCACCCAAGCCTTACTCACGCTGCCGACGGAGGGGTACTCGACCTCGAACAGAATGCGGATGCTCTCGGCGTCCTCGCCGTTGAGGGCCTGTTCGCGGATGAAGGCGTCGTGCTGGGTGCCCCAATTGGCGGGGCGCTTGCAGGGAGTCGGCTGTTGTTGTTGATGGTGCGGCGGCGCTGTTGGTGAGCGCCCACGCGAAGAGGAAGGAGGAGACGTTGATGTAGATGATGTCTGCTTATTATTGGTGTCGGTGCGGGCGGAGAAGGATGTCGTCGTTGTTGTGAGTGTGGTTGTTCTTGATGTTGGTCTGTGGGACGAAGAGGGAGACGAGGTCGTTGGGGAAGGCATTGTTGGATGGATGGATGGATGGATGGATGGATGGATGGATGGATGGATGGATGGATGGATGGATGGATGGATGGATGGATGGATGGATGGATGGATGG